AAATCCATAAAGAAAGAAAGAGCTCCGCAAGAATGTTTCAACCAAATCAGAGATCCAAACGATACTAAAATTCAAGTAATTTGATAGATGAAGAAGATGTGTCCTCAAACGAGAATGACCAAAATATGTTAAGGGTTCAGATCTACCACTTTCACAATCCACTACTCTAGTTCCTATGAATCCTAGTTTCAGAGAATATAAAAGACCATCAAAGCAACTTGATAGATTGGGAGGCATTGTAAAATTATTCTCAAATGAGGTCAATTAAGATACTATGAGTTCAAGTCTCAGAAAATCCAATTTTATATTGTTCCTAAGAAGAATGATATTAAACAGTTTACCTTCGACGACCTCGATGGTATCCTGAGCCTCGCCAACGATTTGTCCACCGCGAGCTACTCTGGATCTACAATTCATCATTAGACTCACCGATTGAGTGTCCAAACTCTGCAAATCTGACGTCGTGCAGAAACCGCCGGAAGTGATGAAATCGAAGCCGCAGTTTACGAGACTGTACCTTAAATCTAGGGTTTAGTGGTGATGATGGATCTTAAATGGAAGATTATGAAGGTTAAACAAAAAAAAAACGATTATGAAGAAGAAGAAGAAAGAGAAGAAGAAGTAGAATCTGAACAGGTATCGAAAGAGAAGAAGAAGAATGAGAAAAAGATTAAAAAAAAGATATTAGGTTTTGTTTATATAAGAAAAGGAAGACCAAAAAAAAAAGAATTATGATTTTTTCTTTATTTGGTTGGGCGGTAAGTGTAAAATTTTTGCTGAGTGTAAAATTTTCGCTGAGTGTTGGCGGTGTAAAGTGATTTTAGTTTCCCGCATTACTATTTTTAGGCTTAGCGTTTTTGAAATGCTATGATATAGTTACCAAACTCTGAGTACCACTTTAATAGCAGTTACGAAAATTGCGCTATCCTAATGTGCTATTAATACTTATATTTCTTGTAGTGCCGGTATATTTCCACAATGTTATAATAAGAATATCCCATTATTACACGAACTCTTAACCAAAGATGTAAATTCAGGCTAACAATACCAATCTAATTAGTTTTACATCTTTGGTTAAGGGTTGGTACTGTTAGCCTGAAACTACACCAGCTGGTAAAAGCAGTTTATAACTAAAACTCTACACGAATTCGTTTATGAATTTATGGTTTTTTTAGATACTACTGTACTAGTCAACAATTTATGATTCTTTGTAGTTTTTAGATTTTTTGTTTGCTTTCATATGTCTAGTCATGAGCTTATTATATCCGTTCATTTCAGTTTATGTTGACCAAAAAGAATGTTTATTTTTTAAAACAATATTTATGTAACGAGTTGTGTAATTTTGGGGACTATAGTTTATTAGTGTCTAATAATAATCTAATAAAATAAATAAAAAGGCGGAGCATGTGACGGAAAGCAAGAGTGGGTGGTGAGAAATCGGAAAGTGATAAGTGCACACTAGAAGAGAAAGAGTCAACAAAAATATGTAATGGTCTTTTTTTTTATATTTAACATTTGTCATCTAACTCTATTTAGAAACTCATAATTTCACACGTTTCCTCTTCCTTTTTCTTACCACACATTGTTCCATGTATTATTCTTCTTGTTTTTCATTTATTTAGTTTCCTCTTAATCATTTAGTACGTTTAATTTCCATGCAACGATATACAATAAACGAGTAGTAACGTTCAAGACAGAAAAAAAGAAAAGAAAAGAGAGCCGGCAGTTATTATATCAAAATGTATACAAGCTTATGAGTTCTTTCGGTGCTGAATATATAATAAGTTAACAACCACGGATTTCTTCAACAAAGATATTTAACTTAAAATTGGTTATAATGATATTTTCTTGACTTTAAAACAAAGCTGTTTACATAGTTATTAAGGTAAGAATTGGTAGTACAAATGGTTGAAAATGTATTAAAAAAAAAAACAAGAGTGTATATAAATTGAGTGATAAGAAATGGACAGGCGTCCCTCTTTGCCAAATTCTTTTGGAGTGTTGATGCATGTTTTTTAGTTAGTTGTTATTATCATCTTTCGCACAAACTATGATGACCATTGAGGCCAAAAGTTTCACATGAACCTTCATTTCCTTCTTTACATATTAGGCCGATGAGGTGACTGTTCTCCACATATGTTTTATACCTCTTTTTACTTTGTACTTTGTAGCTTGGAGAATAATAAACATCTTCCATATGCATGAATAATTTCGTTAATAAAAAAGTTTCACAATAATTAACCTTCATTTCTTTGTTTATATATTATAACTGTATATTTACTTTATACAGTTATAATATCCAGGAGAAAAATAATTAATTTGCCATATGAATATTTTCGTTAGAATATGTTTTAGCAATCTCTTACCCAAAAATAATCAAGAAACTTGCTTATCATATCAATGTGTCTGTAAACTAATTGTAGTATCAGCACCCTAAGCTTCGTTTTCGTAGGTTAGCTCAGTTGTTCGTTCTATGTGTACGTGGCATTATTCTCATGGCTAAGGGTGCTTGGAGAAACTGTAAAGCCAAAAATGGAATTTCGGGATTGTGGTTGAGACTTCAAAGCCACAAACTTCTCTCAAGTGTACGAGACTTTTGATATTAAGATTATTCTTCTAAATAGAGATGTTTGAATATGCATGCATGATGCATCTATGACTTTAATTTAGTTTTTATACTAATTGTAGCTACATTAAAATGTGGCGTATTTTAATAATTTGAATGGTACTCTGGTTGATATATAGTTTTGTTTGATGAATATTCATTCAAATTTCAACGAGATAATTAAAAAAAAAAAAAAAAAAAAGAGAGAGAGAGAGAAATTGTTCTTAGTCATTGACCTGGTTTTTTTGCAGGTTTGGTGATACAATTTCCTAGTTTTTTTAGCCAAAATATCAGATAAAATATTATACTTTCTCGGTATATAACATGATACATGACAAATAGGACATATATAGAGTTTGAAAAAGTGTACAATTTATTTATTTTCTTTGATCACTTAGAGGTGGTATTGGTGATGCAATCCCACGGTCATTATTAAATAATAACTAATCGTCTATACAAAAAGACGTTGAATCCCATGAATAGAAAAACAAAATTCATTTTTGTTTTGGAGGATTAAGATTTAAGATTGATCTTATCTAAACATTAGTCGTTATCCCAACACCAATTGCCATGTCAGCTTGATTGACTGCAAGTCCTTGACCAGAATTTTTTTCTTTTCAAAAAGGATTTCAAATCAAGCATTCGTTTTTATAACCAACTGTCTGGGCATTTGACTCATAATTTTTTGTAAGTCATAATGTTTTAGTACTTTTGAGTTGCGACGAGTTCAGTAGTTCACAAAACGTAAATCATCTATGTCCTAACATAACACTATAAAAGAATGGGTACTTATTTAGATTTGGTGTCGTTCAAGTATATTGTCCCAAGTCCTAACATAACATTTTAAAAGAATTGTTTTTAAGATTTTTTGTATTCCGATATTATATATCTTGTCTAGCCGCCATTGATTTAATATGTTCTTTTCGTGATTTCAAAGGTCATCATAGTAGTACGTAGAGTAGAGAATCACATTTCTCCACTAGGTCAAACGTCATTAAGTTATTTTGAACATGTGTATCATCAACTGAGGCAAACACTTATAATATTCGAATAAATTTTCAACCCATATTTGGAATAGCTACTAACTAAAATATTAGTATTTCTCAAATATTATCAAAAAATTATGAGTGCAAAATGTAGGATCTACCAATGGCATGTCCATCTAACAAATGTATGCGAGTAATTCTAAACCTTCGATTTTTGTGATAACTTGAAAGATAACTAAATCTTAAAATATATAGAATCTATTAAAAAAATTGTCATTTAAAATATACACAATGTTTTGAATAATTTAAATTGTATTCCCTCCACTTTCATTGCTAATAGTAGACCATCTATGAGTTGGTAATTTGATCCAACTTTGTGAAATCAATTATCAACACACAACACTCCATTACAATTACAACTTCATAAACAAACAAAAAAAGTTCATAAATTCCATAATTTACCTATAATTATGTAACACAGTTAACCCACTACAGCAGATTCTGCCTGATTAGTTGCTGTGGATGACAAACTAACAAATCATAAAAACTTTAGGGCAGTTATAATACAAGAAGGAAGAAATAATGTTAAGGATAAGCGATAGAAAAAAAAAAAAAAGGATAAGCGAATAAGCGATACACAACAGACGTTATCAACTTATATCGTGGTTTGGTGTTCAATGGTCGCATCGCACACACACGCTTCTTCCACTCCCATCATGTATATGCCCATCATGTATATGCCCCCACACGCACCATTTCATTACAAACGCCAAATTTAATCTTAGCAAAAAAAGTCCACCAAAACTATCAATATCCCATCTAACCAAATAAACAATATTTGGAACGTTCAGAAAAAATCAGACCATTTCAATATCAGCCTATGTTTTTTTTTTTTTTGGTAAAAAATAACAGCCTATGTTTTCTTAATTTTCTGGTATAAAGATGTTAGGTAAACTAAAACCATCTCATAATTTGGAAAAATGAGATTGAATATACAGCGACACTTTAATTTTAAATAGTTGTGTGCTACAGCAATATTTATTGACTCTCTAACTAATGTATAGAGCGATATTTACATAGATTAAAATTATGTGTCTACTATGCATTTATCTAAACGTAACCTTTTCTTTCTTGCCGACCTGCCCATCCGTAAAAACTTGAGAACGTTAACATACAAAATATCTAAGAAAAGGACTCATAGAGTTTACATGAGCTAAACTTTTGAATTATTGACTAAAGGCAACAACTAATATTGAACTAATAACAATTCGAGATTTACGAAACTAACCTTATAACCGAAAGTGATATTATATAAAAAAAAACTTTATAATATAAAGCAAATATGAAATAGCCAACAAAAAAGATCTCACTCACTATAAATCCCTTTCCTCTTTGCCTCCCCAAAAAACGCTCACACTCCTAATCCCTCTCAAGTTTTCAAACCAATCTCTCTCTCTCTCTCTCTCTCTAAGTCTTTAACAATGGCGCGCCTTCTCTTCCGTCTTCTCCAAGAAACCAATTCTACATCTCCGACGGAAGCTCCTCCACCTTTCAACTCCGACCTCGTCCTCATCCTCGCAGTTCTTCTTTGTGCACTGACATGTATCATCGGCTTAATCGCCGTCTCTCGATGCGCATGGCTCCGCCGTATCGCCTCAAGAAACAGATCGGATCAAACTCATCCACCGCCGGTAGCTGCGGCTAACAAAGGTTTGAAAAAGAAAGTCCTCCGATCGTTACCGAAACTCACTTACTCGCCGGATTCTCCGCCGGCGGAGAAACTCGTGGAGTGTGCCATCTGTTTAACGGAATTCGTCGCCGGAGACGAGCTTAGGGTGTTGCCGCAGTGTGGACATGGTTTCCACGTATCCTGTATCGACACGTGGCTTGGATCACACTCTTCTTGTCCTTCTTGCCGTCAAATCTTGGTGGTTGCCAGGTGTCATAAATGTGGCGGGTTACCCGGTAGCTCAAGCTCAGGATCCGAACCCGATACCCGAATCAAGCAACGTGAAGATGATCCTGATAACTTCTTACCTTGATTCTTTTTTTTAGACATATCCCATTTTATTTTTTATTAATGGATTTCGGTTATAATATTAAAAAGTGTTCTTTATCATTTTAAAGGATAATGTTACTCTGTCATGTATATATGTTTATCTATTGTAAATTTATAATGAAATGGAAGTTTATCTTTATTTCTTTTTGTCAATGTATTATTTATACTTTATAGCTACAGACCATGAAATAGTTACAAGAACTTGAAACTAAGACGTTGGACCACACAATTTATACGTAACTACAATCCAAATTACCCGGAATTAAAATTTGCCTTAGATGGTTTTATGTAAGACATAAAAATACATAGTATTTGTCATGAATAGTTTACGTTTGACAGAAGCATCAAGGGACTTTGGGCCTGATTGGCAAGTGCTTTAGAGTCTTTACAAAGCAAAAAAATTTCTAAAGCATTGAAATAGATCCAATCAAGCTTTAGAAGCTTTAGCTTTCCTTTTTTTTCTCACAGCCAAAATATTTCCATAATTAATTTTTTTGGCTGTAGAAAGCCTTTTTTTCTTTTTTTTTTTTTTTTTGTCATCCGAAATTAATTAGAGCTCAAAAGAGCCATTCCTGTGGAATGTTGTTTACAAATGTGATATGAAGCGGTTCTGTACGAATTTTTCGTGCCAGATGATCCGCTTTTACAAGAAAGCCTTTTTTTCTAAAGCATACAATTTTTAACTTTCCAAAATTTTAAATGTTACAACAAAAATACTACAGCACTAAAATCTACATTCACAGCCAAAACATCTACAGCCTAAAATCTACAGTAAAAAATCTACAGCTACAGCCGGAACCAATCAGGCCCTTTATCTACCTAAAATGTTGGTTGTTCGTTGCTACAAATTCGATTAACTAATGGAATATTCCATAATGAATGTGAAAAAGTAGACAGATGGACCAGTATACGTAGAACAGATGGTGTAATGTGTTTTGTGTGAGTTTTCTTTTTCCCTTTTCCATTAATAAAGCAGCAAACTAATTGTCGGGTTTTATATATTTAATTTGTTCATGTTTTCTGTTAAAAGCATTTAAATATTGGGAACACGAGCCTGTATCCCACTAAATCATCAAACACCGCTTTAAATTATTAGAACTCCGAAAATGACCATGAAGATGAGCTTATTTTGTCTTCGAACAATGACCTAACAAAAGATCGCCAAAATCTTAAAGAGTACAACTAAAGTGCGAGATAAGACAACTAGAACGTAATTTAAAAATAATTAGTCAAGATGTAGATAATTACACAAACGAAAAAATAACTGATTTTAGGGATTATTTATCTTACTCCGTGTAACCATTGAGTAAAAACACATACGAATAGTGATGGTCCACCATCGCGAGCTATCATCATTCATCACGAGTTTTTCCACTATGGAAAGTGCGTCCATGTGCTAAGTGAGTGCTATGTTTTGAAATGAAATAAACTAGATTGCATAATCGACATTGAATATAGCATTATATCACAAAAATATCCATCTTAATTTTTTTCATAACAACTATAGTTTTGATGATATAGGTCGTAATGGTAGTAATGCACTAATGCTCCATCAATGAAATTTTCGAGCTGAAAGCCTGAAAGCAAGCTATATAACCATTATCCCACAGAGGTTGAATGTCAAAGCATTTTAATGCATTATATACTATTGACGACAGTAGAGTTCTCCAATATATATACATATACTCAAAATTGACTAATGTCGAATCTAGAAGACGGATAAATCATCTTTAAAAAACGGAACATGGTATTTAATGTTCAAATTTAAAGAAATTGATATTGTTTTTTTAAAAGTAATATTAGATGGTTCGTTGTATATATGTTGTACATGAATGCATGTGCATAATCTATTACATATCCCTTTATCTCCATGTATTGATGATAGGTTGTATTGCCTGGGTCTCTAATCATATTACTACATTCTAATACTTTCTCATATTAAATAGTAATGGATATTTATTCTACTGAATCACAAATAAAGAGTAGGAAGTCGAAAGTGAAGACATGCTTTTTGTTTGTTAAAAGGAGGACCTATACATTCTCATAGAAAAATGATGAGACCAAAATTCCCAATCAGGCCGAAGATTCCCACATTCCTGTTTTTGCATTATTATTAGTTAGCTACATTAGTTTTGTTATTATTATGAATTGAATGCTTTATTCCCTAGTTAGTGGTGTTACAGTTAAATGAAATCATCAGCGGATGACAATATCTGAATGTTTTGGAAACTTTTTACCTATTTTTTAGCAGAAGGAAACGTGATGTTCAAATTCAAATTTGATGGACATATATAAACCAATTTCTTTTACAAATTTCACGCTTGAATAAGACTACATATCTAATACACTAATAATTTTATGTTTTGGAATAGATATGTGCATGCATCATGAATTTATACTATATTTTAAATCTGAATATTCTGGATTTATTGATCATGCATATATCAAGAACAAGATCACATAACACTTGTTAATACCATACATTCTCAAAGTTAATTAATTTTCATAATTTATTGATATGCTGTAGATTGTTAAGATATTTAGTTAAAGTCGATTTCTGGGCCTCGCATGTGTTTAATGGGCTTCATAGTCCGAAACTATGACCAAACTTATTAAATCGGGCTTTTATTTCTTTCTTTTTGTGATAACCTTCACAGGAGAAAGTTTTTGTTTTTCACTTTATACTGGTTAAACAAGTAAACATACATAGTAGCCCGCCTAACCGGTCCAATTTAGCACTGTAACCGAAATGTCATTTTTGCAATCTTGAACACAAGTAAGAAAAAAAAAATGAATGAGGGATAGTCCATCGAAAGCCAAAAAAAAAAACAAGAATGACGTCAGAATAGTTGCAAATATAATTGGTATTTATGACATCACATCGAATAGTGAAACGCCCACAAATACAGTTCATCAAAAGTAACACAATAATAGCTTTTACCTGCAAGGCCACAGCAATCAGCCACATAACTTTTGAAAATTTTGTTCTACAAAAGATTTTTGGATCTTAGGAATAATAATATATATATATAATAATTTGTATTTTACAAAAGGTGAAAACAAGAAAAGACCAAATATATAATCCAAGGGAGAAGATTCTACAGCTGGAAACCTAAAGGACATGGAGAATCTAGTAGCATGTGAAGAGGTCCAGGAGAAGACGAAAGACCCAAAAGACCATAACTCGCTTCCTGAAACAGAGGGTTCTCCAAGTAATCTCGTACGTCAAGTTCGTTATTATTACCACCGTTGGAAGACGGCTCTGTCTTCACGCCGAGGTTAAAGTCGAAGTCGTCTTCGTCGTTGTTGTTGTTTCCCGGCGAAAAGATGATTCCGTTGAGCTGAGAGACGACTGGGTTGATTAAGGCTTTGAGCTCGTCGATGTTGTGGCCTGATGATCCATGTAGGAGGTTATTATTGTAATTTTGGTAGGGATCATCGTAGAGTAGTGATGGGAAGTTGTTTAGGGTTTTGTTGGAAGGTTCTAAAAGCAAAGGTAAGGCTTCATGATGATGATGATGTGTTGTTGAGAGTGAATGGTTATGAAGGTAGCTGATTTGGTTATGGATTCCAACATTTTTTCTATCTCCTGTTTTATTGTTCACTCTGCAAATCACCCATTCCTCCTGTGAATTTTCACCAAAAATAAAATAAAAATAAACATGTTATTACACAGTATATACTCCTTTATATGTAATGACTACACCTAACCAAGATCGATATAAATCTTGTTTGAAATGTGAGCCTGACAAATTGATTTTTGATGATAGTTTTTAAGTGTAATTAAAAGGGTGGGAAATAAAAGAAAGCAATAGTGATGGAAAACGACACAACAGTAGCATCGGTGAACAGAAAACGGCAAGGTGTGTTTGGTGTTGACATCCACACCACACGTACAGGTTTATATCAAATCTATCACATCTAAACTGCTCTCTCCCCTGTCCTCCCCAGACTAAGCCAAACAAAATAATGACAATACAATCGAAACACGAATTAAAGTATAAAAAAAAAAACAAATGAAAATGGAAAAAAAAAAGTGAAATATTTCGGTTAAACCTTTCTTTTCAACTTGTCGATTTTAAAAGTCAACACATTAATGAAAAATAAAAACATCAAATTCCTATTAATGTTAAAAAGAATTTAATGTTATAAGAGACGGAAGTGTGGGAATAAAGTAACAACTTAAAACACAAAAAAAACGAATTATAGAACTTTTGGTTTCAAAAAGTCAACTCATAAATTGACAAGATAAAATACAAATTTCTTTAAAGAAAGTGACGCACGAGTGAGAGAGTAAAGTAATTTACCTTACACGTGTGGCGGTGTGAATGGTCGGTTTCGAGGCGATACTCATGCATGACCCACTTAGTCTTGAGGCCACGTGGAGCCCTACCTTTGTAGAACACCAACGTCTTCTTCATCCCAACAAGCTGTCCTCCGCCGCCGGCGAAGACCTCCTTATCTTTTCCGGTAGCTTTCCAATATCCAGCAGTAGTTGCTCTGTTAGTCCTCAAACCCGTCGGATATTTCCTATCCCTTAGACTATAAAAGTACCACTCTCTCTCTCCCATCTTCGCCATTTCTTCATATAACAAAAATTTCAAAATATTACACTTTTTGTTTTGTTAAAAGATTTATCAAAACATTCAAACTTAAAACAAGATTCCAAAAACACAAAACTTGTAGAGGAGAGAAGAGACAAAATGTTTTAATATATTACCGGGTAGTTCCCAAGGTTCACAACGGTTAAGATCAACTTCGGAAATGTGAATGCCGGAGAGACCTCCATGGAAGATTTTGGAAGCTAAGTAGAAGGTAATGAGCTCTTCGTCCGTCGGGTGAAACCGGAAGCCAGGTGGCAATCCTCTCTCGTTTCTTTCTTCTCCGGCGAGTTCGCTTAACACATCTTCCACCGCAAGCATCATCTTTTTACTTATTATAACCGAAAAAGAGACTTTTGTTACACTGAAGAGACACCAAAAGGAAGAACAGAGAGAGCAATGATACAAAAGTTGATGGGAAGTATAACCTTATTGTGTGCAAGATTATATATTTATATACAAAAATGGCACATAAATCGAAGATATCATAGAGAGAGAGAGATTATGGGGTGTGTATGTAGAGGTGTGTGTATAGATGTGTGGATTTTGAGTGTTTGAGGTTAGAGGAGCATTGATGATAAAGGCTGTGAAATTCAGGGAGCAGGGGCTTCTATTTGCCCTCACCTGGGGACTCTCTTTCTATATTTTTTCCTATGCAAATAATAATTAAATTATACTACTACTATAACATTCTAATTTGTAAAACAACTTTTGCCGTTTTGTGTTTTATCACTATACTGCTTTAGCAAAATTCTTATGGTCTTGGAGTTTTGATTGAGACTGGGTGATGTTAAGTTATGATCTTTCGTTAATGACTACTCGGTTGGTCAATGGATCATTACAGTGTTGTTTTTGTACTTTATCTATATTCAAATGTAATATATGATTAAATGGTGTTGACGTTTTGGCTTTTGTTTTTAAGACAAAATTTTATTTATTTTTCAACAAAAACTGAGATTTTTTCTTGTTTGGTTTGAAATTTTGAATAAAAACGAGAGAGAGGGAGCTGTTTAACAAGCATAGTGTTTTGGGTGGATTATACCAACATCCAAGAAATGTTGAGTTTTGCATAGATATAAAAAAGCTTGTGCTTTCCATTAAATAAATATATGGAAATATGCAATGCAACCGCTAGATTAAAGATACCGATAATAAGGTTATCTTCATACTCCAAGTCGATTTCTCTAGGGATCCCATTTCTCTATAACAAAACAATTTGCTGTCGCAGTGAAAGTTTCAGATTTCAAGAAATGTCAAAGAAATAATGTAATCTAAAATGTTTACGTTTTATGGTTATCAGCAAATAAAATTCAACTTTAAAGAAAAGAAAAGGAAAAGAGTGTGCAGTAAAAAGATGGCAGAGGTTTATGCGTGCGGGTGTAAGCATATCATTATACATTCATGAGTCAGACCTTTTTCTTTTATTATTTTATACACATTCTCCCCTCAGATATATACCAATTCCTTTCGTTTCCTTATTTTTCCCTTAACCACTTTCTCCAACGGTTAACTCAATTCTGTGTTACAATTTGCTTCTTCTTCTTCATCTTTTTTTTTTAAATAATATAACATGGATTTAGATTAGTTGTTTACATTTATTGTGTAATGTTTTTTTTATTAAATCCTTTAAGTGTCTCTACACAACTATTTATATGGGAAAAAATAATCAAATAGTATAATATTGTGAGAACAAATGTTAAAGAGAATTTGCCAAACTTGACACTGCAACAAAACAAGAGTTACGTAAAAAATCTTTTACTTTAGAACTAAAAACAAATACTAGATGATAAACAACAACATAAATAGATAAATATTTGGACACAATGGTTGGAAAAAAAACTTTTAATTCATATTGTCGATATTAAATGTTTGACAAAAACGTATGTTAAAAAATAAAATGAAACAGTAGAAAGATAGCAGAAGTCGGCGGTGGCACGTGTGTGTAGAATGATACAAAAAAATCAGGTAAAAAGATAATAAATGCAAACGTACTACACTATCTATCTCACTAAATATTAACTGCCCACACGATCTTATGTTAAATCTCCCAAGTCATTCTTTTACCCTAACCCCTACACAACCCTATAACATTTATTTTTTAAATAAACATTACTGTTATTATAACTAAATTTTTAAAGAGTAAAATCTAATATTGAACAAATGTTTCATCCAATAATTCAAAACCTGCTGTACTTGCATAGGCTTACCTAAGCCTATCCATTATTAAATGCTTATTATATATAGTTTCTGTACTATTTTAAATCTAAATTATTTTTTCCTCAGGGAGTCTATAATCTTTATAGCTCTGATGATATTTCTGTGACTCTCTTTTTTATCCTTTTCAATATTGTTATTTTTTTCTATTTCAGTTTAATTATTGCCCAAGTGATACCATCGGTCTACTATATATTATAGTGCTGTTCCTCTGCGTCACAAAACAATATTATTGGCCCCTGCCAATTAAAGTAAAAAATTTCATCTATTAAAATTAATCTATCAGCGATACTAATACTATAAAACTTGGCAGAATATTGAAGCAGAAAGGGCTGGTATAATTTGGAAATCTTTTGTAGTCGTACGTCATTTCAGTAACATGCACTATTTCATTTATTTATTTTTAAAGCAAAATTAATTAAAGTTAAACCAGTTAATGAGCAGAAACGGTACTAGTCTGTGTAAACAGAACTAGTGTATAAAATAATAGTCCAATTTGTTTCAGAATTACAGGGCTAGTAATATACAGTATAATGTGACACTAAACTTTCAGATATTAGGTGAAACAAAAATCACTCAAATGAATATAGATGACTGTTTGTCACATTTCTTTTATAGTATATATCTGTATATGTCAATCAAATGACAAGAGGGTCCCTACTCTCTTGCTCGTCTTTGTCTGTTTGTATTTAAAATGTCTATCAAAGTTTTTTTTTTTTTTTTGTAAAAGGGTTTTCTTATATAACTTGAACATAAAATGTCTATCAAAGTTCATTTTAAAAAGTTTATAACAAAATTTTTATTTTAGAAAAATGACAACAAAATATAAACTATCTGTACAAAAAATTCCAAAATATGTTTTGGACAATGAGAAAGTAAACTACCAAGTTGAATATTAAATGCAATTAGGAGTAAGAATCAATGACACCTGTTAAAGTTAAACTGCACAATATATATACATCGAAACATATGTTTATTTTTTAAAAAAAAATCAGAACACAAGTGATTAATTAACACCAAATTTTACTGGTTTTTTGGTATTGGACTAGATACAAAATCTAATTAAGTCACCCTCCATCACTTACTCATAAGAAATATTGCCAAAGAAAAAAAAAAGGAAGGAGAGAAGAAGAGGAAGTAGAAGGAGAAGGTGGAGAAACAATAAATGAAGAAGGAAGAGGAAAGGACAATGGCAGCACCGACCTGCTCCACCAGAGAACGACCTCTCACTCATTTCCCTTCACAAGCTATCTTTTCTTCCTCCCATTTTGCTTCTTTAATTTCTACCACTTTGGTTTTATTTTTCCCAAATCATTAAATGATCAAATGTGAAGCTTAACTAATTAATACTATATATAACCCCCTATATGATTGATAAAACTTACAAACTATAATAATCATTTCATCATTCATCTTTGGGTAGCAATCATAGCCTATATACAATAATGTCAAGAGACTAGTCTGATTCGTAGAGTACAAAATTGTAATCCCTTATAAAGTGATGTGTATATATGATTATTTTGGTTAATGCGAATATGAGGTTATGGAAATTAGTAGTATTACATTTATAAGACGTCCGTACCGTGGATGGCAATAAATGTGAAAGGTTTTGAGGATATTGGGACAGACGAAGCCTTCATAAATATGGGCGAAAAGTTGCATATTTGGGGGGGACCAATAAAACCGTGCACATATATCATATAGTATTATTGAATTTCTGGATAAAGCTTTTTTAATCGTATGCTTGTATTGTATCCCTAATTAGTAATTGGTACGACTATGAATATTGAATATTCATGTCATAAAGATCCAAAGGTGAAATGTCTAGTTGATGATCATGGTTGTATTTTCAGATTGTCCCTAAAAATTTTACAATACTTTATATTCCTAAATATGAAGAACTTATGTGAGATTTTCCTAATGTTAGAAACTATTTTCGTCGCTAAACTCGTATAATAAATAACTGGATAAAGATGTGACTAAAGAATAAAGTTAGTTGCTGGAAAAGGTAATTAACGAGGAAAGTACATCATCAATCCATATGCTAATTCCGTAATAAGACTGCTTAATAAGAAATGGATAATCTAAAAAGCAAAGCGACAAAATCTAAAACTAAGAAAATAATTTGTAAGAATATTATTGTAGTTTTAAGGAAGACATGATATCCAAATCTGATACAAATTGATTATTAAAATTAATATGACAAAAATCTTTCTATTAGAAAGATAATCAGTTTCTTCTAGGACAAAGTTAAAAGTAAAAAAAAAAGGTACTAATTCATAATGACATATAAAAACGGAAAATTATAAATTAATTATCACATTTGGTTTATGATAATTATTTTTTTATAGGTAAAAAGTTGGTTAATATATACTTATATACCAATAAAAGTGGTATTAGGGATGATATGGTAGGTTACTCCATAAATGTAACTCGAATGTGAATATGTGCACACGTGACGTAGCCGGCGTAGGTTAGAGGGTGGGAAAGGGAGTCTTTCCACATTTATCGTATTTTTTGTTTTGATGCTATGTTTTCTATTTAAATTCCATTCCTTTTTTTTGTTACCAAATATATTCCTGTTATAAATTAACATAAGAAGACTGTTTGTGTTATTTATTTCTTTAGATTTCTGTTTAGCATTTTCTATATGGGCCCAAATGGGCCTTACTTTTGGTCAATGAAACCATACCCTCTGAAAGGTTTCGAAGCAAACTGAACAAATGAGGGTAATAAAATTACTTGGAAAAGTGACCTAATAAGAGGAACAGAACTAAGCTTAAAGACCGAGTCTTCATTCAAAATTCAGATTCAGACACTCTTAAAGCAACAGGATCAGCATAATTTTAATAATCCTCAAAGACTTATATATAAACAAACCCATCAATTAGAGAGCTTGAAACTCAAAACATGGCTCTCACTTCCTCCTCTAGAGTCCTCTGTTTTGCTCTGGCCTTATCGGCTGCATCGTTTTCCTCCGCTGCTTCCCATGATTACTCCATCGTTGGATACGCACCCGAAGACTTGGAATCTCACGAAAACTCTTCAATCTCTTTGAAAACTGGATCTCCAATTTCGAAAAGCTTTACGCGAGCGTTGAGGAGAAGTTTGTTAGGTTTGATATCTTCAAAGACAACCTAAAACATATTGACGAGAGTAACAAGAAAACGAAAAGTTATTGGCTCGGACTCAATGAGTTTGCAGTTTCCTTGTGACCGGGAATAAGAACTCCTAGGGTACGGATCAAGGAAAAGTAAGGATTACATCATATTGAAAAAAAAAGGATCAAGCTTTGACAATTATGTACGTACCCCTTTTATATGACGGAATCAAAAAGGAAAAAGATTCATGTAAACATGAGAAAAGAAATACAAAAAGAAACTTGAGTAGCAACCATCAAAAACCAAGGAAAATTAAGAGTTAATTAGAAAGGAAAAATATCAAAATACGATTAATTTTGTTGGGATCTCGAAATCAGTATTGTCTCGGAAGTAACTCATTCGCAGAAGACGATCCTGACGTTGTACCAATCTTGTCTTCGTTCTCTTCTAATGATCTTCCCATCGTTTCACGAGTGAAGAAATACGTAACGATCATTCCAGCGATACAAACGCCGCCAAGGATCAAAAACGCGATTCTCACGCGTTTCACGTCTGGAAAACCGTCCTCTTCATGGTGTTTCGTGGCCCACAAGAAACCAACAGTGCCAACAATGGCACCAAACTTCCCGGCAGCTCCAGATATCCCGTGACATGTGGACCTAAACCTCGCCGGAAATAGCTCCGCCGGGATGATAAACGTTGTCGTGTTAGGACCAAAGTTGCTAAAGAAGAAAATCAATCCGTAGAGAACCATAAAACCTTTTTTAGTCTTCTCATGCTTAGACCAATACCAACTGTATGGAATCCCAGCGACTAAGTAAACAACGGCCATAAGGAAAAAACCCATCATCTGAATCTTGACTCGACCGATTTTATCGATGAAATAAACTGTGAACCAATAACCGGGGATGGTGGAGCAAGCGGCTACAATGGCTGCGAGCTTAGATACTTCGAAGGCGGAGTCGTAGACGTTTGTGGAATTGAGAGGTTTGTTGGATAAATTGAAGATTTGAGAGAGGAGGAGGTTACTTGTATAGAAGACGACGTCGACGAGGAACCAATTGGCTGAGGCTGCGAAGAGGTCTCGGCCGTGGAGGCTGAGGAAACGGCGAGAGAAGAGTTTGTAGGAGGAAGCCGGTGGTTGTTCTAGCTCCGATGATGAATCTTCGCTTATTTGAGATATCATGGATACGGACATGACTCTTTGCATGTCTTTTGCTGCTTGGACTACATTGTTCTCCACCAATGCTGTGTATCTGCATGCATTTTCAAAAATTTTAATTAGTAGGTATCATATTAATTAGTTACTTGGGAGGGTTAAAATATTTAAAATTTTGCTAAAAAATATTCACTCTATTCCTAAATGATGTATTTTATGAGTTTTCACACATATTAAGAAAACAAATTAAAAATTGATTATAAATATATTATTTTTTGTACTTTACATCCTATAACTCTAACTAATACTATTCAATTTTTCTTTTTTGAAGTTTACAATTCATTAATAATAACTAATAAATATTGTATAGAAAACCTAAAAAATCTATCTTCTTGAAACAAATGTTTTTTCTAGAAAAAAAAAACCAGAGGGAATATGTAACAATAGTTGGTTATATAGATAGTTGACATTTATTCTAATATACACTATACATTTTGTAATTAGTTTATTTTTGTCTTTCAATGAAATTCACAAAAAAAGAAAAAAAATTAAAAGACGATGAAAAAATTTGTTCTATAACAAGAGTTTATGTGAGATTTCTAACAAATTAGTTACTAAAACAAACTTTTTCTGCCAAATTAGGTTTTCTTGTCAACATAAATTAGGTTTATTATTAGTGAGAGATGTCGCTAAATAAAAATTAGTCACAACTCATACTACACACGGAACGGAAAAGACCAATCTCTTAAGACTTTTTGTTTCTTATGAAGTGAGAGCATTCAAACTCTGATAGGAAGAGAGTACGTGGGAGAACTTGTTGTACAAAAAAAAAGAAGAAAAAAAGTGGGAGAACCTGATAGGAAGAGAGTACGTGGTGATAAGTTGGAGAGATTAAATTTAGTTATAATGAAATAAAAAATCTGTTAATTAGCTGGAGTTTATACCTGGGAGGAATAATTTATATAGGAAAAAAACATACTAAAACTATATATCATACATATTAAAATGAAATAGTATTGAAATACGTTATCTAGAGAGGTAGCTTAAAAGGTATATACCACTGTGTTTGGTATATTTTTCCCTCACAAGTCAACTTACTTCCTAGGAACAAACCACGAAGTTGCCACTCTTTACATTATTACCCACATATATACTATTATTTTATGTTTATCATCTGATCAACATCAAATCGAATTTAGGTTAAATTTCAGGTTCTCCAAGATTATTTCATACGGAAACGTATGGGTAGAACTTTTGTTTTGCACACGACTAAACTTTTTAGTAATTTAATTTATAATTCTACATTTAGATTTCATTGACAATTAGAAAACTTCCAAAGTTTGTAAGTGGACAATAGCTAACAATGAACAAAGTCACGCAAGATACATAAAATATACATGGGTTGATATCTTAATTCACGAAAGTTTGAATGGTGATGACAAGTAATAACTATGGTTGTGGATTATTGTGACAAGTAATATAAGTATGCTCTAACGATAGAACTTAGAAGTATTCCACGGTGAAAATGCTTACCGTTTCAAATTTCAATGTATAATTTAATATTCGAAAATAATACTAAAAACAAAATTTAGGAGAAAGAGTTATTTAATAGTCTAGCAATTTTCCAAGGTTTGTATGTGGGATTATATGAAGCAAAGTCACACAAGATAGTGCATATATATATATATAATATTATAGCGTATAGTCTATAGTCTATACTCTATACTATGGTAATATTAAAGGTTAAAAATTGGTGAACAAAAAGACAAAAATTACGAACCTGGCGGTTTCAGGCATGAGCATTCGCCAGTAAAACGTTAACGCAGCGGGAAGAGCTCCGATCATAAGAATCAATCTCCACGCTATATCCGATTCCGGGGGAGCCAAAGTTTCTAACCCCGCCACGTTCGTCTTCTCCGAACTCCCCTCTCCGGCTGCGTTCTTGAACGCCAAGCACACAACCATAGTCACAGCAGAGCTCATCAAAATCCCTAACCCTTGCATCGAAAACACGGCAGCTATAAAAGCTCCACGCGTCCTTTTATTAGCGAACTCCGACATAATCGTGGCGGAAAGAGGATAATCTCCACCGATTCCAAGTCCAAGAACGAATCTAAAGAATCCAAGACTAACCATAACGCAAGAACGACGAGTCGTGCAAACAGAGAAGCCACAACCAAAAGAGCTAAAAACCATGATTAAGAGACAAAGTCCATAGACTTTACGACGTCCGACTCGGTCACCTAAGTAACCAAAGATGAGCTGACCTAAAGCAGTGCCAAGAAGAGCGATTGCGTAAGAAGTTGAGAGAATAGCGGTTCCGATTGAGTCTTTGTGGTAATAGATTTGACTTATCATCTTCATGATCGGAGCTATACAGAAAAGATCGTACGCGTCGGTGAAAAGTCCCATGCCGGCGACTATTATGGCTTTGAAATGGTACCACTGTATCCTCGCCGCATCTAAAGCCGATAACACTCTTAACTCCGGCATCGTTTGGTCGATTTTTAGGATATTTTCAAGATACAGAGAATGAGAACAATATATAGAAGTCTTTGTCTTTTCATTGGGAGATTTTTTCTTCTTCGAGACAATATGGAATATGCTTTTGGTTTGACTGCGAGGAACACAACACCTCCCTGGATCGAGTCCACTTCTTTAGTTGACTTTTAAAACATTATTTATAAAATTTGGATTAGAAGTTTTAAAATTCCGGTACAAACAGTTTTTAGTTGTAAGATGTGGTAGCCAATATTTTTTGTTAAAACTTTTTCCTGCGTCTAAGAACATCTTTAAGGACTCGGATCATTGAACATGATTTTACACAAAAAAAAAAAAAAAGAAACTAGAACATTCTTGAGTCTCTAACCTCTGAATCCGACCCAAAGACTTACAGGTGCTACTAAATGCTGATTAAGCATGGAGGATATGGTAGTTAAATGAAAACCGGAACTATGAAGTTGGGATGCGTACTCCGAGCTTGACGACAACAACTTCAAAGATCCCATCAGGTCTAAAATGTGGAGAAAACAAGCGAGGATCCACTTGTCCCGGAAGATTAAACGTGATCGAGAATGGACCAGGCGGGCAGAGCTGTTGCACTTGCATTCTGTATAAGCATCCCGTGTCACTTGGAATCGCAATCTCAGGTATTACTCCTTGGATGCAAACTCTTCCCTCCCTCTGTATCTCACATTTGATCTTATCTATATACAGATCAGAAGATAGCATTTTGGGTTAAAGTTCTTTCATACACAGATAGTGAAAAAGAATGCAGCTTTCTTTTCATGTCATTGGTCATTACCAAACCCAAAACATGAAGAATCCATTCCGGTTTCAACAGGTGGTAGTGAATTAGAAGGAAATTTCGTATTGAGACAGACTCTTTCCACTATTCCAACAAAATTATCAACGAAAGGACATCAGGAGAAAAGAAATGTGAAAGCTTACCTTGATTTTTCTCAATGCCAGGGAGAGAGACTCTGAAGATGTAAGCAACTTCGCTGACGCCGATATCGACAAGACCAATGGGTGGCCCAGCAGAGCCTTGCTTAGCAGTACCAGTGAAGAATACATGTGAAATCACTTTCGAGTGAGTAGTAGTAGTCTGATTATTCTCAGTGTTCATGGTGTTGCTTTGTGTTTTTGTTTTTCCACAAAGGGATAAAATCAAAACCTACCTGTTAATAACATCACAGCAGAGGAAAAAAAAGATAGCAATCAAATTAAGCACAAGTAAAGTTTGAAGATGTAAAAGCAAAGAGACCTATAAGATTTTCCTATACAAGCAGAGCAAAGGTTAGAACTTTATGATAAAGGTCCAATCCTCTGAAGGAAGATTCCAAGAACATGGAATTCAAAGTACAAGGGAAGAAACAAACAAAATAAGCTGGATCCATGAACAAAGTTATTAATTATGATGAATCAAGTTCTGAAATTGAAAACATTTGAGCTAGATTTCTCAAATCAATGCGTTTCATAGTACGAATCATTGAAAATCTAAGCTCAAACAGGTCTATGAAATTAGTTTTTAAAATTTCTCGATTCCGTTCTTCTTGGCTATTAAACCCTAGAATAATTGGCGGCGATATAGCGATGAGTTTTCGTCTTCCTAGAGTTAAAGAACCAGATTCAAAGTCGGCAAAATGGAGACAGAGAATACCCAAAATAGAAAAACCCTAATCTCGATTCTACAATGCCGAAAACCCAGAAAATTTCTCAAAACGAAGTAACTCATGAAGAAAATCAGCAAAGCGAAAACGGAGAAGGGGTTTGGTTTAGGGTACCGTCGGGAACTCCGGTAAGTTTCGATGATGGTGTTGACTGCGAAGCTTTGTGGAACAACGTGACCGTCGTCGTCACTGGATTCACTGGTGAATTTGAGGTGAGGAAGCCAAAATATAATTTAGCTGGTCAAAGTTACCACTCTCAACAAGCCACGTGTCAGGAACTTTGTTGACCAGTGTGACTAACCAACCTTGAAACCAAAAATATCCACATTTTTTACATGCTCTAGTTTAATAAACTTATAAACACTACGTATAAAATAAATATCTCACACTGAAAAATTATACAAAAGTACTAAATATTTTTCGTTATAAATGTTGAATTGAAACTAAAAGATATATGGCTTATTTAGGCAAAGGTATACAATATACTTTTAAATATGATGTTTGGGTAGTTTTTATTATTTGGGATTGAATTTTTTTTTATGAAAGTGTCTTCAATGAGTTATATATATATTTTTTTTGGTAAAAGTCATGAGTTATATTTAACAACTAATTAGTGAGATATATTTAAGATTTTCAAAAATTGTATAATTTAAAAAAAATTACATATTTAAGATTTTAAAACTTTAAATATGAAATAGAAACACAGTGTTTCAAACACTAAATTGTGTGATTGACAAAAAAAAAAAAAAAAAAAAAAAAACACTAGGTGTTATTCATTCATGGAGTTAAAGTCAATTCTTAAAGGTTTAGATTTGATTTCTGAAATTGTTTTTAACAATCTGTTTGTGTGGAGTTCAAAATCTCTGCAGTATATCTTGGATTATGATTCTAATAATTTACTCATGAAATCCAAAGATGTTTCATTTCAAATGATTTGATATACAAAGATTTTACAAGTCTTTTAGTTTTGAATAACACTGGATTTTAATGAAGCATTTTAAATCTTAGTTGAATAACACCAAACTTTAAAATCTATTAGAGTTAGATTTAGAATCATTAGGTTAATAACACTGGATTAGTGTTGGATTTCAATTCTATTAAAATCCATCATTGAATAACACCACCTAAATTGTGTAGTAGTCAACCGGAAAACCAAAAGAAACTTCAGCTAATTAGCTTTTTTTGTAAGTAACGTCTCTTCGTTTTTATTAGTTAATCAATTTGAAATCGTAACAGGACATAGAAATATAGTAGTATCTACTATTATTGTCGATATGTCATTGATCTGATTCATAATGCTTATTGACAAGAAAGGAGATTAACTTAACAATGTATTATTTAACAAGGAGCTTAACTTGCGGATTAGGATTATAAATGAACAAGTTAACTTTCTCGTCGTGACAATCAATTAACGCTACGTGATCGTGATCCAGCTGGCCTAGACACGTGCTTCAAACAACAACGAGGTATTCGTGCATTACGCCTATATATTTAGTTTATCATCATACCATGCCATTACCTTGTAATAAACCACTTAAATACATGAACTCTTCGTTGACCATTTTAGAACGATCAAAATCTTACTATCGAAGAAGAAACCACAGCGAAAAATGGAGATTTATGAAGAGGAGAACAGAGGAATAGAAGGCAAAGTCGTAGCCGTGACGGGTGGGTTGGGTTTAGTCGGCTCCAACTTATGCCTTGAGCTGCTCCGCCGTGGTGCTCTCCAAGTCCGCTCATTGGACTGCCGCACCACCTCTCCTTGGTCAGACCGTCTCAAAGAATCTGGCGTCCAATGCATAAACGGTATTCATCTTGATTTGACTCTCTACTCTAATCAATGAGCTCAAGATTTTAAGATTAATATGACGATTATATCATATGAGTAGTGTATATTTCTTGAATCACGTGCTTTCAACTCAAAACCAATTGACTACGAGTACATTGATCCATCTTTTATATAAAGGTTTGATCTATCAGTACCACTTCCACTTTGTAATATTCTAACAATAATATACTTGTTCACATTATTCTGTCAGGAGATGTTGTGAGTAGAGAGGACGTAGAAGAGGCCCTTGAAGGAGTGGACTGTGTGATTCATCTTGCTTCGTACGGTGGTTCGGGTAAGGAAATGGTTCGGACTCATCGGATCGAGGAAGTCAACGTGGAAGGGACGCGTAACGTTTTGGAAACCTGCGTGAAGAAAGGGATCACGAGGCTAGTGTATTTAAGCACAAACGGTGTCGTTTTAGGTGGGAAAGAGATTGAGAGTGGAGATGAAACTCTACCTTATGTAGTAGCTTCCGATCAATACGTTAGTTCATATGATCGGACTAAATCTATTGCCGAACAATTGGTTCTAGAGAACATCGGTCGTCCTGTTGAGTAAGTGCAAAGTCAATATTTATCTTGTTGTTTACTAATGTCTTCCACTTGTGTGCTAATGTCTTCTATATGTTTATGGGAATATAGGAATGGACGTGGAAGTCTTTTATCTACGTGTGCGATTCGTTGCCCGATTGTTTATGGGCCGGCTGAAGAGAAGTATCTTGATAGGATAATCTCCGATGCAAGATTGGGTTTATTCCTCTTCAAAATCGGCGATGCAAGCTCGAAAACCGACTGGATTTATGTGGATAACATTGTATTCGCGCTCATGTTGGCAACCACCGATTTACTCAATGAACACTCGAAAGCCTCAGGGAAGGCCTACTTTGTTTCTGATGGTAAAATTTACACTCTCAAACTTTGTTTCTGTATACTCTGCTTTTATCGATTTACCTCGAACCCCATTTTTGTGGTTTATTTATGCAGATAATCCAATAAATTTCTTCGAATTTCTTCAGCCACTTTTAAAGAATCTTGATTATGATCTTCCCAAGTTATCGCTATCTATTTCGCTTGCGGTTCTACTAGGAAAAATATGTGAAGCAATATACACAATGCTAACACCAGTACTAAACCAAAGGTGGATTCCACAACCATTGATTCTTCCGCCTGAAGTTTATAAGGTTTGTTAGAGAGTAGTTTTGATTACACTAGAGAATAAGAAATAAATCAAAAACATGAATTGGCATGAGCTTATAACGTTTTTCTTAATGTAACAGGTGGGGGTGACTCATTACTACTCGATCCGCAAAGCCAAGGAGGAACTCGGGTACGAGCCTACGATACAGCCCGAAGAAGCCATGAGCGAAACCATTACATATTTTAAAGACAAGAAAAGGAGAGAGGTCGATGGTCCAAGCATTTACGCGTGGATTTTCTGTGTGATCGGTTTGCCTAGCATTATATCAGTCGCATGGCTACCGGACATTGGACCCATACCGTTCTTTCGAGCCATTGCGCTGTTTATCTTCAGGTCGATGTTAGTGTTGCGGATAGCATCGGGGATTGTGGTGACAACGCATGTTAGTGAAGCAGTTTATGCGTTATGGCTGGCTAAGAGAGTGGATCCCAAGAATGCAAAGGCCTGGTTTTGGCGGACGCTACTTCTCGCTACTTTCTCGCTTCGATTACTTTTGAAAAGAGCCAAAGAAGTAAAACAAGCATCAACATTAAGAGAAGGTCTTCTAACCAATTCGGAGTCGTCATTTGCTTAATGATTCGTTATGTGAACAAATTTAAACCATGCTTCGAATATTCACACTACGATATCATTCATTATTGATCATTTTCGACATTTTTAATTGGTAAAAAATATTTAGCCGTGGACTTTCAGTTTATCAAAAAACAAAAATCATGTAAATGTTGTATGGAAATTAGTAACTGAAACATAGTGTCATTTGTGTGTCTAATTGGATGTATGCATTATGCAATTTAAATGTTGGTGAATAAAACAAAAATTTTTGTTAGAATATTATTATATTAAAAAATTATAAATACTGAATTTAATCCTCAGTCACTTAAAAAAAAAAAACTTTGTTTATGATTAGAAAAAATAAAAATTGAAACAGCAAAAGGGAGATAGATTTTGTGAAAACAGAGAAGCGGACATATCTTGAAACACATGGCAGCGATTTCTCCATGGTTTTCTTCTCCTCAGAGTGTTTCGTCTCGTTATATGAAGAGCTTTACAAGTACTCTCAATCTCTATCTCTCACACACACTTCACTGATTCATCTTAGTTCTTGTACGAAATTCATATTCTTGAAGCTAATTCTTTCCAGATTCCAGAAGATGTTCATCAATTCCTGTAGCAATCTCTGCTCTAGACAGCTCCAACGAGGAACAACATCGAATTTCGTAAAATTCACTACCTTTCTTTATGGGTATGTTCTGAATCTGTTTAAAGTCTCAATCTTTTTTGTTAACAGGTCCAGAGATCATGTGGGGATTAAAAGAAGAGAAGCCATGTTACAGATAGCTTCCTCTGTTTTCTTCCTTCCATTGGTCGTTTCACCTGCATTTGCAGAGACAAGTATTGTTGATTCAAAGCTCTTTTTATTGTTGATTCCTTGAGAATATGGAAGCTTTATATATAAAACTTTTTTTTTAAGCTATCTCAGATGCATCAGAAGCTTTCCGTGTGTACACAGATGAAGCGAACAAATTCGAGATATCAATCCCACAAGGTAATCTAATCAAACTCTGTTTTTAAATACTTATGATAGTGAAGAAGCCATGATGACTGATGAAACAATCTGATTTGCATTCATACGAAGAAGATTGGCAAGTCGGGCAAGCAGAACCTAATGGATTCAAGTCAATCACAGCCTTTTACCCTCAAGAAACTTCAACTTCCAATGGTAAATTTATCAAGATTTGTTTCTGTTTACTTTCTCTGCTTCACAAGTCATGAGCTAACTGATAATTGATGAATATGGATCTTCTCAGTGAGCATAGCGATCACTGGACTAGGTCCGGACTTCACCAGGATGGAATCTTTTGGAAAGGTCGAAGCGTTCGCTGAAACACTGGTTAGTAGTCTCTCTACCTGGAATTCAAACTAACGAACTCTCTGCAAAAAGATTTTCCGTATAAGTAAGTGTCGACATGACATTTATTTATAGGTCAGTGGATTGGATAGAAGCTGGCAAAAACCAGCAGGAGTGACTGCAAAGCTAATCGATAGCAGATCTTCCAAGGGTAAATACAAAAATCTCAACTAATTGAGAATCTCTCAAGTATCTGCTTTGTTTCGTTGACACAATTTATGATCAGGATTCTATTACATCGAGTACACCTTACAAAACCCTGGAGAAGCTCGCAAGCATTTGTACTCTGCAATTGGAATGGCAACAAACGGTTGGTACAACCGCTTATACACTGTCACAGGACAGGTAACTCTACTCTTATTGCCACAATAACCTATTTGACTGTTTTTTTTTAATGTCTTAACACAATGACCATCTTTGGGTACTACAGTTTACAGATGAAGAATCTGCTGAACAAAGCTCCAAGATCCAAAAGGTAAGACAGAAGACACTACAACAATCACATAGTTCACCAAAACCTGTTGCTTATGACCCTATCTTTGTTTTTGCAGACAGTCAAGTCTTTCAGATTCATCTGAGAATGCCATTCATATCTATCAGCGGAACTAAATTATAGAATTTATCAAGCAATTTGTTTACGGAACAATCACTTTTTTCAATGAAATTCTGAGAAAAGAGCCAACTCCATTCATCAGTGTGTTCAGAAATGGAAGAAGAAAGAACCCTAAATATGAACAGTCACAGACAAAGGGCATGAACATATTTTACTTACAATGCAGGACTTGGGGACAAAGGCTATATACCTATCAATGTTACTCACTACACTCCTGCACCTGAAGGAAGTGTAGTGGTATTACGACTTTAGACTAGAAAAGAATCAGATTTTGATTCTACCATATGTATATGCTTGTGTATGTGTGTATATAATATATATGCATATTGTACACCAACTTATTACTAATGGTCTTCCCCTCCGAGGGAAACCCGCTATGGTGCCTACAAACTCAACCCGAGCTCGAGCCAGTAGCTTTTTTGTGACTGTGTTTTATACACATTGATGGATGGGTAAGAAAACGGAAGCGTAAACCCTGAAACTCCAATTTCCTTTTCTTTTTTCCTTCTGAGCCTTCCCGTGAGCAAGACTATTTTATATAACCTGTACATCAATAAGATCCCGACGTTAATGAGATCAACGCATTATGATGATGACCATCCTCTGTTTATGCATTTACAATAATGCAGAAAAAGAAACACATACCTTAAGGATGCAAGATAAATAACGTGCAAGACTTAATAATACAAGAAGTCTCTGCTGCCACATCTAGTAGCAGTTTCTTTTCTTCCTCAATAACTTCCTTTTCTCCTCGGTCCTCAAGAATAACTGAAACCATTACAATCATATAAGCGGTGGAAAAAAAAGAAACAAATGTGCATGATTCCTCAATACTACACTCAAAGTACAGAAAGCATAGTGTTAATTCTCACCTTGTTGTTTGGTCAGAACCGCTACTCTGCATAAATTGAGGGGAATGGACAATGATATGCGACTGTACAGGAGCAGGGCCTGGTATACCTGACATACATAATTCAAAAGAGGACATAACTATAACTAATTGCACATAAACTTAGTTTTTCCATAATGCCTCTAACTCAGAAGCGATCGAGCCAGTACTCTTGAGATTTGATCACTCAGAGCATACCTGAAGGGTAAGGAGCTTGAAGAGCAGACATAGATGAAGTGGTCATCGCACTGACAGTGGGTCCACCAAGCTGCAGAACATGGCTTCCTGGAACTGAATACCCTTGAACTGCTGGATAACCATGGCCACCGGGAATAGTCGGACTTAGTTGCCCGTATTGATAAACGGGCGAATTCACTGCTCCAGGTACTCCGTAGACCTGAAGGTACTGCTGACCCATGTATGGACCATATAAACCCTAAACCATGAAACAAGCAAAGACATAAGTTACAAGACATTTCATGAAAAAGAGAAATAACAGCAAGTGCTCTTAGCCATTGCCAACCTGTGATTGTGAGTACATGTACTCGGGTCCATAAGCGGTTACCCTGAGATAGAAACGAAAAACAAACTTTAGAAACAAATTTAATGAACCGTAGACACTTGCGCAAAGACATCAGTGTACTGTGTGATATAAGAATTGCAAGACTCACCCATAAGGATAGACAACTCCTTGCTGGTAGTTATATGGAAGTGGTTGCTGATACGGATAATTTCCAATAAGTGAACCACGAGGACCCTGCACATTTCCAATGTACGGGGAAGCAGGTCTTAAGCGTCCTAACCACACACAAAAACCCACCAATGCACTAAATTACGAGTATTCTACAATAACATAGCTAAAGAATATTAAACCAAAGCAAACGAGTCTAAATAAGAGAGCAGGACTGACCAGGCATATTAGGTATCAATGCATAGGGCAATGGAGGCCGAGGTCTCCCAAGGGAAGCAAGATTACAGTTTGCACGTCTACCGTCGATAATCGGAGTTGGGTCAGCACAAGCTCTCCTAGCAGCTTCTGGATCTCGGAAAGTCACCTATAAATCCTCCATATGAAATAGAAACAGAGCACTCAATCATTCACAAAACAACTGCAACAGAATCACACCAAAATTAATGACTTTTCTTTGTTCTATAACTATTTCACACGATCCATAAGCGTTATATGACAAAATCCTAGTTTCAAGTGTATCTTTAAAGCAACATTTAGCAACTCTATGAGACATTCCAGAGCAAGAAAGATTGAAGAAGGAGAAGAGGGGACTCACAAAGCCATAACCTTTGGATCGGCCAGTGTTCTTATCAGCAATGACAACAGCTTCAAGGATTTCACCGAACTGTTCGAAATGCCGACGAAGGGTTTCACTTTGAGTCTCCCAAGCAAGGCCACCGACGAATACCTTAGTGAAAGTTGTATCACCAAAAGGAGAATTCAAGTAGTGAAACCCAGAACCCGGAACAGGCTGATACGCCATGATTAACTTACAGGTGAGTAAGAAAGAGAATTAAGCAGAAGAAAAAATTGAAACTTTATGCCAAAGAAAGAAGATAGAATTATGAACAAGGATCAATTCTTCTAAGTGATGATGATAAAGGTAACCGAGTAAACCCTAGAGATAATTGCAATGATTAAGCCCAGTGAAAGTGATGAAACCCATTGGATTAGAAGCGGAGATTCTAGGGTTTACTCGGTTGTGTGAAATAGAGATGGAGAAGAAGGGAGAAAAAGTGAGATTTGGGGGAAACAAAATACCTAAAAGATCATTCCCTACTAATAATGACGAAAGGTAAAGAGATCAAATTTCCCGGAAAAAAAAAAGGAAAAGCAAAAGCAGTGTGGGTTTAAGGATGGGCCACAGAGAGAAGAAGAAGAAGAAGAAGTCGGTGGGTGAAATTAGGGTTTTTGTACTAAAAGAAAGGATCACAAGAAATTATAAACAAAAAAGAAGCTACAGGGTCGAAATTCGAAATCTGTAGAAGAAAAAAAAACTTGAAGCAAAAGTTAATTAAAAACCTAAAAAACTAGAAGAAGGAAAAAAGATGAAACGATTTTAGGGTAAAGGGTTGTTTGGTTTGGGGAATTCCATTGATGGTGATGATGAAGAAGTTGGTGATGACGATGAAGATGATGATGATGATGATGGTGCGTGATTTGTTGAAGATGAAGAGAGAGAGAAAGATACTTTTGTTTCTGGCCATTGTAAATGACGTGGGGCCCATATTTATAACTCTAATTCTGTAATTAACGTCGTAATCATCGATCTATGTTTTGTCTGAATCAAATCTATCCGTTGTAACTTGTAAGTAAACGTTACAGAATTGTGAATTCGTTTTGGTGCCAAGGCAAAAAAAATAATAACTTTAGTTAATGGAATGTTAATTTAATCCAGATTTCGATACGATTTTTGGTTTTATATCAGTTTATAAAACTTGTAAGTCACTCTCAAACTTGTGTAACTCGGAAAATCCCAAATAAATGGCTAGGGGTTCATGAGCTCGTGACTCATTTAACCCCACAAGTCCACAATGTGGTCCAAATGTCATTGATATTAAGGAACCGTAACCACTAGACTACAAAAAACTTATAACGACAATTATATTTGTACCTACTAGACTACAAAGCTATAACGGCATTTGAATTGGTTTTTATTTTGCCGCGGACTACGATTCACAGACACTTTAAGTCTAGTGGTCGATCGGATTCAAATCCAATAAAAACCAAATTGTATTGAGATATATAAAGAAACCGTGAGACTCTGAAAGTGATAAATATCTGAAGTTTTACAAAGAAGAACACCAATATGATGAAGAAGGACTACGTCCGTACGAGGTTCTTTTTCTCCCAGGCACGAGTCTCGAGGTCTTCTCACCAACTTCACGGGATGGCATTTTCCACCGCACCTAACACTTCCTCCGCCGTGTAAAAGCTCTGCTCCACCGCAACCACTTTCTCCGGCGAATTTTTTTTTTCTTTTTTCCTCTGGATCTTTCGGTTTCACCGTTAAGATTGCGAGACGCTTAACCCCGTCAGGAGACCCGACTCCAATGCAGAGGCTTTCGAGGTTTTTGGGCTTCTCCTTGGGCGGCTGCGCTTAAGCTGCTCTGTTTTTTCAGAGTCCTCTTCTCCCATTTGGAGATTTTACTCCCCCTTGGAGTTTCTACTGCTGTGTGCAGTCCCGTAGTGCTGTCAAAGATCAGAGTTCACACAGCGTCTCTCTACAGTTTGTTGCTGGAATTTTTGTAAGCTCTTTGGTGGTTGGTCTTTGTTCTCTACTTCTACAGTCTTGTCTCTGTAAGTAAGAACCCGCCCCAGGCTTCCCTAGAAGCGCTCCTCATCTAGACCAGCAGGATGTCTCAGAAGTACTCCAGGCAGGAGAAAGCAAAATGGGTAGCTCCTAAGAAGATAGGAAGTCATAGATCCCCTGTTCGGATCCCTGAATGCGACAATGAAGATCTCATTCGTAAGAACAACCTCACGCTCGTTGGCAGAGTCACAAACCCTAAGATTCAACACGCGAAGGCACTGGTAACCTATATGTTGCAGTTCTGGAACTTGGAAGGCAGAGTCGCCGGCAGGGAACTGGGACCAGGAAGATTTCAGTTCACTTTCAAGTCTGAAGCTGACCTACAGCTGGTTCTGAGCTGGTCCCCTTTCCACTTCAAACATTGGATGTTTATTCTCCAAAGGTGGGAGCCTATTATTTCAGAAGATTTCCCATCCAACATCCTCTTCTGGGTTCAATTACAGGGGCTTCCCCAACATTATTGGACTGACAAGGCGTTAAGAACCATAGGAGAAGAGATTGGTGTTGTCGAGGCTACCGACCCTGAAGAAGTTAGAATCAGGGTCTATATCAATGCCTTGCAACCTTTAGAGATGCAAATCCCTATTATGCTGCCCTCAGGAGAGACAACTATGGTGTCTCTTGAATATGAAAAGCTGGAAAAACACTGCTTTGAGTGTTTCTCTCTGTCCCATGAAAAGAAGGATTGTCTGCGTAGAGAGCCTCGGACCATTAGAGAGGAACACGATGGGAATTCAAATCGAATTAATACTCTGTCCCGCATTGAGGAGAGTAAAAGTAGACAAAATAGCCGTAAAGGAAAGGAGTCAGATCGTGTGGATTATTCCCTTCAAGGCTTAAGGGCTAGGTCCAGAGGGAGATATGAAGTTAGATCCCCACAAAGAAGATCTCCTCCTAGACACTTTCGTCAAAGGGATTCTGGAAGAGATCGTTCCCCAGATAGGAGAAGAGAGCAAATGCAGAGTGTTGGTCGTCGCGGCTATTCCACAAAAGTTTCTGCAGGCTATTCCCAACGTCATCTTCATAAGCAGAAGTCTGATCGCTTCTTTGAAAGTAGGAGGGAGGATTCTAGAGGAAGAAGCAGAAGATCTCCTCAAAGAACAAGAAGCTTCCAGGCCACGAATAGCGGAGTGGGTGTGGAGTATCAGAGTGATCTTAGAGCCTCTATCAATCTCCGACAAGAAGCGGTGGCTTCTCCTCCTGCTGGTACCAGACTCCCCCCACCACCTCCTCTTCCTGCTAACAGAGGGGAGCTTCAAGGTACACCAAAATCCCGGCGGCCAGCGTTGGAGAGGTTATCAGAAGGAGCTCATGTCACGGGCCCTGATCCCTTCCCAGGCTTGTCATCCTCAATGTCAGGCAGACTGCAAGACGTGAATATCCAATATTTAGGAGAAGAAGGGAGGGATATTCCTTTAAATAACGTTGAATTCCAAGTTGGATCAAGCTCAGGACCAAGCCATCCTACCTTGGGTCACAGGCTTTCCCAGGTGCAAGGAGACTCTCCACAGGGTAGCAGGAAACATGTCTCAGAGAGACTAGGAGGGGAGCAGACAGAGGTTATGGTCTCCATTCCGGCAAAGCTGCCTAAGCAAAAGGCGGCTCCTAGAAGGAAAGTGGCGGGTGCTGCAAAGCCTAGAGTGGTTAAAAGTCCTTTGCAAGGAGCCAGCTCAAAAAAAAGAAATTCCACCAAATCAAATGTAGTAGCAGCAAAAAAGCGTCTGTGTACAGAGCAAGTTCCAGAGGAGGAGGAGGGCTCGGGTGTTGAACCGCAGGTCAGGCCGCAGACCGGACGGGTAGCCATGGCTGCAAAGAAGCTAAAGACTAAGGTGGATTTTCAAAACCCACCAAATCCTCTTCCTTAGTCTTGGTGAGTTGGAACTGTCAAGGGCTTGGAGGTACCCTTACAGTTCCCAGATTATGGGAGATCAAATCTGACTTCTCCCCAAACATTTTGTTTCTCATGGAAACAAAAAACAATGATGAAGAGGTTTTTCTGATTTTTAAATCAATGGGTTATGTAAACCGGTTTACGGTCCCTCCTCTCGGTCTCAGTGGAGGCCTTGCCTTGTTCTGGAAAGAGGATGTTGATATTGAAATTATTTCCTTCTCACCAAACTTCATAGACTCCAAAATCAGTTTCAAGAAGATCTCCTCCTTCATTACATTTACATATGGAGCTCCGCAGGTAGAGGAAAGACAAGGCGTTTGGGATGAAATTTCTGCTTTTGGGGAAGCACGAGAGGAGGCTTGGCTGCTTACAGGTGACTTCAATGAGATCCTTGATAACTCTGAGAAGCTAGGAGGGCCGGCAAGGGCTGAGGGTTCTTTTATTCCGTTTAGAAGCTTCCTCTCTCAAAATGGCCTGTGGGATCTAAATCATTCTGGCAACAACCTCTCGTGGAGAGGCCAACGACACTCTCATTTCATTCTCTCTAGGTTGGACAGAGCGATTGCAAACACTTCTTGGTCTGAAGCTTACCCTTCCGGGCGCTGCAAGTACCTTCGCTTTGAGGGATCGGATCACCGCCCTCTAGTTACTTACTTTGATCCATCAAAGGTAAAGCCAAAAGGGGTTTTCAGGTTTGATAGACAACTTCGGGATAAGGAGGAGATTCGCAGTCTCATTGGTTCTTCCTGGCAGAGCCAAAACTCTCAAAACCATGATTCTCTATTTGCTAAGTTTGGTCGCTGCAGGAGAAATTTAATTAAGTGGGCAAAGGATCAGATGATTCTGAAGGTACAAGAGGTTAAGGATTCACAGGAGGCGCTTGAGGCTGCTCTGTCTGCTACCACTCCAGATTTAGAGCTCATAGACTCTCTTACGTTGGTGCTGGCCACCGCCTATAAAGAGGAAGCAGCCTTCTGGCGACAGCGAAGCAGAGTTCAGTGGCTTCAAGAAGGTGACCAGAACACTGGTTTCTTTCACGCGGTTACCAGGGGAAGAAAAGCGCAAAATCACTTGTCTGTGATCGAAGATGAGCAGGGAATAGAGCACTGTGAGGATGCACAAATTGCAGAAACAGTGGCGGGATTCTATCAGAAGCTTTTCACGACAGCGTCCACCAATCAAATACGGGTGGTAGAAGAGGCTATCAAACCACAGATCACCGACGCCATGAACGCAAAGTTAACTGCAATCCCGTCGGATAAGGAGATTCATGATGCTGTTTTGGATATTCACGCGGACAAAGCTCCGGGTCCGGACGGCTTTTCCGCAGGCTTTTACCATTCCTTTTGGGAAATTATTGGCAAGGACGTGGCTCATGAGGTTAGATCCTTCTTTAACACAGGCAGTTTGCACCCAAGACATAATGAGACCCATATTAGGCTCATTCCAAAGGGTTTAGGTCCAAAGAAAGTGGCGGATTATCGGCCTATTGCTCTTTGTAGCGTTCACTACAAAATTATAGCTAAGCTTCTTTCCAAAAGGCTTCAACCGCTCCTCCCTAAGCTAATCTCCAAGCACCAATCTGCCTTTGTACCAGGAAGGGCGATCTCCGATAATGTCTTGATTACTCATGAAGTTCTTCACTTCCTTAGAGCCTCAAAAGCTAGAGTCCGTTGCTCCATGGCGGTAAAAACGGACATGAGTAAGGCTTATGATCGTATCGAATGGGCTTTCCTTCAAACCGTGTTAGAAAGATTCGGCTTCCACGACATGTGGATCTCTTGGATTATGGATTGTGTCTCCTCCGTGGCTTACTCCTTTCTTATTAATGGATCTCCTCTTGGTAGAGTTATTCCGTCGCGGGGACTTCGTCAAGGAGACCCGCTTTCGCCCTATCTTTTTATTCTTTGCACGGAGGTCCTTTCGGGTCTTTGTCTCAATGCTCAAAGGATTGGCTCTCTTCCGGGAGTTCGGGTGGCCCGTAAGAGCCCGTTGATCAATCATCTTCTTTTTGCGGATGACACAATGTTTTTTAGTAAAACAAGTGTTAAAAGCTGTGAAGCTCTTTTGTCCATTCTTAAAAGGTATGAAGAAGCTTCGGGACAATGCATAAATGTGACAAAATCCGGTATTACTTTCTCTTCTAAAACACCTCCGGAGGTAAAGTTGAGAGTTAAGCTCACTCTAGGCATCAATAATGAAGGCGGAGTGGGGAAGTATCTTGGTCTCCCCGAGCACTTTGGAAGGAAAAAGAAAGACATTTTCACCGGCATAGTGGATAAAGTTAGGCAACGGGCTTTGACTTGGTCGAACCGGTTCCTTTCCGGGGCCGGTAAACAAGTGCTCCTCAAGGCCGTTCTTTCGGCCATGCCCTCTTATGCAATGTCTTGTTTTAAGCTTCCTATGTCCCTTTGTAAGCGCCTCCAATCGGCTCTCACTCGCTTTTGGTGGGATGATAAACCGGATAAAAGAAAGATGTGTTGGGTGGCATGGAATAAGCTTACAAAGCCAAAGGATAGTGGGGGCTTGGGGTTTAGAGATATTGCTACCTTTAATGACTCTCTTCTTGCAAAAATCGGTTGGTCTCTCTTGAGTAATCCGGAGTCCTTGCTCGCTCAAGTTCTTTTGGGCAAATATTGTCATTCCTCCTCCTTCATGGAGTCCAATGTACCGGCAAATGCTTCTCATGGTTGGAGAGGGATCATAGAAGGTCGAAAAATTTTAAAACAAGGTGTGGGGTGGATTATAGGGAATGGAGAGTCTGTAAGTGTGTGGAATACGCCTTGGCTGTCTTCTTCCCTCCCTTTAAGCCCAATGGGTCCACCGCCTCTGTCGTCCTGCAATCTTTTGGTTAAGGATCTCCTTCTTCCTGATTCTACAAGTTGGAACTTGGAAGCAATTAGGCTGCATGTACCTCTTTATGAGGAAAATATACTCAAAATAGTTTTGAGTTCTGTTAAAAAACCAGACAAGCTACGTTGGCTTCCGGTCAAAGCGGGGACTTATTCAACCAAATCGGGTTACAATTTGGGCAGGAAAAACGCAGTCCCCCCTCTTCTAGATAAGTTCAATTGGGGAACTAGTGTTTGGAAGGTCCGTACTTCACCAAAACTAAAGATGTTTCTGTGGAAAGTGGCTCGCAACGCTCTCCCTGTTGGTTTGGCTCTGGCGGCTAGAGGGTTGGAAGCTGATACATCTTGTAAGAGATGTGGAGAAGTGGAGAGTGCTGAGCACCTGTTTTTCAATTGCCCTTTTGCAAGGCGGGCGTGGGAGCTCCTTCCAGTTAATAGGCTGCCTATCTTGCGCGAACCTTGGAGTGTGAAGGAGCTTCTGGTGGAAGCTCGCAAAGGGATCACTCTCCCTCCGGTGGGTGTTGGTCTGACTCAGCTTTACCCGTGGTTGCTTTGGTTCTTGTGGAAGGCTCGTAATCTTCTGGTTTTTGAAAACCAACTCTGTTCTGAGGAAGATACGGTCCGCAGAGCTATTAAGGAAGCAAAAGCGTGGCAAGAGGCCAGAGCTCTCTCTCCTCCTTCTCAGTCAAGCAAGCTTAGTAAGATCCGCAACTCCCCTCGCAGTGATGCTCTGTGTTGCTTCTCTGATGCGGCCTGGAAGGCGGAGAGCAGTAGTTGCGGTTTGGGGTGGATCATCAAGGATCCATCCAAGGTTTTGATCCATCAGGGATCCTCCTCAAGACCCTTTGTTTCTTCTGCTCTTGTAGCAGAGTCACTGGCTTTAAAAGCGGCGATTTCGGCGGCTTTAGCTTTGGGTGCATCAAGAGTGGCCTGCTTCTCGGATTGTCAAGAGCTTATGCTCCTCCTCAATGCCGAAGGTCATGCTAACGAGATTGACGGCATTATGGAAGACATCAAGCTTCTCAAGGCCAGCTTTCTCTCTGTTTCGTTTCATTTTATCCCTCGTATTGAAAACTCTCAGGCTGATTTGCTTGCTAAGTCAGCACTGTTATCTTGTTCCTCCTCCTCTGTTTTGGGAGTTTGAGTTTATTTATATTAAGCAAAGTTTCACAAAAAAAAAAAAAAAAAAGAACACCAATATGATGATAGATATGCCACTTTATTTAATGTGAAGAGACAGTCACTGTGAGTAAGCTATGCCTTTGGAAGATCACCAGCTACTTCAAAGCTGACAACAGAATCATCAATGGTTTCTTCTAATGGCCTAAACTTCCACCCTAAATTCTTCAACTTCTCTGCACTTAGAGGCCTCACTTCCTTCTCTTTTACCTCAGTGAAACTGCCATTATACATTTCATCAGATCAGACCGAAATCTCAAAGTTTTAAATCAACCTTTGGTTCTTACTCTTACCTTTCAGGGAAGTTGCGTTTAGGATACATATTCTTGAGCTTCTCCATAAGAGAATCGATGTGAAGTGAATGAGAATTGCATATGTATCTTCCTTTTGCTTCTCGATTTTCATACACCAACAAAAGTGCATCCGCAACATCACGCACATCCACAAGATACAGTTGATCGCTCAACAAGGACTTTATACCGCCTAAGAAGAGACACCAATTCATCAAATTTTCAAGAATGAATCAATCATTTAACCAAAATATGTAATAGGAGGTATGAGAACACACATTACATATTTAACATCACCTTTTATGAATTTGAGAAGTCCCAAACTACTAGAGTTAAGCCTGGATTGAAGCCTAGGGCCTATCGTGACAGACGGACAGAGCGTAACAACCTCAGCAAAGTTTCTCTTCCTCCACTCTAAAGCTTCACGTTCCGTTAGTGTTTTGGCAAGATAGTAATAAGGCCAATAACCCTGAGATCCTCAGGTTTTGCGTCGCAGAAAACACTCAATTCTGTTACTGTCTTTGGTTTATATAATATAAAACAGAGACAATCTGACCAACATGCTAGCTTCAAAGATACAATATTACCTCAAGTGAGTGAAGGTATTGAGTGTCTGACCAACAATCCTCGTCCTTAGCAACATCTTGAGGCCATTTTGGATTGTAGACAACTGCAGCAATTGATGATACAACCACAACTTTCTGCACTTTAGTTTCTGTGCATGCTTCAAGAACATTCTTGGTGCCAGTGAGAGCTGGTTTAATCAGTTCTTCCTGAATTTTTAAAGACTTTTTTAGTGATTCAAGAAACAAACAAAAGAGGAATCAATGTTTGATTAGAACTTGCCTCTGTGAGAGGAACTCCTTCAAAAGGCACAGGAGAAGCGATATGGAAAACGCCAGAGCAACCATCAATGGCTGAGAAAAGACCTTCATAATCAAACAAATCTGCCTTGAAAAGTTTCAGATTCTTTGCAGCATTATCCAGTTTCCTCAAATGGTCATTCTTTTCATCACCTGAGAACAATAAATCAGTGCATGCAACTTTCTCAAACTCAAGAAACAGAGAAAATTCAAAAGTTCACAAAGTAAACAAAAAAGGATAGGATTTGTTTTCTTTCTTCTCCCTTACAAGGATCTCGAACGGTTCCATGGACAGTGTAGCCACGAGAGAGAAGAAACTTGACGAGCCATGAAGCGATAAACCCTCCAGCACCAGTAACACAGACCTTTTGCTTTTCAGCCATTGGCGTCGTTCTCTTTAGCAACTTAATAAGATGCTCTTTGGAGTGAACGAAAGAGAAAACAAGTCCCAAGGTATTTATACACAAGTCACATGTCTTTAACTACTCATCTTTAAGTTAAGTAGCGTATAAATTTGAGTTAAGCTGGATAAAGATTGCAAGTTCAGATTCTACAGACATTGAAATATTAAATTAATTTTTTAAGCTGATAACAATTTTATAAGATTTTTTTTTGTTTTTTTATTAATTCATATATCTTTATAATGTGATAATCTTAAAATTTAAATATTTGAAGAGAGGAAAACATTTCTACATGATACTTAAGTTAAGAAAAATATTATCATGCACATAGTTTATCACAGCCTAATTTGACCTTTCTTAGAAATCTACAGTGATCTCCACAGGTAAATTACTAAGTTAAGGAAACAGAACGAACTTTGAAGTTTATCATGAACAATAGTCTAACACAGCCTAATTTGATCACTTTTTATCTCACACGCTATTGGGCAGAAAAGTCTCGAATGGTAAAGAAGCAAAAGAAGACAAGACAATGTTGGATTGTGGAAGAACTGTTGTAAAGTGAATCCAAAAGAAAGAGCAAACAACACTAGAGATGATGAAAATACAATTGATAAGTTATATAGCAATAAGAAACATGTATGATCTCAAGAATCTTTTCCGTCGCTGCGATGCGAAGAACCTACACCTTGATCTTTTATAAGAACAGAGGATGGTAGGAATCGAGGAACTATAAACGCCACCACAAGACACAAAGCTACTAATATAACCACTGAAGAGCTTGAATAAGGTATGCCCATGAGTTGTTCTTCACAAACTGTTTTTGTTACCAAAGAGTTTTGAGACTTAGAAGTAGGTACAAAGATGCAAAAGAGTGCTTATCTCTCAATGTAAATGGATACATAATGTAAGAGCTTGCCTATATTGTAAATGATGAAAGATCTTTCTTTGGAATTTGGTATTGCCACAATCCCCTCGGGTTCCACGGTCACCAAAACATTCAATCCAGCCTAAAACCAAAAGCTGAGGACATGTTCGAAGGAATTAACAAAAGCTATATATATTCTTGATGGCAATACCTTATTGTTAACTTCTTCAAGACTTTCCACCTTGAACATCAACTTCTCAGTGTTTAGTAATCTCCTCATCTGGTTTAGCTTCAATCCCATTTCACGGTTCTTGAGTAGTTTCAGCGAAAACCGAGCTGGTATCTGTTTAAGGCCAAGAACATCATATGTCAATTCAACAGCACAAAACCTTTGCAAACAAAGTTTATCAAAAGTAAAAAAAAGAAAAGAAAAACAGAGTTTTTACACACAGAAGCAGGGTATGATATCTTCACTTCATAACAAGAATTAGACTTTAGTCCTTCTAACTTGTAAACCCGAGAACCTGATTGCAATGACATAGTTTCTCTCCCCAATTCCTTCCCAACATATAAAGCTTTCACATCAAACCTAATAACAAATCAAGAATCAAGTATTATTAGCATAACACAATAACTTTAGTCCCTGGTTGTGTGGAGACAAAAATCACGATCGAAAATTGAGAAGTTTCAAGAACACTAACATGTTCTCGTGGCCGAGACAAGGCAAACCATTTACGAAGACTAAAAGACATAACAGTAAGTAGCAGAGTGTTCTGTGTAATGGAAAAGTCGATTCTTTTCTGATTCCAATCTTGTAATCAGAAACCCTGAAATCGTAGATTCCCACAAGTACAATCGATTTAGGCTCCATACGACCTTACTCCAATGAGAAGCAAACCAAATTAAGACACAGAAGAGATTCTTTAATTACGTCGTACAAGAAAACATCCTACTGGACAGAAAGGACCACATTATTGCTTAGACCTAGTCCCCTAATGAAAGCTGTTATTCAGTACTGTTTCAGAATTAGATCCAACATAGCATCAAGCTTATCGACATAGCCCGGTTTGGCCTAATTTGGTAACTTGAATTTTTTTTTTTTTTTTTTTTTAAGATCTTCATATAACTTGAAGATTATCTTCACAAACATCTTGTAATTATCTTTCTTTTTTATTTTATTTATTAATAAAATGAAGGATTTGTGCGTTTGTAGGAAGGAATCTGAGAACATAAAACCAAACGAATATTATTGGAGGAGCAATTCAATCATCAATGGGTTTTTATTAATTAATTTACTTAGGGGAGGTAGGTTTTAATTGTCTGCTTACTTCGAGTAAGGTCGAGATCCACCAGAACGTGACAATGTGACTTCCACTGCTTCAGGACAAATCAAATATGGACCTACGTCACAAAATTAGTATTATAACAATTTGTCATTTTTTATTCTTACTATCTTCAGTATCTTGTGTCTTGCTTATTGCTAAGTTGCAATCATTCACATTTTTTAAAAATTGCATGATATTATTATTTACTGGTTTAAAACTTCTCACGTTTATAAAATTAAAATTATACTAATAATTTAAAATTATTTCATTTTTGAATTTTATTGATTTAGTTGACAAAAATGTTATTGGTATAGGAAGTTTGTCTGGATTAGCATTTTTTTCATTTTATAAATTTTTCATGATATTATTATTTACTGGTTTAAATTTAAAAACTTCTCACGTTTATAGAAATAAAATTATACTAATAATTTAAAATTATTTCATTTTTGAATTTTATTGATATAGTTGACAAAATGGTTTTTAGTATAGGAAGTTTGTCTGGATTAGCATTTTTTTTTTTTTTTGTAACGTGTATCTCGTTAAGAACTCATATGTATTATATAACTTATATAATATAAGCCAAATCAATTCATGTAAATTAAAAATGGTTGCTTTAAGGCATTCAAGGTTTCTTTCGTGATTTGATTATCTTCTTGGGATTTCCACGCTAAATATTTAATATCGTAGAGATTCAGACTGATAATTATAATTTTTTTATATATTGTTCAACGCATAGTGATTGAATGGTAGTTGTTTTAAAGGATTGTGTAAACCCGTTATTTCTAATCTTTTTTATACTTGGAATAATTTTGTTGCGAGTAGGACAGCCAAAACTATGTTAACTTGATCCTTATGAAGTAAATTAAACCGTGCATGACGGTGCATCCTCTAATTCGACAATGTGATTAACCAAATTTACCCAAAGAAAATGTTAAGAGGTTATCTTATCAAATAGTGATCATTTTGAGTTTATTAAGTAGTGCTACAAAATGGTCCCTTTGGGACATCGGATAATAAAAAAGTACCGCACTATAAAAATGATAGTTTAAGAAAATCTTTAAACATTTTAGTTTAACATGTTATGTAATGAGATGTTTTTGGTACAGTATATCATGAAAGATCATAAAGCCATACAATCTCGTGAGTATGTAAACGGGACATTTTTTCCTACACATGCTGCGTACTTGCAACCACTTCAAATTCCTATACCAATTGTTCAAGATGCGTTATTGTTTTATTACATCGTTAAATATGTTAACCGTTTTTTGTTTTCAAAACGTTATACTTTTCTACCCTCATCATAATGTATGGAGATGAATCAAATGTCAATTACGACCATTAGTCTTTGCGGCCTAATTTGCAACAGATATATCCTTACTATGACTATATATGCTAGCTTGAAAAATTGTTCATTTGGACTCTTATGTAAAGTAGAGTTAATTAGGTGTATAGCCAAATTATGGATGGAAATTAGACAAATGATCATGACATTCTTTTTTCTTTCGCAAATGATTATTCATCTCTTCGTTATCGTAGAAAAGATGAATACATTCCACGATAAAAGATCATATCTATAGTTTCCAACATAAATAGTAGTATCAAAGTAGATGATAATTGATACTACCGACGTTGTTGAATCACTTTGTTTCATGCTCGTATGATTAGTGAACCATTAAAAAAACATTTTTTACCGATACGATTCAAAATTACTAATAAATCATATACGGCATATTCAGTTTCATATGAAATGGAAAAAATACTCGCGGATCATATTAATTCAAAATTACAGTAACAACAATTAGAAAACATAGTGATTTTGTAGATAACATATGTTTTTGAAGAAATTATTATGAATAAACGATAATGTAAGACAGGTTGGCTCGTTGGAAAACATATCAAATTAATTGAAGTACACAAATATCTATAATTAATGCAGGTTTTTGTGAATCAATCATCATCATTCACATCCTCGTATGACAACTAATTTCATTCCTCATCAAATTTTGTTTAAAAAAAAAAGAAGTGAAATCCTAAAATTAGATGAGTTACGAAAATTAGGCAAAAATAAATAAATTAAATCACAAAAAAAAAACAAATTACAAAAAAATGGAAACAAAAATAATGAAGAAAAAGCAAGCTGGTCCCCAACAGACATGCGGGTTCGTCTCCTATAAAACTTTGTTAATCTCTCCTTCACACTTATCACGCCACCTCACCTCCTCCTCTCTCCTCTCTCCTCTCTCTCCCTCTGGAGAGATTCTTCCCTCCAATGGATCTCCGACGGAGGCCTCCTAAACCACCGGTTAACAACACCTCCGACGGATCTTTCCGTTCTTATCAAACCCGCACTTCCGATGACGATCACCGTCGCCGGACTACAACGATTGCTCCTCCACCTAAAGCATCCGACGCGCTTCCTCTTCCATTATATCTCACGAACGCCGTCTTCTTCACGCTCTTCTTCTCCGTCGCGTATTATCTCCTCCACCGGTGGCGTGACAAGATCCGTTACAATACGCCTCTTCACGTCGTCACTATCACAGAACTCGGCGCCATTATTGCTCTCATCGCTTCGTTTATCTATCTCCTAGGGTTTTTTGGTATTGACTTTGTTCAGTCATTTATCTCACGCGCCTCTGGTGATGCTTGGGATCTCGCGGATACTATTGATGAAGATGACCACCGACTCGTCACGTGCTCTCCACCGACTCCGATCGTTTCCGTTGCTAAGTTACCAAATCCGGAGCCTATTGTTACCGAATCGCTTCCTGAGGAAGACGAGGAGATTGTGAAATCCGTTATCGACGGAGTGATCCCGTCGTACTCGCTCGAATCTCGTCTCGGTGATTGCAAAAGAGCAGCGACGATTCGGCGGGAGGCGTTGCAGAGAGTCACCGGGAGATCGATGGAAGGATTACCGTTGGATGGATTTGATTATGAATCGATTTTGGGCCAATGCTGTGAGATGCCTGTAGGATATATTCAGATTCCTGTGGGGATTGCTGGACCATTGTTGCTTGATGGTTATGAGTACTCTGTTCCTATGGCTACAACCGAAGGTTGTTTGGTTGCTAGCACTAACAGAGGCTGCAAAGCCATGTATATCTCCGGTGGAGCGACTAGTACGGTTCTTAAGGACGGTATGACTCGAGCACCTGTAGTTCGGTTCGCATCGGCGAGACGAGCTTCTGAGCTTAAGTTTTTCTTGGAGAATCCAGAGAACTTTGATACTTTGACAGTAGTCTTCAACAGGTTCATCTTCTTAACCAATGTTTTCCCGTTTGATTTGATTTTGTTGACTTTTAATGCGTTTGATGTCGTCTGGTGGGCATAAATTTAAGATATATTTCCCAGTGAGAAGACTTGTTCAACTAGATTTGATTAGAAGCTTTTACATCGAATTTGTGTTATAAAATTACATCGAATAGATTTGATTGAATTATAATTGAGAATTTTGCAAGGGGATTTACTGACGAAGAAGTGAATTTTTGGATGCAGGTCTAGCAGATTCGCAAGATTGCAAAGTGTTAAATGCACAATCGCGGGGAAGAATGCTTATGTAAGGTTCTGTTGTAGTACTGGTGATGCCATGGGGATGAATATGGTATCTAAAGGTGTGCAGAATGTTCTCGAATATCTTACCGATGATTTTCCCGACATGGATGTGATTGGAATCTCTGGTGAGTTCCCTTCTCTGTGTGATTAATTTGATTTACAAAACCTCCGTATATCAGCTTAGTGTCATCTTGAGACTTAAAACTCTTATTTTGTTTGATGATGCTATCTTGTGAAATTCTGAGAATCTTTATTTTCGTTCTTTATCTTCTGAATTCACATTTATTTATATTAATTCTTCAGGTAATTTCTGTTCGGACAAAAAACCTGCTGCTGTGAACTGGATTGAGGGACGTGGTAAATCAGTTGTTTGCGAGGCAGTAATCAGAGGAGAGATCGTGAACAAGGTCTTAAAAACGAGCGTGGCTGCTTTGGTCGAGCTCAATATGCTCAAGAATCTTGCGGGCTCTGCTGTTGCAGGCTCTCTAGGTGGGTTCAACGCTCATGCCAGTAACATAGTCTCTGCTGTGTTCATAGCTACTGGCCAAGATCCAGCTCAAAACGTGGAGAGCTCTCAATGCATCACCATGATGGAAGCTATTAACGACGGCAAAGATATCCATATCTCAGTCACTATGCCATCTATTGAGGTAAATTGATCAAATCTCTTTCTCTCTGAGCTCACTTGTAAAGTCTCTTGAAAATTTCAGAGAGTTTGATTATGGGTTTTGTGGTTTGGATTATCAGGTGGGGACAGTGGGAGGAGGAACACAGCTTGCATCTCAATCAGCGTGCTTAAACCTGCTCGGAGTGAAAGGAGCGAGCAAAGAGTCGCCGGGAATGAACTCAAGGAGGCTAGCGACGATAGTGGCCGGAGCAGTTTTAGCGGGAGAGTTATCTCTAATGTCAGCAATTGCAGCTGGACAGCTTGTGAGAAGTCACATGAAATACAACAGATCCAGCCGAGACATCTCTGGAGCAACGACAACAACAACAACATGATATGAATCTCTCTGGCTCAAAACTCACAAAGAAAGACAACAATCCAAAACAAGGGCAAGGCTTTTTACAACTCATTCACTCCAAAATCGCTGGTGGACAGATTTAAGCCATGTGCATGTGCGTTGCCCTTTTTGTTAAATAAAAAAAAACTATTTGTTTTGTTTGTTTGACTTGAAATCTTTTTTTGGATTGAGGATTGAGAGAGAGAGATTTTACACTCTTTCTCTCTCTCTCTTTTTCTCACTCTCATGGATAATTCGTGTCTCTTTGATTTGTCTAAGCTTTGTCTTTGTTTGTTAGGAAGTGGTCTGTATGAAAAAAATTGTGTATGCAGTTGCGTTTGGGGACATTTTTGAGTTTTTTTCTCTGTTTTGTTTCCTCTCTTCATTTTTATTTTTTTGTTATATATAAAATATTTCCGTGTGTTTGGACATCTCTCTCTGTGTAGTAGTTGTTGTTGGTAAAGATACTCCTCCAGAAGAGTCCATCTTATATAATATAACAATCTATCTGTGTTCCTACTACAATTGCACTATTTTAATGGAAAAGAGAAAAGACTTCCTATTGTTCACTAGGTCAAGTGATCAATAGCTTTCGAGACTTATATGTTTGCATGATTGGGATTCAAATTACAGAATTATATATATTATATATACAGGCCATCAATTTGAACAAAGAAAAGATATGTGAGATATCTCACATTGAAAATGAAAATCAAACAACACATACATTTAAAAATACGGGCTGATTCATTTACTAGTAAACTGGTTACCATTGAGTTAAGTTGAGTTATGGACATAACTCATAAATAATTCAAAAATTTTACCAATCATGAACCAATAACAAATAAAAACTATTTGGGCTCAAATCCTTGAAAATAATTCACAATAAACAAAGTTCTCTATCATCATGTAACCAACTTCAGTTGCTAAAATGTTGACACATATGTAGATGTCCCATGAATGATGTCTATAATTTTGAAATTTTAGTAGTTTGATCAGGGTTTGTACCCTAGTGATTTGTGTTAAGGGTCGTTGTCGTATCATCAAAAAACTCTAGTAGTTTGTGTTTACTGGGATACTTGACACTAAACTTGATGTAATAAACATTCCAATCAATTAGAATTAGTTAGAGACACCAGGTGAAAAGCGTTTCCACTGTATAATAATGCGCACAACTAAAATGTACGTTACAAAACATCTTTCAAACTGAATTTGAGACTCAGCCCATCTCTTATTGGGCTATACACAATAGCTCCAAATAAACTGTTATCAGTAATTTCAAGTTTCATGGGCCCAAAAACGCTGTTTTGTTCACGTCCGTCATGTTTTCGTCACGTCACCCTGTCGAAGTTTTGTCCTATCCGTGTGGGTCTGTACTTGGGCCCAAATCCTCGACAATAACTCACAGAGTCCATAATGGTTAGGTAGACATGTGTGCCTTTATCTTCTCGATCCATTTTTTGTAATTGGCGCCCATTGTTCTCCTCTATGTTAAATTGTATAGTTCGTAATTCGTAAATATCTTCTTCTTTTTCAATAAACAAGGTGACTCTAACCGAAGCACAAACTAATTTCAGAATTTATAGTAGAGCCCATTCAGCATTTTCAATTTTTCACCATTTAATGTATGCAAATTATCAAGTTATATGATTGAAATCCCGTTGAAAAGATTTGAACTCTAGTCCTTCAGCTTAAATAACGAATTTGTTCACCTTTGATTTTCTATAAACAAAATCTAACTTTTGTGCTCATTGGCATTTGAGGTTAGTTCTTTACAAAATTACAAGAATACGTGTAAACCCATATTGTATTTATTCGGTGGTTCTTTCTAGTTTACTTCATCGTTCGTGAAGGTTGTTCAAATCTGAATGACTAAGACAGAAAATATATATATATATATGCTCATAATATTTGGGAAAAGCACTAAAATTCGAATGGACTTTAGTTTTGGTTTTGTCGTCTTTTTCGGCAATAAAGCTCATAAAATATAATAATGAAAAAGACATGATAATTGGTGGATGGGGTTACCGGGTTATAGTGGCACATAACTAGTCGCCAAAGATCTATGAAAATGTGAAAAAGGTATTGTTAAAAATGTTGACCCGTATAAGCCGTAATCATCTTTTTTTTTTCTTTTACTTATTAACTTTTTGTTAAAGTTATATCATAAAATTCAATGATTATGAATCGTGATCATCTTCGTTTGTCAACAATTTAAAATGATTGATGAGGACTTATTACACTATTAGTCGCTCCACAAGATTTGCTGGCAAATAATTACATTAGTCCATAACCCATTAGTTTAACCATATAACTTTTGTTTTTGATTATTCTTAACTATATAAAACATTTACTATTTTACATACATATATTTTGGTTAATACATATGCATACTATTGTGAAACTAATAGCCATAGAACTCAAATTTTGGATTCATCCCCTATTGGCCGTTTTTTTTTATAAAGACCAAACTTCGATCTTGTAATAAGAAAAACAATACATGGACCGACGATGAGAGTATTTATGTACGGGTCCCGAAATGATCTCAGTTCAAAATCTAATCAATCGTTATGTACCACGTGGACGGTAAGGATGGAAAGGAATTGAATTTTGTATGGGGTGTTAGTTCCTAGCTAGTATAACTTTTCTAATCACTACTAACATATGCAACGCATTATGCAACTTGAGGTCCAATCCAACGACTATATAGATTCGGAGGTCACATGTTTGGTATCATTTGTATATTAATAAAATAAATGATTTTGTCACAAATGTGTTGTAGTCCAGTGATGTATAGGTTGATGATCGTTTTATTTGTAGGAAACTATATATGGTGGAGATGTATTACGACTAACTAATCTTTAAAAACCTCTGAATATGACACTAATAGAATTTTATTGTAGTTTGTGAGATTCGACCAATATAGTAATGGTCTCAATTCTCAATCAGTTAATTCAGACTTAAATCTTATTGTTACTATAATATAATAAAACTTGATGATATGTCGTGTATCATGTTATAACCATGTAGTCAATCATTTTCAAGTGCAACTTTACAAATATTAGATACAGAAAATATTATGGGCCATATTCAATTAAACTTAATTTAAAATATATTTTTAATATTTTATATCGAACCGATCCTTGATTAGAAAGAACTCAACCCCGGGAGGTGTTTTAACAGAGCTTATGATTAGGAAAAAAAAACGTAATTGAATTTTGAAGGATTCGGATATGAGAAATTTAATTATATAAATATTTGAAAAACGTAACTCGAGGTATTAAATACCTATGTGTGGTGAGATAGATTGGGGGAAACCTCCACGTGGAACAAGTACCGATGCTTCCGACCACCTCCACGTGGTACAACAGCTCAGCTTCTGCTCTGACATTTTGACCGCACGTGACTTTTGCTCCGTGCACGTGTGTATCAAGCAGACTGTGCGATTGCATCGTCACGTCATGAGTCGTCCGATTGTCGCCGGTCATGTAAAAGAACGGCTCTGATTGAGACTACTTGGTTGCGTGAGGCATATGCATCCACGTTAAAGAGACTGCTTCAAAGGTAACTAAATCCACACATCTTTGCAATTCTCTTTTTCGTCCCAACAAGATCCACATTTCATTTCTACTACATGCAGTAGATATATCAACTTGAGAGTTTTTTCTAATGCATCATTTGACCAAAAAAATATCATTCCATTCTAATATTCTATGATCAAAATAAAGATATCTCAATTCCTTTTTTTTTTTGATAATTTAATATCTCAATTCCTTTCACTTCAATAACTAAGAAATTTGTCTATTTCCACATCTTCTGTTTTTTATTCCTCTCAAAACTTTCAGTTACTTACCTCCATGTTTCCTATCTTTCAATTTAGAAATTAGACATTTCTATGTTAACCTTGATACCTTATTTAACGGTTATTAATGGTTAATTTTCCCTCGTCAATTTATTTTTTTGTTTGGTCCAATCTTCAGCTAGCCTTCAATTTTCTTAGAGTTATGTGCAACCAAGTGATATGTTATCTATAAACTCATTTCAATACTTGTTGTTTGTTCGTTGCATATTCTAGAGCTTTCACATATGAATCATTTGTAAAGTACTGACATGCTTCGATCATCAAATAATTTAATGTACACAAATGCTTTTAGATATGCACATATGTATTTTTACCTCACATACATATTAGACAACCATGAGTTAGTATGAAGGAAAAAGGTATCGTTAATTATTCGTTCTTATCAACTAAATTATTCTTAGTTATGCGACTTATGTCCGACCCCCTTCTAGTACAGTAAAAGTGGATAAATAATAATACCTATTAAACAAGTGGGGAAAAGAAACTTTGGTAAGAATTTCAATTTCTTTAATATATAGCTTGGCACCACAAAGATCGAGTAGTAGCATAGAGGAGGGAATATGTGTGCAAATTAATATTAAATGGTATTAATTAATCAGATAAGGTACGGTCAAACAATTAGAAGTATTCGGAAACGTTGAAAGCAATTATGCATAACAATAGTTTTCTAAATACGGTTCATATTTAAACGTTTCAATGAATAAACATACTAGATCAAATCTTCTAGAATAAATGGCGTTGTTGGAATATGTTTTTAGTTAAGTTATTAAATTCAATTGAATCCATCTTTTCTTCTCACTAAGCCGCGGTACCCCGTTAATCTAATAGAGATTGGCTATAGATCAAACTTTCTCGATCCAAAAATGTCAAAATAAAATAAAATAAAACAAGTTGCGTTGCAATCTATTATATGAATGACCCTTAAACACGAGAGTTCGATTACACACCTCTCAGTATTAAATTGAGAAAAAATCAAATGAATCTCGATGACAAAAAAAAAAAAATTCTTTTCTTCTATGTTAGATATACTGAAAAAGACATTTAATTTGCAATACCATTATCGCATAGTAATAAATGTTGAGTAACACCTCTTAGCAAAAGATTGAGAGGAGGTCCAATGAACCTCGTGCGTTGACAGAAAATAAAATAAAAATCGGCTTACTTAGCTTTTTCTGTATTTGATACTCCCTCTGTTTCGTTTTAGTTGTCGTTTAAGGTTTTCTCACACATATTAAGAAAAACATTAAATTTTCTGTTTTACCTTTTATTAATATATTTTATAAAAAAATTCATTGGCCGAAACATTAAAACAGTAGGGATAAAACTGGAATTTTTACAAAACATTTGCATCGAAAACCTAAAACAACAACTATTATGAAACAAAATTTTAACTCTAAAACGACAAGTAAAACGAAACGGAAGGAGTATATTAAAAAAAAAGACATTTACAATACCATGATTAGCAAATTAATAAATTTAAAGTTTCACAAAATTCAAACTCATAAAAATGGCAAAGAATGGTTTGATTCATATTTTTATATACTAATTAATGTTGGTTTTTTAAACTTTTGATGTGGATATCAAATTTTCAATGTACACTTAACACGTTTTCAAGATGATGATATTTATCTGTTTATTTTTAAACCAAATTCCACTCTAAAATCGGTAAAAAAAGACTTTTCAGGACACCCTATATAACTATATAGATTAATATAGGAAGCTCTCAGACCATATTAACTTTCATAAATTTCTAACTTAAAATTAATTGATAGTAAATAGATTGGTCTATGTTCTTTATATATTTATAATTTAATTTCAGTATTTAAATTTTTTGATTGTGGACTCCTGGCAATAGTTTTTTAAGTAATTTGGAATATATGACCTAAGAAAAATTTCGAAACCGAAATTGTTTTTGAATAGACAGAATCTTCGTTTCAGAAGGAAATGATGAAATTGATAATAGAAGGCGTTACATGCACACGCTTCAAGACAATTCGATTCATGGCTAAAAATTTATATTCACTTCCATTTTATTTGTTGTCATCTATTTCCTCCTTTTAAATCAAGTGTCGTTTTAATACTTAAATTTTAATTCATACTAAATATCGTTTTATATTTTTAATACAGATGTTTGTTAAAATTTCATGTTTTATCTACGTTCTTATAATACATTAACCAATAATGTTTTTGATATTGTGTATTAATGAAAGATAAACGTGAAACTTTAATTTTTTTAATATGTATGAATTAGCTTTAAACTACATATAATCTGAAATTGAGAGAGTATATTACCTTATAATGTGGGAAAATTGATATATGACTTTTTTCTTAATAAAATAATTTATATCTAGACTTCTTGTTTGATTTCTAACTTTCTATATAATAATTTCCAACAACTTTAACAAAAAATAATAATTTCCAACACTTTAATATCAGCATGTTTCTTCAATCTTTTATTCAAATTATCTTTGGCTTTAAAATTGCAAACATTTTTCTTAATTTTCTTTTTTTTATAAGAGTTATAAGTTTTAACTCTTAAAAGTTTTCCTTTATTTTCTCGTTTGAAGCTATAAGCCAAAAAAGGAAACGAATATATCCAGAGAAGAAAACTCGAAACCCTTGTCTTTTCATGGATTTCAAATTTTCAAGTATATTATTAATATGCAATTATGCTTATATCAATATGCCACTATGCGTATTTATTTATTTTTTAATGCGAAAGGAATGATATTCAACTAAAATTTCGGTGTATCTATTGTTTTTTTTTTTTGCTTTCCTCGTTCAAGAAAAAGTATTGCAGAGTCACTCACTCTCAGTCCTCAGCACATGAATTATTTTGAAGCTTCTCTAAATTCCTTTTCACATCAATTTAATACGACACCGTCTCGGGTGAAGAATCTCTCCTCTCTTGCCCTAAAGCGAGTTAGGGCTTAACACACAAAGTATACCCTTTTGATTTGTGTCTCGTAGCTCCTCTGTTTTTGTCGGCTTGTGTAACCGATCAACTCAAGCCATTGGCTCCTCACCCCCTGAAATTTGACTTCTCCAATGGATCTCAAAGTTTCTCTTATATGAATTCTATCTTCACCCTCACAATATCTTTATATATATGAGCCACAAGAACAAGAAGAGTCAGTAGATGCGGCGGTCATGGACGGTGGTTACGATCAAACCGGAGGAGCCTCTAGATACTTTCACAACCTCTTCAGGCCTGAGCTTCAACACCAGCTTCAACCTCAGCCTCAACTTCAGCCTTTGCCTCAGCCTCAACAGCAGCAATCAGATGATGAATCTGACTCCAACAAGGATCCGGGTTCCGACCCAGTTACCTCGGGTTCAACTCCTGGAAAACGTCCACGTGGACGTCCTCCGGGATCTAAGAACAAGCCGAAGCCACCGGTGATAGTTACAAGAGATAGCCCCAACGTGCTTAGATCTCATGTTCTTGAAGTCTCATCTGGAGCCGACATAGTTGAGAGCGTTACCACTTACGCTCGCCGGAGAGGGAGGGGTGTCTCCATACTCAGTGGTAACGGCACGGTGGCTAACGTCAGTATCCGTCAGCCGGCAGCGGCTCATGGGGCTAATGGTGGAACCGGAGGTGTTGTGGCTCTACATGGAAGGTTTGAGATACTTTCCCTCACCGGTACGGTGTTACCTCCGCCTGCGCCGCCGGGATCCGGTGGTCTTTCTATCTTTCTTTCCGGCGTTCAAGGTCAGGTGATCGGAGGAAACGTGGTGGCTCCGCTTGTGGCTTCGGGTCCAGTGATACTAATGGCTGCATCGTTCTCTAATGCAACTTTCGAAAGACTTCCGCTTGAAGATGAAGGAGGAGAAGCGGCAGGAGGAGAAGTTGGAGAAGTTGGAGAAGGAGGAGGAGGAGGAGGAGGAGGAGGTGGTGGTCCACCGCCGGCCACGTCATCATCACCACCTTCTGGAGCCGGTCAAGGACAGTTAAGAGGTAACATGAGTGGTTATGATCAGTTTTCCGGTGATCCTCATTTGCTTGGTTGGGGAGCCGCAGCGGCCGCACCAAGACCACCTTTTTAGAATTGAAAATTATGTCCGTAACATAGCTGTAACCAAATTTCATTTTTCAGAATTATAAGAAGAAAAAAAAATATCTTATGATACCGACTTCTTAATGATTTGGGGTTCGTTTGGTTTTAAATTTAGTTGATCATATGACTATTTGAATTCGTCTTCAAATATACTTCTCCATCTCCATTTTCTCTTCTTTTTTAATCAATAGGGTTTCGTGCTGTCCCTCTATATCATTTTTTATATGCTTGAGTTCACAATAAAAATGCTTTTAATTAGAAGTCAATTTTTATATATCACTTAGTTACCTTCGTATAATTGGATAACAATAAAGTTCTTGAGTACATCTATGTAAATATTGAAATGGCTCATAATGGTTTCGTGGATATGGTATATGTGTAATGCCCTTTTTGGAGTAGGTATCAAAGGTAATATAATCACTCAGTCTATGTTACTATGTATACCAAGTAATCAACCAACAAATCAAACATCTAGTTCTTTTTCATTTCATGTAGATATCATACATAAATCCTCGAGATTTTATGGTTTGGAAATCCTCTATATGAATAGCTTGTTTATGCATGGAATCCTGATTTGATTATACATGTTTCACCCAATTGAGTTCTACTTAGTATTTCGATGAGACCGATATGAATCTTTCTTCGATTCTATCAATCAATCACGGAAATAACGCTTTAAACATGCGAAAAAGTAAATAACGCTTTGAAAATTTACGAAAAAAGTAAATAACGCTTTTGAATTTTATGAGTTTGTTTTAAAGATAGCGGTTACGGATGCATACTCTTTTTTTTGTCGATTATAAGAAAAGATTCGCTCATCCGTTACAACGATATAAACATGATTTTTCGACGGTTACGACTACTAGTTAATGGCGTAAACACGAGAACATTACATGACATGCCAAAACCAAGACATGAAAAACATTTGTCTCAGAATTTAATTTATTAGTTTCCCTTTAGAGGACTAGGAAATTCTACAACAACATAGCAAAGTGGGTTTTTGAGTACCAAGATGTGTGAAAATGAGTAATGCATCAAGTCCCTAGGGAAGATATGTATGGACCGTATGAAAACATATATTAAAAAATTAAAAAATCAAGTGAAAGAAAAAGCTTGTACATGACCAATGCATGTCCAAAAGAGATTTGTGGTGATATAATATCTCCAATGAGCTTCTAAGAGAAGACGGGGCACATTTATGTATATAAGAAATTGAGTCTCAGGGTTACTTGTTATACAATGGGATTGAGAGACAGATTGAAAACCTCTTATTTTTCATAATTTCATATATTTGACTTTTTAGGGCTTGAACCATGTAAAGAGAATAAAGGGTAATGTACTTTAAGACCTTTTAGATACATGCACTATGACTTTTTCTTTTTAAGATTTCCATGTGCTCATGTCATGTCTCATGTGCCTTACATGCAATTGAGCAACAATTGGGTTAAGAAATCTTGTTCATTGTGTATGTTCTACGAACGCTGATAAGTAAACGTAAATGCGAAGGTTTGCCTATATGTCATTATGATTGGATTGACATAAATTTTGCTCCAGGGAAGAAGAAGATATCTACACTATGTATGGGCCAAAGCTTGAAACAAGATGTGACTAAAAGGATCTGGTGTTATTGTAAATGTTTTACATGAAAATAATATATATCATACTTTTTACATAAATTCTAGATATATTGGTATGAATTTCGACCAAGAACCTCGTGGTTATAAAAAGAAATAACTTAAACAAAAATTGTATACTAAAATAATATATTATTGAATATTATTAAAGAATGTTTTGCTAATTTTTTGTCTGCAAATAACTAATAAATTTCTAAAATACTCCTTTATCCTTTTTTTTGTTTCCTTTATCCATTTTCGAAAGAGACCTTTCCCAAATTATTGAAAATTTGAGAAGTGAATTTTGCTACACGAATTTTTTGTCTCATATTTTATCAGGATTAGTTCGAATGATGTTTATATCATCCGAATTATCTGACTTCGATTTTTATCGGCTCCTGATATTCGAAATGGACATGCCGGTAGGCGGTAACTCCAGAAGAGATTTTTAGATTGAAGGTTTTTGTGGATCACGAAAACAACACGACATATGTAAGGCTTGATTTTCAGCCCATTAAACGTAACCCAGACAAACTTTCAGCCCACTAAACTTCAGTACACCTAATCAACTAAATTGATAAAATTGTAAGTTTTCTTTATGTGAAACCTGAAACTGAAATAAAAAGAGAAACAAATGAAAGCTTCATTTTCTAAAAGATATATATATATATATGATCAACTTATCCTAAAAGAAAACAAGAAGTAATTTGAAAATCATAACCTTCCCAAATTCATACGACACTGTTATTGTTGATTGCATCCTTGACGCAAGTATCAGGAGCAGCTTCCTACTAACTTTATATTCGTTTCTCTACCTTAATATTCAGAACTCAAGTTACAGTCAGAACTATCACATTTGCTAATGTTTGTTTTTAGTTCTGATACAAACGAATCCCTAAAAGAAACAAATAAAGAACAAGCTCACTTGGGATGAGACCGGTCACTGCTCAAATGGGACTCTCACAAACAGTCGACCATGTAGGCTCACAACCGCTGACGTGTGAAGTGGATCGATTCTTGCTGGAAAGTTAACAACCTACGAAAACCAAAATCGAAAACAAATGACAACTATCTTCATTTAGCAAACATGGCTCTTTTTGGAGTGTTAGACTTGGAGGACTCTAACCTTTTTGAAGGGTGTGATTCCCCAAGGATTGTCAAGTTGCTCAGGTTGGCCTGCTATAACTAGCCGCCCTGCAGGGTCTGACTGAACGCGGACCTGAAAGTAGAAATCAACTTATACTGAGGAACTATATTCTGTGTGCGATGACACAAAAGATTACTATGAAATTCATTACAACTAACAACAATGTGTGTATTTAAGATAAGAATCCAGTATATGTTCACATCTATATCGTAGGAATCAGTAACACTCTTTGAACTAAACATTCATCTCTTGGTACACGCCAGTGACGAGACACTGATCAAAGAAGCTTAAGAGATTCAATTCCAAGGAGAAAAGCTCACCTCTTCGCGAAGAAGTCCAGGTACTAGGGCAAATATCTCAAAGCAGTCTTTCTGTAAATAAAGACAACAAAATAAATTTGGTAACATTTCAGAATTCCGATTCAAACCAAAGAGCCAGATTGCAGTTATTTCCCTTTCTTCAGGCAGTCTTGTTTTTGACTTTTTTTTCTTTCTCATGCCTCTAATTTCAAGAATTGGGTAGATGTTACATTATATGAGAGGAAAAACGGCAGAGGTACTTACAGTTTCTCTGACATTTATCTTCACCCAGTCTGCAGGGGGTCCAACATCTATAACCTCGGCAGTTGACCTATCAAGCCAAAACCACATTTTTAATCTTTTGCTTTCATGAGAAAAAAGAAATGAAAAGACATGTTACAAAATTCTCTGTATTCATTTAATCTCCTGCGCTATTTCTGGAATGGCAGTTCTTACAACTACCACCCAGAGAACAGTGCTTATGATCTACCAAACATTGACAATGAAACAGGGTTTTCTCGATGGATAAGACTGTATGCAATCGCACATGGTAAAGCAATCTTGCATAAGCAACACAAAAATACAGGAGATGATTAGCTTTCGTAACTGTTTTTCTGATTCATGTGAAAAAACAAGGTCCATGCCGGTTGTTGTTTTTTGTTTCTGCACACCTGAAAAGAACATTTAAACACGGTGGCATTAGGTAATCATTCTGTAGGTAGTGGAGAACAATAGCCATTGCATTGCTTAGGAATATTACCAATGTTTTTGAGGTTCTTTTGCTTTGGGGTTGAATTCAAGCCTTTATCCTGAAAAATACGTACAAACAGAATCATGTTGAAGCGCAAGTTTGTGCATGGTGAATTATGAAACGTGGTAAGATCTAAATAGAAACCTTAACAATAGGCTCAGTAACCTCCCCAGATCCAAGAAGGCGCTGAGAATGCCAACCTTGCATAGCACGAGCTGCAGCATCTCTTCGTGCTCTGCCTGACCCTGAAGCTTGATGGCTAGTTGCCTACATAAGTGCCCTTATATCAATGAAAGAAAAAGGGTAGGCATATAAAGTTTAAAATTCTGTTTTATGGATATTGTAATTATCTTGGTTGTGTATATATTATTTCTTATGTTTCCCATTTAACACAAAACGGTACAGCTTTATTCAATCAGATTGCAGAGTGTAGTATTCAACATGCTAAGCTGGTATTACGCATGCCCGAAATTCCCATCTGTATAAAATCATTTTGAAAGAACTGCAGAGCTTTCACTTCATCTAATTTAACAACATGGTTAACATACTCTTAAATTGACCTCCTCTCAAAGTGTTCACCTACCCAAAAGCATAAGAATTACACAATTTCATAGGAATTCTAACCTCCTTTTCAAGGCCTGAAGACGGAAGAGAAGCTGAACCAGGAAGGTTAAGCTCACCATTTTGCCTTAAATACTTCTCATACTCCAAAAGTGCCTGCAATTGGAAAATAAGGATACAAATAATGAAGTTTCTACATCTTGATAGGATAGAAATCAACCAGACTCCATGGTACAAAGGAGTCAATCCAAATAAACTGTTAGAAGGCTAATAAACCACAACATAAATGATAAAACGAAACTAGTTAGTCTGAGACACACTACTGAAAAAGGAGTAAAAGAAGATTGTCTGAATCGAACATGTATGAACTAAACTGAACTAGTACTAACTCGTTAATATCAATGCATATTCAGTACTTAGAACAAAAATGAAATTCACCTTTTCATAGAAAATGCGGAATGTCCAGGAGACTGTAGTGCATGTTCTGAATAACAAAACATCTGGAAAGTCAATTTCATAAAAAACGAAAAAGGTTGAGGAATTTGAGGACAAAACAAGCCATACTTCGGAGGATGGAAGGATTCTCCAACTTGCCGCCATAGCTTAGATGTGGTGACCTATATAAGAAAATGAAAATCACAGGAATTTTGAATACCACAGACATAGAGATTCAAACAACGTGGGCGGTGGGCTAGATTTGAGTCTAAACTTTCAAACAAAGCAGATGACACTAAGCAAGTTCAGTTGCCAAAACAGAGACATAACATAATTAACACATAACTGCATTGACTTAATTATTCCCGGCAGCCATTCCTTGGTCTTAAATCATCTTCTCCTTCACTAGCTAAAAGAACTAACTTTTCTAGAATACTATCGTTCACGCGTTATACAATCCAAAACGTATAAATCACATGACTTGTATACAATAATCTAGAAGATATTTAACCTACTAAATGGGGAGAAGGGGGGAGAAGATCTTAGTAAACATAAAATGTTTCAAAGTTCGAAAGTAGATCATTACCACGTCGTAGCCACCTAACTTGATGACGGCTCTCCATAGCCTACATTTAAAAGTAAAGCATGCAGACGTCAAACAAGGAATAACCAAAAATATGGGATTTCCCAAGGATTAAAGCAACACTTTCAACAACTCACTTGAGACAATTTAAAGGCTGTCCATAAAACTTTGGGGCTTTAAATTCAAGGAAATTCTCCTTGTGGAAGGCCTCCACTTCTTTAATAAACGCCTCTTGATCAGGTGGTGTCCCTGCTTCATCAACTTCCCTGGCCTGTAAAAAAACATGAGTTCGTAATGAAATAGAGCCGCTGATGAACACAAATCTCACAAAAAAAAAATGATATTCAACAATTAACGCAGATGCAAGCAGGCTAGTTGTCTCAAATGCGATAGAAACATGCTCTCATCACCTCAGAATCACTCAACAACCATGTCTTCCACTTCTTAACACTTTTTTCTGGAACATGCGGACTCGACGGTTCCCCATTGAGAGGAATTGATTCCCCAAGTGTTGTCTCCTCTTGACCGCCATCACTAGTAACCTTCTTTTCAGAGTGATCAACATCACCATTCTTGCCATCAACACTGTTGTGACCATCTACCTCTTCATTAGCCTCAATTTGATTAGTAATTGGAGCATCAGATAAATGAACATCACTGTCCAATGTAAGAGTCTTATCCTCGAGAACAGGGGACTTAGGTATTTCAATAGAGTTTTGGTCTTTCTCTGGTTCTAAAGGCTCCTCATCTACAACACCTTTGGTATCAACGGGAGCAGTAGCAGTACCAGAAGGCACATCCTGCTCTTGCATTTCGGTATCCGCCATCAAAAAGCTTCTTCTCTGAGATATACAATTACAAAGAATTCAAAAGCCGTAAATACGATCAATCCAGAATTCATAAATAATTCATAGAAAATTCCAAAGAGAATGCAAGAAGCATGTAATTGAGAATTGGAATGCATCAAACGTCTGAGTCCTACTGTCGTACTGATTTGCTCTATCGCTCTAATTCGAACAGATAAAGTGATGGCGACTAAAGCATTAGAAAGCAGAGCTTCAAGAGATCATGGAGTGCATAGAACCCAAAGATATGGTTACCGGTTTCGCCGGAAGAATACGACGCCGGAGACGGTGGAGTCGCGGGTTAGGGTTCGTTAGCAGCCGGCGAAATTGAAGGACGCCGGCGGAGAAAAAAGAGCGAGTAACGGAAAAAAATCAATTTAACTGAGAGATAGGCAGATCAAAATCACGATTAAAAGTTAAAACTGATAATATTGAACACAAAAATTCATTACAAAAAAAGAAAGAAAAAAAAGGCTTTTAACGAAGATCTTAATAGCAAGATTATTTAAAGGTATTCGACAATTTGGAAATGAATTTTCAGAAAGTTGGACCTTTATGGCCCATATACTTAAAGAAGCCCATTATGTTTAAATATGGGCTCAATATCTAAGGTCTATTATGAAAATAATCCTAGGCCCAACAAAACACAAAGAGGACGACGTATCTTTATTAGTTTGTCTCGATTGTTTCCGAACTTCATTCGCCATAGAATTGTGTAGCGGGTTGCATAGAATATATTCTCAGTGGTTCTGTGTAATTTACTCGATTTTTGTGGTGTTTTAATTCGTTACGAAAGATGGAGGAAGTGCAATCAAAGTCTCTGATTAGATTAGCATATATTAACGTGCTTAACTTTACAGTTATGGTGATGATGATGTTCTCAGTAGTATACTTGTCAAGGTAGCAAATAATTGAGAATTTAATGAATTGATGTGGATCCAAAGGATAACAAATACGAGCATTCATTCGAAACAAAATGGTATAGATCAAGCATAATTCTATTGAAATAGGGACCATTCTTTTGAATTAGTCTTTGATATATGCCCCAGCATCTCCAATATATTTAGTACAAATCAAGATTTTCAATATATGTCAAGTGTGTAATTTTCATTGACGGACATTAGAATGAGTGGACCATTTCGATTTAACATATCTTTGTTCCTTTTTCTTTTTTGGTTACTGGCGTATCTTTTGATCACGTTTATCGCGTGGTCTTTGTATCATTATAGCTATGCAATAATAGAATATCAATTAATGTTAACTTCTTTCAAAAATACATCTTCACAAGTCTCTTGTGTGAGTAGAATCCAAGATAAGTTTATTCATGCTCACTCTAATAAGTAGATAAATAAGAAGATATATAGCTCACATGTGCTTCATTAGGTTTGTTGCATACAATAAGCTTATAAATAAGGATGGTTTAATATCTTGTGGTTTAAAGAATTGCTTCACATGAGAAGGTGAAGGGTTTATAGGATTCGAGTCACACAAGAGCTTTTCATTATATATCCCACTTTTACGACTAGTTAAGCTAACTGAACAGTTAGTTTTGTACTAATATGACGAGCCAAATAGAGATAGACAGACATGTCATTGTTATTGTAGGGTTTTTTTTTGGATGTGTCTTCATCATTGTATTCAATTTTCTGTTTGTGGAAATATTTTATTTATAATTCCATATGACCATATCGTTGTAGTATTTTCAAAAACTCAATTTTTGGAAAACTCAACTCGCACACAGTAGTTTCCGTTGTCATTTATATTCGGTTCGTTGGTACGCTTCCATCACAGAATTAATTTAGGCCACCACACTATTATCTTATCCTCTTTCAGTTTTTGTTTTTTTTTTTTTTTTTTTTTTTTTGAATTTCAAATTTCTTACGTTGTGTATGAAAATGTACACTATCAGGTTGCTCACTTACATTTAATGTATTTTCCTCCATAATAGTGAAAATCACATTTATAGTTCTTTGGGTGATGATTAATTATTTGTGTTTATTCCTTTCTTCACACCAAGTGACAGCGTATCGAGTTACATTGTTGTCAACTTGAACTTGCTTCTAGGCACAGTTCCAAACTAAAGATTTTAATACGCTTCGTCCAGATTAACAAAAATTGACCTCAAACTAAATTCTATAGCAACACACTTATTATCATTTATATATTAGAGTCTCATCACATCGGATTTCAGATAATGATGTAAAAGTTTCTAACAATTTAGTATCGACAAACACACCTACGAACACGTTAACCTTGCTGATTTTCCTAACAACTGTATACTAATCTATTGATAACAAAACATACAATATAAATTTATGTCACTGAAACATTTTAATTTATGAAAAAAGGTTTCAGAAAAAGAAACATTATTGTGCTTTTCCATTCGATAAACACTTTGCATTAATATCTGCACATATTGGGCAAGAACCACAAAAAAACATGGGGCACGTTTCGTAGTCGATGTGACGAAAGGCATGACGACGGTTACGATATAATTTGTCTTCTCAGATAAAGCCTTATTATTCTCATGAATGTTACACGAAACAAACAAAGACCCCGCTTGAGTTGAGTTTTCCAAAAATTGTGGACCTGTTTCTTCTTTCTTTTTGTACATAAACTAGGTTACAAAAAATTGCAAAATATATACAAGAACGTCTTAATATAGGGTAATATTAGTGAATAGCCAAATAAAACACATAAATTAGGAAACTAGCAGAGAGAGAAAATTATGTCGGAAAACAGCATGGACCCACCTTGTCTGAAGAGGTGAAATAACAAAACCATCCTCCGTTTGTTTTGAGATCTACAGTACGCGACATTGTTTCGTGATATTTTTCAAAATAGCACGTAAGATCTAAATTTCACATGTTATATTTAACTAAAATACATGCTATTTAAAAAAATGTAGTGAATTTTTAAGAAAAAACATTGTTACGTAGTGTTTTTTTTAAAAAAAACATTGTTACGGAAAAATTAAACTTGAATAGAATCTTTTTATAAAGAAATAACATGTGATCTTAATAAAAACCGTGAATTACTAGAAAATAAGAATCGTTTTTTAAAGAAATTACATGTGATCATAATAAAAAACGTGTATTACTACAAAATAACATGATAGCGAAAGATATTAAACTGAATAGAGTGTTTTTTCCATAAATAACATGTGATCTTAATAAAAACCGTGAATTACTAGAAAATAAGAATCTTTTTTTAAAGAAAATCACATGTGATCATAATAAAAAACGTGTATTACTATAAAATAACATGATAGAGAAAGATATTAAACTGAATAGAGTGTTTTTTCAAAAAATATCATGTGCTCTTTATAAATAACGTGTAATACCGGAAAATAATATGATAAAAAGAGATATATTATTCTATCACATGTAATTCGAGAAAAAAACATGTTATAAAGGGCATGTGTGTAATTACACAAGCTTTCCGACATCCAACAGACAAAGTACTGTAGCTCATGGCTATTTTCTTAATTCTTTTTGAATCCATGGCTATTTACTATAAATTCTCCTTAATATAACTATTATAGTTTTAAAATCAAAGGACAGAAACTTACGAGTTAACATAAGTTGTGAAAGTTGGAATTCAGAAAGGAGCTAGCTAGAAATCTATGAAACGTTAATTTAATTTGTTTCTTACACGGAACAAAACAATTCAAATTTTTTTTTTTTTTAAGATGTAAAAGTCTGACCCGGATCATGCGGACACCAAGTTGTACATACAATACAATATGAAATTCTCTTCCCATATGCATAGAATAATAATTTACCTTAGTTAAGAAAATGGAATAGATTAGTTTCTTAGTTTGCGCCAAATAAAAAGATTAGTTTCTTAAAGAAAGCATTTGTTTGTTTTTGGATAGACAAGAATTTAAATAGAGTGAAGAGGCGACCATGCAAGTGTTGTACTAGTAGGCCAAATTTTAGAGTCGTTCTTTCTCTTTCATAGAGAGAGAGAGTTCCGATTTTTCTGGATTCTTCTGCGGCTTCTCACTGTCGTCTAGCTGCACCGACGACGATAATCTCTTTCTAAAACGGTAAAAAAAAATCCATTCCCTTCGATTTCTCGGATTGCTCTGTTTTCGTGGTCTTGCAAAAAAAAAATCATTAATTCTCTGTTTCTTCTGCTCCAGTCAACGTATATTTTCAGATTCGAGCGTTGATAGTAAAAGGATGGTGAAGCTTTTGGAGCTGTTCATAACTTCATCGAAACCAGTCGTTGAGATTCTATTGATAACATCTGTTGGATTTTATATGGCTCTCGACGGTGTCAATCTTCTTGGTCAAGATGCTCGCAAATATTTGAACAACGTCCGTTAAATTATCACTCTCTTCTTTAACAAATCTAAACGATTTTAATAATCTCTGTTTTGTTATCATTTTCTTGATGTGTGTATATAGATTGTCTTCTATGTGTTTAGCCCTTCGCTTATTGGAAGCCGTTTAGCTGATAGTGTTACATATGAAAGCTTGGTCAAAATGTAAGTCAATATTTATGAGATTTTGCTTCTTGACTCAAATATGTTTTTGCTCTTTGGTTAACTATAGTGAAAATGATTTGCAGGTGGTTTATGCCGGTTAATGTTCTGTTGACATTCATCATTGGTTCGTTATTAGGCTGGATTGTTATTGTCATCACTAAGCCTCCTTCACATCTTCGTGGTCTCATTCTTGGTTGTTGTGCTGCTGGTACAAACCTTAATAACATGAATGTGTCTGATTTCAGAAACTCTTTAACTTGTGTTTTTGCTTATGAATGTGGTAATGAATGAAAACCAAAAACAGGGAATTTGGGGAACATGCCACTAATTATAATCCCAGCCGTTTGTAAAGAAAAAGGAGGTCCCTTTGGAGATCCTGAGAGTTGTCAAAAATATGGAATGGGTTATGTTGCTCTCTCCATGGCAGTAAGTTCTTCTTCATCTTCTTCTTCAAGGTTTTGTTATTCAGTATGTATCATGACAATACTTGGTAATGTATCAGATGGGATCGATTTACATATGGACTTACGTATACAATCTTATGCGTGTGCTGTCGAACTCTCCCGTTGAAACCCCTCCCTCTGTTGAATCTAACGACGACAGCTACAAAGTTCCATTTATTTCTTCTAAGGAAGAAGAAGAAGAAGACAACCAAAAGGTCTCATCACATATTCACATGATCAATAACTATTCATTATCAAAGAAGTTGGTAGTGACTGTGTTTGTGTGTGTGTATGTGACAGGCTGGGAGGTGGGAAAAAGTCAAGAGGAGATTGGTTTCACTGTCAGAGAAAGTCAACCTTAAGACGATATTTGCTCCATCAACCATAGCTGCGGTATGTGTTTCAGTAATTCGATACATCACTCGCTCACACTAGAGTGTAATCTTTCTTACCGTTTTTGTTCTTCTGTTTTCAGATGATAGCGCTTGTGATCGGGCTCATTACTCCGTTAAGGAAGCTAATAATCGGCACGGAAGCTCCTCTCCGGGTGCTTCAAGACTCAGTAACTCTAGTGGGGTAATTGTTAAATAGACTAATCATAAGCACTCAAAAAATGAATATCATATATTGGAAAAAACTCACTCACTCGAAAGCTTCTTCTGTGTCTTGTTTCTTTTGGCTGAAGAGATGGGGCTGTTCCTGCTACGACCATGATTATAGGAGGAAACTTACTCAAAGGTTTGAGGAGTTCAGGAATGAAAAAGTCCAGCATTATCGGTGTCTTGGTTGCACGATACATTTTGCTGCCTATAAGCGGTGTTTTAATCGTTAGAGGAGCATATAAGTTGGACTTAGTTACCTCAGAACCCTTGTACCAATTCGTGCTTCTTCTTCAATATGCTGTCCCACCAGCCATGAGTCTAGGTTCATTGCTGCAAACCAACTCTTCAAATAGATTTACTTCTTTTACATAAGATACATCATAAGTTTCACTTACTTTGCAGGTACAATTACTCAGTTATTTGGAGCTGGGGAGAGTGAATGCTCAGTGATTATGCTCTGGACTTACTCTTTGGCTTCGATTTCACTCACTGTTTGGCCAACATTCTTCATGTGGCTTGTGGCTTAAAACCCCCTACACTCGATCTTGCTGCATGTATTGTTTTGTTCCATTGATTCAAGAATTGTTCTTGGACTTTTAGATGATTGTATCGTGTATAATAGAGAACATATACTGATAAGCCTTTGATACAAACTTTGGACTTATAGATATAGAAGATCAAGTCCAGCCTCATCAAGGTTTAGAACAGATTAGGAGAGACTCTTGCTAAACCAAGAATATGTTATTTTGATCCTCATTGTCTTGGGATCCATCAAGAGACTGTGAGGCTTAAAATCTCTGTTATGATACTTAGTAAGACGAGAGATCTTCTTTCTTGGCGCGTTATTTTCTTAGAACATTCTCTCTTGAAACAGGGTAAAACCAGAGAACAATCTACTTGTGCAATATCCAGTGGCTATGGCAGAAACCCATTCCTTTGAATAGTTTGGAACATCAAGCTCTGAGAAAAATTTCAGATTGTTGCATTTAGTTTAATAGACTATACCTATCAATCAAGTGAGTACAAATGATGAGAGAAAGAGTGATGACAACAAGCTCTAATGGTAAAATGTTCTGATGATTTTTTTTTTGAATGAATTATGAATGTAAAATTTATTCACACAAAAAAACTGTTTTACATCTAGTGTAACCTTGTTCTTACATAAGCCAACTAAAAAGCTAGAAGCTTCACTACAAAAGGGAAATAGAACGAAACAGAGCGTTGCAAAAACAGAGTATTAGCATGTTCCAAAACAGAGCATTAAAGAGTACCAAACCAGAGGCGTAGACCGTCAGTGTCCATGTATATCAAACCTAATCCTACTCTAAGATCAATTGTCTCATCACATCAGATTTGAGATTTTGATGTATGATTTCTAACAATATAGTATCGATAAACACCTACCTAGGAACACGTGTGCATGCTGATTTTCCTAATAAGTGTATGGGACTCTATTGATAAAAATGGCAATTTAGACGAATTATTAGAGAATTTCAATACTATAAAAATTTGTAGTACAATACTATAAAAATTTGTAGTACTGAAACTGTGAATTTTTTTTTATAGTACTGAAACATTTTAGATTATGAAACGATTCGCCAGAAGATAGATGACAACAACAAAAGGTTGTTTTAAAATCAACATTATTGTTATTTTAGCATACGATAAACACTATGCGACATCTCCACATCTTCAGCAAGAACCACTAAGTAACATGGGGCACGTTTCGTAGTCGCTGTGACTAAAGGCATGACGATGGTTCCCATATAATTTGTATTCTTTTCTCAGATAAAGTGTTGGTGGTTATGATTATACGTTGGTTTTTTTTTCCATACGGAACAAAATAAGTCTTACTCTAGATCTCTCCTTCACTCTTCCTCTAAAACGGTAATTATTAATTAATTATATACCATTTCATTCGATTTCTCGAAAACTTATGGAGAAATCAAGCTCTGTTATCGTCGTTTGGTTCTCGTAGCTCCATTAGTTGTTCATTGTTTCCTCTGCTCAAATCATATAAATATACTTGCAGATTCTAGCTTTGGAAGTAGAGATGAAGCTTTTGGAATTGTTCATAGCTTCATCGAAACCAGTTGTGGAGACTCTGTTGATAACATCAGTTGGAGTTTATTTGGCTCTCGACAGCGTCAATCTTCTTGGTCATGATGCTCGCAAACATTTGAACAACGTCCGTTTTTAACTTAATTTAACTCTCTTCTTAAAAAAATCTATTCGAATTTAATACTTTGTTATCATTTTCTTGATGTGTGTATATATATAGATTGTCTTCTATGTGTTTAGTCCTTCGCTTATTGGAAGCCGCTTAGCTGATAGTGTTACATATGAAAGCTTGGTCAAAATGTAAGTCAATATGAGATTTTCATCAGGAGTCCATAATCTTTAAGCTCACTTGTTATAATGTAAATATGAGGATTTTCAGGTGGTTCATGCCGGTTAATGTTCTGCTCACATTCATGATTGGTTCGTTACTCGGCTGGATTGTTGTTGTCATCACTAAGCCTCCTTCGCAGCTTCGTGGTCTCATCATTAGTTGTTGTGCTGCTGGTACAAAACCTTAACATGATTTCAGAATCTTTTGCCTTTGTCGTCTAGTATGTTTTGCTGATGATGAATGAAACCTGAAACAGGGAATTTGGGGACTATGCCTCTCATTATAATCCCAGCCATTTGTAAGGAAAAAGGAGGTCCCTTTGGAGATCCTGAGAGCTGCGAGATAAACGGAATGGGCTATGTTGCACTCTCCATGACTGTTAGTTCTTCCTTTCTCTTCTTCAAGGCTTTTTATCAGTGTGTATATATCATGACACTAATTGGTATGTATCAGATGGGAACGATTTACTCATGGACTTATATATACAATCTTATGCGTGTGCTATCGAACTCTTCCGTTGAAACCCCACACTCAGTTGAATCCAACTATGACAGCTGCAAAGTCCCACTAGTTTCTTCCAAGGAAGAAGAAGACAACCATAAGGTCTCGTCAATCAAGAACTCTTCATCATCAGTTTTAATCCTTTTGGTAGTGACTCTGTGTGTGTGTGTGTGTGTGACAGGTTGGGAGGTGGGAAAAAGTCAAGCGAAGAGTTGTTTCTATATCAGAGAAAGTCAACCTTGGGTCAATATTTGCTCCTGCAACTATTGCTGCAGTTTGTTTCAGTGGCACCTTTTTTATACATTCAAGATATTCACACTACTGTAATCTTTCTTATCTCTTATTCTTCTGTTTTTTTCTTCAGATTATCGCGCTTGTGATTGGGCTCATTACTCCTTTAAGGAACCTTGTTATCGGCACGGTAGCACCTCTCCGTGTGGTTCAAGACTCATTAACTCTATTGGGGTGATTGTAGAATAGACTCATTATCTTTAGTAGAGTAGCTCAACAATGATTCATCTTTTTGAAAAACTCACTTTTTATGTGCCTTGTTTCTTTTGGCTGAAGCGATGGGGCCATTCCTGCTATGACCTTAATTCTTGGAGCAAACCTACTCAAAGGTTTGAGGAGCTCAGGAATGAGGACTTCAGGAATGAAAAATTCCAGCATTATTGGAGTCTTGGTAGCTCGTTACATTTTGTTACCTATAAGCGGTGTTTTACTCGTAAGAGCAGCATATAAGTTGGGTTTAGTTACCTCAGAACCCTTGTACCAATTCGTTCTTCTTCTTCAGTATGCTGTTCCACCAGCCATGAATCTAGGTTCGTAGCTACAAACCAACTCTTTAACTTGAGAAATATTTTTTGCTTCTGTGTATCAGATCATAAGATTTGCTACTTTATAGGTACAATGACCCAATTATTCGGAGCTGGGGAGAGTGAATGCTCAGTGATTATGCTTTGGACTTACTCTTTGGCTTCGATTTCACTCACTGTTTGGCCCACATTCTTCATGTGGCTCGTGGCATAAATCCCCACACTCGTTCTTGTTATATGTATCCATTTATTCAAGAAGTTGTTCTTAGACTCCCAGATGACTAGATCATTATAATTGCGAATATATATAGTCTTAAAAACGTTAAAGCCATTGATACAAATTTTCGAACAGAAAGAAACAACAATCAGAAGTGATATTATGCTAAAGATAAGGATGATTCATAGAGCGGGAAGCAGCACACTAGAGATATGCTTGGAAGAAGCAAAACAAGAAAAAACATAAAACTGGGAAAGATACTAACTGACGACTTAAATCCTTAGAGGGAGGACTTTTCTGGCAGATCATCAAAGTAAGGATGCTCCATAGCCATCTTTGCTGAGATTCGTTTCGCTGGCTCGTACTGCAGCATTTTCTGTTCCAGGAAGATAAGAACACAATTAGTTCGTCTGTGGAGTTTGTTTTGATAGCTAATTAAAGAACTTTAGACTTACAGATAGAAGATCAAGTCCAGCCTCGTCGAGGTTTGGAACAGCTGAGGAGAGAGTCGATGGTTTCCACTGTGGGTATTCATGCCAATTCTTGAGTGTGCTCACTCCTGGCCACATTTCTTCATTGGGTGTCCCGAACAACCTGAATTCACCAAGGAAGGGCGATAAAATGAAAAAAGGTTTTCTTATGTTTGTCCTGTAGGAGGGTGAAGAATCAGGACAAAGACTTACTTGAAAATATGGAGGAGCTGTTGAAGCTCAGAGTCTCCCTGAAAGATTGCTTGGTTGGTCACAAGTTCAGCTGTAAATGGTGAAGAAACAATGTTAATTGTTGTTGTTAAGTAACTCAAGATGATATTGCAGTGACTAGTGAAATCAATGAGGCTGAAAGGGAACACTTACCAAAGATGCAGCCAACAGACCACATATCCACAGCTGTCGAGTAATGGGTGGCCCCAAGAAGAACTTCTGGAGCTCTATACCATAGAGTTAATATCTGTTGCAATGGACAGCCGATTCAAAACCATAAGTTCTAGCTTTATAGAATACATACAAACTGGGATAGGATATACAAGAAACAGTGTTCAACATAGATTACCTCATGGGTATACTTCTTCATTGGAAGAGTGAAGGCTCTGGCTAAACCAAGATCTGCTATTTTGAGCCTCATTGTCTTGGGATCCATCAAGAGATTGTGAGGCTTGAGATCTCTGTTATGACACCAGGAGAAGTAGTAAGAACAGGAGATCTCTCTTGCGGGTTAGTTTCTCAAATCATTCTCACTTAAAAGGGAAAACCAGAGAACAAGTCACCTGTGCAATATCCCGTGGCCATGACAGAATGCCATTCCTTTACATAATTGATACATCAAGCTCTGCGAATAATTTAAGAATGTTGTGTTTAGTTCAAGTGAGCACAAATGAAGTGAGAGACAGAGATGATGACAAAAACAATCAGATCAAGTGATTAAAAAAACCTTGATAGTTTGGGTTGGAATGTTCTTGCCAGTGCTACGGAAACTTCTGATGAATTTCTTGACATCAGTGTCCATGTATTCAAAAACCAGGTACAATACAGTTTTGCCTTCTTTGCTTAGTCCTTGCTTAACATCCATCAACCTGAAGAAGATGACAATCAGAATTCCGTAGAAGCAACAGATTTTGCAATCACTGGAAAGCTAACTGATACAGCCATCGAGATCAAACTCTAGAAAACATCTATCAACAAATTCCACAGACCTAAATCATATAACAGTTTAGTAAACTCTTCAAATAGATTAATAGGATCTGAAATTGAAATCTATCAAATCTGGAAAACAAGCGAGACAGTGAGAAAAATCGACTAAACAAAAACCTAACGCGACTCAAAAGAGACAAGATCGAGAAAAATGGGGGCAATTTCAACTAATCAGAGGTAAAACCCTAACCTGACGATGTGGGAATCACGAGCAAGCATGCGCAAGATGGAGATTTCACGGAGAGTGGTGGAAGGAACGCCTTCTTCGTCCTCATGGAGACGCGTCTTCTTGAGAGCGACGATTTTTCCGGTAGCTTTCTCTCTGGCTCTGTAAACTTTCCCGTATGTCCCTTCCCCAACTTTCTCAAGCTTTTCGAATGCATCCATGGCGGAAACTGCTATAACTCCCTCGTCCATTGCTCTCTCGCTAAAAATCTTCTTCTCCGGCGCTCTCTCTCTCTCAGTTGGTTCTTATTGGGAAAGTGAAAACAAAGTGTAGATCGGTTATATAATTAAATGAGATTGTAATTATAGATTCCTTTTTGTTGGGCTTTTCACAACGGACTGATTTTTCGAAATTCAAACTGGAGCGTGGAGCGGTCTTTTTGATAAACGCCTTCTTTTTTTATTTGCCACGTACTATAGCATTTTATTTTAGTGTCCACTTGTCATATATTAGTAAATAAGTCTTTGTGTAACGCATCATATACAAGTTATGATCGAGAAGGTAACAAGAAGATTAGTGAACCGACACACAGACTTCTCCATTAAAAGCATTACCCAAATCCTTTAACTTCGAAAATTCTTTTCCTAAACTCAACTTTGAACAATAAAGTTTGCGTCAATCAGAAGACTGACTTCAAAATGGAAAAAGAGAGAGCTAATGGAGTTTATGGTTAAGGGAAAACCAACAAATTAAAAAGGGATCTTTAAGCAAATTGCTGACCGCTGGTAGAAGAAGATGAGATTGTAGTGAGAACATCAGTCACCGACGCCATAACACTCAATGCCGCTTTCAAAACATCTTGAGAGCAACCCGGTTTCACTATCGTCCTCACCTGATCAAGATACTCCTGCAGCTTCTTGATTTTCCCCATGTAATCCTGGTCTTCTACACACAGACTTACCGCCTTTGCATCTGCACCTGGACCATCATACTGGACCGGTCCTGGGTTTCTGTACATATCTTCCATCAAGAATTTCTGCGCATTTTGTCTCAATAGACTGCAAAACCATTTGACAAATTATCACTTGACTTCAAATTCATTCTAATGTTGTTTAGTGAGGAACAAAAAACTTACTTGTATGCTTTGCCTTTCAAGTCAACTGAAGCTGGATGAATTACAGGTTTACCAATCGAAGTAGAACCAGAATTTTGGGACCAGCGCTTAACCGTCATCATTGCCTAAGGTTAAACAGACAAAGAGAGTGGGGTCAGTAAAACTGAAACTTGAAGTCAGAAAGAAATATCACATATACTAAACAAACTTTAGCCATATCAAGCGACAAAACTCAACTAAAATCGGCGCAGCCCCACATTTCCATTTGTTTACAGGGCTCTTCAGGTTAGTCACTGTTGCCATGTAACCATTCAAACCAGCGGCGAGGATGTGGTAACATACATGTCCAAGAACCTGCATGAAAGTTATAATCAATGGTGTTAATATCAAAAAAAATTAAAGTTGCAATAGCATTGTAGTGCAGTTGGCGATCACATACATAGGCATAGTCACAATCGAATTTTGATGGAAGAGATCCACGAGCCTGGTAACCAAAAAAGTGACAGATTGCGTTGAATTTCTTCCCTTTGTAGGTCCCTTCTTTCTGTCATTTTGAAAAACTAGTTTTAGGAACAAAATTGATTTTACATTTCCATGAACAACTTGAATATTCAGGCAAGGTTATTAAATATATAATGGTAAGTTTGGATTGTGATTAGCAAAAAAGACGTGCAACATACCAAGCGCTTGTTCATTTCAGTCTCCACAAGATAAGCTAGAAGCTTCTCCGTCTCAATCTATAGAAGAAAGTAAATGAGCAATTAGAATTCCAACTTTTTATTGCACAGTAACTCCATCATTTCCATTCTTCTTACCTGGGATAGCTGAGCAGAATCATCAGACTCGGGATGGAGAAGTAGCTGCAGCAACAAAGACGACAATTTATCATAAGTACACACACTTGTTTACATGTGAGAAAAAAACAAAGAAAAGGCCCATGCTAAAGAAGTAGAACCTGTTTCTTAATGAATGGAGGCAAAAACTCAAACAAAGCAGATGACCAAGGTGACAGCTGAGTAGAAATATTATCAGCCTGCACACCCTCCTTAAGCAATCCATGAATTTCCTGCATCGCCCAACGTCAACAATATGTAAATATACTTACTATGTTTTGGCACTCACGAAACCAGAAAATATAGCTCATTAAATGATAGATAGAAATGATTGTCAGGATTGAATCTTACCTTCAACAGAGCATAGAGTTCAGGAATACTCTCAACAAGCCCTTCAGGAATTAGGATGACTCCATGATTTTTGTCTGATACAAATAAACGGTTTATCACTAGAGTTAGTGAACAGGCAAAAGACATCACTGCCAAAATACCACAATATCATTTTAGTTATCAGACCTAGTTCTGCTCTTGCTTGAACAGCATCACAGATTTGTTTTATGATGTCAAATATTGTGAGCTTAGATGCTGTAACCTCTTCACCCAGTATCACCTGAGACAATCGCATCACATGCAAATGAGAAACTAGGACAGCATTGCCAAGAATGTCAATTGTATATATTTAGAAACTGCAAGAATACCATGTTGGGATGAGACTGAAGTGTACACTCAAGGGCAACATGTGAATGCTTCCGACCCATGAGACGGACGAAGTAATAATACTGGCAATACGGGGGAAAGTATGTTATTGAGAAGAAAATTTGATAACAGAATCATAAAGAACCCAACTTCGCATTTATCAAACCATAATAAACTTCACATTATTAACCAACAAAACCACATATATCGATAGGAAAAGAATTCATTAAGATGGCTAGACTGAACAATTCAATGGTTATAAGTGTCCTAGCAATCTTTTGAAAACAAGATAACGTTGGGAAGGAATAAACAATTACCTTCTCTGCTGAAAGGGCATCGGTGCAGATATTGCTAATGAGCTGAGAATTCACCTGTACAAAGTAGAATAATATTAGTCTAAATAACGAGATAAAATGTTATTAATCTGAAAAGACTTGTGAGGGAAATGAAAGAATGTTGGCTACAATACCTACAAAGTAAAAGAAAAAAAGAGCTAAATTTCAAAGTTACCTTGCAAGTAGTATCGAAACCAACATTTGCTTCCACAAACTGATTCTTAAGATCTCCATTAATAGTGACCGGAACACCAACTACCTGAAACATATAGGTAATTTCTGCTGTTAACGATATCAGGTGAGGAGCAACTGTCACTAAATTGTGTCATGAATACAAGATCAGACAAAGAAAGAGAAAAACTGGGGAAAAACTAGGACCTTTGTTGGGCATTTTGCTTCAGCAAAAAATTCAGCAAGATGGGCGGCATCTGTATTTGATGTTACACCTAACAAATAAAAACATTGATTTAGAAAATTCTGTGATGAACTTCAACAATCAGATTTACACAAATTAAGAACATAACATCTACTATTACAGACACCCGAAAAAGAAGAAAATTTGGTACCTCCAATGATAACTAAGCCATCCAATTTCAAATCCGTGCAAGCTTTTAGTGCAGCATTGACCTGCTCGGTTGTTCTAATCTGATCCTTGGTTCTTCCAAGCATATCATAGCCACCTAATAGGACATACATTTAAATTCCATATGTCAGAAAGCAGCCGAGATAAAAATTCTGAATGATCTTAACAACGTCTTTACCAAACAACCAACCTTGGTTTTTGTAAGTTTGAAGGACATCATCAGTGATCTCCAGGGTCTTCTGGGCAAATAGACCTTCAGAACCACCTGTTGACATGTAAATTTCAAATTAATGAACAGGCACACATCAATACGGAAGTAAGATGTGACTTTATAGTTAGCAAACAGTGAAGTTAAAGAAATAAGAAAACCAACTAACAGATAAAAAAACAGGACTTACCCAAAAATCCAAGCAAAGTGTTCTTCGCGTTGTGCACTTTGAGAGCCTCATAAAGTCCCCAAACTACATTGTGCCCACCAGGAGCCTGTCTTCCAGAAAACACAATTCCAACCCTACAATAGAAAACAGCTAGCTGAAACCAACAACAAAACCACAGAACAAGAAACTACAGAGAACTAAAAATATGCAGATGCATGCACACCTCTTTGCTGGATGTTCAGTAATGATCTGAGCATCAGGAACTTTAGCAGTTGCCCTAAGAAAGTGAGCCAAAGGCTGGCCTAGAGTATGCGGGAAGGCACGGGCAATGATATGAGCATCACCAGCCTTTGCCACAGTGGTTCCATCACCAAGCTCCACACGAACAGTAGTCCCCTGTAATGTACATTGAAACAAGAACAAATTCAGCTACGCTTCAATCACTAATCCAGAAAATCACTCCATGATGGTAGTTCACGTTGAAAAGCTACCTACCACACTAAACTGAAATATTAAATCAGACCGTACAAATAAACGGACGAGTATTAGAGGACCATAAACCCTAGATCGCGATTATAAAAACAGTGTAACCAGATCTGCATGAACGGAACCAACATTGCAAGGTCCTCGAGTAGAAAATCACAATAAACAAGTCGAAGGGATTCAAAATATTCGCGAAGTAACGAAAATTGTGAGAAAACGAAACAGCAGAGCCGATGATTTCAATGAAAAACATAGAGATCCAAGCATTGGAGACAGTGAACGAGAGAAGGAACCCGGAGATCTAAGGAGGATACGAGAAAGAAGAAGGAGAAGAACCTGGAGGCAAGGAGGAAGCTCAGGGTGGTACTGAGATCGGAGTTGTTGAAGAGGAGAGAGTTCTCTGGGGATTCCGAAATCTGAATCCATGGGCGATAACTTTTTAGGTTTGGAGAAATTAGGTTGGTGAGAGTGTCAGAGAGACTCAGAGAGGATGATTCAGAGAAAGTTTTTTCTTTGGTCCGTCAAAAGTATTTATATAGTGTGCGGGGGACTTGGCGATACGATCAACCAAACAGCCAAAATTTGGTCTTCTTTTTTTTCTGTTTTTCAGTCCACGCTTTTTCTCGATCACCCCTTGTTATTCTAGTTATTTACGAAACTGCCACTAGACATAACCTGCCTCGGCTTTTGGTTAACGCCCCGAATTGTCTAAAACCATGGTTTGTATTCATATGTTTTTGGTTAATTCAAATTGTATACATTTTCCATGGGTTTATAATCTCTAAGACTGATAGTTGGTTTGATGTTAAGGTTTATAAATGCGGTTTAGTTTGAGTTGACAAATTCTCACCTAAGTCATAAATGGGATGAATGATGCTCAAAAAGGGAGAGTGAACGAGCACCAGAGGATAGGTGAAGGGTAAATTCGGAAATAACGAGAAACAAGAAAAGAAAAAGAAGAAGGAAATATTGGAGAATATAGCATTCAATAGGGGAATATGCTTACATGGTAATATTGTAATTACAAGAAAGGAATAAAGGCAAACATATAAGGAGACGACTCTCTCATTCCCTCCTCCCCAAGTATTGCCTGAAAAACTATCCATACAAATATCTATCTATTGTGTACCAATGTATACTTAAGTAATCATGCACATGGATCTTTAAAAAATGGGTATATGACTTTTATTTTGACCTGATTTGGGCTTTTAAGGCTTTCTTTACTTTGTTGACAATAAGAAAAAAGGGCTCTCATTATTTAAAGATATCTAGTAACTGAATTTCATCTGTCATGATTTGGTACTCAAATTATATGTAACAAGGTAGTAAAATATACATAAAAACATTAAAATGGCAAAAGAAAGGTAACACAACCTTATTATTATAGTTATGTTCATATTATCATATAGGCCTAGTGTGATAAGACCTCAAAAACAATAAGATTTGATATACGTTGAGAGTATATAATTAAAACATAAGATTATGATGATACAAAGGACATCAAAAGTTGGTGAACACCTAGAACAACAAAAGTAGTAGGTAAAGGGGGTCAGCTTTGCCTTGTGCTTATCTCAACTACCTTACGAGAAGAACAGAAAAACAAAAAGAAAGTCAAATGTTTGATGAGTGTAGTTTGGATAATGCCGCATTAATAAAAAATTGAAAAAATTCAATAAATGACGTGGCAAATAGAACGATAGCGATTGGAGGGCCTCTTTGTGATAATTTAACCCATAATCAATTAACCAGCCCAATTAAAATAAATGGGATTTTGAGCCAGACAGAAGAAGAGAAACGAAATTCACAAAGATGATGTCGGCGACAGCGACGGTGATGCACGGGAGAGTGCTGCTTCCGTCACACCGGGAGCAACGGCTAATCTCAACTGGATCGGAGATTTTACGTCTAAGAGAAACAGTACCGAAGCGATTCAGGCTGATGATGGTGACTACGGCGACGGCGAAGTATAAGGGAACGAAGATGAGGGAGGAGAAGCTATCGGAGATGATAGAGGAGAAAGTGAAGGAAGCGACGGAGGTTTGCGAGGCGGAGGAGAGATTGGAGGAGTGTAGAGTCGCGTGGGACGAAGTGGAAGAAGTGAGTCAAGCCAGAGCAGATCTGAGGATCAAGCTGAAGCTACTGAACCAGGATCCATTAGAAAATTTCTGCCAGGAGAATCCAGAGACCGACGAGTGTCGAATCTACGACGACTAAAGTTATAATTTCGTGTTTTTAATGATTGTAGCTATTCTAATAACCAGAGGACTTAGAACAAACGGATTCTGATTAATGATTTAATAAATCTCTCAATCATCCAAAAACGTTGTTCATAATTGTTCACACACGGCAACACCGATGCTAATGCTAGATGATTTGGAATGAAATGGTGCGTTTTGTATCTGGAATGAAACGGCGTCGTTTTGATCGTTTATGGATATAGCGACTTGGGCTATTAAGTGATTGGGCTTTTAAATACCAAGACACGTGGTCAGATCCGTAACGTTGAAAATGTGGTCTTAATAATTTATGTATCATTTAATTTTATTTTTTTTGGAAATTTTGCGACCGCTTCTTTCTTCATCACCTCTGCTTCTTTATTCTAGAGTGAAACAAACAGCCAAATCAAGATTTCAAGGTGAGCCAATTCCATGGCTCTGTTGTTACAGGAGAAGCTTTCATCACTTTCCTCAAGTTATTCGTCATTTCATTCTCTTTCGAGGATACAGGTGCCGGAGCCTCCTCGTTGTAGAATCGCTGTGACAAGGTCCCGTTCGATCTGCAAAGCTTCGTGGCAAGAGGTTTTTGTTGAATTCGAAATTATCTTTTTGATTTTATCCTCTGTTTTATTAACTTTTGTTGCTGTTTTCTTTTAGCTCGCTGGAGTGTTGGTTTTCTCGGCGATTCCGTTCACGGCGGTTAAAGCAATCGCAAATAGCTCACTAGGAGAATCTTTACGGCGGAGATTGGAAGAGAAAAAGAAGGAAGCCGTGGAGAATTCTTCAAGATTCAAAGCTAAAGCTCAGGAAGCTAGAAACGACAGGTAATCAAGATTGAGTTTATCAAAGGCAATGTTTGATATGATGGTAGATAAACTGAGTGTTCTGAGGCAACCATGGTTTGATAGACTCTTTCCAAAGTGCTATTTTACTGTAACAACAACATGTGTCATGTTTGTTCCTGTAAGTGTACAGCAAGTGGTATGGAAAAGAACGTCCCCGTTGGTTTGGTCCAATCCCATATGATTATCCTCCATACCTTACAGGAGAACTTCCGGGGGATTATGGATTTGACATTGCAGGGCTTGGCAAGGATCGTTTGACTTTTGATAAGTACTTCAAGTGAGTCTTCTTCTTTCTATTTCTAACCTTGTTCTGTATTGTTTAGAACTTCGAAGCAGTCTTGATTCCTCTTGCTAACTGTGATTGTTCCTCATGCTTGTTTGTTTGTACTTTCTAACAATTCATGTGAGAAACATTATGAAATTCACTGAAGTCGGTCTTGTTTTTGGTAAATAGTAGTTTAGTCATACTGCTTGTTTTTGCAGCTTTGAAATACTTCATGCTCGTTGGGCCATGCTTGCAGCATTGGGTGCTCTAATCCCAGAAGTATTTGATCTCACTGGAGCTTTCCATTTTGCTGAACCTGTATGGTGGCGAGTCGGTTACTCGAAGCTTCAGGTTTCCTTCATTACTTAGCTCTTTTTTTAAAACATGTTTCCCATTAAAGTACTAGAGTCAGTAGCATGATCATGTAAGCTTTCATATTCACCAGGGAGAGACGTTGGACTACCTCGGCATTCCAGGGCTTCACGTAGCTGGAAGCCAAGGTGTCATTGTAATTGCCATTTGCCAAGTACTCTTGATGGTAATAATATACCTTAAGACATAAAATTCAACACTTGCTTCATATCATACATTTCTCTTACCAAAAACGTTTTCTCGTATACAGGTAGGACCGGAATATGCAAGATACTGTGGCATTGAGGCCTTAGAGCCACTGGGAATATACTTGCCAGGAGACATCAACTATCCTGGAGGGACGCTTTTTGATCCCTTGAACCTCTCTGAGGATCCGGTAGCTTTTGAAGATCTTAAGGTTAAAGAGATTAAAAACGGACGATTGGCGATGGTCGCTTGGCTTGGATTTTATGCTCAGGCTGCTGTCACTGGAAAAGGTCCTGTACAAAATCTTGTTGACCATGTCTCTGATCCATTACATAACAATCTGCTTGCCATGCTTCAGACATGAAGAGACTAGTATGTCAATGTGTGAATATGTTTAGTACCATATGTTACTTACTTAGCACATGTGATTCATTGTTTTAAGAGTAATGTTCTAAAAGGTATTCACATTTGTTTTACTTAACAAACATTTGGGGGTTTATCGTGTCTGTAGAGTTGTAGACGTAGCTGAACATTGTTGTAAAATTGTAACATTGTTGTAAAAAAAAAAAAAAAAAAAAAAAATTGTAATGTAATACCTTTTTCGTAATGCTATGTAAAACTAGTAGTTATTAGCCACTTGCTAAACATTTTAAAGGGACGTGTTAAAAAGTGAAGACTGTTTTTCTTGAATATAATTTAACATTTTATTCAAAAAAAAAAAAAAAAAAAAAAGTGAAGACTGAAGATGATTCTTCACAAAATAAACCACAACGGTCACGTGAGTCTCGTGCTATTGACCACTATTGTTGAGGTCGGTCAAGAGTGCATTGCCCCATCTTCACCTTCTTCTTCCTACAATTGTCTCAAAGTTTCTCTTTATTTTTCACTTTATGAATACAAACAAAACAAAACAAAAACTAATCTCTTTTTGTGTGTAGTTGAAAGAGATAAGATCGCAGAAAAGAAGACGATGATTCGTCGACTTTTCTCCCAGCATTTTGAACAATTAGTTGTTATGTGTAATTTTCTAGAGATAGCTACTATCTGATTACGTGGATCACACTTCTCTTTTTATTATTATCTCTTTAGATACATTATTCCATAAAATATGATATCAGGTCTCTTTCTCGAGTAGAGATCAGATACTTAAAAATACTTTTTTATTGGATGTCGCCGGAAGACTTGTTGCTTTAAACTCTATGTAGAAGATATCAGGCTAAAATACGTAGAAGACAAAGACTTCAACTACATAATTTTTGGCTAGGGACTAGAACTACATTTATGTCAGAGTTATTTCTCCTAGTTTCGACATTTCACGCAATCTCAAATTAATTGCAAACTCTTTTGATCATATCTATTGAAACTATCTTTTTTTTGTGTGTGAACAAATTGAAACTATCTTGCTAACTTATTTCATAAATTCTTTACCAGCCCCCAATAAGCTATCAAGTATGAAAATTCAGATGGATTTAACTGTGGTAATAGTATATAGTTTCTTTTGTCAACTGATGATAAAATTGAACTACTCCACAAGTAAAAATATCTTTTAAAACCTTACTATTTAAATATATTAGTCGACATATGTGATAAGCTTCTAACAGTTTGAGCAGATAAAGAAATCATATGTGAAACAGTTTTCATAAGCCGTACAGGTTTGCACAGATCTTCGTAGTTGTGACTTTGACCGTAAAATGTAACACACAATCCTGAAACTAGTTTAAGCACTTTCTTTCAGCAAAAAACACTCACTAGATGATATGAACTTTTTGGCACGTAACAGACGCTTTCGGACCTTACGATTTCAAGAGGTGGCTTATGTACGACCCACTCAACTTCTTCATCCGACGGTCTAGGATTGGTCATGTGGGTGAACTACAAAAGGCCAAAAGCGTGAGCCACGTTACATTATAAAAGATTGTCTTTTTAATCCAACGGCTCAGACCAGAATCTCCAATTCGGTTCTGTCTTCTCTCGTGTCCGTCCATCTCTCTAGCTCTTCAGCTCTAGCCACGTGTTTCTAATATTGACCACAATCTTCTCTTTGTTTTCTGAAGATATAAAATTAAAATGATTTCCTGTTTTATATAGCTAATTTAGCATCCAAACTCGAGAGTTCTCTACTTCTCTTGTATGGCGTGCCCTTTCAATAATTCGTGCAATATGTTACATGTGAATATCATTATCTATCACAAACATAATGAATCAATATTCAGACATTAAAAACAAGATATTAAGACAATCAAATTTGATAGAAAAATATCTTCCTACGTTGGGAATGATGTAGGACAGAATAATATAAGTCGGCTAATTTGATATTTTGTCGCGGACCACGAAATAAAATGATTTATTATCATTTGTGAGCGATAATGATTCAAAATTATCAATAATACAACTTTTTTTTTAAGTTCCTTTACTTCTATAGACCCACACATGTGCACAAAATATACGTGTGTCGCTCATGTTCTTAAAAGCAAAATTAGAGACACACTTATTTTAGCCAAATAAAGTAATTAAAGAAAACTATATAAAAACAGTTTTAAAAAGGAGATATTAAATGATTTTCATGTGATATTATAAAACCTCTGATAAATATCGTGACCGACTTCAAAAACAAGAAAAACCTCAATTTTTCTTTTTTCAGCTATTATAGCCGCCGCCTCCTCCACTAAACTCAAATCCTCTCTTCTCTTTCTCTTAGTCTTTTCAATCAAATCTACTCTTCTTCACTGTTGAAGCTGGCTATCAAAACTCACAACAATAACTATGGTGGTTAATTGATTCTCCTTCTTACTTACTCTTTTTTTCCCTTTAAGTATCTCTGCAGATTCTTATATTTACCTTGGTCTAATAATCCTTCAGGTACCGATGATGATGAGAGCAGAAGAAGATAACTACAATCTAAGTCCTCCACCATGGTTAATCCCAATGCTAAAAGCAAACTACTTCGTCCCATGTTCAATCCACGCCGCTTCCAACAAAAGCGAATGCAACATGTTCTGTCTTGACTGCAATTCGCATGCCTTTTGCTCTTACTGTTTGCTCAATCACAGAAACCATCGTGTCCTTCAGGTTCTTTCATCAACTTCAAATCATTTTTTTTGTCTCTCCCTCTCACCAATTCACAGAGCAGAGTTAAGTAAATGAGATTCTCATTACTTGCAGATACGGAGATCATCTTACCACAACGTTGTGAGAGTAAACGAGATTCAGAAGTTCATAGACATATCTTGTGTTCAGACATATATAATCAACAGCGCAAGAATCGTGTTCTTGAACGAACGTCCTCAGCCAAGAATCGGCAAAGGAGTGACCAATACTTGCGAAATCTGTTGCAGAAGCCTTCTTGATTCTTTCCGTTTCTGCTCTCTCGGTTGCAAAGTAAACTCTTCTTCTCTCTGTTTTCTCTGTTTTCGCTGAATTTGCTCTGTTTTTTTGGTGAAATGACCGTATTGCCCTTTGTTTGGTTTATTTTCAGCTTGGAGGAATGAAGCGTGACCCAAGTCTAACCTTCTCTTTGAGAGGGAAGCATGGAAGAGAGTACGAAGGTGAGTGGGAATCTGATGAAGCGACCACACCAACTAAGATACGCAAGACTTCTGCTTTCAACCGTCTGATGAGTGGTCTTTCCATCTCCACCGTTAAATGTGATTACTTATCAGGAGATCAACCGTCTTCGAGCTCCGGTGATGAGAGCGGTTTTAATTTTTCTCCGGGGACGCCGCCGATATATAATCACCGGAATTCAAGCAGACGGAAGGGCGTTCCACACCGTGCTCCTTTCTAATAATTTATATACTAACGGAAGCTAATTATATATAGTATAGAAAATACGATCGTTATGTTGTAATTAAATGGTTAGTATTGGTTTTTAACCTTTTGAAGCTAGGAATATATATTATCAGAAGACATGTGTATGTACAGGTATTGTTTGGCTTTTTTTTCCATATACATATAGAAATTAGGTATAGACTGTACTCAAAAGGGACTGAAATATGTTTTCATATAGTTTTTCGCTGTAAATATACGTTCGAATGAGGTATATTGGTTCAACAGACTTGTTTGTATCTTATAACTATTATCGTGACAATAAAATAGCAAATATGTTAACTAGGATTGTTAACAAAAGTTCTAACTAGTTAATTATGATTTCTATTCTATAGTCTAGTCATTTGTATTAGTATTTGTTGATGTATTTTATCATTGAAATTTAAATGTATTTTTAGTATGTTGTTGACAAAATATTTGTATCAACTTATAAAAATGGTCAATGAGAATGATACAGACGAAGAAGATTGGTATCCTTTGAATCCAACGACTGAATTAAAAACGAGATTTTAAATAATAAACTGTGGATCAAGATATGTTAGTAGTGTCTGAACTTATAAACATTGGTGTTTATCAAAAAAAAAAAGAACTTATAAACATTGGTGAGCTGGGACAAAAAACTTCTAGGTCTAATTTCAAGGAAAGGAGCTTCGGCTCAAAAGAGGCTTATGTCACTAGAAATCGTTTGTTAACAACAGTTTCAAATGAGATCGTATACCTAAATTGGTTATCAAGTAGTTTTAACTCGTTGTCTTAGAAAGTCTTATCTTCGAAACAATATAACGTGGTTCTTCGAAACAATACTTCGCTAAATCCTAATAACTTTCGGCATTTGGATGCTCATGCATCTACATTTAATTTTTTTGTCCTTGGTTGCTTCATCTTTTAGTGGTGTTTTGATGTTAAATTTTATGATATGTATTAGTTGTATTCTAGTTTTTCGGTTAGTTTTATAGAAAATATCTTGTTCCACCAACTTTTGGATCTAGAAGTTGTCTTTCAACTCGTTGGTTTTGTTTTTGGAGGAAACTCGATTTTTGTCAGCTTTGTATCAAAAGTTGCAAAGATCAATAAAATCGGTTAGAAAAAAGGGGGAAACTCTACATGGAAAAACTCGTTTAGGATATTATACATTTGATTTGATAAGTGTGTGAGATTTTATCTGTGTTTTTTTTTTTTTTTTTTTTTTTTTCCTTCTAAAAACTTTCATTAGACAATTGGTATTACAACAAGTACAAGGCCATTACAAAACTTCATAAAACAATTTATTATATAAGCAAAATTATGTGCCATATATTGAAGATGACGAAAGTGAAAAAGTGAATTTGACGATGCTTCCTTTCGATAAGCCTTACTCGCTAACATGATAAACATGTTATGTTCCTTCTTCATAAGCCATCCTACTCGAATGTGATATGTATGCCAAGATTCATCTTTCATAGCATTCATCATCATTTTGTACATTTTGCATGTTTAAGTGTGTCTAGCATTAGTCTTGCATGCATTTTGCATTCTGGAGTTGTTTCAGGTGCTTCGGAGCTATTGGTGTTCAGAAAGAGCAAAAACAGAGCTAAAAATCACATTTGGACCATTCTACTCGATCACCAGAAGCAGAGAGGGAAGCAGTCAGCTCAGCAGACCATCAGGACCCTTATACTCGATCACAGGTTAGTGAGTTTTCTTAACTGTGTTTTATTTAGAATAGGTTTTTTCTAGATAATAAGAAATTGGTAATGCCACCGGTAGTCCTCAATATGAAAAGAGTGTACTTTGATATTATATATATAGAATTTTCTAAGTTCTTTTCATTGTCTTTTTTTGGTACTAACTTAATTTTTGGATTGAATTTGTTTTCTTTATCTGGATATGTACAAGAAACCACACAAATTATAAATACCCAACATGTAACAACATGTAATACTATAAATATTACATTGTAAAAACCTTATTGATTTTCTATAAATAGATAAATAAAAACTATAAATATTTTCATTTAACGTTCTATCAAATCTAAGATTCTAGGGGATTAAGACCATGGAATTTTCCTATAATCTTTCGTGCACAAAATTATTGCTTTACAGTTTTATTCTCTATATATCAATGTCATCACTATTAGTTTTCTCAGATGTTGCATCAGAAGAATCAATTGCGAGAGCAAGACAATTGTTACCTTTTGAAAAAAAAACTGTGATGATTATTAATCTAGTAAGAAACGCAGAAGTTTTAAATGTACATTGCAGTTCCTCAGAAGATGATTTGGGGTTGAAACATATCCGTTTCGCTCGTTCTTGGTATTTCAAATTTAGAGTAAATTGGAAAAGCACTACAAAATTCCGTTGTCATTTTACATGGAGGGGAGGTGGTGATCATTGGTTTACTATATTTAAAGATCGGAGAGACCATTGTGATTTGTGTATCTGGCGGGTCTTGGGAGATGGTGGAAAAGAAAAACCTATGATTCGTCAAAGATGGTGGAAAAATGAAGAACTTGAATATGAAGGTTTTTTCGATTGGGATAAATAGATTCAAAATAAATAAAACATAAATTACTATGCGACCTTCTAATAGATCGACTGAAAACAATATCATTCGACTCAGGTTTGTAATTCAGTGGTTTATGTTATTATTGTTGGCGTGTACTTATCTGGATTTAAATACAGTGTAAAATCAATATGTGTAAGTTGTTGATAAAAAAAAAAAAGAGAAATTTCCATAAGCAATCAATCAACTATTTATTTTTATTGTAATTCAAAAATATATATATTGTACCATCACTCTCGTCTTAACGAAATGTAATTTCCGTTAATTTTTTTGCAATGTTTTATAAAAATTTATAATAACATTATAAAATATTGACGTTTTGAAAAAAAAACATAGTTAAGAAATTCCAGAAGAAGTTCTAAGAAATTACATAATTAGATAAACTAAAACCAAATTAATATAACTTTTTAATATTGAACAAATATAATTTAGAGTATTATATATAAATGCATAAATCATATAGGGAATCATGGAAACATGCAAGGGATGAAGAGAACATAAATGATAAGTCTTTTTTTTTTTTTTTTTTAACACGACATCAATGATAAGTCTAACCTTTGAAAAAGAAGCATGGAAGAGACGAAGCTAGGAATATATGGATATATATTAGACAATTAGAAACTAGAAAGCATACATACATGTTTCTTTATTTATAAAATATATATATTGGGGTTATAAGGGGCTGAAATATGCTTTTTATGTAGTTTCAGTTTTGCTGTAAATATATAATATCCATCACCTTTTAAGTTTTGAAAATATGGTTCGTGGTATGTTGTTTTTATCGTAGACGGGGAGTGTATTATCGTCACAGTAAAATAACAAATATACATTTTGTGGATTATGACGAGTTTATCTTTTCTGGTAGCTAGGATTATAAACTAAAATTTTCACTAATTGATTATGATTTATAGGCCTGGTAATTTGTATTAGTTTTGTGTACATATATATTAGTATTCATCAATCCTTTTTGTTATATTTTCCAGTAATTGATAGATTTGAGAATTGTTAGCGGTTTGATTGTGGATTAAATTTGTATTCTTTTCTCTCGATATGAACAAGAAACAACAAACTATAAATAGTCAAGAGATAGTAGTACTATACTATAAATATTCTTTTGGTCAAATATAAGATACTATAAATATTTGTATTGATCTTCTATAAATAAATAAACAAAGACTATAAATATTGTTTTAACAAAAAAAAAAGACTATAAATATTGTCATTTAACTTCTGTCAATTCTCATATTATAAGAGATTAATCAAAATCATGGCTTTCTTCTGTAATCATCAGTTTTATAAACTGATGATTTACGGATTTGTGTTTTATGTGTTGGTGTTGTCATTGTTCAAGTTTTCAGATGCTGCATCAGAAGAACCAATAGGGAGAGCTAGACGGTTATTACCTTTTCAACAAAAAACTATTGTGATTTCTAATGTAGTAAGAAACCATGAAGTTTTGAATGTACATTGTAAGTCTTCAGAAGATGACTTAGGGTTACAACATATCCGTTTCTTTCACATTTGGTCTTTCAGATTTAAGGTAAATTGGAAAGGCACTACAAAATTCCGTTGTCATTTTACATGGAAAGGAGGTGGTGATCATTGGTTTACTATATTTAAAGATCGGAGAGACCACTGTGATTATTGTAAGTGGTCAGTCCTTGGAGATGGTGGAAGGGAAAAACCTATGATCCGTACAAGATGGTGGAAAGGATATGAAACTGGAAGAGATGACTTTTACGATTGGGATAAATAATCTCATAACGAAGAAAACATATGTTACTTAATAAGATAAAATACAAATAATATACTCGACTAAGGTATGTAACTTAGTGGTTTATATTATCAAATTCATTTCTTATCTGAATTTGAATATGATGTAAGATACGCGAAAGTTGTTGAAAAATGTATAATTAACAATGGCATAATTCTGATATGCCAACAAAAAAAATAAATCATTTTCAAAAGTTTAATTATATTATATTTATCGAAAAATGTCTTAGTTTTGGGACACAATATCTCACTTTTGCTGTTCTCAGCCACTTGATGGCTCCTCCACTCCAACCTTTGATGATGTAAAGAAATGGAATGGACACAACTGACTCGTAAAGATGCGGAGGAAAGCGCAATCCACGGCTTGCGATCTATGACTAACTTTTGAGAATTTGTTTCGTGACACAACAAAAAAGCTCAAGCTCTTTAATACGATTATTTGACTGAGACTTGAGAGCCTGATAAGAGCAATTTTCAAATTTGCAGGTCATATAATAAAGCCCACAAGCTAGTTAAAAAGGAAAATAGCGTTTTAAGCCTACTGATGATAACAAAGTATGATCCAATTCTCTGCCATTTATTTTATGGCCCAATATAGCTAGTCCTTTTAGGCAACGCCTATAATTGTTTCAATTAAGGCTTACAATAGAGTTGATGTGAACACGACGACCACGTTAAATTAGATATTAGATATAACCAGAAATTAGGAAAACTTCTGGCAAGGAACAAAAGCAGACGTGCAAGGAGCTTATCTAAACAAAACGGCTTAGATACTATTTTTGGTAGCTAATCTTTCTGGATCATGGGACATTTTAAGTGGTTACTAAATAAATTCCGATTCTTCCAGATAATTAATCATGTGAGCATCGTCACCTGCGCATAGGACAAAATATCATGAACAACTTTAGTTAATATTTGTTCTGATCCTAACACATCTGAAATAATATCCAATAGGATATAATATGTTTTACATTATTTTGAGCCGTAGACAAGTTTTAAAATACTTAGCAACGTGATAGCGTGACCGTTCTGACAATACGCACACGTATAAACAAATTTAAATGTCTTTTTAATTAGTTTGTAAACATTTTATACTTAAATTATTTATGTTTATATAAAGCATTTATCTATCTAGTTTTCAAAAGAATCTTAAAACGAAAACAAAGAAGTAATTAAATTTATATAACTTCTTAGTTGATCGAACATTAGACTTGTGGAAATTGCCAAGTTGGAATTGACTCTGCAAACAAAACGTGTTTTTAACGGACTTCTCTGAAGTTACTCGTAATTACATGACAAATTACGCGTTCAGCTGCCAAGCTGCCATTACCGACATTTAAAGATATCTTCAAGTAAATGACAACAAATAATTAATGTATTTACCATCAACTTGATAAATCAATGAAAACTTTTTTATGAACATTTTATGATACCACAAGTAGTCTCATCATCACCAATCAATAAACTTAGATTCTAACAGTTAATTACAATAGTCCAACAAGAAAAGTTTTGCCTAAAACTCTGGAAAATCTTTTGAATTGGATTACATATTCGAGTATTTTTGTAATTGGGATATTAAATAGTACTAATGTACGTAGTTGGTTAGTACGTAGTATTAGCTACAAAGTCAACGGCTGAACACGTGAATCCTTCTTTCTTTTTGCATGGCCTGCGACCTTGTTCGACTTTACTCGGTTCGATGTAATAATTAAATGCGTACGGTGTTCCCTAGCATTTAGCTGCGGACTTTATTAACATTATTGAATTTGGATACGATCGTGTATATAGTTTTAATTTTTTTAATAGTTTATCAATTCACTTTTTGTTTTAGTGAAGAAACTATAATAAAGATGCAATGATTAAGTTATTTAATCAATTCAAATGTATTATTTTCTTTTAGCGAATATTAAAAAGCATATTTAAAATACAAGTGTCAAAAGTACATAACTAATATCTAATCCAAACACATGTATAGTATTAGTTGCACATTAAGTATATTGTTATGACAGATAAAGACAGAAAACTTATGATTACATAATGATTAATGTTACATAGACTTATTCAAATTATCATCTCCACAATGAAGTTTAATAAAGTACATTTTCCACTAAAAAGTCCTTTCTATTTCATATACAAGCCAGCACGAGCAGTGTGAGCATGAGTAAGGTGATATTTATAAATAAGAACTACATTGGTAAAGTTAATTGCAGTTGAGTTGTTTCCCGTGATCGGATAATCTTAGAATCATAACTTCATAAGTATATATGTCTTAACATGCATGGTACTGTCTAATTGGAATTAGAATTTTAAATATGTTTCATATAAATTAATTTTTGTGATTATGTGAAACTTATTGACCAAAAAGAATTAATATACCAAAAATGTTACCGGTTATTGAAAACAAGATTAAAAAAAAAAAAAAAAAAAAGTCCAAGGCTTAAGGAAAATAAGATAAGTGAAAGCATTTTACAGTTTTACAAGTTTTTCATAGTATTCTATACATGAAATGTGAAAGACAACGTTGATCCATATGATCGATTATTCTGTAAATTCGACTCACATGTATTTCTCAAAATCAAAACCCAACTTTAACACTTCTAAAATATTTTTGTTTAATTAACCAACCAAAGAGATTTTTTAATAATTAATATGTGGTTGATAAATAATAATAAAAATATTTTGTTTAATATCATTACGACTGTACTATGAAACACACATCATTGAAAATAGCATTTATTTATCTATACATAAAGTTATTGATTTGATCATTTGCGTTTCTTTGTACCACTAGAGGTATTGGATTTGTTTTTTCTTGTTACTTTATCAAATAGTTGCATTTTGTGGTATCAAAAAAGTTCCATGATGATGAGAGTCAAATACAAAGTTGCTGTGGTCTTTCACATTTAAAAAAAATAAAAGAGAGAAAAAAGGTAGCTGCGGTTTCCTTATTCCCCACGCTTATTTATTTATTGTCTTTCTTTGGTCTCCTTATCGCTTATTTTGAGTCACGTGTTACGGCTGAGAGCTTCGACGCCACGTCATTGCTGACATATCTTCACTCGTACGGAACATATAATCTGTTAAATTTCCCAAAACGTTTGCTGCCTAAAACCGTGAAGTCAAACATATCCTCTTTAATTTCGGAAATAATTTCCATACTCACGAAAATGGTTACAAATTCAGGTCAATCTAATGTATTTTATACAATGAACGTAAAGATTTTATTTTGACAATTTATACTATTTGCGTATCTTCTAGTAGTTGGGCAAAGTTGACAATTTAATATACTACTTAGGTCAATGTTGCATAGTAGATAGAAGGATAAGAAAGGCTATCTCAATATATACGCACATCTACGTATGATACAACTGTACAATACATTCATCTAAAAGACAACCATATTGAATTGTATTCACACTTTTACTATATGGGTGTGTGATACTTTTAATTATCAATTACTATAGTTAGCAAAACAGAAAATCCATGATACTCATAGATACTCACAGTGCCATCTCTTCAGACAGACCTCATGGTTCCGTGGAGCTCAAAAATAAAGTTTGGCAACTTCCAATTATGCCAAAAATCAAACATTTTCTCTGGCGAATGCTATCCCGTGCGTTAGCCACGAAGGAAAGGTTAATTACGAGAGGAATGCGAATTGATTCTACATGTCCTCGATGTAGGAATTCAGTTGAGTCGATAAATCATGCTCTGTTCACGTGTTCTGTTTCTTCCATGGTATGGAGGTTGTCAAATACACCGTTCTCCGGCTCTCAGATGACGTCCGACGATTTAGAGGAAAACTTTATCCATGTTTTGAATTTACTTCAATCAAGTACTCTCACTGATATTCAGAAATTACTTCCGTTTTGGCTGCTTTGGAGGTTATGGAAATCACGAAATAATGTGGTTTTTAACAATTTCCGTGAAAGCTCGACAACCATTGTTTTACAAGCTACAGCTGAAACAAAGGAATGGATTGAGGCGACGAATATACAGAGACGACGACTTCCACAACAAGCTCAACAACGTCCGGTAGTGAAGTTTTGGACAGCACCGCAACGAGACTACGTTAAATGTAACTTTGATGCTGGACTCGATCTACAGAACTTGCAGGCAAGAGGTGGTTGGATAATACGAGACTATGGAGGCTCACCGAAAGCTTGGGGATCGATGGTTCTGAATTATGCTGGTTCACCTTTAGAAGCAGAAGCTATGGCTCTTTTAGCTGCACTTCAACAAGTTTGGACTCGAGGATATACAAACGTAGTTATGGAAGGCGATTGTGAAATACTCATCAACCTGGTTAATGGAGCTTCAGGCATTTTGTCTGTGGCTAATCATCTTCTGGATATACATCATTGGGCTTCGAAATTTATTAACATTCAGTTTAGTTTTGTCAAGAGAACAGGAAATCAAGTGGCTCATAATCTTGCTAGATTTGGTTGTAATTCTTCCTGTTATTATGCTGATTCTGTTCATCAACCTGTATGGCTTCAACAAAGCATTTGTAATGACCTTTCAAAGTTAATATAATTCACTTTTGACGAAAAAAAAAAAAAAAAAGCAAAACAGAATTTATCAGCAAAAATCCCACTAACTAATCAACATGAGAGTTTGTAACGATACATTGTGTTTGGACTACTAGTTGATAGGGAACTATACTAATTAACCAATTTAAGTTAATTTTTTTTTTATCCATCAACAATCCTATAAACCATTTGACTACATTCGCTGGTCAAATTGAATTAGTATTCAGTAATTACTACAAAGAGATTCTCTTACCAATTTAGATGTAATAGTTAATGCTGAATACAGAGTACGGACTAAGGACAATTTGAACAGTGAGTTAAAAATAGAAAATTATCTCTCTTTTTTTGGTGAGGAAAATAGAAAACTATCTAAACATTACTGTTTAAATTAGTCAAACATTTTTTGACTTTGTAATAGTTTTTTTTTGGGTACATGGATAGTGACCATTTAAATCCAATATCTTAAAATAAGAATAATTAATATGGCCTTGTGAAACAAGACTACTTTCACTACAGTCAATCCACACAGCTAAGCGTACGCGTCAGCTCCCGGTTTGAACAAAAAGACAAACCGTAATTGGTTTTCTTTTTTTTTTCTCATGTAACGGCCGGTTAAATAAAATGCTGACGTCACCAATTTTTCTCTATTTATATCCCACCTGGAACCAACTCTGTTTATACGCGTCCTCCTCTCTTCTTCTTCTCTATTGCTATCAATCAACAAAACTCTCTCTTTCTCCAAACCAGAAATTCAAATTGGGATTTTACCTGAAAACTTTTGAACAAACTCAAAAATCAAAATGGGTCTTTGTGTGTCTGTTAATCGAAATGAGTACGATTCTTCGCCGTCGACGGCTAAAATCGTGACTATTAACGGCGATCTCCATGAATACGATGTACCGGTGTTAGCATCTCAGGTTCTGGAATCTGAATCGACGTCTTCTTCTTCATCGTCTTCGTCTCGATCTTCTTCTTATTTTCTCTGTAATTCCGATTCTCTCTACTACGACGATTTTATCCCGGCGATTGAATCTGATGAGATTCTTCAAGCGGATCAAATCTATTTCGTTCTTCCGATCTCTAAACGACAATACCGTCTCTCGGCGTCGGATATGGCGGCTCTCGCCGTGAAAGCCAGCGTTGCTATGGAGAAATCAGCGGGGAAGAAAAATCGCCGTCGTAGAAGCAGCGGAAGAATCTCGCCGGTTGTGACGTTGAATCAGCCTAACGAGAATCGGATCGCCGCCGTGAACAACAGAATTGGAGGCGAAGCAACGATTTTGCAAAAAGGAAAGTTGCCGAATAGAACGACGCCGTTTAAAGATACAAACGGTTATTCCCGGTCTGGTTCGGTACGGAAATTGAAAAGATATACGTCTGGTCGAGCTAAATTGGCGGTTCGATCGTTTAGACTGAGACTCTCTACTATATACGAAGGCTCTTCGTTTAATTAGATCGAATAATTAACTAAAGGGATACATTTTTTTGTTTGTTCTTGTTATCGTTACGAAAATGTTTGTGTAATGTTTCAAAATGATCTGTAAATTACAGCTTTCACTTTCGCTTTTGTGATATATTAATTTCCCATTTTGTTATGTAATGTGTACTTATATTTTATAATTAAGATAGCTTAAAAATCAAATCTCAATCACACTGTTGCGAGTTTCATGAGATTATATGATACACGTACTTAATTATTTTGTAATATATGATATGATATTATATCATTAAATTTTGACGAACGGATTAGATGAAATTGATCCTTGTAACTCACCAGTCACAAGTTTGATCCATCCGATGATTGATAATATTTTTAGAAAACTTTGTTTACTCTTTTTTGGGTAAGTCAAAGCTCCACTTTAGGAAACATGGTTATAGAGCAAATTAAAGTAATAAATATAAAATATTCCATGAGGAGATAATCCAAGTTAAAAGTAAAGATATCTTGGAGAAAAAGTTTGGAATTTCTAATGTAAAGAGATTATTTAATGGGTGTGGTGGGATGGGAAAGAGACCAATGGAAGCTTTGGCTTCACGGCCAATGGGACTTAACGTTCTAAGTCTATTTTATATGGCAATTTAAGCTTTAGACTTTGATTTTTGTTTCAGTCGTAAGACTTTTGATGTAAGATGGTAATGTAGTAAATCTATTAACAAAAGCCTTTCATAAGAAAGCTTGATATTGTAATCCAAATCCTGTTAGTTCATTGTTCACCAATTAATTACGACGATACTGAACAGTGCTACTAAAATGAGTTTGAGTCCAAATGTAATCTAAAAAATAAAAATTGCTTGAAAGAGCAAATATAGTTTCGCCTGAAATAACTTTCAATGTTTTGAAAGCTTAAAAATTATCGATGCAAATTCTAGTTAAATTTTTTTCCCAATATTACTATTTATTTTTGTAAAGTTTTTGATAGTTAGTAATTACTCTCACTTGACCGAGATATATGCTTTGTGTTTGTTTTTGTGTTACCAGTTACCATTAAGGTTAAGCTCACATGATGCATGTTGACAAAAATAATTAAGTAACCTGCAACGAAAATTCATCTCCTTTGGGGCGCATTGATCTCAATCACATAACACAGCCAAAATAGGGTTATTTTTTTTGGTAGGCGCCAAAATAGGGTTATTGAAACAATGAAAAGTCTCGTGGTGTATTTTGTCATATTAGTTAATTTTTTTTTTTTATATGGAATTTGTGTGAACCCTAAGATTCAAAATGTATCGGCTGCTAGTCTTCTGTGTGACTGGCAAGTCTCAGACAATGACAGATTGTATCTGGCGGCTGACAACATTAACTAAATTATTTTCTTAATTACTTCTTGTAATTATGTACAATACTCCAAATAAAAATATACTTAATATTTCCCGATTTGGTCTATATCCCCGCGGCAGATCGGACCGTTGATTTGTTGTTAGTAATATGGTACTGTCCCAAAAAAATTTGGCCTTACTGGAGGCAACCATTATTATTGCAATTATTTATCTTTTAAGTTTTAAATTTTTTTATAACCTTATTATCGCCTTATTTGACCCCTTTGCTTTTGTATAAATAAAAGAAAATGGATTAAGAAAAATGTCAAATGTCAACACCATAACAAATAGTTCAGTGATTTGAAAATTTCGATTTGATTCTTGGTAGTATATGATTACGTTGTTATGTTAAATAAATTAATGAAAATAAGAATTAAATTATCCAAACTTTGTTTTATTTTAGTCTTTATCAGAATCTGGACTATCTTATTCACATTCACATTTATAATCCTATTGGCTATAATTCAAAATTATGACGTGTATGCACACCACACCCTGGTCACTATTAATGGAAACTATTGAGTTTACATGTGTCCCAATCAAATATGAAACAAAGAGAGCTAAAGCTGACAAGGATAATAAGGTTTGAGGCTTTTTCAGTCAGTTTCTCGGTAAATAAACATTTTCAATGTGTTAATCATTCATTTTCAAACGTTCCACTGAATGATTGTTTTCGTTATAGTCAGCGTAATACTTCATATTTGATTGTTCTTGAATTGTAAACACAAAATAAACGAGGATTTGACTTTCAGATATATCTTGTTCATACTCCAAATAGTCGTCGGGGGAGAAATGAAAGAGTGACTGGGGATCGTAGTCGTAGCATAGTTTGATACATTTTCTTGGCCTCTTACATTGCATGAGAAAAATACAGTGGACTTTTAATCAGCCCATTTAAAACAGGCCCATTCTCAAGAAGCTCTCTGTTTCTCTACTCTCTAGTCTTCTTTGCAGCAATTTTCAGAAGAGGTTCATTTTATTACAAGTAAAGATTATATATTCTTATAAACTACTTTTAAAATATACATAGTTATAAAGGAGAATTGTTTATGTCGTCTACGATTTTTAAGAAGATAATACCATATCTGAACCAAAATCATGACACATAACAACAATACAAATATGAACCACTAAAGTATAACTCTTGTATATAATGTAAAACTTTTTCACATTTTTTTTGAGATTTTTTCTTATTATTATCATTTCGTTGATTGTTATAAAGATTCATATATGATGCTTTACCCGTAAATTAGGCTTTACTGACTTATCTTTCTCGTTAGTAATTTACAAATTTTGGTGCACAATGGACATGTAAAGTCCCCACTACAGCACATAATACTGACCATTCGTGGCATTGTAACGGCATAAAGTATTTGAAATCAATCATCTCAACAGTATCAGTATGCATGCTTCTACAGCCTTCTCACGCTCAATACCATCATTGCCATGTTACTTTTTGTGTGTAGACTCACTATTACTAAATCATCTTTTTGTTAACGCCTAGAAAATAACCTCAGAAAGTAAAACATATCATTTTTTGGGTAATGTATTATCTAGCTGTTGAGAAGATTGCCCAAAGAAGTAATCGTTTTCCTTATTATATCAAAATCACAATTGAGTAACGCTAAGGTTGTATGTACACAAAGCTATGCCTATAGGATCCACTCCACAAAATTATCGTAAATTAGTCTATTGAGAAATTCACATATGAAAGAAAAAAACTCAAAACATTTACATTTATTAGATAGATCTCTAATATATTGCGGCACTAAAAATAATTTTCCATATATGTAAGATTTTAGTATATCAATGAAAAGAAATTAAGATGTAGAAAAAAAAAAAAACATAAACGCATCGATTGGGTTCTTCATTACACGTGGGGCCATTTCTTGTTCGCTCAACCAATCATACCAGCTCCCTCTATTCCCTTCTCCTTATCAACATCATTTACTATTTTCATAAATTTGGATCTCTTGTTTCGCAATTACATGAAACGTAATACTAAATTCAGCTTAGTTTACCACCATTTTGGTGAACACACTAATTAAGGAAGAATCAATCACTTGAAAACAGAGAAGACGAATGTACACGCATGTATAAATTCCATATAAAATTACAACAAAAACAAAATAGTAATAACTTAAAATACTAAACGAAAAAAAACACCCCATCCACTTACACCTGATCACACCTATACATATACCATCAAACTTGGTCTCATTCTCTTCTCATTTACACAGATCACAAAGAAAATAAATAAAAACGATTATGGATTTAAGAAAACAAAAAAGTCATCTACAAATCATTGATTCTCCGACGAACGTTGACTGTGCCCGTGAAGTCGGACTCCGAAGAACCCTCCGTTCACTCATCGAGTGGGTAATCCCATATTGTTGCACGTACCAACCTCCTCCTTCCGACTTAAACGACACCGTCTCTGTCTCTTCATCCACTACTTCCTCTGACCAAACTGGCGTCGTCGTAACCGGCACTTTCTTTGGTCACCGCCGTGGCCACGTCAGCTTTTGCATCCAAGACGACACTCGTCCCGCGTCTCCACCTCTTCTCCTCCTCGAGCTAGCCGTTCCCACGGCGGCTCTCGCTCGGGAGATGGAAGAGGGCTTTCTCCGCATAGCTCTCCGGAGCAAAAGCAACCGCCGGTCTAGTATCTTTAACGTTCCGGTTTGGTCTATGTACTGTAACGGCAGGAAAGTTGGATTTGCGGTGAGGAGAGAAACGACTGAAAACGACGTCGGATTTCTCAGGTTGATGCAGTCTGTTTCCGTTGGCGCAGGGGTGATTCCGAACGGCGAGACGTTGTATTTGAGAGCAAAGTTCGAGCGAGTCACCGGATCGAGTGACTTGGAATCGTTTCACATGGTAAACCAAGGGGGTGGTTATGGACAGGAGCTTAGCATTTTTCTTTCAAGATCGTGAAAGTAATTAGGGAAATTGAATCTAGTTATGATCGATGTAATTTTTAATGTTCGTTTTTTTTTGTGTATGTTACGACTTACGAAATCGTTTTTACGAACATTATAAATATAAATCAATTCATGTGGTGTATTGGAACATTATATTGAATAGTCACAGTGATAAATTTATAACAATCATATACCATAAGTACTCAATATTCAAAAACTATACACGAATTAAAATAGCAAAATAAGAAAATTTAAATCATAGTATATATTACTAAACAGAACACATCCTGATGATCATTCTACAAAATTTTGCAAATATATAGTAGAATTATTCGGTATTGCCTAATAGTTCTACCAATTACCGTTTGGGACTGATTACCTATCCAACACCTTGACTTTGATTTTTTGACAATGATATACATCATGATCAATAATTATGCAATGTTGTGTGCACATGAAAGAGAGGATGAAATTGGATTGGTGTGTCCCTGCTTTGACTCCTCTCATGCCGTTATGCATTTGTAATTTACTTCGAAAACTGAGTAATCCTCATGGGCCACGGGCGCGTGGACAGAACGCACGTGCAGTGGAGGAGTCTGATAAATGCGACAATTGAAAGCAATGTTCGACCAAACAGCAACCATCGAAAAATCTGGCTTAGCTCCGGTGTCTGCTTCGGTTCCGAACCAGCACGGTTCCTTCTTATCTTCCACCTTCCGATAATATTAGGAATTTTGCTCTTTACTCCATATTCTCAAATTCATTAATTCCATCCATTACTCTCTTGCTTTAACATACGTTAATTATTTCGTTGTACACTAATGAAGATAGAAAAACACGTACATGCTGGCACCACAGAATTCATATTGTATGGATCCCGGTATTTAAATATTAGAGTATATAGACATACACACTCTATAGACTAAATTAAATTATTTATTAAGCCCACGTCTCATAAAATGACAAATACATGTAGGAATCGTGACATCCAGCAAGGGATCTGAGACTCTGATTGTTTGATTGATATGTTTTTATGCCCCCTTTGGATCTCTCATGTTTTTTCTTCTTCTCATATCTCAATTATAGGTTTTAATTTGTGTGTGTGTGTGGTAAAACTAAATTAAGTGTTGATATAAATCTTACGACTTTTTATATACTTTTTTGAAAGCAAGATATGATAGACCAAAAAGATAAAAATGAAAATGATGAGAATTAAATATGGAATGCACACAAGGTTCATTACGTTTAAACAAACACAAATCGTTGACATAATGGCTCCACCACCGTCTCCTCTTAGTATGTTTTCACGTGCACTCTCAAGTCTCAACCCCACGGTTCTCTCTTTATTTTTTTTATTTTGTTTTTATATTTTTATGAATACAATATATTGCTCGTGAATCGTGATTCGTATCGAGATCAATCCCAAAAATATTATATTATGTTTGATATCTTCTTTTTCTTGTTTGATTATGTGATTTTTATTTTACTGGTGTTCGAAAATTTAACCACGATATATTTATGTGTGAGCTTTATTTTACTGTTGTTCTCTATCTCCTAAAAAAAGCGACTTATAGACCGAACCGAATGATGATGTTAATAAATTAAGATGTAATGTTTTGAGTTTCATTACTTGTAAGTATTATGATATTTGTAACTTGTACGGTTTATATATATACTAGTATATATCTGTTATTGTGTCTAAGTGAAATAATTTTTTGAGCTGCATGTATGTTTAGGCGTGGCTGAAATTAATTTGAGATGTATAAAAGTCAGTAACTAATGCTAATTATTCTAATTTAAATGCTGACATCTAAAGGATACGGTCGTGGTCCAACACGGCGTTTACAGAGAAAGACGGGCGGGCTAGTTGATAAAAAGCCCAATTAAATAATGGGCTGGTTTAGGGTTGAACAGCGAGACCCATTTGAACTGAAATATTGATATCGATTATTTTTGTTTTGCAGTTGTGGATCCCAGCCTGTGATCGGTGATTAGAAAAGAACAAAACCTTAGTTAATAAACAATGATTAAAGTGATTCTTCTTTTCCATTTGTTAGAGAATCATTATGCTTCCACACGTGCATTTTATATCATATGATAATTAGAACAATCTGACAAAAAAATAGATTAGTTAAATAATTGACTTGTTATGTTATTACAAAAATATGAGTTAGAAATCTGGTGGAATGGCACTGAATTTTAGATAGCTCCTGCCACGTCGAATATTTCGATCATGCATGAATACATGCGCCGTTATTAACGCTGTTAAATATGTGTATATATGCTATGCATATAGTAAGTAGACTAGTATTTTTTTTCTTTAATTTGCTTGGTTCTTTATCAAAGTACTTGGATTAATGAGATCGAGTATTTATAAACTAGTACTAATTACTAAGTAGATCGGGTGGGAGTTGGCGAGAAATTTTAATAAACGAGTACGAGTATGAGATCGAGTATGCAAATAACTAGTGAGCTATTTTTTAAGGTGCTAGTGCTACTTTATATATAAATCATAAATGTTCTTTATACGAACACCGGTTATAAATGAAGTAAGTTACTCTAAGCTGGCATTTCATGTGTTTATTAGATAGTACCGTGGCCGGTAAAATTAGCTAGTTGTTATCAATTGTTATATATATATGTTCATTTATTTTATGTTTTATTAGACTGTGAGATGATAATAGTACAGAAAAAAAAATCCAATAAATATGTATATAAATCTAGAAATGGTAGATAAAACTATTTTAAATGGGTCACCCAACGTGAATGAGTTTCCTTTTCGATTTAATTGTCCTCGTTGTGTTGGCATAAAAGTCGGTGCTAAAGAAAGCCCCAAATTATTTAACTTGAAAACGAAAGTTGGTCCACTTCTATATTCATTTTCTGAGATTAAATTAATTCTCAAATCATTTTTTCATAAAAAATCTCAAATTATTGTTTCCAAAAAAAAAAAAAAAAATTCTCAAATTATTATTATTATTTTTGTTTTAAAAAATCTCAAATTATCAAAAAAGTATTCAGTCGTGTTTTTTTCTATATATCAATATCACTGTCTTAGTCAGCTTGGCAAATATTGCATTCATCTATATATGTACACAAACGTCTACGTAGAGAAAACATTGTACATTCACATTCGTGATCTCATCAATCTTTAGATGGCTAAAAAATCTCAGATAGAATATCACACTTACCCAAAATATACTATTTTTTCGTACGAAATCTTATTACTAGCACATGACGTTTGTGAGAAAATGTACAGTAGACATTCAAAGGTGTTAATGTTAAAATTAACAATTGGGTTTTCTAACTATGAGGTATGTATGAGCCACTCCAGCTTCTCCTAAAGTCAATTATAAATTATACGTAACGTTACTAAATATATATTGGAATTACTAGAGAACAATTATAAGTTTGAAATATAAAATCTAACTCATGACTAATTTACTACCCCCAACCGTTTATAGTACGAAGCAAACTTAAAAGAGAATGACATGGGTATGACTTTGCCCCTTTTTTCTTAATGAACTTGTACTCTAAAGTCATAAGTTTCTAATCAGTATTAATAGCAGTAATTAATGGATACATTTAACCATACAAAAAAAATAAAATTCAACAAGAGAAATAGACAGGGTGGCATCATAATTTATGGGGACAGCTGTCGTGGTTATGCATTTATGACCACTAAACATGCAATGGCACGGATGCTCATTTTAGTCATTTTACTTGTTAGATTCTTCTACAAAATTTACTTATTCAACAGTACTTCTGATTTTTCTTCTTCTTCATAATTAATACTCCATGCCAGTTTTATATTCATTTTCAAATACGACATGCCAGTGATCGGTTGCCATTATTCTGATTTATTTTTCTATGAAATCATTACAAAACTATTTTTAACTTGTTGACAAAAATAGGTGTTTAATTATTACAAAGTTGATCAGGTCGATAGTTATTTCGGGCTATATAAAAAATGTCCGATTTCTCGTATGGGAGTGATTGCAACATATTTATTGGTATTTTATGACCCCATGTCAACTCTTATGTAGTAATTTGTCCCCACTTAGGGAAAATCACATTTTTAACCCTCAACATGTAACTGGGTAGCACTTTAAACATCGAAAGAATTATACTAACACTATAAACCACAAAGATTGTTTTACTAACACTTTAAACCTCCAAACTAGTTTTTCTATTTACAAAGCCATAAAAGATGATGGAACAATCAATTTATGTTTGTTTAATGTATATTTATTTAGTTTAATTTAAATTTAAATTAATTTTATTATTTATTACGACTTTGACGATAAATAAAAAAGTAAAAAAAAAATCATCATCTTCGACTATTCACCGTCCGACCACAATTTTTTAGATTTTTATTCAGTTTATTGTATGTGTTCCCCATCTTTTTTATTCAATTGGTATTATGAGATTCCAATTTATCCACTGGAAAGAGTGAAAACACTTATGGATTAGTCTAAAAGATTTTTCTAATAGTTCATAAAAAAATTTCATGGTCGGACAGTGAGTAAACGAAGAAAATAAAGTTTTTTTTTTGTTTTTATAAATTTTGATTATTTGTAATAAATAATAAAATTAATTAAAATTTAAATTAAATGAAACAAATATATATTAAACAAACATAAGTTGATTGTTCCATCATCTTTTATGACTTTGCAAACAAAAAAGTTAGTTTGGAGGTTTAAAGTGTTAGTAAAACAATCTTGGTGGTTTATAGTGTTAGTAGAATTCTTTCGAGGTTTAAAGTGCTACCCAGTTACACTTTGAGGGTTAAAAATGTGATTTTCCCCTTAATAAATTGTTTATATTAGCTCAAAGGCATTAATTGCATGGTTTCCAACTTTTCTTCTATTTGTTTTTATTTCACATTTGAAAACATTACTAATTTGCAGTATCTGCGAATCATTTTCATTTTAGTGTATAGAGTATAAACCTATTGTAGATTCAAATATCCTAATGATCTTCCTAGTTCATTTACATTTTTTTCTTTTTCTTAACGATTCTCACAATTTTTGTTTATTTATTAAAGTACTAATTAGTTTGGTTATCGCATTATATTATTGTGAGGTCTGATTATATAAAGACTAAAATATAGACATGCAAAGAGACTATGAAGTATGAACTACTGTAATCATCACTGCAAGAAAAACATTGCCATAAATATGAAAACAGAAGACATTGACAGATACTAATAAAAATAATACTATGTCTGTAAATACATATTCAGATCTTAACGAAAGTCTTGTGGAGTAAAAACTGGGTAATACCCGGGAAAAAAATGTCGGTTTCACTTACTCATTTTCCTGGAAAGTTACAAAGTCATTCCCTTTTCAGGTCTTGAAGTCACATTAACATAAGAGTAGAAGCAAAAAGGCTTGGAGCTTTATTTTTGCTTTTTTTCTTTCTTCTAGAAAACATGATCTTGAGTTTCCGAGTAAGATTCTTTTAAAGAGAGTGTGAGAAAATGATGGCTCTGATGAATTGTGCATATTCCTCTTCTTCTTCTTCCTCTCCCACTTCTTCTTCTTCATATTCTCCGAGGTAAGTGATTTCAATTTGCGTAAGAGACTAATCAATCTTTGAATCAAAGTTAATTGATACTTTCTTTGTTCTTGCTTGTAGGAACAGAGAGAACATGGTTTTGCAGAGTGTAGTTGATATGTCACCTTCAAGTTTCTCTTCCGACAGAAAATCTGTACGGTTTCGAAATCATTTCATTTTTCTCCTTTCTTTCCACAAAAAGCAAAACTTTTTACTGTTAAAACAATAAGAAAAAAAACTCTGCTTTTTTTTTCCTTCTTCTTCTGGGTTTTATATGGTTTTTTGATGCAACTTTTAATTAACAAGAAAGTGAAAAGATGTTTCTAATTTCCTTACAGATTTTACCTATTGAGAAGACTTTAATAACTCACCAAAATTCCAGTCTCTGCTTGATCCCAAAGGTTTCTTTTATAACTTAGTAATCAAATCTTTAATCTTACTGTTTTCTTGTTTTGACATGTCTTGAATCTTGATTTTTTTATATATATATACAGAAGTCTTCAGAAGAATTGAAGATGGAAATTGCATCAATTGAGATAGAGATTCTACACATGGAACGATATCTCTTATCTCTTTACCGAAAATCTTTCGAGCAGCAACTTCCTAATTCCTTCTCTAATCTCTCTGCTACTACTACCTTATCTCGTTCTGTGACTACTTCACCAACATCACTAACTCATTATCAATCTTACCAAAAACCAATTTCTTATCCTCGGAGTTTCAACACTAGTTTAAAAGCCTTATCTTCAAGGGTAAATTTAACTCTAATCAAGTCTTTATTATAAAAAAATCAGTCAAGAAAGAAACAGTTAACTGACTCGTTAATGTGTTTTCTTTTTTCAGGAAGGGACTAGAGTAGTTTCTGGTAATCACAGTCTTGGAGAGCTTTTAGGATCATCTCATATAGTTGATCATAGTAACCTCATAAACCCGAATAAACTCTCTGAAGATATCATGAGATGCATTTCTTCTGTGTATTGTACACTTTCAAGAGGATTAACGAGTACCAATTCCACTTGTTTCCCTGCTTCTCCGGTTTCGTCATTGTCGAATGCCTCAACCATTTTCTCTTCCAAATCTAATTATGACGATAAATGGAGCTTGAATTGCGCGAGTGAGGATCATTTTCTGAATCACTGTCAAGATCAAGGCAATGTTTTGCCTTGTGGTGTTGTTGTAATAGAGGCTCTTAGAGTACATTTAGACGATGCTAGTTTCGGTTACGCTGCTCTTATGCTGCAAAACTTCAGGTAAATTTGGAGGTATAAAATCTACATATATATAACTGAATTGATCTTTATTTGTATTTTGAACAATTTGGTATGCAGATCACTGGTTCAAAATCTTGAGAAAGTTGATCCGAGTAGAATGAAACGCGAAGAGAAGCTCGCGTTTTGGATAAACATTCACAATGCTCTTGTGATGCATGTAAGTAATACACTAGATCTTTCTTTACTATCTTAATTTCCTTGGTATTAATCTTTTCATGCCATAATCTTCTTCTTTCAAGGCTTACTTAGCTTATGGAACTCACAACCGCGCAAGAAACACATCGGTTTTGAAGGTTAAATCTCTATTAGACATAAAACATTTAGTAGAGCAACATTTATTTGATGTTTTTACTAAGCAATTCTCTTTATATATAACCACAGGCAGCTTATGATATTGGAGGCTATCGAATAAACCCGTTTATCATCCAAAGCTCAATCTTAGGAATCAGACCTCATTACACATCACCATCACCTGTAAACCATTTCATCTTTCTTTCCTTTTTGCTTCACTTTCACTTTCACTTTTCACCACATAGTAAATGCGTAATTTACATTTTGCAGTTACTCCAAACTCTGTTTTCGCCTTCAAGAAAGTCGAAAACTTGCAGTGTTAGACACATTTACGCATTGGAATACCCCGAGGCTTTAGCTCATTTCGCTATTTCTTCAGGGGCATTCACAGATCCTACGGTAACAATTAATTAGAAACCATTTCATCTCTAAATGATTTCACTTATACTCCTATATTAGAATTAACTGTATAAGATTATTGGTTAGGTTCGGGTTTACACGGCGGATAGAATATTCCGGGATCTAAGACAAGCAAAACAAGAGTATATCAGAAGTAATGTTCGTGTTTACAAAGGGACAAAGATTTTGTTGCCAAAGATCTTTCAGCATTATGTTAAAGACATGTCAATGGATGTGTCTAAGCTCATGGAAGCAACAGCTCAGTGTTTACCAGAAGATGCGAGGAAAATTGCTGAGAAATGTTTGAAGGAGAAGAAGAGTAAGAATTTTGAATGGTTACCGGAAAATTTGAGTTTCCGGTATGTCATCGCCGAAGAATTGGTTGGAGCAAGAAATAAGACGTGAAGGTTTATTCAAGAAAAGTTTTTCTTTTTGCCTCCTGATGTGATTAAATAATTTGATTACAATTAGTGTTCAATTTCATTTTTTTTTCAAGTGAGAAATTGTTAAACCAGTGTCTGTATGTATAATCTTAATAAACCGAGAACTAATTAATGTTTTTAAACCGTGTAACGAAAAGAACCGAGAGAAAACCGAACGATCAAACCGGGTCTTTAAGCGTAGATACTTGGGCCTATGGGCCTGATAATCATTCCAGGGTTTAAAAGTGATAAGGAAAAATACAGGACCAAATTTTGATTTTGATAATAATACAAGGGCCTAATAAAAAAATTGCTAGCTTGGTTTTTGTATCTTGACGCCGAGGATTTGTTTTCCGGTGAGAGGAAAGTTTGGGTTTTGAGTAGAGAGAGATAGAGTAAACAAGAAGGAAGAAATTCACATGTTTAATCTGTCCGTTCTTACTTATTTTCACTTCAGATTGAAAATTATTCTCTCCTGGTTTCCAAATCTTCGATCTTTCACTCTAAATTCGCTCTAAAACATTGAGGAAGACGACGGTGGGGGATGGAATTGGAGCAACTTAAGAAGTCTGTAGAGGAGAACCCAGATGATTCTTCTCTACAATTCGAACTCGTAATTTGTTTTCCGATCATGAATTTAGTTCCTTTTTTCTGGGTTCTCTTTGTATCTTCTGCTAATGGAAAAAAATTGGATTTTTGATTTTGATTGCAGGGTTTGTATCTATGGGATAATGGTGGAGATTCAGAGAAAGCGGCGGAGCACTTTGTGTTGTCGGCGAAATCAGACCCGAATAATGCGGTGGCCTTTAAGTATTTAGGGCATTACTACTCGCGTGTGACGCTTGATCTTAATCGAGCTGCTAAGTGTTACCAGAGAGCAGTGTTGATAAACCCTAATGATTCTGATTCTGGAGAAGCTTTGTGCGATTTATTTGATAGACAAGGGAAAGAGATTTTGGAAATTGCGGTTTGTCGTGACGCTTCTGAGAAGTCTCCAAAGGCTTTCTGGGCCTTTTGCAGATTGGGTTATATTCAGGTTTTGTTCAATTAGCCTTCTCTGTTTCTGCAATCTGTCTTTATTGTCTTGCTCTGGCTGATCTATGGTTATGGATTCTATCACAGCTTCATCAGAAGAAGTGGTCTGAAGCTGTTCAAAGCCTTCAACATGCAATTAGAGGTTATCCTACCGTGTCTGACTTGTGGGAAGTAATTGTCCTTTTCCTTCTTCTTCTAGTTATTAAAATTTCGTTACATTGAATCTCTTAACGAATTTGACAAGAATTCTTTTTGTCTGTCTGTCATTGCAGGCTCTAGGTCTTGCTTACCAGCGACTTGGAATGTTTACTGCTGCTATCAAGGTAATAATCGCTGTTTCATTTTTTGTAGTTTCCCGGTTTCTTGGAGTGGTTTGGGTTAATTGTTGATTTTTACTGTGATCTTATTCCTCAATGATACAACAGGCGTATGGCCGTGCCATTGAGTTAGATGAGACCAAAATTTTTGCATTAGTGGAGAGTGCAAATATCTTTTTGATGCTTGGTTCATATAGAAAGGTAACCTTTGTATCCGCGTCTATTTAAAATGACCTCTTTGGAAAGTTTGTTTGTGTGGCTTCAGAAGTCTCATATAGTATTTGTATAGGGTGTGGAGCTATTTGAGCAAGCACTGAAAATTTCACCTCAGAATATTTCTGTGCTCTATGGTCTTGCTTCTGGATTGCTTAGTTGGTCAAAGGAATGCATAAATTTGGGCGCATTTGGATGGGCAGCTTCGTTGTTGGAGGTACTCTTCTGATTTTGTCCTGATCTCTTCCATATTGAATATACCTAAATGAGAGAACGATTAATGGAAATCCACTGTAGGATGCCCGTAAAGCTGCAAAAGCAAGCAGTGAACTGGCCAGCAGCATGTCTTGTATATGGAAATTGCATGGAGATATTCAGGTACTTAGGCGGTCCTTGTATTTTAAGTGTAAAGCTCGCTCGTTATCAGGGTATCTAATGTGTAATCCTTGAGCAGCTTACATACGCAAGATGCTTTCCATGGTCTGGTGGAACTGAAAACTCAGAATTCACTTTGAAGGCATTGAGTGATTCAATTCTTTCTTGGAGAAGCATTTGTTACTCAGCTGCATTGTCAGCCAAAGCTTCTTACCAGCGAGCTCTACACTTAGCCCCATGGCAAGCTAATGTTTATACCGACATAGCCATAGCTTGTGATCTTGTTTCAAGTTTAGGCGATGACTCTGATACTTCAAGTTCTTGGTAAGATTATACTAAACGTTATTTGGCATTTCTTAGTTTTTGATGTGCGCCCTTGTAATAGTCTATTATTCTATCAGGAAACTACCAGAAAAGATGGCTCTGGGAGCATTATTGCTGGAATGCGAAAACTCGGAGTTCTGGGTTGCTTTGGGTTGTATGTCTGATAATAGTGCTTTGAAACTACATGCTTTGATCCGGGCATTGCATTTAGATGTATCTTTAGCCGTTGCTTGGGCTTTTATGGGCCAGGTATTGTTCCTTAACATTTTTGTCTTTCTGGCTTGTATTTGATGTCCTGGCTTTATCAAGGCTTGCATTTTGTTTCACATATGTTCATGATTTCAGTTACGGTTTCCCCCTTTTTGATTGTAATTTCGGTTGCTTAAACAGATCTTCAGGGAATCGGATGAAATGAAATTTGCAAAGCAGGCTTTTGATTGTGCTAGAAGCATAGATCCTACACTTGCGCTACCTTGGGCTGGCTCAGCTGATACTTATGCGAGGTAGATCCTTTTTTTGTGAAAAAGAATTTCTCATGTTTACGAACGACAATTTTGCCCACATAGACTAATTAACACCTCAGGGAGTCAACATCAGATGAGGCTTTTGAGAGTTGTTTACGAGCTGCACAGATATCACCTGTAAGTGCTAATTTAATTGTGGTTTACTTACTTGTAAGCGTGATGGCTTTAATTGAGGCGTGAGATAATTCTTTCCAGCTTGCAGAATTCCAAGTTGGTTTGTCATGGCTTGCTTTACTGCAGGGAAATATATCATCTCCGCAGGTATAAACACACACACACACACACTTATATATATTTAATATCTACACAGGATTTTTATTAATCTAAGTGAGCTTTAAGTAGTCCCCCTCCTGAAACTGTGTTGCAGATTTTTGCTTGCATTGAGCAGGCAGTGCAGCGCACCCCTTATTACCCTGAATCCCATAACCTCCACGGGCTAGTTTGCGAGGCAAGGCATAATTATCACACTGCTATTGCTTCTTATAGGCTAGCACTAGCTGCAATGAGTATTTACCCCGACAATTCAGTAAAATCTCATGCTGGAAAAGTATCGATAAACTTGGTCAGGTCACTCAGCAAGGTGAGATGCCCACCCTTCTTTCCGTTAACATGTCTATTTAACAGCTGTTTTGAGATTAGATTTAAATTTAATTCAATAATCAATAGGAATGCAAATATTGTACTCATTTAAAGTTATTTTGCAGGCTGGACGATTCAAAGAATCTGTTATGGAATGCGCTAATTTGAAGTCAAAAGGTTAGACCATTCATCCCCCAGTTTTAAAGACTGGGTTTTCTTGCAACTCATACTAACTTTTAGTCAAATGCTACTAAATTTACTAATATATAGTAAAATATTTCCAAAAGGTTTGCTTGATGCCGGAGGTTTGCAAATATATGCTTTCTCTCTGTGGAAGACTGGTCAGAATGATTCGGCTCTTTCAGTGATTAGGGATCTGGCTGGTAGGATTTCTACAATGGAAAAAACCTCAATAGCCTTCCCAATCAGCTTCATCTGTAGTCTACTTTATTGTATATCTGGGTTAGATTCTGCTATCACCAGCATCCAGAAAATGCCTAAGGATTTCTTCCAGAGTTCGAAAATCAGCTTTATAGTATCTGCCATCCATTCTCTTGATCTGAGTGATAGACTTCAGTCGATTGTTGCAAGCACTCGTAGCTATATAACATCACAAGAAGAAATAGTTGCAATGCACTATTTGATAGCACTCAGCAAATTGGTGAGCCTTTTGATCCCGGTTATCATGTTGACCCCTTCTTTTTTGAATGCTGTATTGGTATAAACTCTGGATTAAAATGACAACACTCTGGATATTGCAGCTGAAAACTGGAGCAGGAGATTTCCTTGGATTTGAGAAGGGGATTGCCCACCTCAGAAAAGCTATTCATATGTATCCTCATAGTAATTTGATAAGGTGGGTTTTGATCACGCGCGCTAGGTTTTAATTTTGTAGTGATATGCTGGTATTGTAATCATAACTCGGAAATATAATTTGTTGGAATTAGGAACCTGCTTGGATATATTTTGTTAGCTGGTGAAGGAATGAAAGATGCCTGTACTGCTAGTAGGTGTTGTATCATAAATGTATCTGAGTGTGCAAATAAGGAAGGTCTGAAGTCCGCATTGGAGGTCCTTGGTGGAGGATCGGTTGCTTGCAATGTAATTGGCAATACAGCTCCAAGGTTCTCATTTCCGACATGCCATTGTCAGTATCTGAATGCTCCTGTTGTTGTTGTGGAACTGCAAAGGTATTTGAGAATCTTTCTGCATCATTTTAGTATTTTTAGAATCTGAATTGGTCCACTATCAAAGTGGTGTCTGATCTTTTTATCATCTACAACTCAATTTTTGACCCACCCGTGCTTAGAATCTCTGTTAAATGAATGTTTTCCAATTTGCAGATTCTTGCATCAAGAACCTTGGAACAGCGGTGTAAGATACTTGCTTATTCTGAATCTCGTGCAGAAGGCACGTGAGCAGAGATTTCCTCGCCAGCTTTGTAGTGCTATTGAGCGTCTAATCTCTGTGGCACTCTCTGATGAGACATGTTCGAAGGAAGGCGAGTATCAAAAGTTCCAGCTTCTGCTTTGTGCTTCTGAAATCAGTTTGCAGAAGGGAAATATAGTAGAGTCCATTGCCCATGCTGGAAAGGCTTCTTCCCTTTCGCTTCCACGTAGCTACCTATTCCTAGGACATTTGCAACTTTGCCGTGCCTATGCAGCAAAAGGGAGTACCAGAAACATGCAAGAGGAATACAGAGCGTGTTTGGAGCTCAAGACTGACTCAAATATTGGTTGGATTTGCCTGAAGCTCATAGAATCTCAGTATGATCTGGAACCTGATGCTAACCTCTTAGAGATGAGTTTACAAGAATGCTCGAGCCAGAAGAAGAATTCATGGAAAGAATGGATGGGTGTATACAGTTTAGCTCGTGGCTTAGATTCTATCGGGAAAAAAGACTTTTTCTCAGCAGAGGAATTCCTTGCACAAGCTTGTTCGTTGCTAAATTCAGAGAGCTGTCTACTTCTCTGCCATGGTGCTGTCTGCATGGAGCTGGCTAGACAGTCTAATGATTCGCAGTTCCTCTCATTAGCTGTAAAGAGTCTTAGCAAAGTTCAAGCTAGTTCGTTGATTCCTTTACCTATCGTGTATACATTATTAGCTCAAGCACATGGAAGTCTTGGCTCTAAAGAGAAATGGGAGAAAAATCTTCGTCTCGAATGGTTCTGCTGGCCACCAGGTTTGACTGCAATTGTTCTAATCTTTTCTTCTTTTTCACCAAACTTTGCGCACAACTGAAACTGGTTTTTAATTGTTGGACAGAAATGAGACCTGCAGAGGTTTACTTCCAGATGCATATACTCGCAAGACAATCAGAAGACAGACCGGAAACCGCTTCAGGGATTGAAAACTATCAAAGCCCTGAGAAATGGGTGGTTAGGGCGATTCACACTGATCCTTCTTGTCTGAGATATTGGAAGGTCTTGGATAAGCTTGTTCAACATCCCATGAGCTGAGAACCACAAATTGAAATCCAATCCCAGAACAGAGAAGAGCCCAGAGCAGAACAGTTGGTATTCTGTTCTTTTTTCCTTCCATGTAGTTTGTGTAACATGTAGTTTTTGTGTAACACCAAATAGAAACACAGTGGAATAGGATTCATCATGTACATTGAAACTGAAACAAGAAGATGCAGTTTTTTTTTTAAATGAACTATGATTTTGGATAATAGTATAAAACATGTTTTTGGATATTGCTTGCAAAGCCTTATTTACACAGCAATCAAACAAAAACTATACAGACGAAACAACAAAGCTTAGCGCATCATGAGAGCAAACTCGTCAAAGCTTAGAACTCCATCAGCATTGAGATCAAAAGCTTGAATCATAAGTTTGCAATCATCAGTGGTTCTCGACTCACCAAGCTTCATAAGCATCATCTTCAAGCTTCCCGGGGTAATGCAATCTTCCCCATCAGCAATATACATTCTAAAAGCTTCCATTATCTTCCTCTTCTTCTCTTCCTCAGTGAATTCATCATTCCCTTTGATAAGCTGAGCAAACTCATGAAAATCCAACATCCCATCTCCGTCTATATCAGACAGTTTAACCGCAGCCTCGGCTTCTTCATCAGATATTTGCTCTCCCAATGTCTTGAAACTCTTCTTAAGCTCCTCTGCAGAGATTCTACCATCTCTGTTTGCATCCATGTAAGCAAACACAGCCTCTAAGTCTCTGTTCTTGTCCTCTAAGAATTTCATGAAAGATGAAGATAACTGACGTTGAGTATTCTTCATTTTGAAAAAAAAAGATTGTTTACAAGGTATTTTTATGTTACAAGTATTGTTATGTCTTTTTGATATAGGATTTGAATGAGAAATGGTATAAAGTGTTTCTCTATATATATATAGGTGTGTTTCAAGACGAGAATAGGAATAAGAAAATAGAAATTGAAACGAATCAAACGTGTGAGATTCAGATCTAGAAAAAAAAACAAATATTTTTAGTCTTTAGATCTAGAAGAAGTAGTATTATTAGTCTTGTAGATCTAGGAAAGGAAATATTAGTATATTGGTTCGTTACAGGTTTCATCTCCATGTTTAAAACACGTTTTTTTTCTACAGCTTTCTTAAATATAGGAAGACGGATTGAGAAATGGAATTTTGGTAAATATAAAATATTTGACGACTTCCATTTGTTGAAGATTATAAATCAATTCTGTTTTTCTTTGTTTAAAACATCTTTAGTAAAATGAACTTCTTAGAATTTAGAACAATGGTAACTTCATCTATTAATTATTGCTTTTTTTTTTTTTTAATCAATTTCTTCACAACCTAAGGTTTCATACTATATAAGTCCATAATGCCTCAAACTTGTTATAAGTATATAAGTCCTATAACTTCTCCAACTTGGGTTGATGTGATAAGTGTTAGGAATCCTACATCCTAAGATGAGGTCAAATAGTGAGATTCAATTCATTGACACAATATGGAAAATTATTATCGCCGACAATTTGCCGGTAATTTAATGAGATTCAGTTTGAGATGGATCAATAAAAGCCAACATTTCATCTTGAAAATAAGTGTTAGGACTTTAACAATAAGCTCTTTATTGGTTGGATAAAGAGATTGATTTGTAGGAACAAATTCTTATTAGATACCTTAATTGTTACCGTTATGTGAAGATCTTACACTAAAGCTCATTTTGAATCTTGATAGATTCCTTTTGTCTTGAATTGTGAGCTCTAGCGAATAATATGACTATGAGCAAGTCATGGTCAAACCTCAATGGACTATTTAGTAGATTGAATCTTTCATGTTAAAAAACATCCTCTCTAATATAACAAAGTTTCACATATATGAATCATTAATCATATAACAATCATGTTTATTGCGTCACAAACTATTAAGTTATTATATACAACAAGAGATTAAGAAAAAGAGAACAACAAGAAGAATGGAGGCTTAGCGCATCATAAGAGCAAACTCATCAAAGCTTAAAACTCCATCAGCATTGAGATCAAAAGCACTAATCATAACTTTGCAGTCATCAGTGGTTCTTGATTCTCCCAGCTTCTTTAGCATCATCTTCAAGCTTCTTGGAGTAATACACTCTTCACCTTCTGAAATATACATTTTAAACGCTTCTTTGAGTTCTATCTTCTTCTCTTCCTCATCGTCTGCTTTGATTAGCTGAGCAAATTCCTCAAAATCCAACATCCCATCTCCGTCTGTATCAGACAATCTAACCGCAGCTTCGGCTTCTTCGTCAGACAATTGTTCTCCCAATGTCATGAAACTCTTTTGAAGCTCTTCTGCTGAGATTCTACCGTCTTTGTTTGCATCCATGTAATCGAAAACAGCCTCGAAGTCTCTGTTCTTGTCCTCACCATTGTTGCTGTTGTGTTGTTGTATCTCTCCGCCTGAATCTTTCCTCCTTGGTGATAGTTTCCGGCAGAATTTCTTGAAAGATGATTGAGGTTGAGTATTAATATTCTTCATGAGAAGGAAAAAAAGTTTTGCAGTTTTGTTTGTTTGTTTGGTTTTGAAATGGTAAGTGAATGAGAAATGAGGGAAAAAGGTTTGTATGTGTTAATATATAGGCGTGTGGTCAAGTTGTGGTAATGGAATGGGTATTTTCTTGAATCTTGAAATTAAAATTAAGATCAAGTGTTGTGTAATAGACGTGGGAGATTAGTGTTTAGATATTTTTGACTTTTTAAATGAGTTTTGTTGTTTAAAACACGCTTTTTCTTCCTTTTTAATTGGATGATTAAGGCCAAGTAATGGGTACAATAAAATTATGGAGACCACCGGCCACTTGTATTTGACACTTGCACACGAGATATTATTTATCTGTGGGCGCTTAGAAGCTTCACTTGCTTCGTCTTTATCTCTCCATTTTTTTTTGTTTCTATCTACAAAATAATAACAAAGATAAACATGTGTTTGACTATGTGTACTAATATGATTGGTTGGAAATGAAATTTAATCTCCTGCAAACCAAGGCACTCGTATGTATATACACATAGAAATAGAAGCCAACGGTTATGATATTTTATCAAGTGATGATAGCTCACTTGATTTTAGGAATTGTTGAGCCTTTGATCCCAAATTCGAGTTTCTATTTGAGAGGTATGATTTACGCTTTAATAATTATTACCAACGGTTAGTTCCGGACTGTGAAAGATTGTGAGCCAAAGATTTCTTTAAAAATTGTTAAAAAAAATAAAATGATTTGAAAGGTTTCTTAGTTAGTAGTGGTGTTTTTCTTAGAGATTTGTACAAAAAATATGTATTTTCTCATAAGAGTATTGTGAAAATAATCACTTTTTCGGTGTTTTTTCTATAATCAACTTGTTTTCTTTATTAGGGGTTTTAACGGTCAAAAAACGGTCGCAGACCAGAGAATTTAAGGCAATGTTTGCTTAATTTAAGACTAAGTCGATAGATTAGTTCTTAAACAAGATAGAACGTAACGTAAGCAACGTCGACAATCCAATATCTAATTTGGCCCAATAATATTGACCTGACCCGGTCCAGCAATATTCTAGAAAACGAGAAACTCATCAGAGATTTACTTGCAAGTGTTTCTAAAAAGTTAACGTGTTACTATTTTGTCTTTGTGTTTATCTATCTCCAAATATGTGCAAATAGTTTTGTTTGGAGATAAACACATTACTAGAACATGTCAATGTACACACAATTAAATAATACATAAACTTAATACAAAATTTTAGTGTTGTTGATATTGAAAATCACGAATAAACAACATTCACAAGTTCCAATCTAACATCTTAAGTTGTTAACAATGCATTAAAAAAAGGAGAGTAAAGAACCTGAAACAGATTGGTGCAATTAGATAAAAGATGGGGTCTTACAAAAAAGCCATGTCAAACTAAAAAACAAGCATTCACTTTCTCACCCTTAGCTCTCTCTTATATATAACATCATTCTACTAAAAACCATCTGTAATTTATATTTATATATATCTATATATACTTAAAAAAAACTAGATTATTATCTTGAGAGTTAGCATCACAAGATCCATATTTAATACTTTCTAGAGCTCAGAAGACCTTTAGAACAGAGCTGGCTTTGTTGTTCTTGATCAGGCTATCCTGTGTCTGTTCTCTCTGCTTTCCCTTAAGCTTCTTCCTCTTCGGTATTCGACCTCTGCATCCGAGCTTGAAATAGGATAGCCTCTGCTTCCTTTTACAGACCCCACTCTCGACAATAAGGCCTCTTCATCCGCATGGATCCGGTTTCTTTGTTTGTGATCTGAGCCATACAATACGATACAATTAGCACACACACACGCAAGGAAGCAACTCATGATATTGTCTCTGCAAGGTGATTGAGATAATAATGTGACAATACTCACCTTTGTAGCCATTTGATGACTTTGGTGAATGGAAGTCTACAGCTTGTGAATCAAGATTTGCTTCTGATTTGGGGCTTGTTTGACTCAGCAGATTTGCTTCTCTTCTAAGAAGCTTTTGTCCATCGCTTGGTGAGTAAGCTGCTGTGTTAAAAGAATCATCCATCACATCAGTGATCTCTACATACTGACTAGTTGTGATGATTTCATCTGCACTGAATCCAAAGGAAGCCCTGTAAGCTTCTAACTCCTCCATGTCTTGCTTGGGACTTCTGTTTTGCCTACTCTGGTTCCCGTTTCCATATCCATTTGTAGGATAAACATCTGAATCCTTGGACACACTTAATCTTCCACCGTTTTGAGGAACCGAAGGATCGTGATCCAGGTAAAACTTGGCAAAAGTTTCAGGACAGAAGAAGTTTGACTCCTGCAAAGGTGTGGAGACTCCATTTGTGTCATACCCAAATGTGTTGCCAGAATCACTCCTTGAGCATTTACCATTTTGAGGCGATAATAACCCATCTCCCGAAGCCCGAGAGATTGGTGATCTAAGAGCGCTGGCTGGACTTCCGGGATAAAGAGAATATGTAGCTTGAAGGTCGCTTGAAACATTGTAATGACCTTTACCAGAGTTCTTGAGATCCATGGAGGAAGTCAAGAAACGAGCATAAGGTACATCAGGTGAAGAAGGAGCAGTCAGACGTGCAAGCTCTGGAGGAGGAGTGAAAGGAGCAGTCGAAGGCTCGGTGGTGAATGTAGAGAAAACAGGCGGTGAGACCAATTGGGTTTCATGAGCATATGGTCCAGTGGCATACATACTCGACGAAGGACCTCCCGGTGAATTCGCAGCCAGCGATAAGTAGCAGTTTGGTGACTGAGCGGTTGAAGGAAGAGCTGAATTGGTGAAGGAAGCAGGAGAGGAAGGTGGAGCCAGAAGAGATAGATTAATCCCTCCAGCAGCTTGATTATTTAAGACACCAGCTTGATGAGCTCCATTAGGTTGTGAGGCCGAGACATTGCCGCCTTCAGGAATGCGAGATGCTGGTACAATTCTTTTTCCACCTTTTTGTGACTTGAGACAAGAGAACACTCCTAAACAACCTCCCCACCTTTTCCTCTGCAAAAGGACACACACAGACACTTGACATGTAAGTTCAAAGGTCAATGCCCTTAAGGAATAAAAACCAACGTGTAAAAGAGATCTGTGAAGCAAGAAGATAATTGAGATATAGTGAATCAACTGTTTCTACAGAACCATGAAATGATTATGGATCTGAAGCACGAAACGGTAATCATCTTATAAGCTTACACGCATCGAATCTAGATCACAACCACGAAAAGTTTGATTTTTTCTTCTTCTAAGTGAATGGTGAATTCAGAAAAATGTCAACTTTTTATTCCAATTCTCAGTAATCACTTGCTCGCTTTAGCCTAAAGGTGGGATTTACAACAACATAATGATCAAAGGAGAGACTCAACATAAACCCTAACGAACATTGCTCCATCAAGTAGATTAGTGTGAACAGAGTCGGATAGTCAGATCTAAGTAGCAAAAAACAAAAAAACACCAACTTGCTAAAAACGAAAGCTTTAAAATCTGAAGAACAGAGATACCTAAAACCTCAGGAGCTCGAATTCACAACGAAAAAAGAGAATTTAAGAGAAACCTGTTCCTGCTGAGGAAATCTGTGCTGCTCTGAGCCCATTTAGGTGTCTCTGTTCGTCAGAAAAATCACTGCTTTTATTCAACTTCTGAGTAGGGTTTCTTCAGGTCAAAGACGTAGTAATCCGTTTGGTATTCTCCATTTTTTTCTCACACTTTCTTCCACAGCTTACTGATACGATCCAGAGGAGAAAAAAGAAAAAGCTAAAGGCAAAAGAAAAAAAGGGATTTTGGGAAAGAAAGACAAATTTATTTTATGAGTGGAGTGGGAGAGATTAAGAAAAAAAATGGAAATTTTAGAAGAGAAGAGTAAATAAGGAAATCTGCACTGATGCAATCGGCATGAAAAGATGATCCTTACGATGGAAAAAGCATTTCTATTTTAATCAGAATGTGACTTACCACATAGAAAGAGAAAAAAAGATAAAAACAAAACACAAAAAGCTCTAGCCAACCAAAAAAAAAAAGAGAAACCAAAGAGAAAAAAGGAAAAAAAAAAATTAATGGAAAGAAATTAATAATGGAAATTTAATTGGTACCCATTTTGGAAAAAAATAAGGTTTAACAATGTGTTTAAGTTGGTCATTATATGGGTAAATTACTAATTAGACATCTAAACCCTTAAAAAAAGTTGATTCCCTGAGCACGTGAAGGACGTTTTACTAATAAGGGTTAAGGAGAACTTGTAAAAGTCAAAATTTTTAGTTTTTGCTTTTTTGGTTTGGTCTAAAAAACACGTCCAAAATCAGTGTATAACTGCTAAGTCAAGCGACCATTGAGGTTATTAATAAATGCTATACACTTATCAAGAACAACAAGATTGTTGTGATTTTTTTGGCTTTGCAAGTTGAATAACAAAGCTTTGATTTACGAAGATTATGGCCCCCAGAAAAAAGAAAAAGAAGAGATATTTGGCAAGTAATATACTTGAGTTTATGTAAAAAGAAGAAATTAGCAAAGATTAGTGACATAAATAATACTTATAAGAATTAAATTTGTTTAAATTGATCATATTTCGGCAATTGAGGGGATTATTAAAATTAAAAAGGTGATTCTTTTCTCTAAAATTTTGTTTTGTCTTTATGAATTGTCTATAGGTATTGAGGGTTCCAATAAAGACATTAAAGCAGAGGAAAAAGAGGGCCTAGTAATAGTATGGTACCTAGTTGTAGGATTTGGATCTTTTTTGGGGTCTGGTTTCATATTTGTGGGTCCTCTTTCCTCCTCTCATTCTTTCCTCTTCCTCTTCTTAACCCCAGTAATTATACTATCCAGTAATTTTTCCATGTCCTAATCACAAACTAAAATTATTTTACAGCTATCTTTTGTTTTAACTTTTAATCATTGCTTATAGCTTTAAACCACATCACATGTACTTTCTTGTATTTTTAAACACACATCACATGTCCTGACTCATGACCTGAGTTATGCTCGTTTCCACAAAATTTATAACATTTGGAAACTGTTCACTGTTAGAAATTTGTATGCCATTGAATCATACAGATGATACAAGAGATCTGTTTTGGTAGTTCATATAGAAAATGAATAAAATCACATGCTCAGTTGACATTTCTGTATTACTTACTATATAGGACATTCACTATTCAAGGATGGGCCTTCTTCTTAAGCAAAGAAGGATTTATGGGCTTTCTGGAAAGCCCAAAATGTTCTAAGACATGTAGAAAGTGGAAAGAACAAGTAAATGGCACACAAAGGAAATATTTGTATAAAGAATTAAAATCACTTTCGACGTGTAAATTTCAAATGGGTATAAGCACACCCTTATGGTTTAGTGTCACCGAGCTCAACGTCTTTCAAGTCGATATGCTCAACTCCTTCCTTGAGTAGCTTAATCTCATCTTCGGTCATACTGTTTTTGCCGTGTGGCGTTAACTTTGCATTCCTCTGTTTCTCTAGATCAACCGCCCAACTATAGATCACCATTCCAACAATGGCTATGGCCATCCCGGCGATGTTCTTGAATGTCATCTCGGAATCAAAGAGAAGCCAACCTAATGTGAGGACGCATACTGTTTTCATGTGGCCTAGAACTTGGAAAGATGTCGCTGAGAATCTTCCAATGCAGAGATATTGACTTATGTTACAGAAAACAGCCAATGCGCAGGAGAGAAGAATGCAGAACTGCAAAATTGAGAGATAAAAGTAATGATTTTGTGTTTATGTTTGAGTCATCTGAATCTTAGAGAAGTTGAAAATTTACTTACGATGGCACCGTATGTCATCTTGTAAGTAGATATGAATTTGCCGCTCAAGAAATAGTCAACAAAGGGGCCAAAGATGAGAAGTGAAATGGCTTGGATTGGGGCTGTTTTGCTCAGCAGTTCAAAAGATCCTACTGAGTACTTCTTCTGCAGAGAGCCTATAGACTGTAACCAAAAGAAGAAAGGAAAATTCATCAGAACAAACACTTGACACAACATAGTATCTAAGAACTTGCCAGACAAAAATGCCCTTTTCAGGATTCCAGCAAGCACTACAGAAATGTGTACGCCCAGTTTAACGGATGATAACAAACATAGCTTTTGAATTCAGATCTGGAAGGCCTAACATACAGATCAGACATAAATCGAAATCAAAGAGACAAAAGGTCCTCAAGATACCACTGATCTAAAAAAAGTTTGAGCCTTTGTGTTTCAAAGAATGTAAAAAGATCGAAGAAAAATCAGATCTCACATAAACAAAGGGATGGTGTGATGAATACTTACAATCTGCTGCAGAGAAGTGGAGAAAACGGCAGTGCATGCACAAATGAAACCTTTAGCATTAACTTTGACATCAGTCACAGTACAAATCCCAACACCAATAACCACAACCATTACAGAAGCTTTCACTTCTTTACAATAATGCTTGCTATGTAGAATCCATTCCAACACGCATACCACCGGAATCATGCTCAATTTCGAAATCTAAGTGAAAATGAATAAAGCAAGATCAAAAACAAGGATCTTTCAACCGAAGAACAACAAAACCAAGAGATTCAAGTTACCTGATAGAAGCCAACAGAGTTGAGCATAAGGCTAAAGTTCATAGCAGCGATAGAGATGTTAGCAACAATTGAGAACCAGAGAAGCTCCCAAAGAGGAACATGCTTTGATGCTGATAATCCCGAAGCGTTTGAAACCATACCAACAAGTGCAGTGACGGCGAAGTGAAATCCCGTTAAAGTTGTAGCTGTGGAAATATATAAACAAGACTCGAATCGTCAGATTCATCAAGTGTGAAGCTAATGGAAGATAGGTAGATCAGAGAGAGATACATTACCAAAGCCAAATCCGAAACCAGAGGAAGACATGAGCTGTTTATTAGCCATGATGATTCCAACGGAGCTGATTACATTCATAGCCCATGCACCGACGTCGGAAACAGCCGATTTCTTCTCGCTCTCCGGTTTCTCCATTTGAATTGACAAAAATTGAACACCGACACTATCAGATCTGAAATCTCGTGCAAGCGAAAACGAGATCTGACAAATCTCGATTCGCCTGCAGATTTTGAAGAGATGAGATCTGGAGAAAAGTCGATTCACGCCGTTCGTGGAATCGGCGAAGAAAGCCAAAAAGCGAAAACACACACACACACAAACAAACACGTATCTCTTTCTCTCACTCTCTCTTGCTCTCTCTTCTACTTATGGTTCACTGCTTCTTCACTCGACGTCGCTGAATATAATCTCACAAGCAAGCTTCTTCCACCATTGATGCTTTCCTTGGAGTTGTATAAATTCTTCTTTTAATTCTCTGAGATTTCGAAAATAATATATATTAATGGAATCATTTTAATTATTTAATTCATTCATTGACGCGTGTCGTTTACCATATTTGACCTTCTTCTTTCTTCTTTTGGTCCACTTGTTTGTTAATTCAAGACGAGTTCTATGTAAGGGTAATTTTGTCTTTTCTTACCGCTGGTAACGTCGTGCTTTTAGTTTTCAAATTAAATTTTAACTTCCGAGAGATTATTTTATCAAACGTTTACTTAAAAGTCTTAAATTAAGCCACACGGTACTGATAACAGCGAAATTTTAACGGTAATTATAACGGAGTACGTACTTATACTATAATTTATTTTAGAATGGAAATAATGTCGAGATGTGTAACTAATAGTACCATTTGATTAAGATTTTCTATTACAAGTTAGCATCATCATTATACAGATCTAGATAAAAGAAATGAAGAGTGTTAGTTTTCACATTTTGTTATGATCATAATTGTCGAATATAAAAGAAATAATCCCAATTTGCCATTGGTCATAGTCACATTTTGTTATGATCATAATTGTCGAATATAAAAGAAATAATCAGAATTTGCCATTGGTCATAGTCACACCGTCACACTCAAAGCCAAATATTTCGAAACCAAATTATTGACTTTGTCCTTTGTTCCAGCTATTCTTTACTTGATTGATTATAGTATCATTTATATACAAAGAAAGAAAAATATCGTTTTTGTTATGTGTGTTTAGTAATAGTTTTAGAAATTATTGTGTTTTATCAATAGTTTTAGAAAAAATGATGGGTCTCTGCAATTATTAATGCATTTGAAGATGACAAAACCTGTATAACTTAGCCTGTGCCTCAACACAAATAGTAATGAGAACACATGATCTCCACCACATTGTCACAAAAGAGCTTTTGCATGTGCTTTCAACATCAATCATTTTCTTCTAACAAGCCTAAATTCACATTAATTTACACCAAAACCACAGAAAAAAAGAATAATTTCACAGAAAAATAATTCAGTAAGCATATTGGGAGTTCTGTGATAGAACATCCAAAAGTTCCGTAGGGTGGTTTCTCAAACCTCGTACCGAAGTATGGAGACGCTGCAAATCTAGTACTCTTTGAACCGGGTCAGTAGCTACTCTTTTGAAATCTCTCTTCGCTAATTGGCTTGGATGACATTTTGTTTGACAAGCTCTTCATTTTGTTTGGGTTTCTGTTGAAATTGTGAATTATGAGTATCCGCTTTAGGATGAAGTTGTATATTTGAGTGTGTGTGTGTGTGTGGAAGTTTTTACGATAGTTGTTGTGTTTCTCGGATTTTGTGCAGGTTTCTTGTGAACAGAACAATAGATGTCTTGCTCTATGTTGATTGTTTGGATGTGTATAGAGTCGATGAGCTAGATAAGCAAGTTGTTAAAGCAATCCCCCAAACCTTTGGAAAAGAGATATGGTGCAAAACCTTGCTTGTTCTGACTCATGCTCTGTTTTGTTATAGGGATCAATGAGCTATATAAGAAAGTTGTTAAAGCAATCACCCAAACCTTTGGAAAAGAGACACAATTTGATTTATTGTCTTGTTCGAATTTTGGTAAACAAGTGAAATCTTTTCTTCTACTTTTCAGTACTTGATCGTTAAGATGATTCAAGGAGCAATCAGAAATGACATCAAGACAAGTGGAAAACAGAGAAGATACATGTTACAAGACAAAGAGACTAACACTGAGATTCCTGACTTCTCCACATGTATATCATAATAAGCTTGGCGTTGTGTTTAAATCACTTGCCACTTGATCGGCATAAGGCATCTCCCAACACCTGAATAAGAGAACTTACTATTTGAAAAAATAAGCACACAAAACAAAACGTTATAAGTCTAGGAGTTTTAAAACTGGGCTGATAACATAAACTTAAGGCCCAAATCTGATTTCAACAATGGCGAATTGTTAAAGCTCTGTCTCTTTCAAACTGTTGCAGCTGCTTACTTGGGATTTGATCAAGTTACCTTTGTATCTAAACTAGTCAAGCAAGGTGGGCTACATAAACACCCAAAAATGGTTGGTTTCTTATTTCTGTTTGATGTAATAATGCCGCAATTCAGTGTGTCTTATGTCTCAATTCACATTCTTTTGATTCAATCTTTGCCTCTTTAGTCTTTACTATGTTGCGCAGATAATAACAGAGCATATTTCACCAAAATCTACCTATTCTTTTGTCGGTCGTCAAAGTTTTGTAAAGTCAAACCAAAAAAGAAGTGATTGAAATTATAAGAGGCCCCATTTGTTATGTTCTGTGTAAGCTCCAATGGATCAAAAATTCGAATCCAAACTGTAGATGATAGGAAGGAACAAAGAAAGGAATATAGGTTAAGTTCAAAGTGGTTAAGCTTCTCTAATGTCGTCAATGAATACGTCATCATGATATAAATAAATTCCAAGTGGATGGACTTTTAGGGAGGTCCACACATGCGTCGTCAATGACGTCCCTTAAGACGAACTAAAGACTTGCCTTCCTAAATTCTCTGATCAATCAATGTGTATAAATATGTGCAGATGTATCCATTATCTTCCACAATTCAGGGAAAACTTCAAAGTGTGTTTGAGAGAAATCTAAATTCATCAACAGTTTTTACAAAATCCACAGTTCTGAATTCATGGAAATGGAAAACGCAGTAGCAAAACAGAGTATACCTCTTCTCACTCCCTATAAGATGGGAAGATTCAATCTTTCCCATAGGGTTGTTCTAGCACCATTGACGAGACAGAGATCGTACGGAAACGTTCCTCAGCCTCACGCTGCCATATATTACTCTCAGAGAACGTCTCCAGGAGGTTTTCTCATCACTGAAGCCACTGGAGTTTCAGATACAGCTCAAGGGTAACTCAAAAATTCTTTCTTTTGAATAAAGTTTACGTTTTTATTTGTTGGGTTTTGATCTGATCCTACCACATTTGTGTGATTTCGATTAAAGTTTACGTTTTTATTTGTGGGTTTTTGCTGATCGTCCCACATTTGTGTGATTTGATCTTGAAGGTATCAAGATACTCCTGGGATATGGACTAAAGAGCATGTGGAGGCATGGAAGCCAATCGTTGATGCCGTACATGCTAAAGGTGGTATCTTCTTCTGTCAAATCTGGCATGTTGGCCGTGTTTCTAATCGCGGGTTTCAGCCAAATGGACAAGCTCCTATATCTTGTTCGGATAAGCCATTGATGCCTCAAATCCGCTCTAATGGCATTGACGAAGCCATGTTTACTCCTCCAAGACGGCTGAGTATCGAAGAAATCCCCGGCATTGTCAACGATTTTAGGCTTGCAGCAAGAAATGCTATGGAAGCTGGTAAGCAAATCTGGATTGTGAATTCAAGAAGCTGAAGAAGCTGAACCATTCAAGATTCTTATATGTGTCCTTTGAATGTTGTTGTTGCAGGCTTTGATGGAGTTGAGATACATGGCGCTAATGGCTATCTGATTGACCAGTTCATGAAGGATACGGTGAATGATAGAACTGATGAATACGGTGGTTCATTGCAAAACCGTTGTAAATTTGCTTTAGAAATAGTCGATGCAGTGGCCAAGGAGATCGGGCCAGACCGTGTTGGAATCAGGCTCTCTCCATTTGCTGACTACATGGAATCCGGAGACACTAATCCAGGAGCATTGGGGCTTTACATGGCGGAATCTCTGAACAAATACGGAATCCTCTACTGTCATGTGATTGAAGCCAGAATGAAAACAATGGGAGAAATATCAGCTTGTCCTCACACACTTATGCCGATGAGGAAAGCCTTTAAGGGGACTTTCATCTCCGCAGGAGGTTTCACGAGAGAAGATGGGAATGAGGCCGTGGCAAAGGGACGGACCGATCTGGTGGCTTACGGTCGATGGTTTCTGGCTAACCCGGACCTGCCAAAGAGGTTCCAAGTGGATGCACCGCTGAATAAATACGATAGACCAACGTTTTACACTTCTGATCCTGTCGTGGGTTACACTGATTACCCTTTCCTCGAATCAACAGCTTAAAATACTGTTATCTATAATGTAATATGTTTCCCTTTTGATGTAATAAGTTTCTAGTACTAGAACATTGTCGCAAATTAAACACATTATCACAAATGAGATTTTTCATGTGCTTTTTAACATTGATCATATTCTTCCAACACATTGTCACAAAAGAGCTATCATGGGCTTTCAACATTAATCATTTTCTTCTAACAATCCCAAATTCACATTAAATTACGCCAAAACAAAAAAGAAGAAGAATAATTTTACATAATGGCACACACATTAAGGGTTTTGAATCAGGGACTCATTTTTGTGTGTATTTTCTTGGCAATATCAAGTGAAGCCTTTGATGCCATAGCAAGCTGTCTCTTATGTATCCTCCAAAAAGTTTTGATCAAGAAATGACCTTTTGTTCCTAAACTAGTCAAGCAAGGTGGGCTAGACCGACACAAGATAACAGGATGGTTGGTTTCTTATTTCTGTTTAGTGTGATTATGCCGCAATTCAGTGTGTTCTCATGATGCTATCTTCCCTTCTTTCGTATGCTGCGCAGAACAAAACAAAACAGAGCATCTTCCTCCAACTCTACCTAATTTTTGTTGTCGGTGGTCAAAGTTATACATCGGAACAATCTGTTGAAATCATATTGAGGCCCCATTTGTTATGTTCTGTAATCTCCAATGGATCAAAAGTAGAATCCGAACTGTAGAAGATGATACTATCATGATAGGATGAAGAAAGCAAGGAATATATAATGTCGTCTCAATGAATGCGTCAATATGAAGAAAATAAACAAAAATCCAAGTCGTTGGATTTATAAGGAAAGGTCCACAAATGCGTCCTCAATGACGTCCTCAATGACGTCCACGTGACCACGTCCTTAAAGATGAAAAGAAACACTTGTGTTCCTAATTCTCTGATCGATCAATGTGTATAAATATGTTCGGATATATCCATTATCGTCTACAATTCACCAAATTTAAATCCATCAACAGGTTTTACAAAATCCACAGTTTTGAATTCATGGAAATGGAAAACGCAGTAGCAAAACAGAGTATCCCTCTTCTCACCCCCTATAAGATGGGAAGATTCAATCTTTCCCATAGGGTTGTTCTGGCACCATTGAAGAGACAGAGATCGTACGGAAACGTTCCTCAGCCTCACGCTGCCATATATTACTCTCAGAGAACGTCTCCAGGAGGTTTACTCATCGCTGAAGCCACCGGAGTTTCTGATACAGCACAAGGGTAACTCAAAAATTCTTCCTTTTTGATTAAAGTTTACGTTTTTATTTGTTGGTTTTTGATCTTATCCTTGCACATTTGTGTGATTTCGATTAAAGTTAACGTTTTTATTTGTGGGTTTTTGCTGATCATCCTACATTTGTGTGATTTGATCTTGAAGGTATCCAGATACACCTGGGATATGGACTAAAGAGCATGTGGAGGCATGGAAGCCAATCGTTGATGCTGTTCATGCCAAAGGTGGTATCTTCTTCTGTCAGATCTGGCATGCTGGCCGCGTTTCAAATAGCGGTTTTCAGCCAAATGGACAAGCTCCTATCTCTTGTACGGATAAGCCATTGATGCCTAAAATGCGTGCTAATGGCATTGATGAAGCTCTCTTTACTCCTCCAAGACAGCTAAGTATCGAAGAAATCCCCGGCATTGTCAATGATTTTAGGCTTGCTGCAAGAAATGCTATGGAAGCTGGTAAGCATATCCGGATTGGGAATTCAAGAAGCTATTTCATTCCAAGACTCTTATTTGTGTGTCTTTTGAATGTTGTTGTTGTTGTTGTTGCAGGCTTTGACGGAGTTGAGATTCATGGAGCTCATGGCTATCTGATTGATCAGTTCATGAAGGACACAGTGAATGATAGAACTGATGAATACGGTGGTTCATTGCAAAACCGTTGCAAATTTGCTTTAGAAGTAGTCGATGCAGTAGCCAAGGAGATCGGGCCAGACCGTGTTGGAATAAGGCTCTCTCCTTTCGCAGACTACATGGAATCCGGAGACACTAATCCAGAAGCATTAGGGCTTTACATGGCGGAATCTCTGAACAAATATGGAATCCTCTACTGTCATGTGGTTGAACCCAGAATGAAAGCAGTGGGAGATATATCAGCTTCTCCTCATACGCTAATGCCGATAAGGAAAGCCTTTAAGGGGACTTTCATCTCTGCAGGAGGTTTCACGAGAGAAGATGGGAATGAGGCTGTGGCAAAGGGACGGACCGATCTGGTGGCTTACGGTCGATGGTTTCTGGCCAACCCGGACCTGCCAAAGAGGTTCCAAGTGGATGCACCGCTGAATAAATACGATAGACCAACGTTTTACACTTCTGACCCTGTTGTGGGTTACACTGATTACCCTTTCCTCGAATCAACAGCTTAAAATACTGTTATTAGTAATGTAATATGTTTCCCTTTTGATGTAATAAGTTTCTGGCAGAACATTGTCGCAATTTAAACACATTATCACAAATGAGATTTTTCATGTGCTTTTTAACATTGATCATTTTCTTCCAACACATTGTCACAAAAGAGCTTTCATGGGCTTTCCAAGTTAATCATTTTTTTCTAACATTCCCAAATTCACATTATATTACGCCAAAACCACAGAAAAAGAATAATTTTACATAATGGCAAAGGGTTTTTGAATCAAGGACTCATTTTTTCGTGTATTTTCTTGGCAATATAAAGTGAAGCCTTTGATGCCATAGCAAGCTGTCTTATGTATCCTCCAAAAAGTTTTGATCAAGAAGTGACCTTTTGTTCCTAAACTAGTCAAGCAAGGTGGGCTAGACCGACACAAGTTAACAATAACATGATGGTTGGTCTCTTATTTCAGTTTAATGTGATCATGCCGCAATCCAGTGTGTTCTCATGATGCTATCTTCCCTTCTTTCATATGCTGCGCAGAACAAAGCAAAACAGAGCATCTTCCTCCAACTCTACCTTTTTTTTTCTGGTCGGTGGTCAAAGTTATACATTGGAAAAATCTGTTGAAATCATATAGAGGCCCCATTTGTTATGTTCTGTAATCTCAAATGGATCAAAAGTAGAATCCGAACTGTAGAAGATGATACAATCATGATAGGATGAAGAAAGCAAGGAATATATAATGTCGTCTCAATGAATGTTTCAATATGAAGAAAATAAACAAAAATCCAAGTGGTTGAATTTATAAGGAAGGGTCCACAATTGCGTCCTCAATGACGTCCACGTGACCACGTCCTTAAAGATGAAAAGAAACACTTGTGTTCCTAATTTCTCTGATCGATCAATGTGTATAAATATGTTCGGATATATCCATTATCGTCCACAATTCACGGAATCTTCAAAGTGTTTTTGAGAGAAATTTAAATTCATCAACAGTTTTTACAAAATCCACAGTTCTGAATTCATGGAAATGGAAAACGCAGTAGCAAAACAGAGTATCCCTCTTCTCACCCCCTATAAGATGGGAAGATTCAATCTTTCTCATAGGTAATCTTAATTTTATCGTTTTGTTGACTTTTGCTGAATCCCTAAATTAGAAAGCTTGATTCATTTTGTTTTCGTTATTCAGGGTTGTTCTGGCACCATTGACGAGACAGAGATCGTACGGAAACGTTCCTCAGCCTCACGCTATCTTGTATTACTCTCAGAGAACGACACCAGGAGGTTTACTCATTGCTGAAGCCACCGGAGTTTCTGATACAGCTCAAGGGTAACTCAAAAATTCTTCCTTTTTGATTAAAGTTTACGTTTATATTTGTTGGTTTTTGATCTTATCCTTGCACATTTGTGTGATTTCGAATTAAAGTTAACGTTTTTATTTATGGGTTTTTGCTGATCATCCTACATTTGTGTGATTTGATCTTGAAGGTATCCAGATACTCCTGGGATATGGAATAAAGAGCATGTGGAGGCATGGAAGCCAATCGTTGATGCTGTTCATGCCAAAGGTGGTATCTTCTTCTGTCAGATCTGGCATGTTGGCCGTGTTTCTAATAGCGGTTTTCAGCCAAATGGACAAGCTCCTATCTCTTGTACGGATAAGCCATTGATGCCTAAAATGCGTGCTAATGGCATTGATGAAGCTCTCTTTACTCCTCCAAGACGGCTAAGTATCGAAGAAATCCACGGCATTGTCAATGATTTTAGGCTTGCTGCAAGAAATGCTATGGAAGCTGGTAAGCATATTCGGATTGGGAATTTCAGAAGCTATCTCATTCAAGACTCTTATATGTGTGTCTTTTGAATGTTGTTGTTGCAGGCTTTGATGGAGTTGAGATTCATGGAGCTCATGGCTATCTGATTGATCAGTTCATGAAGGACGCGGTGAATGATAGAACTGATGAATACGGTGGATCATTGCAAAACCGTTGCAAATTTGCTTTAGAAGTAGTCGATGCAGTTGCCAAGGAGATCGGGCCAGACCGTGTTGGAATAAGGCTCTCTCCGTTTGCAGACTACATGGAATCCGGAGACACTAATCCAGAAGCATTAGGGCTTTACATGGTGGAATCTCTGAACAGATATGGAATCCTCTACTGTCATGCGGTTGAACCTAGAATGAAAACAGTGGGAGAAATATCAGCTTGTTCTCATTCGCTAATGCCGATGAGGAAAGCCTTTAAGGGTACTTTCATCTCTGCAGGAGGTTTCACGAGAGAAGATGGGAATGAGGCCGTGGCAAAGGGACGGACCGATCTGGTGGCTTACGGTCGATGGTTTCTGGCCAACCCGGACCTGCCAAAGAGGTTTCAAGTGGATGCACCGCTGAATAAATACGATAGAACAACGTTTTATATTTCTGATCCTGTTGTGGGTTACACCGATTACCCTTTCCTCGAATCAACAGCTTGAAATTGTTATCAATAATGTAATGTGTTTCCCTTATGATGTAATAAGTTTCTGGCTTTTTATTTATACTCTTAAGTCATTACACCTTCACAATAATTTCCATGGACACATTATCACAAAAGAGCTTTTATATGTGCTTTCAACATCAATCATTTTCTTCTAACAAGCCAATTGCACGTTAAATCCCCCCAAAACCAAAAGAAAAGGAATAATTTTACATAATGGTACACAACTGCAATATTGCTAAGACTGATATATATACCCCCGATCTCACCTGAATCAATCATAGCCAGTCGAAGAGTGTTTCCCTGCGCCAGGAGGTGGCGCCGGTCGTGGGAAGTAATAGTTGAATTGTTCATCTCCAATTTTGAATTCTTCCACGTAGGGGCTTTGTGGTTCCTACGATTATTCAACAAGACAACAGTTCACTTTCGATCTGAACCTTTTTCAGAGTGTTTCTACTAAACACACAAGCATGAATGTTATGTCTATCTAACACAAGTCAGCTAAAGAAGCATTTGTCCATTGTTGAACATGGAGAGATATGAGTTTGGTGAGATAGAAAGATCAAAGATAAGCTAAAGGTTTATTTGAAATGATACCTGAGGACCAGAGGTAGAGTGAAATGCTTCATTGGATTTTGGTGATGTAGATGTATCATTATGGTCGTCCCTTCCATTTCCGTTTAATTTTTGAGGTTCATTATTTGCTAAAGGATCACTCTCACTAGCTGTCTTGGCTCTCTGTATGAGTGAAAAGTTAAATCATTTAGGTCTTTATCTTAATTCCCTAATCACATTTGAAAAATTACCCGTCAGACTATAAGAAGAAGGAAATGAAACCAGATTTTACCTGGAAGATCCTCCCCAGAGTTTTTAACCCTCTTGCTCTTGTACGAAGCTCCTCTCTTTTGGCTTCTGGATCTTGAAGAACCTATACAAAAAGAATCATAAATAAGTTTACAAACCAGAAAAATTGAACAAAGAGGTCAGATGTGAACATGAGTATTAGTTAAGCTAAACAACCAGCTGACAAACACGACAAAGAGTGGCTTCGATATCAGCAACATTGAGCTTCCACAGCGAATCAATCATCACTCTTTTATGGGCCTGAAGGTATTCCTCAAGTTCCTCCTCAGTATAATTTCCTTCAGTATTTAGCTGCCTTTTCATTTCCTCCTGCAACTGGAACAAAGCATATGCGCCTAGGATGACAATAAAGAGCCAGGAAAAGAAAACAAAATCACTACATGTCTTGCTTCCTAAGAGAGAAGACCAGATTCTAGAAATTTGTTCTTGATTTAGTTTCTTCTTTAATCTAACCTGTTGCAGCTGTTAATTGAGATTTGATGAAGTGACCTTTGTTCCTAAACCATTCAGCAATGAATGGTACTCCGAGATAAATAGCTTTCTTCCCTAGTTCTTTTGCTGCTTGTCTTACATATATATACCCAATTGTATTCAACATATCCACACCATAAGCTGAAGAAGATCCAAATAGAAGGGGATGAGACTCATTTTAGCACAGAGATGGTATCAATTGAAAGAGAAAGCATAACTACAGAACAGGGAACACTCTACACAATATAGTACCTGCATTTGAAAGTCTAGCTACTTCAGCTTCAGCGTTACTGATAAATTCGTCTCTGTTTATCACATATTCGTTGAGTCGGTCTTTGAGAACCTGAGCAAGCTTGTCTTCTCTTTCTTTCTGGACAATCTGAAACCAAACACAATCGACAAATTTAGCAAATTTTGCACAAAGAAGTTTTGGTTTGAGCAGGGAACACTTTGATCCAAAACTTACCCTCATTTTTTCTTGTATCTTTTTGGTATCAAACTGATCCCCTTCAGTGAAGATATCGAGTGAAGCCATTGATGCCATAGCAAGCTGTCCTATGTACTCTTCAAAAAGTTCGCTGCCAAATAGCATTGCAAATATTGCCGCAGGATCGATGATTGCATCACTGACAGGATGAACAAAAACAAGTAAGCACTGAGACCCAAAACTTTGCACCGAAAAGAGCCATGCCCTAGAGTCCACAAGAAAAAGAGACTAACGTGGAGATCCCTGATTTCCCACATGCATCATAAGCTTGGCGTTGTCCTGAATCACTTAGCACTTGATAGGCCTCTCCCAAAACCTGATTAAGAAGTTCCTTTTTTGAATAACTATCCAAACATCCAATACAAGTAGATGGAAAAACAATGTAAGACATTTTCATTCTATGCTTGATTTTCTTCAAAACTAATGCCAACATTTCCATTAGCCATGTAAACCATACATAGAATATTAAATAAGTAGAAGAGGAATTCCAATTCTCATTCTTGAAATTCTAAAGCAAGAGCTTATCCCGTGGTGGATAAACCTAAAAATCAAAGCATTTTGCAGAAATAGTTGGTATTAATAATTGCAGGCAACATCAAGGAAAGCTTATCACCTAAATAAGTTTTTCAAAGTTAAGGAATCTGAACTTGCCTGGAAATTGTGTGCAGCTTGAGGATCATTAGGGTTCTTGTCTGGATGAACTTGGCGTGCCTGTGTATAAAACAAACAATCACTATAACCGTAAAACTAACAAATATCAAACTGGAAATGTGCAGATTACAAAGCTATAATCAATTGTCAAGTCGTGGGTACTGGAATCATCACTTGCCAAATTCAAATGGCTAATCAAACTCACCGGATCCAAATAACATTCCAAAAACAAAAACCTTGAAATCAAGAGAAGAGAAAGATAAAAATTGAACCTTTATGTAGTAAGCTTTCTTGATCTCAGCTTCTGTAGCAGTTGGGCTAACTCCGAGCACATCGTAGTACTCCGTTTCCTTCACCATCTCTATACTCTTCGATCACAAATCAATCAAAATTCTCCACCAAATCTCTCACTAACTCAGATCGCCGGAGATGGATAATATCAAACTAAGCAGAAGAACACCACAAATCTCTTCTCTTTCTATTGTTTAACGCCGAAAAATACACTCCACGCGCCGGCGACGAGATTTCAAAATCAACCGCTAAGCTTTTTGGCTCTTTCTTTCAATTTACTTTGGCTGGTCGGGTCAAAGTAGAAGATAAAGTCTTAACCTTTTTCTTCGTCTTTATTTGAATTCACAAAACCCATTTATATATGTATTTAACCACGCGGTTTTTCGTCAGCTTCTCATTGGCTTTTTCCTTTTCTTTTCCATAGATTCAATTCAAATATGTAAATCATTTTATTGGCAACAAATCAATTAAAAAAGATTATATCTTAGAGATGAAGGATCGATGTCGACCAAAAAAGAAAGAAAAAAGAAAAGAAAGATGATGGATCAATGATATATAAAGTGACAATTATATTCGGAAATTATGTTCACAATTTAAGGAAAAAACAAAAATATTGAACACGTTTTGATAATCATACCATTATAAATCATTAATTTGAACCTTCCTAGCAATTTAGCGGGTGTCAAGCTAATTCTCATTTGGCTTCCAAGAGTTTAATATGGTCTTCGTTTCCTGCTTCCGCGACTTTGGTCTTTGTGTCTTGTGGTTTGATGGGAGTGGAAGCGATATTCTTTATTACACTAGAGTAAAGATCAAACTCTGCCTTTAGTTTATTACAGCTTGCTTGTATCCATTTCTCCGCCACACTTGTTGCTACACTGTCTTGGCTATCTCTCTCATGCTCCTCAATCGCAGGCCTTATCTCATCGTACAATGACGAGAGTCGTACTGCTGCCTCCTTCTTCACCTCCTGCAAGCAACAATTTACCAAACACATCGGATACTGAGAGGATGTTGAATTTGTATCTATAAGCTTGAAAAACTGTTTTACCTCGTATTTGAGAACTTCATCTTGAGCTTCTTTGGTTGCTAGTAGCTGAACCACATTCGCTATGTCAACATGCTTCTGGGCGACATTCTTTGTTTTCCCGCCTGAAAACGGCCTGCCTCTTTTCTTCGGAAGAGATTCAGACTTAATCTTGTAAATGTTACCGCGAACCCGTGATACAATTGCAGTCTTCGGTGATGAATCTTCTTGTGAATTTTGTGAGAGCAGCTTCATGTCTTCAGCTGTTTCGGTTTTAACAGTCTCCGTGACGACATCTTCTTCCATAGGAGTTGAATCTGATTGCTGAACAGCAGTAGACTCCAAATGGTTCTCTGTTGAGGTATCTTTCTCTTTCTCTTCATTTGTGTTGGACTCGTCATTCTTAGAGGGCTCAGATGTAAGCTCGTCCTCTGCAGAATCATAGACTGGAATTTTATCAACTGAATACCTGGAGATAAAAGAAAAGAGAAGGGCTAAAATATCGCCAGTCCAATATGAATTTTTTTCCTTTCTCACATGATCTATGACAATGTTATGCCGCATAAGATAAGTGAAAAGAAAATTACCGATCGTCACCATCCTCCCATACATATGTATCCTCCTGAAATGGTAGAAAGGCATAAGATAAGGTATAGACCAGTATAACTAATATCATTTTTCCCAATTTCTGACAAATAATACTATTAGGATGATAACGTAAGGTCTTGCCTGAAAGCCACGAGACTTGGCTCCAAGAAATCCAGAACATGCGACTGCACCACAGAGACAACGGACTTTGGCACCACCATACCATTCAAAATTATAGTCGTAGGCCAATTCGGTCCGGGGAGAGATGCTCTCTTTTGCAAAGATTCCAACCCTAACTTCTCCCAGTACATTCCACTTCCTCGTCTCACAATTTGGTCTACTGCAAGAAAATAGAGAAAGAAACAATAAGGAAAGCTTTCTAGATATGAATTTCTTTGAAGCATGTAAAAAAGCCAGTTGTTTCTTTTACCATGAATGATTTATAAACCTAGCAAGGCTTCCCTTCTTAGTGGCATCAATAGCCTCAGACGCATTGAGAGATATAATGTATGCATCCTTGACACCTGCCCATGTAACACACAATTTATACACACCTAACGTCACCTAGAGCATTATAACACTATCATCATCTCTGTAAAGTTTCTACTCACCATGAGTTTCATAAGTTTGAGCCCTACGCTTTGCTTCTTTCCATGATATTACTTCGCCACAGTACTCAATTATAAACTGTCCCGCCTGCATCATAGCATCAAATACAACCAGTCATTTGATCAAACCCAATTGAATATTTACTTCAGAAAAGAATACACCGGCCATGTAATTTGCCCTTTTGCATTAAAACAATGAAGTGTGATGGAAATGTTCATAAAATCTTGGTAAAGCGTATCAGATATGTTAAAGACACAACAATAAGCTTGAGTCCTCACCTTTATTTCTTCAAGAGCCACTAGTCCCCAACCGCGACCTTCACACTTGATCAACTTTGTTTTGGCGTATTCACATTTTTGGAACTTCTGTAACCGGCAAAGCATGTAAAAACAACTTAGTAACATTCATGTTAAGCTCACATTAGTTTAAGGCAAATCTTCTGAATCACATAGATTCTAGAATAACATCAAAATGTAGAAGCAAACATTTAAAATACCTGATTCTTGCAATAGACACCACAGGGGCAGTATCCAGGAGTACATTCGGTGTTGGTAATGACATTAAGGCATCTCTCACCACAAGCACTGTCAGGGTCTCCAAAATCAAACTTGCATTCGCAGATAGAAATATCTTCTTCCTTCTGTTTCTTGTGCCTATAGAAGCATAAAACAAATGTGTACTTTACAACAACTCCATATTGAGAAGATAACCAAAAGCCAAGAGCCAGCATCAAAAGAAAGGCTCTTACTTTCGATATGAGAAGTCATTTTGATAAATGTGTTCATACTGTGGCAGCTCATCTCCTTCTTGATCCTTGAGACAAACGCATAGGAAACAAATAAATATACAAAAAGCTAAAAACCAAATCGAAATCTTACCCAATTTCACTTACAGGATCACAAGAAAATTGCATTTTTTTGCAGCGACACAATCAGAATCAGGGACTAGTATAGGTCAAGTTTCTACAAGAAAACGGAGAGAATTAGTTTTATTGAACTCTGGGATTTTAGTTTTAAGATCGACACAAACTTTTGAAAAGGAAGAAACTTGCAGCTAGAAACGAAACCATAGGAACCCATCTTTATTTGAAAACACACACAAATGGATACTGAAGACGCTTACCTGAGAGTTTGAGAGAGAACGCAACGACAAGCGAGGAAGAAGAACAACAGACGGCGTAAAGAAAAGAATGTAACCTCTTCCCTTTCTCCGGCGAGTTTTCCGACTTTCCTTTTTTTTTTTTTTGTAACTGGATCGTCTTTGTGTAAGGCCTTGGGTAAGGCCCAGCCCAATTGAGATGTTTACTGGAGATACAAAAAATAAAAAATGTAACCAAAAAAATATTCTAACTTTTTTTTTTGTTTTGGCAGAATTAATTCAGACTTTTTTTTCTTTGAATATTTACTCAATTTAAAATTGAGAAAATAAAAAAATATATCACTTAGTTAAAAAGAAAAAATATTTTTATATAATTTTTGATTAAATTATTTTGCAAATGGCACACTTTACTTTTTTTTTACTTAATATTAGATATATCTAAATATATGTTCAAACTAGTAAACCTATGACCTTAATTAAAGTAGAAATATTCTGTGTCTAAAAATGTATAACAATCTATTAGTAGTACTTATACTAAACAAAATTGATATGTATGAAGTTGAACGAGTCTCATTATAATTCGATATATGATATAATTATTATTTTTGAGACTGCAACATATGTCATTTGATTGATTACCTTTTGTGTTAAATATTGTATCACGATCCTAAATTAATATTTTTGGAAAAAATCAAAAAAGAGGTCCTAATTTTGTTGGATACATTTATTTAGTTATAAAAAGCATCACTTTTTGGGTGTTTATATTGTGATGGGTACATACATCCAAAAGGAGTTATTGGCTAGAAGAACAAGTAAGAGGAAATGGCTCAAACGATGGAGATAGGAGTAGATAAAAAAAGAGTTATTGCCATCATCGTCGGAGTGATTTTAGCCGTGGTGGGTCTTGGACTATGGTTGCTCCTCATAAATCTTCATGTTATTTAATTAAAATCGTAATACTATGATCGACCAAAAGTTAATCATCTTATCTTACAGGATGATAAATCTGTATTGACAAAAATTACATAAATATTGCTACAATGATTTGAAAATGTGTTTGGATATCATTTGTGGTTTATTGGATAAACTCACCAGTGATGTGATGTTTTTTTCTGAATTTCTCTGATACCATGTTGGAATCTTGACCTCCTCTATCACTTAGGGTCAGATTCACTCTTCTCTCTAGTTCTCTCTTTTACTTTGTTTTGTTAATCACAAAGCTTTTAGAACACTTAGAGAGATTCTCTTTGGATGTCTACATTGTTTCTCTCTTTAGATCTCTTGGAGATTAGGTTTAGCCACTTTAACCTTTTTCTCGTTAATCTCTAATGTTTTTTCATTACAACAACACAACCATATTTATACTATCTTACTTGTTTCCACCTTAACCTACTTAGCTTTGTCTATATTTTAAAAATTTAACTGTTTGAGTTTTTTGGCTGTCAACTTAAAATTTGTGATCATATATAGATGTTTCTCATGTCAGCACAAGATTTTTTTTGTTTGATCAACTCACAAGATTAAAGCTATCCTTTAAAACCTATAAATATATGTAATTGCGGTTACGTTTATAACTATGTGTTTATGGTTATTTTCTTATACAAAACATGGTTTGTAATTAATAGTATTTGATTTAATCTGGCCATATTTTAGTGTGATTAGTGGTGATGATTCTCCACATTGTCTCCGCCAGGCCGAAAAGTAAACCTAAAAAGTGTTCCATAAATAGAACTGAGCCTAGGCGTGTGTTCTGAGAAGTATGTTTTTGGATAACCGAAGCTGGAGCTTTTTAACTAACTGTCCTGATCTTAGATGTTTTCTTTTTTGTTACTAATTTCTAACAAGATTTTAACATCACATAGAGATCATAATTAGACAAAAACATATATTCGATTGTCAAAAAGAAAAAGAAAATTAGTCAGTCAAAAAGGCAAGTAAAGATGATCTGTATCTCAAGATTCTTATTCTTTCCCTGCAATTTGCCAGCATGAAGAGAAGGTTAACGAACCAGCACTTTTGAGGGAGAAAATAAACAAAAACAAATACAATTTTTGGTTTAAGCTCTCTCGGGGAAGATAAATCGCTTTGTGCAGCATGCAGACACGACATAACAAGGCCTGCGAGTTTTTTTTAAGCTCTAGAGTAGACATTTGACTGTTCAGGGAATCTTGAAGATTCTCTTCAGTTTCACAAGGAGCTTCCATTTCTCTGTCGACATTTCTTTCTGCAATTGTTATGTCTTTTAGTTTCGAGCATTTTTTTATTTGGACAGAATAAATGATTCAAAGAAAAAAACTTATCTTATCCTCGACTTACCATGTAGTCAGCTTTGAGTATGTCGATAGATCTCCTCGAAATGTGACTCACAAGCTCATCTTCCATGTCAAAATGCCTTCCAAACATCTTCTGTTCTTCACGATTTGAAGCAACAATCTGTTATACCATAGAAAAGCATCTCGATTACAAGGTGAATGCATCAAGTTGAAACCTCAGCAACTTTTGTCTATCTCTCTGTATACAAAAGTTGTTGAAGGGAATGATCCCGTTATTACCTTAATCGCCACCTCCTCGCCCTTCTCTGCGTAGTCAACAGGCTTGTGGTTGTTCTCAATAGAGGCAATGCGACCAATATCGATGAACTCTCTGCCCGGGACGCAAATGGGGGTTCCAATCTAAAAACCAAGATAAATGGTAAAAGGAGTGAGAAGTTGTGTCAACATGTGAGCAAGTTACCGAGAACATAGCAGAGTAAGAATAGGATACCTTAAGTATACCGTCGTGGACCTTAACTCCAAGGATTATTGGGTCTCTCTTATTGAACACACAGTTAGGTAAAATCTGAAGGACACATGGGAAGACTGCCTCACCGGCTGATTCCTTCATTTTCTCCTCTTTGATATTCTCAATGTAAGCCTTAAACTGATCGAATAAACGATAGATGATATCAGCGCAAAAGATTTTTACTCCCATTTCGTCTGCAAGTTCACGAGCCTCTGTAGTCACTTTCACATCAAAAGCCAAAATTGTAGCATATTCCTTTTTCTTCTCGAGCATCACTCCAGCCTTCATTATATCCTTCTTATGCACAGGCCCAATGCCAATACCACTGACAGGTATATTTACAGCTGGGGACTTCAAGAATTCAAGCAATGCTTCTAATGACCCTAATGTAGACGCTTGTACATAAACTCCTTCACCACTATTGTCAATCCTGCTCAAAACTGATTCCATATCTTCCATAGCCGACTCCTTAATTGCCTCGATGTCATCATCAGGTCCAACCACATGCAGGGAAGTACCAGCAATTGCGTGTTCAAGGCCCTTTTAAACACAACCCAAAATATTTAGGATATGATCTAAACGTCAGTATATTTAACACCAGCTGCTAGCGACAAAGATTATAGTAGAGTTAGTCCATTTCACCTGGGCAGTAATTTTGATGCCCTGTGCAGCCTTTATTTCTTTGTGATGCAGATAAGTACCCTGCAACATCAAAACAACATTTTTCGTTGTGTATTAAAAAAATTAACATCGGCGACGATTTGCATAATGTATGTTTCTCGAGGAAAAAACAGTAACAACACACATGAAGTGGAGATCTTAAAGTACCTTCACCCTTAACTCCTTCATTGGATGAGGAGTCAGTAAAGCTCTAATCGTTGTGACAATAGGTCCCTGAAATATGAGGAAGAAATAAGATCACTTTTCTAAGTTCTATGTATACCCAGTGCATTACTTGTTTGGATCATTAGTTTTTACTTGCCTGTAACCCACAGACGACGATTTGATCACCTTCATGGAGTTCACCGTTTACCAACACAACATCAATCGTTGTACCATGGCCTTCAATAACTTTGACCTCAAGGACAGTACACTGTACAACAATTTCAAGAAAGGATCAGAATCCTCATGCTCAAGTAAAGCAGAAACAATTGTTACCTAAAAGAAAAGGGAGAGAGACCTGCACTTTGTCAACATAAGCAAGCTTCTCAACCATTGTTTTCTGAGCCCATTGAACCAACAACAGCAAGAGATCTGGGATCCCTTCCCCGCTGAAATATCAAGAACCAAAGTTACCCAACTATTTAGGATGAATAACTTGTCTGTTACGCTGTAAATTACAAACAGTTAACAGAGATTTATACGACATAAATCATACCTTTTAGCACTAGTAGGAACAATACTGAAAGTTTCGCCCATTTCTTTATTCTTGTAGTAAAGCTCAGTGTTAAGTCCTTGCTCCTTGAATTGGGTAATAATCTGGAATACCAATGAAAGAACATAATTTGAACAATATGTACACCAAGTGATAGCTCAAACCATAAATAAGAAACTTTAGACGTATAACTTACTCCGGTCAGCCTCATCTTAAATTCATTTGTAACATCTTTAGATTGCTGCTTCATTGCCTTCACGATAGGAGCATTCTTGCATGCTTTCCATCCATATAGCTTATCCACCTGGAAGTTTAAGATTTTATTTTCCATACACAAAGAACAAAAATCCCATCCAAACAGAATGACAAGCAGTTTTACCTTATTCAATGCAACAATGAACTCTGTATTCCTCATTCTCAAAAGATTTAGAGACTCTATTGTTTGCGGCTGTAACCCATGCGTTATGTCAACCACCAAAATGGCAAGGTCACACAAACTTGAACCTCTTGACCGCAGATTCGTGAAGGACTCATGGCCAGGTGTATCGATAACCAATAGACCTGGCACCTTAAGTTTTGCATCGGCTTTCAGTTCCCTGGTCCTCTCTCGGATGTTTTTGGCAGGGAAATATGTTGCACCAATCTGCTGAGTAATACCTCCAGCCTCACCTTCCTGTACATTTGTTCCTCTGATGCAATCCAACAGCTTTGTTTTACCAGTATCGACATGACCCATGATACAGCAAATAATAGAACGGAGATTTTCTCCACCTTCTTCTATAAATTCACTTGGAGCTAAGCCTTTACCCTTCTTAGCACGTTTTGTCGGCGTAGCATGTTCCACTTCAGACATAGCTTTTACGACAGCTGTTGTTGGCTTGCTCATACCTGCTGGTTTAGCAGTTGGTTTTTCAGTTTCATGGTCAGTACAAATTCAAAAACTTAGATTAAAAACAGACAATGGATGAAACACTAGGAAGAAGAACAAAGAACAACATTTCATACTAACCTGAATCATGTGCCTTTGATACAGCATCCTTTAATTCTTTCTTAACCACAGGCTGAGGTTCTTCCTCTTCGTCATCAAAATCACCTTTGAGGTTAAGATCAACTGTATCCCAGCTTTTTGCATCCCATTCATCATCTTCCTCAATCCCATTCTCCTGAGCAACATCAGCAGGTTCTGATTTCTCGTCTGTGTTTGTTGACTCAATTAAATCAATCTTTCCAGTGTCTGCTAAACCTACTTCACCTAAAGTATCTGGTTCATCTGCTTGATTCTCTTTTGGCTCTACCTCATCTTCCCTCTGAACATAAGTGTCAATGCCTTTCTGGCGAGCAGATTTTTTCTTGTTGGCATAAATGGGACGCTTTGAGGAAGTAGCATCACCATCATTATCTGCAACAGGAAGACCTCCACCAGCAGCCAGCAGCTGGTTCTTAAAAGCCTCCCTCTTTTGAGCTTCACTCTTTTGCTTTGCTGTTAGAAGCTTGCCCTCTTGCTTCTTCCTCAACAGTTTCTCCTTTTCTTTTTCCTTTCTCTTACGCTTAGCCTCCTCAGCTTGAGCCTCAAGCTCTTCCTGCCTGCGGCGCTCCTCTTCCTCCTTCCTCAATTTTTCTTCTTCTTCCTTCTTTTTTCTCTCTTCGGCTTCTTGCCGCCGTGCAAGAGCCTCTTGCATCTCTCTAACATGTTTAGGGATTTTCTTCTCTGCTGCTTTACCCTTTGCATCCTTCTTCTTCTCCTGTAGTGGCTCAGTTACTGATTCTTCTTGTTTTCCCTCCTTAGCCTCTACAGAAGAGGTTGCTTTTTTTTCCTTCTCTTTCTCCTTCTTCTTTTTCTTTTTCTTCGCTGCAGCAGTCTTAACAGTCTCTTCTTCTCCTTCCTTCTCATCAGCATTCTCTACAGGTGCAACTGGCCCAGGCTGAGCTTGAACCTTCTCCTCTCCAGGCGTCGATGAAGCAGGTCTTCCAGCAGCAGGGGTTTCTCCAAATTCTTCAAGAACTTTGTCAAAATCATACTCTTCCTCTGCTGTCCTTCCACTCTTATTCTTCTTCTTCTTTTTCTTACTCTTTCCAGTTTCTATAACCTCCACACTCTTAGTATCAGGAGTTTTAGCTTGACTAGTTTCGTAGGCAACTGAGTCATCACCTACTGAGGCCAAAACACTGCTGCCCTTCTTTTTACCAGAAAACGTGATTTCGAGGCTCTCTTCATCTCCCATTGTATTTTTGACGAGTCTAGAGGTCGAAGCATCTGTCCCTTCTTCCTCATCAAGCAAAGCAACTTTATTAGTGGTCTTCTTAGAAGATTTGGAGGACTTCTTTTTCTTACCAGAGAAGATGATAGGATACACTTGTTCCTCATCACCATCCACTTTCTCTTCATCCTTATCACCACCAAGGGCATCAAAAGCTGAAACCGCAAAGCCTTTTTTACCCTTGTTAGATGCATGCTTCTTACCCGTAAAACTTATAACTGGTTCATCATCTTTGTCACCATTAGATTCATTATCATCCTCTTCCTCCTTATCAGCAAGCAGGGCAAAGCTAACAGAGCCACCTCCGTTCTTACCTTTCGATTTCTTCTTCCCTACAAAAGCATTCTCGGGAACAACCTCAGCAAAATCATCGTCCTCCTCCTGCTGCTGCGTACCCTTCTTAATACTCTTCTTCTTCCCAGTGATAACAACTTTCTCTTCCTCAACTCTAGGCTCCTCAGTTTTTATGGAGTACTCACCATCATCATCATCATCATCAATTTGAACAGCTTTCTTATTAGATTTAGCACCAACGAGAGGTGGTTGCTCATCATCTCCACCTCGAGAACTACTCGGCTTCCTCCGACCCATTGGTTCCGAATACTTCCTACAAATCAGCATGAATATTGTGATGACATCTTTTTATATGGCATTACCGAATCGAGCTCGTGCATCTTTTAATTTAATTTTTTTATCAAAAAAAAATCTCCTACCCTTAATGATTTTCTAAAATTATTTAAAATCCTATTTTATTTGGATCTAGCATTTGGTAAAATCATTTAAAATCTAAGATTATATCTTAAAATCTCAACTTATTGCAAACTCAAAGATTTCATTCTATAAAAATATCCAAAATAATCTGGAATGATTTTAGAAAACAATTAATAGTTAAAAATATCTTCAAATAATTTTTTTTAAAACATATTAGCTTACTTTTTGATTATTGAATATTAATAAAAATTAAAATAAAAACTTTAAAAAAAAAAATCCGAATCTCATCCTAGACAAAATTTACATTAACTATAATTATCATTTTCAATTATAAAATTAAATTTTTACTTTAAATAATCGGAGTAATCACAGTAAGTGTACCATTAATCGAAGACCTTTTCATGTGCTATCAACATTAATCATCTTCTTCTAAACATCCCAAATTCACATTAAATCCCAAAACCAAATAAACAACGAAATATTTACATACATGGCACACAACTGCAATATCAATATGATAAGACTGCATGGTATATATATTATAAAAACGGGATTTGAATAAGCAAGAAACCGCTACAGAGATACCTGCGATCTCACCTGAATCAATTATAGCCAGTCGAAGAGTGATTCCCTGCGCCAGGAGGTGGCGCTGGTCGTGGTAAGTACTAGTTGAATTGTTCATCTCCAAGTTTTGAATTCCTCCACGCTAGGGGCTTTGTGGTTCCTAAGATTATCCAACAAGAAAACAGTTTATCTTTCGATTTGAACGTTTTTCAAGAGACTCTGACTGATTCAGAGTGTTTTTACTAAACACACAAGCATGAATGTTATCTATCTAACACAAGTCAGCTAAAGAAGCATTTGACCATTGTTGAATATGGAGAGATATGAGTTTGGTAAGATGGAAATTAAAGATCAAAGAGAAGCTAAAGGTTTATGTAAAATGATACCTGAGGACCATATGTAGAGTGAGATGCTTCATTGGATTTTGGTGATGTAGAGGTATCATCATCGTGGTCCCTTCCATTTCCGTTTAACTTTTGACGTGCATTGTTTGCTAAAGGATCACTCTCACTAGCTGTTTTGGCTCTCTGTAAGAGTGAAAAGTTAAATCCTTTAGGTTAGTCTTTTATCTCAATTCCCAAATCACATTTGAACAGACTTGAATTTGAGTCGGTCTCTGAGAACCTCAGAAAGCAACACAATCTAATATTTTAAAGGAAGACTATGGTTTGAGTAGGGGACACTAATAAGTCCATACTTACCCTCATTTTTTCTTGTATATTTTTTGGCGTCAAACTAGTGTGAAGATTATAAAGAATGAAGCCATTGATGCCATGGCAAGCTGTCCTATGTACCCTTCAAAGAGTTCGCTACCAAAAAGCATTGCAAATCTTGTCGCAGGATCGATGACTGCATTTTGCACCGAGAAAAGATCCATGTCATTAGACACTACAAACACCTGAATAACAAGTTACGTTTTGAAACACTATCCAAAACATCCAAAACATTTTCAAGACACATCTCCAACAGGAACACCACCAATTTCAATTCTCTCATTCTTGATTTTTAGAAAATGAACTTATGGACATTGTTATCTACCTCATACACTAATCAGAGAATTGAGATAAACCTACAAATCCAAGAATTTTGCAGATAAAAATTGGTACTAATGATTGCAACTTGCAAGTAGCTTTCTATATATGTTACAAACTTACAATATACAAAGCTTATCACCAAAGTAACTGATTCCAAGAATGGAAATTGTCTTTTTTGAAATCTAAACTTACCTGGAAATTTTTTCAGTGATTCTCCCAATTTTCTACAACACGGAGAAAATTTGGGTTGGGATTTTAAGATCGACACCAACATTGGGAAAGGAAGAAACTTGCGTCTACAAACGAAAACCACCGGAAAACTGAAGACGCTTAGTCGCTTACCTGAGAGAGACCGCGACGACGAAGAACAATTGACGGCGTTAAAGTTATTTTTCACGGCGTTAAGAATAATAAATTGTCCCCTTGTGTCACTTTCGATTGGGCTTTTTCTGGGCTTCTTGTTGGGTTATTTTTATTTTGTTTCTTGCTTTGTGCTGTATTTTCAATTAATAAATTGAGATGGCAAGATGTTACAAAAAAAATAATGAAATGGCAAAAAAATAACTATATAGTTAATTTTATATAATTTTTCATGAAATTCTTTGGCAAATGTCCCAATCTATTTAATATTTTTTTATTATAAATGTCACAATCTATTAATATTAGATATACATAAACATATGTTGTGACCTAATTAATTACTAGATATAACATATATCACGAACTATTTAATCCTATACTATTATTTGGGGAGTACACTTTATAAGATACCCTTAACTAACCTTTCCTTTTGTAAAAATTTACTTAAGAATGCCATTAGAAATAAAATTTTATAGAGTAAATTAATTCAACTCATTAAGGATAAACAAGTCAAATACTATTTTATGCAATTTAATTAATTTAATTTAATTATAAAAACGAAAATCTATTATTAATTTTTTTTAAAAGAATGACCAATCAAAATGAACATATAAGATTTGATATCTAACTTATCATATTAATTTGTTATTAATCATTATACTACACCTCTCATTTTTATATTATTCTATTTCTATAAAATAAATAAATTATTATATCATCTACATAATAAAAAAAAAAGTAAAATTTTTCCGCATATACAAAGATTTGAATTTTTAAAAACGAATATAAATTGTTCAATGTATGAAATAACAAATTTAACGGGTCAATAATTCATATTTGAGTAATATATTCCTTTTTTTAATATCATCAATACTTAATAGATCAAAAAGTTAAAAAATATAAATACTCTAATTTGATTTTTTGAAACAAATATTTATAATAGGCGGCGGGTTAAATATAATGTATTATATGATGAAATGAGTTATGATTTTTATAACTATTTGAATATTTATATTTAATTTCATATATATATATATTTAAATTCATAATTTTACATACTACAATAAAAATTTTAAAGATTCTAATTTGGAACATTTGAAAAAAGTTTAATTTAATATATTAAAGAATATCATAAATATTTAATAGATAAAAAAGATAAAAAAAAAATTATAAATTCTAATTTGATTTTCTAAAAAGATATGTTTAATATATTTATAGTAGGCGGCGGGTTAAAAGTAATGTATTATATGATAGAAAGTTATGATCCTTATAATAGACGACATTTTAAGATTTTATGATGAGATGAGTTATATAAGGTTTGACACTTCTAAATATTTGAAAATTTAATTCTGCAAGCAATTTTGGAAATAATGGAGAATAGATTGTGCCACAATATTTTCGTAGGGATTGTAAAATGAAAATATAGACTCCACACACGGATCGAATTTAGTATTATTATGTACCAAATATATGTTCATAACATATTCGATTATGTGAATAATTGGTAAATTCCGTAATTAGCTCAAACAAATCTCTATTTCAACAACCAATGAATTAGAATTTGAAAACATAATTTCCTAAATTAATTCAAAATAATAGCTAACTTTTTTAACTAATTCAAAATAATCTACGTTTTAGATGCGATTTGATTTATGATATTTTGATTTTTGATCTAACTAAATTATATGCACTCTCATTTTGTGGTTGTTAACATAAATTAACTAATTGTTCAAACAATATTATTTTTTTTGAAAATAATATTATTTTCCGTTTTCATATTTTTTAAAAATATATCCATAATTGAGGATTACAGAAAAATAAAAATATATTCATTCTAATATTATATATATTGACTGACATAAAAAATTTAATATTTTTTTACTTACTATTATAATATATCACGATTTTATTCTATAACTATATAATATATAAATTTTGTAATGAATGAAAGTCAACCCGTACTGTAGTACGGGTGATGATCTAGTAAGTGTTTTTAAAATTATAGATGATAAAAATATGAATAGACGAAAAACAACTATGTATGAATTATTGTTACAATGGTTTGAAATGTGTTTGGATAATGGATAAACTCATTAATTATTGCGTAATTTTTTTTACTACGATTTCATTACTCAAATCCATCATACATAATATACATATCATTTGTTTTATCGTATAAAACAGTAACCGAAAACAAACCGGTAAAAACCAGGCGGTTTAGTAGAACAAAAAAACACAATTGACCAAAACTAGAAGCCGTTAGTTACCGGCGTTTGCGCTCAGCAGTAGGAGGTAATTTCTCAGATGGTCCAGTCGGAAGTTTACGGCCAGTCTTCTTTTCCAATCTCTTCTTTAGCTCTCTTAGTATCCGAATCTGTCCTAGCTTCTCCGGCGACAGTTTGTCCCAATAAATTCCTGCAAGAAAAAAAAGCATATTAATAAGGAAAACAATCACTGAATAAGGCTGATACTTCAATAAACAATTTACTGACAAATCACATGAAATCTTTGAGTTAATAAGGAAATCAAGACCTTGTGGTTTTGGTATTGGTGTATTTGTGAAAATGACACGAGTAGGAGTGCATATGATATCCACAGGAACATCGTGAATCGCCAGTTTCTCTAGGGGTATATCGTCCACGAGCTGACAATCATGTACTGCAAATGAAGTAAAAGCTTCATTAGTCATGAATATGAAGGTAAAAGAAAAAAACAACAGAAAGGTTTCCAAAGTTGTTCTAAGTTATATCTATACCGGTTGTAACAACGGGTGTGGAATCATCAATGGCTCCCATGTAACGCAACATTCCATATTCGAGTTCCGCAAAACCCTGCACATATAATGAGGGAGTCATATCAAACTCCAATCATGTGGTTGGTTCAACTGAATTTTTCTTTTAAGTGAAAATTGAATCTGTAACAAATTTCACCTCTCCTTTCCCTAATCTAGCACCCGTTTGTGGGTTAACCGCAACAGAGCCAATGACGATGAGATCAACTTTGATTTTCTCATCAAGGCCAATCGCTCTTCCATATTTGGCTACTCCTACAGAAGTGCAAGCCTCCATGATGGTTTCGGGTTTCAACAAATCAGATTCTAGTACAGAGAAGAATCCTGTTCTTAGCCTAGGTTGAGGAGTCAACAGCTTCTTGTCACCTACAATTACAGACCACAAAGAATCCGTATTCAACTTAAGACTATACTTACTCTTACATCATCAGAAGGAAATAAAACTTTCATGTGACAATGCAACAGTTTTGCGGCCAAGGGATTGAAGTTTGAGAATATTTCCCAAGATAATATAAGGTCAAAACTCTAAATTGTCAAGAATTTGCTCAGACATAGCTATATTAACTAACCAGAAAGTGTAAGAAACCTGATTTGCTTTTGTGGCGAATCGGGATTAACCTTCACGGCCATAGCCTTACGAAAAGCGTCAAGCTCGGCTAACTGCGCCAAGAAGAATTCAAAATTTGGCAAATTCGCAAATAAAGGCATAACTTATCACCAAGAGAACGCCTTTGTTTCACTGCAAATGAATATCATTCCCTATCAAATCCAGCTCTTACAATTTTCTAACATTTGGGTCGTCTTGTTTTCTTTAGCTAATTCACTCGCATTGATAGGGTTGTGGCAAGATCAATCCTCCTAAAGGGCAAGAACATCAAATAGGTGAAACCAAACAAACACATCTTGGTGTCACCTATTTGATGTTCTTATGCCTTTGGAGGACTGATCATGCAGAAACGTTATGTAATCATCTGGAAATATCAATGCCAGTGAATCAGCTAAAGAAAACAAGACGTGAGAAAATTGTAAGAGCTAGATTTGATCACAGTGAACAAAACCTAGAAACTGAACAAGGAAGGTAAAATTCGCAAACTTTTCGTGCAGCAGCCGATGCACCGACGAAATTAGGGATTCGATGATGAACAGGTCTAGGGCTCATTGCGTAGTTCCGAGCTTCCATTAGATCCCACATCTTCTTCCTGATAACCCATTTCCACGCTTTCGGGTCACTATCTGGATCCGATTCTAGTTCCTTCTTCGCCGTCTCCGCCATATCCTCCATCGCCACCGCGTCGAGGCTTAACCGCTCAGATTCATAAGCCACAGCATCGAAAGCGACACCGTCGCCGCTCTCCGATCCGATTCTGGAGATATTCCTCCGCCGTGACCCGATTTGGACGGAGATCGAAGTCGATTTCTGGGAATTGACGAAGGTATTGGATCGAAAACAAGGATTTATTGCAAATCCAGGTGATAATCGTATCATCGTTAGATCCACGAACACATTCAATTCCGATCTCGGATTTTCGAAAAATCTCAGCTTTGTCAGTGTTCTTGTTAAAAGATAAGAAATCAACGGCTTAGATCATTTGTTTCAGTTCCCGCTGAAAACACTTCATTCACTCTTCTTCACCTCGAGGGTTTCAATTTCAAAATTTCTCTTAATTAATTTAATTTAATGGGCCTTTTTATCGGCCCAATAAGTGATTCTTCTTCAATACGCTTCCGCGAGCATTTTTCGTTAACCCATCGGCGTCATAAGTACACGCGCTCTCCATCTTTTGCATCGGACGGGTAAATAAGCGAGTACACAAAAAAGGAGCGCGTGGTTAGACTTAAAACAGTTATACTCGCGTTTTCCGAGAGCGGGTTTGTTAAAATTCAAATTTGAAACATTTATTCCCATCCAATTATCTGAGACGATTCTAGTCCCAAGCTTCTTCGATTCTCTAAACTCTTTCACTGTATAAATCTTTCACTTTGTGTGGGTGTTTAGTGATTAATGGTGCGAGAAGAATTTCGCATTTTTTCGATCTTCGAAGATGGATTTTCATGGAATGAAGAGGAAGGATCTACAAGCTTTAAGCAAAAAGCATGGAATCCCAGCAAATTTGAAGAACATTGAGATGGCTAATAGACTCTCTTCTGTTCTCGAGGTAACTTCTTTGATCGTCTTGTACCTTTATCTTAGAATCGTCGGTTGATTTGTTTCTGTGTTTTATTACGTAGAAGGAAACTTTAAAGGATACGATAAGTTTGTCTGAGGATTCTGTTGAGGTTCTTGAGGATGATATAGTTGTTAAGAGAGTAAGATTCAGTCCTGAGAATGAAGTTTTTGAATTCACTCGATCTGTCAAGAAATGTCAGCGGAAGAATGTGAGAACGCTTAGCAAAGGGAATGTTCAAGATCTTCAAGAAAGTGGAATAGAGCTAAGGCGGTCTACGCGAATTGTGGCTAAGGGGAATAAAACAGTAGCTGGATCTAATGTAAACGAGTCAACCGCAAGAAGAGGTCGTTGGTTTGATGTTACAAAAGGTCTCAAGGTCCCAAGGCGGTTAAAACGAATTGGATCTACTGGTACTAGTCAAGTAGACTATAAAGTTAGAGGGTTGATGCCGTTTGAGGATGTATCGGAAGGATTGTCTGAAAAGATTGGGAGACGGCCCACACAGCCAATATCACGGTCCACACCGCTGTTTTCGAAGACAGGAGACTTGTTACCTGTTAAACCGTCAAAACTACTTGTAGACATCTATAAAGAAGATAAGCTTGTCAAGAATAATGTGAAGGAGGTATTGCAAGATGATCCTAAATTTGAAAAGGTTTCTAGGCGATCTAGACAATCTGTGAATTGCATCGATGTGCAGACCAATACTCAGGATCAGAGAAGGTCAATAAGGCTTAAAGCTAGAGCTGCAAACCCATCAATGGAAGGTGAGTCATCCGATGGTAGACCTTTATGTTCTGCTAAGGAAAGTAAAGAAGAAATAAAGACTACTAAGCAGTCAAAAAGATCTATGGTGGTTAATAGTCGAGAAGGTGAGCTTGTTAAAGATAAAGCAAAGGAGCCTTTGATAGATTGTAAGGTTCAGACAACTGAAGATTACCGTAGGCTGAAAGTCCAGGATGCTTCTAAAGTTGAAAACGTTCCTCGGCGTTCAAAACGACGTTGCAACGACATTAATGTGCTGATGGATAAGCGGCCCATTAAGGCTGTGAAGCGTGATGACCTTGGAGTAAAAAAGGCTCCAAAACACTCTAGGCAACGTGTAAAGAGTCTCAGTGAACTCCTAGTAGATGGCCAAGCGCAAAAGGGTGGTAAACAACCAAAGAGAACTTTTGGAAATGATCGTGAGGGTAAAAAGCTTCTCCAATGTTCGAAGCACACTGCATCAGATAAAATGTTGGGCCAAGCACTGAGTGATTCACTGAAAAGTTGTTCAGTTATTGACTGCGAACGAGATGGAGTTGGTAATGTGAAGAAGTCAAATGTGAATGATGAAATGCAGGTCCGTGTTAGAGTTTCCAGGAGCTCTTCGAGGCATCATTCATTTAAGGTTCCAATAGAGGTTGAAAGGAATCTGATTGAAAAGAAGACAGATGAAACTCTTGACTCTCTTGTCAAATCATCTAAAAGAGTTACTAGGATGACGAAGCGGGATAGATCAGCAGAGCCAGGGAAGGGCATAGAGACTGCATCAACTCAGAGCAATCTAGCGCCAAAAAAAGGTTTGGATGAGTACATTCAGTTTGACCAAGAAGAAGGAGGTGGTGCTAATGTGGAATCTAGAGGCTCTTCCAAGAAGTCAAAGACAATGAATCAAGAATGTGTTAAGGATAAGCCACAAGGAATGATTGAGAACTCACCTTTTTTATCAGAAACCAAAGCTGCAGAATCTGTTATGATAACTACTGAGAATGTTTTGGATTCTACTCTGGAAATAGCAGTTGATAGTTTTCAAAGAACAAACGCTCAAGAGTTGAATTCTGAACTTATGGAAGGTAATCGTGAAGAGAAACTTGAGCGAGATACAGTGTCGATGGTTGAATCTGAGGTTAGGGAACACAGCTCTTTAGAAGGTATATATATTTGATTCATTTGATCTGAATTATTTTCAGTTTTATGGATAACTAATTATTTAATAATCTGTGTTTCTTTCTGATGTTTAATCACAGCAATCCTGGAAAACTCAGCTGAATGTTGGAAAGAGATTCACCCTATCACAGATGGTGAGGAAGGTTCCGAAGAGAAAGAAGCACAAGGTGCAAATTTACATGGAAATTGTATTGAATACAACACTGAGAACAACAGTGCAGAAGAAGAAATGGAGATTACTAAGGTTTGTTGTGTGAATCTAACACCAGAAAAACTTGTGGATGAGTACACTCAGTTGGAACCAGAAGAAGCACAGGGCGTTAATATTGAAGCAAGAGGCTCTTTCAAGAAAATGAAGACAGTGAATCAAGAATTCGTAAAAGATAAGCCACAAGGAATGACTGAGAAGGCCTCACCTTCTACATCTGAAACCAATGGTATAGAACATGTTATGATTTCTGAGGATGTTTTGAATTCTACACTGAAAGTTTCAGGTGATTTTTCACCGGTAAGAAACACTCAAGAGTTGGATTCTGAACCTCTGGACGGACAACATGAAGAGAAACATGAGCAAGACACAGTTCTGATGGCTGCGATTGAGGAAAAAGAGGAAACATCACCACTGTCTATATTTCAAGTTGACTGTGGCATTTTCACAACTACCGAAAAACATTTACTGCTTGAAACAGGTGAAGGGGTAAAAGAAGACAATATAACTGCTAAGTCTCATGTTGTGAATGATGTTCTCGCTGCTGCTGTGCCCCAATCTCTTATGGGAGACTCTGAGCTAGATGAAGCTGAAAAATACAGAGAAATCAAGGATGTGGAAATGTTGGGTGAATCTAACACTTCCACTCACCCAGAGAGGCAAATACTGTTTGGAAACTCCGTACTAGATGAAACAAAAGATTATTCAGCAGCCACTTGTGAAGTGGCTTTTGTTCTCACTTCTGCAGAGAGACAACTTTTAGTTAACTCTAAACCATACAGTGATGGAAAGCAAGAACAAAAGGAGGTGGATGACAGTGTGGTTCAGGAAAACACCATTGTTGACTCAAGCGGTAGTATCGCATCCAAAGTTTCTTACAACCATGAGCTTAATGCTGGGCAAGAAACTGCAGGTGCAGAGGATGTTGTAGGTCTAGATGCTACACAAGGAACATCAAAGAAAAACAGAGAGCATTCTCCACATGTTGACACTGAGGAGGCAGAGACAATCAGGGAAGCAGAAAAAAATATTTCCCTTAGCTCCTTTGTTGCGTTACCAGCCGAAGGTAACAACTCCGAGACAATTGGTGAAATTTCCAGCTACCTTGAAGTCGCTGGAACCTGTTCTATGGTGTCAGGTGAGCAACTTTTTTTTTGAAAAAATGCATGGAGTCAATATAATATAAATCATCTAAAGTAACCATAAGTTAATCCTTTTTCTCTGAAGTTATTATGCTTATCTCATCATATTAGTTGAGTCATATAAATGTAAAATGTTCATATCTCTTTCTCCACCCCTGAAACGCAGTAGAATCTGGTCCTTCCACAGACATTCAGAACCAAATAAATGATGCGTTGGAGGAATGGGCAATAACAGGTAATTACCACTCTTATTTTTCAGCATCACATACTTTGTTTCTGGAGGCATACATAAGAGCAAGATAGTTAAATTATTTCCTATCATTTGTAGACAATAATGAAGTAGATGAGCTCGTAGAAGCAAAGGTAACAGAGAACATTCAAAAAGGCTTCGAAGGAAATCTCCTTTTGAACTCTTCAGGTGGTGGCTCTAATGTCTCTGGAGAGACATGCATCTTAGGTGAAACGGAGGATGAAGATGAAGCAGATGTTCCAATTGCTATTGCCGTTGGTAAATTTCTTTTCTACATCTAATCAATTTCTTGGTGTTATTTACTACATTTGGAATCTCTTGACTAATTATTGCTTCTACTCAATCCATTCTCACAGAGAAAGCTATCTCCCTGACTCCTGATGAATTGACTGTTCAGAATCACATTAATGAAAAAGGTTAGATTTCTTACAAATGTCTCTTATATCCAACAAAATAGCTAAAACAATGACTAATATATCTAGAATCATTTACCTTTTTCTTGTTTCTTTTTAAAATAGCTGCAGATGAGGAAATGATCACGAGAGAAACTACTCCAATTCCTGAAGAAACCATGAATGAGTCCTCTGAGAACAGGAAGGAGTATTTGAACATTGATGAATCAGCTACGTTATCCGAGAGGCAAGTAAGAAGAGAACCAACCTTGATTTTCAGAACACAAGTGAAGCCTACGAAGCATGACATGAAAGAGAATGCACCAAACTCAAAGATTGTGCATAATCTTAACGTAACAGCTCCAAGAACATCAAAGAGACCGCCTCTCCAAGACTTGAGCAAGAACTAGAGTGACGGATTTGCATATCTCATGCACGTTTAGACTTATCTAAAACTTCTCTTCTTCTCTTATATTTATGTATTTTGAAACACCTATCATGAATCAGCTCTACTAAATCTAGATACCTTTCAAATTTGCAGTATTGCATGTATCTTTAAAATAGTTGCCAGCCTTATGATTTCTTCTATTGCAAGATATCAAATACTTACACATTTTATGCTCATTAGATGTGTACATACTTTACTTACCCAAATCTATTTCTTGCAAAGATTTTAATGGTGAAGATAATTTGGTTCGATTGTATTGAATCAAACAAGTTTCAGACTGAGTGATCCTAATCCGGCCCATTAGCCCCTAAACAGACCCATTTTAGCTTACTCACTTGTGAACGATAGCAAATGCTCAATAATCCGACTTATAACGCAGATTTTAATACAGTAATAACACCTAGTTACCCACTAAGCCACTAAGCACTAATTATCTCACAATCGAATGAGCTTCCCACGTAATTACTTTGGCCTTTTCACTCTACCAATTTACTTGTAACAGTCAATCTCCAAGTGTCTCTATATAAACTCTCTAAGGTTTTCACTCAATTCTCATCACAAACACAAACAAATCAACCAGACCCACTTCTACTCTTTCTTCTTTCGACCTTATCAATCTGTTGAGAAATGGCTACCAAGTCCAGTTTCATGACTACCTTCAACGTTGTGACACTCATACTCATGGTGGTTTCTTCTTCCACTGTGACAGCTCGCCCTCTCATGAAACCGTCCATGGGCTCATCTTCTCCTACCACAAGCCTTGTGTACAGGCTCAGGCTTGATGAAGATACAGGTTACTGCTGGGACTCACTCATGCAGCTCCAACACTGCTCCGGAGAGCTGATCTTGTTCTTCCTCAACGGTGAGACTTACATTGGCCCTGGGTGTTGCAGTGCTATAAGAACCATTGGACGCAAGTGTTGGCCTACTATGATTGGTGTTCTTGGTTTTACTGCTCAAGAAGGTGACATGCTCCAAGGTTACTGTGATGGCAATGACTCTGACAACAATGGTGAGGACCATGCTCTTGCCTCCTCACCACTGCCTCTGTCTGTGAATTTCAAGCCTACGGTTGTTAGATCTTCTTCTTCTTCCAACCCTTGAATCTTAGTATTCAGGTTTACACTCCTGCTATGTTTTCTTTTGCTAAGAGAAATTTAGTCTTTATGTAACTGGAGAAGAATGCTGAAAAATAGCTTCTCTATTATTACTTTTGAGAATAAAAGATCATTACTCACAACAAGGTTTTACAAATCTGGCAAACATAATCTTCTTCTCAAACTCTCCAAGTTAAATCAACCGAAAAACCTATCGCTAAGCCCTGACTAGGTCAGGGACAGTGGAAACACAGCAATAATTAAAAAAGAGTTCATGATCCATAACTATGGCTTCACTTTTAGAGAATCCTCAATTCGTTGGATGAGTTGTTGAGCCGTCAAAGCACCCTCCTGGAAGTCATAAGGAAAGAAACGTTTGTGAGTGAGATTAAGAACCTTAAAAGGAAAACAGAGATATTCAAAGGCATGGAAGTCATCATACAAAGCGATCACAAGGTTCCCCATCTTTGAATAGGATGAAAGTAGGAAGTGCCTCAATCTTGTATTTATTGGCAATACTCGGGTATTTTTCAGTATCGATCTTCACCACCTGGATCTTTTCTTTCAGGGTTGCACTCACTTCACTGAGTATAGGAACCATGAACTGGCAAGGACCACACCTGCCAAACAAACAACATTACATTCTGATTCACTCGCTTTCCAAAAACCATCTGTTTAACAAATATACTCAAACTAAACCAAGTATACTCATTCATGGTTAAGAGTCTTTATACAGAGAAAATGTAGCTAGCTATATCATATGACACCAAAACAAACTCACCAGGTTGCATAATAGTCAACTAGAACTGGCTTATCAGAGTTCACAAGAAGATCCTCAAAGGAGTCAAATGTCTGCTTCTTGGCTTCAATCTGAAGTAATAACAACAATGGTTTGTCAATTAGTTTCAATCTAAATCGAGAAGTAGATAAAGGTACTCACTTTAAACCAAATTCAAACCCTAGAGAGAATCAGCTAGGAATTAAAATGAGAAAAATCCACTATACGAAGACTATCATCAACTCTACTATCACAAGAAAGTTTCAAGCTTGAATTCGAATAGTTCATAAAAGTGAAAATGAAATTAAGTAAACTTTTTTAGTAAGCTAGAATTGAACCAAACATATAAGCATTGGAAAAAGATGCTTAAGCAGAGAAAGGCGATTACAGGTCTAGGAGTGCATCGAGTCGTTGAAGATAAAGAGGGAAACTTTAAGTCTCCGGTTCGAACCCGACGAACCGGAAACTGAAATTTGACGGCGGAGATAGAACGAGAAGCGAAAGCAGAAACACTAGACGATTCTTTCGAATTCAGCGACGGGATCGTAGAAGAAGAGAGAGAAATCGCCGCCATGAAATAATCAGAAATAAGATCGATCTGTTGATTCGGCGTTGGTAGGTTGATGATGATGACAAAAAAAAGTTGCACACTTTAGGAAAAAATTCAATTTGACCAAAGAGAGAAGAACTCTGAAGGAAAATGACAGAAGGTACTTAGAAAGATGGTGATGATTCACTACGGTCGAGTGCACCGTATTTTTTTTTTGGTTATAGGCCCACATAAACAACAAACATGTTATAGGCCCATATAAACCACAAACACAAATAGTTACTTCCCGCCAACGCAACTGGGACAGTTGAAAGTAAACAAACTCAGGACTCCGTTTTTGAGTTTCCTGAAGATGGAAGTTACGAATATATTCTTGTGGACATCTTCAAAGAGACATATGAAAATGGCTTAATTTGAAAGACAAAAAAAGGTGGACTAGAGAGAGACTTTAACAAAAACTAAAAATAGATGGAGCTTGAATTAGGTCTGAAGATCACTCGTACTAAAGACGATGTTTCTTCCTCTACAGATTTTAGGGTTACCAGTGATTCTTTTGGTCATCTCTCGCTTTCTAGAGAAACCAACTCTGTGTTCTTCCTCATTCTTCATCTCAAAGGTTCCATTTAAACATTTTCCCCTCTCATAGATATTCACCTTTTTTTCTTACCTGCATAGAGATTGAGATTGAATACCAAATGCAGGATTTAAGAAGGAAGGTATCGATATCGAGATAAACAAAGAAGGGAATCGGATTAAGATCAGCGGAAGAAAACAGGTAGAAGAGATGGTTTTGGTAAAGTGGGTGGAATGGAAAAAGGCAACAGAAATCAAGGAATTCAAGAAAGTGTTTCGGATTCCAGAAATCGTTAATCTTGACAAGATCAAAGCGAGGTTTAATGAAGAAGATGGGACTTTAACGGTTACAATGCGTAAGAAAGTTAAGGGGATCACCGGTTTAAAGATCGAGGAAGAAGAGGAGGAAGTAAAAGATCAAATAGTAGAAGAGAAAACAGAGGAAAAAACAGAACCAGAAGAAGAAATCAAAGAAGAGCCAAAACCTGAGGAAAAAGAAGAACAGGAAGAAGAAGAAGAGCCACAGAGAGAAGAGGAAGAAGACAAGATTGAAGAAGAGGTTGTTGAGGAAGAAACAAGGGATCATGAGGTAAAGAAAGAAGAAGAAATTGAAGATAAACCAAGAAAGAAGAGAAGAAAAAGGTTCCGTTTACCGTGTTTTGCAGGATCCACTCTGCTTATGTCTATTATTGTTTTCATTATTCAATTGATTCAATCCAGAAAAAAATGAGACCACACTCCTTAGATTTTTAGGATAGGGTTCTTGTTGTTTTTTAAGGATAGAACCCATTTTCTTATCATCTGTTTCTGTAAGAAAAACATCAATATGTATTATGAGTTTTGTGTTGTTTCACTGGTCCTCTAACAGAGAAAAACTAAATTGAATCTAAAAAGATTTAAAGTTGAAATCACATATTCGGTATAATGATTTCTTATAGAAGAAAATCAAAATCGATATGTAAACAGTAAACTCTAATTAAGATGAATAATTTGTTGAATTGGTTACTTGAGCTCGAAGGCAACAAGAGAGAAAAAGGCGTTGACCATGTGACTATTTTCAAGTCCTACAGTGCAAGCAACGAATAATTGTCCTTCTCGTTAACTTTACTCTTTAGTGGAACATTGGAGCATCGACAAATCAAAACCTTAGAACACACCAAAAATCTCCAGAACAGAGGAAAGGAGTTAATAATGGAGCTCGAATTGGGATTAAAGATCACAAGAACGAGAGAAGATGTATCATCCTCGGTCCATTTTCGCTTCTCCAAAGACCCATTTGGTCCTCTGGTGCTTTCTCGAGAAACCGATTCAAGGTTCATCATCATCATTCATCTTAAAGGTCAAATATTTTTATTGCAGTTTTCTTGAATTTTGTCTCTTTTGTTTTTACTGTGCTCAACGAATGGGACAATTAGGGTTGATAGATTTAGGGTTAAGTGTTCTAATAGTTTATAAAAAACTGATAAGAGAATATTGATTTGGGGCAGGATTCAAAAAGGAAGGTATTGAAATTGATATAAACGAAGAGGGAAATCGGATTACCATAAGAGGAAGAAAACCTGTTGAAGAAATGGTTATGATTAGATGGATGGCATGGAGAAAAGAAGTGGAATTTAGGGTTTTTAAGAAAGCTTTTAGGATTCCTGATACTGTCGATTTAGACATGATTAAAGCGAGATTTGATGACGATGATGCGACTCTTACGATCACAATGCCGAAAAGAGTAAAGGGAATTTCTGGATTTAAGATTGAGGAGGAAGAAGAAGAAAGAGTGGAGTTTGGAGATGTGAGTGAAGCTGAGCATAAAGAGGAAACAGAGAAGGGAGAAGTTGAAGAGGAGAGTATAGAAAGACAGGGATCTGATGTTCACTCTGAGAAAGTTGAGACAGAGTTTCAGAAAGAAGAAGAGTTGGCTGATTCAAATAAAGAGAGTGAGGACAGTAGCTTAAGAAAGCCTCCGGACATTGATGGACGAGAACGTCATGAACAGACAAGACATGAGGAACAAGAAAATAACCAACAACTGGTTCAAGCAGAGAGTGAAAGTGGTGATATTGGATCCAGAGCATTTGAAGAGATTGAAGAACAAGATCCTGATATTCTAGACAGAACAAGTAAAAGTAGAGAAATGGAAAATAAAATGACTAATGGTGATAGTGATGGCTTGAGAAAGTGTCAAGGGATTGAAGAACCAGAGAGACACAATGAAGAAAGCAAGATTTCAGAAATGGTGGAAGGAGAAACAGGTCATGAGAAGAAAAAAGTTGTAAAGATGGAGATGAGAAATAGGGATGTCAAAGAAGAGGTTGATGGGAAAATGGGAGAAAGATTCAGACCAAACATTGATAGACCACAAGTAGTTGGTGAAGATGATATTGCAGAAACTGAGACAAAAGCTGATGAGGTTGACAAGATACATGAGCTGGTTGAGAAGAAAGAAGAGGAAGGGGAAAAAGCTAAGGTGAGAAGACAAAGTGAAGACAGAAACTTAAGAAAGCTTCAAGAGAATGAAGAACAACATTCTAAGGGACAAAAGCGACACAGCAAAGAAAAAAAGATGAAAGAATTGGTGGAAGAGAAAACTCCAGAGGCAGAGACAAATACAAGGAATGATATTCTGAAACCAGGCCAGGAGATTGAAGTACCAGAGGTGGATACGTTAGGGAAAACAAGTGATGAAGGAACGGAGAAGCAGAACATTGTAAAGAAGGAAATAAAAAATGGAGATGCCAAAGAAGAAATTGATGCGAAAATGGGTGAAATATCCGCATCAAACACTGCTATGAAATCTCAGGATTTTGAATCTGATAAACTAGAATCAAATGAGGTAGACAAGATACAAAAATTGGTTGAGAAGAAAGACAAGCAAGAGGAAAATGATAAGGTTGGAGCACAAAGTGAAGACAGTAGCATAACAGAGCTTCAGGAGAATCGAGAACAACAGATTCAGGGACATAAGCGACATGGCAAAGAAGAAAAGATCAGAGAATTGGTGGACGAGCAAATTCCAGAGGCAGAGACAAATATAGGGAATGATGTTCTGAAACCAGTTCAGGGGAGAAGTGAGGAGAAACACAATATACAAGAACTTTTCCAAGAGAAAACAAAGAATCAGCCAGAAAAGTACAAAGAAAAAATTATGGAGAGAGGGAGAAATACTAATGATGCTGGCACAAGAAAGGTTCAAGAGATTATTAGACAGCAAGACTTGGACGAACCAGCAAGATCCGGCAAAGAAAGCAAGACCCGAGAATCGGTGAAAAGCAAAACAAATGCTGAAGAGAAAGTAGAGAAAGAAATTGAAGGAACGGCAAAAAAGGAGCTAGAATCAGATAGACCAAATATACTCGCTGAAAAGATCCAAGAACTAATTGAAGAGAAGACCAAGTTTTCAAAAAACGGAAAAGCTAAGAGTGACAAAGAAACTGCAGAGAAGAAAACAGAATTTGGTGATGATGATGATATTTCAAAAAAAGCTAGAGATGTTGAACAACAAGATTCAGATGCAATGAAGGGACAAGAAGAAAAAGAAATGATTCAAGAATTATTGCTGGAAGAAACAGTATGTGATGGCGGTAAAGGAATCATCGCAGTGGCGGAGACAAAAGCTGAGAATGATAAGTCAAAAAGAGTTACAGAGATTGAAGAACAACAATTTCAGAAACTTAAAGGAGGAGAAGTAAGTGGTCGTGGAGAAGCTGACAATGTGGAAAATAAGAAGAAAACAACAGTGGCAGAGAAAAGAATCAGGGATAGCACAAGAGAAGCTCAAGATATTGAGAAAAATGATTCAGACGCATCTGGAAAATATATTGAAGAAACCACGATCCAAGAACTCGGTGAAAACAGAGGAATTTATCGAAATGAAAATGAAGAAGAGAAGAAGGACGAAACTGATAGGCCGAATAAGATAACAGGTACAATAAAACAAGAATTGGTAAGTCTGAACAGCCAATTGGAGCAAGAAAATGTTGAAGATGGAGAAAAGACTCAAGAACTGGTGGAAGATCAAATAAAGGATTGCGAAGAAGAAGAGGGCAGTGAAGAATCAAAGATCAAAACGGAGGATGATGTTGTAAGAAAGGTTCAAGGTATTAAAGAAGAGGAGTTGTATGAACCAAAAAGGGAACCTGTAAGCAAGATTAAAGAATTGGTAGAAGAGAAAACAGATGATTATGAAAAACAAGAAGAGAATGAAATTGCAGAGTCGGAGATAGAAGCTGAATGTGGTAGCTTAAGAAAGGTAGACGGTAGTGAAGAACAGGAGTTGCATGAACCAAAGATAAACAAGGAACGCGATAAGACCCGAATAACTGGGGCAGAGGAACCAAGTGGTCAAGAGAAAGAGGAAAAGGAGAAGACAAGAGCAGAGTTAGAGAAAGAACTACCTGGCAGGCTAGAGAGTCATGACAAACGATACAAAACTCAAGAACTAGTGGAAGCGAGACATAAGGAAAGTAAAGAAGAAGAACAAAATGAAAATATGACGGCCGAGGCAGAACTGGAAACTGAAAGAGAGAGCTCCAAAAAGGTTCAAGAGATTGAACAACAGAAAGATGAAGGACTGAAGGAGAATGAGATTGTGGATAAGAAGACAAAAACTAAAGATGGTAGCTTGAGAAACGTTCAAGATGATGAAGATCCAGAATTGACTAAACCTTATAAGAGACAAAAAGAAGACATGATCCAGGAACTAGTGGAAATGGGATCAAATGATTACAGAGAAAAAGCCAAGAAACAAGATGAGAACGTCTTAAGAAGCCAAGAGGATTTAGATGAATTTGAGAGACACTGTGAGCAAAACAACATTCCTAAATTGGCGGAAGAAGAAAAACTCGAGAACATTGCTGAGCTAGAGGGAAAAATGGAAGATGACAGTTCAACCAAGTTTCATGAGTTTGAAGAACGAAAATCATATGAAGATTGGACACACGAGGAGCGAGAAAAGAAAAAAGATTTAGTTAAAGAAGAAGCAACTGATCTTAAATATAAACACACTGGCGGAGAAGACCATATTGACCATAGAGAAGAACAGCAGGAAGAAAGAGTTATTGCCAATGCAGAACTGAAAACTGAGGAAGGTAGCTCAAAAAAGGTCCGAGAGATTGAAAAACAGGAATATGATGAACTGCAGAGATCTAAGGTACAAGAAAAGATGCAAGAAACAGAGGAAAAAGAGAAAACTAGAGCAATGGAGGAGAATGAGACTGTGAAGAGAAGTAAACAAACTAAAGAAGGTAGCTTGGGAAAGCTTCGAGAAGGTGAAGATCCAGAATTGGGTAGACATGAGAGACGTGTGGAAGAAGATATGATCCAGGAGTTAGTAGAAGGGAACATGGAGAACATTTCTGAGCCAGGTGGAAAAATGAAAGGTGATAGTTCAGACATATTTCATGAGTTTCAAAAACAAAAAGCATATGAAGATTATAGAGAAGAAGAGGAATGTGAAGAGACCGGAAATTTAGTTAAAGAGAAAGCAACTGATCTTAAAGATAAACACACAGGAGGAGAAGAAGAAACTGCACATACTAAGACCAAAGCTGAGGATGAGATTAACGAAAAGGTAGGGGAGAATAAAGAACCAGAATCGGAGAAACAGAAGCGATACGAGAAATTGGACAAGTTAGTACTAAAAGAGGGTGCAACCGATCGCGAAAAAGAAGAAGGAAATCTCTTTGAGGATTTTACAACAAAGATTCAAGAAACCAAAAAAGAAGAGTCACATGAATTGGAGATGCGAGAGAAACAACAAGACATAGTGCCAGGTTTTATGGAAGATGAAACAGGGGATCAAGAAGATGAAGAGGCAGAGGAAGCTGCAGCTGTAGTGGCAAGCAATGAGAACGGAAATTCAAATAAAGTTCAAACGATTAAAGAACACAAGAAACAAAACATGATCCCTGAAACAAGTGATACTGAAGTGAAGGAGACAAAACAAGAGGTTCCCAACTTAAGAAATGTCCAAGAGGCAAAAGAGCTAGAATCACATTTCCAAGAACATGAAGGAAAAACAGAGAATAGCAAAGATGACGAAGGAAGCAAGGGAGATGAAGGAAAACAAGGAAAGACTGTTGAGACTATGTCACTCGAAAGGTTCAAGACAAAAAGTGAAATGGTAAGAAAGATTCAAGAGACCAAAGGGGAAAAATCAAATGAAAAGAAAAATCACGAACGGAAAGGCAAGATCGAAGAACCAGAGAGGAAAGAATCGAGTAATCATGAGGTAAAGCTGGCGACTGAAGATGATAGCCTTAGAATAGGTCAAGAGTTTTTGGAAAATGAGTCAAATATGTCAAAGAGAGGGTCACTAGAACAAGATAGAATCCAAGAACCGAAGGAGGCGGAGACCAAAATCGACGATGGTAAATCAAGAAAACTTGAAATGTCTAAATTGCTGGAATTGGATGAATCAGAAGAACAGAAGAACAAGATCCAGAAATCAATGGAAGAGAAATCAAATGCTCCTGAAATAGAGAAAGAAGGAAATGAGAAAATTGCAGAAGAGGAGATGCAATGTAAGATTCATGGTAGAGTTAAGGACAAAGAGGTTAAAGGACAAGAACTATATGAACTTCTAAAAAATAGAGAACATGAGAAGATCCCAGAATATCATAGAGAAGAAGAAAAGGGAATGGAGCAGAGAGATATTGAAGAGATGAAGAGAGCAGCTGAGGTTGTTAGCTCAAGAGAGTTTCAAGATGTTGAAGAAAAAGGATCAGATCAGCCAAAAAGATATGCAGAACAAGAAAAAATCCGAGAACGAATGACTGAGGAGGAGGGAAAAGAAGAATATCATATAAAACAAGGAGATCAGAACGAGAAGGCAAAGAGAATTCTGCAGGTGGAGTCGAAAGCTAATGATGATAGCTCAAAAAAGAATGAGACTGGAGGACAGGAAACAACGGCATTGAGAGGAGAAAATCATCAGAGGAAAGAAGAGACAATAGATGAATGTGATAGCTCAAGGAAGATTCACGGACACGAAGAAAAACGAAAGATGAGCGAAAAACTTGCTGAAAAAGAAACAAGCGATGATGATAAAGAAGCAAAAGAAGGAAACAGGGCAGGGGTAGTATGGAGAGAGGGAGAGCCAAAAATCAGGGATGATGGCTTTCGAAATGCAAGAGAGATTGACGAACAAGAAAAAGAACAAGACAAGAAGCAATCATATGTGGAAGATGACATAAGTGGTAAAGCAAAAGAGAAGAAGAATCAAGAGACAGAGAGGATATATGATAGGTCAGGAAATAAAGCTCAAGAAATTGAAAAACAAGAGTCTCATGAACAAAAGAGAAGTGAGGAAGAGGTTTTTTGGAGAGCAGATACAAATGATGAATATGATAGCTCAAGGAAGATTCACGAACATGGAGAACGAAAGTCAGATCAAATGGGCGGAAAACTTGCAGAAGAGGAAACAAGCCATGATAAAGAAGCCAAGGAAGGAAACAAAGCAGAGTCAGAATTGGGAGAGGTTGAGAAAAAATTTGGAAAGGTAAGAGAAATTGAAGAAAAAGAACAAGACAAGAAGCAATCATTGGAAACAGACATAAGTGGAAAAGAAAAAGAGAATAAGAATCAAGAGATAAAGGCTAGAGATGATAGCTCAGGAAAGAAGATTCAAGAAAATGAGAAACAAGAGTCTCATGAGCAAAAGAGAAATGAGGAACAAGACAAGAAGAACCTGGGACTTGTGGAGAAGAAAAAAGAAGAGGATGAAACTGCAGAGGCAGAGGTGCCAAGAAACTTGAAGGGGATTGAAAACCGAGAATCAACTAAAGTGGTGGAAAAACATGAACACCGAGATAACATCAAAGAATTGGTGGAAGAGAGAATGAACAATCACAAAGGAGAAGACAAGAAGAGCGTGATTACGCAGGTCTTAGCAAAAGCTAAAGAAGGTGAATCAAAAGTACCTGAAGGACTGAGGAAACAAGACAAAAACATGGAACAAAGATTAAGGGATAATCTTAAAGATGAAGAAACAAAACGCAAGGATAATGAAACAAGAAAGTTTCATCGGATAAAAGAAAAAGAGACAAGTGAACAAGAGATACTTAAAGAACATGGAAGGATCAAAGAATTGGTTGAAGACAGGACACATTTTTGCATAGAAAAAGAGAACAGAGCAACTGAATTAGAAGATGGTAGCTCGAAAATGATTCAAGAGAGAGAGAAAGAAGAATCAATTAAACCAGAAAATGATGAGAACAAGACCCAAGAACCAGTGGATATGGAAACAAGTGAAGATGACGAAGAAGAATTAGAAATTGAACTTGAAGACGAAGAAGAAGACTGGGAAGCTGAAGTTATTCAAGAGACAGATTCAGATGAAGATAATGATAAAATTAGACAAATAAAAAGAATCAGATTAGGATTCAGGTTAGTCGGGGGATCAACATTGTTTATGTCACTTATAGTCATCGTTATTAGTATCATTCGTTCCAAGAGAAAAATAAGATGTTACAAGTTCTAACCAAAGCACAATACAATATCATCTTTTTTATTCATTCCATGAAATCAAAATCCATACAACTTTTATTACCATGAGATGGTTCACGCTCTTTATATATAGAACACAAGAAGAAACATAATCTTACAACTTTAAGCCTGTTTCGTTAACTCGATGACCCACAAATGATATGCGCTGCATACAAAGTTGCAATGCGGAAAACCCGAGTTTGCAGCCATAGCTACATACTCGGCCCGCGACCTCTCTTTTCCTCCAGATAATTGTGTGAGCATCAACAGATCCATATCAAAGGCAATGTTGGATATCACATCATGATTATCTGCTTCATCCGGAGTAACTACTTCCATGACAATCACTTTCCCATTCTCCGGTAATGCTTTCCAACAATTCTTGAGAATCTTTTCACAGTCTTCATCAGTCCAGTCATGAAGTATACGCTGCAAAACATATAATGTAAGTAACAAAAAAACACTTGAGAGAAGTATTAACATGTTAGAACAGAGTAGGCTTTGTGGTTTGGTTCTTACTTTTAAGATGATAGCATCACCTTTTGGGACATCAACAAACATGTCTCCAGCCACATGTTCCACATTAGGATAAGAAGGAGCTTGTGTCAAAGCACAAGTTAGATCAAAATTGATACCCTTAATGTTTGGATACTTGGAAGTAACAAAACCAAGTGTGTCTCCAACTCCACCTCCTACATCAACCAACACATTAACTCCTTCGAAACCTCTATAAACTTGTAGAATCTTTTTCAAAACCCCGACAGAGAATCCGGTCCGGTTAAAGAGTTTGCTTAATCTCTCATCTTTGCTTATATAGTCAAAGAGTTTCAAACCACCGTTGGCACGGCCAAATGCAACTCCTCCTTCTAGCACCACATTTTTTAATTCTCCCCTGCAAAAAAACATCAATCTCCAAATTGTTGATATGTCAGTCTAATAATTGAAATCGAAAGAGAGAATCTTGAAAGAAAAAGTTACCATGTATTGAGGAAGACGCTATCGAGTGTGACAACAAGTTGAGAAGCAAGTGTTCCTAATTCTTCATCAACATTATCTTTCAAGAAATATCGACAAATCGGCTCGGCTTTGTAGACTCTCTTACCTTCTATAACTTGGCACTTGACCATGGAGTAGCTAGCGAGTAAACGAAGAATACGGTCCAACAGAGCCGGTGCTTCAGGGTTACTAGGTTTTGTGGGAAGCCGAGTAGCTATCTCAGAAGGTGTGAGGAAGGAACTGGCTCCGGTGACGTCAACACGAGCAGCTAAGTAGAGAGTGTCGATGACACCGAGCTCGATGGCAGCTTTGAAAACCATAGGGAAGGCTGCACAATTAGCTAGCCTAACCGCCGCTAAACCAAGCTCGGTTTCTTCATCTCCGGTTTGAGGAATTAGGTGTCCCATTTTTTGTGTGTTTGATCTTGCTTTCTTCTCTTTCAAGGCACTATTATATAGATCAAAAGATACAGAGAGTGAGGAGTTTTTGTGTCTCCTTCTTTTAAAGACGAAGCTTTGATAGTCTCACCATCTCTATAATCATTTTATTGTAATAATTTTGATGAAAAATATTATTATTTAATGGTGCATTATGAGTGGTTGGATAGTTGGCGTTTTCAAAGGCCTTCTTGAGTCACTGACTATCAAAAATTAGAAAAAATAATTGAACCACGTTAATCACGCACATATAGAAAGATTTCACGCATTTTCACAAAAGATTTTTACTTTCTCTCTCTTAAATTATTAGATGCATAAAGTTTTTCAATATTAATATGTTGTTTACATAAAAAAAAAAATCTCGTTCCAGCCGCTCTCCTGCCAATCTATATTTGTTTTTTTTAATTAATATTAAAATAGTTGAGATAAATAAGAAAAATGATAATCATATATTGGAAATAGAAAACATCTAACTTTTGGAAGGAAATTGTTTTTATAAAAAGAAATAGTAAACTATGCATAATATCTTTCGTAAATGAATCCAAAATTTTAAAAAAATCTTATAAATTCAAGCATTTCAACACTTAACAATTATCATCTTCGTAATTCACTTTCTTTGCTTTCCATACCACCATAATATCTCGATTATTTATTTTAATTATAAAGATATTAGTTTTTAAATTTTATATAAAAAATATAAAGTATACGAACTAATATCTTCTTTATTATGTTACAACATCTCCTACCTGTTTAAGACTCCGATTCTTCTCCAATATATGTCCGAACTCCAGCTTCAGTAGCTTTGTGTTAGACTGTCATTAGTCACTAACGTCACTGTATTTCATGTTCAACGGAGACGTCACATTGATTTTAAACCTTTTCTATTTACCAATTGATTGTATATATGGCTGTAAATGGCAACATTCATTTGGTGGAATCGGTTGAATTTATTATAGAATTGGTTTCAAAATTGACAATACATCATTTGGGTGTTGGTTTTCTGAGAAAGTAGAATTGGTTAAAAGAAGTAAATGGTGGCATAATTTGTGCAAAACTATTAAGAGGCTTGTGAGGAATTGGAAAAGAAAAAACTGGAGCATGGTAGGGATCGATCCAAATATATTAATATTTATATATGGATCGGCATTTATATATCTTGTGCAATTTCTTATGTTATCATGTAATTCTTGTTTTGAAATTATCGATACGGAATCCAAACAAGTGTTTTTAAAACAACCAAACAAAAACTTATGAACTAATCTTACAATATTATATTAATGAATTTAATTTATTTTCTACAATGTAATTAATTAACTAGTTAGTCCTTTTTTTGTTAAAAAATAACCAATTAGTCTAATTACAACAATATGTTTCGATCGATGCTGATCTCTTTCTTTCTGTTTTTTAATCTATCGACGTTTACCTGCCTCAACCAGTAAATCAATTCAAAAAATCTCTATGCAAGTATAGCCACTGATCCGTTGGGAGCTTTTTCTTACTGCCTTTTTAAGATCATATCGACCTCTGAGGCTCTGATGAACGATAAAGCTGGTGAAGTGAACGATTCATCATTTTTATCACATGTTATAGTGTTTATGCTAATGTTTGAATATCATCAACTTCTCAATATATAAATTCCATCTTCCTAAGAATAGTGATCTAGTCTGGAAACGTTCGATAAGTACAAGTGTACAGCAAGTTATTAGTTATCTCACAATATAAACCACCCACTGAAATTAGCGTCTTTGTAATGTACTAATGTGACTGACATTTTGAAAGTAAGGGAGAAAACGTGGACAATTTAAGTGGTAAGTATACCAAATTTTTTGGCTCTGGTTTTGGTATCGGACAAAATATGTTAAGTACATTGACTTGTCACTGACACTTACACGTGAGAACTATTCGCATCATTTACTATTTTTTGTCCCTACCTTTTCCTGCACAAATATTATGATAATCTTTTTAACAAGTGTTGTGAATTGTGATACGGATCCTAATTTATAAAAAAAAAATCTAATATATAAAATTTAAGTTATATCACGAATTATTTTGTCATGTATATAAAATCATATAACTAATCAATTAAAAAAAATAGCTGTATGACTTCCTCACAATTTTGCTTAAAACTTTCCCGTAGCGACTCTGTTTTCTTTCTGCAAGAGCTTTTTCTATAACCGAATGGGCTTGTCTAAGGGCTTGTGTATAGCTAATTCTCCAAGCCCATATCTTCAACATCTGACAAGCCCGTCTGTAACGCTTAAACAGCCCAGTCTTAAACCAGCTCAATTCCAATAACCGGATACCAAACCGAACCCAAGAGGCAAGAACCATCTGAAAGACTGAAACCCAAAAAAGTGTTTTCTCAAATAATAATAAAGTACCCTTAAAAAGTTAAAACAATCACATAAACGTAATATGATGCAATTTATTTTATCTAGAGAACTCATATTTGAATCATCTAACTAAGACACTTCAAACAAATTACTATATTTCTTTAAAGACAAACCACATTTTCTCGGTGTTATATACTTAGGAGCAGAGAGTTGCTATTTGCTACCTCCGTTCAATGGCGATACATGTTATCAAGGTCGTCCGAGTCAGCCCCGCCACAGACATCACACCACTCTATTCTTGACGGTAAAACGTCAACGATGTTTATCAAATCATGGGCTCATCTTTGCAGATTACAAGAAGAAGCCATGGAGTTTCCTCTTTTATTACCGAATTATATGACTCCAAGTTTCGATCGTACGGTCATCAATGTTCCACGTGGACTTGAGTCAAAGATGATGGAATTATTGTTGTCTCTCTCAGAGGACAGCGACAAACCGCCAATCACTTAAGTATTGAATGGGCTCAATGTCTTAACGAACTTCCAAGATTGGGTGATGGGCTCAATGGAAAGAGTTTTGGTTTATCGGCCCATTATTAAGCTTTGGTTTTAATCGGCCCATTCTTCTGAGGCCAATTTTTGTGTGAGTTTGACAAGAAGTCAGGGACAGAGATAGTCTATAATTTTTTTTCTTTTTTTCAGTCTATAATTTGGTGTCTCAATTTTGAATCTTCTAATCATTTTGGCTGTCCAAAAGTAAAAATTTAATAAATAATTTGCCTCAACAAAAAATGATTTGTTTTAAAATATTTTGTTTTCATTTATTCAAGAATATACGTAAGAGAAAGAATATATATATATATATTTTTTTCTTTTCGTGATAATGGAAGACAAAACGAGACAACACGTAGTAATTACATTAAAAGATGAAGCCTTGAAATGGAAAGCATGAACCGTCAAATCTTAAGCCTCCACTATACAGGTTGTTCCATACAGAAGTCATGTTCCTATTTCTTGGTTTTTAAAGATAAAATAAAGTTTGATGAAACATTGAAACCTTTCCTCAATCAAGTGATAATACTAACTTAAGGATTTCACGGCAATTAAATCAATCGATAATATAAAATGAAATTAGGGATTATATCGCAATCTTTCAAAAAATTACGTAGATATTTGTACTCGTGTTTATCTAAAAAATCTTAATTTATTTGTATGAAAACTAGCAATTGTTTATTTCAATTAAAATACATTTAAATTAGTCATTTACACAAGCATGCATAATAAAATGAAAAAAATAACCCTAGCTAACTAAAAGGACGATGGTTGTATATACAACATTTACTATATATGTCTTACAAGAAAGAAGAAACTGTGTGTCTACCGTGTCTACTGTGTTCCAACACATGTTAGTTATCTACTATATTATTTAGTTTTAGCAATGTTAATCGTTGTGGCAAGGTGAATACATGTGTACGTAGGCGAGTACGTATGCATGTTTATTGGGTGATATACATATAAAACTTTCTGTTATCATAAAAAAACTATTTGGAGAGATAGAGACTGCATTAAATTTGGCATGAATCGAGTGGTGGTGTATGTACAAGTGTGGTGATACGTGGGTGATGATGGTGAAGGATGGTGCTCTTCGTGTGGCAACCACACTCTTCCTCTTTCTTTACTTATCAATCTCTTTCCATTATTTTTTCTCACTATAATTTTCCCAGTGCTTTCCAATTCATCAATCCATTTCTTTAATATATATTTATTATTTTATATTTCACGAAACCCTACTTTTACTTTGTTCACTATCTATTTGTTGGTTGGGTTTTTCACTTTCAAACGGATATTATTGATCGTTGTGATCTTCAAGGGATATAAGAATATGTCGTGTGAATAAACATCTGATTTGGTTTTTATAATAAAATAAATGAAACGCTTTTAAGTTGTAACAATTTAAACCAACCATACAATTTAACTGCATTTCGAGTACTATATATGGTTGAAACAACTAACACAGAGCAAAACAACTCCCCAAATAATTTTGGTTAAATTATACTAAAATCTAAAATTATTGATAACTTTTCTATTCAATATAATATTACATATTGTGATATATATATATATATACCATTCAAATGTATATATAACTTTTGGTCAAACACTACTAAAATCTAAAATTATTGATAACTTTTGGGTCAAACATTACTAAAATCTAAATTTAGATGAATAGTGTGATTGATCTTTCCTTCTATTTCTCCTTTTTTGGTTCTTTTCTTTGTCGAGAAAAAAGAAGGTGTATATAACTACCAAAAATAACGAGAAAGTAAAGAGAAAACAAAATTATTCAATTCTAACCAGGAAAAAGAAAGCTGATTGATAAATGCTACCACAAATTTCGTGTGATAGAATATATGAGAAATTTTAATTTAATGGAAAAAAGTCAAAATTAATATGTTAACATTTGTAAAAATTATATGCTGAGAGCCTAAGACTGATACCTTAAATACCTTAATATGTACACTAGCCTCCATATATAAAATAATCTACCTTAAGATATTACTTTATAAAACATACATTATTAATATTACAGAATCAGTAAGTATTAATGGATCAAGTTGAAATAGATATTCTCAATTAAATTGGGTTAAAGGTTGCGTATAGTAATGGATCAAGTTGAAAATTCCTTTTTTCCTTTATATGTGTTCTGTTCTTCTTTTTCCCTAGAAGACATGCATGCCTTTGATCATGAAGAGGACAACAGCTTCATGTAACTGCCTTTTTTGGCCTCACTAATGATTTTTCTTTTAGTTATTATATTATATAAAAATGGTGAGAAACACACATAATGTGGTTTTCACATCACTTTTATCTTATATATCTGTAATTGTATGTTTTGTTTCTTTCTAATTTAATTCTCGAACCGAGCTACTGCTATTTTTTATTTTAAGAATGTAAATATCATTAGAAAATCAAAAGTGTTAAGTTATTTCATGATGCATAACTTAAAGATGGGATGAAACTATTAAATCGTTCCGTATGTCCTAAGAAACCTTTTCTACAAAATTTGTGGAAACTTTGTGACAGTATTACGAAGAATAATTAATGTTGTTACAATTTTTTTTACTAATATAGAGAAAATTTAGTATTTTAGAGGGAGAAAATAATTGAGATGGACTTATCATGAGGAAAAAAACTTTGTTGCAAATTTCCGTCACAAATATGAAAATTGTGTGTCGTTATGCACCGACTGCAAACAAAAAAATAATCTTTTGAAATTTGAAGTTAACAAATTAATGGCCAAAAAAGAAAAACAATTAGTGGTGAATCGATGATAATGCTCCACATATTGTCTCCACGCACCAAGCCAAAAAGTAAACACAAAAATCTCCATAAATAGAACTGAGCCTAGGCGTGTGTTCTCCACACTTACTCGATTCTCTATATATCTCAACAATACAAAACATCACAAAGAAACAATGGATCAATTAGGTAGTAACACGAACATGGACATAGAGAAGGAATCAACAACCTTCGATTACTCCAAGCGTGCCCAATGGCTACGCGCCGCCGTGCTTGGAGCCAACGACGGTCTTGTCTCCACCGCATCGTTGATGATGGGAGTCGGCGCCGTGAAGCATGACGTCAAGGCAATGATTCTCTCCGGATTCGCAGGGATGGTGGCAGGAGCTTGTAGTATGGCCATCGGAGAGTTCGTCTCCGTTTACTCTCAGTACGATATAGAGGTGGCTCAGATGGAGAGAGACAGTGTGGAGATAGAGAAAGAGAAGCTTCCTAGTCCGATACAAGCGGCTGCTGCATCCGCTCTTGCGTTTTCGGCAGGTGCGATTGTGCCGCTTTTGGCGGCTGCTTTTGTAAAAGAGTATAAAATGAGGATCATTGCGGTTGTGGTGGCGGTTACGGTGGCGCTTATGGTTTTTGGGTGGTTAGGAGCGGCACTAGGGAAAGCACCAGCGGTTAGGTCATCGGCTAGGGTTTTGTTTGGAGGGTGGTTAGCTATGGCGGTTACGTTTGGGTTGACTAAGCTTATTGGGTTATATGGATTGTGAATCGTTTGTGATGGTCTGATGGATGACATCTTTTTATAAGATCTTAATGCATGTAACTGTTGCCGATTCTATACTGGATTTCGGTTGGAAATACATAAAACTTAACAGTATGTTTACGGTACGTGAACAAACTCTTTTACTTCAAATGATGTTCATGCCAACAAAGGTTATTAAACCTAAGCGATTAATTATGTTTTAGTTTTAAAGATTTCAACGTTTAAGTCAATAGAACTTTTCATGAAAAAATAATGTTTCCTACAAAATAAAAGAGAACTAGCAACATTTGAGATTAATTATGATCACAATATTTTTTGTTAATTATTTAATTATTTTGTTAATATTATGATCACAATATTGGATCTTGAATTATCAATTTATTATATGCTACTCTACTTAATGCAAACATGGAAAGAAAAACAAAATAGTACTAGTAGTCATTTAGCGTTTCTGAAACCAATTAAATATTTACGAATGGACGAAAAAATGATGTTTCGAAGAAACAAAGTATCATAATACATAGAGTACGTAAAGCAATGGACCAGAGTTTAATACATATCATAAGTTCATAACAATGAACAATTGAACAATGAACATAACATATCAATGATCTCGGCAAAACATTCATAAAGTATAAAAGAGAGAGCTACTTTAAAACTCTTGTCGTATACAACAATCTTATGTATTATATATTTGCATTCATGCTTTTCACATCTTCATAAAAAGAGGAGCAGCTTGCTTTTAGTTACACATCCCATATTATTACGAAATAAAAAAATATTTTCTCAATAAAAAAAAATCTATTAATAAAAAAAAAAATGTTTTAAAAGTATATATTTTGATGAACGAAGATGAGCTTTCACCAAAACTTCATTACTGTAACTTGATATTAGATGTGATTTTTCATTTTTGTAACTATTTTCCTAAAACGGAAAACTCAAGATTGAACACATAGACATAGAGAATATAGTTAGACAAAAACATTTATTCGAATATTTTCCTTGTCAACAAAAATGGAAATAAAGTAAAAAAAAAAGGCATATAAAGATATGTGGTATTATCTATCTCAAGACTCAAGGCTCTTCTTTCCCCTGCAATTTGCCAGCATGAAGGTTCATGAACCAATTATTCCGCACTTTTCAGGGATAAAGAACAAAAAAAAGAAGCAAAAACAAAACTCTCTCTTGTCTTTCTCTCAAATCTTCTGTGAATGCCTCAGTTAGAAAGCAGAACGACGAATCTGTTTGTTCTGCATCGACGCAGACACGGTATAACAAGGCATGTGAGAGTTGTTTCAAGCAACAAAGTAGACATTTGAATGTTCTACTGTATCTTGAAGATGTTCTTCAGTTTCACAACTAGCTTCCATTCTTCCAACGATAATTCATCCTGCAGATTAGTTTGGGTTTTTGATTTAAATCAATTTTTCTATCAAAATGATGATTTGGAAGAGGAAACAACTTCTTCTCCACTTACCCGGTAGTTAGTTTTGAGTATGTCGATAGATCTCCTCGATATGTGACTCACAAGCTCATCTTCCATATCAAAGTGCCTTCCAAACATCTTCTGTTCTTCAGCATTCGAACCAACAATCTGTATACCAAAGAAAGCATCGATTACAAGGTGAATGCGTGAAGCTGAAACTACAAGAACCATAACTCTTTTCTTCTCTGTAAACAAAAGATTTGCAAGCTTGTTGAAGAGAATGATCTCATTATTACCTTTATCGCCACCTTGTTGCCCTTCTTTGCATAGTCAACAGGCTTGTGGTTGTTTTCAATAGAGGCAATGCGGCCAATATCGATGAACTCTCTGCCAGGGACGCAAATTGGGGTTCCAATCTAAAGACAAACAAGACAGATAAGAAAGTGTGAACCCTAGGACTTGTGTCGACATGTGTGAGAGCTACACAGAATGCAGGAAATTAAAAACATAGGATACCTTAAGTATACCCTCGACGACATCAACTCCGAGGACTATTGGGTCTTTCTTATTGAACACACAGTTAGGTAAAATCTGAAGGACACATGGGAAGACTGCCTCATCAGCTGATTCCTTCTTTTTCTCCTCTTTGATATTTTCAATGTAAGCCTTAAACTGATCGAATAAATGATAGATGATATCAGCGCAGAAAATTTTAACTCCCATTTCGTCTGCAAGTTCACGAGCTTCTGTAGTCACTTTCACATCAAAAGCCAAAATTGTAGCATATTCCTTTTTCTTCTCGAGCATCACTCCCGCCTTCATTATATCCTTCTTATGCACAGGCCCTATGCCAATACCACTGACAGGTATCTTTACAGCTGGGGACTTCAAGAATTCAAGCAATGCTTCTAATGACCCTAATGTAGACGCTTGTACATAAACTCCTTCACCACTTTTGTCAATCCTGCTCAAAACCGATTCCATATCTTCCATAGCCGACTCCTTAATTGCCTCGATGTCATCATCAGGTCCAACCACATGCAAGGCAGTACCAGCAATTGCGTGTTCAAGGCCCTTTTAAACACAAACCAAAATTGGGAAACAATATTCAGTATGTGATCCAACATCAGTAAAATTAAAACCAAAGGTTAGCAATTAAGATTATTGTAGAGCCAGTCCAAGCACCTGGGCAGTAATCTTGATACCCTGTGCAGCCTTTATTTCTTTGTAATGCAGATAAGTACCCTGAAACATCAGACCAGGAATTCTCATTGTGTATAGAAAAAGAAGATAGGAAGCGATTTGCATGAACCATATTTCTGGAGGAATAACAGTAACAAGACATATGAAGCGGAAATCTATAAGTACCTTCACCCGTAACTCCTTCATTGGATGAGGAGTCAGTAATGCTCTAATCGTTGTGACAATAGGTCCCTGAAATATGAAGAAGAATAAGATCACTTTTCTAAGCTCTATGTATACACAGTGCATTACTTGTTTGGGTTTGGATCATAAGTTTTTACTTGCCTGTAGCCCACAAACGACAATTTGATCACCTTCATGGAGTTCACCGTTTACCAACACAACATCAATTGTTGTACCATGGCCTTCAATAACTTTGACCTCAAGGACAGTACACTGTTCAACAATTTCAAGAAAGGATTAGAATCCTCATACGAAAGTATTGAAGAACCAAGTGTTACCTAAAAGATAAAGGAGAGAGACCTGCACTTCGTCAACATATGTAAGTTTCTCAACCATTGATTTCTGAGCCCATTGAACCAATAACAGCAAGAGATCTGGGACCCCTTCCCCGCTGCAATATCAAGAACCAAGGTTACCCAGATATTTAGGATTGATAACTTGTCTGTTACGCTGTAAATTACAAACAGTAAACAGAGATTCATACCTAATAGCACTAGTAGGAACAATACTGAAAGTTTCTCCCATTTCTTTATTCTTGTAATAAAGCTCGGTGTTGAGTCCTTGCTTCTGGAACTGGTTTTTAATCTGGAATACCAATGAAACAACATAATGAACAACATGTACACAAAGATAGCTCAAACCATAAATAAGAAACTCTAGACGTATAACTTACATCAGTCAGCCTCATTTTAAATTCATTTGTAACATCTTTTTCTTGCTGCTTCATTGCCTTCACGATAGGAGCATTCTTGCATGTTTTCCATCCATATAGCCTATCCACCTGGAAGGTGAAGGTTTTATTTTCCATAGAAGTATTTGCAACAGAGAAAAAAAATCCCATCCTAGCAGAATGACAAGCAGTCTTACCTTATTCAATGCAATAATGAACTCTGTATTCCTCATCCTCAAAAGATTTAGAGATTCTATGGTTTGTGGCTCTAACCCATGCATTATGTCAACCACCAAAATCGCAAGGTCACACAAACTTGAACCTCTTGACCGCAGATTCGTGAAGGACTCGTGACCAGGTGTATCAATAACCAATAGACCTGGCACCTTGAGTTTTGCATCGGCTTTCAGTTCCCTGGTCCTCTCTCGGATGTTCTCCGCTGGGAAATATGTTGCACCAATCTGCTGAGTAATACCTCCAGCCTCGCCTTCCTGTACATTGGTTCCTCTGATGCAATCCAACAGCTTTGTTTTACCAGTATCGACATGACCCATGATGCAGCAAATGGGAGAGCGGAGATTTTCTTCACCCTCTATAGATTCACTTGGAGCTAAGCCTTTACCCTTCTTAGAGGCATCTTTTGCTCGGGTAGCACGTTTTGTCCGTGTAGCATCTTCCACTTCAGGCGTAGCTTTTGCGGCAGCTATTATTGGCTTGCCTGTATCTGCTGGTTTAGCTGTTGGTTTTTCAGCTTCAGGTTCTGTGTAGAAATGCAAAAGATTAGACAAAAATCAGACAATAGATGGAACACTAGGAAGAACAAAGAACTAAATTTCATACTAACCTGAATCATGCGCCTTTGATATGGCATCCTTTAATTCTTTCTTAACCACAGGCTGAGCTTCTTCCTCTTCGTCATCAAAATCACCTTTAAGGTTAAGATCAACAGTATCCCAGCTTTTCGCATCCCACTCATCTTCTTCGTCATCTTCTTCAACCCCATTCTCCTGAGCTACATCAGCAGGTCCTGAATTTTCGTCTGTGTTTACTGACTCAATTAAATCAACCTTTCCAGTGTCTGTTAAACTCACTTCACCTAAAGTATCTGGTTCATCTGCTTGATTCTCTTTTGGCTCTACCTCATCTTCCCCCTGAACAGAAGTGTCAATGCCTTTCTGGCGAGCTGATTTTTTCTTGTTGGCATAAATGGGACGCTTTGAGGAAGTAGCATCACCATCATTATCTGCAACAGGAAGACCTCCACCAGCAGCCAGTAGCTGGTTCTTAAAAGCCTCCCTCTTTTGAGCTTCACTCTTTTGCTTTGCTGTTAAAAGCTTGCCCTCTTGCTTCTTTCTCAACAGTTTCTCCTTTTCCTTTTCCTTTCTCTTACGCTTGGCCTCCTCAGCTTGAGCCTCAAGCTCTTCCTGCCTGCGGCGCTCCGCTTCCTCCTTCCTCAATTTTTCTTCTTCTTCCTTCTTTTTTCTCTCTTCGGCTTCTTGCCGCCTTGCAAGAGCCTCTTGCATCTCTCTAACATGTTTAGGAATTTTCTTCTCTACTGCTTTACCCTTTGCATCCTTCTTCTTCGGCTGTAGTGGCTCAGTTACTGATTCTTCTTGTTTTTCCTCCTTAGCCTCTACAGAAGAGGTTGCTGCTGCAGCAGCTGCTGCTTTTTTTTCCTTCTCTTTCTCTTTCTTCTTTTTCTTTTTCTTCGCTGCAGCAGTCTCAACAGTCTCTTCTTCTCCTTCCTTCTCACCAGCATTATCTACAGGTGCAACTGGCCCAGGCTGAGCTTGAACTGTCTCTTCTTCGGGCGTCGATGAAGCAGCAGGGGTCACTCCAAGTGCTGCAAGAACTTTGTCCAAATCTTCCTCTTCCTCTACTGTCCTTCCACTCTTGTTATTCTTCTTCTTTTTCTTACTCTTTCCAGTATCTACAACCTCCGCACTCTTAGTATCAGAAGTTTTAGTTTCGTCAACTGTGTCATCATCACCTAATGAGGCCAAAACACTGCCGCCCTTCTTTTTAGAAGATTTCTTCTTACCTGAAAACGTTATTTCAGGGATCTCTTCATCTTCAATTGTATTTTCGTCGGCTTCATCAAGTGCATCAAAAGCTGAAGCCGCAAATGAATTACCACCTTTTTTACCCTTGTTAGACGCATGCTTCTTACCTGTAAAACTTATAACTGGCTCATCATCTTTGTCACCATCAGATTCATTATCCTCAGCTTCCTCCTTATTATCTTCATCATCAAGCAAGGCAAAGCTAACAGAGCCACCACCGCCCTTTTTACCTTTCGACTTCTTCTTCCCAACAAAAGCAATCTCTGGAACATCGTTTTTCTCCCCCGCAGCAGAAAACTTATCATCGTCGTCATCATCCTGCTGCGTACCCTTCTTATTCCCTTTCTTACCCTTCTTCTTCCCAGTGATAACAACCACCTTCTCTTCCTCAACTTTAGACTCCTCAGACAGCTCTGTACCTATTGAGTACTCATCGTCATCAATTTGAGCACCTTTCTTCTTAGATTTAGTAGCACCAACGAGAGATGACGCAGGTGGTTGCTGCTCAGCATCTCCACCTCGAGCATTCGGCTTCTTCCGACCCATTGGAAAATTTCAGGGCCGGTTCCTAATTCTTCCGACTAATCAATCAATCAATCCAGGTGAAATTTACTACAATTCGAATGGGAACAAAATTAGGTTTTCTGAGATCGGCACAACAAAATCCTTAGTAAACGAAACCACAAGAGAGACGAGGAAGCGACTGTGGCTAAGAGGAAAGAATCGAAGAAACTTACCTTATCTCGGAGATGACTTAATCGATAGGCTGAGCGAGGTTTAGAGAGATAGAGCGCGGCGCGGAGATAGAGAGAGAGAGTAGAGAAACAAGAAAAAGCTTGGCTTTTGTTCTTTGAGAAACCGGCGTGAAGCTTCCTAGGGTTGATAGATTACCGATTGTTATTTTTTCCGTTTTCTTTCTTGACACTGTTTGCTTTGGTTCTTTTTTTCTTTCTTTTTTTTGTTTGTCGAAGGAATTTCATATTTTTATTGACAATTTCAACAAAGGGCCTAGGCCCAAACACAAATGGATACCAAAATCAAAGACTGAAAAAATAATTAAGAATAAAAAGCCCAGCCCAAAGAAATTAGGGCAATCATTTTCATAATATTGACATAAATATACGAATTTACATTATTTAGAAAATGATACAAAGTCTAAATCAATAACAGCTGATACTAATCAAAAATTAAACATCGGTTGTAAAAAGTGACGTAAATGTTTACTAAATTTGTCAACGTCTCAAATTGCTTTCAAAGAGATTTCATTACAAATTTAATATAGTGACTTTGGTTTTTTGGTGGTGTAAAAAAAGTGTAAAGCTTAGTAATCAATTATGATCCAAAACAAATTTGATAGTTTGCTTTTATTTTAACTAATAAAATTAAATAATTTTTGTTCTTAAAAAGTCAATTGAATATTATTATATTATTATAAACACTTAACATCACTTATTATAACCGTTGCAAATATTAACGTCATTTTAATAAATATATGCAAATATTAATATCATTTATATTATCTGATACAAAATTAACATCATTTAGTTGCAACTAACGCATACTTATATCAATTATGATAATCGATGCAATAATTAGCAGAACCGATGCAAATAATTAGCAGAACCAGTGCAAAATATTTGCATTATCACTTTTATAGACACTTTTATAAGTGACGTAAAACTAATTAGCATCAATTATAACTTACACAAATATACAAAATAAGCACTTTTATAGTCACTTTATAAGTGATGTAAAACTAATTGGCATCAATTATAACTTACACAAATATACAAAATAAGCAATGCAAAACACTTTTTTTGTAATGAAAGTTTTGTTCGCCACCAATGGCATAATAACACCTGGCGAATGTCATATGTTGTTTCATTTTTTTCATCAAAAAGAGATCCAACTGTTGTCGTATCGTGAACAACATATGAACATTTCTTAAGAAGGACCATATATGTTTTCTCCACATGTCCGAGGTTTATCTGTCTTTGAGAACGAGAAGGAATTAGGGTAATGATTTTCAATCCGATTTTGTTTATGAACGAGTAGCGATGTAAATTGAAATTTGGCTTGTTTAAAAAAATGTCCGATCAAGCGCATATTGATTCGTAAATGGAGAGACTACGCTCATGACCCTCCTAACGAATATGGCTACTATAATCACTTCCGAGGTACCACTGAATAGTTAAACATTTCCATATTCATACCGTTCAATGAGAGTTGGTGGGGGGAAATGGTCTATTTCAAACCGAACTTTTTCTATCGTGTATTTTTATACACGAACAAAGTTACAATGCTTATTTCAACTCGAACAACTATAAAAACAAATAACATGTATAAACTTCAATAAAGGGTCTAAATCGATGTTGATATTCGAAAATTAGTCAATCGTTTACTATACTAACTCGGATGATGACGTGGCAACGACGTGACATCACATTTTCCAAAATGATGTTATTTTGGTCCAAGCATATTTTTAAAAAATTTGTCACTTGAGAGACTTGAACATCATGGGATACAAATGTTACCACCTAACCAAATGGATTATTTGTAATAATATCATCACCTTTAAATATACAAAATGTCTAATCTTTTAAATGAAAAATATCATTAGTTTTAAATTATATATATAAGCAAAATGTCTAATTTACATATATGAAATTGAACTTACTAAAAAAATTACAACACATCATGAAACCATCTTAAGTCGAAAGATATTTGTAACAAAATTAACATACTTATAAGATTCTCTTAATAAATTTAGTTTAGTAGTAAATCATAATAAAGAATTATTTTTGTTATTAATGATATATGTAGTGGTATATATTATATTATCTTCAATAAAGTAAAATTTTTGGTATATACATACAAGTTTTTTATAATGTTTAGTAGAAATAAAAGTTTAATAATAAATATAGAGTTTGTTAATGGTACCACAAAAATTTTGGTATGTGCTAATGTGGATGGTTTGAGAGTTTTGGTAAATAAAATTTGAGAATTGGGTTATTGACATGTGTATGTGTGACTGTCCCTCATATCAAATAATTCCGTTCAAAGCCACCACACCGGAAAAGATTATTTCTTATCATCGGCATCTTTTGATTTTTCCGCGTATACACCACCTTTTCGTCTTAAAAGTTAAAATCAATATTTCTGGAAACAAAAAAAAAAAAAAAAAAGTAAAAAACTTGTCACACAAATCACAAACTGAAATCTCAAAATCGAAAGTAAAAGCTCATCAGATCTCTAACTATAGCTCAAGCGGAGAAGACTCTGACGATCATCTGAATCGCCGAAACATGTCGAGCGATAGCAACGATCTAGACGAAGATGAGCTTCTTCAAATGGCGTTGAAAGAGCAGGCTCAGAGAGATCTCACCTATCAGAAACCTCCTTCCTCCTCTGCTCGCAAACCTGTTGCCAATTTAGTGCAGCAGCCTCGACAGCAGAAGCCGGTGGCTGCTGCTGCCGCTCCGCCGAAGAAGTCTGCGCCGGCGGTTAGGAAGCCTTCTATGGATGAGGATGATGAATCGGAGGTGGAATTGCTTAGCATTTCAAGCGGGGATGATGATTTGGAGAGGGAAAGGGAAATAGGTGGTTCTAGTGGTGGTGCGGGGAGAGGAAGAGGTAGCGATGTTCGGGAGAAGGGAAGAGCGAGGAAGGAGGATGATGGTGCTTGGGATGGAGGGGAGCCTGATTGTTGGAAACGGGTTAATGAAGCTGAGGTACGTATTTGTGGCAAGATTCACGCTCGAATTCTTATGGCTTTGCTTGTTCGATCAAGTTCAAGAGTTTGAATTCGATATCTTGATCTATTTGTTGAATTGTATGACACTGAACAATACCATTCGTGGGATACCGTGAAGGCTATCCTTAGTTTCTAGTGTGGAGCTGATATAGAGAGCTTGAAAATTAGCAGGCCATTAGTGATTTTAGAACCATAACATCATATGGATGCAAGTGGAAAGATGTCCATTTTCACTTTGATTCCGGTGGCATTTTGGCAGCTTGCTCGTAGAGTTCGTGATATGAGGGAATCGAGAACAGCACCCGTGGTTCAGAAAGTAGAGGGTAAAGCACCTGCACCTGGCAAGAAAGTGGCTCTGACTAGTTTGCAGTCACTCCCTCGTGGCATGGAATGTATTGATCCACTAAAATTAGGGTAATTGCTCTCGTTTCGTTTTGCTTACCACGAAAGCCAGACAGATGCTTTGTACTCTTGTCTTTGATATGGTAGAAGTTATCTAAACCTGATTTTGTCTACTTCATAGGATCATAGACAATAAGACATTGAGATTAATCACTGAGTCGTCAGGAAGCCCATCAAAAGCTGAAAAAGTGGATAATACTCTTCGGGGTATGTCTTTCTTCACCATATTTGACAACTAGAGTTGAACAGTAGCTCTTACACGAAAATTTAATTTTTCGATGTACTTTTCCAGTTGTCTAATTGTTATGTATCCTCTTCTGAGTATTTGCAGAAAAATTGGTTTACTTCTCTGATCATTTCGATCCAAAGCTGTTTCTTTCTCGTATTCACCAAGACACGACTGCAGCAGATTTGGAGGCTGGTGCCCTTGGCCTGAAAAGTGACTTAAAGGGTCGGAATCTGCAAAGGAAACAATTGGTAAAGGACAATTTTGACTGCTTCGTCTCATGTAAAACAACAATTGATGGTATGTATTATTATTACTCTCAACTAAATAATTTATGTTTTTCTTCTCTCATTTTCATGTAGACCACTGATTTTCTTAATAGATATTGAGTCAAAACTGAAGCGGATTGAAGAAGACCCCGAAGGGTCAGGAACTACTCATTTGTTCAATTGTATGAAAAGTGTGACATCAAGGGCCAATCTTGCATTTGAGCCCCTTTTTGAGAGACAGGTTGGTGTGGTTCTGATTTACTTTTTTTGCTTGTCACTCTCTTTCAATTTGCTGAAGCCTTTTTCAAAATCACTTTTAGGCTCAAGCTGAGAAAATCAGGTCTGTCCAAGGAATGCTTCAGAGATTCCGGACACTGTTCAATTTACCCAGTATCATTCGTAGCAGTATTAGCAAGGGTGAATATGATTTGGCTGTTCGAGAATACAAGAAGGCGAAATCTATTGCTCTCCCTTCTCACGTATGCCTGAATTTTCAATCACACTCTCTTGAGACAGATGCTATCCACTTTCCTATAAGCACTGAACCTTCTTTTTATTACGATTTTATTTATTTACATAACAAGGCTCTTGACAATATAGAAAAACAAACTGCTATCAGGTAAATATACTCAAGCGTGTACTTGAGGAGGTTGAGAAAGTTATGCTGGAATTTAAAGGCACACTATACAAGTCTATGGAAGATCCGAAAATAGACTTTACAAGCGTATGTCAGTTATAATTCATTTTATTTTAATGACAACTAGTAATTGAACTGAACAATCCTTCATTCAAATATTTACCAAATGCATTAACCATAGTACTGGTATCATGTCAATATTGCAGTCATCATCAACTTTAACTTCTATTTAGGATATCCCATTTTACATTTTCCCAGTTGTTGTACCTAAAGAAAATGACTAAATTCTTTTTCCAGTCGATTTTTTGTCTTGATATCTGAAGTCTGTTCTTATTTTAGCTGGAAAACACTGTGAGGCTTTTGCTGGAGCTGGAACCCGAATCTGATCCTGTGTGGCATTATCTAAATGTTCAGGTCGGTATATTCGAAGATGTCACTCTTTTACTACCCTCTTACTATGTTCTGCGTGGAATCTGGATTACTAATAGATTTGCTTTGAGTCCAGAGTGACTTTTAACTTATAAAATCATTCATTTGTTTCCTTTATGATTGTTGTCTCCCACACTTTTTGTTGCAATCATCGTGTATATTCATAACGACGTCATCTTGCTTGGCTCTTTAATTTACCAGAATCATAGAATCCACGGCTTGCTTGAGAAATGTACATATGATCATGAAGCAAGGGTGGAAATTTTGCGTAATGACACTCATGAGAAAGCCATCTCAGATGCGAAGTGGCAACAAATTCAACAAAATGGCGTTTCGTATGTGAGTCTAGCATTGAAAATGATATATCATTAGAAGACTATTCAATATTCAGTTCTATAGATGATAACATGCCTTGTTTTTTCAATTCTCTAGTCAGATACCGCCTCTTCTAATGAAAATAATGCAGTTCAAGTTGACCTACAAACAGTGGAATTTCCCAGCGAAGAGATTGATACTTTGAAGGGACGATACATCAAAAGATTGACTGCTGTGCTTGTGCATCATATCCCTGTGTTTTGGAAAACAGCTATATCCATTTTCAGTGGAAAATTTGCCAAGGTATCGGCTATTCTTTCTGCTTAGATCCCTATACTGCCCCAAGAGTAGAATAATTCTGTAGTAATTGTTTCTTTCTCGAACTGGAAATAGTTCTTCATTTGATTTGAATTTAATTTTTATTTGCTTAGTCCTCCCAAGTTACTGATACATCAGCCAATAAAGCTGAGGAGAAGGTCACAGAGGCAAGATATTCAACTCATTCTTTGGAAGAAGTTGCTGGGATGATACGCAAGACTATTTCTGTCTATGAAGCAAAGGTGTTATCTTTGTTTCTTTTTTTCTAATTAAGTGACCTCTTCAGTGGAGCTTCTCTCCACATTGGAAGGACAATCCTGTGGTATCTGTGCTATAAAATGGCTCTAAATATTTGTTTTCCTGATTACTGCTGTTGTAGGTGAACAGCACATTTTGTGATTTTGACGAATCATGCATTCTCCGCCCATTTATGAGTGATGCCATCAACGAAGTATCAAAAGCATGCCAAGCTTTTGAAGCCAAAGAGTCAACGCCCCACAGTGCTGGTATTTGAACTTCTTCTGAGACTTGAGCTTGCTATTTATTTTAAGTAGACTAAGATGCTGTATAACCTTTTTGGTTATGGCAGTCGTTGCACTGAGAAAAGTCCAGGCGGAAATCACTAAGATTTATATCCAAAGGCTTTGCTCTTGGATGAGGGCATCCACGGAAGGAATATCAAAAGAGGAGACGTGGATCCCGGTGTCTATTCTTGAAAGGAATAGATCTCCATACGCCATCTCTTACTTGCCCCTTGCATTCCGTTCAGTTATTGTCTCTGGCATGGAACAAGTCAATCTGTAAGTTTCAAGCGTATTTTGGTAACATATAGAAAATATTTGCATTGTTAGGTTTACTACACATAGAGAGGGCATTATTACTCTTTATTTATTTTTGTGGAAGTGAAAAACCCGGTTTTTGCTATTTATTGGAGTTCCAGACTTCTCCTGTTTCCAGTACATAAATGAAAGTCTAGTCTTCTCCGTATCCGTTAGAAAAACAATGTCAATAGTCACGAATTGTGGTTCTAGCTTGTCATACCATGATTACCAATTTTATGCTGAGACATGTAAAATCAAACGACTGTGTACCATGTTTGTATGATAAGGAAACAGGTCTTGTATGCTTTTTTTTGCTTCAGGAAACTGCATATACAAATGTGTACTACAGTGTTTACTTCGTTTAGCTGTTGATTTCCGTGTATACATTTTTCAGGATGATTCTGTCTGTCAAAAGTGAAGCTGCCAAATCAGAAGATATGTTTGCCCAAATTGAGGAAATCGTAATATCGGTTAGACTGGCATTTTTGAACTGCTTTCTGGATTTTGCTGGTACGACTTGTAACCAAACATCCTTGATAGTATCCTCATGTAAACACATGAATGCAGGCAAATGCATACTTTAAAGTGGTTACGCTGAATATGCTAATTTGTTTTCACCATGTGCCAGCGCACTTGGAGCAAATTGGTGCTGATCTTTCCCAAAGCACCTCAAGACAAGATAATTGGAAAAACGGATATTCTGATGATCATCAGGAAGAACCATCAGCCAACACCTACGGAAGTGTTGTTGATCCTCACAGGCGGTTGTTGATGGTCTTAAGTAATATAGGTTATTGCAAAGATGAACTTGCTTCAGAGCTTTACAACAAGTTCAAATATACATGGTTGCAGTCTAGGTTAGTCCCTGCTTAATAGAGGTCATTAGTTTTCTTCTGGATAATAAGTACCAACGGTTGAATTTGATATAATTCATAATCAAATACTGGTCTCATGGGTGAATTTGTATATGGTGTTATAGCTCACTAAACTAAGATTTTTTTTGTGTTTTCACTTATTCAGAGACAAAAATGAAGACAGTAGCGACCTTCAAGATCTAATAATGTCTTTCTCTGGACTCGGAGAGAAGGTCCTCGAGCATTACACTTTTGCTAAGGTATTAATTTTTTTCCAGCCGGGTTAGCCTATGAATCCTTTTGCTAAGTGTTAGAAATAGAACTTTAATTTTCCGAGAATTTCACCTGTACTCAGGCAAATTTGATCAGAACAGCGGCCACAAATTATTTGCTGGACTCTGGTATTCAGTGGGGATCAGCACCTCAAGTGAAAGTAAGAAATCTTTGCGAAATGATATCTATTAACTTCTTGATTTGAATGAAGAAAAGAATTACTTAAATATTTGCTCCAATCTTCCAGGGCATACGAGATGCGGCTGTTGAGCTGTTGCACACTCTTGTAGCTGTCCATGCGGAGGTAATACTATTGCTCTTTATAACAGAAATTTTTCCTAGTTGGTTTGTGGCTCTTTAGATATTTGACTTGTAAATGTGTTCCTCGGCAGTTTTCATTGTGTAAAATCCTAATAACTTTGCACCTGAAATAAAAACTGCAGGTCTTTGCTGGTGCAAAACCCCTCCTGGACAAGATTCTTGGCGTGCTGATCGAAGGTCTAATCGACACTTTTTTGAGTCTTGTGGAAGAAAACAGATCAAGTGACCTAAGATCAATTGATGCAAATGGTTTCTGCCAACTAATGTTTGAGGTAACTTGTTCTTTTTCATCATTAGAGATCCTCACTAACAAAACCTTAAATTTATTCTCGTTTCATCTCATAATGAGAAACAAAGCTCTTTACAGAAGCAGATAAGCTTTTGCAGATTTGTGATTGCTAATTTTTTTTCATCACAACTGCTGCAGCTTGAATATTTTGAAACAGTACTAAATCCATATTTTACAAGCTCTGCAACCGAGTCTCTTAAATCTCTACAAGGAACCGTGTTGGAAATAGCTATAGAGAGCATCAGTGAAGCTGTCGAGACCCCGGGACATAATCGTAGACCAACTCGTGGCAGCGAAGACACAGTTTCAGATGACAAGCAATCTGTTTCAGCAGATGACCTCCTCGTAACATATTATTTCCTTTCTCTTTCCAACAGATTCGATCAAATATCAAAACCTCAATTTTTGATCATTTTATTTATTTCGTGAACAGGCTCTAACGAAACAGTGTTCAAACGAATTGCTACAACCAGAGTTGGAGAGAACTCGTGTAAACACAGCATGCTTTGCAGAGTCAACTCCATTAGAGTCAACGCCTCCATTACCCAAAGCTACCTACTCTTCCTTTAGAGGATCAATGGATTCTCCAAGCAGAAACTACAGAGGCTCACAATCATCAGGTTCTCCCATTAATGCCCGACCCAGAAGAAGATAATAAGACACCAACTTTGTTTATTTACAATTTCGGTCTCCTTTTATATGTACGTAAATTGATCATAAATTCTCTTGTTCTTCTATTTTTGTTTGTTTGTCTTCTTCAGAATCTATCTTTATTTGTGAACTCAGATAATTGGGTTGTAATTAAGATATCACACAATGAAAGTATCTGAAAAGCATTGGAAATTAAGCAAAGTAGCTTCTTCAAGCTTGTTTTAGTTTAGACAAAAAAAGTGACTAAATACAACAATAGTCACAAATTCCCCTTAAGATAAGAGGACACAAAAGATTTGAGATTTAACTCAGGTTGCTGTCCTCAGCGGTGGAGACACCAATATCACTCCATCTCCTCTCACAAATAGAAACTCAATCGTCCGCTTTGTAGTCTGCAATCAGAGATAGCAAACAAAACAAATCACATACAGGAGAGACAAAAGCCACAGATAAGAATTGCAGCCCACCTAGAGGAGTCTCAACAACTAATATGTGTGTGCCTAAGAAGCTTAAAGAGACTTCTCTACTAGAAAACAGTCAGTTACATGGAAATACCCTCCTGATTTTGATCCAATAGCTTATCTTTCAGAACAATAAGATTCGTGTAGGATATAATCTGTTGTCTAAGTAAATGTACTACACAGAATCATTGAGCTGAAACTTTTGTATATAGTCCTTAATCTCAATTATCCATAAAGTTAACATAAATCCTATTGAGTAAGAAAAAGCACGTACCCGAACAATCTCTTCATATGTCTCGTCATCGATTTCTACTGTTGTGATAGTTTCTTCAACATCACCCAGAATCATATTCAAATGCTGATCAAACGCCTGCCCAGAGAAATAACAACAACAACAACAGCATCAAACCTAAGTGAGCAACTCAAGAGTGTAAGAAATCTTCCAAAATTTAAAAACTTTGTCGAAATTAAATTTACACAACCCATAAATTCCCAATTGCAATTTATCGCCATAACTCGAGAACCTATTTAAAAAAATTGAAACTTGAAAATCAAAACCCTAGACTTTCCCATAAGAAGGACCAAATTCGATACGAAACAGTGAAATCAGCAAAATAAGTTACAAAATTCAAACGAACTATTTGTGGAACGAGTTTCTTAAGTAGTTACAAATTCGAGGTACTACTAGACCCATAAAGGAGGGCAAAGAAAACTTACGTGAAGCTTGCCGCGAAGCTCGCGGTCTGACCGGAGCTTGACATAGATTCTCTCGTCGAGACTCAGCCTAATCAGATCTAGTGGCTCCCTCACGGTGGCGTCTTCCTCGCCGGACATTGTGTAGACAGAGATACTCTGAAACACTTCTCGGAGGGTTTTGGTACCGACGAATCGTATAACCGGACACAAACTCTGAACTTGCAGACACGAGCTTAACAATTTCGTTCTACGAATAAGATTTTACAATCATAAGGGCAACGGCCCAATAGAAAATTAGGCCCATATACGAACGTTGGCGAAACAAAATATTATAATATTTTTCGGCGCTCTATTTTGTGTTTCTTTCTGTAAAGATTATCAATGGTTTCTAGCTTGATATAATTAGAGTTGAGGTCTTGTATGTATAGATATTTTTAGTAAAAAATAAATACTAATGTTAAATTTTAGTTAAAAATTTAAATTAAGATATTAAATTTGACATTTTCTACTTCAATTCGTTTGTTTTCTACTTACAAGCGTTTTATAACTTTTTTGAATCGTAACGCTTAACGGTTCCGTAAAATAAGCATACGTGTAAAAATAGAATAATCTATTGTGACTAACGCTGATTCGGTGCTAAAATCCCGTGTTGTTTTCTAAAACGTCTTTAAAAAAAATATGTCTTTTAAAACGTGATACCAATCACCTTTTACGTTATATACAAAGTTTTAAATATATATATATATATATATATATATATATATAAACAATTTTAAAAACTCTTAAAAGAAGTTAATGCTTTTTCTAAATTCCTACTTTCTTATTTTATACTCAATTTTTGAAAGTAAATAACTTAAGATATCCAATATTGAAAGATTGTGCACCAACGTTTAAAAAAAATTACATGTATTATCAAATTTAAATTGATATAAATTTATATATCTAAATTTCTATAAAAGTAAGATAAAAAGAAATACTTATACAACTTAGATTTCCCTTGACAATCGTATCCTATTAATATATAATAAAAGAACATATAAGTTTCATTTATTTCCATATTCAAATTCATACTCTACACATCTGGAGTTACTACCAAAATCAATCAATAATAAAAAAAAAGGTTTTAAAAATTAATGAAATAAAAAGAAATGGTGGGTCCAAATATCTTCTGATACATTGGACATAAATAACTTTTGTGATTTGTCACTAAAAAAGTCCAAAAAGATTATTAACAAACAAGACTCTCTTCTTCTTCCTCTAAAATGTTTTGTCCGCCACACGCATTGTCTCAGTGATCAGAGTTCTTCGTCTCTCTACTTGTACTCTGCTCTCTAAAACCCTAGATTCCTCTCGTCTTCAATCGTTTTAAAAGGTCGTTTGTTTCTATGCCTCTTCTTGGTTCCGTGAATCTCGTCTTTTGGTAGCGATGTCTTATAGTTTATGGAATTCGTTGTTATTGCTCTGTGTAACAAGCTTAGATTAATCGGATGATTTAGGTTTCAGATTCTGTCATTCTAGATTTGGAGAAAAATTGGATTTTGAGGAAAAAGACTGAATTTTGTTTTACTCTGATTCAGATTTTCTTTTGGAAGGTGGAGAAATGGAAGGAAATTGTTCGCAAGGATGCATTGTTCGTGGTGAAAATGCTCATGGACGCTTTGATTCTCAAGTTGGTTCTTCTATGAGAGATCTTCGTCCAAATGCTATGCATCAGAATCAGAATCAACACCATCCAAATCCTCGAAATGACTCGGGCTTTGACATTACTATGGATGCACATCGCAACAATGTCGACAGAGGGAAGAAATCGATGAGTGAAGATGATGAACTATGTTTGAGTTGTGATGGTCAAAACAAGTCCAACAAAAACTCTCCTTGGCAACGTGTTAAATGGATGGATAAGATGGTGAAGCTGATGATAACTGCTCTTTCTTATATCGGTGAGGACTCTAGTACTTCCGAAGACGGTTGCGGAAGGAAATTTGCTGTTTTGCAGAAGAAAGGCAAGTGGAGATCAGTTTCTAAAGTCATGGATGAAAGAGGTTATCGTGTTTCGCCGCAGCAATGCGAGGATAAGTTCAATGATCTTAATAAGAGGTATAAGAAGCTTAATGAGATGCTTGGTAGGGGAACTTCTTGTGAGGTTGTTGAGAACCCTGCACTCTTGGATAAGATTGATTACTTGAATGAGAAAGAGAAAGAAGAAGTTAGGAAAATCATGAGTTCCAAACATCTTTTCTATGAGGAGATGTGTTCCTATCATAACGGAAACAGATTGCATTTGCCTCATGACCCTGCAGTACAGAGGTCCCTTCACTTGATTACACTCGGAAGCCGTGATGATCATGATAATGATGACCATGGGAATCACCAGAATGAAGATCTTGACGATGAAGATGATCATGATGGAGTCTTAAGTGACCGTCCCTTGAAGAGGTGTAGACAAAGCCAGAGCCATGAAGATCCGAATAAGGGTTATGATGTCCCTCTTTTGCCTCGTTCCCAAGCTGATGTGAGTCGAGGAATGTCGCTAGACAGTGAGAAAGCTGCTGGCTTACAGAGGCAGCGGATTGAGTCTAAGTCTCTTGAGTTAGAAGAACGCAAGCTTCAGATTCAAGCGGAGTTGATGGAACTGGAGAGACAACAATTCAGGTGGGAGGTGTTTAGTAAGAAAAGAGACCAGAAGCTCGAAAAAATGCGAATGGAAAACGAAAGGATGAAACTTGAGAATGAAAGGATGACTCTTGAACTGAAACGAATTGAATTAGGTGCTAAATTGTGAAGAATCTTGAGCATTAGACTTTCTTGACAATGATTGGTAATTTAACTGGTTGCTTAAATTTGCAATAGGCATTATTAGCTAAGGTTTAAAGTTTGAGGTAAAAAAAATTATCATAATTTTCTGATGTAATATTATTGGTTATATAGAAAGTGGTTCTGTTCTCTATGCTTGATTATGTCCTGTAAGTATCAGTGACAGTGACAAGAATTGAGAGTAACTATTCAAAACTCCAACCTCTAAATTGGCTCTCTTTAGCCTTGAGCTTTTAGGTAATTGAAGAATCTTTCGAAGCTGCCTTTTATTTATTGGGAAAAAATAGAAAAAGAAAACTAAAGCTTGGCCCAAAAAATGTGGTTTGGGCTAGTAAGAAAAAAATTAGGCCATGAATAAAAGGAAATTTTCATGACAAAATCAGGAAAAAGGTGAAATATGAAATGTGTGATCGAAATTTCGGAAAAGCAAAAGAAGAATGTGAAGTTTGTCTTTGTATTTCTTCCATCTTCCACCTCTCTTTTACGCCCTTTCCTTGTTCACAAGAGCCTATCTCCTCTCTTTTTTTATCTTTCAACAATTTGTTTTGCCTTTTCATTTCTTTTTTTTTTCCCATATTACAAAAAAGGTTCTTCATTAACAAACGACGCAATGAAAATGTCATTCACTTATATTTGAAGGGAGATTTGTAAAATCAACAATTTAACAGTGTTAGCTTAAGTTATACATTAAAAAACAAACAAGCTTTTACTTGACGCTATTACCTTCATGTTCCAACTCCAACACATCACACCTGATTTAATCTTTAAATTTACCTCTCTACTTTTTTTTTTTCTAGATAAATCAGAGGCTATTAACAACAACAAAGTACACAAGGGGAAAAAAAAGGTGAGCTGGAGACAGAAAAACTGAGAGGTAAAAACTCACATGGGAAGATGAAAATCACATGGATAATCCCACATGCCCTCCTCTCTTCCCATGTGATTTTCTCTATTTCGTTTTCTACCCCTTAACTTCTTCTTCTTTCCATTTCTCACTCCCTTCTTTTTTTTACACCCCCACGCCTTAACTTTTTTTCTATTACCAGTTCACATTTACATAAATCAAACTCATTGTGAATTTGACTCTCACTTTATTTATCTCGTCCTTGTTTTAAACGGAGGCTTGAAAACAACAAAGTTTTTTTTTTTTAATCTATGGATCTACCAACTTTTTTAAAAAATAATCCCAAGATTTTAATTACCCTTTTGAAGTTCTTAATTAATCCTATATGTGGACCCGTTTGTATCAACCTTTTATTGTTTAATATTTAGACAAATCTCTCTTGTACTATAAGTTATTTGCTAGCCATACTTACTCGTATAATTTTTTTAATCTTCTTGCAGCATAATCTATTTACTTATTTTATTCTTTCAATTATATTTTTATTCTCCGGGTGATTTGTGAATCCTTAAGTACCAATGCTCCCATTTTAAAATTAGTTTTCTTTTGTCTGTTACATACATATTTTTATATTTATTTTGCTCCATGATATTTAGGTAGACCAAATATATAATATTTATATATGCTTGATGTAGACGTATGTATATTTATTTTGCTCCATGATATTTAGGTAGACCAAATATATAATATTTATATATGCTTGATGTAGACGTGTTAATCATCCTCACCAGTCTTCAAGCAATCCATTCTCATTCACATTGTATAAGTTTAGTGCATGTAATTATTTATTAAGCAAGTTAAACCACAGAGATGTCGGTTCTATTTCAACTTATAATATTGTCGGTTGTATAAATCGAAAAGAACCGGACCTAAACCGTATCGTTGTCATTCATAATCATAATTGATAGAAGAAGTAAAAAGGGATTAATATAAAAATGAGAATACAAATTACGACAGCGAAGCACCTTCACATGAATCCAAAACCCGCCGTTATATATCTTATGCTATGTGAAAGAAAGAAAAAAATTAAGAGATATACACATGATAATATGATATATATGGACTTTATATATGTCCACTATGGATTTTAAATTTAACCTAGGCAAATAGTATAATTAAGAATAAGATTAAGGTTATTCTGAAAACTGATTGAGCTGGCATAAATTTGAATTTGAATTCGACTAAACTAGTTTAGACTGTTTAGTTAATAAAACAATGAAAACTGTAGTGTGGAAACTAAAATACCATAGTTCTTTTCATGTACATTAGTGCCACGTTGGAAAATGAGTAAGATGGTTTTAGAGCATCTCCAACCCACCTCTATATTTGCCTCTAAACTCTATTTTAGAAGCAAATTTACTCCAACCCACCTCTATTCTCACCTCTAAAATAGAGATCTCTATTTTTTTCTCTATATATAGAGGTGAGAATAGAGAATCTCTATTTTTTTCCTCTATAAATAGAGTTAAACTTTTTAGAGGAATAAATAGAGGAATACATTGGAGTAAAAATAGAGAAAACTCACCTCTATTATAGAGATAGAGGTAAAAATAGAGAAATACATTGGAGATGGTCTTAGAGAAGATTAACCAGTTCGGAGCACAACAATTACAGTAATTCACTGACACACATATTTGTGTTGTGTGTGATTTTCCGTGCACACACATATCTGTGTGTATATGTGTATGATTTTCCGTGCAGAAGCAGTCGTGCGAGTAATGATGGTAACTAAAGCTGATCTTAGAACTGTATGCTACTATGCTAAGTAAAAAAAAAAAGTCTAAAAATATTTATTTATTTTCGCAAAAACAAAAACTTTTATTTTTAATTTCGCAATAGTCTTAGGGAATAAAAAAGTGAAAATCATGGAAGTAAAAGGAGAAAATTACAGGAACAAAAAAAAAAGTGATCAAACTACGAACTTTTTTATACCTCTATTTTTTTGTTGGTGTAATTGGTGCAGTAATTTTGCCTTTTAGATGGGTCCTTGCTCAATCCACTTGCATTTTTTTTCCCTCCACCTTAAAATTACCATGGCCCATCAATAATTGAATTACTTAATTTTATGGTTTATTTGTACACTATTGTCTCTGTTCGATTTATAGGGTTTTTTTACCTTATTCTTAAACTTCATTTGTATAATTGTATTTAATCTATTCTTAGCAGGGTTGTAATTTGTAAACCCACCATATTAGGGCTTGATTGGTTTTCCCGCTAGCACCCGCCTAGCGGTTGTTAGCGGTCGGTTGCGGTTGTTAGCGGTTGGTACCAATCATAGAAATCGCTCCACACCGCTTCGAACCGCTCGAAATCGCTGGATTTCAAAAGCTCCTTCCCGCAAGCGTTTGCGGTTGCGGGCGGTTGCGGTTGGTCTAAAAAAGGAAAGAAACTAAAAAAAGAAAATAAATAAATTAAAATATATATTATCATGTCTTATTTATATTCACGTTAATTATAAAAAAAATAATAATTATCTAACTTTAATTTTCTAATATTAATAATTATTTTTGTTTTCAATATAAAAATTTATTTGAATAATTATTTATGGTTTTTAATCATTAATCATGTTTAAAAAATTTATACTTTTCATAATTATAGTTTCTGGTGTTTTATAATTTTTTATAATCATATATTAAATTTATTTTGGTAAACTTTGGTTTAACCGCTATCGTACTCGTGATCAACCAGTCGTAAATCTCCCGCAAACGCACCCATTTTTAACCGCTAAACCAGTCGGTCAAAACGCTAAATAACGCTTGAAACCGCAACCGCCCGCTTCCGCAAACTCCCACAACCGCAACCGCAACCGCTGCGTTTAAACCAGTCAAGCCCTTAGAAAAACAGTAATCATAAATATCTTTAATTTTTTTACAGGGTTTTCTAATCACAATTATCTTTCGTTATGGATAAATAAAAAGTTAAGCGCTAATGCATCATTGCTTTTATGCATGTTGTTTACAAATATTAATTAAATTATGTGAATAAACATTGTGTATTACTCATCACATTTTACTATATTTTTATACACTTTTGCTTGAATTTTATGACATTTTACTTTATCTAAAACCAAAAGACACCACTTTCCTTTGATAAACATCTTTCACAAAAACATATTGTAAAACACTAATTTTAGTAAAGTAACATATATATATAGATACATATTATATAATGGTACGCAATGCTATTTTTTTAGACCCGTTATTATAATGGTCGTTTTCAACTCGGAAACAATAATTCAGATCTGGGCGAGTTCTGGGTTGCTTGGCTCCTTTCATCCGTATCATCGTCGATTCTATTTCGACTTTAACGGCTCGGCGTTTTTTGACGGTTTCAATCACCTTATCTGAGGTCCGTCTTGCCATTCCAGGAAGTCAAGGTGTCAATTTCCGAAGTCTACTCTTATATCAAGTGATGACAAGAGTTCAGAAGCTTCACCTCGTGGTTCATCGTTTACCAGCCATTTCTATTATGCTTTTGTTCTCAGGAAATTCTGGTGATGGGAGGAGGAAAGAATTTGAAGTTAAATTGCATCCTTTTCTTTATTCGGTGTAATAGTTTGTTTGATGTTTGGTAACGTCCGGAGTTTTTCGGTTGTTCATTCGCCGGAAAATATGTCGGCTTGTGTGCATATTTCTGGATCAAAGTTTGTGGGTACCGGTTAATTAGGTTTTCCGGTTAGCCCGGTTTGTAAGATCTTTGGTTTAATAAAAGATACTTTGTGAAAAAAAAAAAAAAAAACTCGGAAGTGCATCTACGAAAAAGACCCACGACAGATAAAATATACTTTTTCTTTATTAAGTATAATTATACAATAAGATAGAAATTGTAACGTTAAGGGTCGAGCCATGCGAAAATCGAGTGGCTATTATATAATTTCGTAGAAAAAAATCATATTCAATGCTTTTAGGAGCTACCAAAAGGATGGTCCCTGATATCACCTTTCAAAACATTTTCGTGTAATTCATTAAACTAGATCATCACCCGTACTTTAGTACGGGTTGAATTTTATTTATTACAAAATTTATATAATATATATATTAGAACTAAGTTTTAATATATTATAATAGTAAGTAAAAAATATTAATTTTTTTGTCAGTCTCTATATACAATATTAGAATAAATATATTTTTTTCTATAATACTCAATTATGGATAAATTTTTTTTTAAGATATGAAAAAATAAATAATATTATTTATTTTTTTTAAAAGTAATATTTTTTGAACAATGAGTTAATTTATGTTAACAACCACAAAATAGGGTTGCATATATTTCAGTTAGATCAAAAATTAAAATATCATAAATGAATCGCATATAAAACATAGATTATTTTGAATTAATTAAGAAAATTAGCTATTATTTTGAATTAATTTAGAAAATTCCTTTTCAATTTATAATTCTTTGGTTGTTGGAATAGAGATTTGTTTGAGCTAATCTAATTACAGAATTTGTTTAAGATTTATAATTACGGAATTTACCAATTATTCTCATAATCGAATATGTTATAAACATATATATAGTATATAATAATACCAAAATCAACCCGTGCGTGGAGTCTATATTTTTATTTTAGAATCTCAATATTTCATTTTAAAATATTGCGTGCACAATCTATTATTCGTTAATTCTAAAATTGCTTGCGGAATCAAATTTTCAAATATTTAGAGGTGTCAAACCATATTTAAATTTTCTACACTATTTTCAAATATTCCAAATTAAAATCTTTAAATTTTTTTGTAGTCTATAAAATTATGAATTTCAAAAAACAAATTACATGAAATTAAATATAACTATTCAAATAGTTATAAGGATCAAAACTCATTTTATCATATAATATATTATATTTAACCCGCTACATATTATAAATATTTTTAAAAATAATCAAATTAGAGTATTTATAAATTTTAACTTTTTGAACTATTAAGTATTGATGATATTCTCTAAAAATATCAAGTAAAACTTATTTTAAATGTTGCAAATTAAAATATTTAAATTTTTATTGTAGTATATAAAATTATACATTTCAAAAAAATAAATGTATGAAATCGAATATAAATATTCAAATTCTGATCCGTTGCTCAGTTAGAATTTTTGTTGACTTTATTTTTGTGTAAAAGAAATATATTACTCAAGTCTGAATTTTTGACCCGTTTAATTGTTTCCTTTATAAATTGAACAATTTATATGCGTTTTTAAAAATTCAAATCTTGGCATATGCAGAAAAAAAATTACTTTTTTTTTATTATGTAGATGATATGATGATTTATTTGTTTCATATTAATATAATCATATTAAGATGATAGGTGAAGTTTAATGATAAATAACAAATTAATATGGTAAGTTAGATATCAAATCTTATATGTTCATTTTGATTGGTCATTTAAAAAACAATAATAATAACATATTTTCGTTTTATAATTTAATTAAATTAATTAAATGACATAAATTAGTATTTTACTTGTTTATCCTTAATAAATTGAATGAAATTTGTTCTATAAGAAGATTTTTGTAATGGCATTCTTAAGTAAATTTTTACAAAAGAGAAGGTTAGTTAAGGGTATCTTATAAAGTGTACTCCCCAAATAATAGTATAGGATATCTCAATCTAACGCTATTAACATTTACTGCCTAATCATGCCGTGAATTTCGATGAAAATTCCAATCGTTTACCCCCTATCGCTATGCTGAGTAGGCTGATAATTAGTCTTATACACAAATTTGACAATTTACATATTTACTATAACCCCAAACTACCACCATGTTAGTAAATTCATATATATACATTCTCAAAATAAAAAAGTAAAAACAAGTTTTCAAGCGTTTGGAGATGAAGTATACAGTTTATTCAAATAGTTTACAAAAATACAGAATCACAGATATTTTTTTATTAAATGGATAATGTTTACAATTATAGACAGAAATAAAAATATCACAATTATGCTAACTGCAAAATCTGCAAACTACGAAGGCCGTGAAATTAAGCTGCAGCAGAATAATCATCACTATTATAGTAATTATGCTAGAATGTCTCGTTTTACTAGTCAACCGTTTTAGTTCTTACTTGTTTGTGTTTTACCTCTTATCTTGTCAACGGCACTCTGCCTCCAATTAAAATCATTCGTTAGAATCCTTTCCCAAATATATTTTAGCAATGTGTGTTTTTGTGCAAATTACATTAACTATACACATAATATGTTGGATTTCAAAATCATATTGAGATTGGCCCAAAAGTAATTTTTGTTAATTATGGTTAAAATGAAATGTTTTGGACATACGTTTTCTTTGTCGATGAAGCTAAATATATAGATTTTTCTCAAAAAAAGTTCAAACTTTGAACACAGCCCTCTTTGGACGACGCACAATGGATTCTACCACCAAACTACATAATAATAAAACTATTCCTAAGTATTTAAAAAAAAAAAGAAGTTCATTCCTAACATTTTGATTCCTAAGTACCAGAAAACGAATGAATTTTGGTCCGTAAGTTTATTCATAACTTTTTTTTTTTTTTTTGAAAAAGGTTTATTCCTAACTTCATGTAAGAGTTTTGTAGGTTAAAACGGGACGTTGGGAGAAATTAATATTATGAACTATTGACATTGATGGTTTAGGTTCTCATCGTTTTAAAGTGTTTAAATAATTGATTTAGTTGAATAACGGCCGTCAAATCGGTTTGAGATGATGCAAAAAAATTCAATAACAACAATATAAAATAAAAATGAATAACGGAGGAAATGTAATGTATGGCCTCAAACGGGAAATGGTCACCAATCCATTTACTTCAGTCCCGAAAATGACTTGAATCTAACCACTTCCCTTCCAACATCCCTTCATTATTTATATTTATTATTCTAATTACTTTGGGTCATATAAATAATTTATTACAAATCATCAAACCTCTTGATCGATTTGAAATCGAGCCCTTGTTTATAGAGTGTGGAAGAAGATCAGTAGTGTGGAGATTAAAATAATTTGAATTTGTGAATGCGAGGGGGGACAAATCCAGATCAGTAATCAGGATGGTTTAGTTTATTAATGATTTAAAGTCTTATAATGTTGAGAGCTAAGAAAATAGATTAATAATTAGCTTAGCTTAAAAACCCTCAATGATTAAAGGTCAATGGGATCCACGTTAGGGTCAATTTGGTAATTTCAAATAATACGTAAGTCACCACTCACCCGCCACTGTATACGTTCCAAAAAGCAAAGTTCATCCTCATCTCCACCTACTTTTTTTTAAGTTTTACTTTTTACCCCTATCCTTTTTTTTTCTGAAATGAACCTCCGTAAATTAATATATTTGGAAGAAAAAGAAATTGTATTGTTTGTCCACATATATATTTTATATCTGATATATATATATATATAATCCTGTTATTCATTATTTAATAAATTGAATTTTATTCAGTTGCCACATTTTGTTGATTTTTAACATTATTTTTATTTTGTTTCCCTCACATTATTTTCCATTACAACCCATTGACATGTATACTCTATATAATATCCAGAAACAATGTTATATAATGGAAACTTCAGTTTAAAAAATTACAATCTTATGTTTTTCTCATTATTTTATAAGTTCCAATTTTTTTTTGTAAGGAGATTTTAAAACTGGCTTTTTAAGACAATTTAGCTGGACGGACAAAAACCAACTAATGTAATAATCACCACCGTCTTTATGCGCAGCTGTCAATAAATCTCTGCAATAATTTCTTTTTTTTGGTAATAAATAACTATTGGTTAAAATTAATCCTCCAGTTTCCTTCGTATATATCTTTTTGTGCCCACCTTTTTCATTATTGCACATTCAACCCATAATGATAAACTATGGCTTTGTTTTTTTTTCCTTACTACTTAAAAGATTATTAAAATATTTTCTACTTAATGTTATTCATTATGAAACTAAAATTAAACAGTGATTAGTTTACTAAGTACTTCCTACACTAAAAAAATAATATTACCTATGCTTTAAAGAGTATTGCTTTTAAATTAATAATTCTATTTAGAAAATTTATAGTGTACAGTATAACTCACTCATTTAAATTTATATTATGATACAATAACAATAGTACAAATTACTATATTCTAAATTTGGGTCTTGTTATTTTATATGCTAGTGTAACGGTTTCCAAATGTATACCCAATAAATATAATATATAAAGTAGAAATAATAATAATAATAATTTATTAGAATATAATTAACATTAAAGATACATCAATTGTTTTTTATAACATGAGTAAAAAGTGTCAAAATTTTAGAAATCCAAAAATATATAAATTAATAATGGGAGTGATTGGTTAAAAAGTTTTAGAGAGATATATAAACATTAAAACAAAATTAAAACTTGTAAATCCAACAAATTTGTCAACCACACTTTTAACTTATAGAAAATCTCTGAAAGCTGTAAAATTATTTACAAATCCCATTTTTTAAATTTAAGGCAAAAATAAATAAATAATATTTTACGTAACGGTCGTAGCTATTAAAAATAAATACAGTCAAAAGTTTATAACCAATTTTCTACAACAGTTCAAGTTCATGGTTGAAATTACAAGTTTACAACCAATCACCCATTTTGTAAACAAATTGAAATCAACCAAAATTTACTTAATTTATGGGAGATTGACACAAATAGCCCCAAAAAAGTTGTTTTTTTCCAAAAATAGCACATCATTTGAAAAGTTCCATAAATAGCACCATAAACTTCAATTTAACTTAATGAAAATATAAGATAGAAAATAAAAAAGAGAGCAAACACTAATCTAATATTAAATTGAATCAAAATTGTTTTTAAATAGTGGAAATATATACCCTAATTTGGAAATAGGGAACCCAAATATAATACCACAAACTAATATTAAAATATAAATCTCTTTTAAATGGTGGAAATATATACCCTAAATTGGAAATAGAGAACCCAAATATAATACCATAAACTAATATTAAAATGAATCAAAATCTCTTTTAAATGGTGGAAATATATACCCTAAATTGGAAATAGAGAACCCAAATATAATATTTTAAATTTATTTCTAATTTATTTTGTTGAATAGCTTTCATATAAAAATTGTGGTATTATTGAAAAAAAACTAGTGATAAAATTTTTAGAACAAAAACACTAATAATAAGTTAACTAGTGCTATTTTTGGAAGTTTATGGAGTGTGTGCTATTATTGTCAATAAAACTTGTTTTAGGGCTATTTTTAGGAATTTCTCTTAATTTATTGTATTTTCATACGTTTTGTTACATCAATTTGATCAAAATATTCTTACAAAAATCTAATGAAATTACAACTTCTAAATTTAATAATTTTATCAATTACACTTTAACTTTTACAAATCTTTAACAATCATTCAAAACTTCTTTCTTTGTCGTTTAATTTAACATATAAATAAATAATATATCTTTAAGTAACGCTCGTAGTTAACAAGAGAAATTTACAATTGAACTACAACTTTTTCTTATACAACAGTCCACGACAATAATTTTCCATTTTGGAATTTATCTAAAAATGACTAAACATATTTATTATACTATACGTAACATCAGTTCGATTTAAATATTATTAAATAAAAATCTAATTGTGAATGTAAAATATTAAAACACTTTTACCAACTTGTTTATATTTGATTTTTGAAACAAAATCCTATAAGGTCATTTTTGATGATAGTTATTTAACTTTATCAAATACAAGTCCCCTTTAAAATCAATCTAAACCACAATTACAGTATTACAAAAATCTTGATAAGTAATACAAAGTGAAAAAATAATTTACCCAAAATCGGAAAATGCAAGGAGAGAGAAAGTCTGAAGATTCCATTTTGGCACAAACAAAGGAAAAAGTATCAATAAAAGGCGATAAATTTAAAATAAAACAAGTAAAAAGAAATAAATCAAAATAAATATTTTTAAGAATGGCTCCTTGAGATTGACAAGCAGATCTCATCACCATAAAATAAAAAATAACATAAAATAAAAATAAAATAAAGAAATTAACTTAGGTATTTACAAAACTCTCTAACACCATAAAACCCTGCGCCTACAGATTTCACTCTTCTTCCTCATGTAAACTCTCTCTCTCCTTTCTCTTTATCTCTCCCAATTTTTTTTTTCTTCTCTAAATTTTTATTTTTCTCCTTTTTAATTTTTCATTTTTCATTTCTGTAACTTCTCCGTCAAAGACAGAGAGAGGGGGAAAAAACAGAGGTTAAAAAAACGATGATGCAACTGGGTGGTACTCCGACCACTACAGCGGCGGCTACAACCGCCGCAACCGCTACAGCACCTCTACAATCAAACAACAACGATTCAGCGGCTACAGAAGCAGCGGCAGCAGCGGTAGGGGCGTTTGAGGTATCAGAAGAGATGCACGACCGTGGTTTTGGAGGAAATCGTTGGCCGCGGCAGGAAACGCTAGCGTTGTTGAAAATACGATCTGACATGGGAATAGCGTTTCGAGACGCTAGCGTTAAAGGTCCCTTATGGGAAGAGGTTTCTAGGTGCGCGTTTTCTTCCTTTTCTCTTTATTCTCTTTTACTTTTTTTGGTAATTTTCTTATTCCACTCTCTTTTTTTGTTCTATTGAAATTTTTTCAGTGGAAATGATTATGAAAGTTGTTTTTTTATTTAATTGATGAGAGTTGTTTAAAGATCTGGGTCTTGTAGAGTTAATTGTCCGAGATTTGGTTCAAATTTTCTTTTGGAGTTGCTTGAATTTCGCCGAATTTGTAAGGACTGTCTTTTTTTTTTGTTGTTGTATAGTTCAGTGAGATTCAGATTCGGACAGTTCTAGTAGTGGGTTTAATTAAAAATTTAAACTTTATTTACATAATTAACAGTTAATTTTTGATTATAGTATAAGTTGAGTCATGTGTTATTCATGAGATTGAGAAAGCAAGAGTCTTTCTCACAAACTCATGCTCATTTGATCCACTTCTCAACCATATTTATCCTCATTTTTCACTAATTACTTATTTTTTTTTTAAACATAATTCGTCTATTTATTTTATGAAATTCGATTTTACAGTATCATGAATTTGTGATTTTTTTGTTTTTGTAATTTGGTCAGGAAAATGGCGGAGCTTGGTTACATAAGAAACGCAAAGAAATGCAAAGAGAAATTCGAAAACGTTTACAAATACCACAAACGAACCAAAGAAGGCCGTACCGGAAAATCCGAAGGCAAGACTTATCGCTTCTTTGATCAATTAGAAGCTCTCGAGTCTCAATCAACAACCTCACTCCATCATCCTCAACCGCAATCGCAACCGCTTCAACCTCGACCACCCCAAAACAACAACTCCATATTTTCAACTCCTCCTCCGGTAACGACAGTTATGCCGCCGGGAGCAAACATGAGTACACTTCCTTCTTCATCAATTCCTCCGTATACTCAGCAGATTAATGTACCTTCGTTTCCAAACATCTCCGGTGATTTTCTATCGGATAATTCGACATCGTCTTCTTCTTCTTATTCGACTTCTTCTGATATGGAGATCGGTGGTGGAACTACGACTACAAGGAAGAAAAGGAAGAGGAAATGGAAGGAATTTTTCGAGCGGTTGATGAAACAAGTTGTTGATAAACAAGAGGAGCTTCAACGCAAGTTCTTGGAGGCTGTTGAAAAGCGAGAACATGAGAGATTGGTTAGAGAAGAATCTTGGAGAGTTCAAGAAATTGCAAGAATCAACCGCGAGCACGAGATCTTAGCTCAAGAACGCTCTATGTCCGCCGCTAAAGACGCTGCTGTTATGGCCTTTCTTCAAAAACTGTCAGAAAAACAACCGAATCAGCCAACTGCCGCACAACCACAACCACAACCGCAACAAGTTCGACCGCAAATGCAGCTGAATAATAACAACAATCAGCAGCAAACGCGTCAACCGTCTCCAGCTCCACCTCCACCTCCGCTTCCGCAGCCAATTGAAGCCGTTGTGCCAACTCTAGACACTACGAAAACGGACAACGGTGATCAGAATATGACTCCAGCTTCAGCGAGTTCCTCCCGGTGGCCCAAAGTGGAGATAGAAGCGTTGATAAAGCTGAGGACGAATCTTGATTCAAAATATCAAGAAAACGGACCAAAAGGACCATTGTGGGAAGAGATATCAGCGGGAATGAGAAGGTTAGGATTCAACAGGAACTCAAAGAGATGCAAAGAGAAATGGGAAAACATAAACAAATACTTCAAGAAAGTCAAAGAGAGCAACAAGAAACGTCCCGAAGATTCCAAGACTTGTCCTTACTTTCACCAGCTCGATGCTTTATATAGAGAGAGGAACAAATTCCACAGCAACAACGTCAACATCGCAGCAGCTTCTTCTTCTGCTCCCGGTCTTGTTAAAACGGATAATTCTGTTCCGTTGATGGTCCAACCAGAGCAGCAATGGCCTCCAGCAGTAACAACGGCAACTACTACAACTACTCCCGCAGCTGCTGCGGCTCAGCCTGATCAGCATCCTCAGCCGTCCGATCAAAACTTTGATGATGAAGAAGGTACAGATGAAGAGTACGACGATGAAGATGAGGATGAGGAGAATGAAGAAGAGGAAGGAGGTGAGTTTGAGCTTGTGCCTAGCAACAATAACAACAACAACAAGACGACGAATAATCTGTAATGATGGTGATTCGAGTTCGAACCAGATCGGTGGTGAAAGATTAGTAATCTTTTTTAAGTTTTGATACAGAAGATGAGAATTTAAATATTGGAGGGGGGTTTGTTTTTTTTTTTTTTTTTTTTTTTTTTCTTTCTTTGATTTTTAAGTTATACATGAGAGATTTTATATGTTAAAACAAAATTAAATAAATGTGATTTAATTATTTTTTCCGGGGATATATAAATAAAATGTTAAGATAGGGGGACAATGTGGGGTTTTCGTAAGCAATTAAAAATAAAAAAACTGTAATTGTATGTTTATTTTAAATGAATGGTTGTTGTTGTTGGTGACGATGTGTGTTATTTGTTTTTGTACATATTATTACCATTATTGTTTTGTCTACATTATAAAAATTAATTACATGGTGGGACTGAGAGACGAGAGTTACTCATCCTTTTTCAGTAACAGTTTCCTTGGTAAGATAAATAAATAAAATAAAACTTTATATTTAATTTTTTAAAAATGAAAAAAAAAAAAGAAGATGCCAAGTTCACATGCACACAATGAGAGAGAGCGTGGGGTTTGGGGTCCACGTGTAAAAAAGGAATCTTACTCTTTTATCTACTCTCTCTCTCTCTCTTCTTCTTCGTTGCCCTAAAACGCAAGACTCTCTTTGTTTTTGTAAGGGTGATCTGGTAAATTATCACTGTGGAACGCACGTGACAGATCCAAGTCCAACCATTTATACAAAAAACTCTTATTTGAGACGATGATGATTCGCTGTTTCACAATTTAATTCATAAGTACTATCGACACATGTTTGGTCGCATTTCCTGATCTGTCTGTTTAACCGAAAAATTGATGTATCTACCGATGATCGTGACTCCTCTTAACGTTTTTTACCTAGTATGTTTTACTTTACTTGCAATATACACATGTATATAAACACTTGCTCGTGGAATAATCCGCAAGGATTAATACATCATACAAATTGTGACTTACATAGATAAAGTTTGGTTCGGTTCATGAACATTCAAGATGTTACAAATTTTGCACATGTTAACAATGTAAGAGCATCATGTATATAATTATATATCCCAACTTGGTTTGTACGTTAAGTAATATGCATATATATACTACATATATGTGTGTGTATATGTTTGTACGCTATAAAATTAAGATGCGGTTAATCATGATGGGTTAGTCCAGTTCTTAATTTATTATCATGCATATATCTAGCTGTAAATACATATTCCTTGATGTTTTTATCCTGTATGTTTTGCAAACTAAGTACTACACTAAATTAAATGAATTATTATGAATTTATTATTACCTAATCAACATTTAATTTAAAATTGACGTTCTGTAATTTTTTCTATATATGTAGAGACCTATTTTTGTGTCAGATTGTTTTTTTTTTTTTTTTTTTTTTGAATTTAATGTCAAATTATATTCAAAAGAAAAATAAACGTTTCTACAACTCAATGCGATGCAATTCAAAACATTTTTGAAACTTTGAAAAGAAAAACTGAGTCTCTCTATAGCCTTGACGCAAACCAAGCGTGGATGGCGCTTGTGGCTTCTCCCCCTCCGATTGTGCTCAACCGGTTTCGTACATTTTTATCGATCAACTTGACAAGTATTTCCGTTGTGTCAGATTGGTTAATTTGTTTTCTTCTCATTTGTGTGTGTGTATACATATTTACATCGAAAATAGTATGTAATTTTATCATGATTTAATTTGTCTATGACTCCTTAAAACCTAGACACGAATCTACAATATCTTACCCAACCTTCGAAGAAAGGAACTGTCTTTTTTCGTCTCTTGCATTATAATATGTGACTGATGTGAGCCCACCTTTAATTTGTTTGGTGTGTGTTATCGTTTATTTGGATCAGATAACAAACACTTTATATTCTTAGCATAAGCAAGTCTTACTTTGTACCGTTGAATTATAGAATATCAATATCTCGTTAAACTAGTTTGAAATTGCGAGTTTAAAATGATTAAACAAGACAATAAGTAGACTTTAAAGTACACGAAAAGGACTTGTAGGAAATTTATATTCTTATTTAATAGTATTGAAAATTGAAATTGCCGGTCCACCGTCCACGGATGTAGAAGGTTGATATATGAAATATTTCTACGTCCATAAATTTCTCTATGTGTTCATTGGATGTTATTTTGAAATAATTCAAGATATTTTGTATCGGTTTTCAATTTCCTTGTGTGGGTGATAATATTTCACCAAGCGACCTACTTACTAGATATCAATTCTATATGATGTCTACATATAGAGTTATAATGAGGTTTGATGTTATTTTGACTTAGTCCATTTTTTCTCGTGTGTTAGATAATTATACTTATGACAAACGATATTTGATATTATCATGTAGCAAATGCGAGGATGATGATATGACAAAGAACTCTTTATCGCTGTCTCTCAAAAATTTATTACAACTCAAATTAGATGCACCGTCTCACTGTATTTAAGACTCAAACTAGATGTTTTTCAAGCAAAATGCGGCTTTAAATGTAAGCAAGAAAGAAAAAATCTTTCGAATTTGCCAAAGGCACTGGTTATCCTCGTAGAGAATTACAAGCTTTCTGAAAACTGAAATTTTGTATCATAAGTATTATTCGTTGTGAATGATCATCAGTCATTAACATTGCACAGTTACTGCGATTTGCAAGAATATACCAGGGAAATTTTGTAATGCTATAACATGATTTTAGACCATAGATGTGTAATGAACTCGAACAATTTGTGGCACTGAGTAAGTACCTCCATGAAAAGCAATCAACAAGTGGACAGCATTTTATCGCTGTATATCTCGAAATAATGTTCTCCAATCATTTTTTCCACCCAACTTTTATTTCCTGTCACCAAAAATTATATTATTTACTTTTCAAAACCCAAAAAAATTGTTGCATTTAAACAAAAAACTATTTTTTCAGAAAAAAAAATCCATAATAATAGATAACTTAGATGGTCTGAATGATGCAGCAGTCAAACGTTTCTACGATAGCCACAAATTTGAAAGTTTGGTTATGTTGCTTGTTTGGTTACGACTTACGAGTTTAGGTCTAATGATTTTGAAACTTAATTGTCAAAAAACTATATACCGACAACATATATGATAATTGAAAAAAAAGAATGAAACTTGGAAAACCCGAAGCGCAGAGAAGTGGGCATGGAAAAGGGAAAATGAGATGTGAGAAAGAATGGTGGCTACTTATTAGGAACGGAATCTTCTTCTTTTTCTTTTCCGCAAATGTTTTATAATTTCTATTTGCATCTCCTTTTTTCGAGAGGCTAAAACAATGATGACGACCCAAATACTGTATATTGTATATGAGCAATTACGAATTCAATAGAATGGTCACAGGAAACAAAATTGAAAAATATGTATGAGATTCAGTTTCAAATTCTAACAAGTAGATCTTGAAGATAAATTATTTCCTTCGAATCCTTTGGAATTGAAAAGTTCTTGAGCATTACGGGAATATAACAGTTACAGTTCAAGACATTTTTGAAAAGTTTCCCCTAATTGACCTAAAAGAAGTGATATATCCAAAAAGAAAGTGATTCTTTTTGCTATAAATGGTTTTTTGATAAATAAGTTTGGGCAAAGCATAATATCAAAGTTAGCTTTTACTTTTGTTTTGAGTTTTGACACGACAAAGGTCAACATTTCGTGGGGGGACATAAAGAAGTTTTAGGCAAATGATTTCTCATGGCGTTGAAGAGCAAAATTCTATTTTCTATGACTCTAAAATATGCCACGGAACATCTTTTACTTTGTTTTTTCGCGGTTACAAAATTCACATATGTATATATAAATTCATTCTATTGTTACATGTTCTGCCGGTATAAGTATATGATCTGCCTATATAGATACATGTTACATACTGATGTAGTCCTAGAAATATCCATGACTCATCAAGGATTGGTTCAAGGAAAATCAAGATCAAATTATAAAGAAGTTTCTAGAAGACAATCAATTCATGGCTATATCAAGAAAGTGTCTAGATACAAAGAACCAATCTCCATCAATGATGATTGATAAAATCTCTCAAATTTATTCTTGATTGATTCATGTAATTAATTTGATTTATTTTGTACTTATGTTATTGATTTGTAAATTGAGCCTATATAAGCTCATGTTTCCCTTCATTGTAAATATATAGATTTTTTGGAAAAAAATAAAGAGAGAGTTTCTCACTTTTAAAAGCTTAGGCTTTGTTTGCTTGTCTTTTCTATTGTGTGTGATTCCTTTAGAAAGCAAGTTGAATCTCTATCTTTGTGTGCGATTCACATAGATATTGATTTGTGTTCTTATCACAAAGTCATTCCATAACTTTGTGTGGCGAACTTCGATCCATCCAACTATCCATCTCCATCTCTATCGAATCTGTTGAGAGTGACCTTAGTCCAGCGACAGTTTCACCATCTATTCACTTCTATCTTCATCTTCCCTTCCATTCGAATCTGTTGAGAGTGACCTTTTAGTCCAGCAACAGCTTCTCCATCAATCACCACGCTCGTCTTATATCATCTGGTATCAGGGCTAAAAGCTCCTATCTCTTATTGTTTCATTTCAGTTAAAAAAAAAGAAAAAAAAAAAAAGAAAAAAAAAAAAAATCGTTTTCTGTTTTATTTAGTTCGTTTTAAAAAAATATATATACAAAAAAAAAAAACTTTGTTTTGATTTGTTGAATTTCAGTTTTATTTGAAAAAAAATTTTAAAAAATCTTTTATTTTAATTTCGTTTTTGTTTTCTTCAATATCAAAAAAAAAAAAAAAATGCACACTTTGGTTTTAGTTTTGAGGACAAAACCTTTTCAAGAAGGAGAGAGTGATGTAGTCCTAGAAATATCCATGACTCATCAAGGATTGGTTCAAGGAAAATCAAGATCAAATTATAAAGAAGTTTCTAGAAGACAATCAATTCATGGCTATATCAAGAAAGTGTCTAGATACAAAGAACCAATCTCCATCAATGATGATTGATAAAATCTCTCAAATTTATTCTTGATTGATTCATGTAATTAATTTGATTTATTTTGTACTTATGTTATTGATTTGTAAATTGAGCCTATATAAGCTCATGTTTCCCTTCATTGTAAATATATAGATTTTTTGGAAAAAAATAAAGAGAGAGTTTCTCACTTTTAAAAGCTTAGGCTTTGTTTGCTTGTCTTTTCTATTGTGTGTGATTCCTTTAGAAAACAAGTTGAATCTCTATCTTTGTGTGCGATTCACATAGATATTGATTTGTGTTCTTATCACAAAGTCATTCCATAACTTTGTGTGGCGAACTTCGATCCATCCAACTATCCATCTCCATCTCTATCGAATCTGTTGAGAGTGACCTTAGTCCAGCGACAGTTTCACCATCTATTCACTTCTATCTTCATCTTCCCTTCCATTCGAATCTGTTGAGAGTGACCTTTTAGTCCAGCAACAGCTTCTCCATCAATCACCACGCTCGTCTTATATCACATACAGAATCATAGAAGATTAACATAAATAAAAGAGAAATTGTTAAAAATACCCCTTTTTCAATACCCCTTTTCAAAAATGCTCCCTTTGAGAGTCCATTTTTAAGTTTGCCCTCTTTTAATTTTTAATGACCATTTTACCTTTATTTCAAACAAAATTAGGTCCACAAAATACAAAATATTTTTTGGCGGGAAAAGTGATCCCGTAATTTTCCCGCCAAAACACTTGTAAAAACCTTTAAAATACCTTGTAAAATTTTCCCGTAAAAATTTTTCCCGCCAAAAAATTTTTTTTGCGAGAAAAGTGATTCCGCAATTTTTTTGGCGAATTTTTTTTGGCGGGAAAAATTTACAAGGTATTTTAAAGGTTTTACAGAGTATTTACAAGTGTTTTGTAAGGTTTTACAATGTATTTTAAAAGGTTTTACAAGGTACTTATAAGGTTTTATAAGGTATTTATAACTTGTAAAACCTTATAAAAAACTTGTAAAACCTTATAAAATCTTATAATATCTTATAAATATCTTATAAATACGTTGTAAAACCTTTTAAAATACATTGTAAAACCTTATAAATACCGTGTAAAAAACCTTTAAAATACCTTGTAAATTTTTCCCGCCAAAAAAATTGCGGAATCACTTTTCCCGCAAAATTTTTTTTTTGGCGGGAAAATTTTACAAGGTATTTTAAAGGTTTTTACAAGTGTTTTGGCGGGAAAAATTGCGGGATCACTTTTCCCGCCAAAAAATATTTTGTATTTTGTGGACCTAATTTTGTTATATTTCCTTATATATTTGTGATATCTTTTATTAAAAGAAGGGTAATTTAGTCATTTTGTATATAAAAAGGGGTATTTTTAAAAATGGACAGCCAAAAAGGACATTTTTGAAAAGGGGTATTGAAAAAGAGGCATTTTGTGAGTCTCCCTAAATAAAAACTCCACAAAAATTAATTAGAAAATAAATTTCTTTATCATCAAGTTTTATTTACTTATGCTTTACTAATTTTTATTTTTATCTGTTTCCTGTTAAATATATCTTTTCACTGTACAATCTTAGTTAATAATGTAGTCTTTTCATTTAAAAAATTCAATACGACATTATTATTTTCTGGCACTATTCAATACTAACATTAATTCCAATATAATGTGTGTGTGTTGGGTTCCACCTCGTGACATGTAGGCACATATTACAGAAAGAAACGCACCAACGCCATCTACCACACGGACTCTACTTTTGATTACACAATTTAAGGTAAATTTATATATTAGAAATTTAGAATGGGATAAGAAATAAGAAGTTAAAGTTGAGATCATATTAAAAAAGAGAGAAAAAAAATGATGAAAACGACGACCCAATTTGAATTTGTAGGTCCAAAAGTTTATTACTTGTGTCGGGTACCCATGGATATAGATGGATGCTTGATTACCCTTGGCTTCTCCCAACCAATTGGGCCAATTTTGATTCAAATTTCATCGGTTGATACTAGTGAACCTTTTGGTTATATAATTACTAGTTTTAGATACACATCTCACATATTTCTATAAAAACAATTATTTTATTAAATATATATCACGAAATGGAATACTAATAACTAAAAAATCAAGCCATTTACTTACATTTGTTGTATATGCTTTTTTTCTTCAACCCCATTTTACAGAAAAGTGTATATAATAAAATGATTATAAAACCATTTAGGTGAAAAGATTATTGTTAATGTCCATAGGTGAAGATGTTTTGTTCAACACAATCTCGAACTCACTTGTCTCATTGTCTCCTTCTCCCTCTTCTTCTTCATCGTACTCATCTTCTTCACTCTCTCCTTCTTCTTCATCTTCTTTGTCACCAACTTTGTCCCTTTGATCAGTCTCAAACTCAGTCTGGGTTTCTTGTGAGAGAAGCAACTGTCTCTGAGGAGTCACCATTAGAGGCAATGGCAATGGCATTGTCCCACTTTTGTTCCTCTCGTTGTATAAAGCTTCGAGCTGGTGAAAATAAGGGCAAGTCTTGGAATCAAGGGGACGTTTCTTGTTGCTTTCTTTGACTTTCTTAAAGTACTTGTTTATGTTTTCCCACTTCTCTTTGCATCGTTTCGCGCTTCTATTGTATCCCAATCTTCTCATCCCTGCAGAGATCTCTTCCCATAATGGCCCCTTAGTACCATTTTCTTGATAGTTAGCTTCAAGATTCTTCCTTATCCTTATCAAGGCCTCGACCTCGGTTTTAGGCCATCTTGAAGAACTAGGAGATACCGAATGGTTGTTATCGTAATTCCCCATCTTCATTGTTGTATCCAATAGTACCGGCCTTGGCTCTTTACTCTCAAACGTTATTGAATGATCGCTTAGATATTGTTTCCTTTGTGATGGTTTATGATTATGCTGTTGCGGTTGTTGTGGTTGTCCTCCTGAGATTTTGTGTAAGAAGGATATGATTGCAGCGTCTTTAGCTGCAGCATTGGACCTCTCATGGATTAAAATTTCGTGTTCTCTGTTGATTCTCGCTATCTCTTGGACCCTCCAAGCTTCTTCTCTTGAGATTCTCTCTTTTTCACGATACTCCAGTGTTTCCAAGAACCTTTTTTGCATCTTCTCTTGTTTCTCCATCAACTCTTTTGTCAACTTCGTAAACAATCCTTTCCAATACTTCCTCTTCTTTCTCGATCTCTTTCCCTGATGATGATCTTCTTCCTCGTCAGATGCAGTAGATGAAGAAGTTGAGCTCGAGAAAAGATTCAGCGATGAAACATTGTTCATCAGGTCATTTGGAATTGGCGGCTGGCTAACAGTAGTAGTATTGTTGTTACTATATAAAGGGAAAGGCGTCGTAGACGATGGTTGCTTGCCGAGGAAGGTAGGGTTTGTGCTAATGGGCTGTGCACTAACCTGATGATGATGTTTCAACGGTGAAGAAATTTTTTCGGTTGATGGATTGCTAGAGCTTATCCATGGTATCAAGGTAGTGGTTCCGGGGACGGTCGTGACGGCTGCAGAAGATTTCGCTGGCTGCGACTCCGGTTCAGGTTGGTAGGAACTGAGAGTCTCGAAAGCTTCTAACTCTTCGAAAAAAACGGTACGTTTTGCCTTCGGATTTCCCGGTACGACCTTCTTTGGTACGTTTGTGGTACTTGTACACGTTCTCGAACTTCTCCTTGCATTTCTTTGAACTTCTCTTGTATCCAAGCTCCATCATTTTCCTAATTAGGTATGTATCAATCAATTAAAACCGATAATTAAGAAACAAAACATATCTAAACTTGTTCTTAGATAGTTGTATTGAATTACTCTTACATACCACCTATAAACATATAAATAACCTTATAAGAATATTCAAATGAATTACTGAATATTATGACTACGCATATACATCCCATAAATGTGTAAGAAGAAAATATATGATCATAAAATTTCTGTTTATAAAATATAAATATGCATGTAACAAATTATAAATTTATAACAAACCTGGAGATTTCTTCCCATAAGGGAGCTTTAAGAGTAGAGTCACGAAAAGCTTTATCCATCTCTGAACGTATTCTCAATAGAGCTAAAGTCTCCGGTCTTGGCCACCGGTTTCCCCCGCCGCCGGCTCCCTCGCCGATTTCCTCCAGCTTCATATCTTTTTCCTCCTCACCGGAACCTCCCACGCCGCCACCGGAACTCTCTAACAGTCCTGAAGAGTTTCCAGACATACTTAAGACTCGAATTTGAATCTTTCTTGAGCTAGATGAGGAGAGTTTGAAGAGAAGACGAAGGTTGTGGTTGAATTTCCTTTTTCTTTTCTTTTAAATTTTTTTTTGTCTATTGTGATTTTTATCTTAGGGGTATTTAATTGGGTGGGATGGACCATTTATCTAGATCTTATAAATATAATACAATTTTGTTCGTAAAATTTATTTTGTATATATTTTATTTCTTTCTATATTACAAAAAGAGGAGTAGGACTTAAAAGGGGAACTTTTTTCGCTTTCCTTCTGTCTTTTAATTTGGGAATCTTCTCATTGCTTATTAGAAAATTTTGGTACCAAAAATTAAAGTAATTTCAAATAAAATAAACTTTATGTATAATTTATTTCCATAACCGGTAAATAAAGTATACGTCTGGTTCACCTGATTAATGATTGGTTTGATCAGTATTTTCGGCAAATAAATTTTTCAGAAACTCACCATAGATTAAACTGTAAAATTGGATTTTGCAAACTCTAATTTTATGATCGGATATGTACTAAAAACAATTGTTGACTGTATCAAACTATCAATTCATATTAAACCTAATTATTTAATACAAAATTTTAACGTGGATATATAATTGGACGGTGTTTAACTGTCCCACTTTACCACTTGTGAGTTGTGTTGTGACCTGTGAGTTACTTAATTAGAATAATTTCTCTATTACACGTCTTTTAATTATTGGAGTGACTTTAATATTAGGTTACTATAAAAGTATAGAGTATATTCATAGTAAATAGAACGAAAAAAAAACCCACAATGATGATTCGAATTGAAAAAATAACAATAGTATAAGATTGTGAGCTGTGGAGAAGCCTAAGAATATTATTACATTAATCTTTAAATGATTGAGATCATAATGGATGCTTTTTCGTATAAATTATTATATAAGGCAAAAAAATAATCAAAGGTAATCAACAAGAACAGCTGCAGATAGAGACGATAGGGATAATATTCGGGTAATGTAGGCCCACGTGGGCCCACAATAGCTTCTCACCGCCGCTGGATCAAATCGCAAATTGGTCACGACACCGACTGTTAAATTTACCTTTTTACCCCCAAATGTTGACCTCTTTAATCATGCAACTAGTAGTTTATACAAAACCAAAAACACACACGTCATTGTTCACCGTATGATTTATTTTTCAATGTAATCTATAAATGGTGAAACATTACATTTTATAGTTTATACTTTGACGATTTGATGTATGTATATAGAGCGGTGTGTGGGCGTAATTAATATACGTGGGAGGTTTTGATGTAACATATATCAAATTACGGTATTAAATTAGACGAGGAGTTAGATAAATGTCGAGGTTATATATGGTTATTAGGCGGATATCAAAGCATTTATGAGAAAAAGCAAGTAGAGAGACATGATTTAGTTAGCTTATGACCTACCTTATTTAATGTTATTGAACTATTCCGGTGCCTAATAAGTAATAATGTAACGATTTCTTACGTAAGTATTTCATTATTTTGTTGTTTCTTCGACAACCACTGGTTCTTTTTCTTCTTCTTTATAAAAAGTGTACCGGTTTTTTTTTTTTGAAGATATCATGTCAGTATAGATCAACGTGTTTTCCGTTCGTAGACACATTAATTTGTATTAGATAAATCAAAATAAGTAACGTAAAACTACATCTTAATTGGTAACATAAATGTAAAAAACTAGCGAACCTTGTACGTCACATTAAAACTGAATTGCTTTTCACTGGTCCATTTTATTAGACTATACGTGATGAAGTTATTAAAATTTTAAAACTAAGATAACTTTGTAGTTATTGACGAGTTTAAAATATTTTATAATGCTATTTATTATTCCATCTATTTTAACGATATTTTTAGTTTAATATTAGAAAAAGTAATTAACATATGTTATACAATTCTGTGTTACAATTGTAAGATGATCACACTCAATTTTAGGAATAAAAATTTTCAATGCAATCACCTCAACGAGCTGATGATGGTAACATTCTGCATAAGCACAATTTGTATTTTATTAGAATTCTGCATAATTCTGGCATTTGTATTCTGAATCTGTGTGGTTATGATCACAAAAAGAAAAGAAAGATGCAAAACTGTATAAACATAGAAAAAGCAATCACATTTAAGTTATGGAGATGTTTAGTTTAAGTATAACAAAACATTAATAGGAGAATGGACAATCTTACTGGCAGTTTGTTTTTTGTCTGAAACGACAAACTTATCTCCCACTTTTTTCGCATCTTTCTTCTTTGTTCTGTTCATTTTCTTCATAATTTATTTCCGAAATTATATATTCGTACGTATTATTAGTTTCTTTTTCTAGTCTATAAGGTGAAAAATAAATAAAAAGAGAGAAATTAAAAAGCAGTGGTTACAAATGAGCTGGATTCAGATGTATTTCCACTACGTATGGCTCTGTAAAGTGACCCCAACTTGATCCCTTTCTACGTATGTATAGTATAATACATACACCGATTATACTTCTATAACTTGTAGTATAATAATTATTGAATATACATATAGTTATACATATAATTCTTGTTTATAACATGTGAACACAGTGCGAGTAATAGTGAATAATGTGATCGTTGTTACATACTTGTAAAAGTAAAAACTTATTATAGGCTATAGAAATTCATTCAATAAATCAATATATTTCACCGAAATGACCGATGAAAAAAACAAAAAAAAATTTATTAAATGCATTTGTCACCTATAGACTTATTTTTCGAGGATGGTACCAAATGATTCCAACTCCATAAAGATTACCTGTACTCTCCTTTTACAATCGACTTGACCCAATAAATTAAATGCTATTAATTTCTACAATTTCTTGTATATATGTATATTTTAAATTTTATTTATTGCAACCAAAGTATTCCGTATTATTTATAGTACAATTGAGTAAATTGTAATTTGTAAATAATACCAACTAAAATCGAGAGAGGCTCTAAACCGATTAGAAGCTGGGACAGATTTGAGCAGCGTAGGCGTAATATCAAGAGCCGTTAAGTAATGTGACGTGTCAAAGTCTGGGCCGTTCGATCTATTTTAAGTGACGTGTAACGTTTTTGTATGTGATATTTCCCACGTAGGATATTATTTTTCGCTTACGTGGATTTTTGAAGCCTTTTTCTTTTGTCCGAAATACGTTGCTTTATTTCCAACAAACCATGTGAGAGCAATAAAAAAGAAAAATAAAAAAATTCCTTAAAATAGCGAAACAACTTTATTCCATTTGACAATAATATCACGTCGAGAAAAATGTTTTTTTGGCCGTAGACACTAATTTTTGAAAATAAATTTGTGTATTTTCTTATCTGTATTTTGTAAAACAGTGGTACAGAAAAAATAAACTACATTGGTGATTAGTTGATTTCCTTTTTTAGGGATTTCTTTTATTAATATTTTTTTTATTACGAGTATTCATTCATCTTATTGAGTTTCTTCTATAAAGGTATACATATCTAATATTTATATATACTGATGGTCAACCTCATTTGTCATGCCAAGTTCGTTACCGTCTATCGTTTTCAGACAGGTCATTGTCAACTATAATAATTGGAATAATTGACATATTTTGATCTTACCGTAACCTTGCTTGGCTTGACCCAAATAAAAAACGTAACTACAATAGAAATTTTTAATAAATAAATGGACCCATTATTCATTTTAATTTATTTTCTTGTAGATACTAGATAGCACTTCAAAATTTACTATTATGGCTTCTTTTTCATAAGTGTCAATTATTTTGTACACTAGTTGGGTTTCACAATTGTCCAACTTAAATGATTTTAAGCTTGGGCCTTTACTTATTAATACGACTTATGAGGAGGCCCAATACGTTACTTTTCAAATCCAGTTATCCTCATTTCGAATAAATCTGTACTTTGAGCACAACACAGTTTAAGACAACAAACGAAAAAAGAAATAAGTTGATGGATGTATAATTGAATATATGAGTACGAACTACGAAGATAAGAAATATTGAAATGATTAGTTGTTTGAGGGCTTTATTAAGTTTCCATGATAATTTACATAAAGTCATATATCGATGTTAAGGCTTCTTCTTTTTATAGTCAAGTTCTTTAATGAAGAATTCTGCAGGACTAACTCGATCACTAGACCTATACCACCTGGTTTGATTATGAGATTCTTCATATCGAATAATTTATACGGAAGTTCAAAAAATGGTGAAATTGACAAAATTGTTTAAGGTATGATCCTTAACATTGACGAAATTATGCTTCGTATAGGCAACACGCTTTCGAGATTATTTATATGTTCTAATCATTTAAGCACACATATATACTATGTACGTGTGTGTTTAAGCTGATTTAAATTAGTGACTTGATCAAAATTGTAGTAACCAAATTGGTTTTATTTTATTCTCCTGCTGCGTGACATTGAAGCCCTCCTGGTCATAGGTAAATAGGTCTCTCACTCGCACCACGATTTTTTTTTATTTCTTTTAGGTATTTAAAATAGTTTAAACTACTAATCATTCAACCTGTTTTTGTATACTAGTGGCTCGGTGGATACTTTTGCTTTTGGGTTGGTTTTGTTCGTGCCAACTTTTATTTAAACTATTTAAACACAGTGCAATGATATTTGCTTCATTTTCCAATTTATTTTGCATTGTTATCTTTGTAATTCATATTCCTTATACACTACAGTATTCGTTGTAAGTTGTAACCATGGCTAGATTATAATGATATAATATAGATCAGTAAGTAAATTACATTATCAAATACAAAAAATTTATTCAACGATTTTAAAATGATACCAAACTAATATGAATAGTCAACATTTTCATGGTCTTGTTTACAAGGCCAAAATATCTACAATTTCTTTAGGATTTTAATATAAATTTTAATGTCAATAGTTTTTTTCATCAACATGCATTATAACAAATTTAAATTCGGTGAGTGACACAATAACAACACTAGTACAAACCATTACTACAAATGTTTGTTGAATGTCACTAGTTTTTCAAATAAAGAAAGCGAATAATAGCAAATAATATTAATGAATAATTTGAAAATAGTAGTTTATTCTATATTAAAAAAAAAAAATTACCCAAAAAAAACTACCACTAACCATGATTTTCCTTACATTTCAATTTTCCATATATGAGATTAAAGCCTCTATATCTCAGACCAGTTCGAGGCTTTTGAGGTCAAAGTCAACCTTTTTGATGTGCCTTACCTGCCACGACGTATCGCTTTCCAAAATAAACATAAATCCACAAAATTTATTCTTTTTGTCGTTTTCTTATAACTCGAATCGGAATTAGTTGTTTCTAGCTTGCAAATCTTTCACAGCATTGATTCCAAATAAATAAATAATTTACTACTAGTATTTTAATAATATGAACACATCTCTTTCTCCACCTATGCGCAATGATCTTTTTTCTTCTTCGTATATTGTTTTTGGTTTTTAATAAAAAAAAAAAACAGATGATACAGTCGACAATACAAATTCGGATAATATATCGCATATGTTTAATGTTTGTAATCTATATATTTAAATATCTCAACGCCACTGTTACAAAACAAACTCCATAACATTAATAATGGTAAGTAAAAAGTAGTAGTAGTAGTTAAATAAGACTAAAAGTACATAATCAGGGGTATTATAGGTATTTACACGTTATGTTGGATGGAAGAAATTGTCTTTATGACGAGTGTGTGTTGCTCAACTAATCTCATCACGGATTGATCAATCTCAGCCGTTCAAATTTACAGAATAAATAGACTTTTTACCTTATCCATTTATCCATATCTATTTGTTCTCACGTAATCAATCTTCCATTTTTCCTACTAATAATCAAATAATAGGTGAAATAGATTTTTTTGGGTATATGAAAGTTGACAAATAATTAAGAAGTTTGAAGAAATCGACCAAAGCCAATGATAGTGGAATTTAAATATAAAAGTGAAGTCCAATCAAAGGGATATGATTTTGCTACAAAAGGATGAAAAAGCTTTATGAGTTTGAGACTTGTCGTTTCCGCATAGATTTGCACTAATAAATTTATTATGGCTGGCAGCCAAACACATCGTGTGACTTTCGATATTAATAAGAGTTTGAATAGTTGGTTTAAGAAAACGTTACAAATTTTATTTCATCTTTGGGCAGATAGCCATCAATATTATGTTAATCTACATTTAAAGAATGTTTTATGAGAAACCAAAGTTGAATAATCTCATCAAAGAACGGTAGGTAAACCCTACCATATTTAACAACCCTTAAAACTATTTCCTGTATTCACATTTTGTATATCAATTTTCTGTTATACTCATCATGACAACTTTTTTTTTGTTGGTAAAAAACATGTACATATTTAGATGTTATCAACAACATGACCGACTTACAAGTTAAGAAACATAAATCTTACCTAGAGATAATCTCTACAAAATTGTTTTTGGGGATATATCCAAGAAATGAGAGGAGGTCAACGACTAAAAACAACTTGCTGAATATATAAAAAAAATTCTGCTCAGTGGAGATATTATTTGTTTAACATTAATTTCTGTTTCATTTATTGTTATTTTATAGTAATTAAATTTCTTGCACAAACAGAGAATATTATATAGTCAAGAGAGTAATAAACAGTTTCATTAATATTTTATTTTATGTAATACTATAAAATAGTGAAAAAATTGAAGATGTGTTCGTGTTCGTGGAGCGGAGAACAACGTAGTTGGTTTCCGCGTGCTGTACGAGACAGATAACTTCTAGAGAGAGAAACAAAGATCGAGACAAAAAAAAAACCCTTAAAGGATTTGAACGGAGAAGACGAGGAAAAACAAAGACAGAACTCTTGTAAGTTCTGACCCAATTTTTGGTTTCTTTATGTTTTGTCTGGAAAGTTTCAAGATTTGATTTTACGGTTCTCTTTACATTTCTGGGTTTTGGGGGAAGCATTTTGAGGTGTGAAGTGTCTCTCTTTTTGTTCTTCGAATTCATTAACAGATCTCTCTGTTTTTATGTTCGAGTATCAATCTTCTGTGTGTGTGTTTCATGTAGAATTGGTCAAATTTTAAAGCTGTGATTATGAAACTCTAGATCTATATCTCTTTATAGACCAATTTAATCAACTAAAGATTTAGATAAGAAAAGCCCTAATTTGTGATCTACTATATGATCCAGAATCTAGAGTCTTTGTTTCTACTTGATTTATGTAAATCTTGAAAGTTTCCTTTTTTTTGTTTTCTCTTCTTGAAGTAGTAAAGACTTATCTTTTCTCAATTGAATCCAAAGAATACTTAGAGGGTTTATACTTGGAATCAGATCTCAAATTATTTGGGACCAATAAACAGACTTTGTTCTTGGGGGCAGAGACTGTTTGTTTCCTTTTTCTTTTTTTACTTCTTTAGAAGATTCTTCATTTGAAATCTGTCTTTCAATTTTGAAGTTGTTGTCTTCTCTTTTTACTAAATGTGAATCAAAAGAATGTTTCTTAATTTTTTAAAAAGCCTGTGGTGTTTCCTGCTTTTGGTCCATTGATGAGAATCTTCTTTTCTTCTCTTCCCTGCCATTGCTTTGTTATTAAGTATCATTCAGAATTTGAATCAAACTCTGCTTTTGTGTCTTTCAGAAACTTGAGAGAGAGAGAGAAAATGTCGTTCCGCAGCATAGTTCGTGATGTGAGAGACAGTATAGGAAGTCTGTCGAGGCGTAGTTTCGACTTTAAGCTAAGCAGCTTGCACAAAGAAGGTGGGAAATCTCGTGGTTCGGTTCAAGATTCTCACGAGGAACAACTTGTAGTAACGATTCAAGAAACCCCGTGGGCGAATCTACCTCCAGAGTTATTGCGCGATGTGATCAAAAGACTTGAAGAGAGCGAAAGTGTGTGGCCTGCTCGTAGACATGTGGTTGCTTGTGCTTCTGTGTGCAGGTCATGGAGAGATATGTGCAAAGAGATTGTTCAAAGTCCCGAGCTCTCGGGCAAAATCACATTTCCTGTTTCGCTTAAACAGGTTAGATTTCCGATTCTTTCTACTGTCATAATCACATATGTTTTGGTTAATCTTGTGATGATTTCATGTTTCTTTTTCGGTGTTTATAGCCGGGACCAAGAGATGCAACAATGCAATGCTTTATCAAGAGGGATAAATCTAACTTGACTTATCATTTATACCTTTGTCTCAGTCCTGGTAAAGCTTCATTTTATCTGATTTTGTTCCAAATCTTTCTCTTTTTTCGCCTCATATCGATAATCTGTTTTTATGTTTACTATTCAGCTTTGTTGGTTGAGAATGGAAAGTTCCTTCTTTCTGCAAAACGCATAAGAAGAACTACTTACACCGAGTACGTGATCTCTATGCACGCCGACACCATTTCGAGATCAAGCAATACTTACATTGGCAAAATCAGGTAAAAGTCTTTGCCTAGTTATAAAACATATTGAAGCGAAAGTTTCCGGCTTAATCCGTGATTTCTTCTTCTCTTTTGCAGGTCTAATTTTCTTGGGACGAAGTTCGTAATATACGATACACAACCTGCATACAACAGCAACACCGCTCGAGTGGTCCAACCGGTAGGCCTTAGCCGCAGATTTTACTCAAAGAGAGTCTCTCCCAAAGTACCGAGTGGGAGCTACAAAATTGCGCAGGTTTCTTATGAACTAAACGTTCTTGGTACTCGCGGTCCAAGGAGAATGCATTGTGCGATGAACTCAATTCCCGCCTCTTCCCTCGCTGAAGGCGGAACCGTGCCTGGACAGCCCGATATCATTGTCCCGCGCTCTATTCTCGACGAATCGTTCCGCAGCATTACCTCCTCCTCGTCGAGAAAAATCACTTACGATTACTCGAACGATTTTAGTAGCGCACGGTTTTCCGACATTCTCGGCCCGTTAGGCGAGGACGAAGAAGCGGTATTAGAAGAAGGGAAAGAGCAGATTTCGCCACCACTTGTGCTTAAGAACAAGCCGCCGAGGTGGCATGAACAGCTTCAATGCTGGTGTTTAAACTTCAGGGGACGCGTAACTGTCGCATCAGTTAAGAACTTTCAGCTGATTGCTGCAAACCAACCTCAGCCCCAGCCTCAACCGCAACCTCAACCTCAAATTCAGCCTCTAACTCAGCCGCAACCGTCGGGTCAGACCGATGGTCCCGACAAGATCATATTGCAGTTTGGGAAAGTGGGAAAAGACATGTTCACGATGGATTTCCGGTATCCGCTCTCAGCGTTTCAAGCTTTCGCTATCTGTTTAAGCAGTTTCGATACGAAACTCGCCTGCGAATAATTCAAAAAGTCAGCTTTGTATGTAATGTTTTCAGATTTGCTTTGGAGATTCTTGTTTCGTGGTGTTTTATTTTTCACCGAGAATCTCAGAATTAGATTTGTTTTCAAGCTTTCATATATTCTGATCTGCTTATGTTGTTTATTGTTGCAACCAAAAAAGTTCATTCGAGTTTGGTTTTTCAAATCCATAATTTGATTTGTATTCATAACGGTCAAAACTTAAAACGAGAATAACTAGAAATCATAAATCTGTATTTGGTTATTGAAATTTATCTCCGATTTTACATTGATGACAAGTTTGATACATATAAAAAGATTTTCAATAAGAAAAAAAAATGGATATACATGAAATTATGTTAAGGGTAGGAGATGGAGCAAATGACAGAGACCGAGAAGTGAGCACACTGCTTGCCGGCTTGACGTCAGAGCAGGTTTTAGAAAACGGCAAGCATTCTTTGTTGGGAAAAGCTACATCGCAGAACACCAGCTCTTGCGTTACCACGGTGGTACGTACGGATCGATGCGACTTATCGTTGGTAGAAACATCGAATGATCAGAAATACTATCTCTCTATCGTGTGTGAAAGACAAAGATTTCAATGGTTGTCTTCGAGATTTATAGTTACTTTTTAGAGATTTTTAATTGTATTAGTAGTAGATTTTTATTATTAGTGTCAAACTATTGTATATTCTTCTACAATTTTAAATACTAAAGGACCAATCGTTTGTGAATATGGTGTGAAGAGTCCATCAAGTAGAGAGACACCCCACGTTAGCGCATCATTTAAATTTACGTTCTTTATGAAAGATTTTGTTCAAGTTCTTTAATAGTTGTTAGGTGGTTTAAATAAAAGTAATGACGAGGAATATGTATGTTTGTGTTTATTTTCACATTTGATAAAAAAAAGTGTTTATTTTTACAAACAAAAATATGAATTAGCTTTTTTTTTTTGTTGATATTCATTTATTTGCCTCACAATTCATAAAAAAGTTTAGCTAAACTTGATATTGAATATTGGTGATCTTGTTTTGGAGGTGTGGACCAATCAAACAACAAATCAACCACTATGTGCGGATTTTTGCGAGGAAAATAAAATGATTGGATAACTAAAATAAGAATTGACCTAACTACGATAGTTATAGTTTAATTAACCAAGTTATGTGACATAATCAAAATTTCATCTCCCTACATCTTGGTGATCCAAAAGGCAAAAATGTATTTGAAGGGCCATCCTGCAGAGTCGTCTTTAAAAGGGTCAATGTGGTTATGCTCCTAGTTGCCGATTTTAATTAGTAAAAGATCGTTAAGATTTTAATTCATTTTCTAAACAGATACATATATGATAAGTGATAAGCTAAATCATAAGACTAATTGGTCTATCAAATTGTACTATTTTCCTTGGTCAGCTATTATTCGTTTTCTTTTGGAAGTTTTTGAAAAAAACATTAAGATTGTTTTCTTCTAACCAATCTTAATCAAGAAAGTGTGTTATGAATCGTATTTTGAAAATGAAATATTATCCTTTATAGACCACTTTAATATTGAACGTTAAATTAATTACGGTATAAGGTTTGTGTGTTTAATAATTGTCAGCTACAAGAGTGGTGGAGCACTAAATCACACCACCAAAGCTTGTGAGTTGTGATTACTCTCATAATGTATTGTAATCTTGTTGTCAGCGTTTTGCATACCAAATTCTATTACAAGGACCAAAACATGCAATATAGTGATTTAGTTTGTAAGGTTTGGTTAAAACAAGCACAACACATCCATAAGTAAAATAAAACGAAAGTTTAAATTGTTAATCCAATGTTTTCCACGGCTTAAGCCTGAATATAGGAATATCAAACTGTTTTCCGATGCGCCACACCCACACTTTTGCTTGATAGATTTTCGACTCTTCGTCCATATCTATAGCCCAAAATGTTAAACCAATAGAGAAGACCAGCAACATATTTGTAACTTGGTTGTACAGCTCAACAAACACAAGTTTTGTTCACTGAACTTTGCTGTTTCTCAATAGCAAAAAGTGTCACCTCATGAATCAATTCAGCATTGCTTTTTTTTTTTTTTTTTTTTTCTGGCTAAGAAGTAGTGGTGAATGATCCAATGATCTAGTATGGAACGCGTAATCAATTAGTCAAACAACAAATATTGTCTTATATATTCATCGTCTTTCACTTCCCCACCATGATTAGAATTCAGAACCGTAACGACAGGGTCGGTCCTGAAATTTTAGGCCAAAGCAAAATTTTGGAGGAGTTTTTAACAGTTTCTTAAATATATAAACAAGTTTTAACATTTTGTAAACTTTAGGACCTTTGTTGCAAACAAATATAAAATTAAGGACCAATTTTTTTTTTTTGGGCTGAAGCCATGTTTCAGGGCCCTGCGTAATGACGAGAGAAGAGAAACAACGCATCTGTCTGAAGATTCTGTATACAATGTAAAGAAAAACCTAAATCATAATGGGCTTTACACTTATGATTTAGGACCTTAAAAGCCCATCAATCTAAAAATCTACAGTATCAAAATACAAGGGTATAATCGTCATTTCAGCATCTGAAGCCCTAATTTCATCGTCTTTATCTAAGCTTCAAACTTCAATCCCAGATCTGTTTTCTCGCTTTCTTCTCGCCGATTAGCTATTTTATGGGGAGGTTCTAGTTTGTCGAAACTTAGTTTGGTAATGGTTTTTCTTTATTGCTTCTAGTTTTTCAAAATATTTGTTGGTAATGGGTTTGAATCCGATCTTCCTCAAATAGTTCAGCAATTTTGTGTTTGTTTGTTGTTGTTTGATTTGCCCAATGATGCATAAAATTATGTTATAGAGCGGTTGTATTTGGGTAATCTCCGGCGTGTTGTTTTAACCTAAAAGCCTTGAACGCTGTCGTTTCGCCGTCGACGACATTCACACACGCACACTTCCACCATTATCATCTATCCATCACACACGTGCGTCGGATGCGAAACGGTGGTGTTCAGGGCTTTTTTAAGGTTGCTGGATTTTACCCATTTACTTTAAGCCGTGCATGATCAGATTTATAGCTATGAGATCTGAGGGCTTTTTCTTTAAAGTTTCTGTTTTTATCTTTTGTTTTTCTGTGATGTTTTTGCCCATTGATGTGAAAAACTCAAATTCTGAGTGGTGCCCTGGTTTTTGAATTTTGCTCTCGTAGTTACCATTGTTGTTCATCATCATCATCATCATCATCAACATTGACACCATCTCTTCTTCTTCTTCTTCTTCTTCTTCTTCTTCTTCTTCCTTGTATTTCTCTGCTACTGCTGCTACTACTGGTTTCTTGCAATGGTAACTACGGGTCAATTTGAAAACCGGTTTTTGATGCGCCGCATATGACAGATTTGTGAATACTGAGGGCTTGTTTTCTTTTATTACTAAGCTTTGTGGTTTTGCTGTTTGGTATAGATATTGTTAATCATTGTATGTTGTTGTTTTTTGAGAGGTTTAAGCTCTGTGATGATGACTCTAATGAGTTTGAGTGGTGCCGCTTGGTTGTTTCTTGCTGAGACTCGTCATCTTTATTGCTGCCCCTGCTTCTCTCTCTCTCTCTCTCTCTCTTTCTCTTTCTTTCTCTCTCTCTCTCTCTATATATATATATACATACATGGATGGTTGCAGCAATGGGGATGATGATGTTAAGGGTCTTTGGCATAGAGGAAGCCAATGCGTTGTGCCATCTATGACCAAGTTTTAAAACAATTGACCTGAGGGCTTTATTCTCTGTTTTTTTGTTTTTTTGTCTTAATATGTTCATTGTTGAAAATTTAAAACGACTTATTTTGTGAAGTAGTTAGAAATTTTGGGTATTTAATCTGGCGATTGTTCTTCTCATAAAATTAAATCTTAGTCGATGAAACTTTGGATCAACGTTTGAGTTTGTTTAGACAAATTTTATTAACTTTTCTGTTTAAGCATTTGCCTAAAGGCTTGAGCCTGAAGGTAATATGTATTAGGAGGTAAAGTCTCTTATCACCGGAGGCACATCTTGTAAAAGAGAATCTTGAGCTTATTACCAAGTTTGATCCTTTGTCTTCAGCTAGTGACCTAGTGTTGGAGATAGTGTTGTCACGAGGTTCCCTTATAATTTCATGTGGCAAAAGATCACATGGTTCGGAGCCGGGTGAACTACAACCCTCATACTTGGAACGTGCGAGCAGCGAGCCAATAGAAGTCCAGATCAGCTAGTTGGGCCCAATATACAATCATTTTTCCTCCGCTGGATTACAAGCCCATGGTACTGAACTTGACTATTGAGGTTGCTAGGTTCTTCTCTAAACCGTCGACTTTGTTTTAAGCAATGCGGGACTATGTAAACTCTTTATTTTTTATATATTTTAGGAAAGAATTGATCTTGTCTATTCTTTCTTTTTCCCTCAAAACTTGTTACTAGTCCATTTACAAGTCGATTAGACATTGTTGTATTCCTAGACGAAGTGGCTTATGGTTTACAATTCTAAAAAACTTGAATTGTAACATTTCCAAGAAAGGCTCAGGCTGCAAAACTGAGGTGAAACCTTCAATGAAGATCAAAACATAAGTACCCTCTCTGATGAAGAAGTTCAAAAACTACAATAACCTTGTACTCTCTCACATTTGAGCTGACAAGAGGAAGATGTACACGATATATCAATACTATAACAGTAGTATAGGACCACTATTTTCGTTTTGTAGGTAACTAGAGATGGTGGAAGTTGTGCCCTTCCATGCTCTACAAATTATTGATTGCTAATAAATTAATAATGTTAAGTAGGTTTAAACAATTATGAATCTTTGAAAAATGCGTATGTCGAGTCTTTCTAATAACAAAAACTTTATAATTAAAACACATTAACAAAGAAAATAAAATAGTCAATTATGAAATATTCAAATGATAACCAGACAAGTAGGTGACTCAGCGCATTAAGCAAAAAACCAAGGACAAAATGGGAACTATAAATTATTCCCTTTTCTTCACCACTCTCATTACAATACCCAAAATCGCAACCAATGACAACGCATACAACGGCGAATTCTCTTACTTTTCCCATTTTACCCTTTAGTTTTCCAACAAATCTCGATTAAACCATTTCTCTCCGCCGCCGCAAACCAACGGAGGAGGAGGAGGAGGAGGAGGAAGAGACAACCATGGAATCGTCTCCGATCAACCGTCTTCCACCGGATTCTCTCCACCAGATCTTCTCATCTCTTCCTCTCCGTGATATCATGATTTGCAGATCCGTGTGCAAGTTCTTTAACCAGCTTTTGACCTCTCAATGCTTCATAGAGATCATCTCAACTCGTCCGCCGTTGAATCTACTCGCTCTCCGACCTCCTCATCACCACCACAGTCACCGTCACAGCGGAAACGGACACGCAGCGAACATCCGACCGTACATCCATGTATACGATCCAGAGCAGAATCAATGGTTCAGATTCAATCTCGATTTCCTCCCTTTCCGATCTCCTCAGCCTGTAGCTTCATCTAGCGGATTGATCTATCTTTGGGGAGATTCGATTGATTTAGCTGAGTCTAGCAAATCGCTCGTCGCTTGTAATCCATTGACTCGGCAGTTTAAGGTTTTGCCTCAGCTTGGCTCGGCTTGGTCACGCCATGGTACTGTTCTTGTTGATTCGGTTAATCGAGTCATGGTGCTCACTGAGCTCGCTGCGTTGTATTACTCAGGTACTGTAGTTGCTAATCAATGGCTCAAATTCTCATCGAATTTACCATCGAAACCTAGAAGTCCTGTGTTAATGTCGAGCTCGGTTTTCGCATTGTGTGATGTTGGATCTCCGTGGAGAAGTCAATGGAAGCTTTTCTCATGTAAATTGACGAATCTCACAATCACTCATACCAATTGGGTTTGCTTGGAGAAACATGAATGGGGAGATATATTCGATATCATAAAACGACCACGTTTGTTGCGCGGTAACGGAGATTCTAAGCTTCTGATGATCGGTGGATTGAAATCGACGTTTTCGTTGAACCCGGCTTGTTCGACTATTCTGATACTTAGGTTGGATTTAGAAAGCTTGGAATGGGAAGAAGCAGGTAGAATGCCGTTAGAGATGTACCGAGGTTTTCAAGAATCGAGTAAGTTCAAAGTTTTTGGAGGTGGAGATAGGGTTTACTTCTCTGCTAAAAGGATGGGGAAGCTTGCAATGTGGGATTGTTGGGAAGGATGGAGATGGATTGATGGTGTCCCTGGTTATGCAGATGGATTGTGTCGAGGTTTTGTGTTTGATGCTAAGCTTACAATAATGCCATGACAAAAAAGAAGAAGGTGCGTTAGTGTTCTTTGCGCATTCCATAGGAGGAATATCTATATCTATGTTTACGATTATTTGGTGATTTCTGTTTGATTGTTTCTGCTTCTTTGTTGGTTCTGTTATTAAGCTGTTTCACGATGTGCGTTGTGTTTGTTTTCTTGTAATCCAGACGTTGGTAAAACTGTTAAATGGAATGTGCTATGATTCTAATCTTGCTTTGTGATTGCCATAAGCTTCAAGCTTTGATATGTGATCATCTCAAGCTTCAAACATTTTTTCCTCTTTGAATCCCTAAAACATCTCAGTTTCACCTGAACTCTAGACAACAAAATAAAGCTCTGGTTTCTTAATTGTGCTTGATCGCGATAGTACTACACTGTGTACTATCTTTCTAGGTGGTTCCGAACATATATCCGTATAGAGAGAATCATTTACTTTTGATGTCACCAAGCAATTTCTTGTCCATTGAAACTGATCTTCTTCTTAGTCAACTTTAACACCAATCATATGTATGTTTGATTTAATTACTTCATACATTATATCAGTGATGATATCATTAAGCTTGAAACTGAAGGAAGGTGCTTGATGATGCAAATTTGCTCATAACTAATGATATATTATGTCACATAAGTCAAAATGGGTCCATAATTTATGCAATGTGTCATGAGCCATTATGTTTCATTCTATAGATGATCGAACTAAATCATCAGAGTGCGGCCATCAAGTTGAGAAACATTTATTTGGACTGTAGTAACTAAGATTGTTACTTGATCCTCGGGATGTAAGATTAGGGCTTTTTTTGGGAAAAAGGTTGCTGAAATTAAAAATTAATTGGTTCGGCTTTCATATTGAAAATATAGATTTTCCTAAATTAGTAATATAAACCACTGCGAATGGAAAGAGATAATGTATGGAAAGAGTTAAAAAGATGTATAAAATTATGTGAAACTGACAGCATATAATATACGAAAAACCCGACAATAATAAGAGATAATATATACGCCGTATTCTTATGATTTTCTCTCTAACAACTTAAATAATTCAAGACAACAAGTATGAAGACCTGCCTACTTTTTCCAAAATAGCTAAGGTGACCAAATAATGTAGAAATAATGATGAATACAAATACAAAATTACAGAAGAAACAAAAACATATAACAAGAAAAAACGAGAATGTATAGTCTTTTACCCAAGCCGAGTTAGTAAGTATGAAATAAACTAATAGGTACATAGATTTGCTTGCCTAGTGGAACAAAAAGTTTGCTTTGTTCTGAGAAACAAGAGGAAAGGCACGTGACGTATTACACGGTACGGAATAAGTCAATTGGGATTCTATTAGAGCCGTTGACCTCAAGGAAATAATATGATCTTTTACCGTCAACAAACAAACTCGGTTTTTGTTTGTTTTGTGTCTGGTCCAAACTAAGACTTAAGAGGTTGTACTTATATATACAGAAGTACGACGACTGTTAACCAGTTCCACTATATGATATCCTCTGAGTTTAAACCGATACACGCGTTTTCAGTTTCCTCCGATGATGTTTATGTTTATCTATATATGCTTATAGAGAAATTAATATACTAATCATTTAAATGGGGACTTAACATGATGATGATTTTTTTTTTTCATTACCATGATGATTCATTTTAAGAGTTTCTGCTAATTAAAATTGGGGATAGTGGAGCAGGAGAAATGAAAAGAAACTTATACTTTTATTCATCAATTGAACAATCAAACTTTGAAACTGAAGGATTTGAAGCAAAAACATGACTTCAACTTACAAACATATAACTGATTTTGCATGCATGAAGGGACAACACTCATTAACATGTTTGAAGTTTATTACAATATAACGTATTTAGAAATATAGAAAAGACATTAAAATGGGAAACTTTCTCTTTAGACATATGTATTATCCGTTTCAATTTTGTCGTCAATGATCTTGTGTCTTTTATTATATCATCGTAGGATTCTTTGTTTTCTTGTGTACCGTCGTCGACTCCTGCAAGAATATATGAGATATGTTAGCATATAAAATTTGATTGAGGCGTAGCATTGTAAAGTATGAGAAATAAGAATTACCATTAGTAGACGATTAAGTAATCTAGTAGTGAGGAGGAGGTGGGGATTTGTAAAGGTAGGGTTGGTGTGGAGGTGAGTAGTGGTGTACCGGAGGAGGAGGAGAATGGTACACCGGAGGGGGAGGAGAATGGTAAACCGGAGGGGGAGAGTAATGGACCGGAGGAGGAGGAGATTTGTATTCGTAGTGCTTCTTGGGTGGTGGTGGAGAGTGGTATACTACGGGAGGAGGAGAGTAGTGAACTGGTGGTGGTGGGGAGTGGTATACTACTGGAGGAGGAGAGTAGTGAACCGGTGGTGGTGGGGAATGGTATACTACGGGAGGAGGAGAGTAGTGAACCGGTGGTGGTGGAGACTTGTAAACCGGAGGAGGTGAGTAGTACTTAACCGGTGGTGGGGGAGACTTGTAAACGGGAGGAGGGGAGTAGTACTTAACCGGTGGTGGGGGAGACTTGTAAACAGGAGGAGGGGAGTAATGCTTAACCGGTGGTGGTGGAGACTTGTAAACTGGAGGAGGGGAGTAGTGCTTCACCGGTGGTGGTGGAGACTTGTAAACTGGAGGAGGGGAGTAGTACTTAACCGGTGGTGGGGGAGACTTGTAAACGGGAGGAGGCGAGTAATGCTTAACCGGTGGGGGTGGAGACTTGTAAACCGGAGGAGGGGAGTAGTACTTAACCGGTGGTGGGGGAGACTTGTAAACGGGAGGAGGTGAGTAGTGCTTAACCGGTGGTGGGGGAGACTTGTAAACCGGAGGAGGGGAGTAGTGCTTAACCGGTGGTGGGGGAGACTTGTAAACCGGAGGAGGCGAGTAGTACTTAACCGGTGGTGGGGGAGACTTGTAAACGGGAGGAGGCGAGTAATGCTTAACCGGTGGGGGTGGAGACTTGTAAACCGGAGGAGGGGAGTAGTGCTTAACCGGTGGTGGTGGAGACTTGTAAACCGGAGGAGGCGAGTAGTATTTAACCGGTGGTGGTGGAGACTTGTAAACCGGAGGAGGCGAGTAGTGCTTAACCGGTGGTGGTGGAGACTTGTAAACCGGAGGAGGCGAGTAATGCTTAACCGGTGGAGGAGGGGAAGAGTAGAAGTAATTTGCGGTGGTTTGAGAGACAAAAGCAAGGGAGAATGCTAAGACAAGGAAAGAGGCCATTGGTGACCCCATTTTGTTATGTGTTTTGCTTTGTGTTTGATGCTCTTACTCTCTCCCCTTAGCACCCTTTATATAGCTTCTCATTTTCACATTTTCTCCTTTTGTACTAGTATCTCTCATGGTAGTAAATTTGTGTCTTGTTGTGTGTAAGCAATACAAAAAAGACATTGACTATATTAATAATACAAATTAAAGAAAGAAAATGAGGTTAGTGTCCCTCGCTCGGGTTTCATTATTGATTATATATCTTCTTCCCTTCAATTATTTTTGGTCGTAGTTTTTTTTTGGTTAGAATTATTTTTGGTCGTAGTTGATCGACATGTTCTGCATGTTCCGAACGTATAATACCAAAATATAATATAGACTATAGAGAACATTTCTAAAGCTAACAGAATTATACCAAAAAAAGAAGAAAACAAAAATCTAAAGCTAACAGAATTTAACTATGATAGTATATGTTAACCAAACAAAATTACAAGAATTGATCGAGAGGTAGATCAGATCGCCCTAAAGAGGGAAAATATGAGAGGATGTATAACACATCCATTTCTAATAAGTATAGTAAATGTTAACAGTTACTCCATTTAACAGCACATGAAATTATAGAAACTTAGCCATATGATATGATATGATTATATGATAAATATGCAAAAACCACTAAAATTTGGAATATAGATACACATTTCTTTGGGTAAAAATGTTAAATGTATAAACCCGCCAACAAAAAATGTGTAGTTGTGTACACATTTTTGCAACGTTTGCATTCGGATAATAACTTTAATTATATCTCTACAATGTTTGCATAATCCACAAAATAATCTCAAGGTTATTTAACTTCCCATGAGACAAAATAAGTAAAACCTATTTTTGTTTCAATGCATGACATGTTGTGGTTTCTCTTTTTTTTTTTTTTTTTTTTTTTTTTTTTTTTTTTTTTTGTTGTTGTCAAACATTGTGGTTTCTCAAGTACCCAAAATAATGAATTGAAAGATTTAGGCAGTGATGAATGAAAACTAATTAATATACCAAATTATCTTATTAGTTACATGTTAAAGTTTTATATCAAGAATTCTATTTTTCTTTTTAGTAACTGAATAAAAGAAAATGTATATAGCAAAATAAGAAACAACGCGTTAAAGTCTTAAAGATAGGCTGCCTAGTTGACTATAGAAGGAACATTGAAGTAGAAAGTGGTCCGTCATGTACTGGATTCTCTCTCGTGCCGGTGACAGTCAAATCTTTGATTAATTTTTACTTTTGTTTTTGGGTTTTGATTCATAAATTTTATAACACGTTTCTTTTGTCATTACTCTTATTAATCCGCCATCTCATTTTCTAATTATCAAACCTAAATTCGTTTTACGATCTTAAGACAAGATATTGTAACTTATGGTGAGTTTTGTTTTAGCTGCTTACTTGTGAATGATGTAAACAACTCAACGAGAAAGGCCATAACATATTGACATTTTATATTAATTTTCATGTAATGTTAACAGATTGGGAATTGTATTATCACGAACAGGTGTTTTAGAAATGTACAATGAGGAGGATATCAAATTTTCTTATCGAAAATAGTTTAATAAACTATAATACCGAAGCTTGGTCAACATAAGCCAATATAACATTCTTGATAATAGAATTTAAATAGGATTTTTTCTTTTGATTTTTATCAAATGGGTAAGTAAACCAGCTGGATTATGATATAGACAAATCAACAACTTAACATTCTATATAGTATTTTCTCGAAATTTGACTATTTTGGTTAGGTTTCAAAAGTTCTATAACTAATCTTGACAATTTTGATATAGAAGAAACCGACGTCCAACGAAATTAATATAATCACCGGCATTAATAATTTAGATCAAGTAAACTTAATTAGGAATTGTTATTTAGAAACAATACTAATGTTTGAATACAAAATATTTGTTCGAAAAGCATGCGAAAAATACGATATGATATCAATGATATTAACTAATTTTTTATTTATTAAATAGTGATTATATAGCAAACATAAATCAAGAATTTGGTTGTTCGATTTTTGGTATCCAGCGTGTGTGGTAGCTAAGCCTCATAAGCTGCTAGTTCTTATTTTTATTTTGTTGTCAACAAAGCTGGTTGATTTTTTATCTCCTCTTTGGAGATAATATTAATATCAACTAAATTATTAGCTACTTGTCGTTGATTTATTTATATAAAGAATAGTATTATTATCATATATACATCCAAATATTTATATATATGTATGCATCCAAATTCAAATGTATGCAAAAGAAATAACACATTAATCGAACCATCTTAATTGTTACTATTCCCTGGTAAACACCTATGGAGTTTATTTTGTCGTAATGCACACTTTGCCCAACGTTGATGTATTTCCATAAATGAAGAATAAAACTGTGTCCCAATAAATCGTCCACTATGTAATTTGATACTCTTATACAGTAATATATTTCTTCATATGGAATGTTATAATGAAATACTGTATAGTATGTTACTGATATATTCTAAGTTATGCGTTCTGTTATACTGTATCTGTATATTAGCAAAACATCACTAATTACTATTCGCTACAAGCCTACAACTGTCTTAATGATCCCCGCGTACTGATTTAAGGACACGACTCTCGTTTGTTCAGAAAAGGTAAATTTATTAGAAACTAATCATTTTCCATATCAACAAAATTATGCTATTTACCTATAAAAAATGGTCAACAATTTGTGTGTTGCTTTCTCTTCCACGGTCATTAATATGCATGTGCTTGTATTTTCATAATGATCTACCAAACAAATCAACGACTTTAAAGCAAAATTCCATGCAAAAGTTAAAGAAGTAAAAAGTATTTCTCCCTCCAACATGGCTGATTGATTTCTCATTAAAAAATTGGGTTAGAAACTTAGAATCGTTAAAGCTGGTGATGAAAAGGCTCCATCCATTACCGGAATATTCACCTGAACCATTTTTTTACTAATGGTTTATTTTGTAGTCTTGATATTCATACAGCTGATGATGTTTATATTAATCGGTTTACGCTAAAAACAATTACATTTGAACGTATAACTACTGCACTAAGTTTTGTTTTTGTTTTTTTTTGTTCTACTACCTATCACATTGTATATTAATTATGCTGCATTAACTTTTTTTTAAGTAAACTATTGAAACATGTTATTATCTTCGATCTGAAAAAATTATAGCTCATAAAATTTAAAATTATATGTAAGATTCATTTCTCATTTTAATGTGTGAAACTCTGAAAATAATATTTCAGTGTGAAAGCATTGGAAGGGGTTGGTGGACTTCATTTCTTCCCGGGGGGCCGCCAGAGGGCTGCTAATGAGTCTTGTTTCTGTATATTTTTGTTATTCATCCTTTTATTGATTTTGTCTCCTCTCGAGAAAAATTAGTCCCTCTTATTCGTTTCTCAAAATACATGATTGGACTATTACTCTAAATGTCTATAGAATCAGAGTTTCCTAGTTGCTAGCTAGGATAATTGTGCATCGTACAAACAAATAGTTTTACCTTTTAGTAGTTGTTAGGCAACAGTTTCTGTCAGTCATGACTTATCAGTACTCATGAGAGAGGTTATGATTAAAATTTCTCCAAATTAGGTAATAATACACAAAGATATATAGATTCATATTCAAGAGCAATCACTATTAAGTTAATAATTTATATCACATAAGTCTTAAATTGATAGGTTTCTTTTTTATTTGTCTCAAATTTATAGGTCAGTTGAGAAAAGACTTGAAGATTGTGAAATGCACTACATGTACAAATCTTAGTAGGTTTTGACTACTGACTATTAGACCAAGACCCAACGAAGTTTATTTTGGTTTATGGAAATTTACATTTTTTTATCTTTTAACTTTGCTTACTTTCTTATTTTTTTCACAAAACAAGTTTTTTTTTTCCATAAAAATGCATGCATCTCTTTTTCTTCTTTAATGGATGAAACAAATAGTTCAATAATCCCCTAAAGTTAGTATTTGGTCGTGCTAAACAACAAATATATGAAGAATGGTTGATAATATAAAAGAATATGTTAATCACCGACTATGAAAAGTATACATATATAGCAAATAAATATAACCTAAAAAGACATTACCTCAATCTAATTAACATTAAGGTGGATAGAAAAACGTATAGCATATACATTTTACTTTGTTTATTAAAAAGTATTATCGTTTCTGAAAAAAAGTTGAAAACGAAACTAAAACACATTCGTCTACGGTTATATTTTGACAAGCGACATCCAAACTTAGCCATACATTGTAATGAACAGGTTTATATAAATATTAATATAATCAAATTTAAAGTATATGAATAAGTGATTAGAATCAGAAGAAATTTAAGTTGTTTTTTTAATATATTTAAATTTCCAGCTTCGGTATCAACTAACTATCAAGTGTGAATTAGTACTCTATGATTGAGGAGACGACTCAACGAATTAAAATATATGTTCATAATTTATCTTGAATGCTAACGATTTAAAATATTTGTTCCAAAACTAGTGGCTATATACAAAATACTACTGTCAACGATATTTTAGATATATGGAGACTAGGCGTATTTGTTTATTAACCTCAGCAGTAAATGTGGATAAACATCGTGAAGGCTATGGACCTATGGTCCTTAACTCCTTATGAGCACGTTACAGCATTTCGTAGGAAACATTTAATTGTTAGAGGACAAAACTTCGCATTTTCTTGTTTCTTGCCAATCTATTATGATTTCTTAAAAATCTATAGTAAAAATATCTTAAGGAATTAAGGATATGTGTTATGTGATCAGCTTATAACAAGAAAAACAAAAACAAATTACGTCTCTAAAATCACAAACTATTGCTCCTAAAGTCTTTAAGGAAACAAAAAAAAGGAATTGATGTAGTGTTAAGAAAGTTCAAGTTAACCCTTTAATAAAAAAACATTAGTAATCAAGTGGGTGTTGGTCTAGTTGAGTTTCCGTATGTTTTTGGTCTAGATTGGTTTTGGCCTTTAGTTTGAATCTTACTTGTAGTAGTTTCACTAAACCTCGACGGAAAAATGTATGAGCTTCGGTTCAGAATTATTCGATGTTAATCCCAATTTTTACCAAAACAAAAAAAAATCTATTGATGATGAAGAGTTAATATCCTTCATCTATTTTACGAGTCATATTATACTGCCATCAAAATCTGACTGGTTTTAACTTTTAAGTCGAAATTAGGAAACTAATCGACAACCTCGAAAGCAAACACGCCTCTTTTCTTGTCAATGTGTACTACTACATAAAGTTTACACAGTCAGACAATAAATGTAAGAAGATAACATTACATAATTCGGACCACAAAAAGATCTATTAAAACTTATCTCAACTATTATTCATAAGTCTTCCCAAACTATGCCAAAAAAAACAAAGTCTTCCCCGTCTACAGCACCTCCAAACACGTCTTCAAATAATACATATAAACAAAACTTATTGAAAGACAACAAAGAGGAGACAAAAGGAGAGGAATACAAGTCAATAATATGAACTGAGAAAGACATAATATGAACTGAGAAAGACAAAAGTTCAAACAAAGGCTTAATGGAGAAAGTAGAGCAAATATAGTTTTATTGATACTACTAGCCATAGATAAATCCTCTTTCATAGTGTACCAAGAATGTATCCACATCTAAAACCAAGCGTTTTGTAATGAACATTTGAAATCAACAACACAACTTATAACTCGACATATGAGCTTGAAATCTAGGAAGGGAACAAAAACAGTATATATATGTTAAAAGAGTCTTTTCAGTTTCTATAACCTCATATTCTACACTCTCCGCAAATCTTTGTTTCTCTAGACTCATGTTGCTTCAAGGATACAACAAGTAATGTCATGTGCGATTTCGTTGAGATTATACTTGAAAAGGGAGGGTGTATCTTTCCGCCAGACGAGATACAACAATTTACCATTTGGTTGACGTACCACAATGTCCCTGAGTCATCACCTTCTTCCTCGTTGTCCTGGTCTTGAACCTGGTTTTCTAGAAAACTGGAGCCGCAGGAACTTGGAATCAGACTCGTTTTCGTCCATTCGATAGCCTGTGAAAGGTATTAGTTTTTAGAGAACATTAGATTCAGAGCATAGGTGTGTAGATGATGGAGTTTATGGTTTAGGGATTAGTGCAATAGTTTTATGGCATTGGGATCTAAAGTTCACGCTATAGCACAGTGAGTAATGGCATGAGGTGTAGGGTTTGAAGTTTTCGAAACTGAACTCAATGTATAACAGTATGTATTACTCAAAAGACAATCCAACAGAAAAAGATCCAAACTATGTAGACAAACTTACAATGCATGTGATTCAAAAGCCAGGAAAAAGATTAATAAATTGTCAGAGATTTTGAGATGCTTATCATTTACCTTGTAAGGCGCTCAGAGCAGTCGCTGCACAGGCAGGGTTTGTAAAATCAACAAAGCAAAGAACAATAGGATCTCCATTCCGCTGCATTGCCAATAAATATGAACCCATTAGCAGGTTTATCAAAGTAATTACTTTCTGGGACAAGCGATTTCAGCAATATCCAAACTTTGAAGCAGGGAATCTTACATGTTTGGAGTCTTTGGTCACAAGTCTCACTTCTCTGTATCCTACAAACGGTCGAAATATATCTAGACATCGGTTAAGGACAGTGGAGAGAAATAGTTTCCGTTAAGTTACTTAGAGGATAGAAAAATATTGGTTTTCATAGAAAGAAAAAACTTGTTATGTGTCATCAAATAGGATACGAGCTACTTCCCTCCTTGAGCAATTAGAAGGAAGTCCTTCAACATATAAAGTGTTGGATGCATCTGGAGGTAAAGGAAGTGTCTCCCGGTTACGCCTACCAACAGATTCTGGGGGATCAAAACCAATGGCATGGCCATTTGGACCATGGTCTAGAGGGAGAACTCCACCACGTCTCATCATAAAATCATCTATGGTTTGACCGTTACCTCCTGGTCTTCCCATGGAAACAGAACCACCTTCTCCTGATTGCATAGAAGACGATTGCTTCACCCAAAAAAAAAAAAACATTATTTCAGGTCAATAAAGAATGAACAGAAAACTTGCAATATGAATCTAACAAGAAAGAATGGTACCACGCTCTGGAGATAGCGATCGTAAGCTGAACCAATAGTTCTAGTATCGGGAACATCGAGATCCTCATCCCGCGGATAATAACCACCACCGTGCCCTGTAGCCATTGTTGATGGTGGAGCTTCTACAAGACGGCAAAACATTGAATTCACACTCTTTCACAAGATTTGGATTTTGGAACTATAAAGCAATGAATTGTGAGCTGGGCATTGTCTATTTCAAGCAAACTAGGAGCATATGTGGAAGGAGCTTACCGAAATCGGAACGGGGACGTTTCGGAGGACCACTAGGAAGATGATGTTGCTGTCGCTGCTGGTTCCAGTACCCATCCGCCATGGAAATCGAAGGATCAGAAGCTACTACAAGGAAAAATTAAGGGAACAAAAAAAAAACCCTAATTTCGATGAATAGCTTTGATTCTATCTGGATTTGATAGAAGAAAACCCTAGCTTGCTCGTTCTTCTGCTCCGAAGCACTCTCGAAATCAAAATTTTTATCAAATCCCTTTTGATTCAATCAATTTCTTGCGTCTCGATTTCGAAATTTCTGATTCTTTTGTCCTAAAGATCCGAATCTTGACGACCCGGCCCGTTTTATGACAACAGATCTCAATTTCCGCGTGGTTTAACGGGCTGGCGGGCTGCTAAATCACTGATTGTAGGCCCATTTAACTAAAGTTTGATTTTGTAGGCTCACATGACCCTGATTCAATTATCTAACTTCTGATTTTAAGATGTCCAAAAAAACTATTGCTGTCTATAAATTAGATTTTCGCACATAATGGTCATTTTAGTTTTGCTTATTTTTTTTTTTTTTGATAACCCAGTGTCCAGACCACACAGTGATCCGACTAGCCCACTGGGCCTAAGCCCGCGTGCCTGGGATTTTTAAGCCTCCACTTAAGGGCCCCCCGGAACTGGTGGTCTGGGACGCTGCGCCCCGCAGGTAAATTGCGCAGTGGCCGGGACTCGAAGCCGGGTGGCGGATGCCTCAGCTGAGGTTCCTTTACCACCAGGAGACAAGCACCCAGTTAGTTTTGCTTAGTGTTAAGTGATCAACAACTAAATCATTTCCAGTAACTAGAAATTCAAATGTGCACATTATAAGTCGCGAGTTATTAAGTATTAACCTATTACCTATCACTAGACTAGCTAAAAAAAACTATGAAATGAAGAGGGCCTATAGATATGTAGTCTGAAGATAAGTGAAGTGTGAATCACGGATTGTTGTATGTGTATAATATATGCTTTCTTTAGGAGTAACGAGAAAATACTTTGATGTTGTCTTGGAGTATTTATGATTGTGTCATTCGCTGACATGCAATATCACAATGAATGAACTTTCAATACGTGAGTTAATATAGTTGACAAACAAAAAAAGTATATGCAAATATATAAACGACGAATAAAACAGAATAATGTTATCATAACAGGTTAATATAAATGTAGGAAATGAAGAGATGGACCCATACACAACAACAAGCAACAAAAGTAAGTAGGTTTCCATGTTTCCTTGGAGCTTTTCTTTTTGTTAATCAAAACTTTCATTTGTTCTAATTAAACTCTCACGCCTTTGGCCTTAATCATCATCCATTTTATCTCTCTAAAGTTTAATCATACAATCTATAATCGCTTCCTCTTAGTAATTACTTTAATTGTATCAAAAATTTCCACTCCAAAACTTTCTTCTAGATTATACTGTATTAATAAGAAAACTATATAGATACTTTCATTAATATTATATATATACATGTAATTTTGTTTTAACACACACACATATATATATATATATATATATACATAAATATCTATATGATCTGTATCAGTTTCTTGAAACGATATTGTCAAGTGGTATCCGTGAGATTTCACGTTTCAGTAAACTTTCACATTTGCAAAGTTTAATGTGAAAACCAAAATATTATTCGTCTTATTCTTTAAAATGTTATTTTAAGTCTACTTATATATAGATAATATAATATTCATGTACATTTGATTTAGACTTAGAACTCAACATTTCGAATATAGTATTAATATCATCTATATATGTATGGAAAATTGAACAACTTTTGTGTCTTGATACTTGGGCATGCATCATCCAATCCAAGGTTTCGATTTGCTTTTACAATGTCGAGACGAGCTAGATCCTATGTAATTATGTATTGCTACCAAACAAATCACATTCATATATGAATATTCGCTAATAACCAGTTAACCACTAACTATTTTGTTTTGTCGGTGAATCAAGGATAACACAAATAAAGAATCATATAAGAATGATAAATAAAATAAAGAAGAAGAAAAAGGGAGATGCACAATGGGATTATTGTTTTCACCAAAAGTGGATACATTCTCCTCGACTAACTCCCCGAAAATGTGGAGGGAAGCACCAGACCAAACGGACCCACCTACCTCCTTGTAGGGGTATTTTTGTCTTTTCATAGCAAACGGCAACCAACATTCAACGTAGCTGCGCCAAAAGAATACACCCTCCCTTCTGGTATATTACCATTATAGCCCCAATCTCACTGCGTGAACTTGTTAGACCGACCGGAGAAACTAAACCGGCCAGCTCAGATTGTAATTTAACTCGCACGAAGCTAAAATTTATGCTTTGAAGCATTAACTTATGTTAATGTTAGGGAGATTTGAAAATTGATACCAGTGAAATTATAATGGTAAGGAATCTATACAATGATATTAAAAGTAATCAAATCAAGAAAGTCAATATTATTCATATATAAACAAATACTAATACGTACTCTCATTCTCATTAACCAAATGCTGCATATAAGCTAATTGAATAAGAACTCAATGTATTAATTGAAATAGAACTCAATGTATTAATCAAATACCAGTTTCTTCAACAAACAAATGAATGAATGATGCACATAGCAAAATGAAACTGGTTTTGAGAACACAAAAGAATTATGAATTGGTTAAGTTACTATGAAAATTAATTATCTAATTTGAAACCTAAATATTTAGATATGGACATATGGTGGTTGAAACCATCCATATATAGTCGTGTAAAAGTGTTGCGTTTCTGTTGATTAGCCAATAAGCTTTTACTTTGTAATTTTTATACAAAGCATTAACTTAACAAACAACTTCTTTTACATATACGAAAATTGGAAATCTAACTATTAAATCACAATGAAATGAAGTAGGACGAACTAAAATGTAGCTTATCAGATTGAAGAGAAAACAATTAGTTCTAAAACAGAGAATATGATATGTTTCTTCTCCCATTCCCATACCAAAGAAAAAGACTTGAAAAAAAACAATTCAAGTTCGAATGTACTACTACTGCATGGGGAACGCCTCTTCACTTTTTTTTTTGTTCTTTTTCTTTTTCCAAGCATCAATAGAGCCATAGGGATGCATCAATTTTTTAAAAAGTATAAATTGTTTTTAAGAACATAAAGAAAATAGAATAAAGTATATAGTATTTACTAATAACTCCAAGAAAATAAACTGTTTCCTTTTTTATATTTATATAGATTTAAGAGATTTTGTGGTAAAATAAAAATTTACCGTCTAGTGTCTGTGACTCCGTCTTCTTCTTCTTCTCACACCGTCGTCACTTTCTTCTTTGCTTTTCTTCTCTCTGTCATCGCTGTCTCTGACTTCCTTGTCTTCCTCCTTCTTCCTTTTTGCTTTTCCGTCGTTTTTCTCCGCCGGATTTTTCTCTCTCCACACCACTATTTATCTCCTCCTTTGTTTCGCCGTAAAGGCAAAATTTTTTTCCCTGAACTCAAAATTAAGTTCCTGAAGATCGGGTTCTCTGGTCTTTTTCCATCTCGGAGAAGCCTCTTTAGATCTGGGCAAGCACTGCCATCTTCAAAAGTTTTACCTTTTTTTTTCTCTTTCTCTATCTCTCTTCACCAACTGGGGTTGGTTACTGGTTTAATTGATGGTTTCCGCGGCGGCTAGGACCTCGTGGGCTCTTGTTTTTAGATGATGAACGGTCCTTCGTGTAAGGATCGAAGAGGGTGGTGCTCTTCTGCTCTATTTTTCACATGGAATGGCAGATCTTGTGACCTTTAGTAATGCCGACCACAACGTTGAACAGGTTCTTCTGCTCTGTCTCTCTGTCTCATCCTCACTACCTTTCCTCATTTCGATTTTTCTCAGTTTGTTCTAAGCAGTAGAAAGCTTAAATCTTTGATCGAAAATTGTAATCAAGGAGTTTTATAATTGAAGCCCAAGTTAGAAAAATTTGGGATTTTGTTTGTTCAAATTCCAGCAAAATCTCAAAGTCTCTGTCAAAGAGTTTATAGCTGGATTTAGAATCCGAGCTAGGGGTTTATTAGTTTCTGTTTCCCTCAGCTTTCGCGTAATTTGTCCTTTGATAATTATGGTTTTTGATACTTACATTTGAAATGATCGTTGAGACTCATTACTTGGTGATGCAAAGGAATATGCAGTCGTAAACGTATCTCACGCGGTTCTTGTTAAACTTATGCGCTACGTTTGGCAGGCATTGATTACATTGAAGAAGGGTACTCAACTTTTGAAATATGGTCGCAAAGGGAAGCCCAAGTTTTATCCTTTTAGACTGTCTAGTGTGAGTTGCTTTCTGCTCCAACCGCTTGTTTTTCTTACTTGTTTGTTGGAGAATTGCTTTATTAACGGGTGTTGGTTGTGCAGGATGAAAAATCTTTGATCTGGATATCGAGTAGTGGTGAGAAGCGACTGAAGTTAGCGTCTGTATCTAAAATTGTACCTGGGCAAAGAACTGTAAGATATCTTCATTTTATCTACAGTCTTTATGCTGTAGCGAATTCCGCTTACCTTTCAAGCTTATATAATTAAACCGTTTCATCTTTTGCATCAGGCTGTTTTCCAGCGATATCTTCGCCCAGAGAAAGATTACTTATCCTTTTCTCTCTTATACAACGGAAAAAAGAAGTCTCTTGACTTGGTTAGTCATCGTGAAACTGTATTTGGACAATAATTTCGACAACACTTGACAATAACTCCAGGCATAACAGTTCACTTCTTAATAGATTTGTAAGGACAAAGTTGAGGCTGAGATTTGGATTGGAGGCCTGAAAACATTAATATCGACTGGGCAAGGCGGGCGCTCAAAAATCGATGGCTGGAGTGGCGGAGGCCTTTCAGTTGATGTAAGTACTCTGGAAAGGACTCGTGTATGTGCCGTTTTTTTAATCATTTTTCTTAGGACTCCTTTTTGCCAAATATATATTGATTTATCAAATAGGTCACTGACAACGTCGTGGTTTGTTGAACTCATCGGTTAATCTTGTTGATATTCCATTTGGGTGTTTAATGCGTTTGTTTGTTTTGTATATATTTCAGGCCAGCAGAGACTTGACATCGAGCAGTCCAAGTAGCAGTTCTGCCAGTGCTTCACGAGGTCACAGCTCTCCTGGGACTCCCTTTAATTTCGATCCAATTACTTCTCCTAAGAGTGCTGAGCCTGAGGTTCCTCCAACTGATTCGGAGAAATCACATGTTGCATTGGACAACAAAAATATGCAAACAAAGGTATCTGGTTCAGATGGTTTTCGGGTTAGTGTCTCTAGTGCCCAAAGTAGTTCTAGTCATGGTTCTGCAGCAGATGACTCTGATGCTCTAGGTGACGTTTACATTTGGGGTGAGGTTATATGTGACAATGTTGTTAAGGTTGGGATTGATAAGAATGCAAGTTATCTGACCACAAGAACGGATGTCCTTGTGCCGAAGCCATTGGAGTCGAATATTGTCTTGGATGTTCATCAAATTGCATGTGGTGTCAGGCATGCTGCATTTGTGACAAGGCAAGGTGAAATTTTTACTTGGGGTGAAGAATCTGGAGGAAGACTGGGTCATGGTATTGGGAAAGATGTTTTTCATCCCCGTCTTGTTGAATCTCTCACAGCTACTTCATCTGTTGACTTTGTTGCTTGTGGAGAATTCCACACTTGTGCTGTTACATTGGCTGGAGAGCTCTATACCTGGGGTGATGGTACACATAATGTCGGGCTTCTTGGACATGGCTCTGATATCAGTCACTGGATACCAAAGAGAATTGCCGGTTGTCTCGAGGGGCTTCATGTGGCTTCGGTAACTTGTGGACCCTGGCACACTGCTTTGATAACATCATATGGGAGGCTTTTTACATTTGGAGATGGAACATTCGGTGTCTTAGGGCACGGTGACAGGGAAACAGTTCAGTATCCAAGAGAAGTTGAATCTCTATCAGGATTGAGAACGATTGCGGTTTCATGTGGGGTTTGGCATACTGCTGCTGTTGTTGAGATCATTGTCACACAGTCAAACTCAAGTTCTGTATCATCTGGAAAATTGTTCACATGGGGTGATGGAGATAAAAACCGTCTCGGACATGGTGACAAAGATCCTCGGCTTAAACCAACGTGTGTGCCTGCATTAATTGATTACAACTTTCACAAAATTGCATGTGGACACAGTTTAACAGTTGGTTTGACCACGTCTGGACAAGTTTTCACTATGGGGAGTACAGTTTATGGTCAACTTGGGAATTTACAGACTGATGGAAAATTACCGTGTTTGGTGGAAGACAAGCTTGCAAGTGAATTTGTCGAGGAGATCTCCTGCGGGGCATATCATGTGGCGGCCTTAACATCTAGAAATGAAGTTTACACATGGGGTAAAGGAGCCAATGGGAGATTAGGGCATGGTGATCTGGAGGATCGAAAAGTACCAACTCTTGTGGAAGCTTTGAAGGATAGACACGTAAAATACATTGCTTGCGGATCAAATTACACTGCAGCCATATGTCTGCACAAATGGGTCTCTGGTGCTGAGCAGTCTCAGTGTTCAACCTGTAGACTGGCTTTTGGGTTTACACGGAAAAGACATAACTGTTACAATTGTGGACTTGTGCACTGTCATTCATGCAGTTCAAAAAAAGCATTCCGAGCTGCATTGGCCCCAAGCGCGGGAAGACTATATCGTGTCTGCGATTCTTGTTATGTTAAGCTCAGCAAAGTGTCTGAGATAAACGATACTAACAGAAGAAACAGTGCTGTGCCTCGTCTTTCAGGGGAGAACAAAGACAGATTAGATAAATCTGAAATAAGATTAGCTAAATTTGGTACATCCAATATGGACTTAATTAAGCAATTGGATAGTAAAGCGGCCAAACAAGGAAAGAAAACTGACACTTTTTCACTCGGTCGCAACTCTCAGCTGCCTTCTTTGTTGCAGCTGAAAGATGCTGTGCAGTCTAATATAGGCGATATGCGAAGAGCTACTCCAAAGTTAGCTCCGGCTCCATCAGGTATCAGCTCTCGGTCAGTGTCACCTTTCTCTAGGAGATCTAGTCCTCCCCGCTCTGCCACTCCTATGCCTTCAACTTCTGGGCTCTATTTTCCCGTCGGTATAGCAGATAATATGAAAAAAACCAATGAAATTCTGAACCAGGAGATTGTTAAGTTACGAACACAGGTATACATTCTCTGAGAAGGGACTCATGCTTCTTAGTTCGTTCTTCCATGTTCATTAATGTGAGTCTAATTAAAATCATAAATTTGGTTTAGGTTGACAGTCTAACCCAAAAATGTGAACTCCAAGAAGTAGAGCTTCAGAACTCGGTAAAGAAGACTCAGGAAGCCTTAGCATTGGCAGAGGAGGAATCTGCCAAATCAAGAGCCGCGAAAGAGGCAATAAAGTCGCTCATAGCGCAGGTATAATCGGTTTGATACATTTGTGAACTACATTGAAGCTTGAATGAAAACTGGATTTTACTCCCACAAGCTAACTCAACTGGAAAATTTTGCTATATTTGCTTCTGTAACAGCTCAAAGATGTAGCTGAGAAGTTGCCTCCTGGTGAGAGTGTAAAATTCGCCTGCCTTCAAAACGGACTAGACCAGAACGGTTTCCATTTCCCTGAAGAAAATGGTTTCCATCCTTCAAGGTCGGAATCAATGACTTCATCTATATCTTCAGTTGCACCTTTTGACTTTGCCTTTGCAAATGCATCTTGGTCTAATCTCCAATCACCAAAGCAAACGCCTAGAGCCAGCGAAAGAAACAACAATGCTTATCCAGCGGACCCACGGCTTAGCAGCAGCGGGTCAGTAATCAGTGAGAGACACGAGCCTTTCCAGTTCCAAAACAACAGCGACAGTGGGCCGAGCCAAACAGGAGTTAACAATACTAATCAGGTAGAAGCAGAGTGGATCGAACAGTACGAGCCAGGCGTGTATATAACCCTTGTCGCCCTCCACGATGGAACTAGAGATTTACGAAGAGTCCGCTTCAGGTTAACATTTACTCATACTCTTGAATCTAGAAATTCCATATTTTTACTATAAGGTTTGATGATGCTCAAGGTTTGTGATTGTTTTTCTTTCTTGCAGCCGAAGAAGATTCGGGGAACATCAAGCTGAGACATGGTGGTCGGAGAATCGGGAAAAAGTGTATGAGAAATATAATGTTAGAGTGTCGGAAAAAGCAACGGCTTCGCAAACGCATAGAGACAGAGAGGAAGAAGAAGAAGACATTCCTCAGTAGTAGACTCATAATAACATTTGTATGATTTTGCCCCATAGTTTTCAGTTTCTCTATGTTTTGCCCCGAACTCTTCATTGTTCAACTTAATTCCTCTTTCTTTTCTTTTTTCTTTCTTTCTCTATCTCGATTCAATGTGGGAGATTATTTATCATGTCCTTTACATGTATGTTGTATATATATAGACCATCGGTTCTCGGATTACTTTAGGAAGGAAAAAAAAACAATGAAGTATCGAATTTGCGTAATGAAGGTCACGTTTTTGTCTTTTCAAAATTGAAATAATTTTGTTTTTTGTGATTAATTGACTAATGATAATCATTAGGTGTACCTAATTCTGTGACCAAAGGTGACAATGTGTTGCCAAAATTTTAGGCTTTACATTTTTAAAATTCTCATTATTTATAGTATTCATTTGTATTACCATTTTAGACATTACAATTATTCACATGTAAATACAGAATGTCTGTACGTACTCCCAAGAAAAATTCTAGTTGACCGTTATGATGTATTTTCCATTACATATAATTGTTGGTTTAACATTTAAAACAGAAATCCATAAAACTTATTACAATTCCAGTATTCCATTACACTTTTAAAAACAAATTGAATCTTGGTATTTACATAAATGATACTGGAACATATTTAGTATTTTTCTTTTGCACAATACTGGCAAATCCTTGTTTTTTGAAATATTCTGGTACATATTCGTTGGTGATTAATTTAATAACGCGAGTAAGATATCCTGCCGCTTACCAAACATTAAAGGCTTCTCGATTTAATAAAAAGATAAAACATAGATGTTTTGTGATAGAACAAAGAAGGTACATTAACGTAATGATGCATTACAATTATTCAGTCATGAGTTCATATATTGAATACATACAAACTATAATACAAGTAGGGTTAAGATAAGTGGGCGTGCGTCCAAAAATAGCTCGACCTTGAGTTGGTTCCTATATGGAATTAGTGGCTGCAATAATTAATTCCTACCCACAAAGAACTTTCTTTAAGAAAAGAAAAGAAAAACACAAAGGGATCGCAAGAAGATAAACATGACTAGCTAGATCTCTATGTTATCATGCATATATAGATGTATATATATATATATATATATATATGTGTATATGTTTAAGTATCTTGTAGAGAAAGATCATGGACATCTATGGGTATTAGTACTCTGTAAACCGTAGACGTTGTGTTTCCTGGAAGGAGCAGAAGGTGGAATTGGCAATGTCTTGGGCAAAAATCCTGAGAAACTTTCTGGAGGATAATCATCATCAATGAAACCTTGATTCTGATGATGATGATGATGAAGGGGATTAGGTCTTCTCACCTTGAAAAATCTTTGTGGTCTTGATGATGATGTGTGCTTTCTTAAGCTCTCGGCTTCACAAATCCTCCATGAGAACACCATCATAATTACCACTAGAATCATCATTGCTTCTATGCGTTTGTTTCCCATTATTATTAAGTGGTAAGTATACTATATGAAGCTTGCTTTCAGAAAAACAGGTGAGAGGGGAAGATGAAGAAATAGAGAAACTAAGTGTTCTTCTTTTAAGGTGAGTATTGGGGGGACTGGTTGATATTATAAGAAAAATAATTGTACTAACTATCATATAATACTATATATATTGATATAAAGTTGGGTATACAGTGGTTTTGATTATGATCTTTCTTACCGAAATAACCTCTAACCTTATAATCCTGTTCTTTTGTACATATAAAAGGAATTAGTTTGACATTTTTTTCATAAATTAAGTATGTTTTAGTTAAAGTCAATCTTTTTGATTCTTGGTTATGATATATTTTCTGTTTTGTTGTTTATTGAAAACTAGAAAAGCTTGGGTTTCTACAAAAACATATATCATAAACTCTCCAGCAAAATATTATTCCTTTTCAATAGGAAAAAAAACAGACTAACTAACTTGTATGAATCGAGACTTATTGGGATTTTTATTATTATGCCTTATGTATAGGTCCACATATTAAGCATAAGCATAAATGGGCGACTTTAATGTTTTATAGTATAAACTATTACTAATTAATTAATATAAATGCAAATTCGGTGTACTTTAATTAGAAAGAGGAATTGCTTGATTAAAGGCATGAAAGATTGTGTTGTCTAGAGGTGGGAGTGGGTAAGATGTGTTATACTTTTGAACGGGTCTTTAGGAGATCAGGGGATTCATTTATAGTAAATGTGTTCATATGTGTGAAATATGATGGTCTTCTGGTTTTGTAATTGCTAGTGGCAGCAATTAATAATAACTTTGAACTATAGATTTTATTGTTTGTTTGTTTTATAGTAGTTAAGTAACAAATATAATTTGGTTTGGTTGTTACTAGTAAACATACATTGCTAAACCATCAACCACAAGACAAAACATTATACACGGAAATTTATTATCATTGTTGAACCAAAAACTACAAAACAAATGTAATTTGGTTGTTACTTGTTAGTCGAAGCAAAACGAACAAAATCTCTCTATATATATGTTTATACATTTTTATGTATCTATTTGGCATATTTATGAGATTAACATATAGATTTTCTTGCAACCATCTCATAAACAACCAAATTTCATTAGAGTGAATGTGAAAGATAGAGTAAAAATCGTTTTCGGTTAAAGAAAATTCAATTGACATTAAATGCATTGTGAGGAACATGGCAAATAAAGTAAAAACAAAAAGAAAAAGGAGGAAAACATATAAAGAAAAGAACGTGGATTGAAATAATAAATACTATAATAGGAAAGATACGTGGGGTAGACACCACACTAATAAGTTTGAAATTTTTGAACTTACAAAATGAAAATACTACGTGAACCCTACCCGCATCGGCCCTGTCTTCTGTTGTATCTCCACGATAAAAAAAAAATTCGAGCGCTAAACAATCCAAATATGAAATTAAACCCTGATCTTAGTTTTAAATATGGGAATGCATGCATAATGTTCAAATGAAAATAAAAAGTCTAAAAGTCAAATCAGACATTTTTTCAACTATCTGACATCTCTTCGTCTCACGTATACTATAATAAATGACCATTCTTACCCATTTAAGATAGAAATTAATTACGCAAACTATATGTATACACAGAGTCGATAGTTCTTTCAATCCTTTCGGCTAACGCAAAATTCGGCTAATAAATAAGCGACCAAGAGATACGCTCAGTTTCACCGACAAAAACCCTTACACACATATCTACTTGTCTTACATTACCGAAATTAATAGAGTATTTTTTTTCCATGTCGATGTTCATATTTATACAACTGATAAAAGTAAATGGGATAAATATTGAATACAAAACAAATCGAAATAAAGTTGCAAGCATTATAATCAAGTCACTAAACAAAAAGGAGAAATGCAAAAGAGAAAAAAAATAAAAAATAAAGATCAAAGTGGACCTTGGTTTGCCGACAGAGCTGATGACATATGCAATAAGAAAAGACATGTTATGGAGTATTAAATATTGTTGGATAGATTCAGGTAGTCCTACTTTTATTTATTGGGTCACGCATTTAATATCATTTTTTGTTTTTGGTATAAACGCATTTAATATCATATGGTTGCTAAAGTAGGCCCTTTGGAAATTTCCAAATCCACAGGAAAAACATTTAATTACGAAATGCCCGACAGTTTTTTTTTCTTGCTTTTTCTTTATCATATTAAAACTTCAACATATAGACATATGTGAGATCATGCTAACCGATATCAAAGCTTTGCCTCTCTGCTCGTATCTCAATTAAGCTTTAAGGAGTTCGACCCTTCTGATAGTGGTATAAAAATACAACGCACGCGTGTACGTATATATCATCTAGTTTTGTATGATTTTCATGTTTGGGTATATATCTTGTTCCTTTCATTTTGTGGTGATCATGATATGTTATACGGAAGTCCAATTGAAATCACCAACTATTTAGCTATATTTATAAATATACACAAAATTTATTTAATTCATATACATATATGCTTAATTGAATTTGACATATGTTAAAAACTTAAAATCAATATGTTATACGGAAGTCCGATTGAAATCACCAACTATTTAGCTATGTACTGTAAGTTGGATTATATTTAACCACATTATTTATTTGTTTATTTTTGCTTGTTAAAATGGGTCTGAGGAATCATGGACCGAGACATGTACATATCTCTCCGTCGACCTAATTACAAAGATTGTAACATGGCTCAAATAAACCTATCGAACATAACAGAGGCAACACATGACGGGCCTCGACATTAATGGGCTTTCGTGGATAAGTTTTCCTCTAACATCTTACTGGTGACTATCCCAAAAACAGGAAAACAAGAAAAAAGAACACATAAATATCATTATACATTATACACGGATCTCATAAACTTTTCATTCTCCAGAAAATGATGAACAATATATGAAGAGTAGCCCATATATATCACCTTAATTAATTAATTTGATAATAGTTTCTTTCATTGTAACCAAATTGAGACTCTCCGGGAGGACCGCGGCAATAAGGTGGCTCGAGACATTTCTTAGGAACAGGAGCGTAAATAGGTGGAGCGTACGAATTAGACGGCGTATCTGCAACACAGTCCTATCTTATTAATTCTATATTGATAAAAAAAAATAATGATATATACAGAGCTGTAATTAATATTTCATAACTGTATATACGATATGTCATGTTATGAACGGCAACATACCAGTAAAAACAACTCGAGCATGGGAGATTATGAAAAGAGCCAAGAATGAGAAAAGCATCATCATAAGGACCTTCAATGAACTTGGCGTTTTAGCCATTAAACAAATATCTCTCTCTTATTTTTATCTAATTTCTTACAAGCTAAACTTGGAAAGAGCTGAGTTATGTGAACTTAGGTGATTGATTGGTATTAATAGACTCTACTACTGTCTATTAAATGAAAAAAATGAAAAGATGTTGTCCACAATTTCTACTTTTCCGGGCAAATAAGTAATAAGTTATTTATTCAATTTTCTCAATCTGGTTGTCCATCCACATGACTATCTAGACCTTGTGGTGTCTTTGTCTATTTACAATCACATACTTATTTGATAAAATTTATAGATAATCTAACTGATTTTACATGAAATCTAGATAACTAGTTATTTTTTTAATCTAACTATTTTAAGGATTAATTTTCTTGTGAAAGAAATTTTGTATTTTTAAGGGTTATCTTTCTTGTGTGTTGGCCATTCATTTTAGACGATTTGTTTGAAGCCTCATGCATTTCAAAACTGTAGTGACTAATCGACATGGACATATCACTGCTGCTATCGAACCTCTCTATATACGACATAAATATGTGGAGCATCAAACTTGAATATATTATATTTATTATTTATACAATAAATTTAGGTTATTATTATAAATTTCAAACAAAAATGTCTTGTCACTCCCTACTTGTAGCTATCTAACACTCTGGCCTATTGTTTTCATCTCTGCCTAGATTTTTTCTTTGGGTGTGACTTGTTAGACACAATAGAACAAAAGTAAATGGTAGAAAATTAATTATTATGTTTTCTACTTAAAATTAACCAATCAAGTAGAAAAGAGAAGAATTGTTTTTCTTCTCAGTTCTTCCCAACTTGTACTTTTTTTTTGTTTTTCTGGTTTCTTCTGTCTTCTTTCTTATTTTTCTTCTAATATGTACCAGTCATATTTTTTGCGCTTTTGTTTTCGTCCGCATAACTTTCATTGACTGGTATTGACTGACTATTGAGCGTCTCTTCATGAGATTTACATTGAACATAGAGTTCTGTCCGTATACTTGACATTAATAGCTTTTCAAGAGAGGCCACTAATGGAGCTCGATCATGTACACTCGGAAAACCATAAAGTGGTGGTTCTCGTAATATACAGTATAATTCAAGGTACGTACGAGTGTAAACATTTTTTTCTTTTTTTTTTTTTTTTTTTTGCTAAACATGTAAATATCATATAAATGAATAGAAGTTTTACACAAGCAATACCTAAACAAGAGTAGCCAAGGCAAAAAAAATAAAACAAGGCTACAATATTAAGAGAAGGATATGAAAAACTAGCGAATCCAGAGTATGGGCATTTTTTTTTTTGTGCACAAAAAAAATAGTATGTGCATTTAATTTTTGAAATTTGAATTTGATTGGTGACCTTTTGCTATTGGTGAATTTAGATATCAATATTCATAATTTCATTCGATCTCGATATGGTTTAGGCCCGAATTTGATCTCGTCTATATCCAACAATTATGGTGACAGCCAAAATGAAAAAAAAGAACAGAACCAGCATACGTTACAAACTGGCATTATATTATAACATGGATATATCTCCCAAGATTTTTATTCTCCACCAAATAATGATGAAAATATATAAAGATACACCCATTACCCATACATCACCTTAATATATTAATTTGATTATAATTCATGTGACCAAATTGAAACTCTCATGGACGGCAATAAGGTGGGAAACAAACAGGGTACGCAGACCCTGGCGGAAGGCCGCCATACGGCGTACCTGCAACACAACTCCTAATCATATTAATAATAATAGTATTGATACAATACCATGATATATATATTGAGCTGTAAAATTAGATAATAACACGCGAGATTACATATTCTTCATAAATGGAAATGTACCTGGAAGTGATTGAGCATGGGAGATTATGAAAAGCGCCAAGAATAAGAAAGCATCATCATTAGACCATCCACATAGGTGAATTAATTTGAGTATCAGGAGCCCAATTATTATTTTTTAATGGATCAAAACATGAATTTGGGCTTGATACGTATCAGTCCAGTGATACCTCTGATACTGAGTATCAGGTGACGTGGCAGCATGCTATTGGTGAGAAAAAATTTGGCTGAAGCCGAGAAAAAAACAAAAAAACCTTTCCTTCTCGTTTCTTCTCCTCTCTTCTCTCACGAAAACCTCTCCTTCCGCCATGGGTAAGGGTTTCCTTGCTCTCTCTTTCTCTCTTCATCGCTCTATGTTTCTTCTTTCTCTCTCGATTTCTAGATTGTGCGCTTACTGGTTTTGTTAGTCGATCGGATCTTTTATTCTATTTTGGTTGAATCCCTGCCTCTTACTTTGTTATTTTCGATTATTAAGTGATGGATTCTTTGCTCTGGTAGTTAATCTTAAATCGGAAGGAGGATTATCGGCTTTTGGATTAGAAATCGGATTATGGTTTAGCTGATTTGTTGGTTTTAATTGTGAGGGATTGTGTATTTAACTCTCAGATAGTGAGGGATTGTGTATTTAGTGGAATTCTTTGCTAAATTTATCTGGTTTATCTAACTTTGCCATAACTTTAATATCTTTTTTTTGGACTTTGGTGATTTCAGCTTCTGAGGATCATGATGAAGTAATGCTTCTAACAGTCCATAGCGGAGGTTAAGCATGTTTTTTGCTTAAAATGCGTGTCTTAGATGATAGAGTTAATGTGTTTATGGAAATCCAATCAAGTTTATTGTTGAATATCGTTTTCCATTCTTTTGTGTTGTAGGTTGGTGATGTGTTGGTTAAAATTTAGGGAAGCTGGAAGGAAGTTTGATTGTTTAAACAACTTGAACACTAAAAGAATTGGAACATAAGATTCACTTTTTATGTTGGCGTCAGGAAGTATAATTGTATGTCATCTTCCTGCTTGCAGATATTGTTAGCTTAGCAGAGTATATACTGGTTGTTATTTGGTTTCAGTTTCAAGCTTGTTTTTGTTATTTGGTTTCAGTTTTTGACAATACATTAATGATCATCAAATGTAAATTACTCGTTTCCGTATCAAAATCTGCTAGCCTTCTTGTTTACCTTTGGTTTATAATTGCAGAGCCTATAATCTCTAGGGCCACATATATTCATGGTTAAGATATAATTGCAGAGCCTATAAGATTTGAAATATGATGACAATAAAGTCGACAAGGAACTAACTTGGCTTTAAACACTGGTGCAATATTTCTTGTACAAATAAATACGATCTCCGATTGAAATGTTCTTTATGTTCAAGTGTGATGCAGCGTTTTTTTTTCTTTTAAAGTAGTGGGATGCAGCATTGCAAATTGATATTGATGTCATGACCAAAGTCAGCCATATATAGCAACGAAATTATATATTCTTGTAGAACTTTGAAACAGAATAAAAGAAATTAAAATGGGTCACGTCCACCTTTCTTTGATCAACATAGGCTACCTCACCTAATAAACCAAATTGTTAACCTCCATGTATAACTGGTTTCTTTCGATTCCTAAAACATTGATGTTCATCGACATCTTTTGGGAATATAGACTCACAGTTAGATTGATTCCCAATTAATTCTGCTTTAACATAAAGCATGCCATAAGGAAATTAATACTTGAACTGCCCATGACCACACCAAGAAGAGATTAACTGTCTCTCATGATCCCTCATCAAGAACTGCCCATGTTCACAGAGATCAAAAAACCTACTCAAATCTCTCAAAAAACTAAAATATGCAAATTCCACCAAATTTTCCAAAATCTTTACTCCAATACATCCCACTTAGTGTATATTCTACGTTTTTATGGATTGTAATATTACCTTTTGTAATCTTATGTTTTTATATATTTATTTTCGATTTTACAAATAATTTTTTTTATTAATGATACCGATACCGGTCTCACCACTGGAAACAGATTTATTACCAGTATCATAAAAAATCTCATACAATAAACAAACATTAAAATTAATACTAAAAAATTGTTAATGATACTCATAGAGTATCAACTATGTGCATGCTCTAAGGAGCTTCGATGGACTTGGCATCTTAGCCGTTGAATAAATCTCTCTTTTATCTGTTTTTTTTTTTCTTACAAGACCTGGAAAGGGCTGAGTCATGTGAATATGGGTGATTAGTATATTTAGAATCACAATCTAAAAATTACAAGAATACCCTTCCGTCCATGCCGGAAAAATAAAAATTTGGGTTCTATAAATTTTTATTTTTATAGCTTTTGTTATGAAAACTTTCTTTTTTTTTTTTTATGTATTTTGAGGGCTCTTTCCAATATTATATTTAGCTTACTATCTAATTTATTAATTGTTCAGTTGATTAAGATTTTGAATTATTTTTGAGCCTAAATTTGCTCATCTGAATACATGTTACTTACCTTTTTTCAATAAAATTTGCACTAAGATTAGCTGCTTGTAGACCACGAAATCTGAAATGAGGCTTCAAATTCCTCCATGGCTCCCTAATATCTCTCGTGAAGCTTTGTAGTCCAGGCCATAGATTGGGGTCCTTCACATCCTGCGTCAAGATCTTGGGATCATTCTCAAACAAAAGCTCTCTCCATAAGCAAGATTATTTAGACAGGACATTGCCATAAAAGGCTGCAGCTTTCTTAAACCCTTTTCTATCTTCCTGACCGTGATTAGGCATGACATTTCTCAAAAGTTTTCTGGGGCTGCAATCTTGTGGCCCGTAGATCACAGCCCGAGATGGAAGAGCCATGAAGAGTACCCATCCGGAGCATAGCCGAGTCTCTCACCATGTGCTCGTCTGACTATTCTCAAGCAAACGAGGTTCAATGCCGATCGAAGAACAAGTTTAACTATCTAGAGGATGCCAAAGTCGATCCGAACACTCATATATACATATACAAAATCCAATAATATATATATATATATTTTGAACCATATAAAAACCAACCATAATTTGTACAATTATTTCAAGATATGTTTGCTGTATATACATAGCTATTATTTTCTCTTAGTTATAATATTCATACATAATCTCTAGATCTTATTGAAGGTACAGTTGCGTTTAAAATGACAACCGCGAAGTATACCACTAGATTTTTTGGTTAGGTGAGCATCCTGAGACTCAAGGAATTTACAGATACATCTTCTTGATTGCCTAAATTTGTTACAACATGCTCCGCCTTGGTGAGGTTCCCCGGCGCCTCCGTATACATGTGTATTGATGCAATGTCTAACTTCAGGTAGGCATTCTTGTGGCATTGGCATCCTATACTTATTACAATTGGGTTTAGAATAATGACAACCACTAAGTACACCATTAGCACCTTTGCTTAGCTTAGGATCATAGGATAAAAGGAATTTACACACACATGATACTGAGGTCCTAAATTTCTGACAACATGCCCCGCGGTATGTAGGTGCCCCGGCGGCTCCGTATATATGCTTATTGACGCAATCTCTAACTTCCGGTTTGCATACTTGTGGCATTGGCGTTGGCACCACCTTCACAGGTTCCTCGGGCTGCTTAGGAATCACCACAATTGCCGGACCGGTGTCACCCCCACCCGAAGGCTTGCCGCCTGAAGCCCCACCCCTATAACCGGTGCCAACATTACTCCCATCCCTAATGCTGCCGCCGCTAGGGATATTTCCACCCCTATAGCCGGGGCCAGCATTCCCACCACCACCAAAATAGCCGCTTCCAATACCACCAGGATTCCCACTACCAACAAAGCCGCCGCCGCCGCCCCTGCCGGAGACTTTAATCGGAGCCGGAAATGATGTCAAGAGTATGATGACGGAAATGAGCATCAATGGAATGATCTCCATGTCTAATGAATTAGTCGAGCTGGTCAAGATGAATTTGCTTTAATTTGTAGAAATGATCTCTGCTTTATTTGACGGGTCTTTAATTAAAATAGGAAATTGTAATCAATGGTTCCTACAAAACATGGAAAATGGGAATTGATTCCTATAAAGAAGGGACGATGGTAATTTCCTATAGTTGGTTCTCTTTATGTGGGCAAGTAAAAATATATGTTGTTACTATTTCTAAGTTTCTTTAACGCTCTCTCTCTCTCTCTCTCTATTTTTGGCTTTACAAGCTCTGTTTTTCTTAGCCAAAGGTAAATTAATAAAATCCCGAAATTATACCCAAAAAAGTATTTATCTATGTGGAGCTTAACTAAATGAATCGTTAACTTTTGGGTGATATGATTATATGAACTTGTTTCGAAATGAAATGAGATAATTTGTCCAACTAAACGTTCATATCTAGATTAATAGACTCGAATAGAAAGATCGAGACTGTTCCACTGTGATCTGAATTTACACTAGCTAGTTATATATCTTTGAGACTATTTCTTCTATTACTTGTTAGACACGTCATTGATGAGAGATTTAGATAATTAACGATGTCTTATTGCAAATTATTAATAAGTCGACATGACAATAGTTAAAGCATCACAAACAATCAAAGGCTGCAGAAGAAAAGAAAGAAATAAAAAACACACAAGAAGACAACAAAAGAAAGAAAACAAGATATAGATAGTTTGCTTAGTCCAAGGAGATAATGTCAATAACTTTCTTGGATTTCAAATCCGGATTCAGATAAACTCGACCCATATTGCCCGGAAGCTCTCAAACCTTGAAGCTCTGCAGCTACTTGTCTCATATCTGGCCTCTCCTCACCTTTCACTTTTACGCACTTGAGAGCCAACAAAGCTGCTTCATACATCTGCCAGCGATTCTCTTCGTTCACCACCCTCCTGTCCAAAACGTCACTTAACCGATTCTCTTTCAGAGCAGATTCTAAGTGAGTCACCAGATACTTATCAGTCTGTGGCCGGTTAAAGCACACCGCCTTTTCCCCTGAAATCAACTCCATCAGAAGAACTCCGAAGCTGTAGACATCGCTCTTCTGGCTCAGCGTGCTTGTATTCAGATATTCGGGATCAAGATAGCCCATGGTTCCCTGTACTAGTGTTGTTAGAGGTCCCTTGTCTGCAGGGACAAGCCTCGAAGACCCAAAGTCAGATACTTTGGCAGATAAGGTGTCATCTAGAAGGACATTGGCCGGCTTGACGTCACGGTGAACTAATGGGACCGGAGAAGAGGAGTGGAGGTGAGCTAGAGTTCCGGCGATCTCTACTGCAATCCTCAACCGGTCCTCCCATGGAAGAGAAGAACCGAGCAACTTGTCATAAAGCGTTCCACCGGACACAAACTCGTAGACCAAGAGGGGAACTAGGGTTTCTAGGCAACAACCCAGAAGCCTCACCACGTGTGGGTGGTGGATCTGTGAGAGGACCACTAGTTCGTTGATGAACTGGGGTACTTGGTTACGGTCACCAACTCGAGCTTTTTTAATGGCGATTTCAGTGTTGTCTGACAGAATCCCTTTGTATACCACTCCCTGGCCTCCCTCACCCAAGATTCTGGTCTCGTGATAATTATTAGTAGCCGCCTTGATTTCTTCCTCCTTGAATATCTTGATAGAAGCATTTGATGACTGTGCGCCAGAGTCTAAGAGTCGTTGTACCAGCATTATGCCACCGTTTTCTTCAAAACGTTTCTTTCTACGTTTGGCTTTTTCCCGGCTCTTATATTTTAGCACTAAACCGCAGATGAAGAGCAAGATGCCCAAGAACCCAATGATGCTTGCTGGTTACAGTTAAATTGTCGATCCAAATTAATTAATACTTGAGTCTTGAATTGATATAACCCAAAAAAAAAAAAAAGTAAACGCTAGAAACTTACCAAGAAGAAGGATTTTCCATTCTTTACGTTTCTTGCAATGGAAAGAACCAACAGTGTTGCGACAGGTTTCATGCTCGGCACAAGGACGATTGCTCAATTTGCACTCATCGATATCTTGGCAACCATGTTCCATGTATGGATTCCCTTGGAACCCCTCTTGACATTTGCAGGTATGCCCCTTGATATCTTTACGGTTGATGCAATCGCTGTTCTGATGGCACGTTGTGTTCCCAGCTTCCTCACATGTCAAATCACTGATACTCCAGTCTACTAACACTGGAAACTGTGTGAGGTTCCGCAGGTTTTTGAGATCTTCTCGTCCAGAAAACTTGTAATACCCGGCTTGAACGATAAATCTATAGATGCAAGGATTTACGTCAAACACGTCTGTGCTGTAAGGATTGATGAGTGTTACAAACTTTAACTTGCTGTCTCCAGGATTGATAAATGTTCGACAACAACCGTCCATATGAAAACACGATACATCATTAAGTTGATCAAGGGAATGGCAATATGTAACGCAGTCGAATGTGGATTGTTGTTGCACACCAACGTTCACAATGAAGATAATACCGCAACCAATTTGAAAGAACTGGTTCTTGCTGGAGAAAGTAAAATCAGTAGAAATCACACCGGATTCTTGACCTTCAGCAACATCTCCCTTGATGTTGTAGCAAGTACGGATCCTATCCATGAGGATTTGCATTTCTCCATCGAGGGAAATGTTGAGCACCTGGAGGTTGTTCTTTACCAAAAACGCCTTTTGCTCTTTCTGATTACACCTGATATGAAATCTATTGTCGAGGTAACAACCAGGAGAAGTGCCAAAGGGATAGTCGATTAGTATGTCTCCACATTTAGTTTTGCAATCAGAAACAGAATCAGAAACCCATGACAAAAGCAGCAAAAGAAACCCCACATAATTCTTTCTGAACATCTTTTTACTTTTTTTTTTTTTTTTTTTGTGTTTGTGACATTTGACGTCTCCTCCCTATAAAAAGATCCAACTTTTTCAAAATGGACAAGACTTTGATCCAACTTTGTCAAAATGGACACGACTTTTGTGTTTTGTGTATTTAAACCACAATATGGAAAGCTCGTGGATCTGTCTTTTAAGTTTCGTTGTTTTTCAAACCTCTTATCAAATATTAGGTTTCATAATAAATTATGTTTTTAGATTAATAGGTCGTGAGCACCCGTGGAAAACTCATTTTCTTTTTTTTTATGTATTAAAATATTGTGATCACAAAGTCAAATATTTCAAATATTATGTAAATTCTAACCTAAATTTTAAGTTATATTATAAATATTTTCTAAAGATTATAAGATATTTTATTTGGGTCAACCAAATAATAACTAAAAAACTATTTCATGATTAGTCTCAATTTAAATGGAAAGAAATTAAAAAAAAAAGTAACAATGTAGAAAATCTAGGTAGAAAATCCGCTTTGAAATTACAAGAGTGAGAGCTATGAGATAGCGAGAAAGAGTAAAAGAAAACACGTATCAAACCAATCTCATTCAATAGATTAGAAAAAGCGGGTCACTCATTAGGAAAGCTTCCATTTGCGAGTGTAAAGGGAAGGGACTCCTTTGATTAAGAAACGTAAACCTCCAAGCTATTTGTTTGGATTACTATTAGGGAAAGTTACTAAATTAACTCAAATATTGAGTTTAATTACTAAATTGTCTCAAAAATAATTTGGGTTAAATGAGTTATTTTCATGTCTAAAATACTATCGTCTCATGTGTAAAAAAAACAAATACAAAAATACCCTTCAAAATTAGTTGTGACAGATTAATTTATATACTGCAGACTTATAAGTCAAATATATCAAAGTTGCAATTGTTCCTCAAATAAACTAAATGTTATAACAGTTCATAAAATAAACTAAATATTGCAACGGTTCAATTACGGCTGCAATAATTAATTTAAATGTATTTTAATAAAATCTTAAAAAGTAATCATTTATAAAGACACATTCTGATACGCGAGTTTAGATAGAAATATATCAAATATTGCAGCCCTTTGTCAAATAAACTAAAAGTTACAACGGCTCATAAAATAAATTAAACATTACAATGATTCATCAAATAAACTCATTGTTACAATAATTTGTTTAAATAAATTGAAATAGTTAAAAATAAGAAAAAATTATGAAGAGTTACAACTGCAAAACGCAATTGGACAAAACATTTATCCAGAGTGTTATTTCAAAAGCTATATTAGTTTCTTTTTTAAAAAAAATTATATATATATATATATATAATCTTTAGATTTTTGGACAACTGGGTCTAGGAATACGACAACGTAAAAAGATAGCCTGACCCCGGCTTTGGGACTTGATGAGTTGACAGAAACATTGTACTGGATTCATCCGTTTAAAATGCTCGCAACAGCTCGTCTCATTGTTCATACCTCCGTTTATATACACACCTAAGCATTTTTGAAGCCTCGCCGGGCATCCTGGCACCACCGGGAGTGGTTGTTGCGTTTCCACGTAACAAGCGACTTTCACCGGAGCCAGAAATGATGTCATGAGTATGATGACGGCAAAGAGCAACAATGGGATGATGGTCTTCATATCTAATGAATTAGTAGCTGGTCAAGATTCCAATAAACAATGACTGCGTATGTACTTTGTATAAATAATATATCGACGACTTATTTGTTTTGGATCTTTAAATAGGAGTTGGAATCAATGGTTCCTACAAAATAGGCAACCGAAAGGTGAATATTAATTTTATTTTTACTTACAAAGCGATAGAAATGGCATCAAGTGTGGTATTTATTGCATTATCCCAAAATACATGTGTGTTTTTTATTCGTTAAGCACCGAATAAATCGGCTCGAAAATTGAATTTTTAGTTTCATCTAAAGATTTAGCAAAGAATATAGATATAGGAACCAAACAAAAGTATTTATAGTTGGTCTAATAAAACAGTGATTCAGCTCATCTTTTAGACTTTGTGTGTTTTAGTATTTTAAAGCTGTGTCCTTTGAGTGTGAAGTTAGACAAGTAAAACGTATGGTTGTTGGTATTGTCGGATACTATCTCTAAAATTTTCGCTCATTATTTGACAAATAAGGCACACTCTAATATCATCATCACTCTCTGAAAACCAAAAAAAAAAAAACTTGAATGGTAAAGCCACAAGCAAAAGACTCAAAGCGACCTATTGTTGGGCTTGGAGGACCTGGTTTTGGCGAACTCAACCAGGTCTTTGAAAAGCAAATCCTCTGGTTTCTCTTCTTTCTTCGGTTCACTAGTTGTCAAAGAAAGGTTCCGGATCTGTCCCTCGTAAGAGGAATCTGAGCCGCTACTCGAGTGGTGATGCTCAAAGAACTGTTGCCTCTGGTTGTGCCTTGAAGGCGGAGGTGGAAGATTCCTAATTACCTCAGAGGATTTGCTTTGTGGACTTGCATCATCGAAAACAGGAGAAGAAGAAGAAGCATGAGGAGGCTTGGAGGAGCCTTGAGGTTTATAGACATCCCCACTAAGGAAATCCACCATACCCGAATCACTACCATGTACTGGTCTCATTGTAGGTGGTGGTGGTGGTGGTCTGATATCACTTGAAGACCTTTAGAGATTGAAGTCACAAAGTTAAAGTGTCGAATATATAGCCTTCCAAATAGGAATCATCATCATTACCTGTGAGCAAGCCGAGCAAACTCATCATCTGATTCGTCATCTTCATCATCATGATTGATGTTGACAATCTGAACTGGAGGAGGAGCTCTAGTATTCCTTCCATTTGAAGGAACAGAGCTGACCTTTGCGATATCATCGTGACGCTGAAGAACACGCTGCACATTATCGTTTAATGCCAATCCCTGACACAGAAGTTCCTCATCTCTAGAGAATAGAAAACGACCTTTCAGCATCAAATGGGGATGAAAGGATGATGCAAGTAACAGAAACTTACGTTGTAGTGTTCACAAGAGTCATTACACGTCTTTGATAAGTACGACATTGCTCAACTAAGTCAACTATAACTTCTTCTTTTAAACTCTGTAACAACACATCAAGAAGAAGTAGCAGCTTCCATTACTTGAAAGAAAACCAGCAGTTTCTTCTATTCATTATGCATTAGAGTAAGCAAAATTCCTACCTCGGGATTCCCGGGATCAAGTGCTCCAAGCATGTCCATCAAAACATCAACTGATCCCTCAGCGCTTTGAATCTCTTCCAAGCTAAAAAGAAACTCAACAAAACTATAAGACTCCACCACCCATCCAAAAGAAAAAGAGCACCACCATCTATTCTACTAGAAGAGAGTACCTGAGGCTAGAAGCAACATCTCCTTGCAACGACGCCTGAATAGCAGCATCATCATCTGGCTGAGTCTGCGGTGGAGTAAAGAACGATAGACTGCTTTCCGTTCGAGGTGGAAACTCAATTCCAGCAGACTAAAGTTATCAAAATGTAAAACCATTTTGTCAAAACGTATTAATAGATGAATAAAAAGACCTTATCACATGTTTAACATACCCTGAGATCGTTATAGGCATTGTAGTATTGTGGGTATCGACCTCCACGTCCACCAAAAGCTTCTTGCCATGTGTCTAACAAACTTAGTATCTTTTCCCTCACATTCAGGCCCGGCTGCGAAATTATGTTAGGAAACTAACAAGGTAAGAGAGATACCAATGGAGAAATTTGAGATATTAGAGGCAGGTGAGGTGAAATTATAGCAACACCTTTTTCTTCATTAGTTTGACCATGTCTATCAAAATATCACGGTCAATGAAAAGCTGGTACACGTTTTCGCCACAATTCTTACTTAAAGTTTCCAATGCCTGCCCCAAAAACCGACAATGAGGTCAACAAAAACATGAAACCAAACCAAAGCATTGAATCCAAGAATGGAGAAACCAGTACTCACATAAAGTGCAAGAATCTGGACTTTAGAGTTTTTACTTCCTAACCGCTTCTTGAGCACTTTCACAGCTTCTTTTGCTTGACTAAGGACTCAAACAATGTCAAACTATTCATTTCCAGCCACAATCTGAGAGTTTTCTGATTACAAGAAATATATGTATAAGGATTTTACCTAGGATCCATGTTGATAATATCACACAATTCAATGTTAATAGCCCAATCTGGACCAATCAGCATATCATTTGTAGCCCTTTCTGCACACGCAGCCGCGTCATTTGCCATCTTTACAACTCTTATCAATCAAATCCCACAAGTTTCCAAATTTCCTATAAGCACAAATGAAGACACCATAAGCACTTTAGTCCACAAGCAAAATTCAAAGACTTTTCAAAGCTTAAAAAACACTAAGCACATCTCATTAGAAAGATTGCAACAGAACAAGAAGAATAATGTTGTAAAATTCAATAATAGAAAACAAACCCATGAACAATTAAAGCCAGGAATTCAATAAGCTCACAAGGATTAGTCTTTCCGGTGATTGTGATTACGCAGAACTAGAAAGTAAACAGCTAACTAGCAAGGAAAGAATTCGAATGGTAACAAGACTTGAGATTCCAACCAAAAGAGACAAAAGCAAAGATCTTTTACCTTGTCAAGTGACCTAAGAACCAAAAACAAGAGCAAGCCAGGTTTTGTAAAGTCTCAAGATTTAAAGAAGATGAAACAATTTAAAGGGTTTTTCGAAAAACTATCAAACACGGTAAGGATTTTTCAGGTGTCAGGTCAAGTCGCCGTGCCGTCCTAGAATCAACGGCTGACTTTTTCTGCTTCTAGAGATGTAATAAAAGTTGCAAACTTGTGTTTTGTTTCACTTTTTGCTAATGTCACCGTCGGTGATATTAAGACAAAGTCACCGTCGACTACTAAAATAATACTATTTGTGTCGTCGTAATTAATTTAAAACCATCATTAGGGAAGCAAAGCATTTGTGGTGACGAGATGAAAACGGCGTCGCTTTCCCTGTAGTTTTTTCGTCGTTGACTTGTGTGCTAAAATAAAATCAGAGCGTTTTCTAAACGCAAAAGAAAATGCGTTTAAACGAGAAGATGATAATCTCACACAAGTCCACAATGAAGACCAAACTCTATCATCAACCTCACCAGAAAAAGAACATAGACACATTAAAGGGACTCACTCTTCTTGAACTTGAAGTGAAGGCAAAGATTACTTATTACGTAGTCGGTAGTGAATCAAGTACATAAGATTCGAAAAACATAAAAATTTGATATTTATTGATGAGCATTGGTACACTATTATTAATGGTTTATGTTAGCAAACGCTGAAGTGTCTATCTACATAGCATTATCAAGAACTCACTCTATAGATACATTGCATAGACTTACAAAAAGAAAGACTCAAGAAACATAGGAGAAACTACAAGAAGAAGAAAAAGATAGAATCTTTGTGGTACATTGAAGACGTTGTTCATGTCATCTTCATCGTTCACGGATTTATAGACTCCACTAAATGTGGCTAGAGTTATATGAACCGGTTAGTCTTCTTAGCCAAAGAAGTGAATAACCAACCATTGAAGAACTTTTCATTTCAATCTCGTAGATGTACATTCCAGAGGAAAGATAAGCATCCCCTGTTTTCATCCCTGTATTAAGAGATCCCACAATGTAAACATTAAGAACACCAAAAGTTCTAGAGATTGTGTAACGGAATTAGGAAACATAGACAGAGAGACTTAGGCATGAATCTAGCCACAGCACAGGATTCTCAGACATAATCTTTGGTAAAAAAGTCTAAAACTTGAGGTCAAAATCTCGTGCAACCAACGCAACTAAATTGACCATTAACTTCAAACCCACCAACAAGAAAAACGACCAATTTCACAAACTCTTTACACGATTCACATGATGGAGAGAGAAGAGTATCACAAAACAATTCAGCACTCTAGGAAATTATCAAGAAAAACAAAGCTCACAAAAAGCAAATCCAAGAACTAGATGCGAAATACGTCTACGGATTCTTAAATAAATTTTGGCTATTGGCTCTAATCGTATAATGAACAAAGCTACAAATACCTTTAATTTCTCAGAGTTTATGCATACCTTAGACTGTTTCGACTTCGATCACTATTGCTTCTACTGCTACTACCACCACTGCTCTTTGAGCTCCCACTGTTGATCCTTGAGACAACACTTTGACTCCTACGCGATTCTGACAATCCATCCTTCCACCAATCTTTATCCTCTCGTTTCATCGAAACATCAGAGATCGAAGGTCTTGGAGAAGAAATCCAAGACTTTTTACTTGTCACAGAAGAATCATCATCATCATCTTTCTTCTTCGTCTTTTTCTTAGCACCCAAGCTAACAGGAAACACCAATTTCAGAAGAAACCCACTGTTATTTACACCTCCGTTTCGAATCGGATCCACCCATTTATCACTCTTCGTCTTCCTCACGACTTTACTCGGTCTTTTATTTCTCTGAGGCATTTCATCGAACACCTTCCCTTCCTTCTCCTCCTCCGTGTTAACCTCAACGAGATCCTTCAACGAAAGCTCGTAACACGACTCAGGCATCTTACTAACCATATCCATGAGCTCACGTTGACCACGAGCGATGACTTGAGCCTTCGAAACAGGTGAGAGGTTCTGGTAATTGTTGTGCAGGTGAGGAGGACTTTTCGGTGGACTTGTTCTCCACAGAGGAGGCGAACAGACGCCGGAATCTGGATGATCATCGAAAGCTCTGGGAAAATTCAAATGGGTATTGAACGATTTCGACGAAAGATCAAAAATTGCCATGATTTTACTTTTTTGAAGGAACCCAAAAAAAATAAAAATCGAGTTTTTAGAATTGAGAGAAGTTTTGAGTCTTCTTGTTCACAACTCTCCCGTTAAACACGCCTTTCGTGAATAATTTCTACAATTTATAGATTTGTTTATTTGAAGACAAATATATTTGGAAATTCTAGAATTAAATAAATACATTATTTTTAATTTAGGGTATTATTGTCATTTGGTTTATATATGATGATTAGCTTATATGAATTTATTAATTATCACGGAAAGCGTGCGACGGAGATAATCTAAGCCATTGATTATTTTATTAATAAGATACGTATATTATATGATCGTTTTTGTTTTATTTTCAGCACCAAAATAGTCATTTAGCATCAGTTACTTTGGGGCTTAATTACTCGTCCCTACTTGTTTACCACTAATAACACGATGGGGCTTATTAAATGCTCTCGCCGTCTCGAAAATCGTAGTGGAAATAAAAATTAAACAAGAAAATGTATTTCCTCTTTTTTCTAATTTGGTTCTATCATTTTGTATAACTGGAAATCTGAATCCTTGCTAGTTGCTAGATTCGATTACAATCCCGTAATGGGATAAAATATACAAAATAAAAAGATAGTAGGGACTAAAGGATGGCTCTTTAATACTTTTTATAAATTATTTTGGTTCAAGTAATTTTGATGCTTTGTAGTATTTAAAATGCGATAAAGGATTTTTCATGATGTGGAATAAAGCTTTTGATTGCAACATTTGTTTCTACTTTCTAGTAGTTAGAACTTAGAAGTTAGAAGAACTGGATTTTCTTCAGATAAAGTTGTTTCATCTGCCGTAATTTTTGCTCTGTATGACTGTATGGTAAATATAGAGGCGTTTAATGCGTCTGGGATACGCCAAATTCATGAGTCTTTTAAGAGCATAAGCGTGTCTAATGGGTTTGTCTTTTTGTCCTTCATAATTCTCCAACGTGTGTGTTAATCTAGACTACGAAGACTGAAGAGGATTTATTTATTTCATTAGTTGATTTCAGTTCCATACCTTAAAAGTCACAATTCCTTTTAAAAGGATCGGCTTCTTATACACAAGACATCGGTAATATACAAATGTATGCCAGGATAGAAAATATGGACAATATAAAAACTAATTAAAATAGATACCTTATGAGTTATGGTCGTAGTATAAATTGAAATCGCTATGAATGTTTCAATTGACAATCACGTCTAACCATATGATGACAATATACATTAGCAATAAATATAACATTGATAACAAATTTGCACACGTCCCTTCATATTTTTGTTATATGTCCACGTGTATTTGTCTTGTTGCTAGCGTTCACTATCTTCTCATGGTTCGTTGTTTCTTTATAAGACAACATTAAGACAATACGCATCCACTTACGTATGTTGCAGTCGTTCGCCAGATATTTATTAATTTTTGTTTTTAAACATCTATTTTGTTCATATTCGACTTTATTATTCTCAATGTTGAATTAATCATATAGATTTAGAAAAAAAAATCATATAAGTCATAAAATGAAGAAATTATGCAACCTTATAATTTTCTTATTTGTTTATTTTGTGGAGATACCGTAAAGAATATGAATCCGAATTGCGAAGATTTGAAGGATCCACACCATTGGCCCATTGGGTAATGAGTAGTGTCCCAATATGTCACCAAACATTTTGCAGCTTTCAAGGGTTTTGATGCTTTTCAACCCAATTTGTTTTCCTTTTAGAAATTTACTTAACGGACACTCTTTGATATCACAATAATTTCAAACCGCTACTCTCCAAAACTCAAGTAATGAATTTCTTATAATATGTCAACCAATGATTTCTTTCATATTTAGAAAGAAAAAAATGATGATTGAGAACTCAGAGTAGCATGTAAAAAAGGTTATAGTTGCGCTGATTGTTGTTTGGGTGTGAATGATTCACTAATAGAAGAAGCAAAGCAATCTTTGACCAAAAAAAGAAAGAAAAGAAGAAGCAAAGCAACAAGCCAAGTTCGCGTCAGAGGAGTGGGAAAATTGCCTATGAAGTTTGATGAACATAGGCTTGTAATTTGTCATGTTTTGTTGATCTTGGATGATGTAATCATTTATCTGCTTGTCGCTGAAAAAAGCATCTCAAATCAGCAACAATTTGAGGTCAGTTCTCACGCTTTTAAAATCGTAGAACATAGTTTGATCCATTAATTTTGAATTGGTAGTATAGATATCTCCATCTATAGAGCTACATGTACAACAATTCTTATTGTTACAAGCTAGAATAGTGGGTAGAACATGTATAGCCTTCTTAGTTATATATACGTCACTCATCAAAGAATTGTGACTGAAAAGAAAAGAACACAATGTATACAATGTTCTGCTGAGTAATCTCCAGGAATAATAACGTAGCATTGAGACATAACATCAAGATCATTATCCTTCTGGTTTTCTTGTCCAAGAAAAAGTAGTAGCTGTTGACTTTCAAAACTCAATGCAACATGTGACATCAGGCTCTCAACATAACCGAAACCACCAATCTTTATGAGTGGATCAAAGTCGTAAGCATTAACAAACAAGTTTTTTTGTTTGTCTTGGTGAGAATTGAACATAAGGGTTGTTTCAAAAACAGTGTTTGAAGATATTCTTTTGTTGTTCAACATTTAAGGTGGGAGAGGTTGAGGCCATCACATGTTCCACTAAGCAATGTCCTTTGTAGGAAAAGCACTTTGGCTAACTTTATTTTTGTTTGTTTTGGTGTTGTAATGAAAATAGAAGATAATGGAATTAACAACGAACACAAAATGTGGGATACATTATTATTAAGCCTTTTGTATATCCCCATTCACATCAATTTATAAAGTTAGCTCCTTTTCAAGAAATCTCTAGGCTTCTATCGTCATAAAAAAACTCCCTTTCAATAATCTTGTATGAGACAATTCAAATTTAGGTATCAAAAGATAGCATTATGGAATTTAATTACCAGCAACCTAAATGTGAGGAGAAGCAGTATTTCACATCTCCAGTCGAAATTCAGCATTTATCTAAGTGTAACAACAATTTGATTATTTTTCTTAATAAGTTTTTCTGTGAGTTTGGACCGGGATCTTTTATAAAATTTATACTATCTTCAGTATAAGAAAAAGAAGAAGAAGGATATTTTAACTTTATTTATCTCAGAAGATTAATTATATCTAGTTCTTGATGCTATGAAACCCATAACACGAAAACCTTGGACATTGTTCGACTTATAATTAAAAATAATATCATTCCAAGATCCATTTCTTTATAATTTTTATAAGAATCTTTGTAGGAGTAGTGAATTATTGAAAAATTGGCTGGTTATATGTGTACTGTTTGTGGTTGACAACAAAATATGTGAACTGTTTGTGATGTATATGTTTATATAAGACAAAATGATGGTGTAGTTTAGCAAAATAAAGAAATTAATGGACCATTGGCTGGGATAATTTTGGAGAAATGAAATAAAGAGAGAAAGAGAGTGACGTCGTAAGAATGTGGGGGAGGTAAAGAGATTAAAGGGAAAAGATACCGAATCTTCTCTTGGTTTTGCGACTTGCCGGTTCCAATTATTTTTCACACCCACTACAAATCGTAATATTTTAGGGAAATAATTTCAAGCTATATTGTACATTCCGATATTTTATGTGATTCAAGTTTTGATTAATTTTTTTTTTAATGATTTTGAAAAAATATTTTAAAACACCTTGAAATCCATGCAAGAATTTTTTTTTTTCATCAAACGGTTGAATTTAAAGTGTTATATATATACGATCACTTTTCTCGTGTTCAAGTACTAGGTCGCCGACCTTTTGCATGAATAACATGTCTTGTAAGTTTAGAGTGGTTAAGTTACTCTAAACACGTTATCAAAAAAAGCAAGTTTAGTAAGTTAAAATAATTCATTAATTGTATTGTCTCAAGAAACACGCATGTTACAATATATTTACAAAAGAAATCTATTTTCTTTTATTTTTTATTGTTTTCATATATTTCAGAATCGACCATGATCAGAAGTTTTCTAGATGATATCGACATGAAATGTCAGTCTATAGAAAATTTTGTGTGGATTTACATCCACATCTTATGACATGAATCAATGATAAACCGGTTAGATTAGATGTATAGAAACCGTTAGCAGTGATAACTGATCACTTATATAATATACTTGCCATTTTGACCGTTACTTGTCAAGTTGTCATCGTTTTACGTTTAATCTTATCAGTTATCACCAAACTGTTTTTAACCCATAGTAAAAAACAATTGACGACAACTAAACTAAACCAATAATATACGATTATACGTGTTACAAACTTAAATGAAGAAACAGCATCGTGGAAGATGATAGTTCATTTGCAGAGTGGCTATTTTGTAATTTATGAAGTTTTCCATGTCCTCGATCAAAACAACTAAGCGACAAAAAGGACCGCCCGTACTACCTCGTGAGATCCAAACGCTTCTACTTTCACGCGCCTTTACTACAAATTCCAACACGCGCTCTTTGCACTAAACATTTAAATTTCTCAGATTATTGTTGTAAATGATTTAATTACTGCTAGTTAAAGCTAATAATTAACTGTACATAACTACTTTAACCAAATCGGTCTGGTTTGATAGATCCAAATCATTTTACACAAACCGGTCTTTTAAGCCAACCACAATGCAAAAAGCTAAATGGAGAGTAGAGGACACGCGCTATAAAGAACGTGTGTGGGAGTGGGAATAGTTCGTATTAACACCACCACTAATTATAATGTTCGCTTCGTCATATCTGACTAATTACTCATTTAATTATATAAGGTTTTATTTTATTTAGTTTGAGTTAAATTAAAAAAAAGTTTGTTGTCGTACTATTCCCACTAGATTCCTATTAAAACCTCTGACAGAGAAAGAAGGGTTTCAATCTCATTAAAGAGAAAAGAAACGATTAGAGAAAGAGAGGAGCCACACTTCTTCTTCTTCTGTGTCTCTCTGTCTCTGTGTAAACTCTGTTTTTTTTTGTTTGAAGATGTAAAGATTATTAATTTTTTTCTCTTTATATATTTATCGATCTCTTTGTTTTCTCCATTAATTTGTCTCTCCTCTTCTCTCTCGCTGACTCCACAAAATTTGAGCTTTTTGTTTTGAAGTTCTTGAGGTAACTTTTTCTCACTCTCTTATAGTTTTATTTTGTTTGATTTTTTCAATTTCGAAACTTTGAATTCTTGGTTTTATTGTTTTCATAATTTATCTGGAGAAAACCCAGAAAGTTGTAAAGATTTAGTTGAATTGTGTAAGTTCTATTGAAATTGGCAAATGGATTCGACAGATTTTTGAGAACCATGTATGTTTTAAATTCGATGTCGACGCACCATAAATTTTATATATATGAAATTGAAATCTTGAAAACAACAGATTTGGTCTCATCTTCTTCAAGTTGTTGTTGATGTGTCTGCTGCCTGCTGCCTGCTGCTTAGAGTAGTGTTTGTTGCAAGTTGGCTTATTATTGTCTAATCTTGCTATGGTGTTATATTATTATTTTATTTTATAGTGTTTCGATTTGTAACATTTTAGATTCCGTCTTTGACCAATTAAAATCTTTCCTCCATAACGTTTTATTTTTATAACATTTTTTTTTCTTTCTTTCATGTTTTTAACTTTGACAGCTACTTCTAAGTTCGTTTTAAGCATCAATTCGTTTATGCAAATAGAGAGAATCTCATGTCATGTCTTAGAAAACAAAATTGCTCAGAAACTATCTTTTTTTTTCTTTTCGGAGATCTTTTAGGAATCTATTCCTCTGTTTTTCTTTGGTTGAGAAGGACCAGAGAAACTCTCTTGTTTTGTTTCAGAGAATCTCTGTTTGTGGTCTCTCTTTATGAAATCTTTATCTCTATCTTCTTTCAGATTCTGCTTCTTCTGTCTAGTTACTTAGTGGCCAAGATTCACTTATTTGACTAGGCAGGCAAAATCTATCGAATATCTTATCTTCTTGCAACTTGTTTAGAGACTTAAAGCTGTACTTACTTTGTTTGTTGCTTCTTCTTATCCTTTGTCTTGTTCTTCTGTCTCTTGGTGATGATATAAATTACTTCTTTTTGGTGAAATTGCAGAACAAGTGAAGAGCTCTTAATATCCACAAGACTCTCTTGTTTCTTTCTTAAATGGCTAAAGTTTATTGGCCGTATTTCGATCCTGAATATGAGAACTTGAGCACCAGAATCAATCCTCCAAGGTAAAAATCATTATTACATTTCACATCATTGATGCTGTTTCCAAGTAGCTCATCATACTTTTCTATGTTGTTGCAGTGTTTCTATAGATAACACTAGCTGCAAAGAATGCACTCTTGTCAAGGTAAGCATCTTCTTTCTCGGATTTCAATCGATTCGATGAATTAAACTGAGATTTTTATGCATGTGAGACTGTTTATTAATAGGTGGACAGTATGAACAAACCTGGAATACTACTGGAAGTTGTGCAAGTCCTAACCGATCTCGATCTCACAATCACGAAAGCTTATATCTCTTCTGATGGTGGATGGTTCATGGACGGTAATAATATTGCATATATGTATACATTCATAACAAATTCTTTCATTCCAATGAAGCATCTCACTGATTCTCTTTTCACATCTTTTTAGTATTCCATGTCACTGATCAACAAGGAAACAAGGTTACTGATAGCAAAACCATTGATTACATCGAGAAGGTATATACATAAAAGCACTTAATATATGTTTAGTTTGTATAATGTATGCACTTAGTTTGTTATTACAATTACATTATATCTGATTCTTGTTTTTTCTTTAATAAGGTGCTAGGACCAAAGGGTCATGCTTCGGCTTCACAAAACGCTTGGCCTGGTAAAAGAGTCGGTGTCCATTCATTAGGCGACCACACATCGATTGAGATTATTGCTCGTGATCGTCCTGGTCTATTGTCTGAGGTCTCAGCCGTACTAGCAGACCTCAACATCAATGTGGTGGCTGCTGAAGCATGGACTCACAACCGTAGGATCGCGTGTGTCCTCTATGTGAATGACAATGCAACTTCTAGAGCCGTTGATGACCCAGATAGATTGTCTGCCATGGAAGAACAGCTCAACAACGTGCTGCGTGGGTGTGAACACGAAGATGAGAAATTTGCTCGGACGAGTCTCTCCATTGGGTCAACTCACGTTGATCGAAGGCTTCATCAGATGTTTTTCGCTGATAAAGACTATGAAGCAGTGACCAAGCTTGATGACTCTGCTTCTCGTGGACTCGAGCCCAAAATCACAGTTGAGCATTGCGAAGAGAAAGGTTACTCTGTGATAAACGTGAGCTGCGAGGATCGACCAAAGCTCATGTTTGACATTGTATGCACGCTTACGGATATGCAATACATTGTGTTTCACGCCACGATTTCATCGAGCGGCTCTCATGCTTCTCAGGAGTATTTCATTAGACACAAAGACGGTTGCACTCTTGACACAGAAGGAGAGAAAGAGAGAGTTGTCAAATGTCTAGAAGCCGCAATCCATAGACGAGTCAGCGAGGTATGTAAACACATTATATTGCTCCATGTTTCTTGCATTAGAAGCAACAATTTCTTAAGTTATTTGTCTGAAAATACTATTATAGGGTTGGAGTTTGGAGCTCTGCGCAAAGGACAGAGTTGGATTACTGTCGGAAGTGACAAGGATTCTGAGAGAGCACGGGCTATCAGTGTCTAGAGCTGGTGTGACAACAGTAGGAGAACAAGCCGTCAATGTTTTCTATGTGAAAGATGCTTCAGGGAATCCAGTGGACGTGAAGACGATTGAGGCGTTACGCGGAGAGATTGGACACAGTATGATGATTGACTTCAAGAATAAAGTTCCGAGCAGAAAATGGAAAGAAGAAGGTCAAGCCGGAACAGGAGGAGGATGGGCCAAAACCACTTTCTTCTTTGGGAATTTGCTGGAGAAGTTACTGCCTTGAGAGAAAAGGTAATTATAAATGTGTGGATAAAATGTACTGTAAAATGTGTATTATGTATGATCTAGAGGGCCTTAGTGTGGTGTATGACTTGGTCAGGGATTTTGGTGGTTTGCCCGAAACTAAACCGAACCAAAACTGGTTTTCGGTTACTTAGTCATAGTAAAATGAACATGTGTATAAAAGAATAATATTCAACTCTTCCTATTGGAAGGCTTGCTTTTGTCTATGTAATATCGATCCTTCTTGTTATGTATTTATCTTTGGCCAAATGTGATATTTTCGGTAGTTTAATCTCTTCTTTTCCTTCTATTTTGTAACTTCTTCGAATCTTGAATATCAATATCATTGCAGTGAGAGAAATGAAGTATAATCCAATGAATATACAGTATACTTATAAATAGTAGACAAGCCTAAAAAAGTGATAAATGGGTGCATCTGCGAATACTTTTGTTATAGTCGAATATGAAAGTAAAATTAAGTAAACGGGATGCTAAGTACGGTTTGTTTTCAAAGTATTTTAAATTTAACAATTAAAATTTTTATTAAAAAAAAGAAAGAAATTAAGAAGATGTTACCTGGTTGTAATTGGATAGCAAGGAGGGCCTTCACAGCAAAGCCCATTGACAAGGCCCATCGACGCGTGCCTTGAGCCGTTCACTGAGCCGTTTCTCGACGAAGAAAGTCGATGAGTTTTGTATCTTCTTCTTCATCCTCAAAGTAACTCTAAACAGCCATCGAAACTGCTGCACGTCCGTCGCTTTCACTGTCCCTCTCTCCATGCTAACGAATTACCAATAACACGGGACATTAGTTAAAAGATCCGACCTGAAATCGTTCGAGATGAAGATCAAATCACGAAACCAGATGCTTTCCTCCGATCAAATCTTACGGATAAGTTTTGAGATGAAGAGTGAAGTTTTTGAAGAGATCATTGACTTACTTCAATATCGGAATGGATCATCGGCGATCCTCTTTCTATGAACAGAGTATTTGAAAAAGATAGGGTTTTTTTTTCCGTTGGAAGAAGAAGAGAGATTAGGGAGCGAGTATTTATAAGCAAAAGGTTGACACAATAACAAAAAGGAAACTTTCGACTGATTTCCTTTTTTTTGACTGATTTCCTTTTTCTTTATTATTTCTGAATAGGTTTACGTTGTTTTCTTTTTTTTTTTTGGTAAAATTTACGTTGTTTTCTTTTATGCAATTATGCTGTAAAAATTTATAACGGTAAAGAAAAGTTTTACAACAACAGTCATATTTCTCCTACTGCGTAATAATTTATCTAAGGTAAATTATTTATCTGAGTGACTAAACCATTTTATGATACAAAACTTTCGAAACAGAGGATACCCTCCACTGGCGAGGACAGAGCTCAAGCTATGATCACAAGTACCTCAAGCTATTAACTTGGGTGGCTTTCTAATAAGAGTTGCTTGTTCCAAGGCATACGCAATCTCAGTGAGCTTTGATGTGATGATCAAGACGAGAAGAATGCTTCATTACAATCCCTAATCTCTTACCTATGAGACCACTAGTTGTCAAAAACCACCTTCAGGTATGAACTCCGACGCAGTTTTCGTGGCCTAGTCCAGTAGATCATAACCCAAAATAGCATCAAGGAGATAAACCGAATCTGAAACTGTCCTACAAATCGCCTAACATAGAGAGACACAGACACTAGGGAAAATGGTACACAAATCAAATAGTTAGTAGTGGTGTGTGCTCTTAGAGTTTTAGTCAAACAACAGTCATATTTTTCTTTATGCGTAAGAATCTATCAAGGTAAAGTATTTGATGTTTCGTTGAGTGACTGTTGAAACAGAGCATTCTTTAAACAGAGAATAGACCATTGATTAAGGATTAGGTTAGAAAAATAAACTCTACCATAAAGATTCATCTTTAATCAAATTCACCCATTAAGACTGTGTGAGTGAGTTAATTTGAAGGCATTGCACAAACAGATATGAAAGCTCGGTTCTAGAAAACTGTATTACAACGCAAAAGAACCACGCTTGATCGTGCCAAGTCACGCTTAGATGATGAAGCTATAAGCTGAAAAATGTTGCACATGTATATCATCAAGCCTTTTGATGCCATAGACTCAGTCAATAACTTTTTTCTCAGTTTTCTATTCTCGTAGACATAGTGTAACGCGCTTTATGGCCGGGTTGATACTACACTAGAGTTTGCAAGCTGATATAACTCATTGTTCTCTTTGCATTCGATTAATATACAACAGAAAACTTCATTGACTAACGATCCATGGTCCAAAATTTCACCAGTCAAGAGTTTTGGGCCTTTAATCAAATTGGTGCATTGACTTGGGCATGAGAATGGGTCGATTGACTTAGCACAAGCAGTATATAATAAAATGCAACATATATAATCCAACGAATAGGTTATGGGAGATCATTGTGTTTCTCTATAGTTTAATTAAGTATTAAATAAAATACTAAGTTTCTCCTAGTAAAATAAGGTTGAATATAGGCCTTGAATTTGGGGAGGGCTAATGTAAAGTAGATATGTGACAAAGTGGAAAAGCAATTAAAAGAAAACGGCATGGAGTGCGGCCTCGGGTAAGGCTAACAGCTAGCTTTCTCTACATATGCACGACATTAAGAAAAAGTCTAAACGGCTTTGATGTTTCCATGTCCTATCGAATAATATTGTTTCTTCCATAACTTTCATGTATTTAAGCAAAATACTTAAACGTATAAACTAACTCGTTGCGTGATCTTACAAAAAGAAGAAGAAGTATAAACTCGTTATAGCAGAACAGAACAATCAATCAATACAATTTATGTTTGAAGAATACAGTTTATGTATTGTTTGTTTAACATTAAACTAATATGTTCGTTACCTTTCAAATCTTTTATGAATTTTTTATATATTCCGTGAAGATGCAAACAACACAAGCCGTCGAATTGATGTTATGACATGTTTAGATTTAATTATTTTCTGTTGACATGTCGAAAGAATCAAAACTATGATAGATTCATTAAAACATCCCTTGATAAAATTATTTAACATATGTTCTTTTTGTTACCTGTTTGGCTGTTTACCATATGTTTTATCATATCATAAGAAATTACAAATGGATGATAAACCTATGGTAAACATATATAGAGTAATCAAAACCGTCAGCTAACTTATATAACAGTACAGACTACAGAATGATACATTGAAAATTGATCATTAATCTTTATATTAAATTTTAAGCTGCTAATTAAAAAACAATTAGCAATACATACATGAGGGTTTTTCATACTTTTTATTTTATATGTGAGATTTCTGATAATCCTAACTAATCAAAAAACTAACAATAACTACTTGTTCATCATGATTCTGTTAAAGATTTGGTTAATAACAGAACTTCTACTAATTATCATAGAATTAATCAAATCTTAGGTTTTAGGAGGTTAAAGGATGATATGGGAGGAAGATTTGGTGGGAAGTTGCCCCATTAGAGCAAAAAACGTGCCCACCAACTCAAAGGCCTCATTAGCATTTTTGTTGTTTTTACCGGTTGCGTTTTAATTTCTTCTGTTTTTTGATATAGATAATTCTCATAATTTGTTTTAATTCAAGGTGCATTTATTTCTTGGCTATTACATCCGCAATTCTTGTACTATAGTTCTTGTCTTCTTCATGAAATAAGTTTCTTTTATTTGACACAAGATAAAATATCTTCGAAACTAGTAAATAGTAAAAGAAGAAGAAATTTATAGGTGCATGTGGGTTTCAGAGAAAGTTCAGAAAGTACTCATAGAGAGCTATACTTTTTACAATGTAGATTCTTCTTCTGTCTAACGTTTTTATGTAAGATTTGAAACGTCATTTTATAAGTTCCTAATTCACTCTCTTTTTTTTTTTTTTTGTCGTTTTTCTACTTGTATAGAACGGAAACGTAATAATTGATTTATGAAATGGGCTGTGACAAAAAAAAAAAAAAAAAAAAAAAGGGTTTATGCAACGTTCTACAAACAAAGAACTAATTTTACACTCCGACAAAAATCCCTAAAGTCCTACAATTACATATCCATCACAACATCTTTTAGAGTAACGAACATTCATATAATAATAGAATATTTAATTAATTAAACGAGCAACGTATATTATATGAGAAAAGGTTATTTATTAATTAAATTAAATAGTGATATATCTTTGGACGTTATCCCTTGACCTGTAAACGCTCCAGAGAAATGTGGAGTTTAATTACATTATGCGACTCAGCTTTGGATTTCCAATCAAATATGTAAAGATCTCGACCATTATTAAATTCCGTTACGTACATTATTAGTTAATAAGATAACTTCTCTTGAATATTTTCCGAATTTTTCGTGTGAATAAATATAGAATCTAATTTGTAATAGTGAGAGATTCGGTTCTTCCCCTCTTAGTATCTTATTTTCTTTTGGAATTTTCTGCTAGATTTCCTCTTTCTATTAGTTCCTTGTTAGTTTGATCCTTGAGTTTCTTTCAAGCAAGTTAGGATTGTTTAAAGACTAGTTTCATATTTTGGCTATAGCTTTTCTGGGTTAAGTTGTACTATGTTTGCTGTCTCCCTTTCATAGGGCTTTGTCTCCGGGGAATACTTGTTTTCTACCGGCTTTTGACTCCGAGAACTTATGTTCTTCGGCTTTGTATGTTTCTACGATGTATAATATAAAACTCTAGACGACAAAAAAAAAAATAGTACTGTATTCTCCTGTCAATTTTAGACACGTGGCAGATCACGTGTCATATAGTCATTACCCGTACGTTTACTCTTTGCCTCTTTCCCTTTTATCTCCTTTTTGATTTTTTTCTATCTTATCTCGTGAATCGTTAATTCGTTATCAACGAGCTTAAAAGCTTTAAGAAATTAACGGATTAGTATAGATAATTCGACCGAAGAGAAACCCAGAAAGAAAGAGGCACCGAAGAACACTAATTCAGAGGTATGATCCGTAAAAAAAGTTCCAAAGTTTTGATCTTCTTTTTTTATCTTTTCTGAGCAAATAAATCTTCTGGTCCTACGCTAGTCAATGGACATTCTCCTTAATTTTTGTCTCTTTTTTTTAGAGATTGTAATTATAAAGTAAATTTCTCCAACTTTCTGGAAAATCCATCCAGCAAAAGAAAAGAATTATTGGTTTATTGATTAAAAAATCTTCAGTTCAAAATTAAGCACTAATTATGGGTTTTTGTTTATTAATGTCCTAAAAAGAGTTACACATAGAGACATTAATGTTTGCTGCGTTTTTAGTTTAAGAGTTTAAGACCATATCTCAATCCTTATTTCCCTACATTTGTCGTCTTTTGAATTTTTGATGTCCTAAACTCAGAGATATTTATTTGTCCTCTCTCTCTCTCATTCTCTTATTTACTTTTGATCTTGTGGTGTTAGAATCAAAGAAACCGCTTAAAGATGGTGAGTGAAGGAGCAACAAGAAAGGAACTTAACCTATGCTTCGAGAAGATGAAGATGGAAGGAATCGTGATCTCTGAGTGGAAAGATATCCCCGTGGAGCTTCTTATGAGGATCCTAAACCTTGTAGATGATCGGACGGTGATCATTGCTTCTTGTATTTGTAGTGGTTGGAGAGATGCTATTTCCCTTGGCCTCACTCGTCTCTCCCTCTCTTGGTATGTCTCTAGCTTCTTCTGCTTCTTCTTATGTCTCTGTTTCGTTCTTTGTTTGATTGTGTTATGATGTTTGAATTAGAGAAGATACTTATATGTGAACAAGTTTTGGGGTTTGAGTAAAGATTGAGCCTTTTTAGCTATCTTCATAAATTGATGGATGATAAATTGCTGAGATCATGCCTGGTGATTGAAAGAGTCAAACTTTTTTTGATTTGATCAGATTTTGTTATGAGGACAGTTTCTGGATGATGGTTGATGATTGATCACAATTTGTATTTATATGTTCCCAAAAACTAGGAGGAGGATTTTGATTTTTGTGTTTACTTGTTGTTTGTTCTTTAGGTGCAAGAAGAATATGAATAGTTTGGTTCTTTCTCTTGCTCCCAAATTCGTTAAGCTTCAGACTTTAGTACTGCGACAAGACAAACCGCAGCTTGAGGATAGCGCGGTGGAAGCCATAGCAAATCACTGTCATGAGCTACAAGATTTGGACTTAAGCAAAAGCTTGAAACTTACTGACCATTCCCTATATTCTTTGGCTCGTGGTTGTACTAACCTCACTAAGCTCAACCTTAGTGCCTGCACTTCGTTCAGCGACACTGCTCTCGCGCATTTGACAAGATTTTGCAGGAAGCTCAAAATTCTGAATCTTTGTGGTTGTGTTGAAGCTGTGTCTGACAATACATTGCAGGTGCCTTTTAAAGATTCAACTCTCTAATATCTTTAGCCTTATATGATCTTTGTATGATAACCGACCAATTCTTCATCCGTTGTGCAGGCTATTGGAGAAAACTGCAATCAGTTGCAGTCACTAAACTTGGGATGGTGTGAGAATATAAGTGATGATGGAGTTATGAGTTTAGCTTATGGTTGTCCTGATTTAAGAACCCTTGATCTTTGTGGCTGTGTTTTAATTACAGGTAAACCTCGTAAAGTTTAAGGCTTTACGAAACCAAATCAGAGTTTTTTTGTCCTCTTTAAAACCATTTTTTGTTGTTGCAGATGAGAGTGTTGTGGCTTTGGCGAATCGGTGTATACACTTGAGGTCATTGGGATTATACTACTGCAGAAACATTACCGACAGAGCGATGTACTCTCTAGCTCAGAGCGGAGTCAAGAACAAGCACGAGATGTGGCGAGCGGTAAAGAAAGGCAAATTCGATGAAGAAGGACTAAGAAGCCTTAACATTAGCCAATGCACTTACCTAACACCTTCAGCGGTTCAAGCGGTCTGCGATACATTCCCTGCACTCCACACTTGCTCAGGCAGGCATTCTCTTGTCATGAGCGGTTGTCTGAATCTACAATCTGTTCATTGTGCTTGTATCCTTCAGGCTCACCGCACCCACACCGCTTTCCCTCACCCGGCTCATTGAACCGGTGTGTGTGAGCCAGAGTGTCTTCTCTTTGGTATGTGTGTACATACATATAAGCATATGGTCTAAATAAAGCTTCTTTGAGTTTCTTCTTTGTCTTTGATACAATCTCAAGATTTTTAACATTATCTATTATGGAAAATCTTGTAATGATTTGCGAAATAATTATTTCTAACAATTTGTTTTTAAGTTTGATCCATCAATCAAAAGAAGATGATGCACAAGCCACAACAATTACATATGAGACCAAACCGGAATAGGAAATGGTTAAAACCAAACCGGAAATTATTATTATTTAGTCGTAGTTGGTCTCTTCTATGTATTTTTTCTCCAAGCCATGGAAGTAGATTGTCGTCGTTATTACGTCCGTCTTCTTCAATCATGCAGCAATAGAAATCGCGAAAATTTATGGAGACAAACCAACGGATTGTTCTTGAAGAAGGGTTTTATTAGTTCAATTGTCATTGTTGCTAATCATCTCCTTCAGATATACTCGCGGTCTGGGAAAATGGGAATTGCGCGGAACTTGTTCGACGAAATGCCTGAGAGAAACTATTTCTCGTGGAACACTATGATTGAAGGGTACATGAATTCTGGGGAAAAGGGAACGTCTTTGAGGTTTTTTGATATGATGCCAGAAAGAGATGGGTACTCTTGGAATGTGGTTGTTTCCGGGTTTGCTAAAGCTGGTGAGCTAAGTGTTGCTAGGAGGTTATTCAATGCAATGCCGGAAAAAGATGTTGTGACGATGAACTCTCTGCTTCATGGATATATTCTTAACGGTTATGCTGAGGAAGCTCTGAGGTTGTTTAAAGAATTGAAATTAAGCGCTGATGCTATTACATTGACGACAGTTCTTAAGGCTTGTGCTGAGTTAGAAGCTTTGAAATGTGGGAAGCAAATACATACTCAGATTCTGGTCGGCGGTGTTGAATGTGACTCGAAAATGAATAGTTCTTTAGTTAATGTGTATGCAAAGTGCGGTGATTTGAGAATGGCAAGCTATATGCTGGAGCAGATGGGGGAACCTGATGACCATTCTCTATCTACCTTAATTTCAGGTTATGCTAATTGTGGGATAGTGAATGAGTCTAGAAGACTTTTCGATAGGAAAAGTAACAGATGCGTAATTCTATGGAACTCTATGATCTCGGGTTATATTGCCAACAATATGAAATTTGAGGCATTGGTTCTGTTCAATGAGATGAGGAATGAGACCCGGGAAGATTCTCGTACGCTGGCAGCTGTTATTAATGCTTGCATTGGTTTGGGCTTCCTAGAGACTGGTAAACAAATGCATTGTCATGCTTGTAAATTTGGGTTAGTTGACGACATTGTTGTAGCTAGCACTTTGCTTGACATGTACTCCAAGTGTGGAAGCCCAATGGAAGCTTGCAAACTTTTCAGTGAGGTCGAATCCTATGACACAATCTTACTGAACAGTATGATCAAGGTATATTTCAGCTGCGGAAGAGTCGATGATGCAAAACGGGTATTTGAGAGAATTGAAAATAAGAGCTTGATTTCTTGGAACTCAATGACTAACGGATTCAGTCAAAATGGTTGTCCAGTTGAAACTTTAGAGTATTTCCGTCAAATGCACAAGCTGGATTTGCCGACAGATGAGGTTAGTCTCTCTAGTGTCATTAGTGCGTGTGCAAGCATTTCTTCTCTCGAACTCGGTGAGCAGGTTTTTGCGAGGGCAACTATTGTTGGTCTTGACTCTGATCAAATAGTATCATCCTCTCTCATTGATCTATACTGCAAGTGTGGGTCCGTCGAGCATGGCAGGAGAGTATTTGACACAATGGTAAAATCAGATGAAGTACCATGGAACTCAATGATATCAGGTTATGCTACGAATGGTCATGGATTTGAAGCGATTGATTTGTTCAACAAAATGAGTGTTGCTGGTATAAGACCCACTCAAATCACCTTTATGGTTGTTCTAACAGCATGCAATTACTGTGGTTTGGTCGAAGAGGGAAGGCAATTGTTTGAGACAATGAAGTTGGATCATGGTTTTGTTCCAGATAAAGAGCATTTTTCATGTATGGTTGACCTTTTGGCCCGTGCTGGTTATGTGGAAGAAGCTATAGATCTTGTAGAAGAGATGCCTTTTGATGCGGATGCTAGCATGTGGTCATCTGTTCTAAGAGGATGTGTAGCAAATGGATATAAAGCCATGGGAAAGAAAGTTGCTGAGAAGATTATAGAGCTTGAACCTGACAACTCAGTTGCTTATGTGCAGTTGTCCGCCATATTCGCAACCTCTGGAGATTGGGAAAGCTCGGCGCTTGTAAGAAAACTGATGAGAGAAAACAATGTGACAAAGAATCCAGGTTCTAGTTGGGCTGATTGTTGAATCCTCTCTTTGAGCTTATGATTGTTAATAACTATATTTGAGTGTATAGCATAACACCGATAGAAGGAAAATTACAACAAAACAGTATAGCAATCTTGTAATGATTACAAAATAGTGGAGTTTTTCTTCTTTTTGAAAAAAACTTATTTTAACAACTTGTTAAGTTTGATCCATCAATTAACATCATTACAAATATTTATAAAGAATTAATAACTTAAGAAGCTGCATCACATTCACATGTGAGACCCATCAATTGCAATGTGAGTGTGGTATTGATCATTTGCCTTTGTATACAATTTCATCATCGTCTACATCGAATGCTGGATTGCAGAGACATCTGAAAAGTCTACCAATCCCCTGTGAAAATGTCCAATCAAGAATCTAAGTTTCTCTTTTTACATTATCATTCATAGAAATGACTTGAAAAGTGAGAATTTTATTTACCTGAGTGAGCAGAGGAGTTCTGTATGAAAGTGGTTGTGAAGAATCGTCATCGCTGCTACTGTCATCATCGTCATCGCTGTCTTCAACTTCTTTTCTTGATGTTGCACCGTTCCTCGATTGCTTTTCTTGCTGCACAAGCCAATAACAATCTTGAATCAGCGCAAGAAACAAAAACGGATCAGACAATGTGATTATGGTAAATGTTATTGAAAACCTGGAAAATCTTCCCAAGAATCTTGAGAGCCATTGCTCTAGATTTGAGCTCATCCTTTCTCAAGTTGTTTTCGCGCAAGACCTACACCAGTTTTAGTCAATAATCATATCTTATGTCTGAGATTTCTAATATAAGCAACAGAAGATCTAAAGAAACTCACCATCTGACACACATGTAACAAAGTCACTTCAATGTCGACAACATTAAGTTTCCACAAAGACCCCATCAGTGTTTCTTTGTTGGTCTGAATATGAGACTCTAACTCATTCGCTGGACTAGCCCCATCTTTCTTTAATCGCCGGTTACTCTCTTCTTGCAGCTGAAGTAACTGAAAAGCTCCTTTGGCTGCACTAATCTGTGACTTCCAAGAATGCCCTTTGTTCCTTACCCATTCAGCTACAAATGGAACTCCTAAGTAAAGAGCTCTTTTCCCAAGTTCTTGAGCTGCTTGTCTTGTGTATACATATCCAATTGTATGCAACATATCCGCTCCAAAAGCTTCATTCATAAGAAGAATTCAATTCAGAATGCGAGGATTTGTACAAGTTATAGATAGAGAAGGAAGGAGACAAGACAATGCCTGCATCTGATAGTCTCTTGGCTTCAGATTCTGCGCGGTGTATGAATCCTTCTTTGTCTCCATGGACATATTGACTCAGAAAATCTTTGAGAAACCTTGCAAGGTTTTCTTCTCTTTCTTTCTGAACAGCCTGTAAAAAAAGAGAAGGATGTTTCTTTATGTAAGATCAGATCAAGAAGATGGATATATTAGTTATAACATATGGTATTTGATTTTTGCCTTTAGTTTGTCTTGAAACTGATCAGGGGTTTCGATTTCAGAAGCCATTTGAGTGGAAGCCATTGATGCAACAGCTAAGTGACCGATATAATCCTCAAATAGTTCACTTCCGAAAAGAAGAGCGAAAACAGCCGTTGGATCAACCATCGTTTCTCTGATTGATCAAAAACACCATTAAACATTGTCAAATAAAGAAGAGAGAAACACATAATAATGGTTTACTCAAAAAAGAAGAAAACATTACTTGGGAGCTGAGAATTTTCCAGTCCGATCATACGCTTCACGATGAACAGGATCACTTAGAACCTGGTAAGCTTCACCAAGAACCTGGTCTCCAAGAAGAAAAGAAAACACTTGATTAGACCAAAATCATAACAAAACAAGAAAAATGAATGACGTAAAAAGAACTTAACTTGCCTGAAACTTTTCAGCAGCTAGAGGATCACCTTGATTCTTATCAGGATGAACTTGTCTTGCCTAAAAGATTGAAGAATCAGTCAGACCAAAAACTCAGATCTATGAAAACTCTAAAAGAATAAAGAGACAAAAACAAACCTTGACGTAATAAGCCTTGCGAATCTCTTCCTCAGAAGCAGAGGGATTGACACCAAGAACATCATAGTAGACTGTTTCCTTCACCATGATCAGATCAAAAATGTCAAAGGAGTTGGAGAAAAAAAGATGTGATAATTGGGTAGATAAGAAAAGAAAGGTTTGGTTTGGTGTGTGTGAAGCTTTTAGTAGATGTGGGGAAGAAGAAGTTCACAAAAGAGTTCTTTCTTGATCTGCTTGAAGAAGCAAGAGAAAAAAAAGAAAGATTGGCTTTACAGTGATGATGCACTTTTTTCAATAAACTAATTGCGCCGCTTTTGAGCGGGGGACTACAACAACACTCTCTCTTTTTAACTGTCTACTTAGTGCTTTTTATCATTCATTTCATGCCATCTTTTTCTCTTCTTCCTCCTTTTTGCTTATTCTCCATTTCAAATTACTTGTTAGGCAATGATTAGACATATCCATTAGATGACCCTAAAGAGTTTATAACCCGATCGGGTTAGGACCGGCCTTGATTGCATTAAGCATTATGGATTGTTGAGCGTTGAAGAAGAAATATATATCTCAATTCTTACAAGAGACTGATGCAAAAGAATGTTATTGTTATATAGCTATGAATCCTGTTAGATATTTTTACCCAACCTGTTTTATGGATAATAACTTCTATCTACTTACAGATACACTTTGAATACACTTAACTTCAAAGGTGAGTCACGGATCACAAAATCACCAACAACAAAGGAAATGGTTTAATAACAAAAAGAAAGGTCCTACCGGGAGTCGAACCCAGGTCGCTGGATTCAAAGTCCAGAGTGCTAACCACTACACCATAGAACCCTGTTGTACAACATCTGATGTCATCATAACTTAACCTGACATAGAACAACGAATCGTAAGTACAAATGTCGAGTGTTGAATCGCTTTCTTTTTGTCGTCAACTATCTTTTTCTCACGTGTCAATAAACTAATAGTCTAATACACAAAAACAAAATTGGAGAAGACAAAACAAACAAGATTGAAAAGTGTTGCACAAAATTTGAGTAGAGAAGGTTCGGTGAGTGATATAACATTTTGATAAGTAATAGTTGCCTAAGCTCAAAAGTTTTGACGAGACTCAAGTCGTCCACAGAGTCTTCTTCATGACTATCTTCCTCTCCCACGTTTACCTCCACTTCCTCTTCCTCTTCCTCCTCCTCTCTTACTAGTGCTACTACCACCACGACGACCACCGAAATCCCTCCCACCACTTCTCCCACCTCTATCGCTGCTACTACCAAATTCCCTTCCACCTCCACCACCAAATTCCCTTCTGCCACCACGGCCTCCCCTGGTTCCACCTCTTCCGCCTCTCTTGCTCTGCAGATAAGACACTTTGTTTGCCTTTTGCTGTCTCTCCTTACGCACCTGCTCCAGATCTTTGATCTCTGAACGCACATGCGCGTTAGGCACTGATCCTTGCCATCTCTTCCCACCTCGGCCTCCTCTACCTGCCAAGTTTTCTCTTTAGACCTATTGACAACATAAAGGTGGCAAAACGCTGAACTTGTGTGGAAAAAAGCTGTCCAACATTACCTGACATTCGTGTGGTTTCCTCTGCATCACCGCCGTCTCGGCTGAATACTTTCTTGTGAGACCTCTCTTGCCATCTCTTGTATATCCCTGTCTTGTTTGCTTTCACTTTAGCTCCACTCTCTGTCTTTATCTATTTAGTTTCAAGAACCTTAGTTAGCTTAAAGCCTCCCAGATAATCATCAAATGTTTTCCAAGCAAAAGACACTTTTACTACCTTTCCACTGGCTGTTACTCGATCTCCATTGTTCAACTTGATGTACTTCTTACTTTTCTGTTACCAAAAACAAATCCAATATTTTAAAAAGATTAAGATTACAGTTGGGGCAATTGTTATGAAGTAACCTCAAGTCTTACCTTGTCCCAGTGATAATTTGATTGTTGCTGCTTTATCCCTTGCCCATCATCTGCAACTAGATCTAGAACAGCAGCGTCCAACCTACAATCCGAAATCAGTACACGAGGCGTCAATATCTGACAGAAACTTTTATTTTTGCAAGATTTAAATGCAATCCCTTGATCCTTCTATGGAATGTCACAAAAAGCACATCAAAAATCTTTTTACCTATTCGATCCAAACCCTTCGTTACCCCTCAGAGACAGCCCTGCCTCTGAATGCTGCGTGCATAAGAGTAATAAAGAGTCAAACTCTGCATCATCTCAATATGATCATAAGCATTGTAGCTTTGACTGCTAATGCGTACTGACACAGAAAAATGCTTTTATTCAATGAAAATAACATACATGATTTACAGGTATGGAGCTGATATAGAAATCATCGTCCTTGAAACTTTCTTGTGCCTTTCTTTTCTTACCGCTTACTGAAATCAATGGAGAGTTCATTTGAAGGTAAGGTAACCAAAGAAGTGGAAAAACAACCACGCATCACAAACTATTCAAAAGATCAGTAATAACAGATTCTGTCACTGAATTATAGAGACAATTGCCCAAGCAGCACGCATACCTTTGCTTCCCTCTATTGTGCCCTCATCAAAAGAAGTTGTAGGTTCAGCTTCCTAGGTATCAAAACATTTATGTGAGTGAAACTAATGGCAAAGAAACAAGCACGTGCAACAATTTAATATTAGAAACTGCACAAGATTACCATCTCCAAATGATTATTGGAGCTCTTCTGATTCTGCTGATGTCTTGTATTGATGATCTCCTCATGAATGGCTCTTTTCTTCTTCATCACATCAACCCATTGGCCAGCGGGACCCTGCAAAAGAACCAAAACGTTTTGGCTTAGGCTAATTATAAACAAATATCAGAAATAAGCAAGTAAACTACCAGCCAAGTAGAGATTTTTGACAAAGATGATATGATCATATTAATAGTATAATAGTCAAACAAATAAAGGAAAGGAAAATAGATAGGAAAAGCGAGTGTACCTTCACATGTTTGGATTTGGCAACTTCACCTTCTGCTTCAAGTATGGTCTGCTTGGGTCTAGCACAGATCAGCCATTATTATGATTAATAATGTTGGTGTTAAAGTACATATAGGACATACCATCTTCAAGTCATGGCCGTATCAAGGACATAAATATATAAACACATGACTATCCTACTCACCTGAAATTTTTAATTTTCTGGAAAAACGACATAGCCTCTAATTCCCCAGTTTCAATAATGCTTCTGAAGATGGGATGCAAGCCTTCTCGGGGTAAATCCTTTGCTCTCCTAATGGACTCTTTTGAAGGTGCTGGTTTTGTTTTTGAATACAAGCGGAAAGCTTTTGTGGATGTTCTTTCAAGGGAATCTAATTCTGCAGATGAATCAATCATTTCTCGGGTTCTGTTAAAGATAAGATCAATGGTTTTCTGTGGGAAACGACCATAGACGGTTACTCCACTATCAATTGCTTGACTAGTTTTGGTCATTACTTCTTCCATGTTCTTCAAGACCTCATCCTCAGTGGGTGCTGGCCTGACCGGTTTTGAGAGGAACAGATGAAGATCCAACATATATGGCATATCCTCAGGTGTAACAAAGGAATATGCAGAACCTGTACGACCAGCCCTGGCAGCTCTTCCCACACGATGAACAAAAATTTTTGGTCTCGGAGGGAAATCCCAGTTTATAACATTATCAAGCAATGGTATGTCAATACCCCTAGCAGCAATATCTGTCACAATCAACAACATAGTCTTCCTCGCTCTGAACCTTGATACATGAATCTTACGCGCATCTTGATCCATATCACCATAACAAACAGATGGCTCAATATTTTCCAACTTAAACAATGAGTTGACAAATTCCACATGATGCTTTGTCGAAACAAAGATCAAGGTCTGTTGATCTGAACTTATATGCTCCCTTACCAAGTACAGCAACGCAGCATACTTCTCTTCCGGTCGTACAGTCAAAAACGAAAGTCTCAAATCCGGGCTTATCTTGTTCTCGACATCTAAACGAACAAGCTGAGGCTCACGCAAACCAGCCTTAGCAAATTCAGCAAGGGCACTTGGTAAAGTGGCACTAAAAAGCAAAGTCTGCCTATTCTCACTTAACTGAGTAAGAATCTGATGTAACTGTTCAGCAAAACCCATTCCAAAGAGACTATCTGCCTCATCGAAAACCACATACTCAACGGTCCTAAGTGTCATATCATCAACCTCAGACAAAAGATGCATAAGTCTCCCAGGAGTTGCAATAATCACATCAGGTCCCTTTGTTAACTCTTCAAACTGGTCTTCCATACTATCTCCACCAACCAGTAAGGATACACGAAGATCTGACATAGTAAACACATCAAAGTTGCTTAATCACTATCCCATTTCATCAACAAAAAAGAAAGTTTTTAAATTGAATTCATTAAACCAACCTGTGAATTTGCCGAGTTCCTTGGTGAACTTCAGAGTCTGCTCAGCTAAATCACGAGTAGGAGACAATATGAGTGCTCTAACACCTCCCTGAGGAACGTGTTGTTTGAGCTTCTCAAGCATAGGGATGAGAAAAGCTGCGGTTTTACCGGAACCGGTTCGAGCCATAGCGACAACATCGACGCCTGAGAGAATAAGCGGCATCGTCTTCCTCTGGATTGGTGTAGGAACTTTGTAACCCTTTTTCTTGATTGCATTGAAGACATTAGGACCGAGGTTTAGCGACTCAAAACCTCCAGATTTGCCTTTCTTCTTCTGTTTCTCTTTCCGGTGAAGCTCAGTAACCGAGCTCACCAAGAAACCGTTTCCTTCAACCATGGTATGCAGACTTTGAGACTGCAGAGGATCCCTCAAAATTAGGGTTTAAAAGCGAAGAAGATGACTTCGCCGTGATGATGATGATTCAGACTTCAGAGTTTTGTTAGTTTGGGTTTTAGGGTTTAAAGAAAAGAGACGACTCACAAAAAAAAACTTTCGCGGGCTTTATTTAATTGGGCCTATACTTAACATTAAGGCCCATTATTGAAGCAATGGAGATGATTTTTCTGCTAAATTGGAGGAAACTACGCTTTACAATTTATTGAAGAGGCCATTGCTCAAATTCGTCTGTAAAAATAGCAAACAAAAGAGAGTTCAAAAAGAAAAAGATAAAAGTTGTGTGCATCTTCATGATTTTGTTGTCCCAAGAGCATTCCTGAGGTTTGAATAGCGAGCTTCGAGCTCAAACCATGAATCTAAATCAACCAAACTATTGAATTCCTCAAAAGTAGCCATCTTTTGCAAGTGATCTCGAGTGCTTCCGTTTTCTTTAAGAGTCTTGAGAACATCGACCAGAGCTCGCGCCGATGCATAAAGTGCGGTAAGCGGGTGAACGATCAAGTGAAACCCCATTTCTTTAAGCTCATCAGGCGTGTGCAATGGTGTGACTCCTCCTTCAATCATGTTGCAAACTCTATAACCTTTTGTGCGTTTTCCGATTTCCTTGAGCTCATCGTCGTCTCTCGGTGCCTCTACAAAGGAAGCATCAGCTCCCGCCTGCAAATTTACAACAACTCTGGTTAGAGTTTAACACCAATTGTGTTTTTTTTTTCTTCTAACAAACTTGTTACCTCCATGTAGAGATTAACCCGTGCAATAGCGTCTTCAAGCCCTGATTTTGCAGAAGTAGCACGCACATCTGTTCTTGCAACAAGAAAGAAGTCAGAGTCTCCGATAGCGTCTCTGGCTGATGCTATTTTTGCAGCATGTTCTTCTGCTGGTATCACCTGTTTACCACGCATATGACCTACACAAAAAAGATACACACATTGAGATTATGAAGAGTCAAGTGTGTCCATTGAGTGAAATTTGAAGAGTGACTTAGAAAATGAAGATGTCACACATACCACACTTCTTTGGCCATGCTTGGTCCTGCGAATTATGACCAACAAAATGTTAAATGAACATGTAAAGTGCAAGAGTCTTGATCAATTCTGAGACAGAGAAACTCATCAAAGAAGCAGAGGCAATTTACCTCAAGGAAGCAACCAGCAGCACCTGCTGCAATCAAATCCTTTATGGTTCTTTGAACGTTAAGCGCATTTCCACCACCGGTATCTTAAAACAGATCAAAAGAAAAAGAATGAATCTCGTTCGAGAAGAGCTAGTAAGTAATAAGACACTATAACCAAGCAAATCCAATGTTTTCAAAAAGCTATGAGCAAGCAAGTGACTCTAGCCAATAAAGATTGATCATTGAAAAAGATTGAAAGTCTCTCTAATCAAAGAACCAATAAATGGAAATTCTAACTTTGTTGTTAAATTTTTTTTAGCATTCTTTAATGAGTTACTTATTATACTATCAAAATTTTGAAACTTTACCAGCATCTGCAATGATTGGTATATTTGGAGCTGACGCACACACCGACCTTGCCGTCGCAGCCATCTCCGGTGGTCTAAAACGACAGAAGAAAACAAATAAAACGACAGCAAACAAACAAAAACTTTAATAAAGAGAAAACAAAACAAAAAAAAATGGCGCACGTTAGCAAACCGAAATCGGGTTTTCCCAGAAGAGAAGCGGATAAGGCGTAACCGGATATAAAACCAGCGGAAAATCCGGTTTGCTGCACAATAGCCGCCGATAAGGCATCGTAGCATCCAGGCATAAGAACAATGCCTTGTTCTTCGATCAGACGATGAATACGTGTTTGGATTCTCGCCGTCGGATTCACCAATCTCGCCGCTCGTGGGTTCCGTCGGAATGTTGGTGAAGCCGTCAGGTTTAAGCTGCTGCAACAGAGCGAAGTGGTTTTCACAGCCATTAACATCGACATAATGTTCGAACTTCAAAGCTTGAATAAGTCTTGTTCTCTCTCTAAATCGAGCCGTTGACCAAAGTGTGAGGTTTGGTTACGATAGACTCTGACCCACGCGCTTGGGATTTCAATAGAGAGCACGTGGTTATTATATCTCGGTCTTATCTTATCGTGGGATGTATTTTGGAGAAAATGTCAGGCTTAGACATATATATATTCATTTTTAAGAAGCTTATTGAGAAAGTAATCATAATTGGTCTATATATAAATATATGATCACAAAGTCGGCAAGTTCAGTTTTTGATTATACATATGTAGTGATTCTACAGTGTTTGGGCTAGGCATGATATGATCAGTTTATGAAAACATGACTTATAACATATTTCGATTCATTAAGAAGATACTGAATCGATTATTCGCATCAACCTTGTTAGCATAACAGCAGTGTTCAAAAAATCGCTAGGCGTTAAGCGGGCAGTGACATAGCGCCTAGCGCCTAGAATACCTAATCTGGGCCTACACGATTTTAGGCGGTTTAAACGTTTATAACATAACACATGATAAATAGGATATTATAAATAAAAATTATTTAAAACTATCTATTAGAAAAATGAAAATGTCAAATCATAAACAAAGATTAGACTTATTTTCTGAGACTACTTATGTAAACATTTATCCTCCTAATTGGGTAACCAACTATGGAGCTTTTTAATAAATGTGTGGTTGACAAAAAAAAAAAAAAAAAACAAAGATTAGACAAAAAATTAGTTTAATTCATATCAAAAATATATATATTGAGTTAAGACTTATAATTTATTTTTATGTAGTTAAAAATGAAAAAATACAATAAAACAGAACTTATGCTATTTTAGGCGGTCGAAGCGGTTGTCTAGGCGTCACCTAAGAACATAGCGCCTAGACTAGGCCTAGGCGACCGCCTACACCGCTTTTTAGAACACTGGTCAAGACTCGTACAACAAACATATGACTATTTAAAATTACCTCATGCCACTACACTACCATTAACTTTAGTCTCTAGCTAGCTCGGTTATAATGTTATATAAACTCTAAGTTTATAAAAACCAAAGAAATTTTTCTTTGCTTTTAACGTCTAATTTTTTTTGGCTGCAACCGGCCTTACATGGAAACCAGTACCAAATCCATTACCTCTCAGGTAATAAAACAAGGCTTCTAGAAAGAAGCGCATACTCTCTGAATCTGTTAGCTTCAGAGATTCGATATCCCAAAATCCTATTCTAGATTTATCCTCTATACTCTCTATTTCTTCTTCTCCTTCAAAAACAGACGGCGGCTCCAGACGGCGGCTCCAGACGGCGGATTTCTTCTTCTTCTTCTTCTCCTTCAAAAACAGACGGCGGCTCTTCAAACTCGGGCAAGGGTTTTAGAGATGACTTGTTTTTAAATGACCATTTTATCTTTTAAAAGTTTTAAATGGAAAAAAATGAGTTTGTTAAGACTCAAACAGCAGACGTCTGAACTATTTGACATTTCTTCATGCCACTACACTACCATTAACTTTAGTATCTAGTTCGGTTATAACATTATATAAACTCTAAGAACCCAAGAAAGTTTTCTTTGCTTTTAACATCTAATCTTTTAGTTAAATACTAGATGTTTGCCCACGCGACGCGTGGGTTATCCTATACATTTTTTTTTTATGTAAAACAAATAAGTGAAATATGTTTTGTAAACAAAACAACAATAATAACGCATACATAAAAATAACAGATGAATGAACTATTATTCAAATTTACCACCGAAGGTTCAAGAATAGACTCCAATTTTGTAATTTAACAATATATGTACTGGGCTACTATTGGGCTATATGTAATTAATTAGATTATAGGAGCTCAACAATAACATAAAGTATATGATGAAAATATTGAGAATCATGACATATAAAGCATTTAAAGGCTTAATTAAAAGAAATTAAAAAAAAATTGAACGATTGAGAATCGATGCATGTGACGAAAATATTACTACAACTACAATAGATAAAACTTTTTTATATCAAATTTTTACTATCTAAATCAAAAGTTATGGGGAAAAGTAGATGGGTTGTGTTTTGGAAACAAACAAGTACACAATAATTACGTTTTGTTCATTAAATTATTGATGTAAAAATTAAATGAACTCTTCCACTACGACTCGTGAACTCTTCCACTACGACTCGTGAACTCTTCCACTACGATCTCCTATTCAGCAATTTCTTCTCTTCGTCGTTTCAGCAAATTGGAGTTAATTACTTCGTATTGGTTCACTTTAGTTCCTTCTTATTGGGCTGTTTTTGGCTTCCTTTTATTTTATTAAGTTGGGCTGTACCCACTAAACTTTATTGCCTGGGTTGGGCATGTAACTTTTTTTTATTTCTTCTGCAATTTAAATTGAAAGCCTTTCTTCAAAAAAAAAAAAAAATTAAATGAATTTAATTTTGAATGCTCACATAGTATTTAAATAGTTCATGATCACTCATCTCTCTAGTCTCTCTCTTCTAAAGCAAACAGAAATAAAAGATATAAGAATGAAAATGATGATTACATTCGTGATTTCTTATTTTATGTTCTTGAACTTTAACACCTTGGAGGTCCAACTCTCGGATGGGTTCTACGCCGATAAATGCCCAACGGCGTAGTCAGTAGTTCGGGCCGTTATCAGAAATGAGGTCACAACCGATATGCGAAACGCCGCCGTTTTACTGCGTTTGCAGTTTCACGACTACAGTACTTTGTCCTGGTAAACGTTATTTCCCTTTACAACTTTTGTTTTTCTTTTTTTGTGGGCTCTCCTTTTTTTTACTTGGCCAGATTTTTTTATGTTTGTCTTCTTCGTAAAAAAATTCCTAATTTTTACCTTTTTTCGATTTACAGGGTTGCGATGACTCAATTTTATTAGGACACAACACCGATGAATCTGCTGCTCTGAGAAACACCGGAGTCAATGGATTCTCCGTCATTGAAGACGTGAAAGCGGTCGTGGAGGAAATATGCCCCGTAGTAGTCTCATACGCTGATATAGTTGCATTGGCGGCTCGTGACGCCGTCTTCTTGTCCAACGGCCCAATCTTTGAGGTTCCCAATGGTCGACGTGATGGCCGCGTCTTGAAAGCGAAGGACGCCGCAAACTTGCCCGACTCTGAAGACAGTATCCAAACCCTCAAAGACAAATTCGGCGAGAAAGGATTGACTGAAAAGGACTTGGTCAATGTCAAGATCATGTTGGACTGGAATGGCGAGTTTTAGTTCGACGCACACATTTTCACGAACTTCAAAGTTGGTCGAGCCGTTATATTATCGGACCTTGTCGTATACCAAAATTAAAAAATTTTGTTTATGTTTTGCTTATGTTTTACTTAAATTTTGCTTAAATTTTGTTTATTTTTATTTAATTTTTTCTTGTCACTATATTTTCTTTGTTTTTGATTTGTGTATTTTTATTTTTATTAATTACAATAGTTGTAGTCAAAAAAATTGTATGATACGTTAGATTAAAAATAAATTAAAAATTTGCTTTGGAAATTTGTCATATTTAAACCAACCATGTACATCATCAACAACATTATTCGACATCACCAATTTTATTTAATTTGGATCTCATTTTAGACTTTCATTTTTCTTTAATTGCTTTAAAGGTAGATTAATTTCACATATTGTGTTTTCTCTATGATGTTAACAATAAATATATGCAAAAAACATAAAAAGTTGTATAAGTATTAAATTTACATTACATGTGAACTAATCTTAAGGTCCCGAAGAATAGGACGATATGTTTAGCCCAGTTCATTTTCAATATTTTTAATAAAATTGAACACTTAGATTTTTAAAAATAAATTTATTTTGTATATAATGAAAACTTAGTTAAATGAAAATATTTTTTGAAAATTAGTTTTTTTTATCAGAAAATAAAAAGTGAAAACAGTTTTTTCAACTTGAAAAAACCTTTGGAATGAAAACATTTTGTATAATAGAAAATATAGTTAAAAAACAGTGTACATAATAAAAATATTTGTAAGAAATCATAAAAACTAGTCTAAGCGCTATACATTACATGAAAATCGGTTGAACTAATAACACCTCTTGAGGACACGAATAATAGGAAGAGATGCTTAGCCCGGTTTGTTTACATACTATTTTGTTCATACTAACAAAGTGCGTGGAAACAGAGATTGTTTTACCCACATCTGAGATAATAAGTATCGTTGCTCGAAGATTTGGACTTTAATTTGCCAAAAAGATTTTTCACACAAATAAATCGAGTCACAGGCCAAGCAATTGAACAGTTTTCTTAGTCTTGAACAAACAGAATGAAAAGTATACACACGATCTTGGCTACAAAAGAGAGTATGAAAGAAGAACAATCAAAACCGAGATCTAGATATAGAACGTGTGTAAGTGTAACTACAGCAAGCAAAAGAAAAATAAATTAATTGAAAACACAATTCGAAAACATAGAAATCTTCAAGTTCATCAATTTGAAAGAAACTGAGAATCACTAACGGAAACATAAGATTCTAAAGAAACAAAAGCGATGGGAACAGATCATACGGTGTTCGGTGGTTAAAAACCGGCTGAAACTAATAAACCGATCAAGAGAAATTTTGCTAGTTTAGTGGTGTTTGCCTCTGATGGTTCGAGCAGAGGCATGGTCGTTACTTGTAAGTTGTAACTTATGACTTATGAGTAGATCGTAGTGAAGGAAGAAGGAGAGAACCGTGACTGACATGGTGATGATGGTGTCTCTCTAGCTCGCACTCTTTCTCTATGAGCAGAAGAATGATTCAAAAAAATTAAGAGAAGGAAGAGATGTGTTGTTGTTATTTGTTAAGGCAATTGCTAGGGTTTAGTCGAGTATTTACAGGGATCGTTGGCAATCTTCACCAACGGCTATAATCTTAATTTTTTTTTATTAATCTTATCGTTGTATCAAATAACGTTCTACTGTCTTCTCATGAGATTTGACGATTAGCCGTTAGATTAGTATTACTAAGTTATTATTAATACTAAATCGTTCTGTTCCTTTTCTTATTTGAATAAGATTAAATCAGGCCAAGAAAGGGATCAAGTAGAGATGGACTTTTTTCTCTTCTATGATCTCTCAGAATTAGAGGGAGCTTTCTTAGAGCTCAAGTAACATATGTATCGTTTATCCATTAAATAAACCAGCAGAAGCTGAGATATGAAGCAAACCGAAACGAATTATCACGTTTTATATAATCTGTCCGGTGTAAAAATATTGGGCCTTTAATGAGTCGAGAAGTATTATTGGCCCAAATAATCCATTTTTAATGGACTCGGTGGTTATATTTTTAACATTGGGCCAAGATTGGGAAGAAGAAATGCTGATATAACCCGGTTAAGGTCGTGGGCAGATTCTGGTTCAGCTGATCGCGTAAACGAACAAAACATTGAGATTGCTGAAGCCAATTTAGTTACCATCCCTAACTGAGTTTTGAGACAGAGTATGAATGAGTCACGGCAGAACCTAAGACTTAACTCGATAAAGTAATGGTTACTCTTGAAGACGGAAGAAAGCACAAAGATTTTGATCAAGACTGTTATACGCGAGGTCTTTCTAATTTGTGAAAAATCGACCATATATAGCTAGACGAGCATGTACCACAAATAAAAATGGTCAAAATCGCTCGGACTGCTCTCTGAAGATCCCAATGCATCAAGACAAGAAGGATTCAGAAAATAAAAAAATAAACAAACATTTGAAAATATGCTCTTAGTTTTAGGTGCACCAATTAGCTTAGATACATAGTGGTAAAGTTACGAATCAATATTAATAATTAGGTGATAGTCAATCGCATTGAAAATTATCAATAAGTTCTTTTAAAATATTTGAACTCAAAACCATTTTTTAACTCAATGAATAGTAGTTTCGATTATCCGATGACTCTTTAATTTTTTTTTTTTTTTTTTTTTTTTTTTTACTCTTTAAAAAAATTACTTCAATAATAATTGAAATCCTTTAAATTAACCGTACCGGATTCATAAGCACTACTTTCCGATCAAAACCAAAGTGAAAAAATAACTTTAAAACCTCCAAATATAAAAACAAAACCTTAAAACCAATTTCTGTTCGGTGGGGATGATGATCGGACTCCGACCGGTCTAACCGACTGGACTAAAAAGTCTTAACAAGGGTAATTTCGAGAAGCGTAAAAACTTGGTCTCTTCGTGGCCTAAAAACGCAACCGTTTCGCTCTTAATACACTATTATTTTCTCCATCTCGTTTAACCAAAAAAAAAAAAAACTGATTTGGATTTGTCATTGTCCATAGGAAAAAAAAAAAACAAGAAAAAGGAATAAAAGAAGCAAAAACATTGAGCGTCTCCGGAGATTAGGATTAAATTAGGGCATAACCCTTATCGGAGGAGATTGAAGCCATGGGAAGAAGAAAAATCGAGATCAAGCGAATCGAGAACAAAAGCAGTCGACAAGTCACCTTCTCCAAACGACGCAATGGTCTCATCGACAAAGCTCGACAACTTTCGATTCTCTGTGAATCCTCCGTCGCTGTTGTCGTCATCTCTGCCTCCGGAAAACTCTACGACTCTTCCTCCGGTGACGAGTAAGCTACTTTCCTCTTCTGGGCCTCACTCGAGTTTTGTGCTGATCCTCTTTGTTTAGTTACTTTCTCCATATGGAAACTTCAAATCTAGGGCTTTTTGATTCCTTCAAATCAACAGAAATTTTATCCTTGTTTCCTGTATAAAGATATAGCAGATGCGTAAGCTTAAACCTAATTTAAGATTAAACATTGTGATGGCCAAGATATGTTCTTGGTGTTCGTTTCGTGTTTTTGTTTTTTTTTTCGTTTCATTTTTTTCTTGAATCATTTTTGTTTTTATTTTACCTAATCATTTTTGACGAAATCTAATTTTGCATGTGATTCAAGAAACTTTTCTACACGTGGTGATTCGTTCTTGATGTTGTTTAAGTAATCTTTGTATTGCTAGTTCCATCTGTTGTTCACTCTGAAGCTTCGTTTTTTTCATATAATAAACGATATGTAGATTGTTAAATTTTGAGATTTGGTAATCATATCCAATATTGCAATGCACTTCATATAGGTCTGTTGAGAGATTATTTGGGTCAGTTGTAACATTATTCGAGTGTCTTTGGTTCAGATTGGTTGCCAAATTGTACAATATGTTGATCCAAAATGTATTGTAGATCTTTTGTTTTGTAATCTCCCTCAAGGCCAAAAGTTTATTTATAGTTGATTTCGATGGTTTATTGTAGTGCTGGGATAATATTCCACATTGATAGTTGCTACACATTCTTCATTACTTATCTAATTGGATATCGATTTTAACCCTTTTAATCGTAAACTTTGTGTGTATATGACACCATATAAGATAGATTTGTCTTTCTGAGTAACTCTTTGTTGCTTTTTAAGATGTTGCAAACTTGCAATGAATTTAGTTTGGGTTTCTTTGCTAAAGAAACTCAAACTATAACTAATTTTACTGCTACGATATATATGTCAGTGGCCTAGTGGGATTATTAAGTAGAAATCGGTTGCTGATTTTACCACTAGACTACATCTAGTCATCTACAACCATATGTTCAATGAATTTAAAAAGTTGTCTGTTATTTGTTGGGGATATTTCTAACCCCATGAACTTTTGACATTTTTCTATCTAGAAGAAATCTCATCCGCTTCTCTTTTAGAATATTTTGAATGCGACTGAAAGTTTGTTATTTCTAATAGACCTTAGATAAATCATCAATGCGATAAGTAGGAAATGGAAAGGTAACCCTTGTCACTATGTGTGTGTGTATATATAGCTCCTCATTATCTGATGTTGACTCCATAAATGCTTGATCATGAAAGCAAATATGTTGAATATGTAACTAACAATGAACAGACTATAGATAAAGTATTAGGAACCTTCTCTATCTGCCTCCATTTTACAATAGTCAAGATCTAGTTGTAGCTAGTTTCTTTGTTTAGTTCTTTTTACACCTTAACAAAGTGGCACTATACAAAGTGTTTTGAGTTGAGATTAATTAGTAGTCTTATGCGTCTTACTAATTGTTCATTTTTCTTCTTTTTGTAATTAATGTAAAATTACTAATTCACAACTTAAGGTGTTACTAAGAAGTAAGAACGTGTAAATAATGAATTGAATTTTCAGCCAGCGCAAACATCCCAACTTCCAGAGCTACTTATGAGCCAAGTGTATATTCATATTAAAGCATTTAGTTTTCTAAAACCCTTTGAAGTCGAAACAAGGACTTCCATTGGCTGCCAAGTTGGTATATAACAGTATCTTCGAGTAAAGTCAGATTTTAGCGCATCAGAGTTTCAGATTTACATTTGTATTAAAAAAAAAAACTAATAAGAACCTACAATGTTTTTATTTTAAGCTATATACACTATCAATTGTATATATACAAGATGCCTGGTTAAGTAAAGATGATTATCAAAAACTGTTGGTTAGTAACACAAATTGTTGCAAAATGTAACATATTATATAAGCTTTCTTTCACTCTGGTTCAATCTCTCTATAATGGCCTCTATTGATGCTCTATCTGATTCTTAGTTTTGAAATTGTTTTGCATAAACCATTGTTCTAATGCATTTTTGTTTTATCTACAGCATTTCCAAGATCGTTGATCGTTATGAAATACAACATGCTGATGAACTCAAAGCCTTAGTAAGTTAGCTAAGAACATCATTACAATATTCTTCTGGATGCGGTATTCAATGTTTTGAACTTGTAACACCGAACTTAATTCTCTAGAGTTACAGTTATTGTGTCTACTGGAAAATACAAGAACTTCACAATCTTTCCGATCTTTCTTTTTATCCATGTGCAGGATCTTGCAGAAAAACTTCAGAATTATCTTCCACACAAGGAGTTACTAGAGACAGTCCAAAGGTTAGCAGTACAACACCTTTTTCTCCCCTCTTCTTCTGATAAAAAAATAAAACTTTTTTTCTTTTGTCTACTTATGAATACAGCAAGCTTGAAGAACCAAATGTCGATAATGTAAGTGTAGATTCTCTAATTTCTCTGGAGGAACAACTCGCGACTGCTCTGTCCGTAAGTAGGGCTAGGAAGGTATATATGCTGGTACTAAGTGATTCAATCAATTATTCCATAAAACCTTCTGTTTAGTTAGTTATCCAAGAACAGTCTTTTGACCTAAATCGTAATGTCTTGTTGTAGGCAGAACTGATGATGGAGTATGTGAAGTCCCTTAAAGAAAAGGTTAGTATTTTGGTTTTTATTTGCAATTAAGGCCATATTCTAGATTTGATGATTCTTGAATTTATTAACCTCGGAGTCTACAGATCACTAAACCTATAACTCTAGTCTCTAGCTAGATATGTCTTTTGGCCTTGTCTTAATTAGTTCCTGATTAATTATTGGCTTCATTCAGATGAAATCCTAATGAGAACATAAAACAGTTTTAAATTCAACATTTCCCTCATGAATACCTTCCTAGCCCTACTTACGGACAGAGCAGTCTCGAGTTGTTCCTCCAGAGAAATTAGAGAATCTACACTTACATTATCGACATTTGGTTCTTAAAGCTTGCTGTATTCATAAGTAGACAAAAGAAAAAGAGTTTTATTTTTTTATCAGAAGAATATTGTAATGATGTTCGTGCCCAATAGAAGAAAACCTGTTTGGAGATAGCTTTAGAACTTGTTTGAAACTAATGACCTTATGATCTTGTCCAAACAGGAGATGTTGCTGAGAGAAGAGAACCAGGTTCTGGCTAGCCAGGTAATAAAGACCAGAATCTCTTATGCTTCTAGATGCTAATTAGTCACTTTATACGTCCCCATTATAGAGAGATACACATATACACTTACATAAAAACTAGACTTAGATGGATGCTAGTCAATTTAGTGGAACCCTATATCTTAAATATGTGGTTAAAAAAAAATTGCTTTGAAAATGTTTAGACAATGTCTCACCGATGAAAGATACTCAAACCCCGATATTTTTAATTTGTGAAATTTCTAGTAGCTGTAAGAAAAAAGAAGTTTAAGAAAATTTCTTACAGATGGGGAAGAATACGGTGCTGGCAACAGAGGATGAGAGAGGAATGTTTCCGGAAAGTAGCTCCGGCAACAAAATACTGGAGACTCTCTCGCTGCTCAAGTAACCACCATCATCATCAACGGCTTGAGTTTTCCACCTTAAACTCAACGCCTGATTCAGAATGAAGAAAACATATTTGTAAATTATAAAAAGCTGTATACTCTCAAACCTTTTATCTTCCTCTAGTGTGGAATTTAAGGTTAAAAAACTCGATAAAGTATGGATCGTTGTTGTACCTTCCTTCAGAGACAAGATCAGAGTTCATGTGTTTGTGTTGGAATGTACGGATTGGATTTAAAGTTGTGCTTTCTTCAGCGTGAAGAACCCTAGAGTTTCTTAATTCTTTTTGTTTTTCCTTTTTTTTTAACTGCCAGGTGTTTGAGATTATTTGTCTTGCGTTTCGTGGCAAAGTTATTTAGTTGCATATCTTTTAATTTGATCAAAACCATATCAGATATTTTGTTCTTTTTCCAAGTTTAGTAATTCTGTTTTTGAGAGCTCTAAACTATATATCAGATATTTTTTCACATTTTCCAAGTTTTATTAATTGTATTTTTTAGGAACTCCAGATAAATTAATAAAAGAAATCATATAAAGCCAGCTGGAGATGAAAACTGTGAGAGAACTCTGTTTCATAAGTAAAATTACAGGATTCTCAACTTTTTTACAAATACATTTATGTACCGCTCTTTGTGTTCTTAAGTCTTGATAAACTCTTAAGCAACTTGTTGAAGATCTGATGAATCAAAAAAAGTTTCGTTTAATGCCTCTAAACAATGCGGAATGAACTAGCTATCCTCTTCAGATCCTTGTAGTGTCTCTTCCATTGAAGACCTATAGCATCAACATAAGCAAATAATGTTTAAAAGTCCAACAAAAAGGTGTTTCTCTGTCTTTAAATCTATGACTAGAAGAGAAGTTTCTCCTTACCGTTTCCGGTGACACTGAACAAGTAAAGGCGGTTTCCGGCAGCTGTTGCTGTGATCAGTACATGAGGTGGCTCTAGCTCAAATTGGTAATAGAGTCTACCTTGGTGTTCTGCAACATTGGAACTTAACACCTTCCCTTCAACGTTTTCTCCAATAACTTCTGGTCCAAACGCGTTGATCACCTTCGCTGGTGGCCCAATATTTTCAATCTTAACATCGTCCCCGAGGTCTGTCAAACAATATATGTGCGTAGAACTCACAAAATCAATCAATCAACGAATACAATTAAATAAGATTGCATTGCCTATATAACTCAAAAAGAGACTAGATTTGATGAATCATCAATGGCAAAGACCACCAACTTACTATCTGCAAATCTTAGAACAGGAGCTACAATAACAGACAAACGGCCTTCTTTAGGACTAGCAAATCGCAAGTCAATCTCGGTGCCACCAAGATCAGCGATCGATACAGGTACCTAAATTTGATGATATTACAATGAAAAGAATCTCAAAAATATGACTAAAACATTGCAACAAACCCATATCCAAAAAAGTGACAAAACCTCATTCCAATCTTGAGGAACCGAAAAGGCGTAAGGGATAATAGGACTCCAACCAACACCATGCCCTCCTGACTTCTCGTCTGGTCTACGGTATGTTCTCCAACCTGTCTGAGCATTACAATTACATTACACCAACAAATTCTCAACTACTAGACACAACTCCAAGAATCAGTGGTAACATCCTCAAGAAGAGGAAAGAGTGTAAGGATAAGATACAGAGCAAGACAAGATCATCTAATCTAACAGAAGAAGAGGAATCAAGAACAGAGTGAAACGAACCTTCATCATCAGGTTCGGATAGACCAGGAACTCTCCCGGCAAGAAGACCCTGTTTCACGACAGCTAATCCATCCCCTGGAAACACTAAAGCCGTCGACGAGACTAACGAGAATCCAGACGCCAGTACCGATCTTCTACTCAAAACCGTAGCGCACCTCTCGTCTCTCTGAGTCTCACCATCGACTCTGTGATGAGCAGAGGTTTTCTTGTGGTAAGGATGACTGGAAAAATTGACGCAGTACCGGAGCAGAGCTGTTTCCATGTTTGTCCGGCGAATTCGAGAAGGTTAATCAACAGATTTGTGGCTGATACGCATGCGTCTTGACTTCTTTTGTGATTGACACTAATCATTTTCTAGCCTCACACGTGTCAATGTCACTGGCTGTGTACTAGGAGAACGAATAAAATTCATATTACAGAATTCTGGTTAAGTTCACTTGATGATATACAAATCTATATAAATGGAGATTCTGCGATTTAATAACAAAAGTGAATGGTAAATCCAGTTTTCCATATTCTCTGTGCAAAGTTTAACAGAATTAAATAACTTTTAACACACAGAAAGCTCTCTTTACTGTTGTTACTTTCCTCTTTTCTTCCTAAGTGGGCTTTTACCTTATGGTCTTTACTAGTTGGGCTGCTACCCATCTTTGATTCGTTAGTATTACTTGTGGGTTTGTGGGTATTAATTCTAGAGTGGGCCTATGTAAAACATTGGTTAGCTCGTGCCACCATTTAAACTTTTGCATCAAATCTTATAAAAAGAAAATGCTGTGAAAAAAGAAAAAAGTTTAACAGAATTAATTTTTGTGAGGCAGTCTCAAAAGAATTGCAAACATGGCATTTGATGTTAAAACGTAGAAGATAATACAGGTTTTCGACAAGCAAAGGATCACAAATGATCATTATGTTTTTGTTCATTTCTCAAGAAAATAAGCATTCATATGTTCATATTGTTGTTTAATTCTACTAAGATATATGAAATTTACACTTCACCTATATAATGCAGACGGTACGGTTCCTTATTAAAAACATTTGTTCTTTTGGATCCAAAATTAGGAGAAAACGTATATAGATATTTATAGTTGTTGGAGATATTTGATATCATGTTTAGTTAGTAGTGGAAAAAAATACCAGTGAATGTAATTATATATAAAAAAAATTTAAAAAAAAAAAAGACAAACTGCATTTGAAAATTGAGCTATTAAAAAAGCGCTGAAAGAAACAATTTGTAGAAGTCTCGTATGGAGAAAAAAAAATATAGCATAAATTTTGCATAGTTTTTGCTTATGTTTTGCATACATTTTGCATTAAAATTGACAAGTCTAGCACAGAGCAACATAAGTTAGCACAATATCATTATGTTGATCAAACTTAAAAATAATAGTACGCGACCACTAATTTGATATCAAAAAAGAAAATATATCAGCGACATTACAGTTATTTATATAGTTATATATGAGCAATAACTTTATATCTTAGGAAATATTTGAAAAATGGCTGTATTTTTATTTGGAAACATCTTGATAAAAACAAACTAGGCTTATGGCTTTCTACAAAAAAAACATTTTTTTATTCAAAGCTTTTTTCTTTTCTGATTTCAATATGATGGGATTGAATATCTAATAGATTAATAGACGTACAATGCTCAAATAACTGGTATATATATCTTTTAATAATTCAAATTTGTTGCAAAAAAAAAATTGTTTATTTTAATATTCTAACATACTCGGATTATATACTTAACTATACATGAGGTCTTGGAAACTAGTTTGTAGCACTGCATAAACGTCTAATCTCTCCCTCAACACCGATTTTCACTCCAATAGCACCCATCTTTACCATAGCTTTAACAAAATCCGCAGCAAAATTAGCCTTTGAACTTTGATTAGTTTCTAGGTACGAATCAATGATTTTTTTCATACTATTGTCTTGGTACAAGACAGAGTCCGATAGAATGACACCTCTGCCATTTTTGATGTTTTGCAAGATTTGGTCATCAAACACAAATTGGCTATCCCAGTCCAACGGAATCCTGACATTAACATCGCCGCCTTGAGGACATTTTGACCTTAAGATTTGAAAGAATTTTGGGTTTATGGTAGGATCTTGAGCATCTAAACGTTGTATGACGAAGAAGCAAGCGGTTGTACCAATAGTATGTGCACCTTTAACAAAAATAAAACTCGAGTAAGCAAGATAGTATTTTCTTTTTTCCCTAAATAGTGTTTATATATCAAGTTGTCAAGATTATGATAAATACCAGCACTAAGAAGTACAAGATCTTGATCTGAAAGCCCCTTTTCTCTAAATTTTGATTTCAAAGTGTTTATGGAATCTTGAACATCTGGCAAGTTTGTAGCATGACCAACATTTGCAATCCGACCGTCTCTCCGACCGGTTGGAACCTCATAAAATGGTCCTTTTGCCTAATAAATTAATATTTAACATCAAATGATCTTCTTCTTCTTTAGACTTTTATCAAACAAAAAAAAATGATCTTCTTTAGCCCTATATATGAATACAATAAACTATTCATTGTGTATTTAAAAAGAACTATATATTAAAGTATGGTAAAAATAAAAGGAAAAATATATCCAAGAAAATTTTAAGAAGTTACTGGAATGGTAACTAGTAGGGTAGAAATATTAAAGGTTGGTCCGAGTTTGAAAAATATAAGGCTTCGGCCCAGAATTTCCTACTATGAACAAAAGAATGAAAAAAAAAACTATTCAAGTGTTACCTCAGCAATAGCGTCTCTAGCAGCAAGAGCAACGATGTCAGCGCAAGACACAATCCCCGGACAAAGACGTTCAAGCTCTGATTTGGCTTCGTCTATAACATCGAAACCAGCGACACCCGCGTTACCCGCAGCAAACCTTTCGTCATCTTTCCCATCATGTTTGATTAGTATTGACCCATCACAACCCTACGACATGCATAGAACCAAACCAATTTATGTCATGACTAGTAGAAAAATGATTATTAATTGGTCCTTTTTTTTTTTAGCATTTGACCTCAACGAAGCAGTCGTGGAACTGGAGACGGAGTAAGACAGCAGCCTTTCCGGGGTCGTTGGTCACCGCATGTTGAACTACATCACGAACGATTGATTCTGCTGATGGACATGTTTCTGAGTAGAATCCAAATTGAAGTTGTGCCTCCGAATAACCTAATTGATCATGAAAATAAAACAAAACTAGAAATAATGCAACAGTGATCATTTTCGGACCAAACAAACTAATCGATATATCTTCTCGTATTCTACGACTCATTTTTGATGATCGTTTAAGATGAGTTGCAAAGTTTTTATATCTGCTCGGATTATATTTATATCCATAGAGGAGATTCAGTATATATCCTTCATATTTTTGACCTTATGTCATTTATTGCATATAGCTGTTACCGCGTAAAATCTTCCGAAAGGTGACAATCCTTTTATAAAATTTTGTAAAAAGAATTCGTGTATCATAAAAAACAAAAACAAAATTATAGTAAAATATTAAAATATTTAATAAAGTAAAAATTCCTTTCGTTTTATTACAAATAACTGAGTTCTTGTTCCACCAGAAGCCATAACAACGAATAATAAATCAATTTATTTTATTAAAAAATAAACAAAAAACGTAAAGCTAATTAATCAATAATTCAGAAAGAAAAAAAAAACTCAATATAGGGATAATTCGTCAAAAGGAATTCAAATGTATAATAGTAACGTGGCGAGTATTAAGTTAAGAAAATTGCATGTGGCAACAACTTAAAGAGATATATATTGATATCCTTCGTAACGTCTTTTGTTTTCTCTGCAAAATGTCAAAGTGAGTATCACGAAAACTCAACCAAATGACTGCAAATGGCAACAAATTTGAGGAGGTACGTTCGATGAATGTGGAAGAGTCTCTTTGAGACAGAAGGTTTCAGCTAAACAAAAAGGTTAGCACTAGTTAGCTGATTGATATTAAAAATAAAAAAAACACACACACAAAGTTAGCTCTTTGTCACGTGAGGAGCACGTGTAAATAGGTTTGTTCGTTATAACAGCCAAGGGTATATCGGCAATCTCTCTATCTCTGTATCGTATTAAGTTTTATAGAAAACAGAGAAGACTGAGATTTAATCAAAAAAAGAAAGACTGAGATTTAGCTAATGTTCACGGTTTCTCTTCTAAAGTCGTAAATATAGTCTGAAAATTTCAATATAAAAATGTCAGAAACGTGAGTCTGTGAGAAACAAAAAGAGAAGACGAATACAGTTATATATAGAAATTTCTTTAAATTAATTGCATTGTGCTTTCAGTTTTTATTACATAGCACAAGTGTCTAGCTCAAGTCTTTGAGCTGGTGGAGAGTTTGGAGAATTGCATTTTTTAGATTTGGAATAATAATTAGTCGTCTTGATATTTCCCTGGAATTAGCTCATCATTTTTTCTTTGAACAAAACATTTATTTGTTATAACGGATATGATATATTCGATCTCCACGTAACAAAACAATTGATGGGAAAATTGGGCCTAGCAAATATTTCTTTGCAAAGGGCTTAAGACCAAACCTGGATTTGGGAACTGGATTTAGAATAATATTTCGGTTTGTCTATCGAATAAATAAAAATTACACGTAAAGCCGTTAAAAATAATCAAGATCGTGTTGTATTTTAAAAAAAAAAACCACAAAACGGCAATAGACATGATTTTTCATGCAAATTTGAAGTATATGCTTAACTCAAGTGGATCAAGAACACTACGAACTTAGAGATTCTTTTACAAATCGCATTGCAACAACAAAAGACCTGATACTTGTACGTATCTAAATATCTATCATATGCACATGTACATTGACAAGACGGAATAATGTAACCATGTTTGTAACGAAAAATACAGAACGAAATTGAGCGAAAATAAAACAAAAAAAAATAAGAAACGAACAAAATGATGAATTGATGGCACGCGAAGAGAAGAGAGTTAGAAAGATGCAAAAACTTATGTTATGTCACTTTCCTTTGATATTCTCACTCCAACCTCTCTATCTCTCCAATGACTAGACCAGACACATCTTAGTTCTTGCCCCCTTTTCTCAGACCATTTCTCACTCACTTTCCAATGTTTCCCTTTTAAAAAAAAATATTCCTAAATTTTGTAACCTGTGTAATTTAGAATTTTTGAAATGAACCCATCATTTTTCGCACTTGAATTTGATTTGATTTTCTAACCTACCAATAATCCCACTTCTATTCATTTCTTCCCCTTTCCTCGATCCCATGCGCTTCCTCTTAGTCTTGTTTCTCATCATCATACCTTCTTTTTACCATCTTTTTCCTCAGGTTTTTTTGTTCTTTTTAATATAGAAATTTTCGAAATATTAGTGAACACCTCATTAAATTTTATTTCATAGTGTTTTCATAAGTATGTGTATGTGTGTATAGCTGTATACTTTGGTGGTAACGTAAAGAAATGAGGTGACATAACCTTACAATATATAGAATGATAATTAAAGACAGCTTCACTAGTCGAGTAACAAACAAACTTGCTTATTCTAAATTTTATTGTCAGATTCATATGTGTACTTATATATACAGACAATATAAGGTTACAAGAGGCTTTAGTGTCATTACCCATTGGGAACAATAATCATGCTTATACGTGATTTTATATAATATCCTACAGAACTCTTGTTTACCTACATTTTGGTTTAAGTAGTAGGATTAGTTAATATTTATCTTAGGTTAGATATATAGGACGGAATCAATAATCCCAAACTTTTTTGTAGCCTTTCGTTGACAAAGTAATTTATTTCTTTTATAAGAAAAAGGTTACGTATGACTTAGTTCTTGCAATTGCCAAAAGACTAAAGGCTATAGGCTTTTAAGCTTGAAAGCAAAAGGCTAACACTGTTAGTCTCCACCCATTGCGCTAAAATCATTGATCTTAGATTCTATGAGGATCTCCTTCGCTTTATTTATGTATATATGTACAATTATGTATATGATTTTTTTTTTTTTTTTGATATACCCGATCGGCTAATCCGGCCAGCCTCGGTAGGAACGCACCGGAGTGCTACAGAGTGGACTCACTACCACCCCGAGGGATGGGCTACCACACTGCCTGATCCGAGTTTGGAATGCTTTCCGACTAATGCCCGGGGGTAGCTGGATCGCCTGTTACAAGACTACCAGGTAAACTGCCTGGGCCGAAGCCCAAGCCCAGACTTCCCAACAAAGTGTTGATAACAGCGAGGGAGGAAGATCGAACCCGGGTTCGGGGATTTCACCCTCAACGCCGGACTCGCCCTACCACTCGCCCACCACCTTGCGGGCCAATTATGTATATGTAAATGTCAATAAATTAAAAACAAGATAATCATCTCTTTGTGGACCCTTTTGCTTCTAATCTTAATTGATGTAGTGTTAGTACAAGAAGTTCATTACATTCCCTCCCTCTATATGGTCAGAAGTTCCAACTATTTTCTAGTTTCATACTCCCTCCGTTTTCGAATAGTTGTCGTTTTAGAGCATTTTTTTGTTTTAAATTAGTTGTCGTTTTAAGGTAATAATGTAACTTATGCCAATAACTACCCAAATTACCCTCATTTAATTAAACACAAATTATTTGTAAATAATTACTTGTCATTTTTATGAGGTTAATATAGTCATTGTATACTTTTTCTTAATTTGTCTAAATACAGTTAAAACGACAACTTTTAAAAAACAGAGGGAGTATATGTTAGCTTTACATATTTTAATAAGATGATTAAAACTGACTATACTTCATTATTAATTTATTGTTTGATTTTGTTTCTTGAATTATTGATAGATTTCTGTTTTATTTTTAATTGAAAGACGAATCTCATGATATTGTTCTTGAGCATAGCGAGATATAGTTGTGGGAAATATATACATCAAAAGAGTTGCATGAGGCCAAAAAAAAAACGGAAATTTATTGTCATTAGTGACTCACTAAGTTTGCGTAGCTTAATTTAGTTAAAAAGCTTCAAATTTGAAGTATACTTATCTTCATTTTCATGCATGTATTTCTAGTTGGTTTTGGCTTAAATAGTCATATAGTTTTTCGTCATAAAACAACCCACAAACAAGAAGTTTAATAATCAGTAGAAGAAAACAAAAGAGTTAGGGAGATAATTTGGGTGAAAGCCTATTTCGACAAAACAGCAAGTGTGAGAGTTTTGGATAAACACATGTTTTTTTTCTATAATTTATGTTGTCCGAGTTTGATGCAACTGTATGCAAAAAGTGAATAAATACTGCAAAAAGTAGATACACTTGCAAGAAGTGAAAATACTGTAAAAGTAAAATAAGAGGAAAACAAACAAAAGAGTTAGGTCGATAATAAGGGTGAAAAGCTCACTTAGGCAAAACACAAAATTTTGGGTAAACAAAGTGTTTTTTTTTTTCTTGGATTACCAAATTTTGTTTTTTTGTAGATTTTTGAAAAAAAAAGAGAGTTATGCGTGTACATGTTGATAGTCTATGCAAAATATTCTAAATAAAATGTTATAATTTTTAATGTTAATGAACATATTGTTATTCTGTCGAACCACTGTAATGTTTATTATTTCAGCTTTGTTTTATTTTTCCTTGTGTTACTTATTTTTTGTCCCTATAAATCTGTATAAAAGAAATACGCTCCTTTGTTTTAATTAAACAGCATGTATAAAAAGCTACCCAACTTGTAAACTACATTCACACAATCCGAACATATTAGATAAAAAAATTGGTTTGATAACTACTTAATTATGAGATAAATCTGTATAGATTTTTGTTTTAAATTATTAGATAACTTGTGTTTTGCCTGATATTTAATTTAATTTGTTTTTTTGATGTTGTTTGTTTACTTATTAGTTAAATAATAATATAATAAAGAGAAGCAATGTATAATGCAAAGCAAAGTTATTGTATAAGTTATTCTAAATATTCTTATAAACTCTTTTCCCCGGTTTGGATTACCAATCAAGATTATTCATTAATTTAGTTGTGAAGTTGAATTAAAAAAAGTACCAAATCAACTAATTAATTAATTGTAAAACTGTGATGAGTCTATTTAATGTGTCAGAATTTTAGAGGTTAAAATGATAATGAAGATACATAAAAAGAAAGTGTTTCTATATATATAGATTTCAAACTATATATGTACTTTAAAAACTTTCAATTAGTTAATCTTAATTTATCTCCACTAGGCATCAAAATGACTTGTATAACCGCGGCTAGTCCCTCCCTAATGCAAAATAACGGGCTAACTAAGGGGTAATCTCGTCAACAAGTCCCTATATAAACTAACACACACTTGGGACATAACTTACACACCTAAATTAACCAAGAAGAAGAAAAAGAAGCAAAGCAAAAGATGATAACGGGAAACGAATTCTACACGGTGATGTGTGCCATGGCACCACTCTACTTCGCCATGTTCGTGGCTTATGGATCGGTGAAGTGGTGGAAGATCTTCACGCCGACGCAATGTTCAGGAATCAACCGTTTTGTCTCGGTTTTCGCCGTCCCGGTCCTCTCTTTCCACTTCATCTCACAAAACAACCCTTACAAAATGGACACAATGTTTATCCTCGCTGATACTTTATCCAAAATATTCGTCTTCGTCTTGCTCTCTCTATGGGCCTTTTTCTTCAAATCGGGTGGTCTCGATTGGCTCATCACACTCTTCTCAATCGCTACTCTCCCTAACACTCTCGTTATGGGCATACCTTTGCTCCAAGCCATGTATGGAGATTATACTAAAAAACTCATGGTCCAACTCGTTGTTCTTCAATGCATCATTTGGTACGTTTTCAATTCTCTGTCCGTCATTTATTCATTTACCTTGTGATTGATTAAAAAACCGCATAATGATAATTATTTTAAATATTTTGTAACCAAACTCAAATGAATTTAATTAGTCTAGGATATTTCAATCAAATCATATGTTTTTACTAATCCGAGCTTGTATAATAGTATTCTGTTTTATTAGTTGAATCATTATATTCAATTGTAACGTATGATGCTAAGTGTGTATATATGCATAGGTATACTCTGCTACTCTTCCTATTCGAACTCCGGGCAGCGAGGTTGCTTATCCGGGCCGAGTTTCCGGGTCAAGCAGCCGGGTCAATCGCCAAGATCCAAGTCGACGATGACGTCATTTCCTTAGACGGCGTGGATCCTCTCCGTACAGAAACTGAAACCGATGTCAACGGTCGGATCAGGCTCAGGATCCGACGGTCCATATCATCCGTACCTGATTCTGTTATGTCCTCCTCCTTCTGCTTAACCCCTAGAGCCTCTAATCTTTCTAACGCCGAGATTTTCTCCGTTAACACTCCTAACCGTTTCTTTAACGGCGGAGGAGGAAGCGGTACGCTTCAGTTTTATAACGGTAGTAACGAGATCATGTTTTGTAACGGAGATTTAGGCGGGTTCGGGTTTACTCGACCCGGATTTGGTGCAAGTCCTAGACGGCTCTCGGGTTATGCTTCCTCCGATGCTTACTCGTTGCAGCCGACGCCACGTGCCTCGAACTTTAACGAGCTTGACGTTAACGGAAACGGTACGCCGGTTTGGATGAAATCTCCTGCCGCCGGGAGAATATTCCGGCAATCCTCGCCGAAGATGATGTGGGAGTCTGGGCAAAGACATGCAGCCAAGGATATCAATGGTACGTTTTCTTTGAAAGATGTGTCGTTTTCGTTTTTCGTAAGCACTGACACGACGGCGTTTAGTCAATTTCCTTCTCTTTTCGTATATATATATTGGTTCTTTTCAAAAATTTGATGAATAGAATAACATTGAGAGACTACATAAAATGCAGCTTTTTCAGATATAAAAAAACTTAAGCATTGTCTCTTTTATTTTCCAAATCCCTAGGAATAGACTAATTAGAAATTCAATCTAAAAAAAACAATCTAATTTCATAATATAAGCTAGATATTAGAAACGAATTTTATAAGCAATAATTACTATATTTTGTGTCCATACTTTTGAATTTTGTTGTTTCATGTTTTTGAGCTTAAGATTCTCTAATAGGACAACATAATGAAGCATGTAAACAAAGCGGACCCCTCATACCACCCGCAAACTTACTATCATCAACAAAATCACCAAAATGGTCAACATGATGTTGACTTTTTGTTTCCCATGATGTTTTTGGACTCAAAAGTCCATTCTAAAAAATTTACTGGGAGATGCTATTATTTTCCTCCAGCACGTGTGTAATCATCAGCGAAACCGATCGACGCATGGGTTTATAAAAAAAACTTCCATTATGAAATTCACAACCATTATTAACAACACGACTTATAATTAGTTGCTTTCAAAAAAATCAAGCTTTGTCCTAAACTATTACTATCTGTATTTGCTGACGTGTATACATTAACTATGAATCAGTGCCAGAGAAGGAGATTAGCTTCCGAGATGCACTTAAAGCACCACCACAGACTACGGCAGCCGGTGGTGCTGCTTCCATGGAGGAAGGAGCCGCCGGAAAAGACGCAACTCCGGTGGCTGCTATTGGCAAGCAAGAAATGCCAAGTGCCACTGTAATGGTGCGGCTCATACTAACAGTTGTGGGACGCAAGCTTTCTCGAAACCCTAACACTTATTCCAGCCTCTTAGGTCTTGTCTGGTCACTTATATCTTTCAAGTGAGTAAGCAATCACTTAAATATTTATCAAAAAACATTAACTATAATCATTGAATTTGTTTGTTATAACTTTAAGTCATATTTTTGATAAATAATGAGCAGATGGAATATACCGATGCCAAACATAGTGGATTTCTCGATAAAGATCATTTCAGATGCAGGTCTTGGGATGGCTATGTTTAGTTTAGGTATGAACATGTTCTTAGAAATACAATTATTTTGTATTATTTACAAAGTATTCTAACAAATTTAAAATTACAGGCCTGTTTATGGCGCTGCAGCCAAAGATGATCCCTTGCGGAGCGAAAAAGGCAACAATGGGGATGTTGATTAGGTTCATCTCAGGTCCCCTTTTCATGGCTGGTGCTTCTCTTCTTGTCGGATTGAGAGGTTCTAGGTTACATGCTGCTATCGTACAGGTAAACTATTCAGAGTTTGCCTTGATTTGGTCCCATTATATTGTTGGAAGAAAAAATACTTGGTGATGGAGAAAGTGTTTAAGAACTTGGGAGTGAATTAGGAAATTTAACAAATAGAAGGGACTAATTAGTTTTAAAAATGAAGGATAAATATGTTCATAGCTTTCAAGAATACAAAATATCTAACATGTTTGAATCATATAAATCTTAATAGTCTAGATCATTCTTAGCAAAAAAAAAATAGTCTAGATCATTAGATGTTACAAAGTATCTAGATATTATGAAAATATCTAGATATTTTACTTGATACAATTCTCAATATTAGTTTAAGGAGGTATTGATATTTTATGATGGTTCTAAAGAAACTCTTTGACTTGGATCATGTTTTGCGATTGGTCCAACAAATGATACTTGGATCATTGGCACATAATTATAGTTATCCAAATTCAAGTTAATATTTCAAAAAATATATTACCCGTGGCTATAATTTAAACTTGGTTTCTTATAAAAGTTTTAGTTTAATTTATAGTAATATATATACATCCAAATTTGACGAAGCCCATCGAAATGTTTTTTTAGGCGGCTCTACCGCAAGGGATAGTACCGTTTGTGTTTGCAAGGGAGTACAATTTGCATCCAGACTTACTCAGTACATTGTGAGTCTCTAGCTCTCTTTTTTTTTTTGTTCTTCATTTTTTTTTTCAGGGTTGAATGTTTTTAAATGTGGGATTATGACTTATGTGAAATTTCTGTTAATTGGTTTTTGTTTTTGTTTTTGTTTTTCAGGGTTATCTTTGGCATGATAGTATCTTTACCAGTAACTATTCTGTACTACGTCCTCTTGGGCCTATGATTCACACTGGAGAATTGATGGATGAATAAAGAGGTCTGGAAATAGAGAGACTCGTGAGCTCGTTACTGAAGAGCTTGTGAGAAAGATTAACGGTTAACTACATTGTTAAATCGAATTACTGGTAAATCGTAAATGGTTAGAGGAATATTTTAAATTATGTACTTGATGATATTCAACATTGATCACATGAAGGGTACGTACGTAGTGATGTAGAGGCTTATTATTTCAATGTTGATGGATAGTGAAAACGCATATGATTCATGTATAGGAATCATCATGAAGATATTTGTCATCATGAAGAACACTATTAAACCAAGTTATGCATTACAAATACAAATGGGAATAAATGATAATTCTAACTTAGTCATTGTATTTTCTGTTTAATAGTATCTACTATCCCTTAATTAATGACACTCATAATTGTATCGTTAAGACTTGAGAGTGACGGCCAAGAATATAATTAAGAGCCAATGATCTTTTTAAATATCACAAACAAAATAGTAAAAACAAAGATCCAACTTGATGACCAAGAATAATATTAAAGAGCTCTAGTTAAGGTGAAACCGCCCGAAACCAAAACATTCGATGGGTACCGATTACTGCTTTAAGCAACACCACGGCGTGACCATCAAGACTAAAGTATTAAGACCACAATTTTAAATTTATTAATAATTGCTACAATTTGTAATTAAAGATCAACAAGAAATGCCACGTGGCGAATATCAGCAACGCCAAGTGGAAAGAGCATTCGAGAGAACAAGGCAAAACCAAAGACGCCCCTAGTAAATAATATGTCGACTGGAAAATTACAAAAGATATTAGTATTAATTTCTAGTGGTGTTTTTGTAAATACGTACTTCTTCCAATTGCCAGCTGCTATATAAATCCCTTCTCTGTTTCTCTCTTCTTACCATCACAACAAATACAATCACACAAAACTAATAAAAGATCAAAAAGCAAGTTCTTCACTGTTGATAATGTCTACCACCGGACAGATTATTCGATGCAAAGGTTTTTTTTTACTTGTATCCTGTCTTTTTCCAAATATTAAGTTATCATCGGTCGTTGATCGGTTACATTTCTGTTGTTTCTGAGGTTTTGATCATACGAGTGTATGAGATTTCTAGATTTTCTTTTTTGTAAAAACGGTGTCGTTTTGTGGTGGTTGCAGCTGCTGTGGCATGGGAAGCCGGAAAGCCACTGGTTATGGAGGAAGTGGAGGTTGCTCCGCCCCAGAAACACGAAGTTCGTATCAAGATTCTCTTCACTTCTCTCTGTCACACTGATGTTTACTTCTGGGAAGCTAAGGTAAAATTAATCAAACTCAAATTTCATAATCAAGTTCTAATTTTTATCACGAATTTTCAAAATTCAACCTTTTTTTTATTCTACAGGGACAAACACCGTTGTTTCCTCGTATCTTCGGTCATGAAGCTGGAGGGTAATAGAAACACTAATCTTCTTGCTTAAAATTTTGGATGTTTTATAGGTTTTAGAGATTAAAGATTGTGTTTTTTTTTTGGTTGTGTAGGATTGTTGAGAGTGTTGGAGAAGGAGTGACTGATCTTCAGCCAGGAGATCATGTGTTGCCCATCTTCACCGGAGAATGTGGAGATTGTCCTCATTGTCACTCGGAGGAATCAAACATGTGTGATCTTCTCAGGATCAACACCGAGCGAGGAGGGATGATTCACGATGGTGAATCGAGATTCTCCATCAATGGCAAACCAATTCATCATTTCCTTGGGACTTCCACGTTTAGTGAGTACACTGTGGTTCACTCAGGTCAGGTTGCTAAGATCAATCCGGATGCTCCTCTTGACAAAGTTTGCATTGTTAGTTGTGGTTTATCCACTGGGTTAGGAGCAACTTTGAATGTGGCTAAACCCAAGAAAGGTCAAAGTGTTGCCATTTTCGGACTTGGTGCTGTTGGTTTAGCTGCTGCAGAAGGTGCTAGAATCGCTGGTGCTTCAAGGATCATCGGTGTTGATCTTAACTCTCAAAGATTCGACCAAGGTATTCAAAAAGATGATAGTCCTTTTTGACTATGTTCTTCTCTAATCTCCTCTCACTTACATTGAGTTTGATATGTCATTGGCAGCTAAGGAATTCGGTGTGACCGAGTTTGTGAACCCGAAAGACCATGACAAACCAGTTCAACAGGTGATCGCTGAGATGACGAATGGAGGAGTGGACAGGAGTGTGGAGTGCACTGGAAGTGTTCAGGCCATGATTCAAGCATTTGAATGTGTTCATGATGTAATCTTCCCTTCACATCAATTCCGACCAAACCATTCATAACTTACATTATGCATATATGAACATATACATATGATGTTGTTTCAGGGTTGGGGTGTTGCGGTGCTGGTCGGTGTGCCAAGCAAAGACGATGCCTTCAAGACTCATCCGATGAATTTCTTGAATGAGAGGACTCTTAAGGGTACTTTCTTCGGGAACTACAAACCCAAAACTGACATTCCCGGGGTTGTAGAAAAGTACATGAACAAGGTAATGAGAAGCTTAGATCTTCTGATGCCAACTTTGAATATTTATCAATGTTCTGATGATTTTTATGACATAGGAGCTGGAACTTGAGAAATTCATCACCCATACACTGCCATTCTCGGAGATCAACAAGGCCTTTGATTACATGTTGAAGGGAGAGAGTATTCGTTGCATCATCACCATGGGTGCTTGAAGCCATTCTCTTGCCGATGATGTCTACTTTGTGTTTTAATTCCCTTTATGCACCCACAGCAATAAAAGAAGACATCTCTATCGTTTTTAGTTTTATGCTCTGTCTTAAGTTGGTCATTGTCGTGCCTAATCTATTACTTATCGTTGTAATAGACTCATTCTATTGAGATTTTAATATAAACTAAAAACACATGCCATTTTACTGTGTTCTCAACATTCAGAATGCAAACGGACTAACCGTAGTGACTCGAAAGCCGTTTCGAGTCGCCATTCTCTTTGCTTCTTACTCAAAGGTCTTCCTTTGCCGGCCTTTTCTCGGTTTACTCTTATGTCTGCTATGCCCCAAATGCAGCTTTTGGCTTCCACATCGAAAGAAACCAGCCTGAAAATACCATCACCTTCGGTCTCAGTGTCCTCGTTAGTGTACCTCACGTACATCGGTCTGTCCTTATACCGATCAAGATCCTGCGGAATTCGTACTACCCTTTCAACACCAGGAGATGAAACCTGTACACAAAAGTTCAAGCTTTGTTAAGTCAATGAACCAAAATCCATGAGATAAAATGGATGTGAAAGGAAATCAAAGGCTAAATAAATAACTAACCTCTAGAGAGATATTGTCTGGTATAGACTTGGCGAGTTCAGCTTCAGCCAATTTTGCTCTATAGATTGTTGAAAATGCTTCAATGTCTTCCATTGTTGGAGAACCAAACTTGTTAGTGAGCCGCTCGATTCGCACTTGTATGGTTGAATTAGGCAGTGTCTTGAAGGCATAAATGCCTAAATCACCATCAAAAGACTCACAGACTTTTTCAGCTAATGCCAATGCTTCTTTATCCCATAATGTTCCAGAAAGTTTAATGCCTCCTCCACCACCTCCATCTCCAGCCTTCAGATAGAATTAATCCATAGATGAGAGATGCAAAAAGTATTTATCTTTTCCTAATCTCTCAAATTAGACATAAGTAGACTTACATAGAGTTCCTCCTCGCTCTCATCGAACTCAAAGTCATCGTCTTCGTCGTATTCATCATCCAGTAGCAACTCTGCAGAACCAAGAACATCACTGGAAAAGTGTTGATTATAAATGGTAGAAATCAAAATCAAGCTACTGAGCATTGTAAGATTACATTCAAATCGCCAATAAGGTAACCAAAACGCACCGTCTTGAATCTCTTCGGGAAGAACTAGCTCCTCTTCTCCATCTTCTTCTTCTTCAAAGATCAATTCTTCGACTTTGTTTGGTTTCTGTTCGACAGTACTCGTTTTATTCTTCTTCTTCGCGTGAGTCTCGAAGGTAGAGTTTGGAGACCGACGAAACGGCGTCGCCGGAAATCCAAAACGAAGACTCGTCGTCGAACGGAAACGATTGACGGCGGAAAGGTTGCTTATGCTAAAAGCAGGCAAAACTGAAATTCCACGACAAGACTGATTTGGTCGGAAACAACAAATCGAATCCATCTTCTCCGGCAACTGAAGAAGAAGAAGAAGAAGAAGAAGAGACTGGTCTCTGGATTCGTGAGGCCATTTTTTGCGGCTAAAAAAGTCTGGTTCTCGTCACTAAAATCAATTTCATCGGTTCGGTTCGGTTCGGTTCAGTTCATCAGTTCCGGTTCTCTGGAATAAATAAAGTTGACTTTAATGTTCAACGGAGTAACATAACCTGGTCAATGGGAAACAAAAAAGCCTTTGCTTTAAAATCTGAATGCAAAGATACATCTTCCTGTAAATTCTGCATTTGTCTTTCATTCCTTTATCCCCTCATGATTACATTGTTTCTGGGATTCGTATACAGGTTTCAAGCTGATAAAAAAAACATAAGAACATCACCAACCCACATTTGGTTGGTGAAAGAAGAGTAATTTTGTACCAAACCAAAGCCAAAAGAATTCACAGGGAAGAGAGAGCGGTTTTATGCGGTGGTGATGAAGTGGTGGTGGTGGAAGAATTATTGGTAGCGTTCGTCTCACCCCAATGCCAAAGCATACTCTCCCAAAAACAGAAATTTTCGAAACAAGTCTTAAGTCTCTCATCTTTGATCTTTATCTTCCAATGTCCATCTTTGTAATTCCCTTTCTTTGCTTGTCTCCGATCCCATTCAAGTTGCGCCTTCTGTTTCGATCTCAGAAGACAGAACTTGTGCAAGTTCTCAGGCATTGCGTCGTGCACTCTCCACCATGTTTTATGTGCTTCGTCACTTGCGAATTCCTGGAATATATCGACATTCCAGTTGCAATCATAGTCTCTGAAGCATAACCAGGGTTTGTTATAACCAAGGTAATGAAGAACGTAGAGGATAGGAGGATCAGCTCCAAATAGACTCGTCTTCATTTTCTTTATCTCAGGTTCGTCTCCTTCCCAGAAATGCTTCAAGAAATTCATGTGTTTCGGGATGCGATGCCACCATGTGAATATCTCGTTAAGGTAACCTTGGTCTCCTCCGTTGTAAGACACAACTTCATTAATGTTGTCCATTAGTAACTGGAATGTTGAATTAGATGGCTCAACCACCATTAGACCGGAGTTGAAGAGCGTAGCATTGTTTCCAGTTGCGGATATCTCAGGGAACTCGAAGAGGAAATCAATGTTTCTCAGGATAAGCATGTCTGCATCGATGAAGATGATCTTACTGTATTCAGTCAATTGCCAAAGACGGAACTTGCTGTAGTTCCATTCGTTGTATGCATTTGGTATAGCATTCGGGTTCCTGATTCTTTGAAACATGTGAATCTTCCATCCAGCAGCTACCAAGCCACTTTTATGGTAGTCGCTTATCGTCTCATCGACAAGAATGACCAGATCACGAGTAGAGCCTGACATTCGAATGCTCTGCGCAGCTGCAATGGCTCCACAGACATAAAATTGAGCAGAATGCAAGATAGTCGCATAAGCTTCTTTCTTTGCACTTGCGGAGTAGAAATTATCTGCAATTGAAATAAACATAATCAGCTTAGGATGGGAGATGCTAAACTAGCTTAGACAGAAGACGAAGAAACTTGCTACTAACCTTTAGCTTGAAGAGGAACAGAAAGTTCACATGAACCAACAGGAAGCTGTAACTTTTGTCTTAGCTGGTGTAGGTTAGGCTTATACAGCCATATGTTTCCTTGACGGGCAACAAGTTCTTGACCGGTAAAAAGATTCGGGATTGGAAAGCAATCAGATACCAAAATCACATGAACATCATGAAGCCCTTTAGAAGAAGCCGCCACTCGAGCTGCAGCAAGTTGTAAATGCAATCGAGCCACATCTCTTGACCATTTTCCTGATTTGTCACACGGAAGCTTGGCAATGACAAGATCGATACGAGGCTTGCCAGGAACTTGAATCAAAGGAAGAGAAGGGCAAGTAGGGACTTCGAATTCTTCTACCTCGTCAATCCATTCCGGGTATAAAGATTCCCATGTAATATTCTTTGCAGCATAATCAAGATGCAAAGCTACATGATCACAGTCAGATTTCATAACCTCCTTCACTCGATCAATCTCGTTATCGTTAAGATTGATAAGGCCAATTCCTTGATACTCGGTTCTACCAAATAAGTGCTTCTCAACAAGATTTGACAAATGGTTCCAGTTGATCTCAGCTGTAGCTACATAGCGAGGATCAGTAGTAACACCAAAACTAGTTGGAATTTCAGCAATTTGTAGCGGTGGATAACGAAAGCGGTAAATGGTGAACAAAGCTCCAAGCATAATACAAATCAACACAAGTTTCAGAGTATTGAACTTGACACCCTTTTCAATTCTTTGAAATCTCCTCCTACTTGACTTCTCACTACACAAAACAAAAAAAAAACGAAGGAGTGATTATATATGTAAATCCAACAGATTGATAAACAAAGATCGCTTGTAAAATACATTCCTGAATCAAAATCAAAATCGAAGATCTGATTTCGAGAAAAGTCAACCATGTGTGTGAAGCTACTAAGTAAACTAACAATATAGTACACAGTGTTCGTCAAACTCGAGAAACTAATGAAGACGAAGAAGAAGAAGACTAACTTTGAAAACGAGAGTCGATGTCTTGACTCCATGGGACTTGAGGAAGGTATCATTGTCTCCGTAAGATCAGGGTCGGTTTCGAGAACTTCATTATCGCCTCATGAACATGAGACGAGACATTTTAGGGATTTTGAAAGGAAAAAAAAATATTATAGATTTTGGACGGAGGCTCGGGACAAAACGGTGCGTATTAAATAAATGAGTGATCGAACCGAGTCTTTTGCGAAACAAACCCTTACTTATTAAGTATTTCTTATTTGAAACCTAATCTAAGTTTTCGACAATTAAACCCTTTTTCTGAACGATGTTAATTAAAACGCTATCGTTGCGGTGAAGCGAAACGCCGTTTTATGTATGTTTCTTGTCATCTACAAAACTGGGTTTAATTAATCAAAAATTAATTAGTGTTGATAAAAAGGAAACACCCAATAAAATAAGGTTTATTTGCAATAAACTCATTTCTCCGTGGAGAGTCTCGTTGCTTTCGTTTCTCGATTAAGGAAGATCTGAAAGACTGAAACGAATTCTCCAGGGCCTTCGTTGTCAAGAGTAATCGACGAGATCATTCTCACCGTAGATCTGATAGAAAAAGGTAATCGTAGAGGAATTTTGCGGTGGAACGATGGTTTTGGTTACGTCTGTGCGTGATTACATCAACCGGATGCTTCAGGATATCTCCGGCATGAAGGTTCTCATACTCGACTCCGAAACGGTACAATCCGATTCTCGTCTTCTTCGATTACTAATCTTCTCTGATTTGTATCTGGAATTGTGATTCATAATTTCTCTTGGAACATCTTCGTGATTACATGGTTTTTTGGATTAATTGTTGAATTTGCAGGTTAGCAATGTAAGCATTGTGTATTCACAGTCAGAGTTGCTTCAGAAAGAAGTTTTTCTTGTGGAGATGATAGATTCAATCTCTGTGTCAAAAGAATCGATGTCGCATCTGAAAGCTGTTTATTTCATCCGTCCAACTTCAGAGAATATTCAGAAACTACGTTACCAGCTTGCCAATCCTAGATTTGGAGAGTACCATTTATGTATGTTTTTTTCATCTTCTAACTATTTCGAGTTTATCATTGTTCACTAGTTATAGAGATTTTGATTTTGTTTTCTGATGAATCTTTCAGTTTTCTCCAATCTGTTAAAGGATACTCAGATTCATATTTTGGCTGATTCCGACGAGCATGAGGTTGTACAGCAAGTTCAGGTATTCCTCCATGATGTTTTTGAATAGGAGACTGATGCTAAAAGAATGTTTCGTAGCATATTAATGGATCGGTATAAGTATAGATTTTAAGCTGTCTCTGAGAAGTTGCTTGGTTTGTGATGAAACGGCCATACTTGTTCAGCTTAGTATTCCCCCTGCCTGTCTCAAGTTTTCTGATTTAAACCTATATTGCTGTTGTAGTACACTTGACGTAGTAGTATCTTGTTTAACACACTATTTTGGTTTCTATATCGCAGGAGTATTATGCAGACTTTGTTGCTGGTGATCCATATCATTTCACATTGAATATGGCATCAAACCACCTATATATGATCCCAGCGGTTGTCGATCCCTCTGGTTTGCAACGCTTCTCTGATCGGGTTGTTGATGGAATTGCGGCAGTGTTTCTGGCGTTGAAACGGAGACCTGTCATCAGATATCAAAGGACCTCTGATACTGCGAAAAGGATTGCACAGGAAACAGCTGTAAGTGAAGTTGTTTGACAAGCTCTCGAAATGTTATTTGTTCCTGCTATATTTTTCATGCATGTGATGGTAACTAATTCCCACTTGTGTGTAACTATTAAACATTAAACAGTCTGAAATTACCTTTATCCTGTAAGTTATTTAAAAGACACTTTTATGTTTCAGAAATTGATGTATCAGCATGAAAGCGCTCTTTTTGACTTTAGACGGACTGAAAGTTCTCCGTTGCTACTTGTAATTGACAGAAGAGATGACCCGGTTACCCCATTGCTGAATCAGTGGACATATCAGGTAACTTGACTAAATAAACTATTGTGCTACTCTATGGTATAAGATGTACCTCCAGATGTCTTGCTTTTTTGTAAGAATACGACTTACTGATTAACGAGATTTTCTGTAGGCAATGGTGCACGAACTCATAGGACTTCAAGATAATAAAGTGGACTTGAAATCCATTGGAAGTCTTCCAAAAGATCAGCAAGTGGTTAGTTTTCTCCAATGCCATATCGTTTTAGTTGAAAGCCTTACAGCTAATACGTCTCTTTTCCTGGCAGGAGGTGGTTTTATCATCAGAACAAGATGCATTTTTCAAATCTAACATGTATGAAAATTTTGGGGATATTGGAATGAACATCAAGCGAATGGTAGATGACTTCCAGCAGGTGGCCAAGAGTAACCAAAATATCCAGACAGTAGGTACAAATATGGCTAGTCTTAAAATATTTTCTGCAAAGTCTTTTATAATAACAGTTTCTGGTGTTAGTGACAATTATAATCTGTGAATTCGTTGGTTTTACAGAGGATATGGCCAGATTTGTTGACAACTACCCTGAGTACAAAAAGATGCAAGGCAACGTTTCAAAGCATGTAACTCTGGTTACTGAAATGAGCAAGCTAGTTGAAGCAAGGAAACTGATGCTGGTTTCACAAACAGAGCAGGACTTGGCTTGCAATGGTGGCCAAGGAGCTGCATATGAGGTAGGGAATATTTGTGGTGAATATTCACTTGTAGTTGCATATATTAAAAATAGCTATACAGAGAAGTAGCAAGCAACCTGAAGAAGGTCATACTGAATAATTCGTCATTCAGTACCTGTCACATCTTGCACTGGAGTCCCATACAAATGTATCCAGTGAGATGCAGAATCCTAATCAATAAAAGATCATCATAGCTAAATATGCAACGTTGTGCAGACTCTGCTGTAAGCACAGAGCTCTGACTCTCTTTTCATGCTTTTCTGCAGGCAGTTACGGATCTCTTAAATAATGAAAGTGTGTCTGACATCGACCGGCTGCGTTTGGTAATGCTTTATGCTTTGCGCTATGAGAAAGAAAACCCCGTTCAGTTGATGCAACTGTTCAACAAATTGGCTTCACGGTCTCCCAAGTACAAACCAGGGGTATAGTCAGACTATATCATATGTTTCCTTTCAGTTTAAACTGCATCTCTTTCCTGTGGCTTTATTCTTCTGCATCTCCTTTAAGGTGGATTATGATCTGTCATTCTGCTACTACTATACTTGTTAACCTATTTGGAATTCCGTCCTTGGTGGTTTTACTTCTTTCTTTTTTTCTGAATAACTTGATAAAAGTATTCTCTAATCATGTTCGTATCATAACTTTCTGGATTCCATGCAACTGCAGCTAGTTCAGTTTCTCTTGAAACAAGCCGGTGTGGAGAAGCGGACTGGTGATCTATTTGGAAACAGAGATCTGTTGAATATAGCACGAAACATGGCTCGTGGACTTAAGGTCTGTATCTGAGATTACACCTCTCCAGGAACATTCTGTATCTCCCTATATATACGTCATGTTACTGACTTTTTGAAAAATACAGGGGGTTGAGAATGTGTACACTCAACATCAGCCTCTTCTGTTTCAAACAATGGAGAGCATAACCAGAGGGAGATTACGAGATGTGGACTACCCATTTGTTGGAGATCATTTTCAACAGGGACGGTATGTGCCTCTAATTTTTTCAATTTCTTAAAACTGGTCATTTGTTTGATAGTTACGGAGTTCTGCCACACTTAAAACTTACTTTTAACTAATCAAAAACTGCATAATTTCTGGATAAGCAGGCCACAAGAGGTGGTTATTTTTATGGTTGGTGGAACAACATATGAGGAATCACGCTCTGTTGCTCTACAGAATGCCACCAACTCCGGGATTCGGTTTATACTCGGCGGCACTGCAGTACTTAATTCTAAGAGGTACGTTCAAGTAAAAATTCTACTAAACCGGGTAATGCTGAGGTTGAGACAGGTTTGTTTTGTGTGCAAATGAGCTTTGATTGGTTTGAGTTCTAGGTCGAAACATCACTGATCAATTAACTATCAACATTGGTTAAGTTAAGTCATAGAAGGCCCAAACCGAAATTGGTGTTTGAATGAATTATTTACTAGGAATCCATTTGGTTTCCAAAAGTTTATAAAAAAAGTGTATCTTAAGAGAAAGAAATGTAAGCTGGAAAGTAAATTTGATTGTGCAGATTTCTAAAGGACTTGGAAGAAGCACAAAGAATATCAAGATCAGGTAGCCATATGGTGTGAAGAAGATCCAAAAGAGTATTGTGTAAGTGTAAATTATTAAGTCTTAAGATTCTTCCGTATGAAATGGAGAGCATAGAAGAAAGAACCAAATCATCATTTTGGAGAGACAAATGAAAGAAAGAAGGAAGATTTTGTGGTCAGGTTCATCGAATCTTTCGAATACATGATGATTACCCCCACTAGAGAGTTCTAATTTTTGGGGTTTGTGTGTGTATTCATCGTGGTACAGTTTAATTGGACCGTTCCTTCGTACACAATTATGGCTAATCAAGAAATGTATAACTTGAGGAAATTTTACTCCTCTATATAAATTGCACAAAACAGATTAATAATCATCTTTTTGCAAAATTTAGATAAAAGCCAGAGAGATTTCATAAATATTTGTGGAAATATTTCATGAATAAAAAATCTCTTTTATAATACTGTAATGAATAAAATCTGACACTGACGTCAATCAAAGTAGTACCGATTTGGAAAATTGAATAAGAAAAGACAAAGAGCTATTTTGAGTATATGATGGAGTATCTCTGTAGCTCGGCTGGCTGCTACTGATGCCGTTGGATTTCTCAACTGTCGTAATATGATGTGAAAGCGAAGCTGACACATCTCTCTGCCTCTTCTCTGGAAGCATTCTTACTTCTGGTCCTTTCACACTTCCCCAATTTCACAGAAACCCCCTTTTAAAACCATATATTTACAATACATTCCAAACATTTCCTTAGCTTTACTTTTACATCCAAATTTCATATTGTTAACAAAACGATTACGTGTATTTAATCCCTATCAAGTTGGATTTTGAGGGATTTAAATTTTGAAGTCAACTAACACGGTCTTATTCTCGAGAAATATTCTTCTTGTCGTAACTTTTGCTCATGGTTTTATTAAAATGTCACATCAGTAATAAAAACAGTTAAAGAATTGAGGAGCTCGAGACGATTTCTTCACATACTTCTCTTTCTTTCTGCTTAGCTCTTAAGCAGTCTCTGACTGTCCATTTCATATCAAATTTTATACTAGTATTGATTATTCTAGATCCTTCTCTGATTCTTCGATCCCTTCATTTTAATTTTTTTCTCCTCTCTTTAATTATTATTCAATTCAATGACGTATTTAATTTTTTAGGTTAACTAGATAATGCATTACTTCTTAGTTAATTAGTTATCTGACTTTTTGAGTTTTGATTACTGTGTGCTTAGCCGAAGTTTCTAGCAAACTCCCACGGATTTAAACTCGAAAGAATAAAGCGTGACGAAATAGATAAGACAAAACAAACAAACAAAAAGAGAGATTACTTATCAAAGTACATATGGTTGAAAGGGATGGTTTGGTTATTAATTAATTGCAGTTTTAACTTTAGATATTTTATCTGAGGTCTTATACACCTCATCGTTCTTATCATATGATTCTGATTTTTAGATATATCGAAAACACCGACCAATTGGTTACATTTTCAACAATTAATGCAATATGCATTTCATGCTACAAGGAAAATTTATCATCCGAGCTTTCATGAAAAGTCCCTGCTGCATTTCTTTTGATTTGATTTATCTGAAAGGAAAGTCTAACTAAAATAATCCAAACAGAATTATTATTTTTCTAAAAGTAAATGTTATATATATATATATATATATATATATATTTTATTTTTCATGAATACATGATTATAATAAATTGTATCAAATTAACTTTGGTATAATATTATGAACTAATCAAAATTATAACAAGAAGAATAACGTCATTCAATTTTTAAAACAGATAACAAACTATTTCAGAAAATCTCTATTCACCTAAAATGATTTCGACTATTCTATCATTTCATTTTCATAAACCACATGTTGTGTGAGCAAAAAAGAGACTCAAAAGAGTAAAAGTAAAAAAGAGATTCAAGAAAGACATTTTCTTTATTGATTTTGAGATAAAACTTCACAATTACAAATTTTTTTATAGCAATAATCAAGTCTAGGGTTCTCGGAGAGCTCAAAATCAAATTCTTTTATCGGCTGTCGAACTTTCTATATATATGAGAAGGATAGACGGTTTTGAGATATATTCAACTTCTTTATTTTACGAATGAGGATATATATTATTTCCCCTTTTCTCGATTATTTAATCTTTATATGTGAGTTAAATCTTTTATTTTTTTCATTTAGATCAGTGTCACGCTCTCGGACTTTCGGCTCGTAGGCCGATCTCGCGGTTGTCTTAGTTGGTTCAGTGTATTCTTAGTTTAACTAGGTTAATCGGAGGGTGCTAAACCATTGTTCTGTACACATGTTAATTAGACTCTCTTATGTTTTGTTTTAAGAAATGTTGATCGCAATATTCAGCACTATAATTCATGTAAACCTTCAACTAAAAAGAACCATGGCCCATAGGAGATAAATTAAATTATTCGACTAGGTCAACCGTTTCAAAGAAGGTAGTCCTCGTATCAAGAATATTATCCAACATTTTCAATAGAACCTTAAACCAAAAGAGCTTTAGGTACTAAAATGGACATTATTTTTTCTAACTAAAATGGACATTTGCATCACGACAAAAACATATATATTATATATCCATCGGCTATTGATACAAGTAGAAGATGCAGTCCTCAAGAATACTATCCAACATTTTCAATAGAACCTTAAACCAAAAGAGCTTTAGGTACTACAATGGACATTATTTTTTCCAACTAAAATGGACATTTGCATCACGACAAAAACATATATATCCATCGGCTGTTGATACAAGTAGAAGATGCAATATAGATAGCATCAGAAAAAAACCTGACAACAAGCCCCACATTTTTTTTTGGCAATTCAAAAATTTCAAGAACACCACCCAAAAAGGAATAATCCAACAAACAAAAAACAACTCCGATGTTTTAAATTTTTTAAAATTGACAAAACAACAAGAAAAAACGTTGCTTATTCCTCTCAGAAAATAGGAAAACAACACTTTGTTTTCGGACCACCACCACTCACTGTCCAACTCCTAGCTTGACCTTTTCCTTCACCACCATCATGATCAAACACAGACCAAGACCAAGACCCTTTCTTGCAACCAGAGACTCTTCGACGATTCTCAGGTAGCCACTTGGACTGCATGTATCTTGAAGTCCTCCATGGTGGTCTAGACATTCCTTCTATCTCCATCGACTTTTTCATCTCACCACAAACCAACGAAACAACTCTTCTCAGTCTCCCCTCTGTCGCCACAAACACTGTCGGAAGCATCTCAGTCATGTCTTTGTAAGCTTGTGTCTGTTTCGCTAGCTCAAACTGAGATTTGAAGTCAAGATCAATTATCACACGTTTCAGCTTGCTCACGCCATCACCGTCGCGACCACCCTTGACCATGACGTCAATGTACTCGTACTTCCTAGAGCACCTAAACACTCTACACCCTGTAACAACATTTTCACAAACAAAACCCCTCAAATAATTAACTTATCATCACAAAACCCAAAAAAATGAGGAAGTAGAGACTTTGTCACTGTTTTCTAATTTCTAATAGTAAAGGAAAAAGTCTTCAACTTTTACAAAGGTTGTTTTATATGGATATTTCTAGATATTCATATATATATATATAGTATCTCTCTTTGCAAGTGTGTTAAACTATTATTTACCTTCACGATGATCAAACGAAGAGTCCCATGAAGTTTTGGCAAGAGAAGCATCGTAGCCGTCAGATCTGAGTTTAGAGACAATCTTGTTCATCACATCTCTCTTCTCATCGTCTCCTTCATATGACAACCTTCCTCTCTTCATAAACGACTTAATCTTCTCTTCCATCTCTTTCTCTTCTTCACCTTTTTTCCTTAGAATCTCCTGTAAAAATATTTCTAGGTTTAATTTTTTTTATCAAGAAAAAAGAAGAGAAAATGCATTTGGTGAAAAGAGACCTCAAGAGTGATAAGAACCGTTGGAGAAGTCTCAAGATGATCGGAGACAGTGATCGGAGATGATTCAATATAATCAAGCACAAGCTTCTCTAGATCTTCTTCTCCCAAACTTCCCATCTCAAATATTCTCTCACCTGTCTCTTCCTATTCTTCTAGGTTTTTTTCTTTTTTTGAGAAAAAGTTGAGACTTGAGAGAGCAAGAATGCTTTTTAGTTGAGTCTCTATATGTATATGAGTGACGTGTGTCATAATCCTATCCATTTTATTTGCATTATTAAATGAACTGTTTAATATTCGTTCGCTAATGTTTGTTGTATATATAGCTTTATACTATGTTTTTAATAACGTGAGTTGAGTCCTGACTTTTCTTTTCTTTTCCCCTTTTCGTCGAAATACAAAACAACTTTGCGTTTGATGTCATACGCGACGGTGGAAAAGTCGTTTCATGTCATTTTCCACTTGTCGTATACTCGTAAATTCCACTTAGTCGATGCTTGAAATAATAATTATATACGTTGATATGTTAGATAAAACTTCAGTTCTGAAGATAATTTTGGTAAGTCTTGATTTTTATTTAATATTTTTGACATTTTAGTTTCTTTTAGAATGTGATATCTAAGTAATAAAGTAAAAGATCATTGTTAAGTAATTTCACTGTTTCTAATCACACAAAAAATAGTGAAATAATTGATTACGAGTCTGTCTGTCTGTGTACAAAGATATTCATATTATTTAACGAAATTAAAATTAATATTATTTTTCCTTGATTTGGACCGATCCCTCTATCTTTGGTAAATCACAATGTCAACAGAAAACCCAAATTCAAAACCCTCACGAGACTAATGTTTCTTCAATACTTTATCTGTGTCTATTGAATTATCGATCAAAGTAGATATGCACGTCATAGCATATAATACATAATGATGATTAAAATGGGCTTACCATCGATCAAACTCATTGTCACATATTTGGAAGCAAGATTATCTCGTAATCAATTTTGTCCGTTCAAACTCATTGATGGCTAATCCATATATATTATACTAACTTCTTATAGATTTGTCTTATGCGAAGATGCCACACGCATGTGTATATATATATTGATATACATACTGATCAAGATGATAAAATATTATCATGACGATTGAATCTCTAAGATAATTATAATAATCCCACCCAGTGACGGTAGCTAATAATCCAATGATTTAGAACATTTTGATTTGGATGCAATCTAGCTAGTCACCTGAAATTTAAAAAATGTTAACTAGACTCTCTTATGTTTTTTTTTTTTTTGGTCAACTGACTCTCTTATGTTTTGTTTTAAAAAATGTTGATCGAAATATTCAGCACTATAATTCATGTAAACCTTCAACTAAAAAGAACCATGGCCCATAGGAGATAGATTAAACACTCAAAATGGATAAAAAGAAATTATTTGACTAGTTAAACCGTTTCAAGGGAAAGTATCAAGAATACTATCCAAACATTTTCAATAGAACCTTAAACCAAAAGAGCTTTATATACTAAAATGGACATTATTTTTTCTTACTAAAATGGGCATTTGCATCACGACAAAAACATATATATTATATATCCATCGGCTGTTGATACAAGTAGAAGATGCAATATAGATAGCATCAGAAAAAACCCTGACAACAAGCCCCACATTTTTTTTTGGCAATTCAAAAATTTCAAGAACACCACCCAAAAAGGAATAATCCAACAAACAAAAAACAACTCCGATGTTTTAAATTTTTTTAAAATTGACAAAACAACAAGAAAAAACGTTGCTTATTCCTCTCAGAAAATAGGAAAACAACACTTAGTTTTCGGACCACCACCACTCACTGTCCAACTCCTAGCTTGACGTTTTCCTTCACCACCATCATCAAACACAGACCAAGACCCTTTCTTGCAACCAGATACTCTTCGACGATTCTCAGGTAGCCACTTGGACAGCATGTATCTTGAACTCCTCCAAGGTGGTCTAGACATTCCTTCTTTCTCCATCGACTTTTTCATCTCACCACAAACCAACGAAACAACTCTTCTCAGTCTCCACTCTGTCGCCACGAACACTTTCGGAAGCATCTCAGTCATGTCTTTGTAAGCTTGTGTCTGTTTCGCTAGCTCAAACTGAGATTTGAAGTCAAGATCAATTATCAAATTCAGCTTGCTCACGCCATCACCGTCGCGACCACCCTTGACCATGACGTCAATGTACTCGTACTTCCTCGAGCACCTAAACACTCTACACCCTGTAACAACATTTTCAAAAACAAAACCCCTCAAATTAAATAATTAACTTATCATCACAAAACCCAAAAAGTGAGGAAGTAGAGACTTTGTCACTGTTTTCTAATTTCTTATAGTAAAGGAAAAAGACTAAAAGTCTTCAACTTTACAAAGGTTGTTTTATATGGATATTTCTAGATATTCATATATATATATATATATATATATATATATATATAGTATCTTTCTTTGCAAGTGTGTTAGATTATTATTTACCTTCACTATGATCAATAGAAGAGTTCCATGAGGTTTGGGAAAGAGAAGCATCGTAGCCGTCAGATCTGAGTTTAGAGACAATTTTGTTCATCACATCTCTCTTCTCATCGTCTCCTTCATATGACAACCTTCCTCTCTTCATAAACGACTTAATCTTCTCTTCCATCTCCTTCTCTTCTTCTCCTTTCTTCCTAAGAATCTCCTGTAAAAATATTTCTAGGTTTAATTTTTTTTATCAAGAAAAAAAGAAGAGAAAAATGCATTTGGTGAAAAGAGACCTCAAGAGTGATAAGAACCGTTGGAGAAGTCTCAAGATGATCGGAGATAGTGGTCGGAGATGATTCAATATACTCGAGCACAAGCTTCTCTAGATCTTCTTCTCCCAAACTTCCCATCGCAAATATTCTCTCACCTGTCTCTTCCTATTCTTCTAGGTTTTTTTTTATAGAAAAAGTTGTGAGGGCAAGAATGATTTTTAGTTGAGAGTCTCTTTATGAATATAAGTGAGTGACGTGTGTCATAATCTTATCCATTTAATTTGCGTTATTAAATGAACTGTTTAATATTCGTTCTCTAATGTTTGTTGTATATAGTAGCTTTATTTGTTTTTAATAACGTGAGTTGAGTGGTGACTTTTCTTTTCTTTTCTTTTCCCCTTTTCGTCGAAATACAAACAACTTTGCGTTTGATGTCATACGCGACGGTAGAAAAAGTCGTTTCATGTCATTTTCCACTTGTCGTATTTTCCACATAGTCGATGTTTGAGATAATTATATACGTGGATATTTAGAGAAATCTTCAATCTGAAAGATAATTTTTATTTAATATTTTTAATTTGTTTTTAGAATGTTATATCTAAGTACAAATAAAGTGAAAGATCATTCTAATTACACAAAAAATAGTTGTTGTTTTTTTCCTGGAATAATTGATTATGAGTCTATATACAAGATATTCGTATTCATGTCCTTCTTTCCTTATCAACTCTGTAAACAAGGATATTGATTATGGCTATTAATAAAGTCTTTCAAAGGAAAAAAAGAAAGAAAAGATATTCATATATTTTTTTTTTTTTGCTAAGAAGATATTCATATTACTCAACGAAATTAAAATTAATATTATTTTTCCTTGATTTGGACCGATCCCTCTATCTTTGGTGGGGGTAAATCACAAATGTCAACAAACCCAAATGCAAAAACCTCACGAGACTAATGTTTCTTCAATACTTTATCTGTGTCTATTGAATTATCGATCAAAGTAGATATGCACGTCATAGCATATAATATATAACGTTGATTAAAATGGGCTTACCATCGATCAAATTCATTGTCACATATTTGGAAGCAAGATTATCTCGTAATCAATTTTGTCCGTTCAAATTCATTGACGGCTAATCCATATTATACTAACTTTTCATATATTTGTCTTATGCGAAGATGCCACACGCATTTGTATATATATACTGATGATATACATACTGATCAAGATGAAAAAATATTATCATGACGATTGAATCTCCAAGATAATTATAATAATCCCAGTGACGGTAGCTAATAATCCAATGATTTAGAACATTTTGATTTGGATGCAATCTAGTCACCTGAAATTTAAAATTTACATATGGGGCTATAATAACTCGTAAAATAGTAAATTAGAAGCCTTGTTGTTTAAACTTGCAATTAGGGAAATTAAAACGGGCTAAAAGCGTGTGGACCTTATCTTCTTTGTTTGCATATTTTTTGCTTTGAAAATTGAGTCTACCTCGTTGTTTTCCTAAATGAAATCCGTAAACCGGAAATTGAACAGATTAAACCGGATGCTTTCAATTAGTTGAAATTGAGTTTTAAACCCCTCTGACATGATCTTGATGTCGGAAATGACTAGAAAATTTTCCCAAATTCGTTATTTGAGCCTTAATTTACTAAAAGTAAAACTGACATGTTATGAATCATCTAATTCATTAGCTTACTTTGTTTGCTTTTATAGATGTGGTTATCTCTGCAGGTGCTGTTTCTCAGTGAGTGAATCAAAAAAATAAGGATTAAGGATCTAATTAGAAAAATTATATCTTGATCTTCTTTGTTATGATGTTACATTTTTCGAACATGAAGAGAAACAAGTATCAAAATCATGGATTTTCAAAATGTCGTTGAAGCATAGCTATAGGCAGGAATCTTAGCAACCTTCTTCTCCTTCATCATCTTCCTAACTTTCTCAACATCTTTCCACATCCCTCTTAGTGCATACACATTAGCCAAGACCACATAAACACCATCGTTCCATGGCTCTAGCTCAACCATGTATGGAGCCACCCACTCAGCCATCTCAACATCCCCAAACTTCTCACACCCACCCATTAAACAACCCCAAACCATCACGTTAGGCTTCATCGGCATCTCTTCCACAACTTTCTTGGCCTCCTTAAGCTGCCCATCCCGGCTCAGAAGATCAACTATGCATCCGTAATGTGATAATCCCGGTTCTAGATCGAACTCTGACTTCATCATCGCGAAATACGCTTTCCCTTCCTCCACAAGACCTCCATGGACGCAAGCACTAAGGACTCCAACGAACGTGATCTTGTTTGGTCTGACACCGAATTCTCTCATCTGACGGAAGCATTCCAAGGCTTCTAATGTATTCCCGTTAGCTGCGTAACCTGTGATCATTGAACTCCATGAGACAACGTTTCTCTGTGACATCTCCTCAAACACTTGAATCGCGAAATCCATACGCCCGCATTTTCCATACATGTCGATGAGCGAATTCATCATCATGATATCAGACTTCTCTTCAGTCTTAGCTTGTAGAACGCATTTATGCAACTGAAAAGCTAAGCTCAAGTCACCTAATCCCCCACAAGCTGAAGTCACACTCACCATAGTGAAATCATCCGGCTCAAATCCACTCCTTCTCATCTCCATAAACATTTCCACCGCCTCGTTAGCTCGACCCGCGTGATTCAACCCTCCGATAATAGCGTTCCAAGACCCCAACTTTCTCTCAGGATTTTCATCGAACACTTTACGTGCATTCTCAAATTCCCCTGCTTTACAATACAATGTAATGAACCCACTCTCGCAAAACTCATCTCCGACGAACCCTAACCTCACGGCGACGGAATGAAACTGCTTTCCCAACTGAAAATCATGAATCTGAACGGCGGCTTTGATTACGATCGGAAGAGTATATCGGTCAGGCAAAACATTTGATCTCACCATACCGAGATACACTTGAACTGAATCGAGAGGAGATTCATGGCGAATGTAAGATCGCATGATGTTGTTCCATAAGAAAGCGATTGGATATTGATCGAGGATGCGTGAACGGAAGATATCACCATGGATACGACGGACACGAGCTAGGCTGGTACAATTTGATAACAGAGTAGCTAAGAGCTTGTTTCGATCTTGAGGCGAAAGAGACGTAATTGACGAAGATGATGAGATAGTCACGAAATGATTCAAACGGTGAAAGATCGTCAAGTGATTTGTCCTTTTAGTACCATGAAGCTTGGAGATGAGACCAGAGAAGAACATGTGGGTCTTTTGGTTCTTGTCCTGATCCAAAATAATAGCAACAACTCGTAAAACTTTAAAGTTCTTAAAGTACACAAATTTATAACATTGAAAAAGAAATTAAAATAAGGCTCAAAAGATGTGATATTATGAAGTTGAAAGATTGTACTCGACTAGTTCAGAGACTCACAACAACATAAATACTGATAATCAAAAGCAAACTGTTTCAACAGATCCAAAATAACAAGTTCTATATTGAAATCAAAGATCAGTTACTGAGCTTTTTCATTGTCTTGAGTTCTTGACTTTTAACGCCTACTGCGTTCGAAATTGATCTTTGTTCGACCAGAACCGCCGTCGTCATCCCTTGAAGAGCTACCGCCGCCTCCACTTGCTCTCATAGTTCCTCCAGACCCGATTTTGTCCAATGGTTTCTTACCTTTCTTCAAATCAGAAACCCACCTGTCAAGACCAAAAGGATCTTGTTCCTCTTCCTTCTCAAACTCAACAGGTCGTTCTCTCTTACTACCCGCCCTCTCGGAAGCCCCTGTGAAAGCTTTGTCAGGTTTAAACCTCTCAGTGTTCTTGATCTTATCGAGCTGCTCATCTGCGTTTCCATACATTTCTTCATCGTTATCCTTCTTTGGCTTGTACAGCGTTGAAAGAGTGGGTTGTGCAGTGAACAAGCCTTTGTCATATACATTGTATTGGTCATCAGTAGCGAACCCAGAGTCCATTCCTTTCTCCTGGTTAAACAGCCTTTGATCATACATAACTTCACCACCTTTTCCTCCAGTAGATGCCATTCCAAGAGCAACTTTCTCACTGATATCACGGTCTCTGTCTCTAGTGATCTTGCTCTTCTTCCCCATGGCAGCATCTTTAGCTTCCAACCTTCTCTCCCTCTCTCTTTCCCTGCGACGCTCTTCTCGGATATTCTCTCTCTGAATCCGTGCTTCCCTTTCCTCCCTACTCTCTTTTGGCTCTTCCCTTTCTCTTTCCCTTGCTCTCTCCTGGTCATAGTTGTCATAATCACCTCTTGGGTCAACACTTTCACTCCTACCCCTGTCAGATGAGACAGGCATACTCACAGCAGCACCAGTTCTTTCGGAGCGAGCTTTTTGGGCAAGAGCCCTCAATTCCTGCTCTTTCCTTTCCTTATCCTTCATCACCATCTCTTTTTGCACCTTGGAACGCATTGAAACAGCCTCTCTAGCTTTCTGCTCAGCTACATAGAGGGCCTCTGATAACTTGGCAAAGTTATCATTGATCTGAACGTCTTGTAGGCCTCTTCCATCAGCAGCTAGACGTTTATCAAGAGGGATTGTGTAACCTTTCGGATTCTTCCAATTGGAGATACAAGGAGGGATTTTCCAGTCTTGCTGGTCCTTGACAGTAACAGGCCTGGGCGGTGAATGCATGACCGGAACAGGCGGAGAACCAGAAGCCTTGGGGACTCTCTTGTGCTTGAACTTTGGTGGATCGAGTGGATCTACAGGCATCTCCACCATCCTAATGATCCTCTCTTTAGCACCGGAATTGAAGGCGGAAGATTGCTGGGATGGCTTATATTTAATGTACTGTGAGTCGCCGGATTGCCTTGCTATATTACTAGGCTGCGCTGCACTCAGTCTCACATTCACAATCTTCTCAATGGCAGCTTTGGTTTCTTCAGCAGTCTCCTGGATCTGCTTCTGCAATTCCTCCTCTTCATCAACCACCGCATCCAAGTCTCCCTCGTTTTTCAGTATCTTAGGAATAATATCCTTATGCTGAGAGTAAACAATCTTCTTAGAGTTCTCATTCTGCCTGACAATAGCGTCAAAGACCACGTTTCCCTGAGCATCGACAGTAACAGGGAGAGTCTTAGCTCCAGGCTTATTGGATTTATTCCTACCCATCCCAAGAGGATACTGAGGAAGATGAATCTCCGGGAAAGCACCACCATCTCCAAAATCCTCGGGATTCTTGGGACGTAAACCTTGACGATTCAGGTAAACAGGCACGGCTTTAAATTTGATACTGGATGATTTTACAGTCTCGGATTCAGTGACACGGTTTTTGAACCATGGATCATTAGAATGATCATAAAACGTGGTAGTGGTTGATTTGGGCGCTGGGAGATCATTAAGAGACTTCATACTCTAAATCAAGAATTTCAGCAATCGCAACCTGCAAACAAGAACAAGAACAATAACAAAAACCATCAGAACATACCTAGTCCGTAATTACAACTACAAGCTTCTGATAGTAAACTCAGAGATCCTCCGAAATTAGGGTTTCTAGCGATAAACTCGACGCAACCATTCTAGATCCCCAATTATAATCTGAAAAATCTGGGTTGAATTCACTACAATAGAACGGAAACAAGTAGGGTTTAGGAATCGCTCAACAGAAACCTAAATAATAAAAAAAACAGCAGAAAACGAAAACAAGAGGAGGAGAGCAAAAAGCAGAATTGAATCTGAGAAATCGAAGAAGCTAACCTCGGAGGAGACTAATCGACGGGAAGAGGGATTCTGAGAAAGGTGAAACGATGTGCGACGCGGCGCAGAGCGATGGAGAACAACCAACGGAGGTTAAGCTTCTTTCTGAGGAAAGAAAGAAATCAGGCGTGAAGCCTTTCTAGGGTTGATAGGGAAAAAAAAAAAAAAAAAAGGAACCAATTGTTTTATACGCAGTGTGTCTTAATAAGTCGGTCATAAAAAGACAATAAAACATAAAAAAGAATATCGTCGCCTGAGAGATTCGAACTCTCGCGGGCAGAGCCCATGTACTTAGCAGGCACACGCCTTAACCACTCGGCCAAAGCGACTTATTGTTTTGTAAAAGACCAATATTATATGTATATGACTATAGTGGTTGGCTTTTTGATAAATGATTCTGTGCATCGCATAATATCTTGCATTGTCTTTAGACTTCTGTTTTTCTTAATGAAAATCCGTCTCAAACACATAAACATATTTTTGTTACAAATATTGAATTCAAGTAAAAAAAAGCACTATAAGAATTTGGTGTTGATATAGCTCAACTGGCGTACTATTTAACCACTTGGAAGGGGGAGGTCGAAAAGTTCGGAATTCAAGCACCGGCGATGGAAAAAACACTAGTTACTAGTTAGGCTTTGGTTCGTCTACAAAAAAATTATGGGCTATATATAGGCTATCAGAACTTAAAGCAAGTGTAAGCTTCATATCAACAAACTTTCTTCTCTTTTTTTTTTTTTTTTTTTTCTTTTTGAACAATATAAGATTGCTGGCTTTTGTTTGATATTAAATGAATCAATTTATGTTTTCTTCTAATCAACAACCAATTTGTTTGATATAGGGTAGTAAACAAACAAAAATGATATGAATGAACTACCTAGGCGATGTAAATAACGTCTATGGGAGACTTAAATGTAGGGTGAGAAAGATTTTTAAACATATACGTGGGATAATGGGATCAGATTGATGGTTTTGCTTTTATGGAAACAACGGCATGGTAGTTTCCAGTTTTGTTGGACAACTTGGCGTGGTTGTATTCGGCTTATCTTATCGACAAATTAAGGTCTTTGCATTACACAACTCAAAATTACTCGGAGTATACTTGAGTTTCATATGCATACAATTTTCATTACTTTCTGATTTATACATAGTAATTCATATATGTTTAACCCAAAAAAAAAACATACATTACAATATATGCTAATTAAGATCAAGTGAATCAGCTTATATTTGAGAAAGGAAAAAACAAATAAAGACCGTGCTCGTGGGTGGAACCTCCGTTGACCGCGGATCCCAATAGAATGGCCTTTTCCTACGGAATAGTTAAATGCATTAGACCATCTGCATTGGGGGATCACCCCCCTGATCTAAGCATTATTTAAATCCAAAAAAATGGGTTAATGGGCTTAAGATCAGGAACTGGGCTCTTGATCTGGATCTGTTCTTGTGGGTGTTGCGGGGTGACGTGGCATTTGGGCATTGGTTGGAATATTCAACATATTTGGAATAAATTTGGATAATAAACTATGTATTAATTAGATAAAATGTTTTTGTGCTTTTATTAAGTAATATGTTTGTTTGTTTATTGTTATTTATATTTTTAATGTTTTTTTCATAAATATTTAGTATTGTATTTTCACTTTTATTTTCAGTTTTTCATAAATTTGGCATTTGCAATTTATATGTTATTTTTAAATGTTTTAATAATTGTAAAATCTTAATTTAATTTAGATTATTATATTATTAAGTCTTAAGATCTTACACATGTTCTCCCACTAATCAACTTCTAAACAAAAGATCTAAACACATGATCTTACATTATTTTAACATTATATTCTCTATAAGAACACCCTCACATGATCCCCCATTGATGATGCCCTTAGTACTAATTAACGTAACAATTAATATTAGTTCAAATCAATGTACGATGATTATAATAAATGGGTTAGTTTAATCACCTTATGAGGCCGGTGTTGATTGATGTTTTCGTCGAGAAGACTCACGCAATACTTAGTTGATTTTTTAAAAATTAGATAGGTATTAATTTCCCCATCGTAGGATTGCGTATGAAAAAATGATTTGTTCAAACATAAAATAAAGTTCGTTTTAAAAAGATTAAAATGAATAAAGAAGGTTTTAAATCTACATCGTTGGATTTGCATATGAGTTAGTGCATGTACATGTTAAATTAAGGGTCAAGTCATTAATTATGTCTGACTAATGCAAAAAAGTCAAACAAGAGTAAATGATAAAGAATGCTTAACCTGAAAATTCGTTTTGGTTAAACGATACTCCCTCCGTTTCACAAAGAGTGTCGTTTTAAGGTTTTATTTTTGTTTCACAAAGAGTGTCGTTTTAGGTTTTCAATGCAAAATTTAATGATTTTTTTTATATTTTATGACTATTAGTATTCTGCAGATTGTTTTACTATTGGGCAGATTGTGTTTAAGTATATAGGTAATGATGTTTTTGTTTAGAAAAAACAAAAAATTTAATGTTTTCTTAATATGTGTGCAAAACTCTAAAACGACACTCTTTGTGAAACAGAGGGAGTAATATTTTACTTCTATAGTATACAGATTGTTTTTTGAGCATATACTTTTTCAGTAGGGAAATAAAATGAATTTTTTTTTCTCATCAAATGAATATTTTCTAAACACTGCATTGTACTTGTAAAGTTGTAATTCTCATTCATTGTAAACGATAATTCAAACTGAAAAAGTTTGTTATATGAAGCTAACAAGGAAAATTTGTGAATTAGATACAGCGGGTGATAATAAATACCAAGTTGAAAAGATACCATATATGCCAACTAACAAACCATCTGAGATTATATTTTTATCTCCAGCCACTTTGATATAAAATTCTCAAATGTTCACCTAAAGTATAAGCTCATTAGCAAAATACAAACAAAAAATAGTTATCGTCCAATCACAGGCGTGTTCGTACAATATACCTAGAAGATCCGATCATAATAAAAACAATTAAGTATTATATGGTACTATCAGGTTTAATCGAGTATATTAAACTCTGTTGTGAATCCAATAATTAAATAAACTTCAGAGATTTGGAGGCTAAATTAAACAAGAGAGATTTTTTTAAAAAATAAAATAAAATAAAACTAAGGAAAAAGGGGGCCAAAATTGGAAGACTCAAAAGGTTCACCCATCGAAATGCCATTTTCGTCGCTGTGGTAATAAAAGCTATAACAGTTATTAAATAACCAAGGCGAACTAGGTGGATACGCCGAGTCAACGTACACGAACTCGCTCCATGACTCATCGTAACTCGTCTCTAGACTCGGTAACTCCACTATCTCACTTAGTTCTTCCGCCGTCGACGCAGCTTCTTCGCTTGATGGTGACATTGATGATGATGTAGACGTTGAATAGCTCGAGGAAGACAAATGCGTCTCAGCTGGGACGACGACGGTGGTCGGATCAGATACGACTGTGGAGGAAGAGGAGAAATCCATGGCGGCAGCAACGGCGGCTGCGGCTTGAACGTCGCGTGGAGAGGAGGAAGCTGGACGGGGAAGGTAAGTGGCGAGCTCCGGGAAGTTTAGGACGGCGGAAGTTCCTTTAATGGTGAGAGCAGCTGCGTCATGTGCACGCGCCGCCATCTCCGGTGTGGAGAAAGTACCGAGCCAGATTCGGCTTTTCTTGCGGGGCTCTCGGATCTCGGAGACCCATTTGCCCCACGTTCGCATCCGGACGCCTCGGTAACCCGGGTCGGGTCTAACACGTTTCTTGTTGTTGGTTCGATGGGACGACTCTTCTTGATGATGTTGATGATCAACCTCCTCCTCCTCCTCCGGCACCGGAGACGACTGTTTGACGGAGGTGATGGATGACTCGGTCATTGACACGTGAGTTTGACTCAGTGAGTGTGAAGAGAGTGCGTACGTAGGGTTTATATAAAGACTAGAGAGAGAGAGAAAGAGAGTTGAAGTATTGAAGTGAAATGTTGAAGTTAGTTAGAAAAGGACAGTCGATCGCTTACTTATGATGACAGGTGTGTACACATTATAAATTCACACATCATTATTATTTGAAAATGACCCATTTTTTGTTTTCTTTTATTTAATGTTGATATTTGCATTATGCTTATTTATCTTTTCGTGATAACCTATGCATGGTCCATGGATGAACCTGATCAATTCAATGGGGTAATAATATTCCCATTCGGAATTGACTAGGAACTTTATTTTTGTTTTGTTAAAATTGACTAAGAACTTATGCAATAGAAAAGGGAAAATGGGCAGAAAAAAACCCACAAATATGCTTTAATGTCCATGAGCTTGATTACTTCTAATTTTCAATGGGCTAGTGTAGTATTCCATTAGGTATTGACTAAGAAACTTATGCAATAAAAAGGGAGAATGGGCAGAAAAAACCCCACAAATATGCTTTAATGTCCATGAGCTTGATTACTTCTAATTTTCAATGGGCTAGTGTAGTATTCCATTAGGTATTGACTAAGAAACTTATGCAATAAAAAGGGAGAATGGGGAGAAAATGCGTTAATTATTAAAATGTCCATGAGCTTGATTATTTAAAATTGTTAGTGGGGCTAGTAATATTCCATTAGGAATTGACTAAGAACTTTTATTTTTGTTCGTTAAAACGGACAACGAACTTACGCAAGATAATATTGAGAATGTTTCAATGGTAGAAGAAAATCCACAAATATGCGTAAAACTAAAAGATATGCTACTATGAGATCAAAACTATTTCGTTACTAAGTACACGTGACGTGTGAGTAAAACACGATTGAAACAATATGACGATGTGAATCAGAATGCTAACACAACTTATATATAACCAGATTATGATTATTTGTAGCGATATTTTGGTACGTAGGTCACATCACATATATTAAAGTACGTCTCGTTGGTATGCACTAATAGAATATTGTTTTCGATCAAAATAAATGTCTATAATTTAAAATAGTGTTTACTTATATAATATAGGATAATAGCAAAATGGAGTGTATATATATATATATATATATAAATCTTTTAGTTTTGTCGTCTTGTATATCTTTCGAAAAAGAAAAATAATTATATAAATAGAAATGAATGTTTTTCGGTGGAAATCAAGTTCCCCAACTAGACCCAAGTTCGAATCAAGAAACTATGAAGTATTGTTTAGCAAAAAAAAAAAAAAAAAACACTATGAAGTACAACACACAGTATTAACATGTTGGTTGGTCTTTCTTAATTTATATTGATGCTTAGTTATTAATTAGTTGTTTACACCTTTCTAGTACAAAATATGAGCTCTCTCTCTAGTCTAGAAAGTCGAGTTTTTTTTGGAAGTTGATAAAAATGCAAATAAACAGATCATAGAGTATGATTTACTTACTTGTTTTGGGGTTAGAAATGATGGGAATTGAGAGGAAGGGAAGAGGAAAAGAGATAATTAAGAGAGACCCACAAGGAGTGAAGGCTGTTTGCCCCCATCTGAGCATGGCATTTCTGACAGTTGTCAACACCCTTCCCACATGCCTTCTTTTTAATCTCCTCTAATTTTCATTTTTCTTATCATCATTCTTCCATACATTCGCTATTTAATGTTCATTTCACCACATTATTTAACCTTTTTTTTTTGTTTTATTGTTTTAAACTTACCTCTCTTCATTTGGTAATCAATTTCATAGCATCGTTGTAGAGCATTATTAATCTAGCTATAGTATTTTTATGATGTTGACGTTTTTAGTGCATGATGAGTATCCTTTGAATGTTAACCTTTATGATCTTACACCTCTAGAACCTAGCCATTCTATTTTTGGTTTATTGATTGCCAAAATTTGGAGAAAATATTATTTTTGTTCAGAATTATAAGTATTGTTTTAACTCTCACAAATAGTATTACTTTAAAGGAAGAATTTTAGACGAAATTTTAGTTTTAAGTGTATCATTTGAGTGTTTTAGTAAATAAAACTATGTACTAGTTAGAGATAAAATAGAATTGTGATAGTTTTCTTAATATGTATAAAAATCTAAAAACAAAAGTATAAGAGGGCCATATATAAACATGCCGTTTTCTTATCACCGGTCAAATTATGTCATCTACAATAGTTTTAGACAAAAATTTCTGTTTCGGTTTATTAGACTTTTAGTTAATTATCTTGCTTTAATAATGTGGTAAATGAGAGTACTTCGGCTGTAAGTCTCAAAGTTGAAATATTTCTTTGACCATTTAATGTAGTTTATATTGATTTGAGTGCTAGGAACAAGGCCGGTGTAAACTAGTGTATTTCAAATTTAGAAGTAGTATTTCTAGGCAGTGTTCGCTTCTATATTATAGTATGAACACTGATATTCAAAAACTAACTTTCATGGATTGTGTTGATGTAGTTTTTTTAACCTTACGCTACTAGCTACTTTAATATATACAATATTGAATTGATAACACCCAAATGAAGAAGGAATAGGGCCTACGTGAAATTAAATAAATATTACCAAGAACATAAAATTGAAAAATATGCATTTTATCTAATATACAGATTTATTATAAGTAATTAACAATTTATTCGGACCGAGGATCAAACTAGATTAATTAATCACTCTCAGGTGGTCAGTGCTCAAATAAACATAGCTAGTTCATAAGACTTTTTTTTATATATATGCACTTTCTCATAGATATAAATATGTTTAAATAATTATAAGATATATATGCCTTGAAATTAGAAATTACTAACATGGCGTACCTCGTGCATAAGATTAGGGCTTCCATGCTACCATCAACTACGTAATGAATTCCTCTGTGATTATTTCCATTATAAAATAAAGTTATGTGAACCGCCAATGCCATTATGAAAAATCCAACAGCATCCATTCCTCCCACTAAATAGTTATGATATTTTTGGGCGAAGAATACCTAAACGTGTGTGTATCATATTCATTGATCCCACCGAAATTATATTGCCATGGCTTGATCTAACTAGTAGCAACATAACCCAATGTCCCAATTCATAATATAGTCTCAGGAAAAAAACTAATTCAAGTGGTTCAGTGGTTCAAGTAGTTTCACCACGGTTGCAATCATGGTAACTCTTGCGGATGCCGTAAATGGTAAAAATGATATCCAACGCTTCACAAGCTTCATATGTTTATTTACAGTTTGGTCCGGGATTTCCCATTATAAACAGAAAAAAAATGTAGAGACTAAAAAAGAAACAAATGTGTTCGCTTTTCACTTGTTCACAAATTTGTTGGTAGATGAGAACAATCAATAAGCTAGGACCAGTTTTGGGCCTACAAGAATATGAGGTTGGTTTTATTATGGGCTTTAAAGAAATGGGTCCACTAGGACCCCAAAATTCTCAAACTTTCGCAAATTTAACCACACAACATTAACGTTCTTCATATATGTTTCCTTGACGCGGCTCGATATTTTTTCACTATACATCATTTCGCTGTCCTTTTACGCTTGCCATGGACCATGGTTGCTCTAATTATTAATCGGCACCCACCTAACCAGTAACCACTACTACTACACAAACAATGTACGTACATTAATAATTCATGCTTGCATTACACATGTATGTTCATTCATGTTTGCACACTGATTTGATATTTTTGATTTCTCGATTAGTATTAGACTCACCAATGCACATGCTCTAAGGAAATCCCATTTATATGTGACCTTCAATTAATTGCTTGACCTCGCAAATAGATTACATTTTTTGTCCAAAAAATGTTTAATTTTTGACAAAAAAAAAAAAAGTGTTTTTACTCATTTACCGATTGACCATTTTCATCACCAACTTCTACATATTTCTTCCATAGCCAATGCTGTCTCCAAAGAAGGTAAACCTCTTCAATAGGAACCTGTTTCGTCTCCGGCAACAGAAAGTAAACGAAACTTCCCATCCCGAATATAAGTCCGGCGAATAAAAGGAAAATTCCGTACTTGAGATGGCACAACGACACAAGGAAGCACTGCGCGATTAGAGCCGTGAAGAAAAGGTTTACGCACACCACAACGCTCTGACCAGCCGATCGAGTCTCTAAAGGGAAAAGCTCGCTCGGAACTAACCATCCCATTGGACCCCATGACCGACCATAAGCCAATACAAATAGACAGATAAGGACCACAAGAATCACACCGAGCGATTTTGGTAGCTCTTTGCCTTCCCCAAACTTCAAGGCTAGTGTTACTCCTACTACAACCTGAGAAAAAATGAACATATTTTGGGTATCAGCGGAAGTTACTTGTTTAGCAAGATATAAACCCTAGCTTGTACCTAGAGTTACAAAACAGAGCATTCACCATGTAACAGAACATCTCCACGCTAGCTTCAAGAAGAAGAAACCTTCTTCCAAATTTATCAGCAGAATACATAGACATGATCGCCGCGACAACGAGTGCAGCGTTTGTAATCGTGGACGAGATAAGTGACGCGGATCCACCAAACCCTAAGCTCTGAAACATAACCGGAGCATAAAACAAGATCGAGTTCATTCCGGTTAGTTGCTGAAACGCAGGAATCCCAATCGCTCCAATCACTAGCTGTGGTCTGTTCCTCCGAGCAAGAAGATTGCGAAACGGATTCTTTACGGCTCTAGCAGCTTCACTGGCTTCGACAAGATCCTGAAACTCAGCTTCTATATTGTTTGTGCCACGTACCTTGATCAGTACGGCTTTAGCCTCCTCGAGCTTCCCTTGCTCGACAAGACTGTTGGGTGTTTCGGGCAAAACGAGTCCACCAAGGAACATGAGTATAGCTGGGACGGTGGCGAGACCGAGAGAGAGTCTCCATCCCCATGGATGGATTTGCTCTGTTTTGTAGTTTATCAAATTAGCAACTAGAATGCCAATGCAAGTTGTTAGCTGGAAAAGCTGATTCACGGTTCCTCGAATCTTCGCTGGAGCCATCTCCGAGAGGTATAACGGAACCGCCTGTAAACGCAAACGCAGAAATTAAACGCAAAACCGGACCACTCACTTAGACATTAGAGTTAATAAATTGTGGGGTTTTGCCTGGTTTCCGAATCCAATGCCTATGCCGAGGAAGATTCGACCAAGGATTAACATAAGGATGTTTTTGGCTGCGGCGTTAATGACTCCTCCGAGGAAGAAGCTGACAGAGCCGACGAGGATGCTTCCTCTTCTACCGTATATTCTGGTGACATAAGAAGCTCCGAAAGTTGAGATTAAACCGGCGAAGTAAAGAGAGGAAGTGAAGAGTGTGAGGATTTGATTGTCGTATTTGCAGTAATCTGTTTCGTTTAGATGCATTTGCTTTCTTTTGTAGATTCCTGGGAAGAACTCTTTCAAGAAATCGTCCATTGATGTAACACCACCTGCGTTTAACAAGGAAGAAGAAACGAAAATGAGCATTGTGTCTTGCATAGGTTCCTTGAGTTTCAAGAAACAAAAATAGTCGACACTTAACAAGACTGAAGCTAACCCTCCTCGGAGAGGGGACTTATATTTTCTGACAAAACAGAGGAAATTGGACAAAACTGAAGCTGGCCCTTATCAAAATCAAGACTTGAGGGTTTCAGAATTTGACTGTTTGATTGGTATAAGATAAACTCAGATCGAGAAAGTTATCTAACCAGAGACTCCGAGATCATAGCCGAAGAGAGAGCCTCCCATGGATCCAACGATGCAAGCGAAGATGAAGTAAGTAGTGATTCGATGTTCATAGAGATGAGCTCTCTTTAGGGCTCCTTCGTCGGTAAGAGCTCCACCGGCCATGGCTTTAAAACCTTGAAGTCAAAAGGAGTAATCTTCTGATCTCTCTCTCTTTGTAATAAAATTTGATCGAGTGTTGTGAACTAGTAGTGATCATTATAAGCAAAGCTTTAGAGAAAAATACAGGTTGGATATTAGCAGTTACAAATTGACTATCTCTTACCTTAACCCTTTTTTTAAGGAGATATATTTGACTTCATCTTTCTTAATTATTACAATGGCTAATTGGTAATAATTTTCTTGATAAGTTATCTTATTTTAAAGATATTTCTAATATGATGTCTAAAAATAAAGAAATTTAGATTATTTTCTTTATATATTAGTATATATCTTGTCTCCATGACATATTTTATCCATAATTTAATGCTAGTATACCATTAATTATTTTCTCCATAAATGAGAAAATACATATCCCTTTCTTTTGAATTGTGTATCATAACTTTGATATTTAAAACCGTATTACCTGAGTTGCTCAGTTGATCTAGTGAATATTTTTTTGTAGCTTGATTAATGTTATTTGAGTGACAATGTCATCATTTTCTGGCTATCTACATGACAGAAGAAAATGTTTGTAAGAGTTACAAAAGAAATAGATAGATTAAAAGGAAAGAACAGATCACAAAACAAGGTCACTAGCTACTCTCTATGACATCATTTATCCCCTCTGTTCTTTATCACATAATAAACATGATATTCCTTTGTTGGTTCTTGATTTCCCTTGAAAGCTTTATAATGCATTAGTCTCTAATACTAAAACGTTTTTATTATCATCTGAGAGTTAATCACTTCACCAAATACTACTTTTCTAGCATACCTTCTTCTTGCTATTGGTTTCACCAGCCCCTACATGCGTTAACGATTTTGTTATAGTTCATATATTTTTGACGCATTAGGCTTAAAATATAAATTAAAAGGAAATTAGTTGAACTTACATGTGTTTGGACATAAGTTGCTTTCTTATTCAATCCGTCTTCCGCATTAAGCTTTCTTTGCGCATCGCTCTTAAGGGAGAAAAAAGAAAACAACCATAGATCCTACGAACCTATAAACTCAACGAAACATGAATGAGAGAAAGTGAGAGAGAGCAATGGTAATAAGACGAGAAAACTGATATCTGAAACGGTTTTGCAACGTGAAAAAGATCATGTGAGATATTTTAGGGATTTCTAAACTGATTATCTTTTTTTTTTGTTTTTATTATAAAAATCTTTGATAAACATATATAGATTGATAACTTTACGTACCATACATGATCTATGATGAATTAATTTGAAAATAAGATGTGTATGCCATTTTTATCATCTATCAACTATCAAACTATTAATTTCACAAGAAAAATTGTCAAATGTTTGAATATTCTACGTAACTTACGATTGAAACTCATTATCGATAAGCTTAAATGATAAAAAAAATACTGATTGTTGAATGTTTTAAAATATATATTTAGTTTGCTAATTATAATTTTCTCAAAGTGATCGAAATAAATCCAATGAGGATGTGAGACACGTCAGATTATTAAGCACTTGTTTAGAATAACACGTCAGCAAATTAAGAGTTTAGCTTGTCACAACCGCCAAAGCAAAAAGGCTGAAATTTTCCTTTTTAGGCTCTTTCTCTTCCACGCGGAAAAAAAAGCAGAATTTAATAAAAAAGATCCAAACTTGAAGATAGCGAAGAGGAAAAAAGATAATCTCTGGCTCGATTTTTGTTGGATTCCTCGATTTGAGCAAGTTTTAAGACTCGAGGGTTTTCTTCTGGATAACGCAATTGATACTCGTGTAAGTGCAATTTCTCTCTCTGTATCTTCTGTTGAATCGTCTTTTTATGGGGTTGATGATTTAGGGTTTTACGCAATCGTTTTGTTTGCTGGTTGATTTAGCTTGGTTTATTCAAAAAGACGAATTTGATCAAGGAACTTGTTTCGTGTAGATTATTTTGAGTCAATTTGTGTGTTTAAAGATTCAATTTTGATCAGAATTTATCTCTAATTGTTGTCTTGTTACTCGTAATGCAGGTTTTCTCTCTACAAATCAGAAAGGGTCGTCACTGATATTGTCATAGCTTGAGAAAGGATCTATTTTTAAAATCAGTGGGAATAGAAAACATCAGTGATTTTGAGTTTTTTTTGAATTAGTTGTTTGAGGGAAAGTGTCCTCTTGCTTGATGTGAAGATTGCTTCTTGGTTTTTCTGTTTCTAAATGGAGTGGAGGGGAATCCTCTGCTCGCTGCTTTTTATTATTTCCGTGGGAGAGTCGTCAAGTAGATTCGGGTTAATGTGGCATCCTAACCTCGGTGTTGATTCTGGACAATACTTGACTTGGCCAATCTTAAGTGCTAGTGTATTCGTGGTTATTGCCATCCTCCTCCCCATGTATCTTATCTTTGAGCACTTAGCTTCTTATAATCAACCAGAGGTTTGTTATCACTTCCTTAACACCCGTTTTTCGTGTTCTCTTTCTCATAATAAATGATACTGATTCATCTTTATGACTCTTCACTGATATAAGTTGGGACATTGCTATTATCGCTTGATCCATTAAATTGATAATATCACCATCATCAGTAACTAAGCATAACGCTCCCTCTTGTAAATCACAGGAACAGAAGTTTCTTATTGGACTTATTCTGATGGTTCCTGTTTATGCCGTGGAATCGGTAGGTTTAATAGGATACTATATACGTTTATCCTGTATTTGTAGTGAAATTTTCCATTAAGATTTGTATTCAGATATTTTTCTAACTCTGGGTTCCTTATAATTTCCGAGCAGTTTTTGTCTTTGGTGAATTCAGAAGCAGCTTTCAACTGCGAGGTGATTCGAGATTGTTATGAAGCTTTTGCACTCTATTGTTTCGAGAGATATTTGATAGCTTGCCTAGGTAATGCTTATATAACTGTAAAAGTCTGTATCCATAGCTTCTGAGTCCCTGAATATGATTTTTTGGGCTTCAAATAAGCAAGTGGTTGATTATTGAAGCTATACTTTATTCACTTGAAAATGAATTTGGAATCTGTTGACTTTTGATTATTTCCCTGTTATAATTTACTGAGAAATATTTTATCTCTATATCCGCAGATGGAGAAGAACGTACAATTGAATACATGGAACAGCAGACAGTTATCACCCAGAGCACTCCTCTTCTAGAAGGCACATGTTCTTATGGAGTTGTAGAGCATCCCTTTCCGATGAACTGCTTCCTAAAAGATTGGAGTCTTGGTCCTGAGTTTTATCATGCTGTGAAAATTGGCATCGTTCAATACGTATGTGTTGTCATTAATTTATCTGGACTATGGCCTATAATGTATTTCTGTGCTTCAAATGACAAAAAATATTCTGCTGCAGATGATACTGAAAATGATTTGTGCCCTATTAGCAATGATCCTCGAAGCCTTTGGGGTTTATGGAGAAGGGAAGTTCGCATGGAATTATGGGTAATCTTTTTGTTTTCTCCCTTCTCTTTGTTGATATGTATTTTCTTCTTTGCTATATTCTGATTTTAACATGGTCATCGACAAAATATCTGATTTAGTAATAAATGTTGTCTCATTGCAGATATCCATATCTCGCTGTAGTGCTCAATTTTAGTCAAACATGGGCATTGTATTGCCTTGTACAGTTCTATAATGTCATCAAAGATAAGCTAGCGCCCATTAAACCACTGGCCAAGTTTCTAACATTTAAGTCTATTGTGTTCCTCACCTGGTGGCAAGGTATTATCGTTGCATTCCTCTTCTCTATGGGACTCTTCAAAGGGTCTTTGGCTAAGGAACTGAAAACGCGAATACAAGACTACATCATCTGTATCGAAGTAATTTTCATAAAACTAATTGCTCCTTTTAAGTATCCACATTTAGATTGGTGTGAGTTATAAACTTAAAATGTAATGTTTTTACAGATGGGTATTGCTGCTGTGGTCCATCTCTATGTGTTTCCAGCAGCGCCTTACAAGCGTGGAGAAAGATGTGTTCGTAATGTAGCAGTCATGTCAGATTATGCCTCTTTAGATGTACCACCTGATCCAGAAGAGGTTAAAGATAGTGAAAGAACAACGAGAACGCGGTATGGTAGACATGACGAGAGAGAAAAACGCTTGAATTTTCCACAAAGTGTCCGTGATGTTGTGCTTGGGAGTGGTGAAATTGTAAGCTGGTTTCTTCTATAACGAATTTATTTCTCTACTTGCAGTTTTCTTTTTTTGCTTTAGTCCTTGCTCATGACCAAAAGTTTAATTGTTCTTGCCAGATTGTGGATGACATGAGATTCACAGTTTCGCATGTGGTGGAACCGGTGGAAAGAGGAATAGCGAAGATAAACAGAACATTCCATCAGATATCTGAAAATGTGAAAAGATTTGAGCAGCAGAAGAAAACAACAAAGGATGATTCATATGTGATTCCGCTGAATCCATGGACGAAAGAATTCTCAGAGATTCATGAAAACCTCTATGATGGAGGGAGTGTGAGTGACAGCGGTTTGGGAAGCTCAAAGCGGCATCACCAGTCTAGAGTCTCGGGATTATGGACTAGGATGCGAAGGTAAAAAAACAAATGGTGGTGCAAATCTGAAGATGCCTTGTTTTTTTTTGAAGTCTCATCTTCGTCACATCTAACAAACAAGAAGTTGTAGATTTTATGGGATGATGCTACTCTGCTGGATTACACACAGGTAACAAGAGATGCTACTAACTAGTTTTCCTCTACCCTTTATACAAAACTTTATTGAGAAATTAGATTTGTATCTCGTAATGACAACAGTTTCTTACACAAAAATAAAATAAAAATTTGTCATGACTAAATCTTATGAACCATCTTCTCCATACATTTTTTGTCTTTGGTTCTCAATTCGTAAGAGTTGGCCCAAGTCCATTTTGTAATGGGCTAAATTATTTTCGAGCCCAAATCGAAACTGGGCCGACTCGTTTTGGGGGTTGGGGCGATTAGCCCTAATTGAGAGAGAGGGGCGCTTAAATAGTTGTTGATCGAGCGAAAAAGAGAGCGAGTAAAAGATGAAGCTAACGTGGAACAAGAACCCTAAGAAACGATCTCGCGTAGCTCTATCGAATTTCCCGGATCTTCCTTTCGAGAAGGATGATGCTCCAGAGTCCCAATCTCATCGTCAATTTCGTGAAGATGATATTGGTCGTAGACAAACTACCGATCAATTGGACTCGTCGGATCATCCTCGTGAGAAATTCGATCTCGAAGCTAAGCATCTGGCAGAGGCCATTAGAGCCCAAGGAGACAAACTCGCTGAGGTAAACCAGCTGTATATAAAATTTGGGTACTTCAATTTCAGCAATTTGCTGTTTTGGTTATCGTCGTAGATAAGCTAAGGATCTGGCAAAGTCTTTATATAAATACTTTGATTATCGTGGTAGATAAGTTTGAGTTGCATAGTGGCAGTCTTCCTTTGTTTTCCACCCATCTGATCCGTGGTCTATTAAACCTCTGTTTTAACAACTTTTGAAAAGTTGTCATAGGGGTTTATAGACCACGGATCATAACAAAAGAGATTGCTACTATGCGACTGAAAACTTTATCAAAGAGAAGGAAGAATGAGAAAAACTGAACGGGGAAGCTTTAGTTGAGCTTAAAGGAATGACATTTATCTGGAAAATATGAGAGAAACAACAATTTTGTTGAAATATTACTCTGTTGTTAGTTGAGAAAATATTACTCTATTGTTAGTTGAGAGTGGAATGTATTCAAAAGAATACACATGAAAAGAGTTTGGTAAATTTGTATCTTCCAGAAAAGCTGAGACATTTTCTATACAACATGTTAGCATTTGAAAGGGGCCTCGCATTTCTTGTAATGGTATTCCTTTGTTTATGGAACTACTTTAGTGCAATTTTTTCTATTTGATCCTGTTTTCTCATCGTGATCTTGCTATTGAAGGAAGGAAAATACCAAGAGGCTCTAGGGAAATGGGAAGCTGCTCTTAATCTTGTTCCCGAAGATGCAGTCCTACATGAACAGAAAGCACAAGTGTTACTTGAGCTTGGTGATGCATGGAAAGCACTCAAGGCTGCAACACGTAATGCGTTAAGCCTTTCTGTTTTGTTACTTTTGTATATGTACAATTTAGAGTACTATGAATATTCTTCAAGAACCCTCTTAACATTTCCTATGGTTTTCATTCATCACAGGAGCTACTGAGATAGATCCATCGTGGGCTGAGGTACTCATTCAATGTTTCTTTATAAGTTTCTGATTCTGCATAGATATACGGATGTTGAAAGCTTTCGTATAGGAATCTGATTCCTTATTTGTATGGCTAAACTTTTTCAAATCTCTTTTTTCTTAGGCATGGACTACTCTTGGAAGAGCACAACTAAATTTTGGTGAGCCGCACAGTGTTATCAGGAGTTTTGAAAGTGCATTATCGATCACAGTGAGTTCCACAACAAATTAAAAAAATCAAGTTATATTATTATGAATTCTTCAGTTTCTTTAGTTCCATAGAGATCTTAATTCGTGTTATTACCATTACATAGGCGGATTCCAGAGAGGCGAAAGACGATCTAAAAACTGCAAAACAACTAATAAAGAAGAGAGAACAGCTTCAGACATCAGGACAGGACACCGACACTAAACGTTTTGTGGTCGGCGACAAGAACATAGAGCCAAACTAATGAACCAGAGACTTGTACTTAGGTATAGAGATGATCGTTCTTCATCAAGGCAAGGACTTAGCCATTTGTCTGAGAAGAAACTTTTGAATCTTTCCAGTAGAAGTCTTTGGAAGCTCTTCCAGGAAAACCACATTCCTTGGAACCATAAACTTTGGCAGCTTGGTTTTACAAAAATCCCTTATCTCTCTCTCAGTCACAGACCCGTCATGATACTTCAAGCTGACAAATGCACATGGAGTTTCTCCCCACATCTTGTCTGGCTTAGCCACCACAGCTGCTTCCTTAATTGCGGGGTTTGTGTACAGAACTGCCTCGAGTTCCGTGCTGCTGATGTTCTCTCCTCCGCAAATGACCACATCCTTTGATCTGTCTTTGACTTCCAAGTAACCGTCTGGGTGCATTACACCAATGTCTCCTGTGTAGAACCATCCGTCTTCTCTCATACTCGCTGCGGTGCCTTCTGGGTCTTTGTAATAACCCAGCATGACCGAACCGCCTCTGAAGACGATCTCTCCCACAGTTGCTCCATCATGCTTCACGCTCTTCCCGGATATTGGGTCTCTAACATCGACTTCCGCGAATACCGCAGTTCTAATTCCTTGCCTTGATTTCAGTTTTGCTCTCGCGTCTGGTTCTAGACGATCCCACTCAGGCTTCCATGCGCACGAGACAACCAGGCCGCCGGTTTCTGTCATCCCGTAACCGTGACCCACATCGAAACCGAGTGCCTCAGCCTTGGAGATGACTGTAGCTGGTGGTGGAGCTCCAGCGGTCATAACCTTAACTGGGCTCTGAAGCGGTTTCTGGCCTGGGTAATTGGTCAACATGTTGAGAACCATCGGCGCAGCGCACATGTGGGTCACTTGATACTTGTCGATCAAGTTGAAAATAGTCGGCGCGTCAACTCTTGTGAGACAGATGTTTGTGGCCCCCACAGCTGCTGTGGCCCACGTGTAGCTCCACCCATTGGCGTGGAACATCGGTAGGGTCCACAGGTATACCGGACGGTTAGGCAAAGACCAGTCTAGCAAAGAGTTAATAGTGCTCATGAAAACTGACCTGTGGCTATGCACCACTCCCTTTGGAGACGACGTAGTTCCTGAGGTGTAGTTAAGCACCATTGGAACCCACTCGCTTTTCGGACGAACCCACTTGAAACTTGGGTCTCCTCTCTCCATCACCCCTTCGTATGTGTCAAGAAAATCCACGTCAGCCGATGTAGATGATGGCGTGCCATTTCTGTCGTTGAGGACGATGAGGCAAGGCCTCTCATTCTTGGGCAAGAACGAGACAGCTTCTAGGACTAAAGATCTTGAGTGATGGTCAACAAACATGAGCTTGGATTCGCTGTGACGCAGAAGGACGGAAAGTGCGTGAGCGTCTAAACGCGGATTGATGTTGTTGAGGACTGCGCCTGACATTGGAACCGCGAACTGAAGCTCGTAAACAGATGGAACGTTGGGACCAATAACAGAGACAACTTGGCCACGGTTGATACCGAGGGAAGAGGAAGAGAGAGTTGAAGCGATGCGGAGGCATCGAGAATGAGTTTCAGACCAAGTATGGACGGTGGTTGTGTGGAGGAGGGAAGGAGAGTCGCCAAAGACGGAGGCGGCTCGTTCTAAGAAGCCGAGAACAGTGAGAGGGCATGAGTTTGAAGCGTGTGGGAGTAAAAGTTCCATTGTAGGAATGTATTGATTTTTTGTTTTGTAACTTTTGATGGGATTGGTGAAATGAATTATATATATATATATATATTTTTTTTTTCCCGATATGGTTAGGTAGAACAGAAATCATTATATTGAAATATTATATTTTGAGCTTAGCTAATTAATACTTAAGGGAAAAAAACAAAGAGAACGAGATTGTGTTACTCGAATTGGAGGCTTTAATACATGAGCAAAAATCGTGTAAGACAGGACGTTTGATTCGAGCTACTCATAGTTATTGCTACATACATTTCAATGATTCGAGCTACTCATATACCTTGAGAGTCTCTTTCAACGCAAATATTATAAACATCGTCAGAGAGAGTAGCTTTGGTCCATTACGTACCTTACCCTTGTGTTATTATATTCCAACAACCATTGTTTTGTCTATGTGATGCTCTTACTGTGTCTTTAATTCCCAAACAAAAAAAAACATTTGCCAGTGGAGTATGGTGAGGCCATATTTAATTTCGTGGATTTATTGCACTATTTAGTCAATGCTACACCTAATCTATTATACGCATTTGTACAATAATAGAGAGAATTTCAATTATTTCAGATGTTAGTCTCATCCTTCGGCGAGTCGGATTAAGGTACTTCCAATGTCGATTAGGTGCTTTGAGCAACATGCAGCTTTTGTAAAATCAAATTCAATTTTTTTCGGCAACACCGTACTTGGAGGCTATATTTAACATGGAACTCAGTAATAATAATACGCCTAAATTATAAATAAAAATTATCTGATGAAGCATTATCTCTTTGGTCAAGAATCAGTTCACTATAATGTTGAACAAAGTGCAAACTCAGCAGATCAAAAGGCACTGTTGATTAAAAGAATTTACTCTCAATAGAAGGGTTACCTTCAGAATCCTTTGTCTTGCTTTCAAAAGTTAGCAACCAAACGAACACAACTTTTGTGGAGAAGAATCAAATATTAAAGGGTTGAAGTTAGGTAGATGAAAAAATAGACGATATCTTTTGAGACAAGAAGCTGTATTGCTTGTTTGCTTATCAATCTAATCCTTCATTTGATGGATTGGAATGTCATCTGTTCTTCATCTTTCAGTGTGTCAGCTGCGTTTAGAAGCATGTCCATTCCTCCTACGCTTTTATCCAATTCTCCATTGTCTTTACTTCGCGGTTTGCCTTCGACATTCCTGGGTTTTCTTCCTTTCTGTTTCTGCAGCGTCTCCATCTTCTTCACAAAAGCCTTACGCGCTTTGCGGACTTTAAGAATTGCAGCTTTACATGCTGTGCAAAACCATTCTCCATTTGGAACCGATTCACATGGAGGTCTCATGCAGTAGATGTGATACGCATCATCACACCCATCACACAAGACGATTTTATCATCATCCTTGTCAGTTAGGCAATTTCTGCATAAGCACGATGAGCAATACCAACGAACACCGTGTAGTTTTATTTGCCTTGAAGTCAAGCACCTGATGTGGTAATACTTGTGTGGGCAAAAAGGGTGATCACATGTTATATACTTTCCGCCACTATCCACCTTTGTTCCACAGGTCCTACAGAGTTCAGAATCTCTATTCATCTCTACGTGGTGATTCATGTTACAGCTTGAATTCTCTTCAGATTCGTTCAAATCTTCTTTGCATTCTGTACTCGTATCAACAGATCTGTTTTCTGTCTCCATCATCCCTTGGGTTTTCATTCTTTCACACACTACACAATTCTCGTGAGGTGATCCGATTCCCTTAGATGTGCAGTCTAGACAATACCAACTGTGTGTTGGCATCCCTTTCCCACCAGGATGTGCACATGAGACATGGTACATATCTTCACAATGATCACATGCTAAACAGTCTCTTGCCTCTGCCTTCTCTCCACATAGCTTGCAAACGTCATAAACACTGTCATTTCTGATGTTCTCTGCATTCGGATGAGGCTTCGATCCCCCAGTGTAGAACTGCTTCAACTTCCAGATTTTGAAATAAAGAAGATATTAGAGGATTTATAAAATAAAGTTATTATAGCACCTTAAAGAAGATCATCTATGCCTGACACTCACCTGTTCCTTATAGGATGTCCTTGAAAGCTCTAAGAGACTATTAGCAAGAACAGCCATATCATTACCAACATCCTGTATTTTTTGCCAGACCTGAAATCAGTAGTTAGGTTTAGTTCTATGTCTACCTTCAATCTAATGCATAGTATGTACTGAAAACACAACCACATTCGTCAAGCTGAGAGTCTGAGTTCAGCTGCACCACGGCATCAGACAATATTTTTCACAATGAGAAGGATAAGAAAGACATGATAATCTGTTATCATGCATATTTATCTTCAGACTAAGCATAGTTTCCACTAATTACCTCTTGGAGATCCGTTGAAAAGAGCAGAGGTGAACCTTCATAAACACCCTCTTTCATCCTGGTGTCTATCAGAGTTCTGCACGTAAGGTCTTCAATCTTGGCCCCTTGAAGATTTTCGGAAAGCAACTTATTTAGGGATGCAAACTCCTTTGAAGCTAAAACATGAGACAGAACATGCTGGCAACCGGCTGTCACGGTCTCATGCTTGGATTCACTTGATGATTTATTTGGATTGGAAAGCTTCGGGAGTTCACCAGTAAGATGGGTTCCTATGCTGAACTTTTGATTATATAGTTCACAAGAGACAGACTCCTGTGCAAAAAAAATTTAATGAGAAATTTAATCCAAAACAAGAAAGAGCTAACATGTTTTAGGAGCATATTATGATGAAAGTAAATCATGGCCACAGGAGTTGATCACACAAATATCATAAGAGACCAATTTCAGCAATGAATGCATTATTCGGCAAACGCTAGTCAGGTTTTCAATAAGCAAAGTGTTAACAGACAGCATTAATGGGATTATCTACTATTTGCAAAGCATTTCCTGAAACATAGCTATCACACACTAGAAACTAATGTAGCCTGAACAACATGAACGGAATAGACAGATAATGGCAAAATTATTCGATGAATGGCCATACGAATATAAGTAGAAATGACCCTTATCTTTAGCTCCTTCAGCAACATGGTGAGTAATTGAGGCCAATATTCACTATAGAAGCAAGCAACTACCCAACCATCACTAGATTGATAGAGATCCTAATATACATTCCTTTGCCTATTTTACAACACAGCTGAAAGATTAAACCAAATTCACAGAACATATAACAATTGAGGTGTGCGGAAGTTGCAAAATGCTAGCAAATACATATACTACAGCAGTTTAAAATCAATCACAATCAGAGGTATCATAATAGAAAAATACCCGGCTTCCTGAGTGACTAACACCTTCCATGGAAATTCTATCAGAATAAGATCTCCCAAGTTTTCGCCGCTTATATGTTTGTATCTTCTTACTATCTCTGGAACTAGGATTGGCAGAATTAGCCATAGCACCACCTCCAGCACTCCAATGATTCAATGCTTCACTTTCCACCAAACCATTTCGCTGATTATGCTCTGTACCTTCACCATTGCTTGTAGCCTCCTCCATGAACATATTAAACGAATGTTTTGATTCTCACACTCTGAAGCCTAGGGTTTCACCCTTCTTCCATCCTACTATAGAGAAAACAGACAAAGGACACTTGAATCCTAACCTAACCACAAACGAAATCTCATATGAAAATGTTGTCCATTGGTAAAATGCCTTCGATTTATCACCAAATAAACCATCTAGAAATAAGAAAAACATGTCATTCCCAATTCTTTGCCAACAAAAAGCTATGAAATTGAAGGCTTCTCTACCAATATTTCCCCAGAAAACAACAGAAAACAACGAAATTTCAAGACAAAGAAAATTTCAATGGAGTTTTCTCTTAACCACTACGAGACGGAACGAAGCTAAATCCAAAATCAACGCTCTAACGAGCAAAGAAAACGACAAGAGGAAAAAAAGAGTAAAACTGTACCAGTGTGAAGAAATCTGCGTCCAGAAACGATGAAGAGCAAACCCTAGATATTTGAGAAGAGGATTGATTTATCGGTCTCGGAGATTTAGACTCGCCGGTGGTTCTGAAAATCCCGGCTTCTCTCTTATCTTTGAATCATTTTTAAACTTCCGCGTCCCCTTAACCGGTATAATTTTTTCAACTTGGATCTGACACCGGTCAAAACCGGTATCAGTGACGTGAAACTGACACGTGGAAGTAATAAAACCGCGCCGGAGACTCACGGTAACGGAGTCACAGTAACAGATTCGTGATGTGCACGTGCTTTTAGTTATTCTCTGCGGCTTTTAGAAAAGATCGATTAACGAGACTGTACCGTCGGATCTCAACTTAGGAATCCAACGGTTATAACTGAAAGTTACCTTTCTCTGTTTCTTTGTCTGAGAAAATGAATCCTTTTGTTACTCATGTGTTAAAGTGGCTCAAGTGTATTAACACTCTTCATTCTACAACAATCAAATCAACAAACAAATAAACAACATACAATTATCAATCTATCACTCAGAACTGTCGCTTTGAGCAGACTTATCATCACATTCGATTTCGTATCTTTCATTTTTCTTTTCTCATATCCGTTTATCGCAGATGAGAATCCTAACGCTTGCGTGGGGTCCTTCCCCGGTATCGTGAACACCAGCAGTCCAACCGATGGCTTTAGCCAGTTGTTGAAGTTGGTCCATCAAAGACAGTGAATCCCTTATGTAAACCCGTCCTCCCGGCCTCAACATTCGGTCCATCTCCAGTACAATGTTTGTTATGTTGCACCTATGCTCCACATGAAACCCAATTCATTACCCCAATCAAGTTCCTGACCTTAATATTTTTGGATTCAGCATAAGAAAAAATACGAAGTTTGAATCTTTTTACCTCTTCTTCTCAACAGAGAAGAGAAATGCAGCATGTATCAGATCATAGGTTCTTGGGTATGTGTCAAATGGCTCACACCTAGAGAAAGCAAGTGCAAAAAGCTTTAGATGTGATCTTGTGTAAGTTATGTTGGATTACAAGCAAAAGAGCAGAAGGTTATATATCGGTCTGTACCAGTCATGCATAGCCCCTACAAGTCCACGGTCATATATAACTGGCAAGGTGTTGAATCCGCTAATGGGAACAATGTTCATAACCCAACAATCAAGCCCGAGATCGTTTAATGCTGCTGCAAACCTACCAACATCAAGTAATACTAGATCAAATAAACTTTGGGAAGACAGAAACAATAAAAAGGTGTGATTGATGGTTACCCTCCAAAACCAGCTTTCATGTCCAGAACATTCCTAAGTTTGAACTCCTTCCAGCGGAAAACCCGCACGTAACTCTCTACTACTTCTAACCAAAATCTTGACTCTGCCTTCATAATTTCCTTTCGGGATATGTAGGCATCCATTTGAATGCTCTGTAGCCTCTCTGGAGGATCATGAAGACGTGCAGGCCATGTGGAGACATTAGCCCCATAGCCATTATCAGGTAATCGGGTGATGCATGGTTTCATATCTACATACCTGGAACAGAAAACCATAACCACAAAGTCGAGACTTTCAGAAAGTTTTAATTGAAAAGCTGAGAATTTGGTGGTTCTACCATAGAATGTCTATGCAAGAAGGCTCAAAACTATTAAAAAGAAATTAGACTTTGAGATGCATATATGTACCAAACATCATCAGGATCATCATCAGATCTGCACAAAGGAGGCTTAGTTCCAGCTTCACGACTGACATAGCAGCTGTTGTTTAGAGGCTTCCTCCACACAGCAATATATCCCTCTTTCTTGATAAGCTCCCAACAGATTCGGTTCGTAAGGTCTAACATTTCTGAAAAGATAATCGAAGAGCAGAAGCAACACCCATTTTTTAGTTAAATTCCATAGCAGACAAATTATTTAGTCGAATAAGTTACGGACCTTTCCACTGCTCTTGCAAGTTATCCTCATGTTTGTAAACGGGTTGTGCAGCCCAAACAAAGTAGCCTCCTGCTCTAAGCATTCTATTAACTTCAAGAAGAAGTATCCCATCTATGTAATTCAGCCAATAAAAAGCTTCAGTCACTTACTATGGTAAATCTCAAATAACATTACAGGAGAAGCAAAAATCAAGAAATGAAAGAAGAGAAACCATCGCGGGTCCAATTAATTCTGCATCTGGAACAATGAATCATCTCAAAAGACTGGCTTGGATACAACAACCTCCGTGTGGCAAAGACAGCAACCATCGCAGGGACACCACGCTCCAATGCAAACTGTATCTGATTCTCATGAACATCTTTTGGTGCTACGGACAAGGTTGTAGTGTTACGCTGCATCAAAAACGCACCAAAGCTCGCCACACCACAGCCAATGTCCAAGGCAACACGAGTGCGTGATCCAAATGTAATATCAGGAATCATCTGCAAATTTCAATCTAAAAGAATATAAGATCAACACAAACAAACAAATTAGCCAGAAACGAAAAAAAAAACAAGATTAGAAAAACCAAAAACAAACCTGGGAGATCTGGTCTAAATACTGATCAGCTCCATGGATGAATTGAGTTCCACCTCCAGGGAAAACAAATTTATCTTTCTCTCTTCTAATCCAATTTTGACCTCCTTTATCTTCCACTAAACGTGTATGTGGCACATTATTGAACCATATCTACAAGCACAAATCAAGTTAGTGACTTTACATGAAGGACTTAGATAAAGGTAAGGACTTGATCACATTATTTCACCTTGTCTCTGCTTTGTGGCCATGGGATTGGTTTCTTATAACCATCTGGAGGTGGAATCAAGCAATCTAAGCTCTGTTTAGGACAATGTCTCTCGTAATTTTCTCCTCTATCGGTATTGTTCAATCTCTTGATCTCTTCTTCGTTGTCTAAGCATGGAATGTAATCTATCTTCGTCTTGTCACACAATTTGAGTTTCTCAATCCGAAAACCGACTTCCGGCGATTCTTTTTCCTCAACCGACGAATTTCCGGTTTGTGATTTAAGCTCGTCGACGGAATCCGGATCGAATCCGCCGATTTCGAACGAATCAGACATGGCACCATTCTCGTCGATGATTCCCGTTCTCACCACTGTCGGTGGTAGCGGAGGAGGCGAAATCTTGAGACGCGGACGCGGTGGAGGAGATGGTGCTACCGCCGCGACGGATGTTATGTCGGTTTGAATAGCTTCGGTGACGTTTGAAGAAGAGGAAATAGGAAAACGAAGAGATGGATAAGAGAAGGAATCTGAGAAGTGATTGAAGAGAAAAATTGTTGAGATTGAGAGAAACGCAAACGCAATCAATTTAACCAATCTCGGAGTTTTCACAACGTCTAATCCAACGTCGGAGAGTTTCATGGCGGTTAAAAACGCCGGCGATCTGATGATGGAGCAAATCAATAATTTTTACAACGGATCGAGCAAAACAGAGAGAGAAAGGTGATTCCTTTTTCCAGAGAGCCGGCGAGGAATTGATGAATCAGACGCCGGGGACGGTGGAGAGACGGAGGAGAGTGGAGGTTGAGACACGTGGATGTGGTGGTGAGGAATTTGATGTGAGAGTGAAGGGACGAAACTCGACGAGTCGCATGAAGACAATGAAACAGAGGTAGAAGAAGAAAGTGTACAGATTAAGCAAAAAAATAATCAAACGTATTATAAACCTAATCACTACCTATAACTATCCAATTTTATATGATTTGCTTACATTCCCCTAATGGAAATAAATTACAGGTTTTGGTCAAGACAATTCATAAACTAGTGTCTTTTATTTTATTTTTTTAAAAATGTTGTATATTAAAACTTTAACTCAAATGTTAGAGAATGAGGTTGATCAAAAAAAAAAAAAACTATTAGAGAATGAGATTGGATGTTATTTAATGTAATGGTTGAGGATCTAAATTGATTGACAAATTGAATTTAGATTGACAAAGAGTGCGTTCCTCTACTTAAACCACTATCTTAGGGGGATGCTAAATGGACTTTTTGTGGTAGTCTTATTTTTTGGTGCCATGTTTCTAAATAAAAATGGCTTAGAATAGAATTTTTTGGTGATCGTTAAAGGTGTGAAGGGGCTTGTATGGTTGTAGCCCTTAATTATCTATAGTGGGCCTTTTGACTTAAAAAGCCTTAATTTCGGCCCATTTTAATGCTTTGGAAGAGAGATTAGAGTCTTAATAATCTTTGGTATTACATAAAAGAGCGCGTACATTAACGGTACGGACACAACCTGTCGTGTTCGAATCATGCATTTATGGTTGCTTTACTACTTCTAGTGACTGGCGACTTCGACGAGCTCTTACCGTCAAAAAAATTCTAGGGTTTTCTTCTGATTGGAAAATTTTCCCGAAATTATTGTGAAATTGGGTTCTTCTTCTCTGCTTAGAAGCTATATTCTGGGTCTAAAATTCGTTCTTTGCTTCAAATTTCAGGTAAGTAGCGAGACCAAAGATTTCAAATTTTAGTCTTCTTCTTCTTCTTCTCTTTCCTCTCCTTCTCGTTAATGGGTTCTCAATTTCTAACTTACATTTGCTTTGTTTGTTATTTGAATGCTCGAATTTCGTGAAGAAGAAAAAACCCGAATTTGAGTTTAGTGGGTGAATGTTTTGTACTACTTGTGAGACTAGCTAGGTTTGATTGATTTGGTAATTGCTTTGTGGGTGAATCAACCATTCTTGCTTAAAATAAAAACTCCTACTTTGTGGGTGAATTTCAAATGTGAAGAAATGTTTGGTCGCTGGTCATTTTTCTTCGTTTCTCAAATGTTTTTGTTTCAGGATCGGGTAGAGTTATATAGCCTGCTTAAGCTGAATATGACGAGGAAGCAGAAGAAGAAGTCTGCCTGGGCTAAGACAATTCTGACCAAGGAAATAATTGAGATCGAGTCTGATACAGACGACACAGATGGTGTTGGTGCTAGAAGAAAGTTGGATTTTTGTGGTGAAGAGAATGCCATGTCTTCGTTGAACAAGGAAATCAAGACTGAGTCAAACATAGATGAAGTTTGTGGTAGAATGCTGGATCTTTGCGTTGAAAGGAACGCTTCAAGGGATGATGCTTTAGCTAAGAACCCCAAGACATCTGCTGTGGCTAAGAAGACCATTGTGGACAAGGAAATTATTGAGATTGATTCTGACACGGACACTGATGAAGTTGGTGCTACAAAGTTGCCTTTTTGTAATGAAGAGAATGCATCAGGGGATAATACTTTAGCTAAGAACCCGAACAAGTCTGTGGTGGCTAAGACCACTGTGAAGAAGGAAATAAAGACCGAGTCAAACATAGATGAAGTTTGTGGTAGAATGCTGCCTCTTGGTGAAGTGATTGCATCAGGGGATGGTTCTTTAGCTAAGAAGTCTGTGGTGGCTAAGACCATTGTGAAGCAGGAAATAATTGAGATCGAGTCAGACACAGACACCGATGAAGTTGGTGGTAGAATGCTGGCGCGTTGTGGTGTCGAGAATGCATCAGGGGATGATGCTTTAGCTGCGAACCCAGAGAAGTCTGTGGTGGCTAAGACCATTGTGAAGAAGGAAATCATTGAGATTGAGTCAGACACAGACACAGATGAAGTTGGTGGTAGAATGCCGGCTCTTTTTCGTGCCGAGAATGCATCAGGGGATGATGTTTTAGCTAAAAACTCGAACATGTCTGCGGTGGCTGAGACAATTGTGAAGAAGGAAATAGTTGAGATTGAGTCTGCCACAGACACAGATGAAGTTGGTGGTAGAATGCTGGCTCTTTGTGGTGAAGTGAATGCATCAGGGGATGATGTTTTAGCTAAGAACTCGAAGAATTCTGCGGTGGCTAAGTCAATTGTGAAGAAGGAAATAATTGAGATTGAGTCAGCCACAGACACAGACACAGATGAAGTTGATGGTAGAATGCTGGCTCTTTGTGGTAAAGTGAATGCATCAGGGGATGATCTTTTAGCTAAAGATGGCAAAACCAACAGAACCAACATGCAGCTTGTTTGTGTTGATGATTGCGATTCTGGTTTGGTTCATGATTTGGAATATAAAAAGTATTTGTCACATTTTAGTGAAATCGGGAATCTATATTTGCTTGAGGACAATGTAAGGGGTAGTTCGCCGGTGCGCATTATGTACAATGTCGATCATGAAGAATCTGATAGGAGTAAAGGAAAAGCAGTAAAAACTGAGAAGAGTAGAGCAGGGAGAAAGGCAAAGTCTCCTACGATTTCCACTGTATCCAAGAGGTTGAAGACTGAGAATGGTAGAGTAGATCATAAGTCGATTTCGAGGACTGTCTTAAGGACCAAAGAAACCCAGCAAAAGAAAGGAGATGCTCGACGTGGAAGAAAGAGTTATGTGGCCAAGAACTCTATCGAACTAAAGCCTAGAAGTTATGTCATAGACACAAAACAACAGAATGGAGATGCTCGACGTGGAAGGAAGATTTCTGTGGCCAAGAACACTATCAAATTAAAGCCTGCAAGTTATGTCAGAGACTCCCAAGAAAAGAATGGAGATGTTCGACGTGGAAGGAAAATTTCTGTGGCCAGTAAAAACGTCAAATTAAAGCATACGAGAAATGATAAGTCTCAGACAATTTTCAGAGCTTCAAAGAGACTGAAGACTGAGATTGGGAGAGCAGATCATAACTCGATTTCAAAGACTATTCCTGTGTTGGTTAACACCAAAGATATCCAACGAAAAGAACGAGAGGCTTTGCTGGGTAGGAAGATTCCTGTGACCAAGCACAATAATGAATCGAAATCTAGAGGTAATGTCAAAGACAACTTATTTCACAGTTGCAAACCTGCCAAGCAGGAGAATAAAGAGAGCCTATCGTCAATGGATAAAACCTATTCATATTACCTAGCTTATCTAAGAGATTCCATTACCATCTTCAAATCGGATCGACAAGTGAAACCTATGAAAGATGAAGTGTGTTTGTCCGATCCTGATATTATTGCAATCAGTGATCACCCCTTTCCGGATGGAGGCAAATCGCCATTCGAGGCAACTAATGACGGCAAAGTGATAGTATGAATACCTCTATTCTCTCACTTGTATTTTGAAATCTGTCTTTTCTGATTCTTTCTAATTTTTTTGTGTTGACATTTTTCATTTTCTTATAATGTTTTCCAAGGATCTTGAAGATGGTATTGAACCTGATGATATATTCAACTCTTCGTTTAGCAAGAAGCTAATGGAAATTCTCAGAAATCCCTATGATGAAAAGGAGTTCTTGAGACTCTATAATGAGGCATCACTCAAGAGACCGTTGACTAAGTCTAGGCAATTACGAGATGGAAGAGAGATTGAATATAATGATCAACACAAGTTGGCACTTTCATATCTCGAAAAGTATACAGGTATATTAATTGAAGCAACTTGTTAAATGTGTTCTTGTAGATGTGTAATGTGCTGAACTATCTTCTCAAAGATAAAACCGTTTAACGTATAACTAAGTTTGTGCGCTATATAAAAGGCTAGCTTGAGACTCAGTCAGCTAACTCTAAGTCTCTAGAGGAAAGCTTGTCATTTATGCAAATCATAATATCATACATCTTTAATTGAATATTGACACTTGTTGGGATCTGCTTATTATTATAATCTGAATATTGCTAAAAATGATGTATTCCATCCATGATGCTTTCTTGGTGGAATTTAATATACCATGTCCTGTAGTTTTACCTTTGTTTTCCACTGAACATATACTCTTATTGCAAACATATTGAGTTTACTTTGGTTTTGATTCTGCAGATTTCAACAAGAAGTATCATCGTTATCGGGAGGATCTTCCTAGAGCTTTGAACCTGTTGCGCGGGTTTTTCTTTTATTTAGAGGTAGAGTTTTCTGTTACATGATTATTTTTCTTGCTACAACATGTGCAAATCGGCGTGAGTGTGCATTCGTCTAGTGAAACACTCTTGTTACCAGAAAACCTTGAACGCAATATTTTATCAATATAACAAAATGAATGTAAGGGTAGTTTGCGCCATGGATTAAATGTCTTTTGTGGTTTACTTTTTCTGCAGAACATAGTTCTTGAAGGTGCATTCAAACCCTGGCTGCATGAAAAACGTTTGACAAATTTGTCTTGATGCTAGAGGGTGCAAAGATATTGTAGGCAACAAGTAACGCGGCACCACACTGCTCTTAAAGTGTAGATCTCAAGAATCTACAATAAAGTCTTGAATGTGAAGCAAAACGAGAGATCCTACATGATTTGTATTTGCTATCTCAAGGCTTCTTTAGGTTCATCACTGTATGGTAGTAGTAGTAGTAGTTTATGACTTCATGTTAAGAGCTGCAGATCTGTGTAGTAATTGCAGCTCTTGATTTGTAAACTGTAGTACTATATTCTATAGCTTGGAAGCGAACTTATTAGTTATTGAAGAAAGGCCAAAAAGCCAAGATTTCATTTATGGGTCTTTTAACACAAAAATATCTACATCATTGTGTTTCTCCCCAGAAAGCAACTTGTATTATACTATATACACACTGGTCACTAGAGACGTATTACCCTACCTACATCACTGAGTTTTGCCCATCAGGCATTAGAGAAACAGAACCTACCAGACTCAGCATAAGAACATTACCTTTGCATTAATCCCACTGGTCTGATTAGCTCGTCTATTGAATCCTGCGCATTACTATCATCAGATACTGATTCCTCAATGCTTGAATCCATGCTCTCACTGGCTTCGTGCTCATTAATATCAAGTCTAATAAAGTCAAGGGCTTCACTTCCTAAAACTTCACTGTCAGGAGCAAGCTCGTTGATAAACATTGGCTCAGACTCTGGAAGATGTTTGTGCGGGGAACCAAAGTAACGCCCACTGACATTTTTGTGCCATGGTTCACTTGCTCTTTTCCTTTTCTTTCCTTTGCTTAGGTTCTTGGGGTGGTGGAGTTTGCATTCAGACCCTTGACGACAAGATCCTGTGGCTTCGAAAACTGGGCAGGTGTATGTGTGCTTCTTCCGACACTGACCATCATTATGTATACAATTCTCATCTTACATCAACATGTCATTATGAGAGAAAAAAAAAAGGAACCAAAGCAATTGAGTGATAAGATAATACAACACAGAGAGTAATATATTCCATGCACTCCTCATGGTATTAGCTTAGTTATTATGCTATAAAAGTAGTCATCAGAGAAATCATTTGGGATGATTAATCACTAAAATACAGACTAGTGTTACGGAAAGGTGAAGATGAATGTCAATAAGGAATAGATGTGTCGACTAATTAAGTCTAATCCTTACCTCATTTCCATCTGCACAGTGGCCCCTTAGAAACCCTTCACATATTGCAGCATTTTGATGAACATGCACATGCCTATATGGACACGGCTCGTTATTGCATAGTCCTGCATTATAGGTATTAGTATCTTTCCAAGCAAAAATGAGACTTCTTACAGCAATATTACCTTGCAGAAAATAATAACAATCAGGCATACTCTCTGGAACCACCTGTGGAGGAACAAGTTAGCCAGTCAGAGATTTCTTGTGAAGGCGAAATATACTACCTCTGGGGCAATGATTTAGTTGTTGAACCTTATGAGTTAATTTGCACTCTGGATTGGCACACAATCCACTCAGGAATTTTGTGCAAACTGCAATTTTTGAAGGATCATGAACATATGGACAATTTCCATCATCTTTGTTGCATTTCCCAAATCTTGTGAAAAACTGGCAGTACTTCATCTTTTTAGCCACTCGCAACCGGATATTGTTCAGGCTCCATCTGACCTTCTCATTTGTCAACACACAAGTTCGTTTCTTTGGATCTCTGGCAAGCTGATTACAATTTCTAATCCAAACAGATCTGCAAAACTTAACTCAGATCTTCAGTTGAGGCTAAAATATGAGCAGTAAATGAATATAATGTGCATCAACCATAACATACTTATCATTTTTGATCACTAATCTCTTTGGATTAGATGATATCTTTGTATCCTTCATAGATTCAGAAGGGCAAGAGCGCGATGAATCAATATCTGACAGATATTCAGGTTTCTTCGAGCCTCTCTCAATGGACTTGGACCACTTGAAGTGTGACCCACCAATACTTAACACTTTGGACTTTGTAAGCGAACACCCATTAGTTGATCTTGTGTAAATTGTATGTCTTTTTCTCATCATCCGCAATTTTCGACTGGAGATGGAATGTTCTGTCATCAAACTAGTGAACAGAGAAAAAGGGGGGCAGATAAAAACATATGGTCACATATAAGGTAAGCATACCTGGCGATGGAAAAAGAACCATTTAGCAGAACCGAGGCTGGATTCATTAATCTTCTCCAGTAAGTCGATCTTTTCCAAGAAACTGGCTGCGGGACCATCTTCTGAAGGCTTATGTGAACTCTATTGGCCTTTCTTGATATTGGTTCTTTCAGCGTCCAGACCAAAGAAAAATTTAAATGATTAAAGGGTCTCACAATAGCTAAAACAGGAAACGAAGATCAATTACTCAATTTCTTGCTTCTAGCTATGGAAGCAAAAACGTGAAGACCACAGATACAAATATATACATAACAGAAAGAAAACAACACAATCTACTGTGAATGCACCTAACATACCAAATTCAGAAAGCGCCAAGCTAGAGGATCTTTTTGACACCATCTTCGCAGCTGTCTGTGAAGTTGAAGCTTCATCAGATAAAAATTTCTCCTGATTAGCTAGGCTCTTTGAATTCCTAACTAGTTGACTTTTACTTCTCTTGAAGTAGCCACCACAGGGAGGAATCCTGCTATTACTTGCACCACGCATATCTGAAGCTGATACAAACTGATTTGCTTTCCTCTTAACATATAAAATTTTACTCGGATTTAAAGATTCCAACTTTGGCGGATTTGATGATCCAGGTAGACCATTGGCAGGCGGATCCATGCCAGGAGATAATGCACATTTCCCTGAAGAAGTACTGTCTGAGGGAGGCATTGAGTGAATTAGCAGAGGTAGTGTGTCTCCTGTTTTCAAAAGAAAATAGATATTGTCAGCTCGACCAACAAATTGCATGCTATTGTCTTCAAAAGTGGAACGATTCAATTGGAGAGCAGAGGCAATCCAAGAGATATCTCACCTAGAGAACCAGGAGATGGTTTCCGAAGAAGACTATTTCCTTTACGTACATAAGTACTACTGGATTGGACAGTCACTTTGGGCTTGACAGCTACCAGAGGGGAGGCCGCAGTAGTGGACTTTCGATCCCATGTGTGATGATTAGTGACACTAATTGGAGGGCTTGCATCCTCCTTAATGTCATGTAGTGGATAACTTTTCTGAGCAGCATGGATACATTTATTTGCCCTCTTTTGTGTTTTCTCACTTATGGAGCTCACAGGTGTCTCACTTTGGGAATCTGGGGGTGGTATATCAACTACATAATCATTGACATGGGAAACTTCACATTTTTCATCTGTATATGAGCGTAATCTGGATAGAAGCACGTCTGAATTACTAGGACACTCATTTCCAGAAACTTTTCCATCAAATGACAGTGCTTCACCAACATAGACATCAGTGTTAATAATATTTAGTGAGACTTCTTGAGAGGCAATATCATATGGTACATCAGTGATGTTCTCTACTGGTTCACCATCTGTCTTTTCAACTAACCCTCCATCTCCATACTTGTCCATAGGGAGTTTACAGGATTCAGTATCTGAACCAGGTGAAGTTTGACCAGAGCAAAGATAATGCCCCAGAGAGCTACCTGACTGGGCTGTCTCATGGAAAGTAATGGTTTGCTCTTGTGAAGCATCTACGAAGTTGTAGCTATTGTTAGTTTTGTCAATCTTAGCAACAGCATGAGTTTCATTCTGTATCTTCCCAGTGAGTAGCCCTGGTAAACTGGATGAAGAACCGGATAGAAACATTGCATCCCCGATAACTGTTACAAAATCAGTCCCTAAAGTCCTGCACTGTAAAGCTTCACCAGTAATCTTTACTTTCTCTTCTTGAATGTCTACATCCATGTTTTCAGCTCTTCCCCGTTCTTCTTCTATACTGTCACAATGAGAACTACAATTCGCTTTGACTGATGATGCAGAATTTTTTACCTGCTCATTCACAGAAACAGAGGGAGAAAGATGACGCGTACTGACAGAACTATCAGGCCCCAAACACATCCTCAAAGGATCAATTACCAGATCTTTATCCACAGAGGACATCCAGAAGGAACCCATAACATCTGATGATCCACATCCTAAATGGTTATTAGCCAAGACCTTACATCCTGCTGAAAATGATTGAGTTTCAAGGAGGGCACATTCCGAATCAGTAACCATTTCAGTGCCAGAACTGCCCATATATCCAATTGTAACACTATTTTCAATTTCCGATACAGGCGAGCAATCACGAGTAGTAGTGGCCTTCAAATGGAATTCACTTCCACCAACATTAGTATCTTTGCTAAGAGAAACATCTGACTGAAATAAACAAGCTTTCAAGCCTCCACAATCTATCTTACAAGATTGATCCACCGATGGAATTTCTGCAGGATCATGGGAACTCAAACCCAGATCATGATCAAGTGCAAGACATACATCTTCCAAATAAGTAGCAGATGATAATCCTCTGTTGAACCCATCAGTCCAACCTTCCTTATTGTTATAAATGCTGCGCAACAATACAGAAGTTCCCTCCACGGGCAGCACCTTCGATGATCCCTTTCCTGCAACATTCTTAGGAGATGAAGAGCTGCTAATTATACAAGTGTGCTTACCTGCGTCACTATCCAGATTGTGATAGACTTCTGCAGTGCTATTAAGAGGCGTAATTTCCATGGATTCTTGCCTGCTGACAGTCTCAACTGATTCATTTTCAAAGGCTTTACTTTGAGAAAAGGTTTTAGTTTCAGCCTGTGAAACAACAGTTCGATCAAGAGAATCAACCCTGGTAGCGGTACTCGTCTCAACAGCGAAGCAGTTATCATTTACCTCCTGCATAAAATTGCTTGATGATAGATCATCCATATCTTTCTTAGGTATCTCATCTTCACAAGGTTGGGATTGTAAACTAGACATGGACTTGCTAGAAAAAGGAACCCCTCCTTGAGGCAGAATAACTTCTCCAGCAGTATAACTAATTACCTTTGGGTTCACTGATTGCTTCTCACTGAAATGAGTTGTGCGTCGAGACCTATCATTCTCTCTACCCTTAACACATGTCTGGTTTACTGTTCCGTGTGTAATGGAACCACGACGCAATGTATCCCCATATCTATCATATCCATAAGCAAAACTTGTTCCTGAACCTAAAGAAGTACAATATCTATCAGAATCCGATTTAAACCGCCAACTATCTCGATAATTTTCCCCAAAGTCATTTATTGCGTATCCAAGACTGCAGAATCCATCCCTTGACCTAGAATAACCATCCAAATCACGAGTGTTGAAACAATCCCTAGTTCGATTCCCGCAGTAGTCTAATTGATAGTTACGTTCCATGTATCCAAACCAATGAGAATGGGCGAAATTCCTGGAGTCCGTACACGAGAAATTACGAGACTGGTGCGAGAAATTCCAAGGAGGCTCATAACTAACATGCAGCGCCGGCGGTTGCGCTTGCGGCTGTGGCTGGGAGTAGTACGAAGGCGGCTGATTAACCGCATATTGCGGAGGAAAATCTTGGCGGTGCGTATAGTTGTGGTAATTGTGATGGTGACGATCGTAACCATTATTAAGGCTTTCAAAATGAAATTGGTGAGAGATATGCGGTGGCGGTGGAGGTATCGGCGGAAAAGGAGCGGAAGGAGGTAGCCATTGGCCGTAGTTAGGGTTCTTGAGAGAAGAATCCATGGCTGATGATTTTTTTAGCCGTTTCTTTCTTTGCTGACTTGAAACGCAGTGAAGGGTTTCACGGCGGAAATTTTAATTACCAGAAAATAAAAGGAAAAAAAAAATCAGATTCCACGTGTATGGCTTTATTCGGCCCAATGGGCCTAATACAGATAGGTTGACCTTTTATTGTGGACTTACTGGACCGAGCCAAATTGGTTAGTCACTTTAAATTCAATTCAAGTCCGAGAAGGAAGACAATTACAAGCATTTCCATTTCGTTTTTATTACCACTGGTCCACTGCTATAAGTATTCCCCCCAAAAAAGACTTACTGGAAATTACAAAACACATCCCAAACAATTGAAATCTACAATTACAATCCTAAACAGGTGAGCAAGGAGGGCTAAAAAGAAACCCCCACAAATCCACCATCCACCCATTTCCACAGAACCCCCTTTGATATGTACACACAATGGTTTCAGTAAAAATGGGCTTTTAGTCGAAGCTCGAAGAACGGCTTGTCCTGCCTTTTAGATAATCCTCAACAGAGACGCCTTGCTCGATGCTTCCCATGGAGATTGAGTCATCTTCAACATCAAGAAGTGCTAAGTTAAGGTGTGATTGCAAGTTTGATCTTTGGCATTGCTCATCTTTGAGCATCTCTGACTCCTCTGATGAACTACTCACTTGTTGCATTGCCCACTCAATCGTGTCTTCATCACCTTTAAGCAGCTTTAATACCTGCATCATTCCACATTCGTTAAGATAAACTACACAGAGCTGTTATTTGAAAAAGGCTAGTAGATATAATATTTTACTTACGATGCTCATTTTTGGTCTAGCTTGAGGGCTACGTCGAATACAAAGAGTAGCAGCTAACGCCATCCTCTGCATTTGGTCATCATTGTTGTTGTTGTTATCCCGCAAACTCGGGTCTAATAACTGAGAATACTTTCCATCATCTAGAATTGGTTTGGCCTGTACATGATCATCATACATACTTGCTTTTAATAAGAGTCTAGAAAAAGCTTGGTTTTGACTTAATTGGTTTGCAGTAATACATACCCACATGACTAGACTCTCTTGTCCCTTTGGACATCCGCTGCTAATCGGTTTTCTTCCCGAAAGTAACTCGAGGAGAACAACGCCGAATGCATACACATCTATCTTATCGTTCACCTTACCATACATGAAGTATTCTGGAGCCAAGTATCTGCAACAAGAACAGAAAGAGTGATTAGCAAAAGAACATTTTCAAGAACTTTCATGAAACATCAGGCAAAACCCAGATTATTCCATACCCAAAAGTTCCCGCGACATCAGAGCAGATAATGTGTGTTGTAGATATAGATGCCCACCTCGCAAGCCCAAAATCAGAAAGCTGGGAACAATGTTTACTTATCTTTTTAGTATTCTTGCGTTTTTGTTTCTTCCTCTTTGATATATGAAAAACCAATAGAATTTGTTTTTACCTGTGGCTCAAAATCATCAGATAATAGTATGTTTGATGACTTAACATCTCTGTGGATGACGGGTTGTGAAGCAGTATTATGCAGGTAGTCCAGTGCCTCTGCTACTCCCACAGCCACTTTATACCTCTCGCTCCAACAAAATGCAAGCGGATCTTTCTTATTTCCTGGTTATGAAACCAAACATTTGTTAGATCAATGATCATAATAGAATCTCTGAGTTACTTAAAAACGCAAGGGCTTGTCTAACAAGTACCGTGAAGGTTCTCTTCGAGGCTTCCTCTTGAGAGATAATTGTATACAAGTAATAGATTGTGGTCTTCAAAGCAAAATCCTAAGAGGGAGATAATGTTCTTATGGTGTAGTGTTGTGATGATCTCAATCTCAGCCACGAAATCATTCAAGACATCTTCGGTTTGCTTGAGAATTTTCACAGCAACCAATCTTCCATTGGACAAACAACCTCTAAAAACCCGGCTGCTGCCACCTTTCCCGATAAAATTATCTGAAATCACATTGAATCTCTTAGTTATAAAACAGGAGGCTTGGAAAAATTCAAGAACTAGAAGCATGTCATTCATATATAAAGGTGAGAAGGACCAACCAGCGGAGAAATTCGATGTCACTGAAACGAGTTCCTTGTACTTGAAAAACCGGCAAGTTGAAGAGAACCTCTCATAAAGTCCCTCTAATTCCTCTGGCAATTTTCTTGGACTATTGTTGATACCAAATGGAACAATTGCGTTTAAGCTTGACAAATTATCTTCAGAAGAATCATAACCAAGTTGCTTAGTATCCCTAGGAGGAAGCTTCAGAGCCCATTGAACTACCGGTATCTGTTTCGACAAAGGTCTATGAGGAGTAACAGATTGTCCTAATGTAGAAACAGCACGACGAAGCAAAGGCCAACCTGGTCTAGGTTCAGGCAATTTCCTAACCAACATAGTTATAGAACCGCCTGAATCTTCTGGACCATTCACAGGCACAATCTCCATTGCTTTGTTGCACTCATCATCATCTTCACTCCTATCAAAATCTGAAGCTCCAGACAACTTTCCAGGAGTTGTTGTCTTGTTCGGAGACAAAGAATCCGAACCACAAACCGAGCAACTCTCCAAACGAGCAGCCGCTAAGACTTGCCGTAGATTCTGGCCACCGGATTGATCCTCATCATCCTCCTTAGAATCTTCCTCAGAATGGCTAACTACTTTAGTAGTCTTATTCAATGTAACAGATCTCTGAAGCACATTCAACAAAGTAATCTTCCGAACATCTTCCTTTCCTAAAACACAACTCAAAACCCAATAACAGTTTTTTCAACCACTAACCCAAAAACAAATTATTCAGATACAAAAATGTAGAAACTTGAGAAAAAAGGTCAAACCTTGAGATTGATTAATGGTAGATGATGGAGAACCTTCTTTTTGGAACAAGATTTTACCATTGTTTACAGCAATAACCCAACAATCCTTTGATAGTTTCTTCGCTATGTACTTAGCTACAGATGCTGATGAACGAATCGTATGGTGACTTTTTGAAATCCCAACTAAAACTTTAGTTGCAGAAAACGATTTCGCTTCTCTAACTATAATCTTTCGAGCAGAGGAACCACGACATAGCTTCAGCTTCAGATCCACCTATAAAGAGGAAAAATTCAACATTTTTATTTGTTTGTTTTCTGACGAAGCTAAAGAAGTAAACAAAGGATCTTATTTTTTACCTGTTTCAAATTGCAGAAACCTTCATAAACGTCAAGAACAGAGTCGAAAGTTTTGACCAGAGAGAGAAGCGAAGAGTTCCCTGCTCGATCCACAATCTCTACACAAAAACCCAAAACCGAAACTTGTGTGTTACAAAACATAAAAATCAAAGCTTTTTGGTAAGAGAAATTCTATTAAGAAAAAACTCAGAAATGTACCATTTCCAAGGATATGAAGAGCGATCACAGTATCACCAGGCTCAGCGACTTTAACCAAAGCCCAAGTGAGTAACTCTCTGCTCGGAGCATCAAGCTTCACGCCGACAAGAATCGTACGACCACCTCCTCCTCCTTCCTCGACGGAGCTCCGTTTATCTTCGCCGGTTTCTATCATCTCTGATGATTGTTTGAATTTCAATTCAAGTGTGCCCTTTTTATTCTGACGTGTGCTTCCCAAAGACAAAAGAACATCGTTTTAAGGATTTATATAACCAAACAAAGACAAGATCTCTCTCTCTCTATCTACCTGCAGAGGCTTAAGTTTTAACCGCAGGTTTGGTTTTGCTTTTGATGCTCGTCACAAAGAAAGAGAAGCAGCCATCTTATTAGAATTTCATTTTCCTTTTTATTTTTTTGTTAAATGATTTTCTTAACCCCACTAGTACTTCACAGTTTTTTTTACTCGCTTTTTTATAAATTATTTATTTCTATCGTTTTCCAATTTTGACATAGTCTTACTATGGCATTGAATCACAACGACAGATACAATTATGTTCTTATTAATTTGCTAATTTTAATAAATTATCAAAACATAAATGTCTCCATTTTCTCCTGAAAAGCCGAACAAAAATACTTATATGGAAAGAGTTGGAACGTACTTTAGAGCTTAGAATACTAAAATCACTATATGCTAAAATATAGTACCTTAAATTAATCTAAGAGTAGTAAGATAATATATTGTTGACAAATTTTTTTGCAAAAATAATAAATAATATGGAAATAAAAAGATAAAATTGTTGAAGTTTTGACTGATATGAATTCAAAATATGTATCAAAAATCTTTCCAAAAAGGAAATTATTAAAATATTACCCTATATAAATTATTTTGATAAAATATACATCTGTTGAGGTTTATCATAAACATACCATAAACTCTTTTATCATTTTTTTTTGTTATCCGTTACATCATTATTATACATATTTGACCTTTTATCATTTTGGAGCATTAACTTAAATATATACAATCTCAGTGTCTCACATTGTTACAAAATGTGGAAACTTTATAAAGGAAAATAAAATTATTGAAATGAAATAGTAACTAAATAGGGTAAAAAAATTGGCTGATCTCAGAATGGGTTGGTGTAAAAAAGCCCGTTTTGTGGCTTAAACATGGCTGGCCCGAAGTTTAAAAAAAAATACCGTCCATGTCATGTGATCCTTCCAACAACCTACACGTGTCAATGTCAGCACATAACCACGTCATCATAAAAACGGAAGATCTTTCCGCCCATGCTTACCGGTGCAGCAGGTAACGTACACAACATTAATTACGTAACTAGACGGCGTTAAAAGTATTCGAAACGCCGTTTCTCATGCCCGAATTTGTTACTTGTGTGTCATCATTGTTTTGCCCGAAGAAGAGAGAGTTAGTTATTGTAGTAACGGAATACCTGCCGTTTTAGTAGCGAGAAACGACACGTCAACTAAATCGGAAAGCCATGCGTCAGCGTCTACCTCATGACCATGGCTCAGGACCCTACCTTCCGTTTCTTCTATCTCCATCTAACTTAATTTTATTTATTTACATTTTCAAGAAATATAAAACAAAACTATACGAAATTGAAATCGAGGAAATGTATGAACCGAATTCAGCTAGTGATTGTTCTTTGTTCAATCATTGTATTGATTTCGGTTTTGGATTTGATTTCTAACAAGATGTATGTCTAGTTTTAACATTTTTTTTGAAAAAAAATCATATTAACGTCACCTAAAATAAATGCATGCATTGTTTGGTACTTAATCAATGATGATGAATACTTCAATGGCAGAGTTGATGAGAAATGAAAGTGGCAACAAACTGAGCTGAGAGAGGTCAAAACATTAACCGGAAGATAGGGAAACGTAGACTACTCAGTTGGTGGCTTTTGTTTCTGCCACGACAACGCCACTCGATCTTAGGAGTATCTTAGTAGTATTTCTTTAATCTTAATTAGTCTTAAACCTAATCATTTTCTGCATTAATTAATTGTACTTGTATCATAAACTCGTAATTAATACATCGAATCGAATGACCATGTCCCAATAATTCGCATGATCTTTGGGAGCCGAATACTTTAAATGATAGTAGCCTTTTATTATAAAAATGTTGGAATCGATTAATATATTACTAGCTTATTGGCTTGTACTAACATAAATGATGATCAATTTAACAAAAAAAAACTTTAGATTAATGATGACAAAAAAAAAAAACTTTAGATTAATGGAGTACTTTCAATTATTTTCCAAAAATCGAATTTGATTTTGCAAAGAAGCGTGAATCATGACCATAAATAATAGCATGTCATTTAAAACGAAGGAGATAGCTACATGGACATGTCACGGTTAGGCCAATTCAAATTATTCAATAAAATTAAATGTGAAGCCAAATAACGAAATTAATATTTGGCCATTGATCAATACCCTTCAATGATTAAAATAAAAACACGTGTATTATTTAATGGATCATTAATTCAAACTTAAGACGAAATGACAATGGACACTACTCACTAGTCTAAAATATCTACATTAAATTAATATAAACCATCAAATAAAAACTCGATTTTGGTTTATGGTACAGAAAAAGAGTTGGTTTAAGATATGTCACAGAACAGGAGATTATTTAATTATTTTAACATCTACGTGAGTAATTTTATGTTTTACAAAACTAGATGCAGCCTGAAGATAAATTCAACTCTTTTTTTTTTTTTTTTTTTTTTTTTTTTTTTTTTTTTTTTTTTAATAATCATCCCAAATTGGGCTTCTCGGTTTTGGGCCCATCAGGCTAAACAGTTACAAAAAAAGATGAGAAAATTTGGAAACAACGTCGGAAAAAGAGATCTGACTCCGACGGCACATCAGAAGCTCAGGATCCCATCTACCACCACCGGCGTTTACAAGAACCACTCCATTGCAACTATGTCGTCAGCTTCGAGACCGTCGACCGGAGTAAACGAATCCGATCTCGAGCCGAATCCGACGACAAGCCAAACCCGGAACAACTCTCCCGAGATAGATCAACCCAGAGACAGCCGCAACCTTGACTCTCCAATCCCTGACCAAGCAAAAAGAGAGACCAAAAACCTAACCCTCACCACCAACGCCGTCACCAATACGAACTCATCCAAAAACACACCTAACTTCAGATCCGGATAAGCAGAAACTTACCTCGGCAGCGGAGAAGGGAGATGGCTCCGTCAAACCTTCAACCACCAAGCCCCGAGATTAGCCATCGCAGATCCAAAAAGGACCCGTCGAAAACCGCTTGTCAAGCAGAGAACCCACCATCCGATACTCAACTTCCGCAACAAACCACAACATCATTCACATGTAGTCGAGCCGTGAGATCTTCTCCCCGAAACCTCCAGCGCCCTCAACCAGAAGCAGTATCGGAGGATATCCATCTCGTGACCACCGTGAACTCTGCCACCGGTTCGCATCAAGCATCGGAAAAACCACGCCACGACTCCGCCGGAGAAGGAAGGCTGTCCACCACTGCTTCGCCGAAGGACATTACACCGGCAGTGAAGAACAGAAGTAGAGATGGGGAGGGAGAAGTCACACACTCGCCGACAAAGTTGCCGGAGGAGCAGCCTCTCCCTCAGATCTAAAAAGCGGCTAGGTTTAGAAGAGAGAGGTGAGAGCTTTTATTTTTTTGGGCCTCTCAAAGGCCTATAAATTCAACTCTCTTCGGTATACAAAACAATTACTAACACAAATGACTAGGATATATGAACAAATCTGCAACTTATATGCATGAAGTTGATGTTTCTCTAACTTGTTCATGAAAGTCTTGAAAAACTCGTTTTTGTTTTTGTTTTGGGGTGAATGATTACTTTTGGACCTACTATGAACTAAGATGCTTCTTCTACCTACTATAATTTATTTTTCTTGGGTGAAAAATGAGTAGAAAAGAGAAGACAAAATCTTGGTGACAACATAAAAGTTCTTAAATTCAATAGATTTATGATGAATGGGACCTTTATAATATTTTTGGCTAGTTACGTGTCACAATTTTGGATGCTTTTATTTATTGTCTCTTCTATTTTAGAGGTTGGTATTATTTTTGGTCCATGCATAATGAAATATCCATCGTACTCTAAAACATTTTACGAGGGATCATTTTAAATAGTTTCTGCTATAATATTATATGGGCTTATAAATTATGAGTGAAATTGGGCCCAGATTCAATATCTTATTCTAACTTTCTCGGCAATCAATTTTGGGCCCAAAGAGAGGGTTTATTCTAATCTTTCAATTTTTTTTTTTTTTTTTTTTTTTTCATCTTTTATTCTAATCTTTCAAAGCTTCTTCAATAGCTCCATATATCCACGCATGATCATCTCCAGTTGGGATTCCCGCATTTTACCAATCCATCTGTACATATTTCGGGTTGTGATTTTGCCACATGATATGTGTTGGATTATATGAAGGAAGAAGAAAATTGAGAAAGAGGAAGAAGAAAAGAAATGTGATATCAAAACCCTAATAGGAAATCATAAAACGACACCATACTATTATTGAACGACTGTCATATCTTATTTTCGATTTTGTATATTTTTTTTTTAAATTTAATTTTCTTGGCCAAAAGGAAGAGAGTGAAAGTGCCGGGATTTTCATGGATATTTCTATGTAAATGAAAATTTAAAAGTTTAAATTATACGTATATATATATATATATATATATTATTTATTTTTTTTGAATTGACAAAATAAACACAAGTAAAACTATACTATTATTTTCATTATGCAATACAAATTCATTTTTTTTTTTTTTTTTGTCATCCGAAATTAATTAGAGCTCAAAAGAGCCATTCCTGAGGAATGTTGTTTACATATGTGATATGAAGCGGTTCTGTACGAACTTTTCGTGCCAGATTATCCGCCTTAACATTAGCCCTACGAGAAATTAAAGATAAAGAAAAAGATGAAAATTCCTCCTTGTCGCTCTGAAATTCCTCCAAGTACACTGAAAATGCCGGCCATTCGGTTGGAGAAGACACCATCTTCACCAGGTCTGAACAGTCTGTAAAGAACGCTACCTCTTGATTATCTGCACCAATCATACACTTCATCGCCCAGAGAAGGGCCTCGATTTCGGCATGTAGTGGAGATAGACTTCGACGGAGGTTCGCAGCTCCCATGGTTGACGGTTCTCCATTTGACGATGTACAGAACCACCCTGTACCGGAGAACTTATCACTTTCTTTCCATGATCCATCCACAAAACAACGGTATCCGGAATAATTCGATTCAAGTGGAACTTCCCTCACTCGAATTCGATTTACCAAGTCCACAAAACCATGATTTTCATTATGGAGCTCAATTTGAGCTGATTGCCACAATTGTGCCTCTTTTTCCGCTAATCGTAATACCTCTATTGGGTCTGTATCTATGTTTTCAAAGATTTTTTCGTTCCTTGCTTTCCAAATATACCAAATAATCCATGGGAATGCTGATGAATCAAATTCCGAAGGTATTCTCCAAAATAAGTGATCCAAATTCGCAAAATTAGATTCTGTGGGAAAAATCCCCATAGCCGTAGGAATCTGTGAAAGCGCCCAAGTCTGCCGTGCCGGGTGGCACTGAAAGAGGGTATGATTGATCGTTTCCTCTGGTGCACCACATCTGGCACAGCTCGTGTCACAATCAATTCCTCTTTTCCGTAAATTTTCCGTAACCGGTACACAACCTGTTAAGATTTGCCACAAAAAATGACGTATCTTAGGTGGACATTGCACTTGCCAAGAATGTGCTTTTAAAGGGTTGATATCAGGGCCAATAAAGGTTAAATTGGTCTCCAACTTCTCTAACCGTGTGGTATGATATCCCGATTTGACTGTATATTTGCCAGATTTTGTAAAATGCCAACCCAAAGAATCTTCCTTTGTTGGCGCACCCACGTGTATGGCGCTTATTAGCGCGACATCTTCTGGATCAAAGATCGCTTTTAAGAGATCAATATTCCAAAAATTCGTCCGACTATCTATAAGGTTATTAACTTTTAAAGATGGGTCAGAAACTGAACCATTACTTTTTGCTGGTCTCGGGAATTGAGCTGGAATCCAGGGATCCTCCCAAACCGAGATGGATGTCCCAGATCCGACTCTTTTAATAAGTCCTTTATTAACCAGAGATCTAGCTGAACATATACTCCGCCATCCATATGATGGAGAATATGATTTTATATTTTCCAAAGGATTAGATTTCCTAAAATACCGTCCTTTAAACACCTTTGCGAAAAGAGAATCTGGAACCGTAATCAACCGCCATAATTGTTTTGCTAGTAAAGCTGAATTAAAATCGTCAACATTCCGAAAACCTAATCCCCCTTCCGATTTGCTATTGCACAATTTATTCCAAGCCATCCAGTGCATACCTCTGGAATCACCATTTGAGCTCCACCAAAAATTAGCAACTGCGCTAGTAAGTTTGGAAGTGATTGTTTTAGGTAGTCTGAAGCATGACATAACATAAGTTGGTAATGCTGCAGCTACCGATTTAATCATCACTTCTTTTCCTCCTTTTGATAAAAATTTTGCCGACCATCCGTTAATCCTTGTTTGTAGTCTCTCTCTGACAAAAGAGAAGATTTTTGTCTTAGATCCTCCTAAACTCTCCGGCAACCCAAGATAAGAACCCATACCACCGATATTAGTGATACCTAAGGTAGATTTGATTTCGTCCTTGATATCATCATCTACCTTATGTCCAAACTGAAGCGAGGATTTTAAAAAAATTAATCTGCTGTCCCGAGACCGCTTCATACTTCTTTAAAATTCCCAAAATTACCCCACACTGCTCCTTGTTGGCCTTGCAAAAAAATAAACTATCATCCGCAAATAACAGATGTGAAACCGAAGGGCTTGCGTTTGCTACTTTGATACCCGTAATTAATTTTTCCCGTTCAGCTTTCCGAATATTCGCAATTAGCACTTCTGTGCAAAGGATAAATAAATAAGGTGAGAGCGGGTCTCCTTGTCGTAAACCCCTCTCTGGTACTATTAGTCCTCTAGGTTGTCCATTAAGGAGAACTCTATATTGGACCGTTGTAATACACCACATTATCCATTTAATCCATTTTTCACAGAAACCCAATTTTCGTAAAACCTTCTCTATGAAAATCCATTCCACCCTATCATAAGCCTTACTCATATCCGTTTTAATTGCCATGAATTTTCCTTTACATGACGGATTAGTTCTCAACCCATGAAACATCTCTTGTGCAATGAGAATATTATCCGAAATTAGTCGTCCCTCTACAAAAGCCGATTGTGTTTCCGAAATCAGTTTTGGTAGAACTGTCTTAAGTCTTTGGCAAAGAATCTTCGATATAATTTTATAGCCAACATTGCAAAGACTTATAGGCCGTAATTCCGTCATCCGTGTCGGTCTTTCCGTTTTTGGAATCAGACAAATATTAGTCGTATTTAACCGTTTATCAAAAATTTCATCCTCTAAAAAAGAGTTGACCAGAAAAAGAAGATCCGTTTTAATAGTAACCCAAGCCTTTTGAAAAAATAAGGCTGTCATACCATCAGGCCCTGGTGCTTTTTCCGGATGCATCATAAACAGAGCCGTTTTCACCTCACACTCCGTTACGGGTGCCGTTAGAAAATTATTAACCTGATCTGTAATCTGAGTTTGAACTTCTGCCAAGGATTCCTCAAAATCCTCAGGCTTAGTTGTAGTAAACAGATCCTTAAAATACGATACCGCTATGTTTTGAATATCTTTATCCTCTGCAGACCAAATCCCGTTTTCATCATGTAAGCCCGTAATTCGATTCCTTGCCCGTCTCTGTTTTGTTAAAGCATGAAAATACTTTGAATTATTATCCCCTAATTTCATCCAAAAACTCCTACTTTTCTGATGCCAATACAATTCCTCATCTCGATAAGCCTCTTTCAACCGCATTGTTAATTCTGTAATCTCCTCTCGTGGTCTCCTATCATCTCTCTGTGCCACATATAATTCCGATTTTAGTTCCTCAATTGTTTGCCGTCCGTAGGGAGTTAATTCTTTCCTCCACTGCGAAATAGCCCGCCTACAGTTAGTCAATTTTTCCACAAATTTTCCCTCTCCTAACTCAGTATCAGAATTCCAACCATTTGAAATTGCTTCTAGTAATCCTTCCTTCCCAATCCATCTCTTGTCAAACCTGAAATTTCTTTTCCCACGTGGTACCTTATCCATAAGCGTAGCTACCACCGGTGAATGGTCTGAAGCTACCATTGGTAAATATTCAACGAAAGAATTGCAGAATAATTCATGCCAATCTTCGTTTGCTAAAGCTCTATCCAATCGACACCGTATTGGTTTTTTATCCCGCCAACCCCGCCAGGACAACCAATCTCCGATATATGGAAATTCCAAAAGACCGCAATTTTGAATCATTAAATTAAAAGGAATAAAAGAAGATGCATGTCTTAAATTACCACCTCTTTTCTCATGATTTCCGGTTAACTCATTAAAATCACCTATTAAAAACCAAGGTGTGTCCCTAGTCAAACCGATCCGTGTTAACCGTTCCCAAACTTGATCTCTATTTTTCGGAACCGGGTCACCATATACGAAAGTAAGATGTATTGTTTTTCCTTTTACTACCGCCTCAACATCAATTAAACGATTACTTTCATAAATAATGGAAACATTAAAATCATTATTATAATATAGAGCTAAACCGCCACTACAACCGATAGGATCAACCGTTTTTAAATTTTTGTAACCAAAATGACCGATAAATTTTTCCATAAAAAAAGAAGATTGTTTTGTTTCCGAAAGAAATAAAAAATCTGGCCGGTGTTGTTTCCATATATCCCGAAGATAACCGATAGTTGCCTTATTCCCAAGTCCTTGACAATTCCAACTCAAAACCTTCATTTAACAACCTTTGTGTTTTGGTGGTTTGTCACCACCCGCCATCCCCTTCACCATGTCCTGGTTCCTCGGGTTCCTGCCTTCCGTCACCTGCTTCACTCCCTTTTGAACATGTCTCCTCCGTGGAGATGTCAGTAAATGGGCATTACGCTTCATAAAACTAATCCCTTGAAGGCAACTTGTTCCTTTCTTGCGTCCCATACCCCCATCTGCCCCGTCAGCCACCAATTGATTCTCAGCCTTCAGCTTCTCCTCATTATTCTCAGAGTCCATATCTTCCTCGTCACTGACCTGATTCGTATCAACCTTATCACCATCCTCCGCTAGCTGCTCTTCCTCAACTTCCCCCAGATTTTGATTCTGCAAAGACTCAATTAACCTTATTTGGGATCCCCATATCTCTGAACCAAGTAAATACCTTCCAAAAAACTTCCTAAAAACCATTAGATTCCTCTCAAAGAGTATCGGGAAATCGAGATATTGTTGCTCACTCTTCTCAGATGCCTCCAGACTTTGGCTCTGTGGCCCAACAGAAATTATAAACCGGCATGACTCCTTAGCCGTCACCGCCATTGAGATTTCCTCTTCAATTTTTGGAAAAGCTTGTACTTTCAAATCTCCCAAGACCCTATCCAACGTGAAACCAGAAAACCTCAATACCAACAGTCGAGACTCCCAGTTCTCTGCCTCCGTAGTCGAGATTTCCATTTCAATTATTGGAGACAAAAGCGAATCAAAGACACCACCCTTAATATTCACTAGAACAAACCCGTAATCAAACGCTTCAAGACTCTGGCTCTGTGACCCAACAGATACTAGAAAACAGAAATACTCCCTAGCCGTCACCACACCTGAGCCTTCCTCTTCAACCTTTGGATGAGCTACTTGCAAAACTCCTAAGACCACAAGCCGCTTGAAGCTTGAAGATCTCAAACCCAAAAATCTAAACTCCCACGGAACTTCATTTTCTGTCTCCTTAGTCGAGGCTGCCATCTCAACCGTTGAAAACCGAACCGAGACAAACAAATCACCATTAAGAGACACCAAAGCAGACCCATAATCCTTCCAATCCCTCTCCGGGACCAGACCTGACCTTAATACCTTGAATCCGATTCGGATAACACTCAAAACTTCTGCTCCTTCCTGAGACCAGATCCAAATAAGCCGAAAATCCTTCATCAGTCCTAAAGGAAGAACACCGAATCTCTCCAAGATCAACCCATTAGCCCTCAACACCAAAACCAAACAAACACCGAATCTCTCCAAGATCAATCCATTAACCCTCAAAACCAAAACCAAACAAACCCCGAATCTCTCCAAGATCAACCCATTAACCCTCAAAACCAAAACCAAACAAACACCGGATCCCTCCAAAATCAATCCATTAACCCTCAAAACCAAACGAAAACCATGAATCCACACACTGGGACTCCATTTCGAAACATCAATTAATCGAAACAAGAGACTCCGATCAAAACCCCTCATGGTTGGGTACTAAAACCCTAGAGGCGCCTCCATCGCCGTCAGTGTTCTTCGAGAGCTTTTCAATACAAATTCATTTATATATATATATATACTTTTTTTCTTTCTCTACTATATTATCCAGTGGCAGAGCTAAGAAATTGATTTATAGGGGTCAAAATGTAAGAAAATGATTTTATAGGGGTCAATATGCTAATAGAGCTGGATTTTATATAGAATTTGTAACAAAAATAAACCAAATTTTCAATTTTTATAGGTGTCATATTGACCCCTTAAATATACACTACCTCCGCCCCTGATATTATCCCTTCTAAATAATGGAAGAAAAAAGAAGCTGATAATTTGGATGCAATAATAGAGCCAATAATTTAGGTGTAGTATGTAAAAGAAAAAGATGAAGAAGTTGGCAGAACGACTGAAAAGACAGATATACCCTTGAGGGACACTGTGATCACTAAAACGCTTTGACTTCGACAGATAGTTGACCATAACCACGTGGCAACATCTGAGAGCGAGTACACATGTACATCAAACGTAAGCAGTGGAGAATTAGATACTCTCGCACTTTCCTAATTTCTTTTTGTTTCAGACCAAATCTTAGCTGTAATAGTAGTACTTGTCTCTCCCTTCGAAAAAAAAGAAAGAACAAAGCTTTTAAAGAAATCTTCAATTCGAGAAACTAGACGAAGGTTTCTCTTTTTTCGTCTAGTTTGTTTGATTCAGTTCTTGTTCATCTTTCTTCTCGAAGGTGTTCTGTCTTTCTTTGGTAAGTCTTTTTATTTCTTCAGTTATACAAGTTAAATCACCAAGTACCTCTGTCTTTGTCTTTGTTTGCTTCAATCTCTGCTTGAAGCTGTTCTGCTATGTTCTTTGTGCTCTCAACCTGATATGTTTGATCAGATTCCTTCGATATCATTCTTATGAATCCCCCTTTATTGAAGTTTCAGGTCTGTGAGCTCAACAATTTCTCCTTTGTTGAAATAATTTTTCAATTGATGATTCTTTTGTGGATTTTAAGTTGCTTGAATGTTAACCTCACTGCTCCAATGTAATTAGAATCTACCCTGTTTGAATAATATGGTATAGACCTGGACTTGAATTTGAATTTGTTTCTTATTTTAAAGTTGCAGCTTTTGGACAAATAGTTGGAGGGAACTGGTCTCAAGTAATGCAGTTATATCATCATCCTTACTCATTAGACAGCCAAAGAGTGAGACTAGCTTTGGAAGAGAAAGGCATTGATTACACATCATACCATGTGAATCCCATCACAGGCAAGCACATGGACCCTTCCTTCTTTAGGATGAATCCCAACGCTAAACTTCCCGTTTTCAGGAATGGTTCTCACATCATTTTGGACACTATTGAGATCATAGAGTATGTTACTCACCATTATTAATACTCTCCCTTTTGGTGATTTAAGTAATTAAAGCTTTTGTGGGGTTATGAATTTTGTAGGTACTTAGAGAGAATAGCTGAGGTTTCCTCTGGTATAGAGGATGCTACTTTTGGCAGAGAAGTTCTTGAATGGATGCGGAAGATTAGGGAATGGGACTCCAAGCTTTTCACTCTTGCTCACATACCGGATAATCGTCGCCTCTATGTTTCCAAGTTCTTGAGGATGGTTGTTATTGCAAGGATGGCTGAGTCCCCAGACTTAGCTAGTGCTTACCATAGGAAGCTAAGGGAAGCGTACGATACAGAAGACAAACTAAAAGACCCTGGGGCCTTAAGGAGAAGCAAAGACCATTTGCTTAGGCTTCTAGATGAGGTTGAAACAAAGCTAGAGGGGACAATGTATTTGGCAGGGAATGAGTTTAGTATGGCTGATGTAATGCTAATCCCGGTGCTAGCTCGGTTATCGCTCTTGGATTTGGAAGAGGAGTATATAAGTAGCAGGAAGAATCTTGCTGAGTATTGGGCTGTTGTGAGGAGGCGGCCAAGTTACAAGAAGGTAATTGGAAGGTACTTCAATGGCTGGAGAAAATATGCAACACTTGTAAAAACTTGGATGTTTGTTAGAGTCAGAAGTTTGCTCAGAAAATACTGATTTGTCAAAAATTTGGTTTGTTTTTTTTCTTTTCTTTTTTTTCCACTTTCATTTTACAGGACATTGCTTGTAAAGTCGAGAAAAAGCTTATTACCCATATTTGATCACCAAAAATGAGAAAAATATTTTATTTAAGAAGTTTGCGATGCAAAGATCTCAGGGTAATATCTTTGCAGAAGCGAATAAAGATTAAAGAATGTGATTTCTTTTACATTGAAAATGTGACTTTTAATTGTAAAAGAATTTAGAATATACTAAAGAAAGAAAAGGTAAAGAAAAGAAACGCACATGACTCCCCTAAAGGGGATTGATTTTCCTATGAGCCAAATAAACCAATCAATCACTGTAATTCTCCTTTAAGACCTGCACTGTCTCCATTTCAACTTCATCGACTGTACTTCTCTAAAATTATGAATGCTTAACTGTTGAGCTTCTTCTCTAAAGTTAGATTCCCAGGTATAGGGCTGTTTACTGTTTTCTCCCACCCGTTGTTCCGCAGCCATGGAGGAACGTTCTGTTTCTGTTGCCGAAAGTAAGATGTTCCTATATCAAATGAACTCTCTCTCTTCCGGTTTGGAGCAGTTGAGTCAGTCACAGGTGTAGCCGGTAAGATCTCACTGGAGTAAGTCGGGTTTCGAATGGAGGAGGAACAGGCTATTACATTTCTCTTAGCGAAAAACTCACCATGAGACACTGGCGGTAGAGGTGGAAATGGATAGAACGGCATCCCAGGAGCAACAGACCAGGTGGTCCGGTCCTCTTTGCCGGGTGAACCAAATTGATGAACAATGCTAAGTGGGATCCCATAGGAAACTGGTAAGCGAGAAAGGAACTTTTGTTGCGGCTGTGCAGTAATCGCATCAGGCACATCTGTGCAGGGTGATGAAAACCCGGGTGGAAGGTCCTCTTGGACATCCTGATTACCATTAGTTTCACCTGTTTGTTGAGACGAGATAGTCATGGTTCTTTGTTCTTTTGTTTTAGACGGCTGGTCCCATCTGCTTTTGCGCTTGCGTCCATTTGTCTCAGGAAGACTGGAATTAGGTTCTGAATATCCCTCAGATACAGATGCTGTTTCAGGAGTTGCAGCCATTGATGGTGTGACAGACGCAGCTGGTTCTGCAGGTCTTGGGGACTGATGTTCATATCGAGGTTCTTGTGATGCTCTGAACCTGCTGTTTATAGGTGACCTCATAGACTCCGATCTCTCCTCCCTGTCGATGCGCCAAGGTTTTCTAAAATGCTTAGGTATCCATCTGTCTCGGAAGCTCCGTGCAATTCGATGAACCTGCATAGACATGAAAATAATTGGAAATTAAAAGCTAAACCCTAGATACTCATCTGTTCAAGGTCCAAAAATACGGATCACTAAAACAAATCAGGAGTCCAAGATTCAATACAGTTTCATAAGAGTAAAAGGGATGCCTGGTACCGTTATGTCTGCATGCTCGGTGAATGATAGAATAGAGTCCTTAAAGCTGCACGTAGAGAAACATTTTAATGTCATATTGTGTCCTACGAGAATCTGAAGAACTAAGAAGGTGTAAAAGCAAGGTTCAATGAAGACAGATGAAACTATATTTGGAACCAGGTGACAGTTCAAAATTCTAGCAAGTTACTTAGAGAACCAGATTAGTATGAAAAGGTAAAGCAATTTACTAGACAGCCAAATTTCAACTACTATACTAGTGACAGCATCATTTCTTTTCAATTTTTTGATATGTTAGTTTCCACTCGATCAAGGATAAGAACCAATATCTGGTCGATTAAACTTTACTAACCTTTCCATCCCTACGCAAGGAGGCCTTCTGATTATATGCTCCAGTGCAAGGATTTCCCTTGTGGCAAGATACTCTAACACCTGAAAGTAAATTCAGTTATATTGACTTGTAAGCAAGCTTAAAAATTTCAAGGAAGCATCAGAAGTTAATTTCAAAATTTCTGCTATCCACATTGCCTAAGATGTAAGAGGAACTGCCTTTGGGTTTGAATTTATCATTAACCAACGTGATGATACGACAAATTTAAAGATAACCACTGCCAAGTGTGTTTGTTATAAGGAATATACCTTCAGAAGTTTCCGGAGTATTGGGATCCTTTTAAAATCACTCCGGTATTGTTTCATGATATTATGTAACATTTGCAGACCTGGATGTGTTTGGGGGTTATTTCATCTTTACGAGATAAGGAAAGTTTATAAGATTAAAAAAACAGATAAGAAACATGGACAAAACTAGAAGAAGACTGACGTACCATTCTTGTTGATTACGTCAACTAAAACAGATTTGGACTTTGTCTTCAAAAGGGCATCAAGAATCATTGAAAGATCTCGATTGCTGCAATAGGTTCACAAACATCAGTAATTTTCAGACACAGGATGCAGAGTTTGATAAATCTACAATGGGAACAGAGATAAGCAGGTCAGATTCTTGAAGACCTATGAACTCCTTCCGTGCCTCGGGAAGCGGCAGTGAGCAGCAGAAGTTTCAAGTAGCCTTTTGCTGAATCCTATTTGTGTAAGAAAAGAAAACCAACTAAGTATGCACTGCTGTTGCTCGATAAAGGGGAAGTATTAAGAATAAAGAGAATTATGCCAAGGATGTAGCAAGGAAAAAAAAGTGCAAGATCTTACAAATCCCACTAAAAAACTACCTTAGAAAGGAACAAAATGTGATGTCTTAACCTTATAACATAACTAATTGAAGTATAGACTTAAGGAGTAATGCTATATAAACTTACCCTCCGCTTGCTTATCCCTCCTACGGCATCTAGTAACTCGTTCAGTTTCCCTTCAACTGCAAAATTGGTGGTGCTATTAGCGAATATGACTGCATGGTGATGGTATCTTAACAATTCACGTCTAAAACTAGTACATTACATGTTTCAATACGCCCGCTGGAAGAAACTTCCTCCGATCCTTTAGATTTGATAGGCTGCTGTTGCAACTTATTGACTGGTATAATCTGTGCTTTGTTAACACCAGGAAAAATACCTCCTTTGTCTCGCTTACTAGACACAGATGAGCGAGAAGTTTTCATACGAGGACGAGGACGAGACCGTGGAAGTATCTTTTTATCTTCTCCCGATCCATGCTTTGTCGTCATATCAGTATTTGCACCACCCGAGGACAGTCTGCTAAGAGAACTGGACGTGGGAGATGTGCTTTTAGTCTTCTTTTCAACAGGAACCTCTTGCTGGACAGCACTAACAGCTATGCCTGACGGAAGTTCCTTCAAAACTTCAGTTGGCTGAAGAAGAGGTGGAGGAATTTCTCTCTCAGGAAGGTTTACAGATACTGAGCTCTGTGATTGGGCATTATCAAGAGCAAGGTCCTTGGAACCATTAACCGTTTCAGAGTTCTGTGGCATTTGCTCGTCAGCGTCATCAATGAAGGTCCTAGATGTTGCATCTAAGATTCCTTCTCCACTTTCATCATCATCAAGGATCACAAGTTCAGGATACTCTTCATCTGAATCACTTTGAATAATTACATCACCATTCAGAGGATCTCCTCCAATATACCCTCTGCAATGTGATGATCCACAATAGCACTTTTTGGCGGCAGCACCAAAAACCCTCACATAGTTGTAGTCAAATGTCAACTCTTGACCCTGGTAACGAACCAGACAAATTAAAAACTACTGAAATGATACTCGCAGAGTAGCAAGCGCAGAAGAGCCTACCTTCTTAAGGTCTTTCATGGAGAATATTCCAACGCAAATTTCACCATTCACCATCCACTGCAACAACATTTAAGAAGTAACAAATGAAAAACATACACATAAAGTAGGAAAAGTGGAATACCTTAACAAAAAATAAAGAACCCGACGAGCTCAAAAAAAAATTCCAACTCAGATCACTGAATTTATAATCAGACCCCGATGCATGATATCGCACAGAACACTTTGTAGTCACCTTTTCAGTACGGCAGTTTGGTTCACAGCTATGGTTAATGAAACGCCCTAGGTTTCCCTTTGCACCAGCATCTATTACCTGCATTAAAAAATTAAAGAAGTTATTGCAAGGTGCAACATAGAGCACTATTAGTATCCACCACACATTTTTTATTCAACAACTCCACACAGCTTTAAACAGCAAATTACAAACCATTTTAATCAAAGATGAAGAAAAAGAAGCAGCTGGGTCATTAAAAGAGAAGATGGTTACCTCATTCCCATTTAGTGTCATGAAATAGAAATGTTTCTGACCCTTGCAAGCATATTCTTTTTGGCGAGTATCATAGGATTGCATATCAAGCACCTGTTATAAATAACACACAGTATACGAATGTATTAATAAAACACACAGATAAGGAAAAAAAATAGAGGCTGAAAAAAGCCAATCTACAACTGATCACATCCACCAAGAGTTGAAAGATCATCTCAAACACACCTCTCCAACATATTCAATAAGGAATTGCCCCTCTCGTACATCTTCGAGCAATCTCAGGCCATAACCCTTCTTACCGGATTGGAATCTCTCAAACTTAACATACTTCCGTTTTTGAAACTGCAGAAATATGAGCCAGAAGATTGAGAATGATATAAATGACTGTGAATGTAACCCTTTCGCTAGCAAACAAGACATTATACCTGCTGATTTGAACACAAATCGCCAGCTGGGCAGGTACCTTGAAGACATTCAATGTTAAGCATTCTATTGAGGCATTCTTCTCCACAACCCAACCTACCATCAGGTGGTGGTTTGCAGTGACAAACCATTATCTGTCCAAAATAGAAGGGAACACGATAGCTGAGTAGTAATCAGGAAAAGGAAAAATATTGAAAGCACTAGTATAATTTCTGCTAAAGCATTGCTGACATAACAAATAGGCAAAACACAAAGAAATTAACCTCATCAATTGTTTGAGATTTACGATTGCGATGAAGAAACTGGTTTGTTTTTATAGCCTTGAAGCACGCCTTTTGCTTACCTGCAAGAATTACGGACATAAAAACAGATTAAAAAATAAATAGATGGAAAATCAAATATTCTAGCCAAGGGTACTCTCAAGGTTCCCCCATGTTGAATTATAAGAACCTGTCAAACGCTTGCTCTTTTGTTCCTTTTCTTTCCCTCTTTTAGCCGCATCACAATCATATGCATCTGCTTCATCCTGTCCTATTCCCAACTCATCATTAATTTCTTCATTTGACATCTCTTGAGATTTTGAGCAATCCGCAAAATTTTTATCTGAGTTGTTCATACAGATCCTTTTAACAATAAAAACTCCATATTAGTATAGAGAAAGACTTCAACAGATTACAAAAGATGAATGAAGTAGCAGTGTGGAAAGGATAAAAAATCATGGGTCAAACAGATACGAACAGGAAGTCCAAATGTGATGCATCAAAAAGATGAAAAGACTCCATGCTGATTATATATTTGAGACTCAATCTCAAGTATAGCAGATAAAATTTGCACTAAGAATTTTCAAAATTAGCAAATTATATTATAAGAAACCTATTAGGCACAGCAGAATAAAACATTAGATAAAGTAGGTTAACTTTGATACAAGTGCGACAAACACTAAGTTAACACAAATTTGTAAACCCCCAACAGGACTAACTATCATACGCAACACACAGGAAATTGTTGATAAACACATCCACTCAACATGTAACGAAAAGAATAATGTACAAGAACTCGTAAGGGGACACAACACGATAAACTAGTCAGAACAGTGTGTGGCACTACTTGGGTAGCAGTATATCCATTAAACGAGATGAGGAGACATTAATTTTAAGGCTAAACAAGCAAATTTCATGAACTTAATTAATCAAATACGAAGGCACTGTCCAGTAAAAGCTGGCCACATTCATCCACAATTATGATCACGTGACAAAGTAAACGAAAACAAAAAGAGGAGAACACGTAGAAAAACACAATCATCTGAAAATTTTATTAAAACCAAGTTCATATTCGATACGAAATGATACATACCATCTGGAGCTCTCGTCAATTGATCCTACAACAGAACCAGGTATTCGTCGCCATTTAAAGCAATCATCACATCGAACCCAGGCACTCTCTGTGGAATAGCTATCTTCAATAGTAACATCCACAACCGTTTCCACATTGGTCACATCTGATGATATGGTACCATAAGTGGCACTGGTTTTCCCAATATCAGCATCTAGAAGGGCACCTATTACATGATTCACATAATGCGCAACTTAAAAAATTTGTGTATTCAAAAGAGTGGAAGCATCATAAAGAAATGGAAAACATTGAGATTCTATTCAACTTCAAGTAAGTAAAAAATAGTGTCCTCAAATTCTTGGGAAACAAGAAAGGTGTAAAACATGGGCAATAATTCTTAGAGCTAATCAAAAGAGTAGTACCTGTTGTTTTGTGAGACTCTATTCTCCCTACTTCAAGATAATCACTATCATCCCTTCCAGTACTGGTATTCAGGGATTTGCGTTGCTCTATCCCCTCATGTGATTCATTTTTTCTCCCGTCTTTGGCAGATTCGGAAATCTTGGATTTCCCTTTCTTTGTTCCATTACTTTTAGACTTGGAATGTTTACCTTTTTTTGCACTGGGAATTAGATGTGAACCATTTTCCGAAGGAGATTTTGAAGCCAGCAATTCATCTTCTTTTTCTACTACTCTGTTCTTCTTGACCACATCTTCTGGAGTGGTGAAAAAACCATGATGCAGACCCTCTTTATGTTCAATATTGACAATGGATTCAGGCACAGAGTTGATAACTTCAGAATCTGGTGAAGTTTCAGCGTCCAGGGACCGTGTTCCAGTGGCCCTCTCGCACTCTTCAACCATTATAATAGAGGAAAGATGTGGGTCATCATCTAAAACATCACCACCCAGCTTCCTACATAAACCCCCAGCGTCTTGATTATTTTTCTTATCCCTCATAGAATCAGATGACTGCAGATATGAAACTTTCTCCACAGAGTTGCTTGTCTCTACCAAGTCCTCTCTTGTTTCCACAGTTTGCAGTTTATCCTCAGCAAAATTTGCTGATCCTGGCAATTCTAAACATGTTCCTGCTTTAACAATACCATTAGCAGGCAAAGAGTTACCACTGACCTTAGAGACTGTAATGTTCAGAGGATTTTGGCCACCTGATTTACCAAATTTAACTTTCAAACGAAGGCAAGAGCCACTTGATGCTTGGATGTTTCTGTTAGATCCTTCAACATATCCGTTATGAGAGCTTCTATTATGCTGTCCATTATTAAGATTGCCCTGAGGTCTCTGTGGTTCATGATGCGGAGGTCCATCATAGGGAATATTTTTGCTCTGTAAGAAGATTTCAGTGGTCTTGCTTGGTAATCCCCACTCAAATGAACGGCTTGTTTTTAAAAGAGAGCTCCTTTTCTGCTTTGAACACTTGAAAATTGATTCAAGGTTTCTTTCTGATTGTTTCTTTCTAGTGGATTTTCTTGGATGGCGAGCACTCATTTTTGTCTGCGCCACTTTACATTGTTTACCATCTCGGGCCTTCCTTCGGGAAGAAGACAAGCCAGTTTCACAAAAATTAGTCCCTGATGCAGAAGCAACTTCACCACCTACTCTGCCATTGTCGTCTATTATTCTGAGTGGCTCAACTGCATTGTCAGGATTACAGACTTCGATGCCTCCATTTCCAAAGTTCAATGGAAAATTCCATATCAAAGAAGAGTCAGTAATAGGGGAATTGGCTTCCATACAAAAAGATTTATCGTCTATGGGTGAAATCTGACTGAAATTTTCAGCTCTCAGATCAGCAGCCATACCATTATTCATACTTAAAGCAGCCACGGCACTTTCACTTGATGAATCCCCAACATGGTTTTTTAGCATCTTTTCATTCTTCTCGGAAAGATCAGTGTCAAGCTCATCCTCATGTACCAACTTCAACTCTGGATTGATTGTCTCTGTGACTGTGATATCGTTAAGATCATATGAACATAGACCACCATCATGATTGTTTAACATTTCTGTGATAGCTAATGAAGGGGATACCACAATAGGCACATTGCCTTCAATATCACTTGCATCCTCCAGATAATTTTCTGTGGCGCTACAGCCAAATATCCTAGAGTCCAATAGCGAATCTGGAAACGAAAAACTCTGAATGAGAGATATATCATCAGAAGAACGATTATCTTGATCACTCGATGGTTCATTTTTTCCTTCCTTACCTCCATCATCAAACGTATAACTAATACCACCACTATCAACTTCATCAGGTTTTCTCTGCTTTGTGGTTTCCAAAGACTCGAATTGTTCTGGTGCATCATTCACAAAAGTTGACTCATTATCTATTCCATTGCCCCCTATAGGCAATGTTGTGCCACCACAACCTTCATCTTCTTTAGCCTGAGGAGCTCCTTTCTCTTGCATACTCCCAGAAACGATGGATACAAGGGACAGATTTGTGTCCTGACTTTCCTTTCCATCATCCAGCTTGTTGCAATTTACCAGTAACTCAGCATCAGAAATTACTTCGTGAGTTTGTTCAAGCTCACCTGAAACCACTCCCTGCTTCCGAGTGTCATCAGCGTTGTAACAAACATGGAGACCATCATCAGTGTTTCCAGCATCTTCTTCACTGTTACTGTTCCCGTATCCCATCTGCTCAGTCTCTATAAAGCACTTCCCTTGGCCCTCTATCGTATTGTTTACAACTGAAGCAACCTGAGGAGTCTCCAAACTACTGACTGAATCTATATTGTGCCCACAAGAACTCAATTTCTCATAGAAATCTTCATTGATGTCCTCCATCGCAAGATTTGAGGCCAGAGAGTCAGCATCAATATCGCACCCAGAAGCGTCACTAATACCGTTTTCCTTGCAATCCATTGTAATGCCACCTGATTCAAAGCCAAAAACAAACATTCTCAAAAAAAGGGTTTTTATGAAAAATCCGTTGAAGTAAGCTATTTAGTAAATCAAACCATGCAACGATTCAAGGACCCTTAACAGGTTCTCAATAAAACCCAGTCCCGTGTTAACATGATCCACAAATCAATTAGACAGAGACGAGACCCAAAAAAAAAAAACTTGAGAAGGTCAACCCAAAGACCTAACCCAAGACAATGGATGGCTCAATCATCAACATTGATGACGACAACTACAAAAACCCTCCGATCTCCTATGATTTTAAACACGCCGCAACAGAGACTAAATAAAATAAAATAAAATCTGTCACCTCCTGAAAATAACAAAAGCAAAAAAAAAAACGAAACCCTAACCTCATGAATCAGAAGCGATTAAGCGAATGCCAACGAACATAAGATTGAAGCACGAGAAACGGAGAAAACCCTAGAGAGGCGGAGACGATTACGATAGCGGATAGAGAAAGAGAGAGGAGAAGGAATCGGAGGAAGTAGGGAAGAGACAACGCGAGGCGGTCAGTTTTTTGAGAGATACCGATTTTTTTTTTTTTTCTCTCTCTCTCTTTTCTCTTTTTCAGTAAAATAAATGTAAAATCCCCAAACGATGCTATTTTGTTATTCCCAATTTATATTTTTTTGTTGTTGCTAATTTGATTTGGACTCGGGGTCTTTTTGTTATTGGGGCTTTTTTGGTCTTACTATATTTTTTTTTTTTTTTTTTGAAGAAAAAATTACTATATTTTTTTATCTCAATGATTACGATGAAAATTTAATTGACGACCAAACATATAAAAAAAAAACGAATTTGTTGACAAACAAGAAAAAAATTTATTTTTTCATTCTTATTTTTTGGTAAAGTCATAGGTTTTTTCATTCTTACTTTACCAAAAAAAAAAAAAAAAAACATGTCAAAAAAAACAAAAGTTTTAAAAACTTTTTTATAGAGAAAATTCACACCAGCTTTTCTAAAAATGTATTGCCAATTTATCTCCAAGATATTCAGATCTATTGGGAGTGACCCGTGTTCTATCAAAATGGTCCCAATGGTGGTCCATAAAGACCAAAAAACTGTGTGATATTTTTATTAGCTTTTTAAGTTTATTTTTAATTAGCTTCTTTAGTGTATGATTAATTGATTAGTCGTTCGTTCCTATAAGATTCTCGCTAGTCGCTAGTCTTCCGTAATGCTCTCTCATTAAAAAAAGAAATATATATTGTATGTGCATATCAGAATTGAATTTCATTTAAATAACTTTAGTCTACCAAGCCTAGTTGTATTATTATTTTACAATCAGACACAGCCCCACTCATTCGCAATCATAACATCGGCGGAGACTTTCGCGACCAAGAAAGCGGGATTAAGCTCCAGACAACGATGGTTAACTGACTTGTGTTTTCATTTTTGAAGATGCAAACAAGCTAAGTCTAAGTGCGATGGTGAACCAAGCATTTATCCGAATCAGAGTCTTGTTAACGGTATGGGACCAAACCCTTGCTATGATCTCTGTCATTAGAAGCCAAAAACGTGGAAGCCAAGCGGATATATTCACACACGAAGTCGCAGTATTTCTTCTTGTGCATGTCCACCTCATCCACTTCATCTTCATCCATATGTCATCGTTGGGCACCGTCCATATTGAAGATGAATGAGCAGTTGCGGCGGAACTTAGATGTTGAAGGTTAAAGGGCAAAGACTATATATGGTGACTTTAGAAGAGGTAAAAGACGCCATCACAATAAAAGAGAGAGCAGAAGAGTATCACCACGAGAAGCGTGAAACTGCAAGGGTTATAGGCTTAAAATATTTTGATGTTTGCATTACTGTATATATGGATCGGAGGAGGTGATATCATAATCCAAGGGAGAATTAAGAGCTAGGAGGGATCACATTATTAATTCAAAGAAAAAACATATGCAATCATCTAGCTACACATGATGCATATTATCTGTTTTATTTGCCTAATATATTCATAGTTTTGATAATATGGAAACCAAGGAATGCTTTGATTTATGACAATAAGCTATGGAGCATTCCATTGCTAAAGGAAAAAAAACAATGGAGTTGAGAAAAAATATGAAATGCATGCGGGAAATTTAACTAGTCAAGTCTATCTACTTCTACACATAACCATGTCTCACTCACTTCTCTCAACGCTATATCATTGTCTTTTGGAATCTTGGGAATATGAGAACTAACCATACAACCACTATAACTAATTATATATCATTTGGCTTTTGTATGATCAACCAAAAAGACTTGTAGTTTGGAGTTGATGTAGTCTTACCGTAATGCCGTCTCTCGGCATTGAACTATTCCAACGCAGTTTCCTCATAGATTCCAAGCAAGTTCTCTATATCATATACAAGTATTAATGCAAGAAACAACAATTCTAAGGCAAATACCGAAGCATTGCAAGCTAGAATAAAATTGCTGTCTCTTCGAATTTCTTAGAATAATTGATGTAACAACTCCTCGGACTTGATGTTTCATTAATTAACGGACAAAACAAAGAACGACACATGACATCTTCATAATTAATTAAACATAATCACATCTCTAAATATATATGATCCACTTTTATGAAATAAAAATCTGAATAAAAATATTATTCTCACTCAATAAATACACCTCTAACAAACCAAGTACTTAATTTTCGCATAAGGAGTATTAATTTATTTTATAGACAAAAAAACTTAATTTATATTAATCACTTTTGAAAAGAGACATTTTTTTTAATATACTATTTTTCTCTTAAAAAGTGATTTGAAACCTAAATATGGTTGTTTACATTTAATTTGCATTCGAATCCCGCATATAGACAGAAAAATAAATAGTAATAAATTAAAACCTGTTCACGAGGAGGAGAAAAAAAAAAAAAAAAAGCTTACGAAGCAGCGTCATTGCTGGCTATCCCGCGCACAACGTTCTAACAAAAAATCATCCTCTCAGTTGCAATCTCTCCTCATCTCATCAAGATTCCCCACTCCTTTGATTCTTGTCCAGAGTCACGTCCTCTCCGATCCGGGTCTCCACAGAGTCTAACTCTGACCCGACCCGACCCAATTCACTAATGGAGGACGAACCAAAGCTCCCAACCGATGACGGTCCAACTTTCGGCGAGTCGTGTAAAATCTCGTCAGCGATATTGACTGCCGGTGATCGGAAATTACTTAAAGTTGAACTCCTTCAAGAGGAGACCACGCACGTGTCGTGGAAGAAGCTTATGGACGAGGCTTGCAAGGAAAACGGCTTGTTCGCTTCGCCCCCCGAACGGCCTCCTAATGCTAACCCTAACCTCGACTTTCGCCTTGCACCGGTGAGCTTTTAGCTGTTACATGCATATACTCTGAGTATATTCACATATTCTGTCTCTATTAGTCCAATTCTTGTCTTGTATCATTCCGGGAGCTGAATTGGGATTTTTCTCCTGGACATTGAGTTTAGAGCTAGGGTTTCAATAAACTAACTCTTGAAACTGAAACAAAACTAAAGCTCATAGTGCTTTGATCGTCTAGTCTCGGTCAGTAATTTGACTTGCGGTTTTGATATGTGATCTGGTTACATTGTTGCAACATCGTGAATATGCCATCAATTGTGATTTATCTAGAAAGGACTTTGGTTCCGATAGTAGCCATTGTTACTGTACATGTATGCGTACTCGAAGGGTTATGATGTACTCTTTAAGTTTAATTCACATCTTCTTGGTCAAAAGAATTGGCTAGACCGCATAATGATGATGGTTTTTTTTTTTTCATTTGAAGGAAATAGGAGCTGTTTGTGGCTTTATTGTGTATATTTTTCATATGCATACAATGTGGATATTGATCATGGTCTAATGATTTAGCGATATATCGAATGCAGGGGGCACAAACAGAAAATGAAATGGTGAATCAACCTCATCCTAATCGTCTTAACTCCGTTATAGCAAAGATTGAGAGACTTTATATGGTACGTTTCCCTGTTTTTCTTACCATTGTTTCTATTGATTATCTGAACAAGTAAGATGAATGTTTGATTTCTTACTCGGAACATTTTTCATACCATGCATTAGCGCTGCCTCTTCAACATATTTCTGATTTGCGTATACATCATAAAATAAATTTTAGGGTAAAGACGGTAGTGATGGGGAAGAGTTAGATGGTGCTCCTGACGATGACGACTATGACACTGAAGATTCATTTATCGATGATGCTGAATTGGTTAGTATAGATGTCCTTCATATGGCTTTCTTATGTGATCAAAGTGTATCTTGATAACTGAGACATCCTTCTTTCTTTTTTTCCATTGTAGGATGAGTATTTTGAAGTTGATAATTCGCCAATAAAACATGATGGATTTTTTGTCAATAGAGGAAAGTTAGAACGAATGTAAGTTTTTTGTCTTCTTTTTGTTGTATGTTGTCACATTACTCTATGGAAGGTTTGTCAGTTTTCATTTGGTGATATGTTGTGGATAATAGGCTATGGGCAGCATAAGTATTTGAAAATATATTTGGTATCACCATTCTTTTCCCTCTAATTAGGTTTATGCAAAAACATTTCATATTTGATACAGTTTTCTTGATAATCTTGCTACTTCTCTGCCAACATATCTAGGTTATTGTCAAAATGCAATGACTGTTTTGTATCGTTGTGGTCTCTGATTATAAATAGGATTCAGGTTTCCCTGTTTCCCTATGAATAGGTTATCTCCATTTACCACTTTTTCACCAGTTTATCTGAATTGTGATCCCTTTCTACAACAGTGAACCTTCAGCTACATCAAACCAGCAGCAACCAAAGAAAAGGCGAAGGAAGGAGTCAGCAAAACCTTGTGGCGACGTTGTTGATGTATCCAGAAAACAAGCCAAAATGGCTAAGACGGCTGGGGGAAAGGTACATTACTTGCAAATAACTTTTTGAATCTATTTTAGAGTTCCAGTCCAGACAATTGATTATTTGAATGTGAAAGTCCAGGATCAATCAGCTGCTCCTGGGCCCTCTTCGAAGAAAATTTCCAATGATTCAAAGACAGTGCAAGATTCGTTTTCCCCTTTGAAAGCTCAAAATGGCAATGATTCCTTAGTTTTGGAAAATGTGAAGCATACTGATAAAGCGAATCATCAGCCAATGAATGCCACGAGTCCGAAGTCAAAGGCAGCTGGATCGTCTTTCCCCCTTCATCTGAAGTGCAGCAACAAAAGTGTTCATGAACAATCTAATTCCCTTCCCGGAATATCTCGGCCAAATGATTCGGGAAAATCAGCAGTAGTTCGTCAGCAAGTTAACAATGGCATGCCTGACCTGGACATTGCAACGGAAAGCAAAAAATCTGTTCAAATATCTGTAAGTACTTTCCAGCTATCTTAAGTTTATAAGATTCCTCATTTTAGTCAGTCTGGAATTTGAAGTAAGCATGTATTTGGGGCTCTTTCATCTTCTACATCTCCAAGAGTGATGCTTTTCTAATCTTTGAGACTGTAGAAATAATCTGTAAATTGTGAAGATAGTAGCATTTAATTAGGAGAGTTCACGTATTGGATGGCATCTATGTGTCATGCTTTGCGGCTGACACCCATTCAACATTGTTCTGTACTTTAGTTTTCATCTCGACTCTGGGTTGATCTTTCTGGCTAATATTTGCTTTCATGGTTTATTCTAGCATATCCCCATGGTATTTACATTAGATTGCTCTTTACCTTTCTCTATTCAGAAAAAAGGCGGTTCGAATGGCAGGCCTAAATCCTCGACACTTGAGAAAGCCATCAGGGAATTGGAGAAGGTGGTCGCTGAATGTGAGTTTCAACTGTCGGTGTTCTCTACATGCATGAGAAGCTAAATACCATTTAGTAAACTATAATATCCAATTTATTGCAGCAAGGCCTCCTGCTGTCACTGAGAATCAAGATGCCGATATCTCTTCCCAAGCAGTGAAGAGGGGATTGCCAGGAGATGTAAAGTTGAATCTTGCTAAAGTTGCTAGAATCGCGGTAATCAAACTCTTCTGTTTGTAAATATGTATATATATACACTTTAATAATCTTTCAGAGGTATGAAGAAGAGTAGCAATTTTCTTTTCTTGAAGCATGCGAGCCAAGGAGATATATCAGGAGAGTTAATCAATCGTCTCATGAGCATTGTCGGTCATCTAATACAGATTAGATCACTTAAGGTATTCATCTCTATCTCCTGCATACCGAGACTTATTATCAGAATGGAGTTGTGATTCTTACTGAGGCATTAAATTATTTAGATTTTTTTTATTTAAGGTGAAAGCTCTTCCATTCCAGAAAGAGCTAACAAGATATGTATTTATTAGTGAAGGAGTTCAAGCTCTTACGGTTTAGTAATGGTTATTGTTACAGAGGAACTTGAAAATCATGATTGATTCGAGCGTCACTGCAAATCGAGAAAAGGATACTAGGTTTCAGCGGATCAAGAATGAAATAATTGAGATGTTAAAAACACAAGTTCCATTTATGGAATCCCAGGTTCTCTCCCTTCTACTCTATTAGTTTCATTGATCTGATTTTCAAAAGGATGTCGTATCTGGTATTTTGCCTAGATACTTTTGTTCTTGTCTTTATTGTTAGATTTAAACATCTTCTTTCAATGAATGCACCTGTGTTTTAAAAAGCGCGCCTAGGCCTCGCCTAGGCTCAAGGCGCAGTGAGGCTAAGGGGTCAGCGCCTCTAATTGGTGAGGCTAGGCGATCTCCTAGAGGCTCTCGCTCCGGGACGCCTGGGCTCAAGGCTCGCCTCAACTCGCTCTGCGCCTCAGGCAGAAAAAGGTAATAATGCAAAACCATTGATATTCTTTTGATTTTTATGTTTCCAAGAATATGGCATGTAAATTAAATGAGAAATAACCTAAAAACTTTTGATAAACTCACGTCTCCAGCCTTTGTCTTTTAAAATTGAAGAAGATTTCGTAGGAGACGATGATGATGAGGCAGATTTTTAGAGTTCCGGACTCATGATTTTTAGTTGGATTGGATTCTGTTTGTTTTCATTTTTATGTTTCAGAGTTTCAGACTCATGGTTTAGCTTTTGTTGGATTGGATTCTGTTTGTTTTCATTTTTATGTTTCAGAGTTTCAAACTCATGGTTTAGCTTTTGTTGGATTGGATTTTCTTTGCTATCATTTATCTTTTTCAGACTCATGCTTTAAGCTTGTGTTGGATTTTCTTTTTAATCTCTTTTCAGACTCACAAATTGTTCTAAAGATGCTTATGAATCAATGAATATATCTAACCTACTGTTTTATTTTGTAGTTGCGCCTCAAACGGCCAAGGCTCAGAGGCTCCAGCGCCTAGGCTCAAGGCTCAAACTGAGCACCCCAGCGCCTTGCCTCGCCTTGCGCTATTTAAAACACAGGAATGCACCAAACTCAGAGTTCTCTCTGATAATGAGAAACATCTGATATTATGAAATATTCCTTGCGCTGACATAAATTGTCTCACAGGAAACAAGTCAAGAAGCTGGAACATCAGATGATTTTCAGGATGTTGGCTCTCTTGGAAAGCCACCTGTGAAGAAGTTTGTCATGGATGTGGCGCTGGAGGAAAAATTGTGTGATCTATATGACGTGTTTGTTGAGGTAATTAAGATTTTCCATAACCTTACATAAGGTTTTCCAACTTGTTAGATGCAGAACTGTAAGTGTCAACATAGTTTTTGCTCTGTTTTTGGTAATACTAGGGAATGGATGAACATTCAGGTCCACAGATCAGAAAGCTTTATTCAGATGTAAGTTCCTCTCCATCCCTTATATTTTGCCATTCGTTGTCTATTTGCTTTCCAGATCCATTCAAAAAATTAGACTAGACCTTGCCTAAAATTCAAGATTGTTCACCAAATCTGCCTGATTAATTTTCTTTTGGATTTATTCTTGCTCCAGCTAGCTGAACTCTGGCCAAATAGGTTAGTGGACAATCATGAGATCAGGCGTGCCATTTGCCGAGAAAAGGAAAGGCGGAGAGCATTGAAAGGAAACTTTGGGAAGGAGATGGTATTTGAGAAATTCTCAGCTTTTTTTACGCCATAGCTGTTGTTTTTGTTTCTAACTTTCTAACTTTTGGATGTGAACTTGCACATTTCGCTCATGTTTATCATTCCTCACCTTGTATTTTGTTTTAGGATCAAACGAAGATAACTACTTATCCCGACAAGGCTTCAGGTGTTGGAGTTAAAGCGAGTGTTGTCCTAAGTGCAACTACCACGTCCTTAGTGGACTGTCAAGCTGCATCAGATTCGTCCTGTGAAAGGTCAAAGAAGAAAAATGAGAAAGTAAAGGGAACCTCGAGCTTAAGCAACCCTGCAGCAGAACGAAATACAGTCAGAAGAAAGACAGAACCAGCTCTAGAAGAAACTCAGCTGCCCGCAGAAAAACCTCTCGTTCTGGCCCTGAAGCGGCAGACACATCCACAGTCCAAGGCACATAAACAGGCACAGGTACATCCACAGTCCAAGGCACATAAACAGGCACAAGTACATCAACAGGCCAAGACACAAACACAGACTCCTCCAGACCTGAACCTGCCAAGTTAGGTACTCCAGCTTAGTTTTTTTTTTGTCAAAGTCTGGCTCTAGCCTTGCCTTTGTTCTTCTTAGCTATAATTTCGCTTCTAATTTTTGCGCCTAGTTATGAATTTATGATTCTCTAGCCGTTTCTTACGTAGAAGACGAAGTCCTCTCTGTACAAATTAAAGATTTTAAGAGAAGCTCGGTTTGAGGAAAAAAAAAAAAAACAAAGAAAGACGGAATAACCAACACATGTAACCTATTTCTAAATGGGTCTAAATTTGTTGTCGGCCCAATAGGGAGTCATATAATAATAGAATAAAAAGCCCTAAAAATATGAGAAATTAAGCTCACTGGACTGGACGACAAAAGAAAAAAGGCGCACTGAAAAATTCCCGCGTTCTCTTACCAGTTACCACGCCGATTCACTGACCTCAAATCCAGCCAGAGCTTGACGAATCTCGTGCTATGCTACAAGGTTCGAATATCCGCCTTCTTCCGACGATTCTAGAGTTTCAAATTTCTTCGATAAAGCCGTGAAGCTCTCACAAAGTCGAGAAGTGCGTGGTTAGGTTTTCCGGCGGCGATGAAGACGACGCAACTGTTCAAAGGGGCAAATGTGTTCATGTCTCGGAATCTGGTGCCTCCTGAAGTCTTCGACACACTTCTCGATGCTTTCAAGCTTAACGGTGCCGAAATCTTCCTCTGCTGCGACCCATCTCGGAGCGGTCCCTCCGATTTCCATGTCATCGCATCTCCCGATCATGTTCGAAATGTTCTTTCTTCTAAATACCTGCAATTGCTTATTTCCTTACAGAATCTGCTCTTATTGCCATTTTTTTTTGGGTTTTACAGGAGAAATTTGAGGATCTTAAAGCCAAGGGTTGTAACTTAATTGGTGAGATGAGATTTATCTTATATTTTTTGTCACTTAATAAAACCAATTGAATCTGTGTTTGTTAATTTTCTTAATAGGATTTATGTTTATTGCGTGGCAGGTCCGCAATGTGCGCTCTCCTGTGCGAAAGAGGGTAGACCACTGCCACAAGGGGGATTCACTTGTTGCCTAGCTATGGATGGTCTGAAAGTTCTTGCTTCTGGTTTTCTGATAGATGAGAAGGTACTTCTTTTTGTCTGTGTAATAGATATCTTTTTTAGTTTATTAGGATTCTTTATTCCCCTTTTATTGTAATGTCCATGGGAATGGTTGTGAGTCTATGTTGTTGGTTCAGCTATCGAATATGAGATTAATAGTGTGCATATGACATAGTAATTGAATACTTTCGTCTCTTTGCTTCCCATTGGCAACTAAACAATTTGAATTTTTTTGGTTTATGGTTCAATTTCTGTGTTAAAAGAAAAAACTGACCTCTCTTTTCATGTGGTGGAAATGTGTTTTTAGAGTGTAAGAAGCATGTAGATTAAAATATGATTTATGTTTATAATATTGTTTCTTCAGTTACTCTGAAGGACTCATCCCTCTTAACTGATTGATTGCAATTCTTTTGAAGGCCAAGATCAAGGAGTTGGTTACTTCCATGGGTGGCGCTTTACTTTCCAAAGCTTCTTCTGATGTCAACTTCGTCATTGTGAAAAATGTCTTGGCTGCCAAGTACAAGGTCTATTGTTCAAAGATTGCGATCATTATTCTTTTACCTTCTGAAGGTTCACATCTGTAGATTATATAACTGTCTTCTTATCAGTTTCACCTTTGCTTTAATAACATATCAATACCGCTGTTTTCCATCATGCATCTCAGAAGATTATTCAAATTATGTTAGGTAAACTAAAAGTGTTTTTCAGTTCATTTAGCTTTACCCCAATTTGCACAAAGATGAATTTTCCTCTGTCGATGCTGGTAAATTAAAATTAGATAGAATCATAGAAGTGGCTGTTGATCTTTTGCTCGGTGCATTTGAGTATTACATTTTTCCAGCAGTACATAGTGCCTACATTAGAAGAAGAGAGGCCTTTTCGCGTAAGGAAATATGTAAAATGCCCCTAATGAAGGCCTCAAAATATAGGTTGTTGTCATCCCCCTATTGACGGGTTCTGCTTTGTTCATTTTTAGATGGTAGCTGGATGATGTAAATAAAACTTGGGCTAATGCAGGTTTACTTCTCAGAGTGAAAAACGCCGCTGTTTTCTGAAATTATTTTTAGTCAGCCTCGTGCTTCTACTGACTTATCATTACATATTATATCCTAGAGCAGAGTGAACTGATGAGGTTCATGAGGAAGCTGTTCAAAATCAGTTATGCCTATTTCATTGGGACTGATAAATATATCTTATTTTAACTTGCAGTGGGCTCTGAATAAGAAGCCAATCGTTACACTGAATTGGTTACATCGGTGTTGGAATGAGCACCGTGTGGTTCCCCAGGAACCATATAAGATTCCTCCTTTTTCTGGATTGACAATCTGTGTCACAAGAATTCCAGCAGGTTAGAAAACCGGTATATTCAACATATGCGATTTAGGTTCTTTGTTGACAGTTAATCAGTGATTTATTATCAGATGAGCGCAAGGGAATGGAGAAGGTAATTTCAGAATATGGAGGGAACTACTCTGCTGAGCTAACAAAGAGTTGTACACATTTGATCGCTGATATATCCTTTGAAGCAAAATTTAAAAATTTGCTAATCCTAGGTCATATGTTGATTTTCTGTGCGCATTCAGTTGTGCTGATAAATTAGCAGTAATCAAGGCTTGATAATCGGGTTCTCTAAAGTTATGTGACTATAACCATTACGTGGTTGATATGTAGATGCCTTAAAATTCCAAGTTCCTGTGCACTAAAGTTTGAGATTTCGTTATTTGGACTTTAGTGAAAATTGATTCCTTGACATTGCATACGCTGCTGAAGGTGACAAATACAAAGTTGCTCGAAAATGGGGTCACATTCAAATTGTCACACGGAAATGGTTTCAGCAGTCCATCGATAGAAAAGGTGACGTTTGGTGATTCTGCATTTTATACATTCTCTAACTGATCAGTATATTGGCTCTCTATAAGTTAACAGATTCATTCAATACTGATGTCACCTTGTTATGCGCAGTGTGTCTCAATGAAGAGTTATATCCTGTTCTCAGTTCCATACCCTTGACAAGAGGGGTGCAAGATTTGGGGGTCCATAATGGTCAAGAAAAGTTTCCTTCGGTTGCAACTGCGTCTGCGGCAGATTCATATGTTTCTTGTGCTCAGTCTAGAGACTCAGATATAGAAGCTTCTGGTTCACAAAATGTTTTTTCCACTTCTATGAATCCCAGTACCGATGTTAAAGAACCAAGTGGAGGCCCAACTACAAGGCCGCAAGAGCAAAATATTGATGGTTGTACTGCTAGGGATTCAGAATCCGAAGACAATGACTTGTACTTATCAGATTGTAGAATTTTCCTGCTTGGTTTTGAAGCTTCTGAAATGCGTAAACTTGCTAAGTTGGTCCGCAGAGGTGGTGGATCCCGGTATATGCTGCTTAACGAAAGAATGACTCATATTGTTGTTGGAACTCCTTCAGAGAGGTAAACACAATCTTTGCACTGCCAGAGTGATTGTTTTTGCTCTATCAGCTTTTTCCCTTTTTCTCTTGTAGGCTTGTAGCATTGATCATATTCTGTTAGTTGGGTCTCTCTAAGCATATTCTCTGTAACATTATGATCTCTACATAGAATATTCCTTTACAGTGAGAAAAGAGAAGCGAGGAGTGTTGCAGCCTCTGGTGTCATTCAAGTAGTCATACCCAGCTGGCTTGAAGATTGTGATCGTGAGAAAAAAGAAATTCCCGTTCATAAAATATATACTGCTAACCACTTGATTCTTCCAAGAGGTCTGCTGTTATCTCATTTAACTAATTTTAATGATCTCGGTCTCGGATACATGTCATCTATCCAAGATGCATCAAGTATTACACTTTCTAACTGACTTGTTTTTGTGCAGATTCTGCATGCTTGACCAAGGGATCATTTGTAGGGATGTCAAGTATGGAACAGAGTAAACATACTAGCGGTCAGACCATGGCATATGATTCTTCTTCAAGGAGTATCAATGTCTCAAATGGGACAGCAACTTTGCTGGGAAAGAACAAAGAAGCAATGCAGGAATTTGGCAGGAAAGATGAGATTCATACAGGAAGAAAAATAGTATCACCCAAGCAAAAAGAAACACTTATTTCCCTTGTAACTAGTAAAAGCGAAGAACAACAGAGTACTCAATGTGAATTCAGTGGTCAGAACGAGCAAGAAAGAAAGTCATCGGTATTTAAGGGGGAGACATTTTGTTTCTCGCATTCTTTTCCTGAAGATAGGGTATGTGGTTATCGAAGAATCGGATTTCCTTGTCTTGCACTAGTTTCTTGTCTGAGAATGCATCTCCGAGGTATATTGATTGATGTGTAACCAAATTGTGCAGCGACCTGACATCGTGGAATGGGTCAATCAAGGAGGGGGAGAGGTGGTAAATGATCCTTTGATAAATAATGCACGTTTTACTATTGAATGCCATGGTGGGTTCCGAAGTGCCGGGACTACCCAAACTATCTATGTCTCAAGTCATTGGGTTCGATATTGTTTAGAGGTATTATTCTTCTCAGCGTTCATCTGTTATTTACCAGTTGTATGATACAAGCCAAAGGTTTCTTCTTTGAACTCGTAGTCTTTGTTAAAGGTAAAAGACAAGAGATCATTTAAGCAAAACTTTCCCTTTAACCCAAGTCTCTTTCTAGAGAATTGGGTTAATTGTTGGAGGTTGAAATTCTCATTAGCACAAGAGGGTCCTTATATAGACCCTTACAAACCGACCTAAAAACACCATAATTATAATTCTAATAAAATATCAAAAGCCAATAATTGTATCATTGTACTCGGTGTCCAAATGCCATACCATCATCCAGTTAAACCTTTTATATCTACATTATCTTTTCATTAAAATTGATTTATATCTATTATCGTCTAGTTACTAGTTTCTACTATATGCGTTTATATCCTTTTATATGCTTCATCTTGGCTTATTGTCTAAGTTGTTATCTTGATGATGTAGGTTGGTTGTTTACTTGCTGTTAGTAGTCATATCCTCTACTCACCTCTTCCCTGCCAGACACCTTTGCCTGGATTCGAAAGCCTTTGCATATGTAGTTCCCAACATAAAGAGAAGGATATACCACTCCTGAAAAATTTGTGTGTTGTTCTTGGAGCAAAATATGTGAAAAAACTAACCAGGAAAGTGACGCACTTGCTATGCATCTCTGCAGACGGACATAAGTATGAGACAGCTTCCAAGTGGGGAATAGTTTCCGTGACACCTGACTGGCTTTGTGAATGTGTTAGACAGGTGGGCCAGAGATTCAATATCTTTGACATAGTCTCTTTGACATGGGATCTTTAAATTTAACGGATAGTCCTTTTTGTATTTCTTATGTATAGAATCAAGTTGTTTGTCCAGATAACTTCCATCCAAAGGAATCAACCACTCAAGAAGCAGGGTCTGGCTTCGCAAGTCATTTTCATACACAGTTTGTGCCAATGGCCTCAAGGGACAATGTGTCTCTACTTGTAAGTCACTCTGAAGACAGGGAAAAAAATCAAAGTTTTGCTGGCAAAAGCGGTTGCGGTAAAGGTGAATTTAATAACAGACTTGGAGAAATTGGAAAGGAACAGGCTTTTCCGTCTAAGAAGGCAAAACTTCTGAGAGATGGTCAAGAAAGTGATGTGTATCCTGTGAGAGAACTTCCAAGCAATTGTGATCGCCCTTCGCATTCTGGAGAAGGCATTGTGTCTGGATATGATGTAGGAAGTGGTCGTGAAGTTCCAGATGTGGCTGATACTATTGAGGATCTGTTAGAGCAGACTAGTAAAGTGAGTACTATTTTCTTCTTTCTCCAATTATTTAATCCAAGTCATCTTTTCTCAGTATTCACCTTCTGGTCTTCTGTTTAGATTCAAGATCAGAAGTCTCCTGGGATGATTTCAGAAAAGACTGTATCCTTAAAGTTTGTGTGCTCATTCAATCTTTATTTTTTCCTGAGTAATCAATATTTGGCATTGTTTGACTCCTTGATGATAAAACAGCATTTTTCAACTAGTGAACAATACAACACCGGGAATCACTGTGTCACTGGCCTGTCTAGACACTGGATAAACAGGTACGTACATTCATTAAACGCAAATCCGCATTTTGCAGATATTATTGGTTTTCAACCTCAAATGCCTCGAATCATTAAGAACTTGACGTACACAAGTTTGCTTAGGTCTATATACCTCAAAATCTTTTTTATCTTGTTTGAATTCCCAATCTATAGCTATTACTTGAAATTGCCGTATAATAAGTATAATACTATCATGACTGGAATATATCCAACACTATGCTGTACGTAGGGAGTGTGAGCAAATTAATAATGTGCAATGGATATAAGAAAAGACTGTCTCAAATCTTAATGCGGCTCGTATATGAATTCATGCTTGCCTACCAAACTCTGATGTGTTTTTCAGGGTCCAAAAGAATGATGACATGGGCAGTCCTCCAGGAGATGTAACTACAGGCACTTACGGAAACTTTAGTGAGACGCAGACAGAATCACAGGTTATATATAACTCTTGCTTTGATTATATTATACCTTGGAGATTCCATTATTGAATCTGCGTTTCTACAACCTAAAATTGTGGAGTTACTTATACATTACAAGAAATTTTGCAGGTTGTTGGTTACGAGGAAGATCTTTCAGGAAGGCAGATGCTTATAGACAGAGTTAGAACACGAAGCAGCTTAACATAAAGAGACAGGGTGAGGTGCTCGTTGAGACAGAAACATCAAACATGTGCGACTGTATTGATGAGAAGTCCAATGTAATGTTGCAAAAACATCCATTAAAGAAACAGCAGCCATATCAAAGTCATTGATCATATTCATATGTAGATCACAATTTTTTTAGATTAAGAAACTTTTATGAAGTTTACGAGAATGATGCAGACAGTGGTTACCGTTTTTGCTGCTAGGTTACGGATTTATGTGACGTTTTTTCCTCTAAGTTTAGTCATCCACAAGAGACAAAAGAAAAAGGTACACACATTTATATTCAAAAACTAAGAACATAGGTCACAACAAAGATTCATACATCACATGGAAAAACAAAAATAAAAATAAAATATAAAGCCAGAAGAACAGATGCCAAATTTTTAACTATATAATTTGGCATTTATAACTTAAGAGAAAATACATAATGTGGGGGGTAGATAGAACAGTGATAATACTGTCAAAATAAAAATTAAAAAAGAGTACATTTAGAGAGACTTTACAGCTAGAAAACGAGGCTCCTTAGGCATGAACTTCTGGTTTGCATAGACATCCATATAATCTCCAAACACAAACTTTGGATACTTCTTCTCACTTCCTTCCTCTTCCGCCACTGCGGCTGGTCCAATCGCCGCCTTGTACGACGGGTTGTAGAAGGAAGCTATAGACCTTCGGTTTCCTTCCTCCCTCGCCAACACCCTGTGCCACGCGCTCTTGTACCTGCCAAATCCATTTTAGTTAAAACCTTATACTCAAAAATTTGTATTAATTTTGTACTAGTGTTGTGTCAGTATCACCACCCGAGTTTAAAAATAACCGCCATTTCCGGATCAAGTCAAGATTAGTGTATTGGTTCGTAAAAGATTATTGATAATTACCTTCCGTTGCTAAGAACTTCAATCTGATCACCAGTGTTGATAACGATGGCGTTAGGTAGCGGCTGAACATCAATCCACTCGCCGTCTTTCAAGACTTGAAGGCCATCATATTCATCGTCTTGGAACAACAAAACGACTCCTCCTGCATCAGTATGAGCTCGAAGGCCATTGACGAGCTCAGGATGAGGACAAGGTGGGTAATGGCTGACTTTAGTCCCAAAGAAAGCTGTCTCTTCTCCATCTTCAATTCCTTCATTGAAAGCTTTCTTAATGTAACCTTTAGGCAAACCCAAATTCTCATCCATCACTTCCATCATTTTGCTCGCTAGCTTCCTCACTTCTTCTCTGTATTCCCCCATCGTCTCTCTGTTTTTACATACAAGTAGAAAAACATGAAGTTGAGATTTTGAAAATGGGTTTGAAAGATTAGTTAAAAGAGAAAATGTTTTACTTGAGGCCAGAAGTGTTGGATGGCCATTCGTTTTGGTTATGGTCCAAGAGAGTGAAGACATCTTCCCAGTCAACGTTTTCGAGTTTCTCGCCAGAGTTCTTTTGAACCAAGTCGTTGAGTAACTTCACCGGATTAGAGGTCTTGAATGCTTCTTCTCTCTCTGTTTTGTAGCAATCTGAGCTCAGTTTCTTCACCTTATTCAGAAGTTCCAATGGAATACCATGGTTCACCAGCTACACAAACACATACACACATAAGCACATAAAAACAGAGAGAAGAGAGAGAGAGAGTGTGTTCTGTTTTTTGTTATTTAGATCCGAACCTGAAAAAATCCCCATTCTTCACAAGCTCTAGCGATTTCAGACAGTGTCTTCTCCCTTTCTTCACCATTGAGTTTGGAAAAATCGATAACAGGAATCGCCATTTCAGATCCACAAAGAGAGAAAGAGAGATGTGTTTTTAGACAAAAGGCTCTGTTTTGTAATCTGATTTAGTTGTGAAGGTTATGGAAAGCTTAAGCCTCCATTTATACTATTCCTAAATGTTGCCCTTTATTTGTTCTTTTCATGAAAAAGAAATAAGAAAAAAACGTAACAATGAAACAGTTGACTATTTTATTTTATTTATCGTTCATTTTTACGTTATGTTTTACTATTTATTAAGCATGCATAACTACTTGAATCTTATTACAGTTTCATATTGAAAAGATTACTTAATAAAATGGGATGCACAAAAATCGATGCGTTTAGAAAATTTTAAATTGTTGTGTTGTTACAGTTAGTCCATCTTCTTGACTTATTAATGTTTTAAAAAATAAAATTTACTACTACTAATAAAGATTAAGGAATTAAATATAATTACTAAACATTTGTATAATCCTTGGCATTAATGAAACCGCACTGATCTCGCCAGGCTTTGACTGATCTCTTTCGCGAGCTAACCGGTTTCACTGTTAATTTCAGTTTAGTAAAATAAAAAGTCTATTACTACTATTTTGCCAAATAAATAGTATATACGATCGCAAGAGTATACACTATGTATACACACATGTACACATTCATTAACCTATTACATGTAAAACCTATTCGCAAATAGCTTTAGTGGACATTATTTGAACCCACTTCTCTAAAATCAGTAGAGTGTTAGATTCATTTTACCAGAAAGCGGTTAGTTCAATAGATTATAAAAGACTATTGCAGAGTCTTAAGTTTAAATTATATGCTACGAATCCGCTATCAATATTATCAAGTGCTAGTCAAGAATTTATAAGAATAGGTCAAAAGTCCTAATATTTTGGTTTTGGACTTAAAACTTGAAAAAAATATGGATCAAACATAAATTCCTAAATGAATTAGTGATATATAATCAGGTCTAGAACCATATATTAAAGTGGTTACTCTTGTTTGAAATTGATCACACAGACTAATATAATAAATACTTCTTTTATAGACAGAGATATGGTTTTTATTTTATTTATTGCCTCTTATAGCTTACAAGTAATAATAGGTTAGCTAATTATTATATCCCAAAATAGATAATAAGCTTTGTTTTCATGGTACGTGGACAAATTAGGGGAACATGGAGGATTTCTATAAGTATTTTTATTTATATCAATTGTAGAAGACATTTAAGAACATATACTACCAATGTTGTATAAATTAAGCTAACCAAATAGTATAATACTAGAAGATAATTAACAAAAACGTTTATAAAATTAGAGGAAAGGTTACTAACTAGTGGAAATAATTGTATGTACAGCACAGGCATCTCTGCTGGACACATGAGCAGGTGATGCCTCTTTTTTGTCCCCATCCATCTCAATGCCTTTGATGATCACAATAACAAACAAAGTCTCTCTATGTATATAATTTCCAACTAATCTTTAATATTATCAAAACAGAGGAGAACTAATAAACAAAAACAAAACAAACGAGGTTGAGATCAATATCGCCAACTATGATCAAATCATATAATTTTGTGCCAAATTTTTCTAACGATCAATTCGGTAGAAAAAGAGTAGGATTAGCTGATCATGTCAGAATATTTGAAGTGGTCGGCTATTACAAAAACAATAGTTTCCTGAAATCTATGTTGCACGGAAACGGAAACGGAAACGTGGAAGCGAAACGTTTCGGAAACGAGAAACGATTTTTTTCTAAAATTAGGGATTGGAAACGTTTTGGAAACGTATACATATATATATATATATATATATATAACATTAACATAAAACTATATTATATTAACGAAAAATGGTTTAATTAAACAATACAAGTCCAAAACATCAATATTAAATAGGTTAACTAGAATTCTAAAAGATAAAGATTAAAAAGTTTAAGTTCAAATATTTAATTTAGACCAACATTTTCATTCTCATTTTCATTAGTTTCATCATAGATCATATAAAGATGCCTCCAAATCTAGTTTGTCGATAGAAAGATCTTAACACTCAGAGTCTTCCAAAATTAGTTATATATATTATAAATTTTAATATTTTTAACTTTTATTTATTAAGTTTCCAAAGTCAATAAAAAGATTTGTCGTGTTTCCATTTTGGAAACGTGAGTTTCCATCGTGTTTCCAAACATAGATTTTTAGGAAACGCGTTTCCATGACGTTTTTCGTGTTTCCGAAGAGTTTCCGTTTCCGAAACGTTTCGGAAACGGGAAACGGACCTCGAAGAGAGTTTCCATGCAACATAGCCTGAAATATCATTTTGATACGATGGACTAATTTTTTAAAAAATTACCACACTCAAATATATTCACAAAATACCACTCATCTACCACAATATTTTTAATGAAACTATAATCACGAAAAATAGACTTTCTTCATTTTTAATGCTAGATGAAGATTGAGTTTTTTTTTTGGCAAGGTTGTTTTCAAAACATTTTTTTTTTTGACAATTTGTATCTTAATAATTGTGTTATATTATTAATACTAGTAAAAATCTTCCTCCAAAAAAAAATACTAATTATCTTTTATATTGTTTCACAATGTACTGATGTACTTCCCTAGGAGTACTTTAGTAGCAAATATATATGTGGTTTATTCCGTTTGTTTTCTTTAAATCTTGACATTGGATTCTTGTTATTTAATCTAAAGGTTGAAGTATGTTTCTAACATGACTATTTATAAATTACGAAAAAATCATTGATTGATTCCATTCTCCCATATGTCGGTGTATTTATTATATCTTTTTGCTTCATTTTTCAAAAAAAAAAAACTTAGATATGAATTTATATTTGATAAAACGTAAATGATCAAAGTTTGTCGTAGAGTTAGATTTATATCTTAATTATTTGATTTTGCTAGTAGCTAGTGATGATAATTGTTTGCTGTTTGGATCCTTAGCTATTAGTATATGTTTTGCTTTGCTAGTATTATTGACATTAATACTTTCCCATTTCATGATTTATATAAGTATTAAAAAAAAATTGTCATCTGTTTGCTCCCACTATTTCACATGCAGATAGCCATTGCACCATTATAAACCCTAAAATAGTAATATATATATATATATATATATATATATATATATATATTATATATGTGAACCAAACAATTTAAATAAGCATAAACTAAATTTTAAGAACCTTTCTTTCCAAATTAATCTATAAAAAAATTAAGTTTTTTTTTAATAGAAAAGAAGCAAGCCGTCCATAATCACATGGGCTTACACTTGGAAGTGGCGTTTGTATTAATAGATTGTTTAATTAATCATCGATCCATTTCTTTTTATCAAAAAGAAGAAAGTAAAATAATTATAATCCAAATGCATTCCCCCGTGCCACTGTTTTAGTAAGATCAACGAGAAATAATACTGACAACAACCCTATAATTTACTCATTTGTTTTAAAAAAAATCAAACTGATATATAACAGAAATAGTTAAGAAATTAAAAGAGAGAGATATTGGATTAATTACTCTTGAAGGACAATTGAGTGAATCACATGGTGCTGAGTGATCTATGTCTCTTTTATGTTGCAGCAATCGAATCTATATATGGATTAAAAAGCTTACCTTAATTATAATATCTTTGATCGTTAATAAGGTTAATGAAGTACTGGCCTCATATTTTATGCGAACCAAATTTTATTTAATCAGTCAATCGAAATATGTTGAAAAAATAAACCATAAGAAAATTATAGCATATTTTCATCTGTTTTTCGGTTTAATGTTGACATAAAATTTCAAATTTGTGAAACAAAAAATAAAAACGAATGTCATAACGAAACGACCATTTTTAATAGCCAGCCTATAACTACCAACTATTCATCTTAGCTCAATGTATGAACATTTTCCTCGATATTATATGAGTTTGATTTGATGAAAAGAACATTAAAATACTAATTAAAGCTTGTAAAGAACTAATGTCGACAGTGCTATAAATCCTCAAATCTAGTGGACGTACTACTTATTATATAAACTTTTAATACTAATAATAAATTTTTAAAAAAGACATTATCTTCTTGGTTTGCTTATTGACTGTGTCTGTGGTATTTAATTCAAAATATTTTTTCATTTTGTATATTAACTTATGGAGAAAATGAGAACACATTCGCTAAGTGTGCTTACTCCGCAAAGTAAATAGTGAGACGTGGTCGGTTTCGTTTCCATATATTTTGGACCAACTAATTTGACCTTATTAAACTTATTATTACGTCTCTAATCTTTCTCTTATCTTCATAACCGTTACCGACATTTTTTGGGGATCTTCGTTCTTCATTTACCGACTTCAACTATACAATTATTTATTATGATTTTTACTCTCTTTTGCACTAACCAAAAAAAACCCGTATATTTTGGTGTGAAACTCACTATATATATAACATTCTTTACCGGCAAAACTATATATATTAACACAGATTTGAATCTTGATCCATTGGCTCTATTACTAATACACATTCTGACATTAATGTAAATCTAAGTGCAATTAGTTCTATTAGTATGAAAACTGAAAAGTGACTTTTTCGACTCAAATTCTAGTGTGGTGTTATATTTTTTTTTTTTTTGGTAAAAAGTGTGGTGTTATATTTTTAAAAAGTATTTGATGATACAATGTTATACATTTCTAACATCTGGTATATATTTGATGATTTAAATAAAATAAATTTATGTATATCGAAACGTATGATGTATGCAATTTGATGGGCACAGAATCAATGTACATAGAACCATATAACACGTCATGGTCTACGATTCTTGGCTTTCCATTGACGCGGAGGAGCCAACTTCAAATGCAATTTATTGCAAACTAATTAACTGCATTATCATTAAGTCAAACTATCTTTTTAATCATTTCTTTCACCCATCTTTACGTTTGCATTGCACAACTTCAAATTACACTTTTATAATTAGTAATTTTTCTTTCTTTCTTTTTTCAAACCAAACCAAGAAAGTAGAAACTTCAATTACATTTGTCTATGCAGTTGGACTGAACCACAAAAGATTTCAAAATGATATCTTTGTAAGAAAAAATACATAAGATATAACCAATCAAAGTGACTAAAGTGGTAATTGGTAAAATGTAATCAATCTTTCCCTTGAAGACCTTTAATAAGCATTGATTGTGTATGTGTGCTAAATTTGCAGCCACTTGTGTTCATTACTTGGAAAAGTTCAGAAAACCCCTCTACAAAGCCCTGTTTAAGCAAACCGTCGATGAGGATTTTCCAAGCGATTTCATCATCGCAATAACCACATCGAAGCAGTTTTTTGAAAACCGAGTTGCCGCTCTCTTTTTCTCCTTCTTCATACAGCTTGCAAATCAACATTTTGCAAAACTCTAGTTGTGGTGAGTGACCATTGCATATCATATCTTCCACAACCTTTGCAGCTTCATCATACTTTTGCAGCTTGTAGTAACATCTAAGAAGACCATTACAAATCTTCTCACTTAGAGTTATTCCTCCTTCTTCCATACGATTTAATAATCGCTGTGCTATCTCTAGATTCCTAACTTCACAGATCCCTAACAAGATCTTCTCATAGCATTTAGCATCAGGGTTACACCCATGTTCTACCATTTTCTCAAAAAGTTCGACAACGATATCAAACTCCATCATCCCCCACATAATATCCGGGGACTCTTGCAAATAATTTCCTGTTTCACCACCTTTCGCTGACATATGTTTCATCTCGAACAAGTGTTTGATCAGAGACAAATATGTATGGTGAGAAGGTTCACAACCAGTATCCAACATACGCTTCAAGACATCAAATACAGAATAAGTCAGCCCTAGAGATCCATAAGCCTTAACCATTGAGGTATAAGTGAACTCATCCGGAGTAACACCTTCTTCCTTCATCTTCACCATCATCTCCTCTGCTTCTTGCAATCTCCCTGCACTACAATACGCCGAGATAAATGATCCATAAGTCTTCGCATCAGGCTTTTGGCCAGAGGACAACATTTCGTTAAAACATTTATCGGCTTTATCAAAATTCCCATCTTTAAGCATTCTTGCAATCAGAGTCGTGTATGTACTTTGTGTAGGCTGTAGCCCTATCTTCTCCATCTTTTCCTTGAGTGACAAGGCTTCTTTCAATTCTCCATTACTACATAACCCATGTATCAAGGCATTAAAAGTATACAAATCTGGCAAGCAACTATCAAACAACATTCGAGCATCATCGAGTTTCCCAGCTTTGCAATATCCATTGATCAAAGAAGTGTACATGACTACATCTGCGTTTATCCCTTTACACGTTAGGGAATCAAATAGTTCGCGGGCTTCTTCAATCCGCTCATTTTTACATAGAAAATCAATGAAACTACTATATGTACGCTGGTTCGGAACCAATCAGCTTTCTTCCATCAAACTAAGCAATCTATATGCACTATCTAAATTACCAGAGCTACACTGTCCAGCAATCAATGTATTATAAGTTATCAAGTCTGGAACCAAATTTTGCTCTAGCATCTTACTAAGCAGTCCCATTGCTTTGTGCATATTCTTCTTACAAAACCCTTTGATCAATGCATTGTATGTAATAACATTTGGCATCAACCCATTTTCAAACATATGGTCTAGCAACCCACTTGCTTCATCGAGTGTATCTCCACTACAAAAGCTCTGAATAAGCACAGTATACATACAAACATCAGGCTTAATGCCACTCTCTGACATCTGCTTAAACAAATTCAGAGCTTCTGATTTCTGTCCGGATCCACACAAAGCATCTATAAGCACTGTGTATGTACGAACATTAGGACAACAATTGTCATCTTTCATTTTCACCAATAAGCTCAAAGCTTCATCAATCCTATTTGCTTCACAAAGACCATATATAAGTTGAGTGTAGGAAACCTCATTTCTATGGCAGCCATTCTGAGACATCTCCTTAAAAACCTGAAAAGCCGCATCGACTTCTTTTCTTCGACAATGACCCGTAATAAAAGAAGTATATGTGAAATAATCAGGATTCAAACCAGCCTGAATAAGCCTACTCACATACTGCTTTGCTTCTACTACATATCCAAGCTTACAATAACCATTAACCAATGTGTTAAACGTGTAAATGTCTGGAGAAACCAAATCTTCCAACATTTCAGTATAAAGTTTCTTCATTTCATCGACTAATCCAAATCTAGCTAATGAACTCAACAGAGTATTATAGCATTTAGGAGTAAGCTTGTATCCAATCTCAAAGCTATCATCTTTACTCATTGTTCTACAGAAATCAACAACAAACAAAGCGTCTTGCGCTGAATTGCAGCTCTTTATCATCAATATCGTGATTTTAGGCACCTCATAAGCTATTCCATGGCTACAGAGAAGATTAACCAAAGATGCGTATGAACTAACGTTGTGCTTGAATTTTTGGTATTTGAGAGATCCAATCCGAGAAAGTGAGAGCTGTCTGAGGATCAAGTTTGAGTGAAAACAGAGAAGAGACATGAGAAGGTGTTATAGAAGGGATCAGAGAGTTTAGAGAAGGATTGTTTTGCCAATTTGGTTCGGAGACAATTGAGAGTAATCGACATGGAAGATTAGAAGGGTCAGAGTCCGATGTTGAGAGAGTATGTGTAAGAAGAGATGCAACGGTGGAGAACGGCCTTCGACGGAGGAGGTAACCGGAAGAAGTAGAAGGAGAAGGAAGTGGAAGGATTCTCATCGTCGGTAAAAGTTCTACGTCTAGTTCAAGCAACAGTAGGGTTTAGGGGTTTATGTGATTGAAAATCTCAAACCCGGTACAGTTCTCCGTGGTTCTTACGTTTGGTATTCTACATTGGTTTACACAGACGGTTATTTAAACCGGGACTTTTACCAAACTCAAGTGTGTCGGTGTATAAATACTACGTCGTTTCTACTTTCTACTATGTAAAACGACAGCGTTTGATACCGCGACTGGTCCGTGAGGGTATATCTGTAATATGGATGATAAACATGTAAGTTACGGTCAATGCGAATTCCCAATTTTCCAATTTCTTAATAAATCTCTACTCGATCTCCTTTGTTCCGATTCGCCGGTCTTGGAAGTGGAACTGTGGCAGTGACGAGCGAGAAGAGAAGAGAAGAGAAGAGAAGTTCTGATCTTTAGGATATTCAAGGTATCGCATCACATTCTCCTATCCGTTGATTTCTGGTTTTCCGACCAGGTGGATCAATTTTATACAAATTCGTGTCTGATTATTTGCTACGGTCTTAATTTGATTACTTGTTTGGGATTTAGAAGCATGGCAGGAGCTGTTGGAACATCGATGCTAGGGTCTCTTCTTGTGTTTACAGTGATCCTCTCGCTTCAAGAAATTTACAGAGGGAAATTAGCTTCTTCAGAGCTGTTCACGATCCTTGGAGGATTTACAAGCTCTCTCCTCTTTTTGTTTTCTCTCACTGTAAGTTCCTTAGAATTCCTCAATTGATTTATTCTATTCCCACTTATAATTTTCCTCTGTCTTCATGGAAATGCACTTGCCTTAACAACTCCAATGTTGATCTGTGTCTTTAAATTTGAGATCTTTTGTTTTCTTCTCGAATTACTCTACAGTTCTTGTTGAAAGTTTGGATTGATGCTGTTTCTTTTACTTGCAGTTCATTGGAAATTTTCAGGAATCTTCTGGCATCAAGAGTGGTTGGGGTGCAGGTATGTCCTTACTTTTTCATGAAATCATATTTGTTCATAAGATCAAAACCATTGTGTGTCTACTCTACCCCACTTCACAAGTTTGAGGGCTTAAGAGTGGAAATTTTGAATCTTTGATGATGATGCTCTAAGTTCACTTTCTGATAACACTTTCTGATAACATATTACATAAATTTCCCTTTTATGTCATTATGTGTTACAAAGACTCTTTTAGTATATCAGTTGTTGGAACCCAAAATTTTTCATCTCATGTCTTCTCTGTATCACCTATCATGTCTTTTCTCACAAATGATAAATGGCTCGAATTTGTTTGCCTCCTCCTGCTTCTGCTTTGTGAAAGTAGTATACTCAACAAGGGTTTGCAATGTATTGAAGCCAATTTTTGTTTTCATGGCAGTCATTCTTGCAGAAATCATAGCTCTTATTGCTGCTAGCACGGTTCATCGGGTTTGTATCACAACCTGGTAAGTGGAAATTCACTAGTTCTGCTTGATATATCCATTTTCCTTGTTTAATTACTTCATGCCTCTCTCGCTAAAAGCAGTGTGGTGATTGTGTTGCTGTTTCTTGATCTGCCTGCAGTTTCTTGTTCTCTGCTGGGCTATTGTACGAGGTGAACAAGATCTCTGGATACATGCTATCCAAAACCGAGTCCAAATCTAAGAGATACTGAACCAGAAAATGGAATTGGTGAGGACATGTTATTATGGACTTAGATTTCCAACTTCATGAACTGAGATTTTTAGAAACTTTAATCCAAAATCCGCATCTTATACTTGATGTGAGAAGTAGGTCTGTTTCTCTTGCAGCTTATAATTATAAAGAGATCGTCTTTTTTAGTTGTGTTTATGTTTGAGTCTTTTGGCCTTGATATTTTATCATCTGCGACGGTGCAAATCAACTGGTTTGTATCATCTCTTTATTTTATTATCTCATGTATTGAGACCGCAACAATCGCTGATTCAACTTCAATTACAACTTTACAACAATTGAAATGGATCTTGATCCATCCAAAGTTTCAAACAAAACAAATTATGTGAAGAATGCTTAGGATAAGCTGTTGTGAAACGTATTATTCTCAGCGGTTCACAGGAAAGCTAAGAAAGTCAATCACACAAAGGCTCATTGACCAAAACGTTCATCTTCTCATTAAGAAACTTAAGCACATCTTCTCTATCTTCTTTGAGAAGCAGCTGTCTTAATCTACCAAACGTCGCACCCGATGGTCGAATCCCCATCTCGATCATCTCCTCTAACAAAACACAAGCTTTTTGAGTGTTGGGCTCCTCGCACAACCCATTAATAAGAACTGAGAATGTATGCATACTAGGGAACACCCCTTTCTTCCTCATGTATTTCCACACTTTATCTGCTGTCTCCATCTCTTTCTTCTCACAAAACATCTTTATCATCATCGTGTATGTGTCTGCATCTGGTTCACACACTTTAATCATCTTCCTAAAGACATTATAAGCTTCGTCTTTCTCCCCTCGATCTATTAGATGGCGTAGAATAATGTTACATGACTTGGAGTTAGGCGTCACACCTTTACTCTTCATTTCTTTCAAAACCCTATACACATTCTTCATCCTATTTGCTTTGCAAAATGCACCAATCAATGAATTGAAAACCGCTACATCAGCCTTCATTCCACTTCTTTCCATCTCGAGGAACGTATCAACCGCCTCTTCAAGCCGGTTCTCAGTTCCATAAGTATGTACAAGCACACTATAGATAAAAGTTGTCGGCTTGCAAATGCTTGGATCCATGCTCCTCACAATGCCAAGAGCTTCATCAACTCTTCCAGCTTTACAAAGTATGTCAACCATTATACTATAGGTCACTATATCCGGATGACAACCCGCATCAATCATATCCCGGAAAACCTCTCTTGCCTTGGGCAAGTTGGGTTCTTTCCCCCATCCTTCAAGCAATATGCTATAGGTTTTGGAGTCAGGCGTAAACCGATCCCTCATATTCTCGAAAATTTCCTGTGCTTTCCTCACATTCTTGGATTTACACAACGCACTCAGCAACCCGTTGAACGCCACAAGATTCGGCGGCAAATCATACTTCTCCATCACATTAAACGCGTAAATCGCCTCGTCCACTTTCTGCGCCCTGGCGTACTTCCTCATTACAATACAAAAAGTCTCGACATTTAGCATCTTCTTCTTCCTCATTGCATTGATGAGATCCCACATGAGCTTGTACTGCCTAATCTTTGCCGTAGACTCGATCATCATGTGGTAGGCACGAACACTATGCTCGTAATGCCGTTGCTTCTCAGACCATTGGAAGAACCTGTATGCCAACAAACCAGCATTCCTGAATCTATTTAAAACATCTTCTACAACTTCTGGTGAAACTCTTAACCCACTTTGATCTAAAGCCGAGTCAATGACCAATTGTGGAGAAGACATCAATACTTTAGATATGTTCTTCGCCACATCCGCAACATCTCTCACTTGTTCGCCTGAACTATACAGCCTCGCAGACAGAAAACTCTTACAACATAATCTGGATTGACGATTGAGAATTCTGATCATCGTCATGTTGAGTCTAACTCAGACCGTAACAGAGAAGCTACATTCCCATCGCAAAAAATAAATGTGAGGGAATACGTATAAACAATCAATCACCCGACTAAAAATAAAGTGATGTAATTCTAAAACGCTTCACTGAGGCATTTCATCAAACAGTTGATGAACATTATATTATTGTGCACATAAATAAATACACAAGCCAATGCACAGCCCAGAAAAAGATTGTGTTTTTACCTGTATGAATCAAGTGGTGTCTGTTTTCAGTTTCAGGAATAGTGGTTTTTGTCACCGGAGAATAATCCACTCGGCGCCACTCGGCGGATGACGGAGAGACTGAAGAGAGACGAGGATACGCACCGTTTTAAAGTGAGATAAATGTGCCACGTGTCAACTATGTGTCTTTTTTCTTGGAGCCCATAAATGAACCCAACAATAAATCACCTAACCAAAAACCAAAAAAGAAGATTTTTTACATTCGACGAGCGTGATCGAAACGGCGATGGTTGACCAGAGTCCTCGCCGTGTTGCCGTGGCGGCGGTCCTATTACTAGTGGTTATCAGCGATTTGTCAAATTCTGCGGGAGCTGCGAATTCGGTGTCGGCTTTCGTTCAGAACGCCATCTTGTCCAACAAGATTGTCATCTTCTCCAAATCCTACTGCCCGTAATATTTCACTCTTTCTCCTCTTTCTTTGCAATTCAAATTTTGTAATTTATGCAACATTCCACGGTGACTGAATTCGAAATTCGAAGTCTTTGATTAAGGTTAAGTTGTGAAAGTTATGAGTTTAGTTTGGATGTGTTAGGTATTGCTTGCGGTCGAAACGTATCTTCAGCCAACTTAAGGAAGAGCCCTTTGTTGTGGAGCTTGATCAGCGAGGTATCACTTTCTTTGTCTCACCTTTACCTTCTTTGTGAGTGAGGTTTAAGTTGTTGTTGACCTTTTGGGAGATTTGTTTTTGCAGAGGACGGAGATCAAATCCAGTATGAGCTCTTAGAATTCGTTGGTCGTCGTACTGTCCCGCAAGTTTTTGTAAACGGCAAGCATATTGGTGGATCAGATGGTATCTATGAGATCACCACCCTCTTCTCCAAGTTTCATTCTTTTCTCCAAATTTCCCTTTTTAACTCACAAGCTTTTTGGCTGTTTATCTTGCTTCAGATCTTGGAGCTGCTTTGGAGAGTGGTCAGTTGCAAAAGCTTCTTGCTGCAAGTTGATTTTTCGGACCTGGAATGTGGAATCTACAGTATGTGATTTACAGGAATTAGAAATCTTTGCTAGTTGTAGACTGAATAAGTGAATTGGTTTGTATGACTCAGTTATATAAGTTATGATGGCATTGATAAAGTCTTGATCTTTTGTTACTGCACTGCTCTGGTGATTGTTTCGCTTAAATAATCCATACTTGTGTGCCTTAGTGAATGGTTCATACGGCAAAGATTAGATTAGGGAAAGAATAGCAAGTACAGGAACAATTATGGTGGAATTGCAATTTTACCACAATGGCTGTTTGTCAAAGCTCTTCTATTGGTAATATACTATTATGGTGCCAGTTCATGATTCTTTTGCAGCACATGACAATTACTCGAAGATATACTCATTAGGACTACAATTCTTGCCTTCAGGGTACAGAGAAGAACTTACAGCATTATTGCTTTTATCTATATCAAAAACAAGCTGATCAAAATTCCCAAATTCATGGTTATTGATTCTCTTGACCGTTTTGGATATATCGTTTGTGTTTAAAACTGACTCAGTCATCGCTTCGAAATGGCTAAGTCTCAAGTTGATCAGTATTCGCTTCGAAATGGCTAAGTCTCAAGTTGATCAGTATTCGCTTCGAAATGGCTTGTAGGACTTTAGATCAAGAAGTACTCCAGCTATGGACCCTGCAGCTGCAGCAATGCTAATTACTAAACACCCTGAGCTGAAGACTTGAAGGCAAACCCATCTGGTGCTCCATCTTGGTATCTTCTTCTGCGCAATGTACATTTCCACTGGGAAATACACTGTCAATGGCCAAAACCCTAGTGCCCCGAGCAGACCCACAACGTCGTTGAAAAACGGAAGAAGCATTGAGATAACTGTCGTTATGATCACAAACACTGTCCTCCATATCAACCTGAGCAAGCCATTTCACACCATACAAAAGCTTTGATTATTACCTACACCTTATGTCTAAAACTCAGATCCCATTAGTTTAGAGACAAGGATTTTTACCTGAAGACATTCAAGCGGAGATGCTTGAAACCCGGAATTGGAATTTTGATATCTTTTGCAATGAACTCACTATCAGGGAATCGAATGGAAGCTTGCTTCTCGACGAAAGCAAACAGAGGTTGGCAATAGACTTGGTATGCACCAATAAGGTGAATCACAATGGCTGCATTGGCAATGTCAAGTAGCCAATAAGGATTATAAAACCCGAAACCGGTTAAGAGATTTCCCGGAGACAGGTCTCCAAAGGCTGCATAACCCATACATCCACACAACATGTAGAACATAGTCGTTACACTGACGCTCACAAGCGTTGCCTTCTTCATCGTTTTCTCTTCTGATGGTGGTGACTTCACTGTGTCCTGTTTCAGACCCCAAAAGAAAAAAGCTTCAGGATAAGACCAATAACTAATGGCTTTGATCATCAAGTCTTCTAAAGAAGATGAAGTACCTGAATCTCGATGAGAATGATGGAGTAAGAGTAAGCAAAAGCAATGTCTCCAAGAGCTTGGAAGGTTCTCCATATCTTCTGTGTCTCTGTTACTGCTCCTATGCTAATCCCAGTGAGACTTCCCTTCACCTTCCCATTTACTGATGAAACCAAAACACAAAAAAAACTTTTACTTTTCTTGCGTTTCCAATTTAAGACCCTAGAAGTTATTTTTGGTTTAAAAAAACGAACCAACAACTTGGGCTATGCCTAGGGCGAGACCGGCGGAGGAATAAGTGAAGGACATTACGGCGGCGAGGATTGAGAGCCACCAAAGTTGATCAAAATCTGGAATCTGAGAGAATAGAATCTGGACTAATCCAAAAGCTATCATGTAAGGATTACTGTTCATGTGACATGGATCTTTCCCTCCACTCTTGTGGAAACAGTTTGATCTCTTTATTGCCCTGTTTTTCCAAAAACAATAATTTTGTCTTTTTGATCAAAAACCAAATTTAGTAGCTTTTAGTGTTAATTAATGAGGACACTCACATCATGCTTATAGCTGAAGCAATTGTGTAGCCAATTGCAACACCAAAGATATTAAGATACTGAACAATCCCACATAGCGTCACCTTCACGCCACCTATCCAGAACAATGAAAAATGTTATGTTTTGTTCTGATCTGATCTCCATTGTTCAATTTCTACTTCGAGTTTTTGTATTTACCGAGATTTGATCGGACAGCATCCATATAAGTGTAGTTCCTCTTGCCGGAGATAGGGTCGCCAGAGCGGTAACAGGCGGCAAGGAGAGAAGAAGTGAAATAAGTGACTGCAGAGAAGAGCAACATCACCACCGGTCCGGCTAGCCAACCTAGCTGCGCCGTAGCCCACGCCAGTGACAAAACTCCCGAACCTATCACCGCCGTTATTATGTGTGCGCTCGCCGTCCAAACACTCCCTAAAACCCAAAACTTAAAAACTTCAAGTTTCTCATTTTGCCAACATAACTAAAACAGAGCAGGTTCCGAGTTCAAAATAACACATTTTTGAATAATAACTAAGTCTCAATAAGAAGCTAAAAGAGAAACATTGTTACCATTTCTTTTAACTTTTCCGTCGTCGTCCAAGTACTTGGAGCCGCCGGTTTGTGGCATATCGACGGCGAGAACTGTTTGGTGGTGTTGAACCATTTTTTGTTTGTTTTGCTCTGTTTTTTGTTTGTTTGTTCAATACTTCAAAGTATGAAGTTACATGCAAAGTAAGTGTTTGTATGGGTAATTTTTAATGCCTTTGTTGAAGAACTGTCTGGTTCTTGTGGATGAAGATAAACTGAGAGTGGAGTGCAGATTTATATACACAGAAACTGGTAAAAAGGCTTATCTTTTTTGAGGCAAAACAGTAAAAAGTGTATTAAGAAAATATATCTGTATTGGTAAAAAGTTGGTAGGACCATTACTCAAGTATTAGTTACTATTGAAAAATTTGACTTCGTGAGTTATATGAATTATTCGATACGAAAAATAGAATTGAATAAAAAACAAAGAAGAAAGGAAAAATATGGGCATGGAAAATTGGAAGTCCAAGATGCTGCCATCGTTTTCATTTGGACTTAATGTCATTGTTCAACATTTTTGAAAAAACATTCCTGTACGTGTGTTGAAGGCTTGAAGCTTAATGCTATTTTCACTTACAAGTGTAGATGAGTATATTCAATGAAATAAACTTATACTTATATCAAGGGTTTGTGCGCAGAATTTGAAAATTAACCATTGTATGAGATTAGCGAAAATAAAATGTTTATTTAAAACTAACACTATGCATTTTGGTTAATTACTGCTTAATTAATTATACTTTATCACTTGATTATTTAATTTACTTTTTAATTAACCCGTGACACCTAAATTTAGGAGGTGTTATTGGATTCTAGTTTAAAGCAATTTTGATGACTTTAATAAAATCATAACAATTAGAGATTCTTTTGTTTTAGTTGAATAACACAAAATTTTTATCAACTTCATAAAACTATGAATCCAATAACCCCAGATTTATGAAGATTTTAGAAGACTTTTAGTTTTTACAAATCAAAAACTAATGCAACACCAAACTTTAACCGAGTTTAATAAAATTTTTGATTGAATAACAACATATTCTACAGACATTAAAACACTATTTAAATCACCAAAACAACTTGGCTTTTTTCATAAGTAATTTAACTTATAGTGTTAACGCATAAAGATGTTAAAGGAACATTCATGGCATATGGAGAAATCGATGCCGACTTTAAATAATGAGTACACGCAATCATGTGTAGATTTCAAAATGATAACTCAAAACTAAAAGGTGATTTTTAGTATGATCAATAGTAACACACACACATATATCTTACCTAGAATTCGAAAGAATATCACCATAGAAGTTTCTGCAGGTAACTAACTATGAGGCGTGTAAGCTATCTTTTACCTAGTTGATTACTTTGCCAACTAAACTCATTTTAACATAAATGTCATACACAAAATGTATTGGATTTTGTTGGAGAAGAAACTGTGTCTCAAGATCGAGTTAACCAGCTACCTAAAATGAATGTTTATTTATTTGAATTAGCAAACTAAAAAAACGTGCTGGTTTTCAAAAATACCGTGAAAAATAGTTTTCTAGTTATTGCGTTGCTTTGGCAAAAGTGAAGGCTTTTTTTTGGCAAACTTTCTCCTTTCCAATTCTCTACGTACGATACTAGAGACAAACTTCTTTTTTTTTTTCATTACTACCATAAGCTTGATTCGTGGGAAACCAAATATCCTATAAGGACTTACGAGAAGATTTGTCATCAGACAAGTCATTAGACTAAAATTCAAAAGGAAATAGTCTCCAAATATAAAGGGAATTATATATATTCATACAAATAGATATCATTCTCTAAAATTCCAAGTTTAAACTTTAAAGCGCAAAAACGCATACAAAATGTACCAGTCCTTCGAAATGGTTGATTGTTTTTTCTTCCCATGTGTATATTGAAAAGATAATTGAAAATAATAATAAAGATCGAGGAGATCATGAAAAAGAATAGGGTTCTTTGGTTCAGATCATCCACTTGATTAAGCACACACGGAGAGCCATCCTCAATGTCGATTAACGAATTAAAAGAGTGAACCAGAAACGCCTTTCATCATATCAAGTGCACTTTCTTCAACTTGATCCCTTTAAAAAGTGTTATCTTCATTATTAATTTTTATTATATTTGTAAGAGTATATATCGCCATGAGTACTATATCATCCTAACACTTAAATTCTCCCTTTTCACTTTTCAGACGCCGCGATTTATCTCATTCGAATTTAGAGAAAGAGGAGCATCCGATTCGTTGCTTACTATAATCGGTTAGGTTTTTGTTTAGATATTGTACTATAATTAGTATTTAATTAAAAGTTAGGATCTTACAAAAATATCAGGTTTGGCACTTCCAAGATAACATAAAGAAAGGGATCTGTATTTCTAGCTAAGTCTTAAATTCTAATTACACAACTAAACACAAAATAATTTACATGGAATGAATGAACTTCTCCTATCATAGAATTCATTTTTTCAAGCTGAATATGCTATATATAGAATGACGTGGTTTTTAATCCGAGTTCAAATATGATTTTATATTTTCATCAATTGTTTCAATTGATAAAGTTAACATGTATTATTGATGGATACAAGAAAGAAGTACATATTGGTCAAATTAAATATCTAATTTTTAAAATAGTAATAATACTGTGGTCTC